AATATAATATATCTAGAGCTATAAGTAATATCTTATAAGATATAGGAGGTCTTAGTACTTAACTAGTATTATAGTCTAGTCTAAAGGTACCTGTTATTCTTTATACCTAATTTAATAAGAATAAGAAATACTTATATTTTAACTCGAGGAATAATTAGGACTTTTATATAGACTTAGAGTAGCGGTTTGCTTTATAAAAAGAGAATAAACTAGAATTACTTATATTATATTAATTTTTAGGAAAAGTTATAGTAAATACTATAACTCCTAAAATACTTTTAAGAAAGCTTTCCTAAACTAAAATAGGCTAGTTTATAATCCCGAAAGATTTATAAAAGTCTTATATATCCGAAAGTATAAGTATTTAAGATAAATACTATTTAAGTCCTAACCTATAATAAAAGAAAAGTAAAGTATATAAAATAAAATATATAAAGCAAAAGTAAAATAAAATATCCGGATATTTAATAAATAGAAAGCCTAATTATAGATTATAAGAACTAGTACTAACTAGGTATATATATAGTAATATTAAAGAGAAAATAAGGCAAGAGAGATAAGGCAAGAGAAACTAAAAAATAAGTTAGTATATATTTTATAAAAAAGAATAAGAAGATATCTAAATAGCCTAAAGATAAAAAGTATATATTAAAGAAGTCGAGATTAGAGAAAGAAAGACTATTTCTTATAAGAATAAGTTAGTATATATTCCAAGATAAAAAATAAAAGTATTTAGTAATAGCCCAAAGGCTTTTATAAGTATTAAAGAAAGAAAGAAGATATTAGAGAAAGAGAAAAGGTATTAAAGTTCGGAGAGATCTAAATAGAAATTAGCCTCTTTTTAGAAGTTTAAGAGAGAATACTTCTAAAAGGCCTAAAAGTATAAGAGATATTAGAAAAAAGAAGAAGAAATCTAAAATTTAGCTTTTTAAGAAATAAGTAAGTTAAAGACTTATAATATAGAAGTTCCGGATAAAAGTAATCCGGAAGTAGTAGTCAGGTACTAGCTCTTAGTATTATTAGTAGAGGGTTTAAAAAAGAAAGGATTTAAAAAAGAAGGGATTTAAAGGAGGAGGGATTAAAGGAAAAGGAATTCGGAGGAAGAGAGGTTAAAAGAAAAGGAATTTAGAGGAAGAGGAATTAAAGGAGGAAGGATTTAAAGGAAAAGGGATTTGGAAGAAGAGGAGAAAGAAGAGAAGAGAAAGGTTATAGGTAATTAGATACTAGCTCTTGGTATTAATAGAGGTATTAGTAAAGAGTAATGAGATATTAGCTTTTAATATTAATAGTAAAGTTAAAAAAATATAGAAAAAGAATAAAGGTTTTAGAATAAAAATAAAATAAAGTTATACTTTTATAAAAAAAAAAAAGATACTAGTATAAGATAATTATATTATTAAATTCCATATTTACTTTTACTATTTATTAAGAATATATATCTTTTAGAAAAAAGTATTATTTAGTATTTCTAGAAAATAATAATTTAATAATAATACTATTAAAAAAACTAAACCTAATATATTTAAGTATACTAAAATAAGGTAATTATTTTTATATTAAAAATTAAATTATAGTATTACTAGATATAGAGCTATTTTAGTTTATAGACTAGACTATATATAGAGATCCGAGAATATTAAAGCTTACTCGAATTACTTATAGAATAGTTATATAGATAGCTAGTAATATAATAAAATAGTATTATATCTTACCTAATTAGGTTAATAATAAAGCCCTTTATTATAATAGATATATAATATCTGTTTTTTAAGGTATTATATAACTAGAGGGAAAAGGCATATAACTATATAATCCCTAAGTTCTTGAAATTAACTAGAAATTAGTTAATTAGAAATAAGTAAATATTACTTTTTATATTCCTAATTTAATTAGTTACTAGAGTAATAAGATTCTCGATATAACTAATTTAATAATACTAGGAAATCTAGATAGTTTCTTATTACTTATATATTTTCTTTTTATCTTTAGTAAATTATAGAGAGCTCTTATTAATATTAGGCCTAGCTATCTCGAGAGATCTAGAGCCTTTACCCTAAGCTTCCTGAACTACTAGTATTACTAATCCCGAGCTTTTGCCCTAGGTCTCTTATATAGCTGCCTAAAAGGCTTCCTATATAATAAATATTAAGCTTTTGCTCTTATTCTACTAAATAACTAGCTTGCTAAGCCCCTCCTTATTTCATACTATATAGTCGAGACTTTATTAAAAAGCCTTTATTATAAGCCTTACCTTCTCTTATAAGTCTATAATCTCCAAATCCTTTTTTATAAGACTATTAAGATACTTTAAACTTATAAATAATTATTTTTCCTTAACTATCTTATCTTAAGAATTTTCTAAAAGAAAAGAAAGTATCTTTATATTTAGCTTCTCAAGATTCTTTATATAGATTTTAGTAAGACTTTATTTTTTAATTTCAAATTCCTTTCTTATAGCTTTTAAAAGCCATACTCTTTTATTAAGCCTATCTATATAAGTATTACTTTTTTTAATTACCGTATCTCTCTCCTTTTTAAAGCTCTGTTTTTATACCTCAAATTACTTCTTTTTTCTTTTAAGGTCTGCTAGCTTCTTTTTTAATATATACTAATATCTATTAATATAACCTTTTATTATAAACTTCCTTAGCTACTTATATTATTTATTAAATACCTTATTAAAGAACTCCTTTGGATTACTGGCTAAAGTAGGCTTAGCGGCTAGAATAGGCTTACGGGCTAGAGTTTTAGTAGCTAGAGTAAGTTTACTAGCTAGAGTTTATAGAGACTTAGATCTCTTATGGTTCTCTTAATAGAAAATACTAAGTTATTTACTAGTACTTTAATACTAATACTACTTCTTTTTAGATATATAATTATTTCTAATTATATTACTATTAGAGTTATTAGTATTAAGGGTTTTTAATAAGTTATTAGTATTAGGAATTATTATTAAATTAACTATTAGCCCTTTATATAGTTAATAATTCTATAAAGGCCACTTTTTTTTAATGGGAATAAGAAAGCAGAATTTGGGCTTTTAATAGTTTATACTAGGATATATCTTCTTTATATATTTAAGGAACTATTTAAAAGTGTGATTTTCTCTAAATAGAACCGGGAAGTCCGGAACTTTAGAACAGGTAACCCTACTAGTAAGGTAGTCTATAGTTAGGCTTTGATTCTCAAGGTCAAGTTTATAGTATTTAGCCCTTCTAATACCTTTCTAGATATTAGACTCTAGGAGGCAATTAAGTACCCAGCTACTAAGCCTTACGAATGTCTTATAAGAGTCGAGAAAAAATGGGAGTTTTAAAGGGGTAGTTTGCTTAAATAGCTTCCCAGGGTAGCTAATATAGTAATAGATAGTTATTAACAAGCCTATTAGTAAAGGCTTATTAGCAGGATTATGGCTATATCTACTAGTTAGCCCTTCTTTATTATGCTTTCTCTTATTATCTTCCTTTGCTTTTAATTCTCGCTAACTACGAGCCTTAGTTAAAGTACTTCCCTGGAGCCTCGATTTCTTCTTCTTCTTCCCAGTAAAGGCGAGGTCGTCTTCCTATATACTATAAAAAGTATCCCTAGTAATAGTCCTTTGGAGACTTTCCCTCTTCTTCCTTATCCGCTCTTCCTTCCCCTCCTTCTCCCTCTTCTCCTTATCCTTTTGGAACTTGGCCTAATAGGCGTATTAATTTCTAGTACCTACCTCTTTAGTACTATTATTATTGTCGTCCCTCTTATTATTCTTGGAAGGGCGAGAGGCAAGAGGCTTCGGCTTTGGCTTACGGGCCTTCTATAAATACTCCTTCTCTGAGGTGGATTCGGTCGGGCTTAAGGAGGGAAAGACAGTACCATAGTAGCTATAAAAAGGGCTAATGCCCTTCTGCTTTTGGCACTTTTCGTAATAGGCCATAGTATTATAATATATAAAGTCTTGGATAAGGTAGTTTTAAAGAGATTGGATTAAGAATAGAAGCAAAAGGGAGCAAAGATAGTAATCTAGGGAATAAGAATATAGTGGGAAAACCCCTCTATATTAAAGAATTAATAAGACTATCTGTTTCTATTTTGGGTATAGATCTATACCGAGTCATCCTATAGTATATCTTTACTTATTACTACCGGTTTCGGATACGCCTCTTACTAACTAGCGACTCCATATATATCCTCATTTATTACTACCGGTTTCGGACATACCTTCTGCCGGCCGGCCACTCCAAGTATATCCTCATTCGGTACTACCGGTTTCGGGCAGGCCTCCTATAAACCAGCGACTTCGTATATCTTGACTCATTTTTACCGGTTTCGGATATGCCTCCTACTAACCAGCCATTCCAAGTATATTCTCTATAACTAATTCTCTAATCCGATATGATTCCGTCCTTCTATATATACCTTACATATACAAAGCTAGTTACATATTAGTAAGAGCAGAGAGAAGGGGCAGAGGGGTATTACAGGTAGTAGTACGGGGCTGGTATAACCTTACAAGAACGATTCAGAAGTATTATAGTTAATTATATTATAAATTATCTATACTTAGAAACATGATTTAATTACATATACGAGTCTTACAATGGACAGTAACAAAGGGACTTAAGTTAGGTATGGTTGTGCCTGCAGAATGCGGTATTTTGGTTGCGGGCGATTTTTGGTGGGGTGCGCACGTGCCACAAATCAGACATCGAAGGTCGAAAACCAGATTCGAAAATCGCTTGGTCTTCTGATCCTTATGGCTTTCCGTAGCTTGATCACTTGATCCTTACGGCTTTCCGTAACTAGGGGCACGAATGACCGCAAGCCAATCAGGAAAGTCTCGGAACGGGCCCACCATTCTGATTTCAGGGCCGAGGTGATCCGCTCAGACCCCGCCAAACGAGGCTATCCAGGAACATTGACTCTTGCATTGAATCTTCAGTGTCCCCTTGCTCTCACGAGGCAACAACGAACGCACCTTCGCCTTTTCGAAGCTCCAGATTGACCATCTCGTATTCGAAATGGCACTCCAGCACGGAAACCCAGCCGACCTCCTCCCTGTCCACTGGAAATCCCAAATTACAGCCTGGTTCGCAGAAGATACCCCTTCCTTCGACTACGGCGGGTTCGTAGTTGGCGACAGCGAGCGGACTGCAACCCTGTATGGCAAATCGAAAGGCATATTGGCAGGTGTGCCATTCTTCGACGAGATCTTCGCTCAAGCTGGATGTTCGGTCCGGTGGCATCTGAAAGAAGGATCGATTGTCGATCCTGGATCATCTGGGAAGCTTGTAGTAGCGACAGTCATGGGCCCTGTCAGGAAATTGCTACTAGGGGAAAGAGTGGCGTTGAATACGTTGAGCCGATGCTCTGGCGTGGCAACGAAATCGAGAGCGATGGAGGAGCTGGTCAGGAAGGCGGGGTATACTGGCGTACTTGCAGGCACGAGGAAGACTACACCTGGATTTAGATTGGTGGAGAAGTATGGAATGCTGATTGGGGGTGTGGATGGACATCGGCATGATTTGTCGAGTATGATAATGTTGAAGGATAATCATATCTGGGCTAGAGGGAGCATTACGGACGCGGTCAAGGCGGCGAAGGCTGTTGGTGGTTTTGCATTGAAGGTTGAGGTTGAGGTGGATAGTGAGAAAGATGCGGATGAGGCTATTGCTGCTGGGGCGGATATAATTATGTTGGACAACTTTGATGGTGATGGATTGAAGGTTGCGGCGAGTAGCTTAAAGCAGAGATGGGTGGGGAAGAGGGAGTTCCTGCTCGAGTGCAGTGGAGGATTGACGGCAGACAATGTTGGCACGTACATCAACAATGGTGAGTTCATCGTGATTACTTCTGGGTTCTTGGCTGATGGGAAACCTAGATATTGATATCATCTCCACGAGTTCGATCCACCAAGGAGTGCCACACGTGGATTTCTCGTTGAAGATCGATCATTGATATGTGTCAAGAATATGCGAGAAGAACAAAAGTCCCTCCTCTTCCATTTTTCCACTCGCAGTGGCTGAAAAAGATCATTGGTGATGTTGTAAGCCCCTGTTTTGAAAGGGCGCAGAATCATCCAATCCCCTGTAACTTGGAGATATTTTCCATTCCGATATTTCATCCAGGAAAGGGCACCGATCCTTGGGTCGGGCGCGAAGTTGGAAGAAATTTTGTCTTGGGTTGCACTTGCATAAGGCAGACTTGCATTGCTCTGATTGCTTGTTCAATAGATAAGTCCATGAGCATAAGGTTCGATTCGGTCGCATTCTGAACAGGCCCGTTGCGCCGACTAAGCCACAAAAGTTTGTCACATAGAAAGGTAGACAGCAATGACTTCAACGACTAGGACTCGGTCTCGGTATTGAGATGGGTATATTTGTACAACATCTGGAATAAAAGGTGACCATACGCATTATGAAAGCCGATACGCACTGTTGCAATTAGCAAGACTCATAAGTGGGAAGAGAACCTCAACTCACTCATAAATGACTTCTGCTCCTCTCCTCATCCCACTACCAACCCACATCCCACAGTTGACTCGATCTCGATACCTCTCATCCCCCGTCTCCATATCTATAAAGAGTCTGAATTTATAGCTATTTGGATCAACTTTGTCTGCCAACTCTGGATCTGCAAGTTGGGCCAAAACTTCTGGCGGTCCTGTCCTCCAGCCATGCGTCTTGATGACAATATGTGCTGGAGGATTATCATTAGTTTCAAGAATGTAATTGGTTTCAAGTTTGGCTGAACCATCAGCTATGATGAGTTGGCTATCTTGGCCGCCAGGCTACTTCGCGTGAGCAGAGTGTCAGTATGATCGATGAGTGGGATGTACCAAGACGATTCCAGATCCCCAAGACCCCGACCACCTGCCGCCTGTAAAGGATATCCAATTCCGGTGTCCAAGAGGCGTCGGCCCAACGGAAATGCGGGGGTTGAGTGTAACAGACATGCGGAAGTCAAGGCTCAGGGTGGGATGAGGTAGTGAGAGGCTGGGATGCGGATAATTGGAGTTGTGATCCGAGGCTTTAGGAGTACTTTCGACCATTTTAGCAATTGAAGTTGAACTGAAGTTGAAGGATAAAACGTATTCTCTGAAGAAATCAAGTGGATTTATAAAAGAATGGCCCCCACTTACGCTTCTGCGTCCCACCCGCTCGGGAACATGTACGGCTGTTGATAGAACTTTGACATCCACGGCATGTCTGCGTCTTTCTCCCCTCTCTGCTTCGCCGTCACCTCGGAATTCCATCCAACATTCATCCTCACGTCGTTGTTGTAGTCCTTATCGTTGTCCAGATTACCTCTTAATACGTTCGGGCTGTAGACGGTCCAACTAGAGTCCGCCGGATTTTGTTGCCCCGATTCTTCGTCTGGCTGCTCGGGGGCATCTTCGCCGACTGGTATCAACGGAGGGAGCTTTGCCATGAATTGCTCCATCCCTGAGTAGATGTTGAAGTTCATTTGGAGGTTTGTTGGTGAGTGGTAACATGAGCAAGAGCTGAGCAAGAAGAAATGAGGTCGAAAGATATCACGGCCTGGAAGCGAGAATAATTCGGTCGGGTAAGAAAGGACATCGAATCGTCCGGGGTGAAGACTGGTGCCTAAGAGCGTGTGCTGCCACCACCACCATTCAGTTGTTTTTATCAGAGGCTTTAGAGGTCCGTGTAGCTAAACTTCACTTCACACAGTCTTCCCGTCGTCTACGCTTCTTTCCTTTCCTTCAGGGCCTCCAGGCTTGAAAGTATTGCGCCTTTGCTTAATTCTAAGGTTTTTTCTGAGAGTTAGTTTAGAGTATATTACGGAGCAATCAAATATTAAGAAATAAATCGAGGTTCTCGTCCTTTCTAGACTTTTTACCTTAGATTTATATGGTACTAGGAGTATTCGCTTTGGGGGCCCTGGTTGGAAGTTGATCACGACTAGCTTTCAAAATCATACAAAAAGAACGATCTATATGGTAGCGGTATTTATTTCAGATAGAGGGCTCATTTACGGAAGGTGCCACTGTCGTGGGAATACTGTCGTAAATCTTAAATGGTGTATGGTATATGGAGGTCATATGGTAGAGGTAGGACAGGCCCTTATGTCTTGGGGATTAACGGATAAGAAATAAAGTGAAGGCCTGATGATCATCGTCGTTGCATCTTTACCAATTGACCCTGGAAAGGTCATTGGATTGAAAAACCAGACTGAGAGATGTTGTTGTAGTGAGAAAAGAGCCTGACCCGGAGATCTGCTCCCTGGAACGTTTAATTTTCGGCCTTCATTACATGGGCGTTTTCCTGTAATTTTTTAACAAAAGCATGACCAGCCACTGGTTTGAATTCCAAAACACCCTCCCGTCATGTCTATTTTGAGGTGAATGTGAAGGCGTAGTTATTGCTTCAAATATCTTGAATATGATAGCTTAAGGCTCAGAATTTTAGAACTAGTAATTCCTAAGCAGGCAGTTTAACTCCTCCTGCTTTTATCTTGCTCCAATCCTTTTCAACCCCACTTTCAATATTCGGTATCGGACCCATAGGAGTAATCGCCTTCGGATTGATATGAGTGTGACTTTTGGTATACTTGCGGTCGATGTCAGTACTGTTCAAAAGAGGCTCAGTTGAGAACTCACATTCTCTTTGATGTGCCGGAAGTCCGTCGTCTCTTTGAATCCAGGTACGTTCCAGTATAAATTCTTCATCCACTCATTTAAAAATGGGTAGTCGTGTCTTATAGTTCCCAAATTACACTTGAAATGTTGGACATAAACCGTGTCGAACCTGATCAGTGTTGGGTAGAGCCGCAAATCCAGTTCAGTCAGCTGTAGTCCTAGGACATATGGACCTCCATTCTTTGACAGCATTTCCTCCAACCGATTCAGTGCTCGGAATACCGGTACTACATTTTCATCGTATGTTGCCTGATTTGGAGCAAACCCAGCTTTATAGACACCGGTATTCAAGTTTGCCTGCATCCACTGCCCCACCTCATCAATCTCCTTCCGCAGTATCTCGGGATATAAGTCTACTTTCTTGTACTCCTCGGGCAGAATAGAATTCCACCCAGTGTTGAAATTTCGAAGTATCTCCAGGCTCTCATTGTTGACTAATCGATTGGTCTTCTTGTCCCATAACACTGGAACGCTGTATCGTCCCTTGTAATCCTTGTTGTCTCTGAAATACACTTCGTGCAGGTATTTGCTTCCAAATAGATGGTCTTCGGTGGAACCCTCGTAGGGATCTTCACCTGTAGGGAATTTCCATCCTGGCCATCCCTTGTCATCACCCTTCGGGTATGGCTTGACGATGGAGATGTCAATGATGTCAGTCAGTCCCTTCAAGTGTCGGATAAGGTTTGCGCGATGTGCGAAGGGGCAAAAGAGGCCTGCAGCAGATTGTCAGCTTTCATTCTTCAAACTGAACAAGCGTTCGCCGACCAATGTAGAGATGGTATCGTCCTTTTTCTGGTGGAAACTCCCCGTTTGATTCTATCAAGCCATGCCAAGCACCATCTTCGGCCTTCAGTACAGAGGCCATGCTGAGATGTTTCCGGATCTGCAAGCTTCTATTGAGCAAAGATTGAGTGCTTTTCGGATCTGCTAGGGTTGTCATGGACGTTTTATCATCTTCGTTGTGTTGTCGGCTTCTCTGAGACACAGGCCCAAATGGCGTCAATGCGGCCCCGCATTGCGGGGTCACAGCCTCGGAGGCAAGGCTGCTGCCCCAGGCTACCCCCTCCATGTTAGAAGAAGTTGCGCAAAAATAGCGTTCCAATCGAAACTTTAGGAAATCAAACTTTGAGCAGCCAAGCGCTGCTTGATCGCTTCTAATGATTGTCCGTTGGCCTTTGACTATGAGATCGGGCATGTCGAGTGCGAAAAGACCAGGGTCGAAGCGCTTCGATGTATTTATAGACATGTTGGTTATGTTGGAATTTTGACTCCAAAATCGACCGCTCGAAATATTCCTCCTCCAACATATGACCGAATTCTGCATTAAATTATATTGTAACTATTGCATAAATATTCAGCCTTAATCAAATTCAGGATCCAAAATGTCCCGAGCAATTCCAGCACAAGACACAATCTCTCCAAGAGCGATTGACGTTGTAACCGCCGACTTCTCTGAATTGGAACTCTCAGACCCGAGGTTTCGATTCTTTTCCGATGCCATAAAGGCCACATCTGACCCAGGTGATTCCCTGTCTGAGGAAGAGAAAGCCGCATTGTCAGCTACTAAGTTGAAATTGAAACATGACGCATCTTTGCTCGCCTTGGGTCAGTTTCCCACTCAAGTACGGGTTTCTGGTCCCCTACCTGACACATTTCGCAGATTTTCTTGAGAAAGCGGGAGCCGCAGACCTCCTCCAAGGTTTCGGAAGGCTGGCAGCTTCATTTGGGGAGCTGGATCTTCAGAAGCAGGTCAGCTTCCTCAAGGCAATGGACAAAGACTTTCGACAACGCTTCGAGGACACCAGGAAGAAGATCGATAATATGGAACTTGTGCCTGATCCTATGGTAAGAATCTACTCATTGAACATTCCCTCAGGAATTCCATTAACGCCATGCCTCCAGACTGATTTACTCCTCTACATGGTCAATGCGATGAAGGTTTTCCAAACCTGCACTAGGGTTTTCGAAGGGATGACCACGACTTTGTATGAATTTAGGGTTGAAAGGGTCAAGCTATTCAGGGAATGGCAAAATCGCCTTTTGCTACCGTGTGGCTCATCGTCTCGAGCCCCCTCGATGAGCGACTATGACTTTACGCTTCGAAAGTATGTCCTAATGCAAAAAACCTGGTCAAAATTACAGAAGGTAGGACCTGCGAAAACAAACAGAGTCTTCGGTCTTTGCTGAGTACTACATTTAGTTTAAGATGGAACTCGATCCAAGTGAGGGCATGAGGCTGCTCGGCTTGGCAAATGAATAGCCGATAGACCATATTGTGATGTCTAGATTTCAAGGAAAATTACGGGAAGTCATGGAAGTTTGACGGTTGGGGATCACGATTTGTCAGCACTAGATATTGCATGGTGTGCAGCATGGAAAGATTTAGATCTTTGAATAGTGACTTCAGTATTCTGCTAGAGCCTGGAACTATCACTACATGGATATCTTGATCTTCTTATCTGCTGGCAGTTGCTGAGCCTTTTCCTGAACAACTTTCTCCTCTGCTCCTGTCATCGATTCACGGGCTCTCTTAACACCACGTGCATGAATTGGGATCTTCTCTGCTGGAGCCTTCTTTCCAGTAGTCTTCTTTGCTGGAGTCGCCTTTGCGAGGGTCTTCTGTACTGGAGTTGTCTCGACTGGTGTGGACTTTGCCGGAACTGTCTTTGCAGGAGTCACCTTCTTCGGTGTAGTCGCCTTCGCTGGAGTCGCCTTCGCTGGAGTCGCATTCACCAGGGTCGCCTTTACTGGAGTCGCCGCCGCAGATGCTGCGTCAGATTTCTCTCGGGGTGGATCGCAATGAGGCGCTTCCAATGGGGTCTTGTACCTTGGGGGAGTTAGCAAGTCCTCGGTTTAGATTTTGCCAAGAAAACTGGGACATTGCCGTGACACTATTTCATGAGACTGCCCAGGCTAGGAAAGGAGTTCACCACAACGTACCATCCAGCGCCAACTTGAGCCGAAACACGCATAATCCTGGAGACGGACCGGGGCTCAGCCTCGGGAGAGCATGTCTTATAAGCTTGTCGGAGAAGTTTCGCGTTTTCGGTATCCTTGAAATGCTTGTAGTCGAAGTCGCCGGTCTCCCATCTTCGGATGAGCTCTGCTGGGGCCCAACGCTTCCAGTTATCTCGATCTTTCTCGACCTTATGTGCGTCAGTCAGGACAAATATATAAGTGAAACCCCCGAAGCCTTACCTCAGCACTCAACTCCTTCTCAGTTTCCTCGATCTCCTTCTCTGTCTTGGCGCACAATCCTTCGAAGAATTGTTGGCTTTCTTGTGTTTCTTCTAGGATTCTTGCTTTCTCGCTTTCACCACGAGCCAGGGTGTCCTGAAGAACCAATCTAGCAATCTCCAGCTGCTTCTGGAGAGCTGCTATTCGTTCTGTAGCTACGGTCTCTATAAGATTGAGTTATTGGAATGAATCAAGGTACTTACGCATCCTGACTTCTGAAGCGCGAAGCCCAGCTCTTGATTGTGGACGTGAGAAGGAACTGACTTGATAAGTGATGGTCGAAATCAGTCTACGATAGCTGTTCGGTTCAATGGTCCGATTGAGGGGTAAAAAAGGCTGGGAATTGATAGGGAGCGTTCGTATGCAATCAAATGATAAAGATAAGAGCTCAATCTAGGACAGTTTTATTACAAGTCAATTTGAGGCTCTGAAGGTGACGAGTCATTCAATTCACCTTTACGGTCACATAATTTATATGCTATAGCTTCTATGGAAAGTCCAATCGGTTGAAGTAAAGTTACTTAGAGACCCCTGTCAACCCCCTTTTAAGCGAATCTCCTTTTCCTCAGCACCTGTAACGTCGAACAACCAGAATATTGGGCGAAAGGAGATATTTATTTCAGCTAGAGTGGGACCACATTGACTTCACGGGGAAAGGGGATTATTGAGTAAAATGCAGCGCCTTCGCCGGCCGCCACAACGGTGACAACAACCGCTCCACCGATTTGAGATTTCCGATATCTCCACTAAAGAGATTCACAAGCAGCTCCCAGGGCACTTCTACTTCCTCGGATTTCTCTTCAACCAACACTCTTATATCAAGTGGTGACCAGGATTGGATCAACTCGGAGCAAATGGGACTTAGCGTTGTCAGTGTTTTCACATACTATCACTGGTGTTTGCATAAAGCAGCTTAGACACTTGGAGCACGGGATTGCTGACAGATACGATGACGTTCACTTTATGAGGATTTCAGTTGTGCATTGTCCTTGCATTCTGGATATGACACCCCTCGCCTTGAAGAAGTGGTCTGTATACCTATCCCAAAGCCAGAAAGAATCTCAGAAACCGAAGCCGAATCGTCGACCCTACATCCAACCACGTATGGAAAAAGGTGCTCGAGTTCTCGAAACGTGCGAAGATCTCCCTAAAAGCAGCTATCGAGTATTGCTTAGTTGTCGCCCTTGTTCTCGTCTCCAGATATTCCCAAACACTCCAGCTCCTCTACAAACTTAGCATCCTTCCTGTCTTCGACTCGCTTCTTGTCGATCTTCTTCTTCGTCAAAAGAGCGCCAACAAGTGCCTTCTGTGCGCTGCCGATAACATCCTAAACTCCTTTGTTAGCGACTGAGATAGGCAGAGTATTTATTCAATCCACTTCCCTTGTTTTCAGTGTCATATGCACCTGCAAGCTGTGCAAGGAAGTTGTTGAGACCCTGCGATTGGCCTTGAACGGCTGGGTCTTCGTTCTCCTTCTGGTTAGTCTGTCCTTTGTTGGAAGCTATTGACACAGTCGCACCAGTAAACATGGATTCCCAACACAAGGACATGAAGGATGCTTACACATGTTGACGTTACTGTTCTGAGAATTGTTTGGTGGAGGTTTGATTTGGGTTGGAAAAGGTTGTTGTTTGTTCCGAGTCGAAAGTCGAAAGCCGACCAGCAACAGAAATATTTAACTTGCGGTCGCAGTTTGGATTGGGGAGAACTTCTGAATCTGTCAAGGGTAAATTTAGCACTGGGCACATGAAAATTTAAATTTACTGTAGCAGCTGCACGGCCTACAAGGTGGGCTCAGTCGGCTAGTTCAAAATGTCTCTTGAAGATCACCAAGATGATGACCAAATGGGAAGCAGTTCTCTTACTCGATGCAGCAGATGTCCCGCTCTTCATCTCACATCGCGCGAAATAAGCTCGTCTCCGGCTTCCTTCAGATCTTGGAATGCTACGAAGACTTCCTCTTCCTGACCAGCAATGAAGTCGACAATATCGATCCAGCTTTCGAGTCTCGGATCCATCTCTCGCTTCGGTTTGAGTTTCGAGTCGCGGCGAAGTCTGTGGACCACATTTCTCAGTAGCCAGAAGAACATGAATTTCACGGAGAAGTAGATCGATGAGCTTACGAAGGAGAAACTCAAATGGGAGGCAGATCAAGGATATCTTGAATACTACATTACTGTTGGCGATGGGTAAGGATGCGCCTTCTAACCTTGAGCATGTGCAGACTATCAAAAAGTTGGGGGCTGCAAATGTTGGTATTCTTGTTAAGAACAAGGAGGAACGTAGTGGGTTTGCAGTCTTTTGTACCAGAGAGCAAGACGGATTGAATAGCAACACATTCAAAGAAACAGTGTGATTTGGCAATGCAGAGCTGATTAAAGATTTGGGTGCCATAGATTTTATGCAAATTTTGACAACATATAGTAGGAAATAGATACATAATTGCTAGCATTTCTGATGCGAAACTAGGAAACCCCAAGAACGCGTGGATGGCCCTTCAAGATTTTTCACAACCATTATCCATTAGGCACTGAATTCCCCACCGAATTCCCCACCAAGTTCTTCACAAACTCCTTGCCAAATTCCCCATCGGCCCCCTCTTACGGAATTCCATCCGGAATTCCGCAGAGTTCAGTTCGATTTGCAACAAAGATTTGCAACGCCAATTTCCGCTTTCATCTGAAGCTGAGACGAAAGAGGCAATCTCGGACGAAAGTAGCCACAGCTACTAGAACTATGCCTGTGGGGTAGACTCTAATTTTCTTCTTCTAAAGAGCATTATAAAATCTAATGTCCGAGAATTAGAAGAAGATTTCCTTATGACAAGTGTCGGCCTCAAGTTCTAGCTCCCTGAGACGTTGGGAGAGTCTGGTCAATCCAGACTTTTTACTCTTAAGTAATTATCAGATGAAACTTCGTCCAGAAAACAAGCATTAGTATTACAATATATAGCTCTACACATTTTTTCGAGTACAGTTCCCAAAAATATTTCCTGAAACCCCTTTCCTCGATGTTCGCTAAGGATACTACTTCCTGAGAATTTTCGCCAAGGAGATTTCCAGCGGATATTCCCAGAGGATATCCCCCACGGAGGTTCCCAACGGACTACCGTCATTGAATGCGAGATGCAACAAAGACTTCAAGATCTGTGACTTGCACGTGGTATACGGAGACGGAAAGGGTTTCATGACGTCTTTGCGATGTAACAGAACACGACATTCCATCCATTTAGAGAGGACTTGATACGACCCACTGCAGACCTGTTCAGTAAAGCAATGCATTCTCATCTATAAAAATGTGTCCTTGTTTACACAAACTTGCTGTCCTTGCTGACATACAAGTCAACATACTCATCAACTGCCATAGCCTCCAACCTTTTCGCATCATTTCCGAGATCGACCAACTCCTTGATCTGCTGCTCGCTGTAATGTGGTCCAAGGTGTCGCTTGTACTTAGCCAGGATTTCTGGCTTGGCTTCCTCTCTCCTCAATTTATGTCCCAGTGGTGCCTCAACAACAATCTCCTCGAGAACAGTTCCGTCATTCAAAGTGACCGTCAAGGCATTGGGGATGGTGCGCATATTTTCGTCATGGTAATCCTTTGTGAATTGTGGGTCCTCAACGCACTTGATCTTTTGGCGAAGGGATTCGACAAGAGGAGATGTAGCGGCTTCTCCTCCATCAGTGTAGTCGGTGGCTTCGAGACGGCCATAAACGAGCATGACGGAGCACATGTATTGGATGCAATGGTCACGGTCAGCGAAGTTGTCCATGGGCTTGAACTGCTTGTCAATGATTCGGATACAAGCTTCGTGTGTGCGGCAGGTGATATCCTTGATATCGGCAGCTGACTTTCCTTTGTCTGCCAATTGCTTGTGGATTCGCTTTGAGGCCTCGATAGCCGTTTGAGAGTGGAATTCGGCTAAAATAATCAGATGAGAAAGCAATTTTCGGACGAAATGATTTACCTGGGTATGAGACCTTGAACAGAACGTTCTCCATTACGTAGCTTCCGTATGGTCGCTGAAATTCAAACTTATTGCCCTTGAACAAGACATCATAGAAGCCCCAGACTGGAGCAGACAGGACTGTAGGAACACCAGGCTCGCCCTTCATAACCTTCAAAACGAGGTTAACGGCACGTTGGCATGCGTCACCGGCAGCCCATGACTTCCTCGACATGGTGTTGGGAGAGTGTCTGTATGTCCTCAAACTTTGTCCGTCAACCCAGGCTTGGGAGACCGCATCTGCGGTCTGCTTTTCTGAGAGACCCAGCATCTTCGAAACAACAGCCGCAGAGGCAACCTTGACAAGCACAACGTGGTCCAGACCGACCTTGTTGAACGAGTTCAAAAGGGCCAAGCAGCCTTGGATTTCGTGTGCCTTAATCATAGCCTCCAAAACTTCCTTGACAGTTATAACCTTATCATTGCCCAATTTCCCACCAGCTCGGTTTGTTCGCGAAATCCAGTCTGCAACAGCCAAAATCGCGCCCAAATTGTCCGAAGGGTGGCCCCATTCAGCAGCAAGCCAACAGTCATTGTAATCGAGCCATCTGATCATAGCACCAATATTGAAAGCGCCATTGACAGGGTCTAGCTGGAAGGGGGTGCCTGGGACCTTGGTTCCGTTTGGAACAACGGTTCCCTCAACAATTGGCCCGAGCAGCTTCGTGCATTCTTTGAACCGCAGACCTTCGAGACCGCATCCGAGTGTATCGAGGAAGACAAATCGAGCTGTATCGAACTTTGCCATCATCAGCGGGGTGGTCTTGGGGTGAAGTGTGCGGAGCTTACAGCGAGGTCGGAGTTTATTGGAGTGTTGTGAACATAGCTTGCAATATCCTTAATCTCAGGGTCGTATTCTCGAGCTTGAGGTGGTGGCGGGGCACCAGATTGCAAAGGAGACATAGCTGAGAATTGTCTGGAGGTAGGTGTGCGTGGTGAAGCTTGAATGGGTGCTCGCTGTGTGAGGGAAAGAGGGGCACGAAGAGCTCGTGATTGGCGGGCAGGCAATCGAAGGTTTCTCGTAGCTGTGCGAACACTGCGATTGATCGCCGACATGGTCGTCAATTGGATTTAGAGAGGAGATTTCGAGCTGGAGAAGGATTTGCAAGCTTCTCCAGGAAGGTGCGAGGCTTGCAGTCCTGTCAGGATTTTATGGCTGGACTAAATTCTTGGAGAGCCTCGGTTAGATTCGGGATTGCATCACGTGTCAGGATCCCGAACTCGGCTTTAGGGAGATGGACGAGATATTCCTTGCCCTTCGCCAGCAAAAGTTGCCTTAGACAAATGCTTGGAAAAGCTCAATGCGATTTCGAAGTCGAAATACTCTGGGAGTCTTCTCGGAGGCGCACTCGTCGTCCTTTAAATTAAGCGATTGTACGGAAGTGGAGCTACATTGTTGGCGGTCAAATCGTCAACGATGCTGAGAGAGGAGAGCATGTGCATGTTTCCAGAATGAAGTACCGATTTTCCTCAATTGAAGAAGCTTAGCTGATAGCTACGATATATCCAAACCAGACGCCGTGCATTTCTTCTGTAGTTCTTTGTGTCTTTACTTACGAGAGGGTCTCATCCAAGCACTTACACTTGAAATAATTACCAGTATAAGAAAGCTAAGAGCTCTCTTCAGACTGCACATCACTTAAAATACAAATTCAATCCTCAAACTTCCACGTAATTTTGATACGTTACAACAAGTGGCGGCCATCACTCTCCCACTTAATTACCATCTTTCTCTTCTTCGTCCCTTTGTTTGTTTTCCTCTTCTTGTCCGGGTTTTCCTTAAAGTAATTCATTCCATAATGGCATGTGAGTTGATCCCCAGCAGTCTTGTTCTGTTCCAGCATCCGGCCCACTTTTCCCGATAAATGTAGATGGCCAGAAGTCAAAAGCATAGTCATCGCTGTCTTCCACGACATCGAGGTGAATAAACTCGCCAGTGTATTTTCCGATAGTAGCCCCTTTCTTGATGTTTGAGAGCGAGCGTACTCCGCTGTTGATGGATGCTGAATCTCCAGGTATTTGATCAAATTCACAGATTTCAACCAATGGCCTAGGGTTGTTCACCATGCCCGCGGCTAAATTTAATCTGCAGGTACACCTTTCACCGGCCAGCATAACCCTGGCAGTCTTCGCTCGTGACCTGGAATGCGCAAGAGAAGCATTTTGCCCGGAATTCAGGTGGGGGTGGATAGACTGAAAGTGGTGCGTAAGTTGGATTGTGTGGATAGTTCTATTTCGCTGGCTAATGTCTCCGCCCCTAAAAAATTCGGGTAATCTGCTGCTGTCATAGTGTCGCAGGTAGGGAATCCTTTGAATAAGTGTAAAAATTCCGAGACCATCTCGATTGGCATCGATGCGATCGAAAGGCAGGAGCCAGTGTTCGTCGGGGAAAATCTGTAATGCTGTCTGGAAGGTCTTCGAGTGCATAGCAGCCGCGAGATTTTCCCTCCCCAAAATCCTCTCCGCATGCTTGTATCTCGTTTGGGTATGTCCCGGCCAGTTGGGGTATTCAATAAACGGATTCAGGTAGTTCCATGTCATCCACTGATATCCGACTGTAAGAAAGATAGTATCAATGTCTCGACGCATATCCCGCAATGCTTGATCAGCTACCCCTTCAGCTGACCTGGGATTCGACGGAGGAATTCACAACTTCTTCAGAGTTTCAATGTCCGATTCGTATGACACCTCCCGCCTGCTCTCCCGCCCGCGGGTTTCTCTTCCTACAGCATCTGAAGAAGCGACTGAGTCAGCATCTGATTTGAAATTGCCACCCAGAGTCCTGGAGGTCATTGTCTTCCTATTTCTGCCGCTTCGAGAGAGATGATCCAGCGCCAACTGATCCTCTGAATCGACATCACCTTAGAGCACGATTTCATGTTACTGCTGAACCTTTGATAAACTAAGATTGTTTGCAATTGTAGCGCCTTGCCGAATTTAGAGGGTGATTGGTGAGTGAGGTATACAGTTTTCTAGCAAAATCTGTGTAGTTTGAAGTTTACATTGCCTCTGGGTGGGCAGACCAAATGAAGGGAATGCCAACTCATTCTTCGCGAGATTTTTTCAAGACAATCCACAAAACAACAACACCCTACTTGGTTCACCTCGTCCGCACCAACCATGAATAATAGCCAAATTGGCGTAAAAAAACATGAATCGAATCATTTTTGCTCATTTTTGTGAGTCGTGAATCTGCGCCATCGAGAGCTAATTCAGAGCATCTCCGTGTGCTAAATAACATGGCAGGATGTACTTAACGGGTATAAGCAATTTGGAAATCATGAAACTTTTGCGGTGACCTCTGTACTAGGTTGCATATGCCTTAGATATTTCCAGATCAGGCAAGATGGTTGGATGACGGCCATCGAGCAATTGGCTGAGCTACCAGCTTGGGAAATACAATTTCATTGAAATCATATTCAACAATAGTTTAATTCGTCTTCCATATTTGTGCGCCATATTAACCCTTCATAAATCAACTCCGGGAATTCATTCAAAACGCCAATACCCAAGAATCTGTCTTATTCCTCCTCACTCTCACTACTCTCATCGGCCCCATTCTCGGTCTGGTTCAAAGCCTTCTCCAGCTCTTCCTCCAGATCTAATTCTATCTCCTCATCGCTCATACCACCCACGTTGTTTGCCGGGCTGGGCAGTTGAAGATGGTCCACATCCTGATTCCGCTCTTCTTCAAATGATTCATGCTCTGCATCCTCATCACTCTCGTCCTCGCTGACATTTCTTCGAAAGACCGGTGCCGGTTGATATTGGTACTGCTGAGAAGGAGGTCCATCCGGGTATTCGACCGTGAAGCCATCATCTGAGTCCTCTTCCTCGGGTGTTGGTTCTTTGACCGGAGGCTTCGGTTTCTTAGGCTTCTCTTGTTTTTGGCGTTTGGTGGTGGCCTTAGCAGCTGCCGCATTCTTCACGGATTTCGATGGCCTCCGTTGTGGGGCTGAGGTTGCTGGCTTGGATTCGGGCTCTAATTGTGTATACTGTGATCGTAACGCGGAGGCCTTCTGCTCCCAGGGCGCGCTGACCAGGTTCATATCGAATGTGGAATCAACTCGATGCAGCACAAAGTGTTCCTTGACAGGATCAAAGATAAGAACAAATTGTCCGTCGCCTGTTGTCCGCACGCCGTTGTATGTATACTTGTCAGAATTATCTGTGAAGGAGAGGTCGTAGCTTGTAGAATCGGAGTCGGAAGGCTGGAGATGGGTCGATGTGGAGGATGCGTCAGAGGAAAGATCTGGCTTGTGATTGTCTTGATAATGTCAGCTTCATTTGAGAGCCCAAATGCAGAGAAAGGTACATCTGATGCCGGTGTAGACCTCTTTCGGAGTTTTCCCTAGTAATGCATCACTCAAGACGATGCGGTATTTGCCAGGCTTGTCGACGTCAATCGACGCAGAGGCCATAGTTGCCATGCTTCCTGAATATCGTTTAGGAGAAGACTGAGAACGGTGATGTGTTCTTGGTAAGGCTGATTAGGAAGGTCAGCTCAGGCATTCATGGCCTGTCGTCGAACAAAGGACCAAGCTAAGCCCCGCATTTCGCTTGCCAAAATTAGACCCTGTCATCACTGAAACCGGGCACCTATTTCTCACCAAATACCATAAAATTACTGTCCAACCTGCATGATTCAGAGTCATCTGTTGATCCGCCTATTCATGCTACGAATGTGCGTCGAAACATACAAGTCAACAAGTTTGTAAGGTGCTGCATGATGGAGCCGGCCCTTACGCGAGCCTATGACTCTTCCGGATGCCCAGATCGAACATTCCCAGTTCAGCAAGGTCCGAAGTGCATGTACTTCTGTAATAGAGTTCCTTGACGCAACGGGATTTGTGTTAGCGGCTCGACTAGCTAGACTGAATGCTGAGGAGCGAGAACCATTGACTATTCACGAGCAATGCAGATCTATTAGTGTGCGCTCGGAGTGTTATGAGCCTCAGCCTCTTCATCATCGCGCCGAGCTGCCATACCTGCCCTGGTCTGATAGTACTCCTCAGAGATTGACGTGAAGAATAGTTAGCCCTCCTTTGGTCGTGAGGTCATGCAGATTATTTTAAGTCGGACATCGAGATTTCCTTCCAATCTTTTCAGAACCTTTCTGTTCTTTCTTTCCATACAGAAATAATACTTTCAATCACATGCTCTTTCACAATGGCTCCAGAGATATCCCAAATAAGCCCTCATTTCTCGGGTCCTTCAAATGGGCAAGCTAGTGGTTATTACGGCAAAGTAATCGATGATTATTCTGGATTCCAAGCTTTCGTATGTCCTCCGGTTTCCCTTCAAGCCACAAGGATATAAGAAAAGAAGCTAACTCTTCAAAGTGGAAAACCTTCGCTAGCTTCTACGCATTAAACAGCAAAGTAATCTTCGACTGCAACAACGAACTTTAAAACATGGGCTCTGCTAGCGCCTTAAAGCTAATACAAGTATGCATTGACGGCGTCTGAGCTGCTAGTGCAATAAGCTAATATATCTTTGTTGAAGGAACAGTCCGTTCTCTTCATCTTTTATTCCACCTTTATTTCACTAACAGCTTTTTCTTAGTCTTACACAGGAGCATGGACTTGGACTACGACATTTGGAAACACCAACTTGGCTTCACTTACTGACTTGCAAAACAAGATCGTTTACGAAATGCACTAATACTTCGACTCTGGCGGCTTCAGCACTTCAGCAACCTGTGTCTCTTCCACCATCGGCTCAGAACGCGTCGAAGCCGCAACGCAGTGACTGAAGGATAGCAAGAAGCTCGGTATTCTTGGTGAGTTTGCAGGAGGCGCGAATTCGGTGTGTGAGAGTGCTGTAACAGACCTGTTGAAGTATATGGGGCAGAATACGGAGGTATGGGAAAGATGAAAGGGGAAGGATTGTATATAACGTGAAGGTGGTAGATGAGAGCAGGGCTTGGAGCTTGCGAACCTTTCTGGTTACGCATATTGGGCCAAAAAGCATTATTTGGAAAAATCGATTCTCAACCGCTGGTCTGCCAGATTATCAGCTTCCATAGTTGTCAATAGTGTATCTTTTCTAACCAAAGGAAACTTCAATGCCTATTTCTTACTGCCAGCTTTTTAGCCCAAGCAGGCCAAAGAAGGAAGGTAAGAGGCAATTCCTCCGCACACCGCCTCCTCTTTTCAAGGATAAACTTTCTCGCACTTTATTACATCGATGTCTTAACACATTCGGTAGGGAACTCACGCTCTTTTCCCTCCCAAAGTCCAACAACATGTGTTGATGGAATGGCCTGCGAGTGGAGATTCAGAAGCCGAGAAAATGTACGGCATGATGTGCAGAATAGAAAAGCAAGACACACCCTTCAGGAAATGAAGGACCGTGACCTCAGCTGCACTTCCTTGTCTGTATCCATTTTCAAAAATGACTGGCTAGTGGAAAATCTCATACGTCCAGCACTTGCTCTCTGCGCTGAAAATCTGATGTGTAAGTGTCCACAAAAAGCAGTTTAGAGATCAACCTACAGGGAACACTTGAGCTCTTTCCAATAGATCGCGAACCGGGCAACGACGTCAAATATGACAAATACTCATTTGATCTTTTGTGAAGCTGAACCACCGCTATGATGACCCCTTGAACCTTGAAGCTAGAAACCTGCATCTCTCAACAAACCCCTGCCGCCGTACTTTGCGCCTCGACCAAACAGACCTCATCCCTAGAAGCCCATTTTCATCTCCATTCCGTCCTTGCAAGCCGATGAGGCCATGGATGGAAATGATTCAAGAGATTAATCCCTTCTAAACTCCCAGGACAGAGATGGAACATCCAGTCACCCACGGAATAATTTTTCCGCTCCAAAACGGAATCGGCCCGCTACGGGCTGATTTAGCGACGATGCTGCAACTATAATTTTTTTCGCAAAATCAAAATTACGATGAATCGCGATTTATTTAATGGCCACATTTTATATGGAAAACACACCTAATTATGGCCAAAGACGCAACTCCCATGCATCATAGTCAAATGTATCCAGTAGTATTACTCTATTCTCGCTTTTTTGAACTGCCCCCGATTATCCCTACGCCTATTCCCCGGCCTATAATCACCATCCCCTGGTAATTCCTTCTCTCCATCGTCAAGATCTGAATTATCGTCGTCATCGCTTGATATAATCACCTCCCGCTTCCTCTTTAATATAGACTTCAGAGGACGTTGAGTGGGTGGAGCGGGAGCGGGAGCGAACGCTAGTAAAAACGTCAGATCTACTAGTATATTTAAATCTATTAACTTACTAGGTATAGAAGCAGGAGCAGGAGCAGGAGCAGGAGTAGGATCAGGAGTAGGAGCAGGAGCAGGAGAAACCGTAATTCTAGCTTCTAGCGTAGGCATATCGTCGTCTGAATTAAAATCGTCAGAATTCAGGTCGTCACCTGACCAATTCTTTGAAGGAGCAATCTTCTCCCATATAGCTTCGATCTGTTAATTAGGAGTCAAAGCAGGTAAAGAAGATGCCGTAGATGTAACTATAGATATAGATACTATATTAGGGGTGGTATCGGGAGAGTCTCCTAATAGGGGGCTAAAATCTAGGAGATAAGGCATCTCTCTATCCCTTCTTTCACGCTTATCCTGAATCTCGTTGTCTCTTGCCTGAATTTTATTAATATCTTGATCAAATATAAGATAAATATGCTTTGGCGTTCTCTTATTTGATTAGCTGAAGTAGGATAATAAGCCGTCAATAGTATTTTCAGCTCCATATATCAGATTAGTCACATAGTCAATCCTCTTGTTTTTGTCCTTTGGCCATACCTAATTATATTAGTACTAATTATATTAGGATACTAATAAATAATAGCTTACTTTAGTAGCAAAAGACACCCCATTTGCGCGTTCCAAGATCATAATCCATTAATTAAGCTCCCAGTCTTCAAGTAACGGAATTGATAATAAAAAAGCCTTGGCTAAATACATAGCGAACTCCTTATATAATAGTTCTTGACTATAATAAAGTACCATATTAGCAAAGAGGTATGTATTTCTATAAATAAGCTTTACGTACGTATTAAACTATTCTACTATCTATAGCTCAATTTAAATATTTTGAGCCTCCCGATACTCTTCTAAGCTAAGGAACTTCTTTGTAGTTAAAACAGGTATACTTCTCCCAGTAAAGCTACTCTCTAGTTCTTCTATTTCATATATACGTAGTATAATAGAAATAAGGACCTTATATTATTTTTCGATAATAGAAGCAGGAGGGATCGGCGATTTACCCTTACTAAAAGCCCTTACACGTGCCCCCTGGCCGAGAGTAAGGGAACCAAGGGCTTTACCCCTTTTAAGGGCTGAACCTAATAAAATTAGTATTAATATAGGAGTTAAACAGATAGATACGCACTTTTGCCCTGAGCTTCCTAATAGAAATTACTACATAATCGCTCTAAACGCTCGAGCTTAGCCTGCTATCTCCTCTCACGTACTTCTGATTCAAGGACCTCCTCTGAGAGATCCATGCCCGGGGGGTAGTAAAAAGGATAGGAATTAGCTGAGATATTAACCCCTTGGTCTCTTAATAGCTAGGCGGCAGTATTCTAAAGTTGAGTTTGACTAGAAAATAGTGTACTATCTAATACAATAGTCAGTATAGCTAAAGTAGGAGTAATAGGAGCAGGAGGAGGAGCAGCTGGGTTAATCGCACCACATAATAGACACTTTACTATAGAGGGGGGATATAGTGCCTCCCGTACAAAACAAGAGTTCCATAGATTGAGATTATCCATTAAAAACGTTTAGGGATAATATAATAAGGATCTGATTTATAATTAAATATCAGAAGGAAGGTATAGCTAATAAATCTATAGTTCAGTAAATAGTAGTATAAAGTCAAATAACAGGATAGAACTATAATATATTAATATTATTTTAACCCTTTAGCCCATGCCCCTATAACTTTTTCCCTAGGGAATTTATATATTAGAGACTTATTTTAGAAGTTATTAATAATAGCATATTACTAATATATAAAAAGGAGTAAATAGAAGGACTACAAGAGATGCCCCTTAGCACAAGTTAAATTCGGACATATTTTATTTATCCCTAGCATTATTCCTATATAAACTATGGTTTCCTATACTAGGGGCTATAGAATATTAAGTAAGGGGCTATAGAAATTAAGGGGGGGAAACTAAATTCCATATAAAAAGAAACATTTTCACTAAATATGTCTTATAATCACTTCAAAAGTTCTCAAGAACTATTAATTTAATAGAGCTAGTATTAACGGAGAATTTGATCTATACTATAAACTCCTTACTACTAAAATAATAAGTTAATAAAATAATTATAGGGGGTATAGAAAATAAAGGGGCAAGGGTCGATTTTCTGACGAGGTGAATCATGTGACCTTTTGACATTAAACCACCTGTAACTATATGAATTTAACTAATTAAGCAGACTACTATTAGCTTCTGTAATTAATTACTTTACCAAAAATTAATATTTTTAGCTAGTTCTTTCTTTAGGATATATATTAATATATCCCTGTTCAGCCTCTCTGAGGCCGGGTAAACCGACTAATATTTACAGGAGGAATTTCTAGATTATCCTCCTTCTCCGCTTTAGGCTCAGATGCGTATCCATTATCCATAAACTATCTATACTCTTGACCATTTATAACCTAATTACCATTTGCCCTATTAAAAGTAATACCATCTATAGTAAATCTAGTATCCTCCGCATTATCTTCAACTTCCGCTTCGTCATTAGAGCCAATATAGGTGAGATCTTCATCTCTATAGCTAGCGTCTCTCCCTTTATTAATAAACTAAATACCATCTTGATTATTATAATCCTTTAGCCTTGCCTCTTCTAGTCCCATAGCTACCTCTGGTAATGGATTCCAATCATATATACCCTTAGGTATTAATAAAAGCCCTAGCTTTGGACGAGTATTCTTCGTATTAATTAGGTGGTCGCTAATCGACTCCCTTAGATATATATACGTACTCAGGTAGTTCAGATCCCCATTCGAGTCACGTATAGACTCCGTAATTAGGAGTATAAAGCCGGCATTCTTAAGCTCTTGCTCACACCACTCAAGTATAACCTCCGGTAAATATACGTCTTTATTATAGCTAGCATATCCTTTACGTAGCTCGTTTAGTTTATTAATATTAATAGAAATCCCGTAGTCCCTGACCCCTATCTGCTCTGAAAACATATAGTTCTGGAATAGTTAACCAGGGATAATATGTGGACGATTAGGCTATTTCCTAATTAAATAGATATTCCAAACCCGGACGAACTCCTTAGTTTACTCCCGTATAATAGGTAAATAGACGAAAAGTATAGCGATATAGTCAGGGAGAAGTTTGCGGGAGTAAAGCCTTTGAGAGCGTAGTTATTTGAAAAATATCTTCCATTTATTTAGCATATCCTATATAATATTAGCTAATTAAATAAGTCTATATGGGATTAGTATAGATAAATTACCTTTGTAACTTGCCCCTACTATGCCTCAATTCGTTAATTAGCTATACTAGTCCCGAACTAATAGAGATCTGAGAACTGATATGGATTAATATCCCTTGTTTGGTACGTTGCTTTATAGAGGATATAATAGGTATTAGTAACCATGGGTGTTTCGCATCCTCTATCCGATCGAATATAGAGCGGAATAACCTCCATTTCGTCTACCAAGTTAAGGTATTGCACTAGAATAGTAACCTGGAAAGTGGTATAAGTAAGTATATATTAGTATAATATTAATTAGCCTAAAGAAGAATATAGTATGGAGATTCAGGGGGTTTATTACCTAAATTAAGGGTTTTTCAAACAACTAGTTCTCTATAATACTACAGAATTATATAGCCGGAATCACGACTAAGTGAATTTTGGCATTTTCAAGGGGATGTATTCATACCGAATTAGGAAATACTACTACTTATAGCACAACTATTTGAGATTCTAATATAAATCCAAGGTACGAACCGTGAGTAGGCATTAATACCAGCATATATCTCAATCCCACAAAATCATAGCTAAGTAAACGGATTAGTAGTTATTGAGATAATAATTTTTGAAGTTAAGTATATGCTACACTTACCTTGCAATAGCCATTAATAGACCAAACAAAGTTCGGCCCATGAATATTATATTCCCCCCTAGCTGCCTTTATCTCTTCCGAGCGACGTTATATACTTTCTGGATCAATTTCCTGTATTACAGAAGCTATTCTATTCCTAGAAAACTTCTGGCTATCCCCTAGGAAGTTGAGATAAGTATATAGAAGCCGGCAGCCATAACTTCTAGTATTGCCTTGTGGGCCTTTATCCACTATATATTACTTGAGGATATGGCAAAGTTGCTCCTTTTCTAGCTCAACTTGCGAATTAAGTATTCGACGTCGAAGGCCCATAGCCCGGCGAGCTTGTTATAATAGTCATAGATTAGGAATATCATATCCTAAGCTCCGGAGGTTGGTAAGTATATTGGCATTAGTCATATGGATATCACAAAAGAACCAGGCGATAAGACCCTTCACCTGCGGCGAAGGATCAAATATCGAACGTTTAGAGGGCGTTTTCCATTCGGAAAGCCTACTGCGTAGCATTCTCAGGGAAATATCAACGTCAAAGTCATGCTTTAACCTCTCCACAATAGTCTCATGTAATAGCTGCTGCTCAATTAAACAAAGAATATGGGCTTGATAGCACATAATATTAATCTTGAAACGACCCATTATAAAGAGTTTAATAATAATAGATCAATAGTATTAGAAATAATAACGTAGGAACAAAAGTATAAACGAAGTGTACCAGATGGCTAGTAGGCCAGGGGGCATATCACGTGTATTTTATTGATTTTTCCTACCCTATTGCATTCCTACCATGGAATGCGATAAAACACCATATAGATCGACTGTTTTAATTGTATTCTACTATAGAAATTAGCTAGACTATTAATAATAGCACATTTTTAAAATATCGTAATTTTGATTTTGCGAAAAAAAATTATAGTTGCAGCATCGTCCTTAAAGGAGCCCGTACCCGCCTTCCGCGGACGACCCCACCATCGATTGGAGGGGTAACTTCAGGATCTCGACGGATTACACATGCAACGGGACTCAGCTGAGCAGGCATGCTCGGAGTTACAAATGAACTAACCAAAAATCTTACCTACATCACTCACCTTTCTCCTTCCTCCCTTCTTCTTTCCCCCCCCCCCTTTCCAAACCTTACAACAGAAAAATTATCTTATCTCACCTTGATTTCCAAGCATCCGAGAGCCGGAGCGGCCGAACTTGCCTCGCAAGCCACTGTCAGAGATTCTCTATATATACGTGCAGACTGTTTTCTATCGAACGTTTGAAGGCAAATTTAGAAGAGAATTTGACGGAAAGAAAGACAAGAAGGAAAGATGGCAGGAATAATCCGAATCACGCTGTTCAAGATCCCGGTCAAGGAGAACCAGGCGAAGCTGTTGGATTTATACCGGACGATGGCTGCTTCTGCCAAAAAGGTATCCCTTCCCCTCCAATTCTTCTTTATCAATTTTTTGGAGCAACAGTTGATTGAGGTCTCTAGGACGGCAAACCCTACATACTGTCCCTCAACGCTGGACAAGCATATGAAGATCAACGCAGCCAAGGTTACACGGTCGCCGCGAAGTCGGAGTTCAGCACTCTGGAAGATATGAAGTATTATGATGATGCGTGTGAGGCGCACCAGACGCTGAAGGCGGGGTTGAAGAGCTTAGGCGTTGAGGGGGTGATGACGGTTTATTTCCCGCCTGCTGTTGTGAGTGTTCTGTAGGATGGCTACGTCTTGGAAGAGTTGGCAGACAATAGAGGAAATATTAGATGAAATCAACGCTTTATTTGATTTTGTATGCATGTCTGGCAGAGGCATGAGTGAGTGCTCAAGAACCCCTCCCTGACCAAAACCTAAAGCTTCACCATCCTCTCATTTCTTTCTCTATCAGCTTCCATCCCGTGCAAAGCAAAGCGTCACCTCCGTCACCTCACCTCTTGGGAAATGCACTCACAAATACTTCGCATAAAACTCCAACAACGTCTTATAGCCTCTCTCATACTCGCTCTTAACCCTCGCATCCTCCAAGTCTGACCTAGCAGCCATCCAGCCATGAATCTGATCACCAAAAATCTCAACATGCTTCTCGCCCTTCAGATTAGCCTCGAACTTCTTGACATCCTCGGCGGGCTCGTCCTTTGAGGCAAGCATGCAGAGAGGAATCTGGATGTTGAGGGCTTCGGACGGGTCGACCATTGCGGGATGGCATTCGGCGCCGGCTTTGAAGGGGGTGTCAGACTTGGAGACAATGAGTGAAACAATTTTGCCACCCCAGCAGAACTGTCCGTAGCACGTTAGTTTACACATGATAGAAAGGGGGGAAAGAGGAGGGACATACACCAGCAACAGCCCAAGTCTTGATAGAATCGTACTTGGTCTCGATTTCCTTCAGCGTAGCTGGGACCCTCGCAGCAGTCTTGGGGGGTGCACCGGTCGTTTGGAAGAAGTTACCAAGAGCCTTTCCCTTCTCTTCGTTGTCGGGTGGGTACCTTTGTTCTAATTAGCACTGCCCCACCTCCTGGTAGAAGTTTCGGGGAAAAGTAGAGAAGAACCCACCAGGAGATATCAGCTGGCTTGCCTTCAAACCAATCGGGCATGAAGACCAGATACTGGTTATCCTTGTCCGAGGTGGAGAGGATGTCAGCTCCTTGGAGTGATTGAGGGAAGTAACCGAAAATATCATAGATGTAGAGGATGGCTTTAGGGGCATTGGCTGGGCCGGTGACGTCTGTTCGTTCGATTTGTTAGCAATTGATAATAGAGATGAAGGTGGAGGTCGGGATGGGGAGGAATTGAGCGGAACTTACAAGTCTTCAAGCCTCCAATTGTCTCGTATCTACCCTTAGGCTCATAACCCTTCGAGATGATCGGGGGGATGTTGCAGCAAGCTGCGCTATGACCGTGCATAGCTTGAGCCATGGTGTACTTCCGTTTGTTGATTATTGGTTGTATATGGGATTGAGGTTTTAACTGAGTTGAAATTGAGCGAGCAATTGATCGCTGAAATAGTGGGGTTGAAATGCAGAGCAGTCGTGCTTGCATGTGGATGTAAAAAGTGAGGCAAGGCGCGTGGAAGTCGGGAGATATGGAGGAAGGAGGGGTTGAATGCGGGGCTGTAACACTCGGAAGCTGACGTAGAGATTTGGAAATGTGAATGATATCGACAGGGGTGCTGTTGGTGTATCTTCACGTGATTGGTAGAAAGGGGAATGATGAGCAGGGACGCTATTGGAGAGCTCGGGAATAATTGTAATGCCCTGGGACCCAAAAAAAATCCAACTCTCTGGCATGTCTTCGATGTCACAGCAGTGGCTCGCTCAAGCAAGTGGAGTCTTTTAGAAGAAGTCTCACTACTAGACCACGAGGGAATGTCACCTAAGAGGCATCGACTCAATTTGTAATCCTGTGAGATGACCGAAGTGGTCACTCGCGTGCATCGAGAAACCACCACCCCTTCAATGCACCAACTAAAAAAATTGAAAGCGCTCCAGACTCCAGTATTCCCTATGCAGCTGAAAGAGCCATGACATCGTAAGGGGACCAACATAATCAGAAGATGGAGTTGACAATATTACCGCCAATCGTTGCACCTGCACCGAAGATAGCAGCATTGCCCAACTTCTTGCCAAACTTCTTACCCATCTCCTGTCCCTTTCCAGGTGGCTTGTTATCGGTTGGTTGGTTTGCAACAGCCATAGGAGGAACGCTGCTATCGTACGGATTGCTTGGGCTTGGGGGAGGAAGTCCTTGAGATTGCTGACCAGGGTAGCCTCCATAACCGTTGGCCTTCTCATTGCCATACACACCTTGAGCCGGAGATGGGGCGGGGTTTTGCTGGACTTGGACGTAGTTGACCGGGAAAACACCTTCCTTTCCAGTGCGCAGATTCTTGCCCAACCACCAGTCGGCGTTCATGTATTCGAAGACAGAGATTTGGTCACCAACCTCGAATGTGCAGTCCTCCGGCTCGGCGTAGCGGTAGAGAGCAGTTGCTCGTGCGATCTCGGGCTTAGAAGGAGGTTGGCTGGGTGTACGGTTGGGGAGAGACGGAGGGGTGGGGGTATTGTAGGCGGGCGGTGGAAGGTCATTGACTCTCATGTTGTTGAAGGCGTTGGTTGGGACAGGAGCGGCATTGCTGCGAGAAGAGCTGTTGAGTGGGGATTCGGCGGGCAGAGATCTCATGATAGTGTCATAGACCTCATCGCTGATGGCTCCGTGCTCCGCGAGGCTCTCAAGTTCCTAGATCGATGTTAGCATGGGCAATGAAGCTCAGCTCGTGATACTTACATTCTTGATGTTGCGCAGGGAACGATTGTTATTGATAATCTTCTGGCGGTCTTCGGGAGGCAAAGAGGTAGCCATGGCTTTATTCTCGTGGTATGCGTACTCAATATCGGCGCAGTCTGTGCAGTTTGGGTGTCGGCAATGTCGAGTTGGCTGACCTGCGAGAACCAACTCAGCAATTGCTTGGCGTTCTTCCTTCGTGAAGTAAAGCGGACCGCGAGCTGCTACTGAAATAGATCGACTGCGTGACTTGATTTGGCCAGGGGAAGCGTTCTCAGGTACCGAGAAAACGCGATGACCGTACGTAGAAGGTGACGCGGGAGGTGGTTTCGCAAAACTGAAGGTAGCGCTGTGTTTGTGGAGAGTGGGACTAGGTTGGTCACGATACGGTTCGAAGACAATCCTGTTGGTGCCACTGAAGCTTCGAGAGAGCGTATGCGAAGGATTGGATGGACTTCGAAGTGATTGACTGCGCCGAATAGCAGCAAAACTTGGTGGTGGTCGACTTGGGGTCTCGAAGGTGGCACTTTGGGTGACTGCTGAGGAACCGCCGCTGGAACAGCTTGTGGAGCGAGTACCGACTGATCGAGAACTGATTGATCGAGACCGGACAGATGAAAGACTGGAGATGCGAGCGAACGTCTCAGCCTGGCCACGATAGTTTTCCTCGAGAAGTCTTTCGATGAGAGTATCGGGAGGGAGACCGAAGTCAGGGTCGTAAGGTCGTGGTGTGTTGCGGCGTGAATTGAGTGATGATCTGGATGATGTGGCGCAGTCCCTTGGCGAATTTGCTACGACCAGAGACTTCGCCTCAGTCACGACCTGGTCATCCAGTTTGTAGACTTTGCTTCGACTTTTGGTTCCTTTATGATCGTAGAAGACAAGCCCAAGCCCACTGCCTTCTTCTTTCTCGTCTTCGCTTTCACTCTCCGCCTCAACGTCTTTCTTGTTTTGTGTAGCGAGGTTTGGAGGTTTGGAATTCAAGGGTGGCCCAACGACAACTCTGCTTGGCATTTTCTTAAGTTCTTTCATGCCAGAGCCTTGACACTTCTGAGACTTGTCTGGCTCTTTTTTTGTTGACGCGAACATTGTTACAAGAATGCAAACTCCTTTGTCACTTGTTAGCTCGAGCCACAAGGTAGAAAGGATGTGTTGGACGTACCAACTGATGTCTTGATTCTGGCAAGCTCAATGAGCTGGAAACCCTGGCTGGATCTTTAGATGGGACCTGATGCGCTAGTTCCTCAAGTTCCTTCAAAGTATTAGCTCAAGATGTTTTATTCAAGGGATGGAAGACTTTACCTCCTCTGTTTCAAAGATGACGGAAGGAATAGAGGGACGTTTGGACACCTTAGAGATTGCTGGCTCTAGTAGGTTACCTACTCTACTGATTGCGCGTCTTGCCTTGCCTTCGAAGGTGGAGAGTCGCTCGAGCTGTTCCTGTACCTCTGCGGAGGCTCCACTGGGGATTTTGACTGTGGTCGATCTCGCGAGACCTTGTTCGTTTGGTGAAGGGCCTTTGTTTCTTGGGACGAGGGGATCTAAGGAAGCCGACCGTAGCGGGCGGTATACTTGAGGGGCTGGATCAAGGAGGTGCTCTTCTGTTTGGGTTGCTTTGTCAATGCCCCTCCTCTTGTATTCGTGCGTGACTTCGACAGTGACTGTGTTGATTATTTGGCCGTTGGTAAGCTCGGGTTTCTTTGCTTTCTTGAACCAGAACCAAGGCATGTTCAACAACCGTTAAGCCGCTGGGTGGTGGTGCTCGAGCAAGGTAGCAATGCCAAAGATCGAAAAGATCGAAAGGCTACTCGAATACATAATGGATTGCAAAGCCGAAGTGGACATACAATTCACTGTTGACTACGAAGCCCGAGCCCGAGCTCATTGGTCTGGATCGGGTATTCAGGTGAAATTTTCACCGAGATTGTTATCGTTAGTTTATACTGGACTATCATTCTTCCGAGGTCTATGTCTAAACTCATTGTCAAGACCAGCTCACGCCGTAGTGCACTTGACATGCTCCTTGGATACCCAATAGACCAGAACCCAACCGATATACAAGAGACCCAAACAAACAAAACAAAGAGTCTCAGGGCAGAGAAGTCAGATCGACTTAGAGCGCTTCCTTTGCACGATATCTCCTTTCCTCTCTTCAACTGAGCGAGATATCGGCCGCTGCACCGATTCTGCTTCTTCCTCTGGACAGAGAGACTCCGAGACTCCGCTGGTGATCAAAGATTTCAGAGAGAGGGTAATTTGGTCGGGTGAGCGGTATCGCTGCCATTTAGACAGACCTTTGATTCGAATATCAACAGGCCTGGTGGAGCCTTCCTGGGTAGCCTTCTCGACATCGAGGTTACTGGAAGTCTCTTCCCATTCAGAATCGTCATCATCTGCATCCGAAGACGGTATTTCCCAGCTTTCAAGTGTACCAGCACTGCTAAAGTCTTTAGTAGGAGTCGACTTCAACCTCATTAGCACACTTACCGTAGTAGAACTCTCTCCGAATCCGATCCTTCAGAACCATAAGAGCTGTCACAACTCCTGAGCTTGCTAGGACGAGCGACTCGCCGTTGTTGGGAAGTGGGTTTGGCTTGTCGAAGGAGCAATGACTCTGTCTCAACACTCAAAGACTGCTTATTCTTGTTAGGCGAGATGATATATCCAATGAAAGAGCACGCGGGATGATCTGGAAGGAGGTCCCAAATCATGACGGGCAAAGACAACGTTATCAGGGTCGAGTAACTTCTATATACACCTTCAACAGTAGCATACTTGACGAGGGCCGGAAAGTTTAAGAGCCACCGACGGCATGACAGGGCATCGAGAGTCTCTTGGTCTTCTTCCAATGCAATGGATATCAGCACATGGGGAATGTTATAATCGCCATTGGGACGGATCGCTGTCAATGGATTCTGGTCCGAGCTGTCGTCATCAAGTTCCATCGCATCAACATAGGTGGTCGATTTCGGTTGAAGCTCAGCCATTTTCCCAACGGTATTGGACTTTCTCAAAGAGGCGATTTCAATCCCAGGTGCTTTGGGGTCTCCAGTACACACCCAATGGATAGGACTAGAACATGTCTCCCACCGTCTCCCATCCATTCCTCGTTCCGGCGGTTTCTGCTTCAAGATGAAGAGAATCTCGGTATGTAACATTGCGGCGGAGAACGATGGCTTGTCAGCCCACTCCTCGAGCACTTCGATCAGGGTATAAGTAAATGAACGCTCTCCGGGCGAGGGAGCTGTTGTCTCAAATCCACAAGCAGCGATAGTCTCCATGGTATTAGACCCAAACCCGGAAGCCGAACTTGCTGCAGCGCAGCAATCGAGTAAAACTAGGACATCAGATGCTGCTGTGCTGAAAAGAGTCTGGATTGAAGTCCAATCCACGAAAGGGGAATTTGGCCCATCCCTGCACCACCATTGGTTCTGTCTAGCAGCGTTGATCACGCCATGACCTCCATACATGACAATGAAAAGATTTCCTTCAGCGTCGAATTTCTGGAGAAAGTCACAGGTCTTGCGCGTGAGCTGGATCTGAGAAGCCACAGACGGGATGAGCCAAATTTCTGTGTTGAAGCCGTACAATTTATCGAACACATGGTGGAGATGGTTTATTTCGTGTTCAACTTGCAGTTCGTCTTCTTTCCATCGGATTAAGCAGACGTTTACGGTGTGATATCGGGAGCGTCCTTGATTAGGAAAGGCTTGGTTGGCTGCCTGTGACTTGTGAGAAGGTTGAAAGTTAAGATTAAGGCATCAGCGAACGTCTTGTAGACTCTCGGCGAAAGCTGAGATGTCCGAGATGTGGTAGCTTGAGCGAGAAGTGTCATGAGTTATTGGAGAAGGTGGGGTAAGAGGTGTACCACCCTTGAAGGTCAGCTCTGCTATATGTAAGTTCTGGGTGCTGCTCACGGAGCTTCCACTCTCCTCCGAAGATGATGTGTGAAAAGAATCCATCGTCGTGAACAAGAGATTTCAAGTCATGAACCTGAGGCGGAGAAACACAACAAAACGGAGGAGAACGAAGGAGTTTCTGAACAATGATGGTTGCCTGCCTCGCCTTGCCGTCCCATCACCTCGTGATAAGGGTCAGTCATGTGGTCATGTGGTACAAGCACATTTACACAGATGGAAGGTCCGTAAGATCGGCCAGAAGTTGTGCTCTGGAGTGAGTGGAGAAGCGGCCGAGCTGCAGGGCTGGAAGCCTGGAGCAACCAATTGGCGACACGCCGACAAACGAGATTTCTGTGCCACATTGGTGCCAATCCAATCTCTTTTCGAAACATCAGATGTCACGTCTCCTTCAATCTATCTCGACTTCATTTCTGTCACACTCGGATCAGAACGAAAAGCTACTGTGCTTGCAACCTACTGTTTCTCGATTCGGATAGATCAACCGAATTACCCAGCCTGAAGAACTTTAGACGTTGAGTTTTCGTCAAATCATGATTTCGTCAGGAGTCTCATGCACCATCAATCAACACCAATCAACTCCTTTTCGCATCGCCTAAGCAAAGAATTTCGGCAGTGACGTCCCCGCTGCTGTATGGTGAGACGCGGTTTGTCCAATTTGGTGAAATCCGCACAGCATCTTTGAAGGCGTAGCATCCGTCCGATTGCTTTTCGGCACTGAAGAAAGAAGAGATGGTCGCTTCATTAGGGATGTAGTCGGGTCCGGACGGCATGAACTCGTAAAGGAAGGAAGAAGCACCGAAGAGGAGCAGGGATAGAGGACCGAAGTAGAACTTTGGGTTGTCCTTCAAGCTCTGTTGATACCGTTGGTATCGATATTTGGCCAGCACATCTCGATTGTAGAGACCGCCAGTTGTCTCAGTCATCCTCCTGAAGAGGGTGCTGTTGAAGGAAAAGTTGTTGCCATTACCCAGGAAGTAATCGTCGCGAGTGAGCGATGTGTAAGCCTCGATCTTGTTGTGACCCTCCAGGCCAGGCTCACTCCCCGTTGGGGCTGGGTTGAAGGACGCTTGGGTGGTAGCATTACAGCCGATGGACAGTCTCTCCGTTTTCAAATCACCATCAGTGAGAGTCAAACCAAGCAGAGCAAGGAGGGTTGCGAGGCCGTATCCGACGCTGTACAAATTTTGTTGGGCGTCAAGTTCGTTGAAGGCTGGTTATACCGTCATGTGCGAGGAAGTAATAATTTGCGGCGCCATTCAGTCCGGGACAGTGACCACGGATGTCATTAGGTCCAGGAGTGACGAAGTAATGTGCCGCGCCCTCGGGGGTCGGTACTTGATAGCTACCCTTGCCGTTGCCTTACTATCCGTTTTTGGCACCGTTGTATGGATACTGTTCTGCTATCAGTGCTCGAACATTAGGGCTCTATGTGGATTTCTTGCTTGATTAGCGATGCCTGGGGCTGCGACATGGTTGGGATTGTTGGGGCAAGTTAATGGTCACCCCGGATTACTACCCCCAGATTGCTGGCGTTTAGGTCGGCTACGAAGAAGCGTCGAATCGATACCAGGCATATTGGTCACGAAAGGGAATGCTGTGACGGTCTCAGTCCCGAGAGCAGCTGCAATCAAAGAGTACTTCATGTTGAGAGATTTGTGTGATGGATACAGGCACTCAAAAGATGTTGCTTACAGGGTGGAGAGCTGGAACAGAGGAGATTTCCAACCTTTATATATCAAAAGGAGCCATACGGCCCAGTACCGGAGAGGAATTACCGAACCATGGCAGCTTCCCCACAAGATCCTAAGTGCCAGGACCACCTACGCATGTGGATATTGTGGGATTTGCCTTCCTCAGCCAACACTACACTTGCCTATTGTCTGATATTTCTTACTCCATATTGACCCCCATCTCCAAGTCGGAGAAAGGCAACGATGGTCGCACCGGTGAGATTGGCTGCAGCTTCTTTCCGTCCGCTTGGTACAATAGAAGCCACAGACGTTGGGAGGCACTATGGCTTCTGACGGGGCACCGAGCGGAAACCTTTAGGAGTCTTCCACGAATCAAAAGAAGAGCAATAGTCAGAAGGTTTCATTAGGTCTTGAAAGAGGGGCATCGTGCTTGGTGATCGACAACATCCGCAAGCGCATTTCACTTACTTCCTCTAGTCATGGAGCACCGTGTTCAGCCAATGAGGTCGAAGATGGTTTCAATGGGACTGAGGTATCATTTCCCTCGATGGCTTGGGCACCACTTGCTAGACTGCGCACCGCTTCGGAAGAAGCCCTCTATTGCCAGCAGGGTCCTTTCCAAAATCCAACAAGGTCCCATCCAAGTCTGGCCCTGTATCTGCCGTCAGAGGACAAAAGGGAAGTGCGAGGCAGCACTGATGAAGCCCGTAAGAGAAACACAAGCCTCTTTAATCTTCGGCTTCACAAAACAACATTCGTCATGAGTTCTCCAGCCACTCAACCACGGAGAAAGGACGCCTCCTACCTAGTTGCAGTTGCCGGACAGCAACTGATACCAAGAAATTTGTATCTTCAACTATGTCGGGGTCCACAGTTCACCGATGCACTTGGCCTGTCCTTACACCTTGACCTCTTCTTCGCCATATGGACTTTGAGAGTTTAACTATTCAAACAAATCCAGAGCAGATATTTGGATACCGTTCTCTCCCACTTCGTGGCTGCCTCAATTATATGGTTCTCGAGCTTCCACGATGACTCCTCAAGCTACAAGATACAGTGGCTTATGCATTTTATCAAGTAATGGTCCGCATGCGAGCGGCCTCGAGTTCGGAGATCATATTTTCAACGAATCAACTTCAATATAATTCTGAAGGATGGGAGAAACGAGGGGCTATGCAAAGCATACTGATGGGGTTAGAAGTGCCTCCAAAGCCAAAGTCCAACCTCAACAAACAGATCTGAGATCATGTGCTTTCCTTCCGCCAGAGCCTGTCCCGCCTCTGCGAATCTCAGTTGTGCATGCATTTCAGCTTAATGCACACTTTTTGCTTTGCATGATTTGAGTTTCAGATGAGATATTCTGGTGTCATCCGGAGATTCCCCCCTTGAGGTCTAAACGCCACAGCACTTCCTTTCCTCAATAACTCACGCGAGATGACGTTCTGATCTCCAGGATCTGTCGACCGCATGACAAGTTTTAGTGGACAAGCTCCTATCTTTCTATTCTTAACGGCACCAACTACGATGGCTCGGAATTGGTTCGATGAAGATCGCCTTACAAAGTAAAAGACTGCAAATAGTTCTTCGAAATCAAGGCCATGGGTTTCTAGAATCCTACTAGGGCGAGTGTGACCTCTTATCTGTGGCAAGCGGGATATTAGGGGGAGGAGTAGAGTACTCTCTCAATCTCGGGCTACCAACTCAGCAGTGCACGGAAATAATTCCTCGCCGTCTCTTGCAAGACAAAACAGACTGATCAAGTTTACGTTCATCGAGACTTTTTCGCGGGCACCGGAGTTCATGTCGCAGAGGCAAAATTTTTCATTTACGGTCGTTAAACATTCCTCAAGTCCCAAATTTCTTCCTAATAAGAGGCGAGTCCTCATCATCAGTTGCATAGCCAACAATATCCGAATCCGAGTCCTTCTCCAACCCTCCTTCGGCGGCAACATATGTTGTCGGTAGATGCCTCAATGCTTTCAAGTCCGTCCCCTCTCCTAAAGCCTGATCACCTTGCTCTCGATACCATTGCAACGTATCTCCAGTAGCTGAACCTTCCAGAAACGCAGAATCGAGCTCTGGATCGTACAGTTGTCCCTGCTCTTGGTCTCCTTTCTCTGGGTACTCCATAGCGGCTTGTGCTTCAAAGAAGAAGGCCTCCAATTGCGTGGAAATGTTCTTGGTTCGTTATTGGTTGATTGCTGTTCAAATATTCTTCCATGTTAATCAACCTCTGCTCGACACCGCTCAACACTCGATCTAGGTCTCCCAATGTCATTTTGACGTGGTTTAATGCTCTCTCGACATCGTTGAGCATATTTCCAAGGTTCTTCGTTGGAGATCCAGTCTTCGATTCCGGACTTGGAGAATCAGTAACGCTTAGGTTTGTCTCCGGTTCGTTTATCCAAATGGGTTTATGCGGATTCTGAGAATTGTATTGCCACATTTCGTTGAAGCGAAATAATTAATTCTAGTATGCAAATATCTTCATGTGGTGGCTTGGGATTTGAATGGGAGAGCTCTTTGTTCCTTTCATCCCACCACAGAGATGAACATGTTGCGCCGTGTCCGTTTTCGGAAGCCGAAGGCCTTGGAATGTGAGACCTCGCAAAGCGTCTACGCCACTTCTCTCCTAAATACGCCATTTAAAAAACCGTGATTCAACATATCACGGCCTTCTATCCCACATCCCACGCCAATATACACCCATTCCTCAAAGCTCTTTCACCTCCGTCTGCCCACCCATCGTCAAGCTCAAATAAACCCCCCACCCAAGCCCTGCTAAGGACCCCAAAAGGTTCCTCCCCTCCACACTCTTCACTACCGAAAACCCCACCAAACTAACCAACGGCCATAATTTCCACCCCGCAAGCATGAGTCCCCAATACTGACTTCTCGCCTCGGCCCAGGCATCTGCATACCCCATCCTATTAAACCCCGCAAACGCCAGCGAAAACATCAACGTATTGGCAGAAGCAGATATCGTCTGGTCGAGGATGACCTTTATGATGAGATTGCGGATCGAGAGCCGTTCTTCAGTGATTTCGTGGGTCTTCTCTTCGCGGTCGAGCTCGGCTTCGTTGGATTTTGAAGCAGCGTCGATCGCGGACTTGGACGGGCTCGCGTAGGTTGAGGGGAAGGAGGATTCGAGGAAGTATTGCCTGGGAGTTGTTAGTTAGGGAGTAATGGTGGGCGAGGAACGGGGAAGGTACCACATCATATTTGGGGGCGTGCTGAGGATTGTGTAAAGGACAAATTGGAAAATGGGTTTGAAATCTGTCACAAAAGATTTCTGGAGGTTTATCAGCGTCTGCGATGGTGCTTTGGGGAAGGGGGAGCACACATCGTTCCTGTATGCTGTGAGGAATTGGGCGATGATGTTGCTTGTCGCACTCAGCACACAGGCTTGAATTGTCCCACTGATGATCGGTGAAGACATGTTGAAGGTCCGTTATCTTCCTGGGGACCTTCTGGCAAGGAGTAGAGGAACAATTGAGGTGGGAGCTGGAAGGCAGTTATTGAGTACAGACGTCGGATAGAAGTGGGAGGTCTTGCGCACGGATCACAGGCTTCAGTGACGTAGCGTGTGGACAGGGGTCTGCTTCGGGGAGCTTCTTCAGAGGCTTGCGTAACACCAAAACAACGGAAAAGAAAATGGGTTTATTTCAGAAGAACCCGGTGTTCTTTGAGGGTAATGTTGAAGGGTTTTAAGGTGATGAATGGAAGTCTAAGGGCGGCACCAAAATTCGATTTGAGATTAAAGAGATGTTCACTTATTCATGAAATAGAGACAAATTATGATCTCCCGCAGCATTTTTTCCCTATCTCTCTCTAAACACTAGTAAAAGTGCAACAACAGAGGTGCACCTGCCAAAGGCCAATGGCAACGCTTCCAGAAGACCTCTCGATCGAGTCAAAGTGCAGAAGCAAGCCAAAAGAACATAATTGATCCATCGGAACCTCCAGTCTTGCGGGTGGTTTGGGCAACAATGTTGTCTGGGCCAAAAGAAGCAGCCGGAGAGAGTGACTTTCGTCCAGCTTCCCCATCATCAATGGTTATGTCCCTTGCAACCATGTTGCTTGCATTTACAACCCACGTGATAGTTCAAGAAGCGGAGCGTAATGCTGCCATCCTTCTTGACTATCTTCTCGATCTCCTTGGGCTCCTCTCCCTTGGCTGCACTCTTGGCTTCCACCGCCTTCCAAAAGCGAGTACTGGCCTCCCGAATGAATTGAGCAGGATTGGACATCGCGAAGACGAGGTTCAGTTCAACGTCCTGGCCGTCACGCTTGTAGACTCCTTCAGCATGTTGGATGCTAGCCTCATTGAGGAGGAAGTCACGCTTTGTGTAAGTGGTTTGAGGAACGGGGATCTTGGATTATTGCGGAGGCTCATCGGGCTTAGTGTTAAGCGGTGCAAGGTTGACTGCAGCAGGCTTTCAACGCCTTTCGGTTTGGTTGGTTTTTGACGGAGGGCCCATAGAATCATCAGAGGCAGGAGTTGATGCTCCACTGTCGGTACCCAAAGTGAGATTCGAGAGCACCGATGCCAGCGCTGCCATCTTGAACTGTAGTTGAGATCTTGCGGCGAGGTGGAGAGCTGGTGGTGTAATTTTTGTTCGTGATCGCTTTAACGTTGATAGTTGAAAGACGGAGTTGTATGAGCAGAGTGCTGAATGTATAGACGAATTGAGAAAAGCTTGGTAGTAAATAAATAAACTTACAAAAGTACGGATGAATAGTATCGCTCAATTTACTCTGGACTAACCAGCGGTGCTTTGAAAGCAGTTTCATTGGTCAAGTGGTCAAGTGATATCAAAGTTACCTAGGCATTATGATATGACTTCAAGTCCGGGTACACGTATTCATAAGAGATGAAGTTCGGGGTTTTAGATCGATCATCTACGATAATAAACTCAATTTGGGGAGACCTTCCCTTCTTGTGGCAATCTTCTCTGATTTGTGCATGAAGACACGCCACCCTGACCATGAAATTCAAGATCCGAAAAAGCCTTAGGAATCTCTAACGACGACGATTTTTAATTAAAAAGATAGAAAAGCAAGCTGAGAATAGATTGAAGATTTCCGGAGTATTAAGTACCCCGCGTAGGCCTGGTATCCCGCGTGTATATGCTTGCTTAGAAAGTTGCCTCCCGTTCGATACTATCAACAGATTTAGGAGTTCGGAGGTAGAAGAAGTAATCTTAAAGAATTTTGACAGCTGAATGATGTTGTTTGGAGGACCCCAGGCTTGAAGTTCTTTACTTGAAACCAAAATTAGACGGAGAAAGGAAGGTTTCGACAGCTAAGAGAACTGTAAAAGCAAGAGACCAGAGAGAATCCAGTACCAAAGATCAGAAAAGAAGACCGAATAAACAGAATCGCATCAAGCAAATGCTACTTGTGAGTGAGATGGAAGCAAAGCAGGGCCTGGCCACAAACGCTTGCTAGCGTCTAGGGCTCTCTGTACGAACCATGAGCTCAAATTCGGGAAAGATGATAGACAGTTCAGTTTGAATGCAAACATCGAAAGAGGGGTTTGAATGTGGAATCACAGTGGGGTAGAAAAGTGAAAATGAATTCTGGAGAAAGTGCCAAATATAGAACATCATGTGTAGAACACTCTAAATTCAACGCGACGACGCGTCTCGCTTAACTCAATTTACCCCTGAATTTGTTCTCATCCTCATCACCCAAGACTACATTCAATTCAACATCCAATTCCTTGACAACGACTTTTCCGCACGATATCTGCCGTTCCAATATCCAATGTCTGCTCAACAGCCAGCATCGAGAATGCCAACTCCCTGCAAGAGCTTATTCAAGCCCCATCGACGCTGCTGAATTCCTCTAGCCTTGATCGAGAGGCTCCGCAATGATGTCGCGCAACTTCGAGCTGCGAACGCCACGCTTTCCTCCGGGTACGCGCGATCTCGTATTCCTTCGCCATCTGGATGTCTCGCCCCCTGTGGTGCATCTTTTCTCTACCAAATGTTCCAAGACCTCTGTTCCTAGTCGAGCAATGCTGAATCGACATTGTGCAGGTTCGGTCGTCTACACGACAACTCTGGTGCAAGATTTTGTCTATTTACGAAGCTGTTAACAGGAAATGGCCGCTTTATATGGGATTTTACTCTCACCACTCATATACATATTCTCTGGGAGAACAAAGTTAGTGTAAGCAAAATCAACCCTATCATGCAGTCCTGCAGAGAGGTTCGAGATCAAGGCGTGAAACTCTGAATGTCGTATTATGAGTTGGATTCGATGGCGGAAACAAAGAACGACGCCCCAAAGAATTACATTAGCATGGAAATCGATGCCATGTGGGTGGAGGTTGGTTTTCTGCCGGCATGTCTGACTATCTTCTGTGGTACCTGCAACTCGACATGGGGCTGCGGATGCCAATGCGAGGTCGCTCCCAAGTTGGGTGGTGTTGCCCTTCATCATTCGGTTTGGAAAGATCCGTTGAATAGGCCGAACACCACTGCAGCAGAGAACGTGGGGATGACCGATGTATTGCGCATCACTGAAGCCAAAGAACTGGCCATTGTGGTCAGAGATCTTTTGCCCACGGACGATCGTGATGTGATTCTCCTCAAGCCCCGGTCTCTGCCCTGGCAAATGCTTCCTAAATTGGCGCTCGGCCACTCTTAGGAACGTGGCCAAGACCTACAACCTCTGAGTCTTGGGGTTGGGCAGGGAAGCGATCGGAAGGGAGTCTAAATGACTTTAGGGACGAGCGAACCGAGGAGAGAAAGATAGAGATAAAAGGTGCGGAAGGCCATGTACTTTTCAGAGCTAATGATGGTTGTAGCTGCTGGCCGAGCTGTGAGTGGGACGATTTCTTTGACATTACTGAGTGGACAGTTGCCAAGGTCACATACCTCGAGTCATTTTCCAACATCGAGATTGGCTTCACCTGGACCGTTCTTATTAGTGTCTTGGGAGATTGGATCCATCGAGTTTGGGTACTGTTGAAAAGCCAGAAGTGGGATCTGTTCCATCCTCATACGTTATGAGTTGTGGATTGAGAGGGTCTTTGGACAAGGGAGGAAGTCCCCAAACTTGCCGAATGGCTGAAATGTGGAGTATTGTTACAATTCGTTGATTTACTGCAACATGACGCGAATCTCCTTCAAGTGTGCCTACACTACGTGAACCCCAGCGCTTCCAGATCGCCTCTTGAGTTGGACGCTGCTAACGGCCAAATCCCAAACAACCTAAGTCCTGTAAATGTGGGAATAAGGTCATGGGTCCCCTGCGAGGCATTAGCATTTTGGTCGTGTGTGGAAAAGGAACATACTCGAGCAACCTACTGAAGGGACTGGCGTAATGAACCAGGTGCCAAAACTTTGGAGGTTGTAAAAGAGGCTGGAGTCCACAAAAGAGTGCTACAAATGCAAAGGCCATAGGGATAAGAAGTCCTGCTCTATGGGAATTGGGTGCGAATGCTGCGAGGAGTTGTCCAAAGGACGAGGCACACGTATCGAACATCACCTGTCAAAAGTCAGCAATATTCCACCATGAAGCAGGAAGGTGGACAAAAAGAATCCGATGATATACTCCTTTCTTGCTGAATCGGTCATGCTCTGCCAGAATCCAGCAGTGAAGTACCGGAGAGGGAAAAACAGTGTTCCGGTCATGATATTGGTGCAGATCTCTGCCGTGACAATGTTCCTCCCCTGCATGTGACAACTGGCTCAAGTTGCTTTTGGGAATACATTGATACTGCACTTTTAGTTGCGCATCTGGAGTTTATTAGAAGTTGGGCTCGGTCTGCAGTTTCTGACTTTAGGATGAATTCTGATCGAACTATATTTGCATTGTCCAAGAGGAAAAGGGATGATTACGTGCTTCAAAGGTGCGTTCCATCTTTTTCCCTTGTTGCTCCTGGAGCACTGAACGGCTTCTTGATATTTATCGAGGAAGTTTGCGATGATTAGAATATAGGTTTCAGAAAGCGACGGGCATAAGATAACCTTCATCAGATCAAATGTGGCAGGAGAATGAAATTAAACCTTCCTAAGCCTCGAGATATTACTACCATTTAACATCTTTTCCGCTTAATCTCCCGATCTTTATTTACATGATAAAAGCAGATACAATACCAGCCAATCCAAGTAAGAGAGCACAGCTGGAACCTATATTTATGTTTGCCGCAGAAGGCTTCGTCGATGAGGAAGGGCTTGAGGTTGATGAAGTGGAGCTTCCAGTTCCGCTTGCTGTACTCGATGGCGAAGTGCCAGCGGAAACGCTCGAGTTAGCTAATGGATAAACATTGGTGTAATCGAACGACCCATCACTCTTGCCCCAGGTAGAGACAACGCTTGCTAGGACAGAGCCCGTGGCACATTTCGCATTAGTGGCTGGCACAGGCCAGACAGGCACCCATTGAGAATCGGAAAGCGGCCCTGGGTACGAAGCGTTGAAGAAAAGGTCCTTGGTGTCGACTTTCTGGTTGGTGTATCCCGTCTTGTTGGCCACGAGGGCGAGGACGTTGGCGTTACAGTCCCAGCGCCCCAAGGACGGGAGGCCCCAGTTTAGCTCTACCGTAGAGAGCATGCTGTAGTGGTTGTAGAAGGTGTCGTCGGTTGTGTTTTCGTGTCCCGCAATCGCTCCGCCGAGAAGTACAGTCTGCGAGGTAAAGAAGTCAGCAATTGGCTACTCGAGCATGGTTCAGAGAAAAGCTCCAGAGAGTCTCAATGAGGAAATATCATGCGGCTTCCACTTACAAAAACTTTATTGCTTTCTGGATATGTATCGTCCTCATCAAAGGTGAGTACAACAAGTGTGTTGTTCATGAAATAAGGATTCTTCAGCAGAGGCTCAAGGAAGGTCCTCGCCCAGATCGAGGCGAAGGTGATGGTTGTATCATGGCCATCGTTTGTCATATTTGGGGTCATGAACGACCATTGTGGCAGAGTTTGGGCCTTCAAATCCGAGTCGAAAGAGGTGAAATTCTTGATCAGAGGAAGACGGGTGGCATTGGAAGTGACCGAGTCGAAGATGATCAAAGGGTTGTGCTTTCGGACATAGTCATTACGTGAGGTATTTTGCTGGTTAGTGAAGTTGAATCCCAAGAATCCAGGGTATGGCATGTCTTCTTGATACTCTCCCCAAGAAATGCCCTTGGTATCTAGCAGATCCACGACCGTAGAAACGTTCTTAGCCACACGATTGAAGTCGTCGTTTTCCATTCCAAAATCGTCGCCTCCAACTACGGCGATATAGTTACTAAGGAAGGACATTAGACTTGCGCAAATACCCTGAGTGTTTTGGCAAATAAACTTACGGCTCGGAAGGATGGGTCACAGCCCAGTAATTTGTAAGAAGAATGCCTTGGCTTTGTAGCCACTGCATGTTTGGGTCAGCCGCAGCCTTGTCGTAGTCCTGAACTCCACGATTAGCATTTGGCTGCAGAAGAGGAGGCAGACTTGACCGACTGTATTCTCGAGCCAGATTTGAATAATTCTATTAAATGCTTTGCCCTGGACATTGGAGGTAGGAGACGCTGGCATAACAGTAGCCTGTGCAGCACGGATATCTGTCAGAGCTGGCTGGATCGTTGAAAATGGTGGCTTCGTGGGATAGCTCGACGTAGCAGCGAAGGTGACGTGAGCCACCAAGGGCAGAGCAAATATGATCGAAAATACCATTGTGATGTTCAGAGGAGATTGGCTAAGGAAAGGCTACGAGCTAAAAACTCAATTGGTCTCGTCAAGGTGAAAATGCGAGCAAGCTTGGGATAGCTCAGGGAGCTTTATACTTGGCACCACCGCCGTCACTCAGCCCAATCCTCCGACCATGGACATTCGGATAAAGAAGAGCTTGCATATTGGGTTTAACTGCCCCGTGACTGGCTAATTGAGAAATCCAGAGCTCTGGATCGTCGAATCTGGGAGCCTAGCATCAAAATTGGGCGACAAGAGGGGCTGGGAAACCCGCGAAACCTTTTGCAGCTCGGCGGCAGAACCACCAGTTTTGGTGACACGGGAGAGAACAGCGGATTTGGTTACCCACGATCGCACAATCTGATGCGTTCCAGAAGGCCTCAGCCAACGGATAAGCATCGTGATCAACGGTGAGATGTTGAATGATGAGGACAAAGGACGCAATCCGCAGGAGCTCGGAGAACGGGTCAAGGGTAGTTGCAGGGTTCTACGATTGTTACCCCTCTCTGCGCCCCAGCACGTTGTCTCGGCGAGTGCAGGCATAGGAGGGTCGTTTCCGGGGCAGCTGCAAGGCCCGGGGCAAGTACAGCACTCGGAGTCCAGTGGCGTTCCAGCCTCCCATCGAGATGCAAAAAGTAATAACCTCGCGAGTTAGACAGCCGTGAGTGGACAGTCGGTCCTTTCTTGGATGTTCAAAGACACTTCGTTTCAAGCAAGTTGACGGCGTTGCCGAGCTAATTGATACAAGCTTTTGTTAGGGGGCGAACAAGCATTGGTGGGAGTCTTGGAGCCTGTAAATCGCGGAAGATCGCCATGTCACTCTGTACCCACAGTCATCCAGCGGCTGCCCAGCGAACTTGGTGGCATGAGCTTTGGCCGTCCCCAGCAAGCTTCATATGCAACAAAAACGACACCATGCCAATTCTGGGCAACTGTGCTAGATACCTCGGAAAATTGAGAGTGAACGCTCTTCGCCTTGATATTTTCTAATGATAAGGTGCACATGACGGGCTCTCTTTCTTCTTGCAGCCCGCTTCACACCCCCAGCAAGTGCTTCCGATCACGAGCCTCGAGTTATCTCTGAGGATCGGCTTATCAGATGGGCGTGCAGCTGTTAACCCCTCCATTCATGTTCTCATTGTTTACGTCTGTTATAATAGTTCATAATTAGTCCAGCTTCTCTTCTTCTAGCTCTCTTGTTCATGAGCATCGACTCATCCTCGGCTGTCCTCCCGTCGTCCTGACCTTGAATTCAAGTGAAGTTTGTGTTGACTGTGGACCTTCTTCAACCCTCAGCTCAGAAAATTGCTTGAGGTATCAAAGAATAGTGTAACCTAATACAACTCGGGACTTTTCACATCGCTGTCATGAAGGAGGATGAGCTGCTGCAAGGAGAAGGGAAAGTTCCAGCGGGAGAGAAGTCGTCTGGCACAACCACAGGGAAATCCAGAAAAACCCTTCTATTCCTTGCCACTGCAATTGCCCTCCTTATTATCGCCCTTGCCCTTGGATTAGGACTCGGCATGGGACTCAGGCACAAGAAGGCATCTGCTGGCGGAGGACATTCTACGAGTGGCATTTCTCCAAATTCGACAAATGGAACAAGCGGGACGTCTCCAGATATATCCGAAAACCGCCCATCTTGGAGACGTGATCCTCTCGAATACAACTTGGATAGGAGCTGGGATATCAATGCTGCACCCACAACAAGAGTGTTCAATCTCACGTCTAGTGAGATCCAGGCAGCTCCTGATGGTAACATAGCCTCTTTCTTTAACAGGTTCGGACAGTTGACTGACACTCAAAAGGGGTACTTCGACCTCTATTCGTGATCAATGGTCAGTTTCCTGGTCCCCTCATTCGAGTAAACCAAGGAGACCGAGTCCTGGTCAACGTGACAAACCAACTCTCAAACGGCACCTCCATGCACTGGCACGGATTTTACCAAAATGGAACGAATTGGATGGATGGTACCGTTGGAATTACCCAATGTGCAATACCTCCCGGAGAAAGTTTCCTGTATGACTTTACAGTCAAACAGTTCGGCACGTACTGGTACCATTCTCACTTCTCGTCTCAATACACCGATGGATTGGTAGGGCCATTTATCGTGCATTCCCCAGAAGAATCCAAGATCCAAGAGATGTACGATTATGATCAGGTCGTACTCTTGCAAGATTACTACCATGATCTGAGTGCGGCTTTGCTGCCCGGGTACTTGTCATCGGGAAACGAAAATGCGGAACCTCTCCCCGACAATGGACTTATCCAAGGGACGAATTTGTAAGTCACTCAACTCCCCCCATATTGTTCCAAACTCACATCTGATATCTTCAGTTTCAACTGCTCTTCATATGATTCTGATAGTGGCTACGCTTGTGACCAGAACTCTACGCGAGCAATATTCAACGTCGCCCAAGGAAAAAGATACCGCTTCCGACTGATAAACACCGGAGCATTTGGCGAATTTCAAGTCTCAATCGACAACCACACTATCCAAGTCATCGAAGCCGATTCAACGCTGGTACATCCAGTCACCGTGAACAGACTTCCCATCCACGTAGCGCAGCGCTACTCCATCCTCTTTCACGCAAACCAGACAACAACGAACTACTGGTTCCGAGCACGCATGAACGATTATTGCTTCAGCGACCAAAATCCCGTTCTGGATACTGACGTTCGCGCTCTCATCACTTACACAAATTCGACCTCCGACCCCGCCCCTACGGAATCGGTGGACTGGACATATGCGTTAGACACCGCGTGCGAGGATCTCGCTCCCTCAAGCCTTATTCCCTACGACCCCTTACCCGCTCCGCAAGTCGATATAACGTATCCAATCGAGATCTCATTCCAGATCGGAGACTTCGCCCTCGATAAAGCATATATCAATTCCACAACCTGGGTCCCTCCCGCAATCCCAACACTAAACCAAGCCGTAGCCGGCCTGCAGGTCAACAACGCGAACTTCACAACCTCCGGCGTCAGCACCGCCTTTGATTCCTCACAACTTGTAATCGACGTCCCCACCTACAAAGTAATCGACGTACTCATAAACTCACTCGATGAGGGAGCTCACCCGTTTCATTTGCACGGCCACCAATTCTGGATCATGGCTTCAGGGGCTCATGGCGCTTTCAACTGGAATTCGTACCCGACGCTGAATATGACGAATCCGATGAGGAGGGATACGATTACTGTTGATGCATTTGGATGGGCTTTGATTCGGTTTAAGGCTGATAATCCGGGGCTCTGGGCCCTGCATTGTCACATCAGTTGGCACATGGAGGCCGGTTTGCTGATGCAATTTCAGACGAGAAATGATATTATGAGGGGATGGGCGGTGCCTAGTGATGTGTTAGCATTATGTCACGTTAAGTAGACTAAGGGGAAAGCAGGAGACTTTCCCGGAAGATAGAATTGTGAGATACGGCTTTTGGCTTAGCGAGAACTTTCGCGAAGAAATAAATGCGGAGAAATAAATGATAATGATACTTTGAACCAATACTGTATTGTAGTGACGTGTATATAGGATATGAGGAAAAAATCTAAAACAGGAAGCAAATGGAAGTCGAAAAGTTGATGCAACAAGTAAACAATGCACCCTTCTCTCCTCATTCCTTGATACCACTAAATTCGAATTTTGATAGTATCGACTGTTGCAAGAGATGAGATTAGTGTAAATGGCCCTTTGGAGATTTTGGATGATGGGAAACATACCCTTCATGAAGAACACCAGAGATCCCAACCAGTAGGGGAGATAAACCGATACTCGAGATTGTGGCAGCAGTAGTGTTTGTCCCGTTCTTGTCGCTGGGAGACATGGCGCCTCCAACGACTCTCAGGCTGCAAAACCCAAGGGTGTAAACCCATCCTACCAGGCCAGGTCGGCCGTGACGGAAGGGGATGTAGATGACCAAGAGTGAAAAGAACGCGTAGGTCGCGAGCTGAGCTGTGTTGATACTACTCATTTTCGGTAGACTTGGGGGACTCACCTACTGCTGGCGGGGTGCCGTTGTACTCGTTACGAGTGATGATTCTAATCGAGTTTGTTTTGGGATGTTCAGAGCCCTGTGGTCTTTTTTGGTGCTTAGAACCGACGAAACAGAGTGTGAGAGATGAAAAGCGATGATGAGAAGTGCTTTGATCATGATATATTTATGATGAAGAGAAGGGTCCTAGACCTCTTGAGCAGATTGCCTTTGATATATGTTGAGAAATAGCAGCAAAGCAAAGATCAACTGCAAATGGTACCGAGCGTACGTACAATACAAAGGCATAAGCCAGGACCCCTGAACGGCGTTGTTGGTGCGAGACCCGTTATTGAGGGTTGGGTTGACTGCCGCGTGATGTCCCTGAATTGGGATCCATATGATCAAAGCCAGCACATGCACAACACTTCAAAAGTTCAACCCCTCATCGTGGCTCGATTTTAATCTGCTGAGTGGAAATGAAATTTGCACAGAGTGGAATTTGCCCCTCAATTCTTTTCAATTGTAAACAAGATCGTTATCTGTATTTCTATGGTGTTCCCAACCTTCTTCGGCTAAGTTTTTAGGGGCCGAAAAGGGGCTCGCTTATTGAGCATTCACAGACCCACCCAACGAGCTTTGAGACAGGGGCTAAGTGTGGACCGGCGTGGGCACTTACGCTTTACAAACTCAATGTGAGGATCGATAAGTCTGGACGAGAAATTAAGCCACAGATGACTACCACCTTAATATACGACCCAAAGGTGGAGCGACTTCAAAAATCCGTTCGCCGGATTTTCTAAGGGACGTCCCGAGGGTCCTGGAGTTTTTCTCTTTTGCTGTCTTGCAAGGCTGTCTCCCTCCATTCCGCCGTGTAATCTTTTGAGGTTGTCGACAGCAAGCTCGAATTCCCTGCATGTACAAATTGGCAGTAGTCCAGCCACACAAATGGGCCCAATCTTTATCTAGCAAGTATCGGAGAATCAACGGAAAGGCCGGAAGACTCTGAAACTTGGATTGCGCTGATTTTAACTTATCTCCAATGCTTATGGGGCTGAAGGAGGGGCTGCCCCGGATTTCACGTCGTATATCCCCGATCTAGTGACGGAGGTCGGATTTAGCGTCGGCATATCTCCAGAACGGAAAAACGTCCTATGATTTAAGAGAGTTGCCTCAAATACAAATATTGAGATGTGTTTCTACTTAGATCTCACACCTAAATTCTCCTTTTTCAGAGAAGAGTAGCAAACAATGGCATTGCAAGAGAAATCCGCCGTCAAAGTCGTCTTCGGTGCAATGACCTTTGGTCGAGAAGGCACCGAACAAACTCGCGTTCATACTCTCGAAGACTGTTCTGCAATCCTCGACATTTTCCAAGCTCATGGCCACAATGAAATCGATACAGCACGCTTCTATGGCGAAGGCACTTCTGAATCCTTCCTTGGAAATCTCGACTGGCAGAAAAGAGGAATCGTTATGGACACGAAATACTATCCCACGGCTGGCAGGCAATTGCCGAAGAGCAATGCTCCAGAAGAAGGCTGGCGTCATACCCCCGAACATCTGAGGCAAAATCTGATGGACAGTCTGAAGGCTCTCAAGACTGACAACGTCGATATGTGGTACCTTCATGGCCCGGATCGCACCACACCGTACGAGGTTACGATGAAGGCAGTCAATGACCTCTACATCGAGCTGTGGAACCGGAATTATTCTCCTGCTTGAGGCACTATAAGATGAGTTTCTACAATTACAATCCGCTTGCTGGAGGCTACCTCACCTCTCGATATACTAGGGACACCCAAGACAAGTTCATCGAGACAGGGTCAAGATTTGACCCTTCCCGGTGGCAGGGAAAGATGTATCGGATGAGATACTGGAATGATGCATATTTCGATGCGCTGGATATCCTGCGACCCGTGGCAAAGAAGCACGGCTTGACGGAAGCCGAGTGTGCGCTGCGGTGGATGACACATCATTCGTTGTTGAAGAGAGAGTATGGCGATGGAATCATCATTGGAGCCAGTAGCACCAAGCATATGGAGGAAAATATGAAGCTGTTGGATGATCCCAATCCTCTACCAGATGAGGTTGTCCAGGCGCTGGACGCAGGCTGGGAGAAAGTCAAGGGAATAAGTGGGAAGTACTGGCATTGACGAGGATTGCTTATAGCAGAGTACCAGAGAGTAAGAAGAAGCCAATCAAAGACCTGCAGTCACTTTGAACTCATGTGGCTGGCTACATACAGCCTTTCTCTATCAACACCCCTTAACTTTTGACTGGACCAAAACCTAAACCAAGCAAACCACCTTACAAACACTATATACACTTGTGCACACGTTTCGGATCTTCCTCAATAATACAACTCCCTAATAACTTCCACAATTACACCATGGTCCTCATCTTGCTTTAAGCCACTAACAACCACAACAGCGACAACACCCTCAACCCCAGTGACCCTGATTGGAACTCCCCCGCCATGTATGGCATAATCGCCTGCGCTGTTCCCTAAACCATATTTCTCTCGAAAGGCAACCTCATCGCCGCCGAACTTGCAGTGCATATACCAAGTACTACATCCCCACCGTAGAACGGTTTTCCGTTTCCTCGAAACCCAACTATCATTATCCGGCATTACTCCCGGATGCGTACATGTATGGAAAAGCGTTTGGTTCTGGTTCGCAAGAGATATGTTGATCACTACAGGTATAGGGAAAGTCAAGAGTCGATTTCGTAACGCAGAGCCTAGTTCCCACGCATCGTTCGTTGTGAAGTGTTCGAAGACTAACGAAGCATCGATCCGGGAAATTGATTCGAGCTGAACTTTGGATTAGCTTCATTTCGGAGATTTTGGACTTCAACACACGTCTCTGGGAGGCGTCTGTATGGGCCTCGGACTCTCTGGCGTCCTCCTGTCCGACATATTGACAGCGTAGTGCTCTGGAATAGGCAGTATTCTAGAATCTCGATCGACAAGGCGTGTCCCCTTCAAAGGTGGGATTCGTGGCGAAGCACGCGGGGTTACTACTCGATCCCAGCCCAGCACGTTTTCGTCCTTCTCCCAGTTTGGCGTATTCACTTTCCTGCTCGATTCTTCCAATATCTCAAGTATAACAGACAATTGGTCTTCTCGCGCCCATTCGAAGTCTGCGCTCTTTCGTCGGAGCAGCCGGTTTCGCTCGTGGTCTTCGAAATCCTCGTACTCGTCTCTGACGTCAACGGATGCAGGGTTGTGCGACTCGTTTCCTCGCTCCACTGACTTGCCCTTCTGCAGTCGACGGACCCCTCTCTTCTCTCGATTGCGTAGTCCGCAAAACAGCATTGGACATGTTGACGCTACTCTGTCTGCCTCGGGGACATCGCGTGCGGTTGGGATAGAGAGTACATTAGTACGAGTTGATATTAGTCTTCATCTTGTTCGAACTCTATCAGTGGACCCGTCATTACATCGACTTAGGGGATGTGGAATGAACGGAGGGGCGAGTACGACTGCATGGCGTGGGTCATGCAAAAAAAGAAATTCTCAAGGTCGCATGTCAGATATCCAGGTAGGCCTCCTAGTATCTTCCTTGGACGAAGATGGTGAAGGAGTGAGGTAGAATTTGAGTACGCATCGGTGATCCCTGTTTCGCTTCACTGGGCCAACCGACGACCTCATACCAATTTCGCAATTTGGAAAAGGGGGCTCCTGTCAGCCTGAAACAAAGAAGGTTATGAGTACTTTTCTACTGTAGAAACGAGGCACCATCAGTGGGAAGAGTTTTCAGACGAAGAAGGCCTGAAAGCCACGGAGTTCGAGTGAACTTCCCGACTTAGGTCCAGGCTCTCACTCAAAGTTTATTTTCAGAAACACATCTTCTTTCATCTATTTCAAGGGATCCTCACAGTTCGAGTCAAGACTTTTATCATTAAACTCTAGTCCATTTGTCAAACTCGGGCGGTGCCTCATCGTATATCTTCGTTCAGTCGGATCGTTCATTCCGAGACTGCGCAAGCTGATCAGTCTGCTGCCATGAACGCTTGATTTGTGATAATGTGAGTGTTGAAACTTGGAAATGCCAATGTCTTCCAATCCTCGAGTTATTCCAAAACCTTCGAAGTGTACATTTCAACATTCATCTTAATTGTGCGAGAGTAGCAAAGGTGGACTTTTTATTTTCTATCCACTTCACTCTATTATCTCTGGCTATCTTGGGAAATTTCAACTCATATGGCCTTGAATGATCAAGTGTCATTTGGCCATTTTGATATGGTATTGTAGCCCTTCAGTAACTATGCTGTTCACGAAATCCTTCAATGCAAGTTTTCGGCTGTACCACCAGCGTCGTAATCTAATTGGTTCCAAGCCCCCTGCTAACCTTTACTCACCGTTCAACATACTATATATTCTAAAACCAACCTATATCCGCTATAAAGGAGAAACTTTCAACCTATCATAAGACGCAATGGGCACAGAACAAACCTCTCGACCCTCTCCTTCGTTCACACTCTTTCCAAACTTCACCTTAGAGCGTCGTCTCCTCATCTGGCACCACACTTTGCAACCCCGCACCCACGAAATAATCTACGACACCTCTTCCACCACGGTTCCAAATCCCACCGTGCGCCTCCCACCATCCTCCAAATAAACCAAGAATGCCGTTCCTTCGGCCTGCCTCACTACACCCTCTACTTCGGCAGCACATTCCAGCCTCCCCTCATTTACTTTAACTTCGCCCTCGACACAGTCTACCTCCCTGGGGCACTCAAAGCCCACATCCCCCACTTCTTCGGTATCTTGTCGGATTGCGAGATTGAGAAGTTGGAGTATCTAGCCATCTCGGCAGTGATATTTCTACGGAGTAGTGTGGACCCTGTTGAGTCTCGGGGCCGTTGAGACGTGTTGTGCAAGAAATGATGGGGCTTAGGGACTTGATGGTTGTGTATTCGCTTTCTGAGCTGATGTTCCCTACCCAGATTCGAGAGGATTATGAGCGGCAGATAAAAGTTTGTTGAAGAATTTCCTCTTGGAGGATAGGGATTACTGTTAGGGAGCTGCCGAAGAGCGATGAGTGAAGTGTGATGGGGTTTGATACTTGGCAGGGGTAGAAGTTTCGGCCGGTTTATGGGTGGAGGGGTGAGTGGCCAGCGGTTGTTGAGAGGGAAGGGAGGGTTCTTGGGGGGAGGATTAGGGTTGGTGCGGCGGAGAATGATGGCACTTGGGATAGAGTTTTTGGATGATGCGTTGGAGGGGATGGTGTTGAATGATGATGGATAAATGAGGGTTGTTGAGAAAAGATAGAATCACGAAACATCTGCTAGTGAAGAATTCGACCAGCAGCAAAGAAAGTCTATGACCTGACAACCAGAATACAGAGTACATGGAAGAAAATATCGCCATCAGACTCTTACTAAGAGGTTCCCGTGCTCTAGTCATCATCTTCTCAGTCCAGACTCCAGAGCTAAGCAACCTTAAAGCCATCATCATCTCCCTCAATCATGGTTCAGGAACCACCGCCTCTCGGAGGATTTTTGCAGACGTGCAACAGAAGACAAAACTCTCAGGACCGAGCACGCTTTTGGCAATGATGAGAGCTTCTGAGAGACGGGAAGTGATGTAATGAGAGCAAGAAAGTGAACTGTGACAGGGGCAGATCGAGATCGTGGAAGCTAGAAGACGGTTCCTAGATTACCGAACGTGTAGATCAGCTTTGGGGATTTAGATGATTTTCGGGACGGGGGAAGTGGAGAAAGAGGGTCTGGACGGGTTTGGTCAGAAATAGTGGGTGGCAATATATTGTATTAGTGGTTCAATATATTCTCGTGCGAATCGTCAATGCTTCGTCATGGATGTAAGCTGCCGTCATGACCTAATCCCTCTTTGTCGCCAAAGTCTTGTTAGACTTAATGACTCGTAACAGCCACTCCTTATCCAATGTAACGAACTGCCCAGGATCTCGACCGTCTCTGTGATGCCGCCTGAAGTGTGTCTTTTGTTCATACCAGTTTCGAGGCCGACGTCTTCTCACCGTCTCCTCTCTTGCCCCTGCATACTCTCCTGTCTCGTCGCTCCTTGGGCCCTCATCTCCAACTCCCTAATTTTCTTCTCCAGTCCTAGCCTCTTCGCAACCAATCCACCACGTTGTTCCTCGAGCTGTGCGATCTTCTCTGTGGGTGTAGCTTCGCGACGTTTCTCAGCAATCTGTTTCCTCCGTATCAGCGACAACTCTTAACATTCAACCCGGGAAAGGAAAGGGGAGTAGAGGCGGATGGGAGAAGAGAGATAATTACCTGCTTTAACTCCGACTTCGTCTTCAGCCCAGCACCATACCAAGCCCCAGTTGCAGTGATGGACGCAATGGCAGCTGTCCACACTATCCTTCTAATCTTCTGCTGTTGCGCCGACGCCGACATCTCTTTCTTCCTTATCGCTGGATTACTTTCATCACATTGCACATCACTTGTCGTTCAGCTTCTCTCTTCGTGGTCGTGTTGATGAAAGCTCAAAGGTCGAGGAGGGATCGTAGCGAGCCTATGCAAAAAGCCCGCAAACCTCCGATTTGCCGATCCCACAGCACCAAACAGACCAGCGCTTCAGGGCCAGAACTCCCTCCATGCAGCATCAGAAGCACGCCGCCTCTTCTCTGCTAGCTCCCTCCTCTTCCTCTTCACTTCATCTTGTTCGCTGCTTCTCCTTTTATGTCCATACTTCCATTCCTTCATTTCCGTATTCGCGTCTGTACTCGAATCCGAGGCAAATGATGATGCGGAGTCGGTCCGGGAAGGCGCCAGTCTGCTGTTGAGATCTGCAGTGGAGAGACAGGTGATGAAGGATGTGAGTTTTATCTGCAGAGGCGCCATCCTGACTTTCTCCCCCTCTCATTACTGTTTTGAAAGAGAGGATCGGTAGAGAGGAGGGAGAGGAGGAATGTGAGTTTGGATGTAGAAGTGGCTGAATCAGGCCCTTCGGTTGACCAGCCAGCGGGGCAGTGACATCGTGACAGGGTTTCGAGGGGATGATCAAACACAGCGTGACCTCGTTGTCTGAGAGTTTCAATTGTTGCTTTCGTTTGTGGAGGGGTGCGGCGTGGCAATTTTCTTGGCTTGTATTGTTTTCTTAATTATTGATTGTAACCTCTCCTTTGAAAGGAACCAAAAACCAATGCTTCATCTCGCTCATTGAGAAGTCTTCATTACTTTCCCTACACTCACCAAGCAGAGGTACTGATTTTCAAAATGAAGCATCGTCAATTGGATCAAATGCAAGTCTTTAAGTCTCCTCTAGCTCTAAACCTCTACCCCTTGACCGTAACATCACTCTCCCTCAAGTGATCAAAACTCTCCTCAGAAGTACTCCCACTTAACCCACAGTCATCTTCAACCTCACCCATGACCAAGACACCACCCTTCCAAATCTTCTTCCTTCCAACCTCTACTTCCTCAAGTGCCAACTTCCGTCCCTCGCCCAGAATATACCTCCTATGCCACTCACCCACAAACATGCCCTCCGGATCAGCATCGTTTCTAATCTTCCTCCACTCTAACAATTTATTCCCATACATCTCCTCAATATCCTTTCCATTTGCGTCGAAGTTCTTCGCCCAGTGAGGTCTACCGCCAAGTTCCCGCATCAGGTACTCAAAACCTTGGTAATAGCGTGCACGGCAGGGAGGATCCATGTCATAGGGTCGGTATAACGTGGCGTTGAGGTAGAGCGTAGCCTCTTCTGAGCAAGTGGGATCAAGATGTGGCCGTGGAGTTGTGCTATTTGAGGTTTCTGTAACCCGGACTTCAACGGGAGCATGAACCCAGAGGCCGTCTGCTGAGTATGGGATTCCATGTGGAACATAATCTGGATCCTCAGGGGTCAGATGATTCAGCCATGAGCTGAGACGACGAAGTGCTTCCGGTCCTTTGTGGAGGGGGATAGCCCATTCGTTGACAAACTGTGAGTATAAGCAATTCATGAGAAGAGCTTGCCGAGATGGCTGGATGGCGGATGTAGTGCTTCCATTGGGGAAACCGTATTGCATGCCGAAGACGAACCATTCAATCCAGGGAAGCATCCTAGGAACATATTGTGCTGCGTACAGCAGGTTGTGATAAATATGAAATCCGAGCCAGGCATCATAATAAGATTTAGGAGGCGGTCGTAGTGCGAGTTTTGTCTTCTCTGCTGTCCACACCACAGACCTCCTTGTGTAAGGAAACCACCAGACACGAACGAACTCTGTCTGGGTCCATAAATCCTTATTCCAGGAGTTGAACATAGACAAATCTGTATCAACCACTTGTTTCCAAGCCAAAGTGAAGGCTGGCACCGCCTGGAAGGTGATCTCAACAATAATTCCCAAGGCACCTAGGGAGATCAACGCTGCGCGGAACAGCTCCGCATTCTGCGTAGGAGAACATGTTTCCATCTTCCCATTCGCAAGCATAATCTTCAGCTGTAAAATCGAAGCCGACAAGATCCCATGCTTCAAAGTACTCCCATGCGTACCCGTACTTATAGCCCCCGCGATACTCTGATCATTGATACTCCCCAAATTCGGCATCGCCAACCCCACCTTATCCAGCTCCTCTCCAACCGCGAACAGCCGTATCCCGCTCTGCATAACGACGACGCATTTCTCCTTATCCACAGAGAGGATCTTGTTGAATTTGTCGAGGTTGACGAGCCAGGAGGAGGTGCAGGTTATGTCTGAGGGAGAGTGCCCGCAACCGACGGTCGTGATGCGGCGTCTGCATCTTCGAGCGAGGTTCACGAGTTTCTCGACTTCGGCGATGGATTGGGGCTGGATGTAGAGTTCGGGGGAGGAGTGGAAGGTTCGTGCCCAGGTCGACTGGGTATGGTTTGTGGTAGCGCGGAAGGGGATATCGTCGTTGAACTTGCTCAACTCGGAGGTGATTGCGGGGTCCATTTTGAAGATTCAGGAACCAGTGGCCGAGAGGATATCAGTCGGGGCCTGGGGGGAGTGAAGTGTGAACCCTTGCCTGGTGTATTCAGAGCATATTCGATGATGGACTTGAAGAGTTGGGTGAGACCTATCGTCCCTGGAAGGGACAAAAGGAAGTTACATCTTTTTAAGGATAAACTTAGGTGGAGTGAGCCGCGAGTGGTAGAGGGGGATCTGGGCCTATGACAGGGATCATGATTCAGATCTTTACCGCCTTTGACCTTCTGCTTCCACAACTCTCATTATTGACTTGGAATATCTCCCACAGCGAATCCAAGGAATGTCAAAAATATCTTCTTGATTTCCTTTCCCAGCTCAGCAGTTTTTTTTTGTGGCCTTGCTACCCCCCACCGAAGCACCAGATGTCGCCATCTGATAAAAATCTACAGGGATCTCTCCGCCGGCAAAGCAATCTTCAGGGCCCACCGGATCTTGTCATCGAGGTGTCCACATCATCATTTCTCTTGGCCGTCTCTCTAATCCTTGATCCGCACCCTCAACTCGACTGAGGTCCATCGAATCCAAACTTTCTCGTCCCGTACCAACTCAGAAGTCATTCCATATCTAATGTGGAAAGTCGGAGCAAACGAATTGGCTTAACATTCCATCTGAAAGAGGTCGACCCATTTCCCCGAACTCACAACACCTTGTTTCAACATCATTTCGGGTGTCCATCGAACACCGGGATGGAGATTTCAGCTTTCTATGGCATCAACAGGTGGCAGCGATGATACTTTTCTATTTCCTGGCTCCGAGAGTTGGTTGGGACCTGATCATCTTTCTTTTCCCTCTTGCAAGAGGTTACGCTAGGGAGTTAGCGATTGTTGATACATTATTCCCTTTCCACGGGCCTTTTGGTCCTTTCCTCTTGTACCCCGAAGCCAGAACGGGACATTGAACTTCCTATTCTAATCTGGCACTCCCTCAGAAGTCTCTTCTAGTTTGCGTTGCCAGATCAGCCCTTAAAGTGTGCCCCTCCTGGGTGGCCTGAATCCCATCTCACCCCCCTCGAATGGAATACCAGGGAAGCTTAGATATCTGGATCCTCAGAAGTCAAGGAGACAGAGAATCAAGTTTGATACACGGATTGAACAAGTTGTTGTCCTGACACTCTACCATTGTGCTTCGTGTCAATCCTTACATCTGCCCAACTAGAGTTATACGGGATTGCGGACAACAACATCTAGCAGCGAACCACTCCGAAACTTCACCGAAGTGAGGGCGCCTCTGACTAATAATATGGAATTTAGCACTTACCGAAATGGAATATGCAAGTAGAGAACCCTTGGATATGGGGGGCGAGGAGTGACTTTCATCCCCCTGCAGGTACTTCCCGACCCCCAAGAGCCTTGGGAAAACATATAACGTTCTGCTGCCCCCTCACGGTCCTCACACCAAAATTCAACCGTCCTCCATTTTTCAAGGTAAACGGATTTGTTCTTTGGTTACTCGCACTCACGCCCCGTTTGGCAGTCAATCGACTGAAAGGCCCTGTTCACCGCCCTCACGCTACGCCCTCACACACATTATGCAACTTCTAGTCAGCCCCGATACGGAGGAGATTATCCAAGCCAACGAGAATCAAGTATTTGGCTCTGGGAGGTAAGGCGCTCTTTTTTTTTTACTAACCTTCTTACACAGCCTAGCTGGCTCTGCCTTGTCAAACGCCATTTCCAATAACCTTGCATACGATGCGGATCCACTTCCAGCCCAGCCTTCTTTTGTCCGACGCGACAATAGAAGCTTGGTGACTCTTGGCCGACCTACGAGCTATTTGGACCCCTTTGTTAGAGTACCAGGAAGCAGCCCTTGGAATTATTCGGCTGGACTTCAGTTCGAACAGCCTCATGAGTTCTCACGTTCTCAGAACTATGGCCTCGGAAACACTCTGTGCAACAATCCTTGGAATCCAGTGGTCCATTCCGAGGTCCAGGCATGGGATTTCAACAATTGTCAGTCCAGTACTAGGGTGTCAGGCACAACGTCGACGACCGTACCCGCTTTCACCCGCAGCAATAGCGGTAACACCGATGTTGGAACGTGGCATAATGTTGATGCTCAAGATAACAACTATTCTATTCCTGGCCACAATTTGGCCAATGGCAACTTGGAGGCTTTGAATGCTTCAGTCATCGGCAATCATCCATTGGACATACTCTCCATGGGCGTTGGACAGGCTGCGTACGAGAGGCTGATGTCTGGACTTGATGATGTCTCTCAACAGGGACCATGGGGTTATGGTACGGCGATTTGTGGACAGACTCTCTCTACAAATCTCTTCCCGGACCCTGGTCCGTCCCCCCAGCCCAGTGGTGGTATTTTGAGTATTGCAGAAAGCCAGAGCCTTTTGTTTCTGGAATCTCATGCCCAAGACTTTCAGAACGGATTTCATCTGGCCCAGGGTTCATCACCGGGCACTAATCAAACGAGCCCTCCGCAGCAGTCCGCTATCACAGTCCGCCATTACTCCTGCTCCAATGGCAATTGCACGAAAGTGTTCAGGCGGAAGTCTGATCATGCTCATCACATCCGAGCTGTCCATGGAGTCAATCGTGTCCAGTACTTCTGCCATGTCCAAGGATGTCCAAAGAGCCAAGGCCAAGGCCAGGGATACAGCCGCGATGACAAGCTCACTGAGCACTTGTGGAAGAAGCATGGTAATTTGGGGTATTCGAAGAGCAGATAGAGTTGTTCCTTTGGTGGGAAAACCAGTACATCATGGATATGACCGTCGGAAGGGAAGCCTGGGAGAACGGGACTGACGAATTTCCGTTCATCTGCTTGATTTATCTGCTTTAGTTTTATCTAATGTTGAACGTCAATACTCTCCTCACTCTCTTCCTTCCTGCTCACCGGCAACCTCACCATATACCCCACCTTATAAACCCCATACCTCAAACCCTCCCCTTAACCCAAGTCTTCAAATCGACCTCAAACCTCTCGACAACTTTTCACCCCCTCTGTACATAAAACGGCGTCGCCACCGCCGTCCCTTGCAAACAACTCACCAGTCCCTCTTTGTCCGCCGTCTCATGTGCAGCTTTAATCACACTTGTCCCCACGCCTCTCCCTTGGAACTCCGGCTTCATGAAAAGTGTCGCCAGATACAAAAACCTCCTCCCGGCAAACCACTCCCGCTGCACGCTTATGTACATATTATTCAGAAAGCCCGATAGGATTGATGTATTCAAATTATTGGGTGTACCGCGAGTCATTTTGAGATTTTAGAGCAGAACTTGAGGTTTAGATGCAGAGAGAGCGAGAGACGGAGCGAGAGAGAGATATATAAAGACATGTAGCTGTCCCAGTCTCACGTTAGCCTCGTGTGGGGTAATACTATTAAATGCGGGGGCTCGTTGCCTGCGCCGCTGGGGAGCATGAGATAATCGCATTCGCAGAGACGATCTATCTCGCCCACTTAAATTAGATCTGATAAGCATTTATCCACGCTATGTAACTAAATTCAAAAGTAGAAATTCAAAGTCCCCGACTCAAGCACTTTTGTAGTTATTAACTGAATGGCGCCATTACCAACAGATACTTACAACTTACTCCCCCTCGCCATAAACACACTCCTCTCCATCTTGGTCCCTTTCTCCTTATCCTCAAACACGACTCCCTTCCCAAGAACCACATATTCAAAACCTCCACCTACACCTGCTCCCTCAAATACCTTCTTCACCTCTTCATCTGAGAACCCCATATGTGTGACCGTCTTCTTAGCCGGGTGGTCATGGCCATCATGACCATGGAAATGTGCGTGAGGCATAAAATCAACAATCATAAACACCCCTCCTTTCTTTAGCCTCTCGGCCAGTCTCTTCGCCGCTAGAGCCGGGTCGTCAAAATGATGGAATCCCAGTCCCACGACGGCGATATCGAAATCATAGAACTCGGGCCCAGACAGCGTTGTAGGGTTGGGGTTCGAGGCATCAAGGAGATTCCCAAGCATGGCGTACATTTCAGAAGTTGGTATGCCTTGGTTTTGAACTGAAGCGTTGTACTCGTTCACCATTCCTTCTGAGATGTCAATACCTACGCATTGCGTGACATATGGTGCAAGACCCTGCATTTTATCAGTCTTGAACGGAATGGAGGGCAAAAGTGTACGAACACGTGACACGAGGCCAGTTCCACAGGCATAGTCTAACAGTCTGACTGGTTTCTTGGAAGGAGAAAATTCATCTTCATCGTCGGAATTGTCCTCGACCCAATCTACGCCGATCCAGTCCTTTCGTTTCTGGATTTCGTTGATGATTTGTTGGATGGTTTTGGAGAATTTGGAGTTGTAGGTTGAGGCCGCCTCACTGGAGGAGAATTAGCATATATTCAGAATATTCTATAAAATACGAAGGAAGTAGTAAAGGTGTGGGTCTTGGCTGCATAGAATCTTTTATCTTATGATCGAACAGGCCGAAATGGGATGAAGCCAAGGTTCCCGCTACAAGAGCAGATAACGGAGAGATTTTACTCACTTCCAGTGCGAACGGTTTGTCTCTGTATTATCTGACATGTCTGAGTTGTTGGAGTAGTGCGGCTTGATCGTTGAATTGAGGGAAGAGATGGAAGCTTTCGTCGTTTTTATGTGAGCCCTTTCTCGCTTACGGACACTTTTCGCGAACTTTCATGCACGCCCCCTTTCAGAATCAACCAATAAGATAGCTAATAAGTAATAAAGTCTCCGACAAGTTGTTAAAGTTGCCGAAAGTGTTTCTCGTTATGGATCCTTTCGGTCTGGGCCATCTCATGTCAGGAGACACTCAGCCAGCAGAGACTCAAATCTTTAATCCAGCGGTCATTTAAAACTCGATCACCTGGCTCTGATTTGTCATAGGTATGGAGTCTCATAATGTAGGCCAATAGGCGTCTATTCATACTATCAATTGCTCGTCTACGTCCCGTAAAGCACCACCGCAATTTCAATCAACCAATCTTCCAATGCCGCGAGGGAACGCCCAAACCCATGCATGTATCTACAAGCAAACATGCTCACTCCGCTAGGCCTTCCGCAGAGGGCAAGGGAATAGCCTTGTAAAGCAAGATCAATGCAGAATGAGACTCTCCGCCACCAGACAAGGTTGTGATCTTATCAGCGTCGACCTCGGAAACTTTGTCATCGTTGAACCACCACCACTTACCATCCTCCTCACCACGCTTGCCAGTCTTTGGATTAAGTGGGCCAACCTTCTTGACATAAGCAGTGTAGTGACCACTGTCTGCACTGGCGCCTTGATGCGTAACAACACCACGAAGCTCATAGAGACCAGATTTATTTGCTCCCTCATCCTTCTCAAGGTCGGGGTCGATCAAAGCGTGGAGCTCCTTCTTGGCTGCAAGGATTGAGGCAGCTCGCTCAGCCTCGACTTTGGCATCAGTCTTGTAGACAACATCCTCCATTGTGGTATCTCCATCAGCAGCCTTGGCTTCCTTCTTCTTGTCCTCGGCCTTCTTTTCGTCGGCTTTCTGAGACTCCGAAACAGAATCTACAATTCCCGCCGCTTCGTCGGCGACTTGCTTGTCGTGAATGCGTTTTTGTCGCTTTCTGGCTCTCTCGACATCCTCTTCATCCTTTCGGACCTCCCGAACCTTGTCTCGAACAGGGATCAACATCTTCTTAAGCTCGTCCGTGCAGAATTCGACGACGTCTAACTCATCCGGGAAAGTGACCTTGCGCATGATCTTTGCTTTCTTCTGAGCTTCGCGCTTCCAGAAAAATCGAACGAAGTGAACAGTCAAATACTTTGGCAGCCGCGAGATTTTGGACTTCTTGGTATAAATCGCATCTCGGTTGAGGACGGACGAATTCTTCTCAATCTTTTCTTCCAAACCGGCTAGAATACCGTCTCTCAAGTGATTTGTTGTAGCGCTAATGTGGCAATCGAGTTTCAAGAATACATCGTCACTCTTGACCGCCTCCTCGCCACCGTCTCTGGCAGCTTGTTCATCGCATTCGGTTATCGATGAGAATCCTCCGGCAAAGTATTTATCAACAAAAGATATTTCCTTTGCTTCAGTGCTGCCTTCATTTGGTTCCTTAAGCTTCAGCTTTTGGCGTAATTGTGATACAATTTGTGACCAAGCCTCCTCCGCGTCTTGCTGAGCATAACCATGACCAGACTTAGACTTTTGGGCGAATTGTGGGAAAGCGGTTCGAAGAGCGTTCAAGAAAACCAGTGGTGGGAATCCATCTTGAGTCTCGCCCATTTGCTTGTACAGATCCCTCAATGAAGCAGTCAAATCCGCCGAGGCTCCCAGACCACTAAGTCCAAACATACTCAAGTCTCCGAGAGAAGTTCCACTCGTGCCAGCAGCGGGCGGCGCCGGCGTGTATTTGGCCAACTCCTGCTGGAGTTCTGGCACGGCTCGTAATGTTTGTAGAGTCGAGTTGAGATAACAAGTATTTCCAAGGTTCTGAAGACCAGCCGGAATGGCACCAACTTGCTTTGCAGCCTCAGCCTCAGTCATGTCTTCGACGAATTTGACAGCTTCCTTTGGTCTTTGAAGCTCACCACCACCTCCAGAAGGGGTACCCATCATCATGAAAGTCTGTCCAGGCTTTGCGCCGAGCTTTGAGAGGTCGGTGTCATCCTTAAGTTGGCCACCCTTCACTAAGATCTTTTGTCGGTCCGGTTCGACACCGGTCAAGGAGTAGAGCTGGAATTTGAAGACTTCTCCGAGGGAGGTAGGGTCGAGTTCGACATCATATTTCTTGCCTTGATGTTTGACAATCACTGCAAGAGTGGTTAGTAAAATTCCGGCCACCTGAGATCAATATAGTCACAAACCTGGGATGGTAGCCATGTTTGTGGCGGGGCGAAAGAGGTGGTGGGAGATGAAGTTCAGTCCCCGAAGGTACAAGAGATCAAAAAGAGAGCTCTAGAGTGTCTGCGCTGTGTCTGCGCTTGGGTTCAATACAGGGCAACTTCCTGATGGGTTTTTTGAATGAAGAACTTCAAAGATGAACGGCAGAGGATTTATCAACAATGCAGGCAGCCGTAAACGGCTAGCGCGTGTACGTACGTAGTGTGGGCTGCTTCGCTCAACCCCACTACGACCCCGTAATACACGCACGACAGCAGCACTTTGGGGTTTTGAAGACTTGAGAGCCGGCACCATGGTAAGATTATAATGAGTTGCAAGAAGCAGAGTAGAATATTGACTTTGGACTAGTCTCAGTCATTGCGACCTTACCTCCAATGCGTGCGCTCCTCCCTAACCTCCGCCCTCTGCCTTTCCAACTTCGCATCGCAAACTTCTGAACGACACAATGTCCCCGAAATCGAAGCGCAGACATCACCGGAAGTCCTACTGAATCCCTTAACTGTCGCCCGAAATGAGAATGAGCGAGTCCTCATTGAGCCGAGCATAAACAGTGTCCGGATCAGCATCAAGATCAAGCAGGCAGATGAAATCGAACACATTTTGGTGCACAAGTTCACGAGATTCCTTACGCAAAGAGCAGAAGCATTCTTTATTCTACGGAGGAAGCCGATCAAGGTTGGTAATGCAATGAAGGAGTACCGAGTTATACTGATTGAATAGGGATATGATATCTCGTTCTTGATTACGAATTACCATACCGAGGAGATGTTGAAGCATAAACTGGTGGATTTCATCATACAGTTCATGGAGGAGGTAGATAAAGAGATTTCAGAAATGAAGCTTTTCGTGGGTAGACTTCCAACCTTTTGTAGGGTTGTACTGACTCCATTGGCAGCTGAATGCACGAGCAAGATTCGTAGCAGAGTCCTTCTTGACACCTGTGAGTAGGCCTGGAATCTGTTCCACAAAGGGTGGGTTACTGATAATGTTCCTTTAGTTCGATTAAGCATAGCATTGCAAGAAAAGCGGATCCGGATAATATGCGTTGGTTGGCTGCTGGCTGTTCGGCCTCGAGTTGAGAACTGGCGTTCAGGTGGCATAAAAGAATTTTACATTGACGATAAAATTCGATGGCTTACGAGAACGCACTTCTCTTGAGGGTGGTCATGTAGGTCCACACAAGAATACTGTGAAATTGGTTCAAGACTTCAAGCATCAAGTGGTGTAGATCGACTCCAACCGGATGGGTCATTTCATGGCTATTCTTCATGCCCAATTGAACTTTCAATACTTGCTATAAAAGTGAAAGCTCAAGACATCTGCATGCCCCACAGGTTCGGCTATATTGCCCTCGAAATGTGTTTCAAAAGTTTGACCTTCTAGAGTGCTAAGCCGAAGCCAGAAGAAGCATTGTAGCCAATGCAGCAATGTGCAGGGTACCAGTCCGATAAGCCCAAGCAATTAACCTCATTCCTGCGTCAAGGCTTCACCACTGTCTTATCTTCCTCATTTTCAGTCCGGATTCATAACTTCGCCACTGCATGAACCAAAACCCATCCCACTGCACCCGCTAAGAAAAACTTGGCTTGATGGTATTCTACCTCGACGCTATTCCTCTCCTCACGAGTCAGAATTCCTCTCTGAAGTCGCATGAATGAATCTCCAAAAGCGTCCCGAACCCAAGTCAAATCTCGATAAAGGTCCCAGATATCGGCGCTTTGTTGCATGGCATATAGAACCCTTCGGCAAAATTCCATACCAAGCTGACGTAACTCAGGTTCATCATAGATATCGAACGTCCAAGCTCTAACTGCGTTTTCGATGAGGAAAGGAGTTTGGCGGTTGGGTTGCTGGCCAGGCAGCGGTTTCTGTTGTCTAAGATTAGCACAAGAAAAGTGAACTGAATGAGAGCTTTATACCATGTGTCCGATCAACTCAGCAAAGGTTTCTACCGCAACGACTCTGTTGTAGTCCATTGCTTTTCTTCAATATTTGTAGGAGCTTGAAAGAGCAATTGCTGACAATTCGTTTTGTAGAGGTGTAGTTTGGTTGTCAAATGTTGTCAGTTTGAAGGAAAGGTTAAAGAAGAGCCCAAGAAAGAGGCGCAAGACTGGTCAATGATTCACTTTTGAGAGTGACATCGTCTCCCCGCGAATTTCTGCGGGTGGCCTATGTAAAGGTGAAGACAAAGTCATCGCCCTAACCCTCGTTCTCACCTTGCCGCATCTGCATCACTGCTGGCAGAAGCGAGTCTTCTGGAAGTTGTCTTGTACCTACAACCGGACTACCCAATCATGACATTCTGGAGATGGCTTGCATACCGGTACACTGACATATTCCATTATTACGTTTTGAATCACCGCATCAATCCCATGGGTCATTATTGAGCTCCGCCAGCCGAAATCCCTCATAATATCATAAACACAATTCATCCTAGTATGGCAAGCACTACCCCAGACATAGCCAGCCAAGGCACAGCTCGCAGTCACCCCTTTACACAAACCCATCTAGATGGGATCTGAAGTGGTTCCAAAATGATATGCCCCCGTGTTACTGTTTCGTGTTGGCTGAGTCTCAGAGAATTCTGATCGGTCAGAAGCTCTTGGGCTCGGTTTTGCTGCCCTTCGACGAGCAGCTATTTACGCTGGCGAGCGAGTTGTGTTTGGTGGGCCAATTGGTCGAAATAAAAGAATCCAGCATCCTCTCACAGACAGCTGGATGAATTTAGAGGCTGCAACATTGATGGTCTACCAGGCTGCAAGATTGTATGATCAGGGATATTCAGGGGGAGACTACGCCAATGCTGCGAAGTATCTTGCCGCCGAGGCGGCTTTTAAAGCTTCCGAGAGAGCCATTATGACACATAGAGGCATAGGATACGCAAAAGAATACCATGTAGAGAGGTATTTGAGGGAGGTCTTCATCCCGAGGATTGCTCCAGTGAGTAAGGAGAATTACATTGGGGAGAGAGTCTTGGGTTTACCAAAATCGCACTAAGACCCAGGACAGCGGAGCCCCCCAAGGTTCTTTGGGCCTTAAGAAAGGTGCTGGGGAACACTTGGGTCGAAATCTCAAAGACTCTGGATGCGGTCAAAAAGGATGAGGTAGAAGGGTAAAAATCAAAACCCAACTCTGTCTGGGGGGAATAGACTTTGGTGCCCGTACCGCGGCATACTCTTTCTTTCTTTTGCTTGACCAATCAGAGTCCTCCATGGATGGTTAGTTCGATATAATATCGGCAAACTCGACACAGGAGTTGACATCCAACCTGAGGGATGATAAGGTAAATTTTGGCTTGTTGTTTGTCACGTGACTATTCTTTCAAGATTGAACGTCCTTAGTCAAATCCTTCACAATGGAAGTATGAAAGTACCAAAAAAGCTTATGTCTGTCAACTGTTCTCTATGTTCTTCTTTCAGTGGATATAAAAGTAACCCCTTTTCCCTGCCCAGAATAGACTAGCTCACCAGCCACCCATTTACAAAGTCGCTTGGCTTCAAAACTTGAACATCAGGAACATTCCTCTGCACCAGAATATACCTCCGTACAAAAAACAATTTCATTATCAAATTTTCACAGCCCCATCAAGACATGCCTTCGAAGTCCTCGCTAAAGTCTTCCCAGCTCCATACCACAACAAAAACGTTTCTCGAGCCACTGAATTCTAGCAGGCTCTGCCGAGGGTTTGTAGATATCTCATGGGGAGACAAAAGTGAAACAGTACATGCATGATATTCTACGGCACCTAGTGGTCTTTTCCCTACAATATGAACTAGTTATATGGTACTTGCAATGGTTCTTCGAGTGATTTGCATTGTTTTTGGTAATATCAGCGCTTCGCGAGCAATCTTGTTTTCATTACCAGTGTCTCGCAGCACTCCAAGACTTCAAGAAGCCGTCCTATGAAGGGCTCCGAACTTTGTAATGCCTTAGATCTCGGAGTGCAATAGGTAGAATGTCGCGGCCTACAGCCTACGCCCCCATGGCAACATTCCACACCATTTTATGCAATTCGCGTCAATTGTAAGCAATTCCAAGGCTGGGGTTGTTGCTATCCCTTGATAAGCCAATATAGCTCTTAGCGTGAAAGTGGAACAAATCCGAAGGAGGAAATGTGGAGAAATGACCGTTGGCTTCTGGAAGGTAGAGAAAGTGGCCCTGATCTACCTCTATCAAGAACTCAAAAATCTTGCAGTTCACTTGAATCACTAAAGGACATCCGTCATCGTCGACTTTTGACACAGACTGTTAACAGTGTCTCCGCAGGCAGGTTCGGGGTCTCTAATCGCGACCTTGATAAGCAGAGAATTCGCACAATGTCTGTAAAATAATTTGGGAATCATGTATTTAATAAATTATGTATGAATTTCCGTACACTTGCAGCAATTTTCCTTTATTGAATTTTGCCAGCATAAACTGGCCCCTTTGTGGTCTCCCGCCCACTCTGCGGCATGCGCTGCTGGACACATTAAATTGCGAAAAGATTCGCGATACCTCCCAGAACAACATGTATTGGCCTTCAACCCATCCTTTCAGCACAACATATCATCATAGCTTTCAATAACCCAACCTCCCCCCCTCGTGCGCCACCTCCAAGTGATCGACTACTGTGAAATAAACGCTCGCTAAAGCCCCTGAATGGATTTGTCATCAGCCAACTTCACTCCTTGTGGGTACGACGCACTCACCAAAGAACAGGCAGGAACAAGCCCAGAAGAACAAACGACAGGAAGTGATAATCAACGTTGGGTTTTGAAGTTCGATTGGTCTAATTTTCCTGCTCTTTGGATTTAGAGGGAGTGGATAGGCGTAGTTCTGTGCTCAACAAGGCAATGGAAGGCGATGCTTTGCTGCATTGTACCCCAAACTTTCTTCGCCTTTATAAAATACTTGAAGAGCTGATGGAATGAAAATCCCTTTTGTCTGATTTCCTTTTGGACTTGTCCGGGGTCTGAAGAAGTGAGTTGGATATGGCAATCTTCGTGTTGAGACCTTGCGGCTGTGCTGCGTCTCCTTGGAATTTAGACGATCATAATGGCACATAAAGATCAATAAAAAGCTTCCTTACCAGAAGACCCTTCAATACCCCTTATAGCAATGAATGCCAGATTCCCTATGGTCATGACTGGGCTACTGCCGAAATGCATGAATCTCCAGCCTGACGCCCCCCTCAGTGCACAATACTGTTTGCAACCATCTATAAAGGAACTCCCGACTTCGAAGTAGCATGATATACTCCCTTCTAGATCTCACTACTTTAAATCAAAGACTCCTTCATCTCATTCCTCTCCTTTTAGCCCGTCTTTTGCACTTCCGCAGAAGTGTTCAAACGGCAGGAGGCGCCGTCACCTCTGCCCAGCCGCCTCCCAAGCCGCACCTCTTGAGCCGCACGATGTCAGCCATATCAAGAGGCAAAAAGGGTCAGCGCCGAGACACTAATGGACGGAGCTAGTAATAAAAAAAGGAGTAGATTGTAGATAACAATAATTTCCTAGAAACTTCGGTTGCACTCGATCTCCATCCTCTTTTCAACCGCAAAACACCAACGCCAGGCATATAGGTAAAATGGCAGGCAAGCCGTGTGGTGCCAACTACCCAAGCAATATGCAGCCGAGGGCTACAGGGAATGCTATAGAATTCACCAAGAGAGTTCGCCGCACTAAAAGCGCAGAATTTACTCGAGAGCAGAGGCTCCACACCTATCACCAAGGATCGATCTCGGTCACCTCTTCCCAACTCGCATCAGTCATCTCAAGCGCGAGAGACATCGAACCGTTTTTGCGACTTGCTCACGGATACGACGACATCGCATTGGAACGTTGGCTGAACACCATTCCTCAGGAAGCAGAGAAACAGGTCAAGCAGGAAGCTGACAACAGCGACAAGATGTCGAAGCAGGGTCTCCCCACCGGCAGAGGCTTTGCACCAGCGCCCATCCCACAGTATATCGCATCTGAGCAACAACAGAGCAGCGACTCAGTTGATTCTCAAGACTCTGTCAGAACCCAGATTCCACTCCCGTATCATCTTCCCAACGATTCTTCTCAGGGCTACGGCTTCACGAATTCATCTGGTCAACAGATCGGAAACCTCACGCGTCCTTGGGGCACTCCTGATCTTTCGGGAACTGCTTCCTTCGACAATGCTCACGGTGGTGCTCCTGGATCCTCCCGATCTTTGAACCCGGCATCGGCACCGTACGTTCCGCCAGGATACCCGCCAACTCTTCAGCGCTACAACAGTCACGGTGCTTCGATGACCTCACCTTTCCACCAGCAAGCTCAGCAAGCTCATCTCGGGGGCATGTCCATTTATCCCAACAATCCTTTCACCCCAGGTCAGGTGTCGGCAGGAGCTCAGCTTCAAGGCACCTATGGCGGTGCGCCACCCATGAACCCGTACTCTCATTTTGGCTCTGCCGCTGGAATGAATGGCTACAATCCATATAATGCTGGTCTTGACAACTCGTACGCTGCGAGCGATGGTGCCTCTCCTGCAATGAGCCAATCCTCTATGGCACAGCCGACATATCAGAGCCTTCCATATGGTCCTGGTACTGGCGCTGGCATCACTCCTCCTGCGGAGTATGCCCCGGCTCAATCTGGCTACCAGGGTTCAAACCAGGCCTGGGGAAGCATGTACACTCCTCAAGCCCAGTACCAAGCGCAACCGCCGGTTCAGATCTACGTCAATCCTGCAAATGTCCATCGTGGAAAGCCTCCTTATGCCAGCGGCCGCAAATCAACTGGCAACTCTGGACTCGGCCATGGTCATCCAACTTCGAACTTGGCCACTGCTCCTGTCCTGAGCGCTCAATCCGGTTTCGCCCACGGTCAACCAACTTCCAGCTTTGCTAGCGCTTCTCTCATGAGTGCTGCTGGAAAGGAGAATGTGAAGATGACCTCGACTCACAAGGAGAAGTTTGGTGCCCCGGTCATTCCACCATCCCAAGCTGCCAAACTTGACGCCAGTCCAGCAAAGAGCGCCATTCGCACCCGTACAGCATCCCCTGAGCGTCGATCAGAAGTGCCAGAGGCTGCTCCAACTCCAGGTCCGAAGAACCAACCCCTCGATCTCGAGTTCAGTTCTGAGCCACGTAATACTGTCACTCCGTCCTTGAGATCTCGCCGTGGACAGACGATCACCAACGCAGTCACGTCTCCCCGCAAGCAACCCACGACCAACTGGCTTGACAACATCCCCAATCTCGCAAACATTGAGTCTCAAGGTAGCGCAACTCAAGCTCAATCCCCACCCAAGATGTTGAGTCTCCTCGGTTCTAGTGCCGGTGATAGCAAGGCCTTGGCTACCATCAGCGAGAATGATCCCTTTGTTGGTCCCCCCCGCTCCCGTGCAGCAACCGTCCACAACAACCCATTTGCACCGAAGCCTCAGGCGAGCCCATATGCTCCTGGTAGCCGTCTCATCGGCCCTCCTTCGGGTCCCAGCCCACATCTTCGTGCTTTGACCAGTGGTGGTTCTCGCTTGCCGAGTCTTGAGGAGGCCCTTGACCCGAACAACTTTCCGTTCATTGAGATGTGTAGATTGGGTAGAGAGGAAACTTTTGGCGTCATCAAGATCAAGAATGTAAGTTACTCTCCCCCGGAAGTCCAACGAATCCTTATTAACAACGATTGCAGATCCCTTATGGTGTCACTCGCCCAGAGATTCTTGCATTCCTTGGTCGCAATGCGCGTATCATCAATGAACAAGAGTACGAGCCAGTTCATATCGTCATGGAGCGTGTTACCAGCAAGACCCTTGACTGTTATGTCGAGTTCATCAACTTGAACGAGGCTGTTAATGCTGTCAATCGTTTCGAGACCAATCGTGCTGGCAATAGGGGCGGCAGATTGGGATCACGCCATGTTGAATGCGAGCTCTCTAGCCAGGAGCAGTTGATGAAGGATCTCTTCCCCAAGGCAAAGAATGTTGCGTGGCAGGGTTCCAGACCTATTATCATCCCCAATGATCCGAACGACCGCTACAACTCAGGATTTCAAGGCTTCATCAGCAAGGAGGAGTTGGTTATGTTGGTGAAGCATGTCGAAGCTCCTCAACGCGTGAGTTGATCTGTCTTTCTGTTCTGTACGATGGCTGTAGCTGATAAACACAGTCTCCGTTCTCCAAGGAATGCCCTCAGCGTCCATTCGAGTGTCTTATCAGCACGTTGTTGAAGGTATATTCCCATGCTCTGAGTCTGGCTGAAAACCAGACTCTAGATATTCCAGTGGACTTGACTAACAATTAGCAGTATCCTTGGTACATGGTTGATCACATCACCATCAATGACCGATATTTGCTTCACAAGGCAACCATTGAACTTATCAAACTCCTGAAGGAGAGAATTGACAGTGAAACTGATCCGGTCAATCTCAACAACCAGCTCTTCAAGAGAGTTTGGCGTGCAGCATTGAAGTGCCCCGGCTTCACCCCGTGCATGAAGGACGATGTCGTCTATGTCTGTGACATTGATGATAGCACTGCACTTGAACTTGGTGTCGCTCCCTATGCGGTTTGGTGGAAGCCATTGTTCACTATTGGCCACAAGCCAGATATTCCCACGGATACGTTGATGGTAAGTTTATGTCATACTCTGGACTTGCTGTATTATATCCTGACTAGAATTCTCAGTGGTACATCGCCATCATTCGTGAGCACCTTGACCGCAAGAAGGCATACGTTAGCCTCGCCGAGCGTGCTGCCCGAAATGAAGGAAACGAGTTGCCAAAGCTCTTCGGTGACCTCGACAAGCTTATTGAACGACCAGAGGGCTGGGGGAACATGACCTTGGGACAGGTGGCTAGATACGAGTGGACTGCCGTCGAGCAGGTCTTGCGTGAGATCTTGACTCCTGCCTTGGAGGGGCGAAAGTGAACAACGACAATTCCAGGCTCTACTTGCTTCCGCGCACATCAACTCTATACACGACAAAGTTCGACAGCGGTTTTAACAGATGTGCCTGCTTCAGGAATTCTGACAACCAGCTTGTGCGTCTCGATATAACGACTGCATTGCAGCTTGGTTGCGATCGAAAGTTATTCAAGACTGTCAGATCACATTGCGCCGGACATTGCTCTCATACAGGGAGACTTCTGGAAAACAGACTGTCTTTTCTATGAGATCAGAGCTGTTATTTTCCTTTCCGTTCCCTTTTCCTTTTCCTTGATGATGTTTTCTTTCCAAACGAAATTGATGAAGCATATTTTATGGTGTTATGGAGTTGGCTGTCTTCGAGATACCACGGACTCATGGCCAGACGGGCGTTTCTTTTCGTCTTTTCTTTCCTTGAATGAACAAAATGCATGAAGTGGGGCTATGAGCCGGGATGCGACGTGACGGGGATGGTCGCCAGCAGAATTGACTTGATGAGTAGTAACTGACTTCATGAAGAGGTCTGCTACTCGGCTCCCGTCAGGACACCGCACAGCAATAAATTTCCTTAGAAAATGACCTGTGATTTGACCAGTGGTGATTGTGAAGCTTGTCGTCCCAGCGGCAAATGCATAAATCAAGCATGTGGCTGGGATATAGCCCCATGAACTCCGCAGGAAAGCAAAGGAGCGACACATGATGAGAAGCGGCAAAATTCCAATCTCATAGTTTTCGAGAAACCACAATTGAACCTCGCAGGAACATCTTCGTACAGACCTGCCAAGGATTGATCTCTCAGTGATGATGAGGTTGGAGATGTAAAGAGAGTGTGTCTCGTGCGCGGAGAAAAGGCGAAGCTGCACGGGCCAATTATCCATCAACTACTCCCAAAACGGTAGTCACCTCTCCTCCACAAAACATGGCACAACGTCTCCCGCCGTCATTCGTTGCTAAGAAGCAAAAGATCTTAGAGCAGTTGGCTATCCCAGCAGAGGAGTACGATGACCTGTCCCCCAAAGGCTCAATCGATGAAGGAATTCTGGATTTGATACACGAGATCAATGCTCTTGACGGATGTGTGACTACGAGTAGTTGTGCTGGAAGGATAAGTGTCTTTCTTGAAGGCAAAAAGAAATCTGCATCTTTTAAAGTCGAGAATGGGATCGAGGAGGGAGAAAGAATAGGGGTTACCTTGAAGGGAGCTGGTGTTGGAGGTAAAGGTGGCGGTGGGAGGTGGCTGTTCGTTTCTCACGATCCTGTGGATACTTCAAACCATTATGGTGCATGGAAAGACTTGTTTGGGATGCAAAACGAAGATATTGAAGGAAAGGAACTGTTGTCATTAGGTGCTGCACGGGATATCAGGTTTATACATTTCAAGTTTGAACCTATGGTAAGTCGCAAAGTTCTATATTGACCTGCACTCACTAATTTGTCTAGATCCTTCACGTCCTCACAGCATCTCTACAGCAGGCACAGAATGTCATCTCCGCTGCCTTACAAGCAGGCTTTCGAGAGAGCGGGGCCTTGAATCTCACTTCATCATCCCCAGAACCGGCAACGCCAATGATTGGTATTCGCTCTATGGGCTTGGCTCTTGAATCTGTGATCGGATTTGAAAGTGGAGGCAAGGAGTTTTGTATGGTACCAGAGTATCAGCTGCGGAATCTTGTAGAGGTTTCGAATGATCGATTCAAGGAGAACACCAAGAGAATCGAGAGATTCCAATCCTTGCTGCCGGAGATAGGCAGCGGAGCACAGGAGAAGAGAAGCAAGCAAGGAGAAGGATGGGAAGATACTCAGGTTCGGAGTGAAAGAAAAAAAGCTGAAGGTCTGAAGAAGGCTCAAAGGATGAAGCAGTCTGCTCACCAAGAGACCAAGATTCCCGAAGAGGTCCCTGGTGTTGGTTTCTTGGAACAAAATACATAAGAACTTCCGCAACACTCTGCACTCGATCACTGAGACCCGTTCATGATGTCAATGCCACTATTTCCATGCATAGCCTTCTATTACGGATACACGTATTCTACAATTCCCAGTACTCATTTCTTCGTTGTCACACCCATATGCCTATCTGACAATCTTCTCAACCCACACGCCTTCTAACCTCCTAACCTCATTCTTAAAGTTTTCCACCTCCTTCCAACAGTCAAGTGGCCGTCTATCATTCTCCCTCAAGCACTTCACCACCTCACTCTTCGCATTCTCAACACCCTCATCAACAGCCGTCAACTTCTTCCTCTGTTCCAGCTTCTTCCTCAACTCCTTAACATCATTCTGCACTGCTTCTCTTCCCAGATCTCGGAGTGTATCACCGGCAGATTTGCCCTCCTTCTTAGACAAATCCTCGGCTGCGGAGATCTTGGCTTGTAGTTCCTCGAAGTCCCTTGATGCGCGGTCCTGTAGACGTTTGAGTTCTTCGGCTACGCGGGCTTGGATGTGTAGTTCGAGGGTTTTGGTACGAGTAGAATCGGTCTGCGTATGGAATCAGATCTTGTAATTCTCGAGTGGAATTGGCTTCCTACCTCCGGACTTGACTGGAGAGAATCTACGAGTCCTTGTGAAAATCGGACGGGTGTTTCGCTGAGCAACAGATCAGTATTGGGAAGCGTAGGAACTGGACTGGGTGGAAACTCACGCTGTCCAAACCTGAGATGTAGGCGTCGCCGCCGGTTTGGAGGACCCGGATCCCATCTTGAGAGTCTGTTGCAGCTTCAATGGCAGTTCTTCCGACATGTTCTTGCCGAAAGCCTCGCATTTTTGGATTATGTTATTTCACGTGATTCTGAAGCGATGCGCTCGGCGGGCTTCTCCGTGAAGGCTTCACGGAGCGTCTGGGTGTCTGAAAAAGGACTAGTGTCTCTGAAGCGAGCTTACGTTGATGCCTTACTTTTCTTTCTCTGCCTGCAAGGAGCTGACTCTGCTTATCCGTGATCAGTTCCTCCCATCGCGAAAAAGCCCATTTCTTGTTTCAAACATGTGAACATATTGCAGGAAGGCGGTCTCCGGTCCCTGCGAGTTTCCTTTCATTCCATCACCACCGCGTACCCAAAGCTGGGGCACAATTTGCAAGCAAACAGAAGTCGTTGGATTTCGAAAGCTGAACCCTCTACATGCAACAGACATTCGTCAGCCGAATCTCATCCGATTCAGAATCTCGTGATCATAGAGATGTTTCTTGATGGGATTATCGCGACCAATGGAAGACCCATTTTGTTTCCCCTTAACAACTGCACACTTGGCGTTTCAAACAATTGACCACTCAAAAATGGCGTTCTGGACGACGCCAGGGACATCCGAATAAACGCCACAGGGGCGGCTGTTTCTCACAGCCAACCATCCTCTCGACCCCTGATTTATACCCAACCCCTCACTTTGGCGTACCACCGATAGGCTCTGGTCATCTCCCACAGGTAAAAGGGCTTGAGGCGGTCGTGATCCACTCTTGCTGCTCTGCATCAAACCCTAGGGGGTGGCTTCAGGTGGGGACAAGTCAGATATGTTCTTGCATGTAGCTTCTCTTCTCCTCTTATATATCCTCTCTGCTATTTCTTTTCCCCCGGTGCCAAGCTTTGCTGTTGATCAAGTCTTTTGTTTGTCGTCGACTCGAAGTCGAAACCGTCTTCACTTCACTTTATACATTCTGCGGGGCAGTAACATTCATTTGTGCGGGCACGAGGCTGCGAATCCGATTGCAGTTATCAGTACAATCATTCGAATCACCTTTGGACGTTAAGCCCCGGATTCACCTCACCCCGCGCCTACTCAACCACCGTCACTGATTCACCTCTGGCTAGAGGTTGTTAAGATCTTCTTTGTGACAACATAATACTTTGTCTTATTGTATCGGGCTTTGAGCCACTTCACATTCGTTTGACGTTGAACAATACAATCACGACAATGCCCTTTGTCTCCGAAACACACTCTGTTCTATAAAGAACAATATTTCATGAAAGAGGAGGAATCGCATTGTTAAAGCAGCGTGTGCCTGAATGTTTGTATCCCCAGACTCGAACTTATTAATAAATTTTCTGCCTCTCGATTGTTCTGGAGCATCGAGTTCTAACGCATATCTTCAGATCGACATCTTGTCCTGATTATCGCATGGACCTCAAAACGAATACCGAAGACTCCAACATACAGAAGATATGGCCCTTGAAAGACCGAATGATGCCTCGCGACTTGAGGTCGCCCAGCTCCTGGCGAGAGCTACAACATCTGCACTCTCTTCCAACACTACGTCGACAGTGGCACCCTTCGCAACGGCCCTGAATGGGGTGGATCAACCGATGAACAATCTATTCAAGGTCATTTTGTGGTGGTCGATAGGCGTGCTGGGCATGCTTATTTTGGTCATAAGGATATTCCAAAGATGGAGGGCACATGTCAGACATATGACAGCGATGAACCTCTCAGGGCAGCAGCAACGGTATTTTGCCATAAATCGCACAAGGTGGTGGTGGAACTTCAAGAAATATGTCCTCTACGCCCCGTTAGGCAAGAAGCGTCACAACCGGGAGATACGACTTTCATCTGCGCTCAACATGGGTACCGTTCCCTCCCGCTTCCACTCGATTATTTTGGGTGGCTTTATATTCAGTAACATTGGTTACATGGTGGCTCTTCCCTACTCCCGCGAGGACCACTACTCAGTTATTGCGGCGTTACGAGGAAGATCTGGTGTCCTAGCCGTGATTAACATGATTGCATTGGTGATATTCGCTGGGCGCAACAACCCCTTGATTCCCCTCCTGCAGATCAGTTTTGACACCTATAATCTCCTCCATCGATGGATAGGAAGGACGGTCGTTCTCGAGGCGATCGTACATACCGGGTGTTGGACATATGTCAAGCATGCTGCAGCTGGTTGGTCAGGAATTTGGGAAATGATCGCAACTGACCCCTTCATCAGTTGGGGTACCATCGGCACTATCGCACTTGTATTAATAGCTGTGCTGTCTCTGTCACCAGTCAGACATGCTTTCTACGAGACGTTCCTCAATGTCCATATCATCTTGGCTTTTTTCACAATACTGGGGACCTGGACCCACTGCAGAATCGCCAAACTCCCACAGTTGCTGTACCTCAAGGTCATTTTGACCCTCTGGATGGTAGAACGCATTGCTCGAATGGCCCGACTTGCTTGGTATAACTATTCGTTGCATGGCAAGCGATGGACTAAGGCGACTATCGAGGCTCTTCCAAGAGATGCCTGCAGAGTCACTCTTCATCTTCCAAGAAAAGTCAATATCAAACCTGGAAGTCACGCGTACCTTCGATTCTCGACCCTCAACATTTGGGAATCACACCCCTTTTCGATTGCGTGGGTACAACACAGATCCAGCAACCCATCCTTACCATTCAACAAGATGGATTCAATTTCTTCCATGGGGTCAGAGAAGCAGGTACAATCCAAAGCGAAGGACACTGTCACCGATATCTCCTTTGTGATTCACGCACAAACTGGCCTTACGAAACGTCTTTTCGACAAAGCAAATGCTTACCGACCTGGGGCACTGACCCTCACTGCCGCATTCGAAGGCCCCTATGGTGGCGACCATTCCCTCGATTCATATGGTCATGTTGTACTTTTTGCCGGTTCCAGTGGTATCACCCATCAGATTCCTTACATTCAACATCTTGTCAAGGGATGCAACGAGAAATCTGTCGCCACAAGAAAGATTGTCCTCGTGTGGATAGTCAGAGACAGCGAGCACCTGGAATGGGTGAGGCCGTGGATGAACCAGATTTTGGAAATGCAAGGCCGACGAGAATGCCTTCTCATCAAGCTTTTCGTGACCAGGCCCAAGAATCCGAGGGAAATCATCTCACCCTCGAATACTGTACAGATGTTTCCGGGCAGACCCAATATCAAGCTCATTATGCAGAATGAGGTCAAGGAGCAGGTCGGCGCGATGTGTGTGACAGTCTGCGGACCAGGCGGCCTGGCAGACAACGTCCGAGACGCAGTAAGAGACGTTCAGGAAGATGGGGTGGTTGATTTCATCGAGGAGAGCTTCACTTGGTGATGACGAGGATGGATCGGCGACCTGAGGGTTTGTTCCATGCACATATTGAGCACTTTGAGGCGTCCGGGGGTTTGTAGATCTGCATTAACGAGTTACTGCATTGGGTTGGAGTCTATAGAAGAGTGTGTTAGAATAGAAGACTTTTCCCAGACTTTTACCATTATTGAAACGTGACCGTCCCTCCCTGCCGTGGTGAAGCATTATGAGATGTCATGCAGTGGCTCGTTCCGTGTCTGCTGCCAATGAGGTGTTGACACCAAATATGCGGATGCCCAGATTTGGATGCCGAGGCTGGGCGGCTGCTGTGTGGTTCCAGTTCAGGGTTTCCGGGCTCTACTATGCAAAAGATGCTGCCGATCTTGCGAGGGATCCATAGCCATTTCTGCCATAGAGAGTATATACTGTATAGCCGGATTACCGCAAAGGCATTCATGAATGACGCCCCTCTCGTGACGAGGTAAGATGTCCCCAATGGCGGTTCCTGCGGTTGATCAGACCCATGATACTGCAACGCCGCTAAAACGCCTTCCATCCACCCCGCCATTGAGATGGCGGTGGAAGGCGTGATTAATCTTTCAGAGAGCGATCGTGACTCAGAAAACAACAAACAAATTTTTCCAAGACTTCGCCAACCAATCTTTGGCTCACAATTGTTTGACTCTCCCATCATTTGTTGCAGTCAACCTGGTACCTGGCCTCGAACCCCCAAAGCAAGTTTTGTTCCTGCGGATAAAATTCCTTTTCAACCCCACCATTGAAGATGCCCATGTAAGAATGCCTTTGCGCCTTGTCCACCCGAGGCCAGAATAGCTAATGTTTCGAGCGAAAGGCTCAAGGACCCCTCGAAGAAATACAAGAAGTTTCCTGCTCTTCAACTCAAAGACAGACAATGGCCTGACAAAACCCTTGACAAGCCGCCGCGATGGCTCTCGACCGATTTGCGCGATGGCAACCAGAGTTTAGTTGACCCTATGGTATGTTGCACTTTACTTTGGCCTAACTCTGGTCGGCAGAGTGCTAATGAAGGGATCACAGGACGGCGAGCAGAAATGGACGTACTTCAAGATGTTAGTTGAGCTTGGCTATAAGGAAATCGAAATTTCATTCCCCTCAGCCTCGCAGACAGACTTCGACTTCACGCGACGCCTTGTAGAGACCCCCGGTGCAGTCCCAGACGATGTTTGGCTCCAAGTTCTTTCTCCATGCAGAGAAGAACTAATTGCGCGTACGGTCGCATCCCTCAAGGGTGCGAAGAAAGCTCTCTTGCACATCTACCTCGCGACGAGCGAATGCTTCCAACGAATAGTGTTCAACGCCACGGAAGAGGAGCAGTTAGAAGTAGCAATTAAGTGCACGAAATATGCTCGGTCGATTACAAAGGATGATCCTGCGCAAGCAGGCACGGAATGGGCCTTCGAATTCAGCCCCGAGACCTTCTCGGACTCTAGGCCTGAGTTTGTGATCAAGATTTGCGAGGCTGTGAAGCAAGCCTGGGGCCCGACTGTCGAGAACCCAATTATCTTCAATCTTCCTGCTACGGTCGAGATGTCCACGCCGAACGTTTATGCGGACCAAATTGAGTACTTCTGCCGAAATATTACTGAGAGGGAAAAGATTTGTGTTTCTCTTCATCCCCACAACGATCGTGGCTGCGCGATTGCTGCAGCAGAATTGGCACAAATCGCTGGCGCGGATCGAGTCGAGGGCTGTCTCTTTGGCAATGGCGAGAGAACTGGAAATGTTGATCTCGTTACACTTGCTTTGAATCTTTACACACAAGGCATTCATCCCAATATCGATTTCTCGGACCTCAATCGGGTCATTGATGTGGTTGAAGTGAGCAACAAGATCCCAGTCCACCCTCGAGCACCATATGGAGGATCTCTTGTTGTGTGTGCTTTCAGCGGATCTCACCAAGATGCTATCAAGAAAGGTTTCCAGATGCGTCAGAAGAATGGTGCTTCTAACGAATCGCCGTGGCAAATGCCATACCTTCCCCTCGATCCTCAAGACATCGGCCGTACCTACGAAGCCATCATCCGTGTTAACTCTCAAAGTGGCAAGGGTGGATCTGCCTGGATTATTCTCCGCAACCTTGAGCTTGATCTTCCTCGTGGCTTACAGGTTGCATTCAGTAAGATTGTTCAGAGGCGTGCGGATCAAGTCGGACGAGAGCTCCTCTCAACTGAGATCCAGGATCTCTTCGAGCAAACTTATTTTCTCAAAGAGAATCCGAGATTCAAGTTGGTCGACTACACAATCAGCACCGACCGTTCTGCTTCGCCAGCTCCTTCTGCACCAGGCAAGAGACAAGATACGACACATATGAAAAGACGTTTTGAAGGCGTCATTTCCATTGATGGCTACGAGCATGAGCTTAAGGGTTTTGGCAATGGTCCGATTTCAAGTTTGGCAAATGCTCTTCACTCAGTTGGAATCGATCTCGATGTTGCAGATTACAAAGAACATGCTATTGGCGGTGGCAGAGATGTCAAGGCTGCGAGCTATATTGAATGTACTGCTGCTGGATCAAGCATGAAAGTTTGGGGCGTTGGAGTCCACGAGGATGTTGTTCAGAGTTCTTTGATTGCCCTTTTGAGTGCTGCTAGCAACGTATGTATATTGTTCTCCTGTCATCTACGGTTGTTTACTAACATGTGTCCAGTTCATTACAAGCAGACCAAACACGCCTTTGTTGCTTCGAGGTAAGCATGGCGGTAAGTTGAGCCAGGATTTGGATCTCGAACGCACTCCGAAGGAAAATGGACATCTTTCGATTCCCAAACCAAATGGAGTACCTAAGAGTGGACCAGATGCAGTGAGCGTTTTGGAGGCAAAAGTCAACCAGTCGAGTTAAGGGGCTTTGCGGGGTTGACGGGACGGGCCTTGGAGGGGTAGCAAAGATAGCAGTTTCAGAGTGCTTTCATATCGTGGGCGGCGCAAATGATAATGAACCAAAAGAGAACTTGACTAGCTTCATAATAGGAGTTGTAGCATCATAACCTCGAGTCAGCGAGCATCTCGGAAATAGATCGTGGATCCGAGAATTTCGGGATCACCATAAAAAGCTCAATCACGTGCTCTCACATGGCTAGCGCCAAATATCGCGACCCCATGTAAGCTATGGTACCAAATGAATCCCTAAATACGCAAAACATTTCGAAAATATCAAGCTCTTTGGCCACAATTGGTGATTCTTGACACTCCTTTGCCCTACCCGAAGGCAACAAACGCTTATTTCCTTGTCGCGTCCCGGTTCCTGCACGTCTTCTAGAAGCCTGCTGAAGCCTTGTCCGTGGAATTTCGCTTGGGGTCAATCAAGAGACTTTCAACAACGCCCACTCAAAACTCTACATTCTCCATTCTTGCCCACCACCGTCTCACATCGAAGAGACATCCTCCCCATCCCAAAGTGACAACTCAGCTCTTCACCTAGACCCTTTACAACATCACAGAAGCACAGGACACGGCGCACCGGCTGTGACCTTCCATCATGGACGTCAACCAAGTGCTTGAGAATACCTTTTCCCCAGGTACGCTCCATATTCCCGAAGACGCGAGGCAATGTCGAAGATAATATACTAATTGTTCCCAGATGCCGCCATTCGAGGAGCTGCTGAACAACAGCTGACACAAGCTGCCGAGACCAATTTCGTACGTCACCGTCTCGCTGACAGCGTCTCTGTCGCTGCGCAAGGATGACCTGCTAACCATATCTACCAGTCCGGATACCTCGTCACGCTCGTTCAAGAGCTTGCAAATGAAGAAGCCCAAGGTCCCGTCCGAGCAGCAGCCGGTATTGCACTGAAGAACGCCTTCACCGCGCGGGAATATGCACGATTACACGATCTGCAAGAGAAATGGGTCCAACAAGATTTGGAAACGAAGAAGCGCGTCAAGGACCTGACTCTACAGGCTCTTGCCTCCAGCACCGCACAAGCCGGGCAAGCAGCAGCTCAAGTTGTCGCGTCGATAGCCGCCATCGAACTCCCACGCGAACAATGGCCGGAGCTCATGCCGAGTCTGGTGCGAAATGTTGGAGAGGGCGGTGATCATCTCAAGCAGGCTTCTTTGACTACTATTGGGTTTATCTGTGAGAGTCAAGATGCCGACCTTAGATCGAGTCTTGTTCAACACTCCAACGCGATCCTGACCGCTGTCGTACAAGGGGCACGAAAGGAGGAGCCGAATCCGGAAGTCCGCCTGGCTGCCATATATGCGCTTGGAGACTCTTTAGAGTTTGTGGAGAGCAACTTTAAGAATGAGGGCGAGCGAAACTACATCATGCAGGTCATTTGCGAAGCTACACAAGCCTCGGATTCCAGGATACAGCAGGGTGCCTTCGGATGTCTCAACCGAATTATGGCCCTTTACTATGAGCTTATGTGCTTCTACATGGAGAAGGCTCTCTTTGGGCTCACCATTATGGGCATGAAGAGCGAGGAGGAAGATGTTGCGAAGCTTGCAGTCGAGTTCTGGAGCACGGTTTGCGAAGAAGAGATTGCCATTGAGGATGACAATGCACAAGTGAGTTCAACCTACATTTCTCTTTGTTGCTCCCAGACTAACAAGTTATCGCAGGTCGAGAATACAGATCAGATGCGTGAAATCTTCCACTTCGCTAATGTTGCAACAAAGGAAGTTGTCCCTGTTCTTCTTCACCTTTTGACCAAGCAAGACGAAGATGCAGCCGATGACGAGTACAACATCTCAAGAGCTGCTTACCAGTGTCTGCAACTTTATGCTCAGGCTGTCGGGGGAGGTGTTATCCAACCGGTCTTGGCGTTTGTTGAGGCCAACCTCCGTCATGAAGACTGGCATAATCGTGATGCCGCTGTATCTGCTTTCGGTGCTATCATGGAAGGTCCGGAGGAGAAAGTCATTTCGCCAATTGTTAAGCAAGCACTTCCAGTTATCATCAAGATGATGGAAGATCCTGTCATCCATGTTAAGGACTCAACAGCATATGCTCTTGGACGTATCACCGAAGCATGCTCAGATGCAATTGACCCGACTCTCCATCTTCCACAACTGATCAAGTCACTCTTCGAGGGCCTGATCAGCAGCCCTAAGATGGCAGGATCCTGCTGCTGGGCTCTGATGAACCTGGCGGAGCGATTTTCCGGCGAGATTGGATGCCAACAAAACCCTCTCACACCTCATTTCAATGAGAGCATCACACGTCTTCTCCAGGTCACTGAGAGACCGGATGCGGACAACCAACTGCGAACTGCTGCGTATGAAGTACTTAACACCTTCGTCCAAAACGCTGCAAATGATAGCTTGCCTGCTGTTGCATCCTTGTCGGACGTCATCATCAAGCGATTGGAGGATACCATCCCTCTCCAGACCCAAGTCGTCAGTGTCGAGGACAAGATCACACTTGAAGAGATGCAGACCAGCCTGTGCACTGTGCTCCTGGCAATCATCCAACGTCTCGAGAAGGAAATCGCACCACAAGCCAATCGCATCATGACCATCTTGTTGCAGATCCTTGCTACTGCTGGTGCCAAATCAAGTGTTCCCGATGCTGTTTTCGCAACAGTCAGCAGCTTGGCCAATGCTCTGGAAGAGAACTTCGCTGCTTATATGGAAGCCTTCTCACCATACCTCTACAATGCTCTCGGCAACCAGGAAGAGCCAGGATTGTGCTCAATGGCAATTGGTCTCGTTAGCGATATAACTCGTTCAATGGGTCCATTGAGTCAGCCATATTGTGACACATTTATGAACTATCTACTGAACAATTTGAGGGTACGTCGTTCTTAGTGTAGGAAGCAAGACTCCTTTTTTGATTATCCTTTGTTCTGGCCCCCTGATCATTGAAAACTTACTTACAGAATATACAGAGTACGGCTCTTGCCAATCAATTCAAGCCTGCGATTCTTCAGTGCTTTGGGGATATTGCTGGCGCAATTGGAGGCCATTTCGAGACTTACCTATCGGTTGTCGCTCAGGTCCTTCAGCAGGCTGCTGGTGTTCAAGCCAGCCCCGATGGATCATATGAGATGTTCGACTACGTTATCTCGTTACGTGAGGGAATCATGGATGCTTGGGGCGGAATCATTGGTGCCATGAAGACCGATGGCAAGAGTAAGTATTACCCTTATGGTGGTCAGTCCTTTGCTAAACATTGTGCAGCCGCTTTGCTGCAACAATACGTCGAATCGATCTTCTCTCTTCTCAACATCGTCTGGCTAGATCAGAATAGGAGTGATGCTCTGATGCGAGCTTCCATGGGTGTTATTGGGTGAGTAGACTGTCCGACCTTTTCGTCGACCAACGCTAACAACCTCAGTGACCTTGCTGATGCTTTCCCTCATGGAGAGTTCGCCGCCTACTACCGCGCAGAGTGGCTTACCCAAATGATCAAGGATACTCGCCAAAACCGCGAATTCCAAGCCCGAACCATCGATACGGCACGTTGGGCCCGTGAGCAGGTCAAGCGCCAAATCGGCGGATCTCAAGGCATTCAGCAAACTTGATTTCCCCCTCCTTCAAAGATCAGACATATCCAAGATTACCACTTTTAATGACCTAGGGCCGGCGCAGAACTACACATCATAGAGTCAGTGGGAATCTGGGATCTTTGTTTGGTCTTAGTCCATCACGCTTTTTACACCTTCAGATTTCACACCTTTTTGTTTATCAACTACCGGCCATAAAGAGGGGTCTTGTCCTCGGCCGGACAACATGGCGTTCTTTGTTTCATCCCAAATCAGCACCGATAATCAACATCCGTTTGTCCCCGAATGGAACACCTACCCTCGGATTCCGGCGAAGTCGACGCGAATCAATACATCGATAGATAATCGAATAGAGGGAGGAATGGTTTGCAGCAACTACCCCGCACAGCACAACACACAACACAGCACGTATAGCACCACAAACACACTTGTATAAAAGTCCCCCGCCCCCTTTGATACGCGCCGCAACAATACCCCTTACACCAACGCGCCATGTTTCATTTCCAACACACTATTTTGGGGACGACCTGCTGGGATGCTCGATTTTCGACAAAGCAGACTTACGACACGGGGAATGGGAATCTCGAAAACAACGAGAACGAAGACCGAAGCGCCACGAAGAAATCTTGTAACCTCTGGAAAGGGGAGTGTATGTATGGCGCACAACGATCGACCGACTGGGTCCGTTGGCGCTGTGGCTGGCTTCAAGGAAGAATAGATGGAGATGATGAGGGAGAGAAGGTGGAGGAAGTGGATATTCGGCAGGGAACCTATGTAGTGCGTCAAGTGATGCTATCATGGTCTGATGTCGACAATTAGGGGAGTGTAGGGGATTTGATGGTTGAGGATGAGAGATGAATGAAATGCAATCCCCCCCAAATATTAAACCGCCTAATGATGCATCTTTGATTCTGCTGCCTCCATATCCTAGTTGTGGCAGCCATGCTCATCACTTTCCAATCCTCCGAGTCCCTCGAATCAACAACCCAGAGATGGAAGAACTCTCGCTTTCTCGTTCCATGGTAGCGTTCGAGTGGGACAGTGGTCCGGCGTAGGACTGAAGCAAAAGTGGTACGCGTTAACTCGCCCAGCGAACATGCATGCAGCTGTATACATAGCTGGAGGGCCGGCCAGTATCAACAGTTACAAGGAGGAAGCGTGCACACCTTGGAGAGCCATTTGCTGTCGATACGTGAGGCAGAGAGTCCAATCAATACGACCGGCCAGTCTTGTTCGGCGCAGTTGCTTTTGACACACTGGCAGGTGCGAAGAAGGCGAGATGTGTATTGTATGGGGAACAGAATATCTGCCAGGATGCAACAATGGAAGTGGAGATCATCCCCACGTCAACTGCAATTCAAAATGAGCTGTCGGGATCCTCAGAAGCCATTCACACAATAAAGAAGCGTCACAAGTTCTCCCCACAAGATAAGATTTATCTAGAAGAGCAATTTTCTGTTAATCCTTATCCTTCAACTGAGGATCGAGCACAAATCGCTCAGCGCTTGGGTATCTCGGAAAAAATGAATCAAACTTGGTTTAATAATGCAAGACAACGACAAAATGCTCCAATGATGACATCTACTTCAAGATTGAATGCTCCTCTTCGAGGGAGGGGTTGGAGAGACTGACATTTGTGCAACCAACCTCGAGAACACCTTTTGAAAGATCCGCTGCAATTCCACCGGGTAGTGAAGGCGAACCAAGCATTGAAGCTATCGAAGCTGCTATCAAGCTAAGGTTGGAGATGGGGAACGACGAAAATATGTCAGGGCCTACATACTCATGTTTCGATGATCCATCTGTGGCAGAAGATAGGGTATTGATAGCAGGGGATGTCGATGTACCTTCCTTACATTCCTTTGAAGGAGACTCCAGATCCTTCTCAGAGTCATTCCTTGGCGTTGTCTTCTGCAGGCAATGCTTCGTACAGATTTAGACCCTGGTACAAGCTGGAAAAACGCAGAGTTCATAAGAGATCAACTTCTCGATCTAGGGGGAAATTGACCACGGAAGAGAAGAACTCTAGCCATAAGTCAACATCGTAGGAAACAGCGCAACCACGATTCTCCCTCTGAGCCGACCCTATCAGTTCTTATGGAATTCGAGTGTATCCGCTGTCACGCATTTATAACTCACAATATCATGGCACATACACCAGATGCCAGTGTCGTGTAATGTTGACAGTGCTATTGGAAGGTGGAATTCTGTAAACCGTACAGCGTCCGAGGGGCAGCGTTGCCTGATCCATTTCCGTTTTTTGTGGAGCGTGCCAGAAATTATCCCAACGTAGGAACCGACGCAGAACTCCTCATGGTGATTCAAGTGGTCGCGGTTGAGTGTCCGCGAACGTTATCGTACAAGCACGAATGTTGCATTATGAAAGCTTTTACTGTCAGAATTCTAAAGAGAGGCATGCCGTACTGATGCACCTTTTGTCACCGCACATTTACAAGCAAATACACATGGGAGCGACACGAATCAACTCAGCTCATGACCGCAAGTTGCATGGATCTGCTGCAAGACCATAATACGAAGTTCTTCATTTGATAATCTCGAACGATGCGTATTTTGCCTCACCGTTCTCGGAGGGGCAGTTCATGGCGGGGTAACCCATAAAGTGAGGGACAGTAGAGGCCAATCACAGTGTCACAGAGTCTTTTTCAGAAAGGATCAATTGGCACAGCATATTCGCCACTTTCACCAGTCGTCTCCGACAGCATATGTGGATGCTCACTGGAAGTTTCATATTGATCAGACGGGAAAGAGATGGCGATGTGGAGTATGCAACATAGTCTGCTATACATGGAAAGTAAGAATGAAGCATATTGGTGAGCACTGGGATATGGGGTTAACCATGGACAGCTGGAGGGTCAACAGGTGTGAGACAGCAATGACACGGGATCGTTGAAACGAGCATTGAGACGGGAGTTTAGAAGTGGTGCAAAACGACGGCAACTTAGAAGTGACTAGGGGAATAGCAAATAAGGCGAACAGAGAGAGTAGGATTTCAGACGGCCTTGGAATTCCCCTTCAACCGACCCGGCAAGACCTCAAGTATGACAATACATGATGCAACCCAGAGGCGGAGGCTCCAGCATCTAGCAAGCAGCTTAATGGAGAAACCGGACTGTCTGAGGATTGCGATGCGGAAACTTTTCCTCGTCCTGTTCGTGGCACTGTCTCGAAATTTTGGAGTAAAATAAAACGCAGGCTCCCTAAGAAAAGACAGAATTCAACAATTGATCTACCGGATCCCTTGGATCAGCCTTGAGTCTTCCTGACCAGAACGAGAGTTCCACGAGATAGTACGGAATTCGAAGAAGTCCACCTCGGTGAGGTTACTTCGTTTGCTTGCACTTGCGATTGACTCCAGCTTTGAGAGTGTACTAGGTCTTCCTCCAAATGACGGCCAGAGGTATTGGAAGAAATCCGGACGGCCGGGCCGGCCTCTTCTCCTCGTGTTAGTTTGCAGCTAAGACGGCGTAGCGAAACTCTTAAGCCAGAGCCCAAGCTCTCAGATGTGGGGAAGTGTGAGGCTCTTAGAAGAGCAGCTTACAGGACCACTATGCAAGCTTCCAATGGCAATCACCTACCCTGTATTCTGCACTTGCAGTGATCAATTGTAAGTTGGTCTACAAGAATGAAAGCTTTGTTTGAGAGAAACGGGGGGGTTACGTGGTTTCGAAGTCAATTTGTGGTGTTGCTGGAGCTCATTTGATCAGATTGTAGAAGCCGGTGACGGCTTCGAGCCTTCCGTGAGGCTGGAACGGGATGATGGACGTTGTCGGCGGCAGGTGACAGGTCCGAACGTTGGTTAATCGTTGGGTTGTTCCCTAGCTCCAGGTCCCTTTCCTCCTCTGGATTGGTCGCAGCGGGAAGTCGTCATGGTGTGCCGACGTCGAGGTTTGGTGCAGAGGTCTGGTGGTGGGGGAAGAAATCGATCAAGAAAGATTGAGTTTGATAGAGATCAGGTTAAGTGAAGGTTAGGTTGAAGGGTGGGTACTGTGAGAGCTAGACCCCGATGCGGGCGCGGGAAGTTCTTGTATGGCTGGAATTTGGAGGTTGAGCTGGCGGTGAAGTTCCAAAACTTTTAGTTCCTCGGTCTTTTCGTATTCTTTGAGACAGCATTTTTGAAATCAAAGCCCCGTACCGTTCGTATCTTTTGCTTTGATGTGGTCGGTTGAGGTCTTCACCCCCCCTGTCCATCTCCTTCCCCCTTCCTGGAAGAATCCAATACCAGCACCGTTATGGATCAAGATAAGAATGACGGGGGGGGCAGCAAGCCCTGGGTCCTCGGGATCTTCGGCTGGATTTGCATGCAGCCAAAACACATGGTGTGGTGGTGTGGCTGCCAGCTGCTGCACCACATTCAGCCGGGCCAAGGCGGGAGGGTTCAATACGTATTCAGGTTTCCTGGGTCATGAGCTTGGACCGCAGGACGAGGGCGTCCAGGCCGTGCTTGCTCTGGTGTTGTCAAAAACAGGTTATCATGTATCTTCTGCAAGAAGGGACTTCGGGCGTTGAGAACTTGAGCGCTGATGTCGACGTTTTTATTGAATGGTGATACGGCAGAACGGGGCCCTGAGGTGATGGCTTCGGTGCAACGGGTTCGATTGGACGCTGCCAACCAATGCGGACTGTTATTGAAAGCCGCTTGTAATATTGTGGCGGCCGATAGCATGGATATCTTCTGGAAATTTGGAATGCTGCGCGTTTGCAAATGTCGTGCTCGGGAAAAGAAAATTGGCCGGTAGATGAGGGCGGGCTGCCACGAACACGCCTGATGCTGTGCTGATAGCAGTGTAGCAGCACAGCAGTGTAGCAGAGAGACATGCCATGCCTTGCGATGCCTTGCGTGGGTGAAGTCTGCGAGGACTGGGCCTGCGGAGCTGCGAATGTCCTGGTGGTCGGCACGCAGCCATTCGTGAAGCTTGAAGCGTGAAGCGTGAAGCGTGAATCCGTTGACTTTTCCCCTTGAATGTGTCCACACTACTATTGACTCTGAGCTGCTGAGTCAATGACGTGAACACAAGCTTCACTTGCCTCCCTTTTCTATACGAAATACTGGCCCTCCCTGCACGAATGCTCCTCCGTGGCTGCAGTCTGACTGTCTTGCGCAGCCACGCTAAGGCCGCCTTACATTAGCCTGCATTTTCTCCAAAGCGCCTGGCTTCCCGAGCAGCGCGGCAAACCTACACAAAGGACACGACCACCGCTACCGCACGACCTTCCCACCTTACCCACCTCTTTTGTCTCTCGTTATCGTTGACCTGCTAGAAAGACACTCGTTTGTCCTCCTCCTCCTCCTCCTCCTCCTCCTCCTCCTCCTCCTCCTCCTCCAACCCCTCGAAACCCGAATATCGTCGACCTCTCCCGCCATTCTGTCACCCTTCGATGACCCTTCTGAAAGATGACCGTGGTGCTCCCCCCTGACCCTCGTCGCCGTTTCGATTAATTGGTGTACCTTGTACCAACGAATCCCTGGTCACTTCTAGAAATACCACCATCACCAAAACCCTACGCGCCCAATTACTTGTGCGAAGCCGTCTCGGATCATCCCTTCTGCAACAGTGACATTCGTTTTGATCTGCCACGAAAGATCGGAGATCTAAGAGAGTTTTCGGTTTCGACACGTTTGTTGCTTGATCGACTCTGGAGGTGGACAGAAAAAACGCGGAGTGCTTGTGGCTCACATCACCATCCTTCCAGCACACCAGCTCGAGGAATTCGACCTCGTGCTCGGGCTGGAAGATTCAAGGACCACCAGAGGTCGTCGCCCTACTTCTCTTCATCGTTCTACATAGACTAATTCGACCATTTCGACAATGGCGCGCTTTCCTTTATCACCAGCATCATGGACGACGGCGTTTGTTTCTTCCCTCGCTCTCCTCAATACGATAATCCCGGTTCGAGCACAAACTACAACAACATCGAGTCCAGGAAGTTCGTCAACGGATTCGAGTTTGGAAACTATATCAGGGACTAATGCCGACGGTGTTACACAAACGCTACTCGTGGATCGATATCCCGCCTTATACACGGGGGACTTTGGAGACTGTATGGGCGGACAGAGCTTAATCAACCTAACGTCGTTCGACGCAGCTTATTATGCTGATAATATGACCGTCATCTTCAATCTGGCTGGCACGACCAATCTCAGAAACGAGACCGTAATGCGTATGTGAACCCATTGGCAGACAGTTTTGTCAGGAAAGCTAACCCTGAACCTAGTATATATCTCGGTGGATGCTTGTAAGAAGGAATCTCGAATAATGGAGGCAAAACAGAATACTGACAGACCTTAGATGGAGAGCAACGATACGAGCAGGTTTTCAACCCGTGTAGTGCGAACTTTTACACGTACGTCAATGCGCGGATCATTTTCTATTCAGTGCTAACAGGAGCAGTCTATGTCCGATGAATTCCAGTGTCCCAATCTTTGGTGGAGCTGTTATTCCGGTGTCCTCGTCCGACGTGTCCGATATCCCCCCTATAGCTTTGTCAATTCCTGACTTCGAAGGATCGGCTTATCTGCGAATATTCTCGAACTCGTCACAAACTCAAATTGCCTGTTTCTCAGCCGTTATGAGAAATGGTGCCAGTTTCTCACACCCAACCGCAATTGGATCAGTTCTAGGCGTTTTCACGGTCATGGCCCTCCTGGCTTCCTTCGCAACCGCCATTTACGGGATTAGTGTACCGCATATCCGAACACATTACGCGCACTCACTGTCTGTCCTCGTTGTGATGGAGGTGTTTCAGTCGATTTTCTTCTCTGGAGCACTGTCTTTGAATTGGCCGAGCGTCTGTGCAGCTTTCTGGAGTAACTTTGCCTGGTCCGCTGGCATGATCTATACGCCATGGATCATGAACTCTCTCAACAGCTTCACTGGGGTCTCTGGAAATAGCAGTCAAGTGGGAGGAGCTGGCTCCACGGTAATCAATAACAACGGAGGCCTTCAACAACAGATTTATGGACGATCCTTGGAAGATGGAAGCAGTTTGGCAATGAAAAACGAGCTTGTTGCAAGCGGGATTTACAAACGGGCAGTCAACAACACCGCAAGCTCACTGGAATATGCTTGGGCAGGTGTCCCGGTTCAACCTGGACTACCTCTTCCCGGGAACTGGTCTGGATTTGCCGGAGAGCTATCCTTGGTGGACGTCCCAGCCTCGGATGCCTTTCTCACCGGCTTAGTGTGGTTCCTGATTCTCCTCGCCATCCTGATAGGAGCTACCGCAGCCTTCAAATGGATCCTTGAAGGACTGAGCTCCATGAAAAGGATAAAACATGACCGCTTGGGCTTGTTCCGAAGCCATTGGCTTGGCTTCCTAGGCCTCATTATCCTCCGATCATGCTTCATCGCTTTCTTCATGATGATGACTCTTACTCTCTATCAGTTTTCGTATGGTGGGAAAGTAGGGCCGTTGGTAGTCGCAGTCATTGTCTTCGTTATTTTCTTCCTCGGAGCCATCGGACTTGCGACTTACGCCTGCTTCTATCGTGTCAAATTTGGAAAATACGAATCTTCGCCCGATCGACTCCATTTCCAACGCGGAAAGGCGCTGAAGTTTCTTCCATGGTACCGCACTGTTCGAGAAAGCTCAATGGAAGAGGAGGACAAAGCGAAATCTGCAGGCTCTATATCGTTCTTCCAGCTCAGATTTGTCGACAACGACGCCGAGATTCAAAGTGTTCATGAGAATACCCACTTCACCAAACGCTTTGGATGGCTCTCAGCTCGTTATAGACGTACAAGATGGTGGTTTTTCGCGTTCTGGGTCGTGTATCAATTTGTCCGGGCTTGCTTCATTGGTGGTGCTCGGGCAAGTCCGACAGCTCAAGTCTTTGGCCTCTTTGTTTGGGAATTAATCGCCTTCGTCGCGATAATCTTGATCAATCCATTTGAAGGAGCTCGGAACACGGCCCTCGCGGTTTATATGCTCGGGATCAGCAAGGTGGCAACCTCAGGACTTTCGATCGCGTTCCTCCCACGGTTCAACTTGGCACGAATTCCAACCACAGTCATTGGGGTCATCATCATCGTCATCCAGGGATTCCTGGTCCTTGGTCTTTTGATTCTGATTGTCCTGGGCGCTATTTCCAGCTACATGTCAATCACTCGGAACCGCGAAGAATTCAGGCCGCACAGGTTGGAGAACATCCGGATGAAGTACTTTGGACACCTGGAACAGAAGGAGAAAGATGTGCCTCCGCCGCCACCTCCGATCCCCGAAGAGCCAAAAGAACCCTATTTCCAGGTGAAGACTGTCCGCCGAGCCCCAAAGATCGAAGATGAAGATGTTGATTACGTTCCTGAAATGAACGACTTCAACCCAAATGCATCGCAATACTCACTCGGGGCCCCGGTCGTTAACCGCACGAGCAGGACTAATAGCTTTGCAAATAGCATGCGAAGTCATGCTTCCGGGTACGGGAACGTTCCATACGGGGCTCGCGTGCATCGAGCAAGCTGGAGCTCGCGAGATTTCCAAAACTGGCAAGATGACGAGTCAATCAGAGCGGACTCGCCATTTGGCATGCCGTCCAGCAGTGCCAGTGCTGCTGATCACCACCCTCACAACTCGATGTCGATGGCGCCCTTGGTTAGGCCTTCACCTTCACATGGCTCCATGAGACCATCTACGCCTACGAGAGAACAACAAAGGCAATACTCAAGCCAACGAATAAATCGGGCAAACTAGGCAAGGAATATAATTACGAAGTAACGAATGAAGAATAAACGGAATAGAAGGGGAGGGATGGATAAGTGGGGGACGGCTTTAGATCAGGGACTTGAATTCTTGCACATCTAGGAGTTTCCTTTGTCACTTTTTTGGTCATCCCGGCTTATCATAAAAAGCTGTGGGCTTGACTTCTTGCTAGACTGGTACTGCACTTGCATTCTTGCATTTTGGGCGAGGGTTAGAGTTTCGCATGGAGCGAATCCCTCGTACCCTTCAGGAGCATTAGTGGCGTACAGACGGCGTTCTGGCAGCGACCTATAAGTACATCTTGGTTGTATTGTACTCGACCTGAGGGGGTTCTGTAACAAGCAGATCCACTCGGCGCAATAAATTCCTTCAATCTATCTACGTGTCTTCTCGTAATTTCTGACTCTCTCGATAATGTGCTGGATGATGCCTTCTCATCAAGTCCGTACCCGCGTCAAGCTTGAGGACCGGAGCCAAGACACCAGCATTTTAAGCGGGTGGCCGTGGTTGAAGCTGTATCACCTGGCTACCGTGTCAAAGACATGGCCATTCTTGCATTTTTCTCAAATCTAAGATCGGGATACATACTGTGTGCCTTGCCAAAGCATTCTCTAACCTCTGGGTTTGACATCAGCTTACAATTTTCTTCTGCCTAGCGCTTGGCTATGGGTAAAGAGGCACTATTTACTTTCCGATGCCGCTTAGCGAAATTCCCTAATGGCCTTTATACTAGGAAATAAGTATTTTTGTTGCTAAGAGATCTCCAGTCATAAACTTGGTGCAAGCTAAGTTTCTGGACATACACCTTGCTTCAAAGTGGTATGTGACCGGCCCTAACTTCTACCTGCGGTAGTAATCTGGGTAATGGCTTAGAAGAGATGTGCTCTGCTACAAGTAAACCAAGCAAAAGCTGAGTTTCTTGGTCCGAAAGGATTTCTTTTGCTTTTTTGAACCCTTTTGATTTCCCGATTTGCTGGAATCAAAGTGTTTTTGCAAAAAAAAAGGGGGGGGAGGGGGATGCCCCGTTCGCTCGCTTAAGGGGGCTGAAAGCGATTCACCTCCTTCCTTCGCCACGCACTTCACATATACTCCTTCCTGATCAAACCCCAGGTTTCTCGGACCCCTCCAGGCTTTGTGATGTCGAGGCGAGAAGGCAAGGAGGACTTGATTTCTTCTTTTGATAACCCACTCAGCTTTCCAGCGGCCTCGAGATCATCCTTCGACACCTTGATTCTGGAGTCCACTCAGAGAGACGTGTTCAGCGCGTTGGTCGGTCAAGATGTTCTACAGCCACGAGAGTAAGTGAAATCGCGTTGAATTCAGAGGCAGCAGCTGATTCATGACTGTAGTCTTGACGAGTCGAAAGTATGGCGTCGCAACCGTTTGGTAAGTTCAACTCCCTTTGACGCGTTCAGATGGCTCTATACCTTCAATCCGGTCTTTTCCACTCCACTCCATGCTTCTCAGACCAATTTAAATCCGCGAAGGTCCTAACCAAGACTTTCCAGGCTCGTCGCCACCTTGGGTGCAAAGTCGAGTACTAAGAAAGTGACACGTAAAGCTATCCTCGATGTCAACGTCAAGAAGGCATGCGAGACCATCATGGAGCCCGAAGCACCGATGGCATTGAGACTGCAAAGTAATCTTCTGTGAGTACTCTGAGAGAAGGTGTCCTGCGAGCTTCAATACTAATGTCCCTCAAGCTACGGTGTTTCGAAAGTGCACGACCAGCAATGGGAATACCTGCTCGCGGATACACAAGCAGCTAACAACGGTATGAGAGCACTCCTCAAGGTGGTACGCACCGATGGACTTGATCCAGATGCAGGAAAAGCTCGGTAAGTACACGTTTGCAGCCTTGAGGAGTCTGCTGATGTATGGCAGTCCTGAGCAACTGATTCTCCTCGATGACCCAGCTTTCCTTCCTGAGAACGGTCTACCTATCTTTGATTTCTCCATTCTTGACCTCGATCCGAAAGGCGACTCTCAGCGTTCCTCACAATCCATGCTGTCTATTCGTCATCGCAGCGGCTCTGTCTCTTCGTCGCACTCTCCTTCGGTCTTGGGTCTCAACATCCCTTCATCCAGTAATGGCGGCACAGGAGCATACCAGCTCCCTGATCCATTCCACCAGTCTTCTGGTCAGAAGAGCGCGGGTCTAGGCCTCAACATGTTCGGCGACGATGAAGTGGCCATCTACAACGATGAGGATATGCTCTTCGACTTCGGTGATGATGGTGAACTTCGAGATATTCCAGCTAGTGAACGTGAAGCTCGCCGCGCAGGCAGCGTATACCCTCAAGGACGTCTTGGCAGCGATTCTGCGGCTAGTGGGCGCGTTCGTAAGGAACATGAAGATGCTCTTGCAGGCCGTGCACTACCCATTATCGACGGAGATGGTGACTTCAACATGGTCCAGTACGACGATAATATGCAAATGCTTCCAGATGCCGAACCGTTTCCTGTCATGACTGGTGGGCTCGGCGCAAGTGACAGACCATTGAACCTTCTCCACGAAGACCGCGTTGTCTCTGAAGAGCCATCCTCAGACTCTGCAGAAGCTCCTCAAAAGCGCAAGAAGACCAAGGCCAAGAAGAAGGCGGGACTCATAGATAAAGACCACGAAATCAAAAACGGTTTACTAGCTCAGTGGCAACGAGAATATGTCGCCCAACAGTTCGCCGAGACACTTCTCAAAGTCAACCGAAAGGCGACCTTACTGGCGAAGAAGAACGCCTTCCATTTCGTCTTCGGCTCGGGTCTCAATGGCGTCGGCGAAGGTGTTGGTTCTGCAAAGTTTGCAAGCCCACTTGACATGTACTCCGGAGTTTCTCTTCTTGCAAAGCTCACTGGCCAGCCTGTTCCTACTGCTGACGCTCCCAAGTCCAAGAGAGCTACCAAACGACCGCATGCTGACGAAGACGAAGACGAGCAGCTCGGCACTCCTAGCAAGCGTGCTAGAGAAGACGAAGTCGGCCGGGGCTACGAAGATGATGGAATGATGCTCAACATGGACTTTGAAGGGGACAACAACAAAAACAATAGCCACGAACAAAGCGTAGAACTTGGTCGAGATGCTCCGTCCGCTCTCCCAGACTACCCATCCTCCGCTATGCCATGGAATATCTCAGCCTCCCTACACTCCCACCAGCGTGGCCAGTCTTCCTCGATTCAAGGTCGTGTAGGTGTCCTCGGTTCCCAACTCGGATCAATAGGTCGTCACCTCACGTCCGCATCCCCACTCATCGGTCGAGGTTCAGCCCTTCCAGGCGACTTGGAACAATTCTCACAACTCATCGGCGACAATGATCCAATGGTCATGTATGGCCGCGACGATGAAGGCCTTGCCAGTGGAAGCCAAGCACCTGATTTTGGTGATCTAGGAGGCGGCGTAAGCTCAAGCCAAGCTTGCGGCCACGATGAATTTGAGATCTTTGGAGCTGCTGCTGCCGTCGATACCCAGACTGCTGGTAGCTCGCAATGGGTTAAGCAGGCTCTTAATCGCGAGTCTAACAATTTTTTCGAATATGTGAGGAATACGATTAGTGAGAAGCTTGGCGATGAACTTGGAAATGAGGAAGATCCGTTGGGTGCTCAGGAGTTTGGCCAGAAGAGTGTCACATTCGAAGAGTTGTTTGTTCCAGACAACAATACTTGTATCGTGGCTGCTCAGGCTTTCTACCACGTTCTTTGTCTTGCGACGAAGAACAGAGTTTGGGTTGGGCAGACGGTGGAGGATATGGAGCCGTTTGGGGAGATTCGAATGGGTGTCGTTGTCGTTTGAGGTGTTTGGAGGGCGTTCAATGAATTCGACGAATAGGGTAACGATTCTGCTGGATATGCAAAACTCCCTGTCTACACGATGGCCTTGGGATGGAGTCCGTACCGAATATTTGCTTCAATATTGCTTACACTGTGGGAAGACCACGAGGATTAGGTTGATACGCATTTGCTACATTTATGGAAAAGGACAGAGATCAGGGCATTGAGATACCACTTGCATAGATATGGGTAGATAGGTACCCTTTGCTTGATAGACACGATAATACAACCCAATTAAATTTTCGTCAGCACAGGAGTGCCTAAATTGCCTCTCGATCCGGTTACGTAGAGCAGGATTTAGTTTGCTTGCAAAGTAAGAAAAAGTCGAGACGCTGGACTGTAAAGATACCTCGTCCGCCAATGTCGTAGAAACCACTACCCAGCCTCACAGTATCAGTGCAGGGACTAGCAGAAGTCTCCACATCGCGAGCTTATTTGTCCTCTGAGGAAGGCTCTTCGCCTATTGAGGACACAGGGAAGCATTGGAAGGGAGCGTGACTAAGTATGTGGATTTTGAGGGGAGAGGCGATAGCGCTTGATGATCTGCGTGGGGAGGACTGGGGTAGAAAGTTGTGAGATGTTGATGTTGAGATGTTGATGGAAAGAAGAGGGAGAGAAAAGATAAGAGAGAGAGATAGGGAGAAATGGGAAAGAAATAGGAGGGAAATTAGGGGGGAAATTCTGTTGCCTTTAGGGGAAGTCGCGATGCTGCAGTTGGGGAAGGTGGTAGGTTAGGGGGAAAGAGCGAACTATCTCATTGTTCGCTCACTCGAGCTACTTTTGGAAGGATGGAAGGACGATATAATAAGAGTCGAAAGCTTTTAGTGGAGGAAAGAGCATCTATACATGAGGGGAAAATTCTCTCTCGTGGTGGACAGAAAAAGCGGCACTGAATGTCCCAAGCCAAGTTGGAATATTTCAGATACTTGTCCACGAATGTGCCCTTGAACTTTCGTACTTTCGAAGCCTACTTCTTCGAAGATCTTAGGATTACCAATTGCTAAAGTTCTTAGTCCCCCTTCCCGAAGTCCAGCGAAATATCCAACTGGAGACTTGGGACATTGGAAATGCGTGACACTATTTCTGTCCACCGTGAGGCATTCATTATAAGATCATCGGAACCTAGCAAGGATTTGAAGTGCATAAGACCAAAGGGATGGAGTGGAAGTCATTTATCTCGTCATCTCGCTCTTTGGTATCTCGCTCTATCATTCTCATAAACGTTGCTCGCCCGTCAATCAAATTCGCACCTACACATCTGATCTTATCTCCAAACCGTGGTCGATCTAGTGATCAACGACCTTCAGCCGTCTCACCAACTCCTCAGGCAAATCCTCATTCTTCACGATCCCCAATCCAACCACATCTCCCCAGAAAAACAACGCCCTATCCTGCGCATATGCCAAATAATCAAATTCATCTTCCTCGTCTTCTAAAGCCTCCATTTCCTTTGGGTTCTCCCTAGATAAGAGAGCCTCAGCTTTCATCCCTTCTGGTCTCTTCTCGACTCCATAATGAACACCATTTACTTTCAAATTGGGGTTTTCATTCTCCTTGCCGGAGGTAGTGGCGGGCTCTTCTGCAATCTCTGCGCCGTCAATAACGGGGGTAGGACCATCGAGCTCGGGGACTTTGGCTTGCACGATACCCCATGCGACCCACTGAGCACTGTTCGCAACGCGCCAGATTCGGATCTCCTTGAGCAACTCCTGGACTTGGCGTTCGGTCTCTCTCTCTCTTCGTGCCTCGTCTTCTGCATAATTGTACAACTCTGTCGAGCTGCCACCCGGTGTTCGAGAATCCAGTAGAAATTCTGAGATGCTTCCCTTCGCTAAGCCATCCATTGCACTCATCTTCGGCGTTGCGGAAGCCCTAGGATTGAATTGCGGTCTGTGGTTGACATACGATCTGACGAATATTGTCTGTTGCTCGATTGTGGGGTAGTTGTCTGTGTTACAGGCCCAGGGCTTGCTGGGGTCGTGGTAGTTGTAGCACCATTCTGTGAAGTGATTTGCGAATTCTAGGCCAGGAGTATTGGCGGAGGCATACTCGAAATCGATAACTACCAGTTGCTTGTGCGTATTTTGAGGAAGGAGGAGTGGTGAAGGGGTAGAGCCCGGCGTGGCAGCTTCTGGTATGAGGCGAAGGATGTTGCCATATTGAGTCTGAAAGAAGTGTTAGTATATATTGAGACGAAAACAGGAGGGGTAAAACAAACATCATTGTGAGCAAATACCAAGTTCCTGTTCACACCGCCTTTCCCATAATACTCATCCAGCCACTTCCTGTACTTGTCGATTGTAGCCTTGAATTGTGGCCATTCAACTCCACAAACAAAGCCCCTCCTTCTCCAAAGCTCTCCTCTTCCTTTTTTCCCATTCAAAATCTCTTTGTCAAGATAGCTGATCACCTCCTTACAGCGATTGTCCCATTTGTCCCAATTCAACCAGACGAAAGGTCCCTCTTCTCTTTCTCGCTCAAGAAGTTCCATTCCATCATGCAGCTCACGCATTCTCTTTGCAATCTGCTTGCTTGTGTCCTCAACCCTGAGGTCGGCAGCCGTCAATGTTTGTGCATTGAAAAACTCCTCGAATCTTCCGTTCGTAAATGTTCCGAGCAATCTTGGGCCGATTTTCTTGCGGGCAAGACGGCGTAGAATGCCAAGCTCGTTCTCTCGGTCAATGAGATGCTCGACCTGGGGGCCATAGACCCGCAAAAGAAGCTTAGGAGGTGGTCTGTGAGGATGTGGCTTAGGTTGGGAATCTGTGCCTTGTTGTAAATCGAGGTTTTTAGGTGGTGAGACAACATAGACGGCATTTGTGAGAGCACCGCTCAAGCGTTCAATCTCAATCTCGCCTCCCCTTTCCAATGGTACTCTTCTCCACCCCTTTAACCTCAGCGTGTGAGCGAGTCGCAGGATCTCACTCTTGAATGATAACCATGCTTTGCGTTCTTTCTCAGCTCTCTTAGAGGTACTAAGTGTGACAGTATCACCAGACGATTCTGTAACACCGCCTGTGTATGACATCGTCTTCGAGTTGTCAAGGACAACATCACAGGACGGTACAATCACATCACCATCTTGATAGTCTGTATCTGAGCTTACGAGGCCTCCCAATTTCTTTGCGGAAGAATGACGTCTCACAGGATGGTGAGAGAGCCTGCTGGGTGTAAGAGTAGGAGAGCTGATTGGCAAACGATCCAGCCCGAAAGAACTCATGTTGTCTTCCAATATTCTTTGTAGCCTCTCCAGTGAAATGGCACTCGAGTCGGAGCTCTGACTGGAGGCTCTCCGTCGCGTGGTTGGCTTATCTTCCTCTTCTGTTTCCTCATGGCGCCCCTTGCCCCTCTTCTTTGCCTTCCTGGCAGCTCTCTTTGCTTTCTCTGCCTGCAACCATTCTGCAACTTGTGCAATGAGTTTCTCGTGGTGGGGCTGACCATTATGATTGTGGTGATGGTGTTTGCTCGCATGGTGCTTCGATGTACCAGATGTATCGGACGCTGGCACCGACTCATCAATGCTGCTCTGGCTGTAGAGAGACAACCTCGAGGAAGAAGAGTTCAAAGGCATAATTGGCCGACCTGTCATTCTTTTGTCTGCGATGCCTGCCTTGAACTGTTTGACCCGAGTCGGCTCGTCTTGGGTCGAGAGCATTGGGATGTTCTCTGGTTCTGAGATTGAGACGACTAGATCGAATTAGCACTGTCATGTGCACAAAGACACAAAGGGGCAGGGGGATGGTGCGGGGTGAATTGGCTTACCTTTGGCAGGACCACTTCTTGGACTCAAAGGCTCGTCCGTTTCACTTCCCTTGAGTGCTGGTCTGAGTGGCAGACTCGACCCGGCTTCGGATGGCGTCGACATCGTGACCACCTTTTGATTTCGATTTCGTTGACCAGCCTCGTCGAGACCCCACACTGTCAAACTCGAAAGACGCCTCCAAGGCCACGCACTAATAAGCAGAGATTTTCAATGTCCTCCCCCGCTTCTATGTAACAGAGTGCGGTTCCTGGGAGCGGCTGGATTGGCAATTGCTTCGAGAGACGAATCAATGTGTGCCAACTTCTGCTGAGTGCGAGAAATTCTCTGAGGGCCGAGAATTCAGGGAGGCAAGAGGAGAGCAGCCCGTGAAAAGTGGTCGAGGAGAAGTGCAAATGGTATCTAATTCGCAAGAGAAAAATCCAAAAGAGAAAAGATGCATTTGTTATCTCTAGTCTCGACGATGCCGTGTCGTGAATTTCTTGGATGGCCTGGCACTACCCACAGAAGGTCAAAAATCCCACCCGAGGCAGCAAACCAGGGGTCCTAGAAATGACATCGACAGAATCCCACCCTGCGAGGCTGAGACCAACCACCGCTGATCATTGCCCATATCAGCCAAGCCTTATCAAGGGAGGGGGTGTGGCTGAAGCATGTAAGGTGTGGTACAAGCACGTGGGTGGGAAAGCTTCGACATTATTTGCATGGGAAGACTTCATTGGCACTCATGTCCTTCATTTGCGGGTGTGGTCTTGATCATTTAAGTAAGGAATGTCATGAAACAGAGCTGTTCAGTCTCATACCATGTATTGTTATCCCTAACTCTATGGACGATGCCCCCAACACACCCCTATGCAACGCGAAGTACCCCAGTGTGATCTCCATTTTTCATGAATGCATAAACTTGCGTCAAGGTATTTCTTTCCCTCTCTGTCTTTTGCGTCTCTCTCATCATAAAGACGTAACGTATCGTTTGTACTCGAGAACACAAGTCAATGAGCCAGCTCACGCTCATGTTCTCTGCACTCGTGTGGTAAAAACAAAGGAAAACAAACCAGCTTTCTCAGAACCTCTCTGATGCACTGTATGTAACCCAAGAAAATAGAAGCCGTCAATGTAGGTATCAGAGAGATCGCAAACTGTACCAACGCCCGCAGCCGAATGCATTGAGAAATCCCGCGAGCACTGAGAACAATAAAACCATTTTGCCGCAAGTTGATGGTGAAAGGTGGAAGCTTAGCCAGGGCTAGCAGCGGGGGAAACCGTGTCCAGAGGTGCAGCATGTAGAGCTGGCTTTTTTGCCTCGCCCATAAGACCAAGCTTCTTACGCTCCATGGCGTTCTTGACCCAGTTGGCAACTTCTTCGTCTTCAGTGCCGCTCTTGCCAAAGTGGCCACCCGTCGTATCCTCAAGCTCGGCATCTTCGTCTTCTTCCGAAATGGTGTGTGGTTTAGACAACTCAGCGAGCCAGCCATGTTGCAAGAGCATGCCGTAGGTCGGGCGAAGCTTGGGGATTTTGTTGAGACAGCCACGGACGAAGTCATGGGCGAGTGGGGAGAAGCCTTCCTCTGGTAGATCCGGAGGTTTACCATCGACGATTGCCTATTGAACGGTTAGCTTCTGATTTTGTTTACATAATTATCAAAGACTTACGCTAAGTTGAGAGAAGATGTTGTTGTACGTCTCGGGTGGGTACGGATATCTTCCCATGGCACACTCAATGATGCTCAACCCCAAACTCCAGATATCGCTCTGTACACTGTAGGTTCCGCCAGCTGCCCCCGCTTGAGCCATTCCACCACCACTGATTCGTTCAGGAGCCATGTATGACTGACAGCCGATGTTTGTCTTTGCGATACTTGCAACTAAGTTACCGGACACACCAAAGTCACAAATCTTGACTTGGCCTCGAGTGTTGACCAGGATATTTGTCGGCTTGACGTCACGATGGATGATGTTGTGGTCATCTTTCAGTGTCTTCAGACCTTGCGTGGTAGCATAGGTGATTTTTCTCAGAATATTCTCTGGGATACCATCTCCATAGATCTTATCGATGGAACCACCATCCATGAACTCGATGCATATGTAGACTGCGCCTTCTTGAAAGAAAGCTCCATAGAAATCAATAATGTAAGGACTCAAGCACCGGTGCAGAATGTCGAGCTCCATGATGATGGCAGCAAATTTTGCATCTTCGAGCTCAAGGCGAATTTCCTTCATGGCCATAACAACACCCGTGGAGTTCCCGGTCTTTAGCGACGATTCCAAAGAATCATCCTTTTCTGGAGACGGGGTAATTGGCGAAGCTGAAGAGAACTTGTTTCCTGCTAATCCAAGGCCTGGTCTTCGCATTCTTGGACGAGCGTGGCGAACTTTGTAGACAGTGCCGTAGTTGCCCTTTCCGAGCTCCTCTAATGTATCGACCTCATCTAACGAAATGCTGAAGTTGCTACCGGAAGTAAAGTCGATTCCTTGGCTGTGAATGACCGCTTTACCAGCAAACTTCAGCGTGCCGGTCTTGGTGTCAACATATTGGGAAAATTTGTTGAACATGTTTCCGGACTGCGCACTTCCATTTTCAGCAGCCTCGCCATTATCATTTAATTGAGGTGTGCTGTTATTATCTGCTCCCGGTAGTCCTCCTGGCAGCTTCATACCACGGCGCGCGCTCAACCCGCCCTTGGCGGGCATCTTCGGGACTGCCGGAGCAGAAGCAAAGTTGTGAGCTTGTGGGCGCATATTTGGGGGCAACCGTAAGCCACCTGGCAGACCTCCCAAAGGCGGTCCACCAAAACTGGGCGAAGCTGGGGCAAGTGGTTCACTCGCAGATACGGATGTGCCAACTTGAGGGCGTATCGGAGGTGTTCCTTGTCGAGAGAGGTGAAAGGCTCTCATCTTTGCCTCCATACTTTGTGGCAGTTGTCCCCCCATGCTTGACTGCGCAGTTCTCATACTTGATAATGTAGATGGGGCGTTCGGTCTGCGAGCGTTTTGAACCAAACCGAGAGGCGTTGAGGACGGGGTCATGGACGCTGGGTCGGACGTAGATCGAAGAGAGGGAATTCGTGGGGGATTTGAATCTAATGAGGGGCTCCCTAATGGAGCCTCATCTTCTTCATCGGTAGATTCCGGAGATCCAGGACTGGCGGCAAAGTCCTTCGAGTCTTCGGGGGCGCTGGGTGGATCGTAGGAAGGCATGGTTGCGTATCCAAATCTCTATTTGGGTGGCATGGGCGGAGGTGCGATCGTTCAGTCTTGAAGTCTCGACTCTCGGTGCTGGATCAACGACGATGCCTGTCCGAGCAGAGAGTTAGATGGTGGTTTCTTGGCAGAATATAACCTCAAAAGACTGACCGAGACTGGCCGACCTAGAGGATCAAGTGCCGCAAGCTCCGGCAGCTTTCGCCTGGCTTCTGGGGCCCCAAAGGAACTTTCCGTTGATTTGAGAAGGTTGACAAGAAGAATGGTATGTGTGTTGGGGTTTAGTGAGTAGGCTGATATCCGCGGGTGAAAAATTTTGGTTCGCGAAAGAATAGTGTGCTTTGTTGAGTCGTCCTCGATCGAGGCGGCGTCCACGATCGAGGCAATCGGTACCTGCGGCCGTTGACAGCCTAGACTTTCTATGCGAGAGAATTATATGGGGATGGCCGACGTCGTAGGATTTGTCTTTTGGCTAGTGCGGAAGCAACGATGAAAGTGCAGTCACGTTCTGATATAGTCGGTGGCAGGACGACAGAGATGGGATCTAAAGACGACAGGATGGGAGGAAGCTGGCGGAGCTGCAAAGCTTTCATCGGGACGGTGAACTGCTGTTCCTTACAAGATGGACAACATCAGCGTGAGGAGATTGGCGTGAATTGGGGGACAGTCAGTAATGCAAGTGCAAGTGCAAGTGCATCCGCATCGAATTGCTCGGACGAGGTCGGCCTGCAGTCGATGACGTTGTTCAAACCTCAAGATTTGAAGATTTGAGGGGTCCGAGGAAGTGTGGCTTGACTCCTTTTGGACGCCCAACGCTCTCGTGAGTGGCTGCTGATAGGGACTCGACAATAATAGCAGGGCGGTCCGTATTTATCAGGGTTGCGGATAGGGCGAGCCAAGCCACAGTCGACATTGCTTTTGGGTGGCACTGGATGGGTGGGGCTCCTGAAGAGCAACTCCCATTGATCAACATCCTGTGTTGCAGGATGAGCAAGGGGTGGTGGAGGTGGAGCACAAGTCGGAGTACATCGCGGCCGCACGATTTGATACCGAAATGGTGTACCAGTCTGACGTTCTGGTTGTACCTGTACAAGGTGGACTCGGGATTCGTTGGAGGCACTTATCAGGGTATGAGGCACCAGAGGCAAATCAGATATTGAAAGCAAGAATGAAATGCATGTTGACGCCGAGTACGGGATGTCATGTTGGAGAAGGCAAGATTTTGATGCCACATATCAGATGCCATGCTGCTGGCAGGTCTTTCAAGGACGGGAAGCTCAACAGGAGAGGCCCAGGCAAGGAACTCACAAATTCATCGCGGATGCCTGCAAACCCTTTCAAATAGCTCACACACAGGTTTCGAGACTGGGAAGTCCCGAAGGATCCTTCCGGATATGCAGCTCAATTCTACTTGGTCAACAGCTGGCAGGCAGGTCCCAAAGTAGTGGCCCATTTTCTTACCCAGTTTGACACCTCATGTTCTTCGAAGGGACACTCACGTGTACTAGTTAGTGTATACAGTGGTGGTCCGCCAAGGCGCTTTGAGTTGTTGTGAAGTCCCTTGGCCCTCCACATGGGTGACTAAGCTTGACGCAAGGGGGAGGTGTACCGTACTTAGTAGCTTGGCCAAGCTTCGCCTCTTCAACAAAGAACCGCCTTCCCTTGATTAAGTTTGGCCGGTCCAACAAACAGAGAGCGCTGGCCCCAGATTCTCCAATGGCAGGTTGGGGCTGGGTTGTGCTGTAGTGGAGACGGAGGGTCGGTGGTTCACGATGCGAGTCCTTGTCAGAGTCTGGGGTGAGCCACAGGTCATGGGCAATGACAATGGCAATGGCAATGCAGGGCAATGGACGAACTCCCTCCTCAGCAAACCGCGTCATCGCTGTGGCTGATCCCGCGATCGTCGCCCTTGTGCAGCACTGCAGCGTCGGCCTCGAGGGAGCTTGACCGCCGGGATCAGCTGTGGGCCCGAGAGCGAGAGTGAGGGAGGCAGGGGCTGGTGGGGAGGGGGGGGGAAGGGGAGATTGGGGTGCCTGAGGACGGGAGTTACAGAGTACAAGTGAGAGGACTGAATCTTCGCGATGGCGATGAAGAGGATTCTGGTGCTTGAATAAGTGTCAAAAGTCACAAGAATACATTGGCTCGGCTGAGTGTTCCAAACACACCACAACATTTTTTGATTGCCACGATCCTCAACACTAAATCTTCACGCTGGACACTGTTGGCTTGGCTGTCCATCCAGGTACCAATCAAGGATACAGTCACTGCACATGGTGCTCAGCGCAGCACAAGAGCCAAGGGCCAAAGCCTTGCAAAACGTTACTGTATTGACAGCGCTCACCACAACCACGAACTCAAAAACATCTCGCACCTCTCTTCGCCCAAAACACTTTTGATTTGAAAAACGACGGTCCTGAAGTTTGCTTATCAGCAGCTGTTATTAAATTTTCGCGCTGCCCACTCAGCCTTTTTCTTGCTTTTTCCCCGTAGCGTCCGGGTCCGCTTCTGGTATAGCGCGGATACGATTGCACGGGTTCTCGCACATCCCCTCGCCTGCTCAAATACGTGAGCCCTTCCACCACCACTCCGGAGAGAGGGCACTCTTCCTCGTCCCCGTCCTCGAATATCACACGGTCGAGGCCGTCAATCCTCACCACAAGATGGGGTTCTTCACCCACCCAACGTCCTACCGACTCAATGCGATTATTGCAGGCAATGACGTCCCATCCATCTCCACCACCTCCTTCTCCCTCTTCGCACGGCGAGTAAACGATCATGAATCCCATCCAGCCCTTGGCCATCTCGTACTACTGGTATTCGAAGCGGTGATGGAGGTCGTATGTGTCGCTTTGCCAGGATACATCGTTGCGAGGCAGGGAATGTTCGATGCAGACAAGCAGAAGTTCGTGGCGAATCTGAATGTAGCTCTGTTCACGCCTTGTCTGAGTATGTTCTGTACTACAATCGAACGAGCGCTCGGAACTGACGGGAAATAGTTTTCACAAAACTGGCTAAGCAATTGACTGCGGATAAATTGGGGGAACTGGCTGTCATTCCAGTGATCTTCGTTGTGCAAACTTTAGTCTCTTACCTAGTCTCGATCGCTGTCTCCAAAGGATTCGGGTTCACGAAAAGGCCAACGAACTTTGTGACGGCTATGGGGGTAAGTCTATCTACTCGACGACTGTCAATGTTCTAACAATTCCAGGTGTTTGGAAACTCGAACTCCCTCCCAATTTCTCTCGTCATTTCCCTATCGCAGACATTGAAAGGACTGCATTGGGACAAGATACCCGGTGACAACGATGACGAGGTCGCAGCACGAGGAATCCTCTATTTATTAATATTTCAACAGCTTGGACAACTGGTGAGATGGAGTTGGGGATATCATGTCCTGTTGGCACCACCTGAATCGTACGAACCCGATAACGAAGACATTGAAGGCGGAAGATACAGAGATGATCCCAGTGAGGTCCTTATTCCTGGCCTGGATGGTAATGAGGAGGAATACGAAGGAACAAATGGAAATGGGACTTCGTCTACAAACTCTTTCGAGTCTGGTGGTAGGACCCCTATTACCAATGCTCGATATGCAGGCTCAGTGGATTCAGAAGATGAGCCAAGCAAGGTTCCAAGTCTTCTCCCAACTCCTGCCAACGGGAACGCGCTTCCCAGCAATGAATCAAACAGCCATATTACCTCATTTCCCAGCATCCGTACACCAACTCCGGGCGACGAGCGGGATATCCCAAGCGGCATCAAGGGCATAATTCCCCTACTACGCCTCCGAACTAGACGAGGGGTCAATATTGTATCCCGCAAAATCGAAACGACTTTCCAGAAGGCTTTCCATACCTTGCCTAGATCCGCCCAGAGCGTGCTTTCGAAAATCTATAACCTCCTCTCCCGCTTTCTTGCGGGGGCCTGGGAATTCATGAACCCACCGCTTTGGGCAATGCTCATCGCAGTAATCATCGCCTCGATTCCCAAACTCCAGCACCTCTTCTTCGCGGACGGCTCATTCATCGCCAACTCAGTCACCAGTGCCATCGCCCAATCTGGTGGCGTCGCCGTACCTCTCATCCTAGTCGTACTGGGCGCCAACCTGGCACGCAACACCCTTCCCAAAGAAGCATACGATGAGAACTCAGAAGAGAACCAGATTGGCACAAAGCTGCTCGTTGCATCCCTGATCTCACGTATGCTTCTCCCAACCATTATCATGGCACCTTTGCTTGCATTGGCAGCAAAGTACGTGCCAGTGAGCATCCTCGATGATCCTATCTTCGTCATCGTGTGCTTCTTGCTCACGGGTGCGCCGAGCGCCTTGCAGCTGGCACAAATTTGCCAGATTAATGGTGTGTATGAAGGCGTGATGAGTAAATTGCTTTTCCAGAGTTACGTTATTTGGTATGTGCTTGCCTCTCCTCCCGTCCATCCTCGGCTAACTGAATATCTAGGATTCTTCCATCAACGCTCATTCTCGTTATGTGCGCGCTCGAGGTCGTCGAATGGGCGAATGCCGTCTGATTTCTTTCTACCAAAATTCGTTCCTCGTTCGAACCTGTAAAGATGTTGTATTGATAAGGTGAAACTGTATAAAGAACACATGGGTCCGGCAGCATCAAATAGGGATAACACAGCATGGCGTCTTTATAAGGAAATTTTCCAACCACGGTTTTTTCGGGGATTATGTACAGCAAAATAGATATCCCTTCGTTATGTGACGTCCGAAGTTTCTCCACCATTTTATTTTGCATTTGTGATTGTATTGCTTACGATGGAAATGCACGTCGTCGCAGCCAACAAACACGGCACCAAAGCTCCAGCCATGTACATACACAATTCCACCCCTTTTTCTCCTCAAACTCTCCGCCCCCCAAACCCATAAATCTTAGCCACATTCCCCACATCCGTCAACCCCCCAATCCTCTCCCTCTCAAGCCCCATCCCCCTCATATTCCCCTTCACCTGAAACGCACCCTCGAACCCCGTCCCATCAGCCATCACATCAACAGCAGTCCACCTCTGCTCTCTCCATCCGAATTTCTTCCCCTTCCCATCCTCCCCATCCAATTCCTTCCCTTTCCCCGTATCCCGTTCACCCTGTGTGCCAAGATTCGGCGTCTCATCTTTCAACACCTCAACCACAAAGCAATACTTCACATTTACCGAACCTTGCAACACAGAAACGGAGTCCTCATCATGCCCGTAAAGAATCTCAGCATCGCCCCTCCCTCTCGGTAATTTACTGATGAAAAGGTGCAGTTCGGGGAATTGCGTGAAGATCTGTCCCAGTGCGGGTTTCGTGGGGTTGGAAAGGAAGATCGAGGTGGGGGTTTGTGGTTGTCTGCTCTGATGATTTTGATTTCGGGACGTGGTAAGATTAGAGGTTGTGGTGGGGTAGGTGTAATTCGAGGTGGACGTGGAGGATTTTGTTGGTACGGTGGAGTTGTGGAGCAGGGTGAGGATGTTGTGAGTGTGGGTCATGGTGTGCAGGGTCAAGGAGAGGAGTGTGAGGAGGCTGTGGGCTTCGGATTTCTCTTTTCGGGCAAGGAGGGAGGTGATGAGGTGTGTGATATTGTCGATGATTATTATCTCGATGCCAAGATCTTGTTCGGTTTTATTCTGTGAAGGTGGAAGGGGGGTGGCCGCTTCGGGAGTAAGCTCTGCTTCGCTGTCGGCTATTTCTGTTGGCCTTTGTGGACTTCGTTCGCTTGTAGTTGGATCATGGGTTGATACGGGAGTGTCGGAGTCATCGTGAGAAGTACCGTCCCGCCCTACTTCTCCAAGCACTTCCCAAAGACCTTCGATGTCGAAGACTCGACTGATGGCTACCATCTCTAGACATCGTTGGACACCTTTCTCTACTTCTCCATCTGTCACAGCTAGCTTTTGGCCTGAAATGTCATAATTTCCGGTTTGTACTGCAGCAGTGGTGGATGCAGCACGTGATGAGATGAGTCGTGCTTTGAGGACTTTGGCGAGGAGGGGCACCGGGAAGGAGCCTGTTGTGTCGACTATTATTGCACTTGGTCTGCTGGAAAGATTTGATGATGAGGCGAGATTATAGAGAAGAATTGATGCTAGGAGGTGTAGTGAAATCTGAAAGTTGTGAGTTAGTATCGCCGGGAATGACACATGATAAAGTATGGGATGAGTGATACAACAATCGAAGAACTCTGAGCAACGAGATGTCTGACAATAATGAGATAGAACGCTTAAAATGAAAAGGGGAGCACAAAGATATCAAAAGGAATAGGATTATTTCGAGGGAAATCTTGGCCCACTTAGTCCTGTTGCCTCCACCAGCCTCATCGTGCTCTTTCTCCAACAGCTCAAAGCTAAGAAAGCACCTACAAATCGACCCTCGCTGCCTTCTGCACTGAGTCCAACCACAATGCCTCGTTCACATCCTCCTCCCAGGATCTCATCAATCTCACTACATCCGCTTGAGATTCTCTCATTCCTGCCTCCCTCGGTGAATCTCTTTCTCTGATCTTTCTCAAGTTCCAGGAGTTGAGAAGCGAGGATTGGCTTCGCCGGCTCGGGAAGCGGTGGATCCGGATTGTTGACAGCAGTATGGTCTATCTCAATCATCTTGGTGGAAGTCCATTGAGAGGTCGGAGGATGACCGGCTGAGAAAAGGGGGGAGTGGTGTTGCCTAAAGGCTGACGAAGTGAAATGAATTATGAAACTATGAAACGGAAGGGGGAGAAATGAACAGATAGCGAAGGAAAGAGCAGCTCATCATGACGGATAATGAGTTGCGCGTCTATGAAGCTCATCCCCCTTGATGTTGAGAAAGATGGAGTTGACGGTTCAATCCCAGCGTGGAGAAACAAGCGAGGAGCGGCTTTCGCTGGCGGGCCTTAGTTCTACTGAGGCCTGCAAGTTGACGGTGGTTGCCTTTCCTAGCACAGCAGCTTCCCACTTCCACTCCCACGCAATATCAAAGTCAGAAATTCCATTTCTTTCACAGAGCAGCTTCAACTTCAACTTCATCTACGTATTTTATCTACGTCCAAGATCATCATCATCCACGGCTATTTTTAGCGGCAAGAGGAATCCGAAACCGTCACGTGCAGAACCGTGATTCCAGGCTGCCGATCCCTTGGTCTGGACCATCATAGACTCACAACCACCGTCCTCCCCCAATCTCCAAAGGCATTCAGCAACGCTGATCTCTCAAAATACGACCTGCAACAAAAGCCCAGTTTCCTCTGCCTGGCACCCATTTACTTGGAAATCCGGGACGCCGGTTCCAAGATCTTTCGAATTTCAAGGGACACTTACATAAGGTGCTGCCGCCGAGACATCCATGATTCCATATCCAAATCTCAAGCTCGTTCACCCAGTCCAGAGCGGCCGATATGCGTCGATCACCCCAGCTACGATGTGCAACAAGATCCCTCAAGCATCTCCTTCATCTCGTGCGGCAGCTTCCCTTGTGAGGATATCGAAAGGCTGGCCGCGGAAGAGTCCGTTTGCACTTTTGCTGGCGTTGATGGTGGGGTCGAGGCTTGCAAAATTTCAAGCCATCTTCCCACCTAGACGTTCCTCTACTTCCCAATGCGGTCAATGAGATGTCCCATCTTTTTCAGATGTGCAACAAAACTTTAACAGAGTGCTTGCAACATGTGCGATGTGCGATCTTTTCGAGTCACAAGCACTGCACTGCATTGTCATGGGCCACGGCCAGTAGGGAGGTCGTGTAATTTTGGAGATCGTCAACTCGGCTGCTTGTTCCATCACGGTCTAGCCCCGCCGCGAGAACCTTGAACAGCTAGAGCTCGTTATGCAACAAACAAACTCCGTGCTTTCTCTCATCGTGCTTCTCTTTAGGCTTTCCATATCAGCCTGATGTACGGTACACCCGGGACCCTTCATCAAAGTTTTCCGGCTGCTTCCGGACCGTCCCAGCCCACTGGAGAACCTCCACATCCTTCCACATCCAGGCTCTCCACCAATTTTTTGGCTTGATCCTGGCTGGCTGTCGATCCCGCGACATGCAAAAATCTTCATGTCTTCATCTCTCCTGACCAGGTATCTGCGCGGTTGCCCGGATACAACCCGCATGGCGTTGATGGGCGTGCAAAGCCAAAGAAAACGCGAGAACTATTCCGGTGGCCGACGCCTCATGGGATCTGGAACGTCGAAAGGCTTGCCGATCACTTCCGCAAAAATCGGCACAGAAGCATTGAAGCTTCTTCGTGCTTTCCAAAGCGTCCTTTGACGGGAGATATGTTCCCTTGGGAAAGCGAACTGCTTGCAGAAAATCGCGTGGCAAACAAAGCGACGTTGAACTTCTCGACCAGTACGGTGCGATTATTTGCTGCCCTATCAATGCGGCGTGCAACAGTTTGTCGGTGGATTTTTTGAAGCATCCCCTTCAAGTCATCCTCCTGCAAGTCATCTGACAGTTGGGCAATGATTGGTTCAGAACTAGATTTCTCCCAAAACAGAATCCGGGGTCTGGCTTCACGTCAACTTAGCCTTGGATCAGACATGAACCTCGAATGCTCCAAACATGTCGATCCCTGATCGACTTGCAACAAAAGTGTGTTGAAGGGCATGCGCTCCATCGTGGACTGCCTAAAGTCCACAAGATCTACTTCGAGGTGCAGACGGGCTGATACAGTGCCCGTGCATGAACCGGGAACCCACGGCGGAGATCAACAGCCTCGACCGCTCCAAAGTGTGAAGATCTCAAAGACGACGTGCAACAAAGAATATCCTCTCTCAAGTGGCCCAGTGGTGAGTGCAATTGTTTAAATTCAAGAGCCTCAAACAATTCACCAGCAATGCTTGTGAGTTACGACTTAGGGCTTCACGTCACAACCCACGTGATAGTTGTCCCCTGTCCCACATCGTGGCTTCTGAATTCGTTGTGCGAAGTGTGTTGGGCTATCATGACGATCAGAGCGATCAGAGCGATCAGAGAATGAAGAACGACGACAGGAGAGCTTAGCAGAGGGCAATGGTGATATTTTTCGAATGAAGTAGCAGCAATCCTACCATACTGCTCACTCTTGCATTCCCCTGTCGAAGCTCTTGCATCCTTTCGCCTCTATGCAGCCGTCGTATGCGCCCACTTGTGGCAGTGCGCACTAGGCCCGAAAGTCGAAGTAGAGATGCTTTTACAATAAGACCCTAGTGATCCTCATAAGATTCCATTTCTTCCTTCTCATTTCCCATTCACTTACCGTCGTACTGGGCACTCTTGATCACCTGCTTCATCTATGGGGAACTGTTCTTCATCGCAAAGCCCGCTACTCGCCGCTTCATTGTTTAAGAAGTCATGCGACATTGGAAAGGGACGGGTTTAGAGTTTCCCACACATTTGGAGAGAGTAGTCCCAGAATGTACGAGAACTTAGGTACCATTGAGAAAACAAGTTTTGCACCATTCCTGAGTGCTTATGCCAGCAGACATCTTGAAAAGTTTCGATGGCGTCTGTTCCAATTGGGTTCACGTTCCAGTCAAGTTGAACATTCAATGATGCCTTGCTCTCCAAATGGCCCTTCGACTTATCAACATTCAAGCTCCCCCCACCCCAACTTCGAATTTCTTAGAGAGGTTTTGGAAACATTCAAATTCAAGACCTCGCCCTCCATGTTTTTTAAACCTCCAACCTAACTTGGGACAATGAATATGAGTACGCTTTTTCTGCAACTTTTCTATCCGCCTCGAGTTGTCTTTCCGGCCGTTGTGATGCTATGAATTAATACAGGCTAGGAGATTCAAAGACGACACATACATTCCCCAATATGCATGGCACCTCTTCCCGCCCTAGCATTGACATCAATCACTGTCTTAGGGGCCAAGGAACATTCAAGTGGCAAAATAACTATCCACACTCTGGATTCTTAAGCCTTCGTGCGTGTATTATAAGTCTAGCTTTAGGTGAATAGAGAAGTGTTCTAACAGCTCTTTCCCGGGCGGCTTCTACGCTTCTACGCTTATCTGAAAGCCTGCGGAAAGATATTTTTCGGAGTCTTCTAACGAGGCTAAATCTGCCTTGGACAGACGCACCAAAACCAAAACCGGGAGCCTATACTGGATGGCTACAAAGGCGAATTGGTATCCGCAAAGACTGGAGAATCTGTGCTGTAAGTTAACCACCGACATCCCCACCTATTTCTCGACTTACTAGGCAAACGATCTGCTATTTCCCATGCCAACCAGAAACAATCCACTTTGGATATCAAACACCCCAGGCAGCCGCAGCCGTATCCCTTCGTCCGGTGAGACATTGCCACATTAGCGGCCGCACATGAATCTCCCTAATTCGGCCAGAACATAATCTGAATTAGGGAGATTCATGTGCGGCCGCTAATGTGGCAATGTCTCACCGGACGAAGGGATACTCGCGCTCAGCGATCTACACCTCTCCATTAAGACTGCAAAGGCCACGTTCTATCCTGTGCATCCGAATATGTTATCCCTTCCGCCCGATTATCCCAAACCAGACATTTCCGTGCTTTCCGAACTTCACATTGGCAAGTTAAACCTACGTTCTGATAGGAATGAGAGGTTCTATTTGATGATCTTGCCATCCTCTTTGGGAACACAAAGGCCAGTAATTTAATGGGACTTCTCTCAAGGCTTCACTGTGTTTTCCTTGTCGAGTTAGTCCCACCTTGCCGATCTTTCTTCAGAACAACCACAAAACTCGGGATTTTGAAACTTGACAGGAACCATAATGGCAGATTGCCGGGTGAAAGACTCTTCTATTTCGAAGATGCCGGGCCATTCAGACTTTAATATGTACCAGGAAAGACTCCACGAGGCTGTGTTAACATATGTGACATGTCACCAGGTGCTTACTTGTGCATTTATCCCCGTCTTCTCTCGTCAACCCAGATCAACATCCGCTGCAAGTACAGATTCAAAGAAGCAGATCAGAGATTTGATGGTGGACAGGGCTTGACTCGAGCAGAAGATCCAAAAGGATCAGACTACTTTCCAGTCGAAGGTCGCAGCCAAGAATGACAAGATCAAGTGCCAATCTGCAAAGAACATGAGTCTCGCTTAGGGAGTATTGAAAATGGAGCCTGTAGCTGATCCATAGTATCGCTTAAGCTGATCGATATTATCAATTAGCAAGCATACCTTTGTATTTTTCATAATATGGATCAACTTTCCTCACCAAAAACCACACTGTATCTACAAGCTTTAATGATACATAGACACCTGTCCTCGTCCACACCCAACTTCCATCCCCGACTTTCTCCCAACAGCCCGCCAGGCATACTCCTAGCATATGCTTAAACTTTACTACTAAGAAACACATAAGTAAGTTGGACTGCTTTATTATTGCTATTACTCTAGCATATGCTTGGCATAGGCTAACCCTAACCCGTAGGGCCTTTATGCTTTAATATATTCCAATGCGGGGGGCTCTCACTGCCCCCAAACCCCCCGGGACTAACCCAGACCCTAACCCCTGACCCTAAGCCCCCTCGCAAGCTCGGGACTAACCCGAACCTTCCTAGCCCGTGTAGCCCGTACATTTGCAGGGCATAAGGCGAGCATATGCCTAAAATATGACTGCCACAAAACCTATTCATTTGCTCGGCTAGCTATCTCGCTTCTTTAAGCGATAATAGCAATCAGCTAAATAAACAAGCATGTGCAGAGTTTGATAATAGTGATCAGCTTAAGTGATACTATGGATCGACTAGGACCTCTTGAAGATGGGGTCAATATATTGGTACAAAAGCGATATATTGAGAGTTGACAGTGCGTAGAATGACTAGATACAGCAGAGTGAAGTCTGAAAGCAGAGGAGAAAGTGTCCAAAGTAAGGGTCTTTATTCCCATTACCCATCGGCGATGTCGATGATGCCAAGCCCGCTCTCACGATACATTATAAATTAGCTAATAAAGAAAATGATCAAAATAACAATATATTAGTGAGCTTGGTAAGCTCTGCAAGTAACGCATTACAAATGAGAGTGGAGAGTACTAAATGAGTAGTTGAATCTGGTACTGGAAGGACTGGTAAGTTAGCTAGGGTAGCATACCACCAATTCAACAAACCTTCTCTTACGCAGGTGCAAGGCCTAGTGTTTGCTACACCGCCTTGAGTTCTGCTAAGCAAAAGTCGGCTACAGCGCATTGCTACAGGACATTTCAGTGCAACCCCTGCAAAGGCGGTTTAACAAACAGTAAGGCCTGCACCAGCGTATGTGATCACTGATCGAGCTTCACCCGCCTTCGTCGGCTGATTAGTAACCACATTCCACATTCTTCTATTTATTTAATACTTAATAGCAACGTGTAAGCTTATGTGCTGACCTTACGCTGCTATCGTGCAATTCGGCCCCTCCGATTCGCTTTGGCGGAGAGCGACCCAGCTAAACAAAAATCTGGTAAGTAGTTCTTGTGCTCTAGTTGTGACAGCGCTGGCTAGGGTCATGTGGGGGTGGCTGTCACCTGACTAGTGACACCTAGCTAGTCGGCGTTTCAGTGGTTTTAGCTAGTATCTCTCTCTTTTCACCCTCTCTCCCCCTCTCTCCTTCTTCTCTTTAGCTTAGTATTCTCAATACATGGGATTCTCGGAACTTTGAGCCTTTTTGGCCATTGCCTTGATCCCGCCGTCACACTAGCGAAGCTTCATACCCAAAGCAAAGGCAAACATAAGTCATATTTCAGTATTTGAAATGGATCTTTCGTACTCAATACCCATTCCGGGTACTAACCAAGTCAGCGCTAATTCGTTTCCGGGTATTGCTTTAACCCTATGATTTCAATCGCGAACTCACGAGCCAAGGCTTACCATATCTCAGGTTTTACAGTGTATATATATATATCCAGGGAGCTGCTCCCACGCACACGCAGCAAAAAGTTATTACCACGCGTTGACAGTACCTGCACTGCAGGCTTGAGGTGCGTGGAGAGAACATTGCTTTGAAGCATAGTGCTTGTTCTGTCATTCTCCATATAATTCCTCGGCACTTTTACCATCTGGATTCCCTCCGACGACCGACCAGCACAGAAGCGAGCGACAATGGCGCCTCTGATAGCAGCCATGCTGCCGATGCTGAGCAACACAGCCGGTCTATTCTGTATTGCTACCACCGGTTTCATCCTGCTCTATGCAGCCGACCAGCTGCTACTCGCCCCCCGGAAGCCGAGCCCCGCGGTCTTTGCTTGCGAGCCCGAGGGTAAGAAGAGCGTTAGCATTCAGACCCGGCTCGCGTTTTACCTCAACTGTGTTGGGCTATACCACGAGGCCTGGGAAAGAGTTAGTTCCCCACCTAATGCCTCTCCCCATCGCGCTCCTTGCTAGCACCTCGCTGCTCTGGAACTGCTGCTGACATACCTCTAGTATATCAAGAAAGCCACGAACAAGGTCATTGTACTGCCAGGATTGGGCTTCCACAATGATGTTATCCTGCCTCACAGCTCGACGAAATGGGTGCTGTCGCAGCCTGACGGTATGTTTAGTGCTTACGACGCCATCGTAGAGCTGAACCAGGTAATGTACAGCCTGGGCCACTCGCGGTTTATCGGCGACCCTTGGCAAGGCCATCTGGTCCGGACTAAACTCTATAATGCGTTGGAAGGTATGACCGCCGACTTGAGCGACGAACTTTCGTATGCCCTTGACGAGTACTTCGGCACCGACTCGGACAACTGGACCGAGATTGACCTGGTAGAGACGCTGAACCACGTTACGGCGCAGCTGGCTGGCCGGTTTACTGTTGGGCTCCCACTATGTATGTCGAGCACTAAGCCCGTCCCCACCCCTCCTCATATATTTACATGTACACACTTGCTGTGATTTGTGAAGACCTTCCTGGTAAACCACAATCAACAAATACTGAATAGAATTGCTAACCCTCGACACCTAGGCCGGAGCAAAGACTACATCGACACATGTTGCGAAATCAGCGATGATTTCATGCTTGTAGGTGGAGTACGTGGCCTCCCGCACATCCTGCGACCACTTGTCGGGAGCGTGATGGGCATCTGGTTCAAGACCAAGATCAAAAAGATGAAGAAGCTATTCGAGCCATTATACCACAAACGCATCGCGATGTTGCAACACTCGGCCGACGACCCAGAACACGAGGAACCGAATGACTACCTACAGATCATGTTCCGTTATGCAGCCGACCGCCAACAGGAAGAGCTAGGAAGCATCGACGTTATGACCCGGCGTCTCATCATCGCCAACTTCGGCTCCATCCATCAGCCGTCCCTCCTGATCGCCAACACGTTGCTCAACATCATAGACTCAGACACCGAGTTCAACACCATCACGACGCTCCGAGACGAGTTGATCAATGTGTTCGGGATCGCGCCCGACGGTACTACCCCGGACATTGTTGACCACAGTACCTGGACCAAGGTCAATATAAATAGGATGAACAAAGCGGATAGCCTTATGCGCGAAACCACTCGACTTCACACCTTCGGCTCGCGGGCTATGCTGCGCAAAGTCATGCCGAAGGATGGCGTGACAACAGACACCGGTGTACACCTGCCACAAGGGACGCTTATCTCGTTCATGGCGCACCCCGTGCAGATGGATGAGGAAACATTTGACAACCCCAACAAGTTCGACCCTTTCCGCTTCTCACGGATGCGCGAGATGATGGAGGCCAAGAAGGCTGAAGCCAAGGAGCCTGCCGGAGATGCGAGCGCCGAGACAGACGAGGTGGCCGGGGTCGGCCCGCTTAAGTTCGTCACGACAGGGCCGAATCACTTGGCTTTTGGGCATGGGAGACACGCCTGCCCTGGCCGCTTTGTCGTTGACTTCCAACTCAAGATGATAATAGCTCATGTCATTACCAGGTACGAGCTTGAATTTCCCAAAGAATACAACGGCCGCCGACCTGAAAATACCTGGATTGCGGACGTGAAGCTGCCGCGACACGCTAAGATCCGCGTCAGGCGGAAGAAGCTTGTCTGCTAAAGAAAGTTGGGATTCGTTCGCGGGTTAGAGGACCAGCATAGAGTTACTAGAAATAGAAACTAGAAATAGAATAAAATCACCCAGTTTAATTTCTCAGTCCTCCACAATTGCAGGTATCAACTCTTGTAGATCATCCGTCTGTTTATTCTCCGCTTCGGGCCTGCGACGATTCAGCACTTCCTCGCAGTGCAGGCTGGAAACCAAGGGCTTTTATGCTCTTGGGCTAAGACTGAATCACACGACTATTTGAGTCTCGAACCGGCGATTTACCGTGCGAAGAGGTTTTCCTTTATCGACCTTACGATCTTACCACATCCTACCACCGTGTCCTTTCACGCTACCGCCGCGCCTCGCGTACCCGAATACACATATACAGAGGGCAATGGGGACGCGTTTAGTAGAGCCGAAGGGAGGATAATTCTGCGCCCGAGGACACTTGGAGTGTAGGAGGGAAGGGAGGGAGGGGGAGGGCAGGAGGGAGGAGGAGGAGGAGGAAGGAGAGGGGGTCGATATCGTGCCTTTGCATGCGCCTACACGCTGCCGTGGAAAACGAGCCCCTTACTCTATTGCAGGAGTTGTCAAGGAGGCCTTTAACTAGCGTTGGGTCACCTGGATTCGTGCTCTAAAGGGCTTGGGAATACGCTTTACGGATAGGCACACAAAAGGGGCGTCATCCCATCTGTCGGGGAAGGTTAGCTCTCGCAAGTCCTTATGGCCATACGCTATTATAGTACGAACTGCTTTCTTAAAGGTTTACAAGGGCACTGAAACACCGCGGGATAAGGGACCCGGGGCTACCAGGAGAAGGGGGGCCTTTTTCCCCTTGTGGTTTTGGCACCTCCTCTTGGTAGGACTTTGTATTAAATCCTTAGCTTAGCACGTCCCTATACCCTTCGGGAGGTCGGCCAACCATAGCCCTGGACGTTAATCAATAACAAACAAACAAACAAATCTCCGCTTCGAACATTGGGTCTGTATCACGACCCGTGGCTGGTGTTCTCAGGGAAAACAGCTGTATTGGGTGTGTATTTACGTCTAAAGAGGGAAGAAGGAGCGGGGAGCTCGAGACTAAGATATAAGGTGCCGCGCTAAGAGGTCACGTGCGACACAACAGTCTGACTGGATCCTGCTTGAACTTCAAAGAACTGACCCCCGGTCCACAGACGAAAAAATGCTAGCAATAGACCTTGCTTTTCCGTAGAATTTGTACTTCTCTTCCCGCCTTTGGCCAGCCTTTCTTTTGCAGGTTCTCCATAGACTTGAGTAGACCAAAGTGTTTAAAAGTGGTTTATTTCTATGCATTCACATTTGGCAGTTGTGAGGCTTTTCAAATCAAGTAGCAATTTTCAGCAAAAAGTAATATTGAGCATATGAACTAATTCATGCAGCAATAAACAGCTTCAGCTAAATCCCTGAACTATCATTGTGCACAGCCATACTGCCTAGAGCTGTCCCAAAAGGGAACTGCTCACCAATTCACTCCTAGCATTTGCGAGGTCTCCAATGGGGAATCACGTACGACCCATTATCGTACACAATATCAAAAGTACCTTCACCATACCATGCATGCAAGAACCAACCCATATTGAACTCCTTCATAAACTCACATTCATCATCATACTTCCAATACTCAGTGTACTGGCTCACACCCACATCAGACTTGTCTGGATAATGCGAATCAGGCGCCCATGCCCATTGAGTTTCGGTTATCATAGTCGGCAGATTCACCGTCTCGTTGACCCACACAATCTGTTCTTGGATATAACTCCAAGTCTCGTTTACCAGCATGTCGCCGTGGTAAAAGGGCATGACGTGCGCGTGGCAGTAATCGCTGTTCGCTTTTGCCTCTGCCCCAAGATCTGTGAGCCCTACGCCATTTTCACCGCTGATCCAATCCGGTCGGTCCCAGTCTTCACTAATTCCTGCGGGTACGCCACAGCTATTCATTCTCGCCCTGAACAAGGCCAAGTCTGTGATAAACTGATCGCCGCCTCCGTCCATCCCGTCGCCAATGGGCTCGGATCCGAAGTCTGCAGAGTGCACGACATATGGGGCGATGCGACCATATTCTGCTGAATCCATCGCATTTTCACTCGGAAACTTGGCGCAGATTGCGAAGTGCAACGAATTCGACCCGAATGACGACTCAATCACTTGGGTACGTATGCAATTCGAGTGGAGGTCGAGTCAGCGAGACGCGAGATGTCGTCCTTGCCGTTCCTCCCGGCTTGGACCGAAAAATAGCCCGTCTCGGCTCCCCTATTCTTCAGATCCCTTCAGACCCCGAGGCTCGGCGAACAAAACGACTTGCAACAAAGTGCTGATGAAAGACGGGCAGGATATTTATTGGGGAGTTGGCACAATTCGCTCCGCTTGGTAGTACGTAAGGTTTGGTCAAAGGAGATATGGTAATATATTTCGTACTGCCAAGTGTCACATCCCGACGTCAATCCGGCCAGACCGCGCTCCGCTCCAAGACTGAAGCGGCTTGACCTCGGCCAAGAGCAGACGTGCAACAAAATGCTTGCGAGCATCCAAGAGAAAACTCGTCAAGACTGGGTCTCGTTGTTTCGTTCCCGTCTTGGACAACCTGCCACAGCTGATCAATATCAACTCACCCTCTAGAGTTGACCTCTTCAAAACACCATAGTAGAGATAAACTTAAACATCTTGGTAAAAAAGTAACAATTCATTTCTCATTGAGTCCTTCAACTCTCTCCAACCCGGGAACCCGGGAACCCGTTTCTACGGTACTCCGAAATATCCACGAATTTGAGTATCTTCCCACACATCACTCCAAGCCAACACTACCAACCCCCCAATATAGCCAAGCTCAGTCGATTTGCAACAAAAGCCCACCTCTCCCGCCTCATGCCCACCCTCTTAAACCCCAATTCGCCACCTCGTAAGCACCATGAACGTTCCGGATGCACTGTAGACCTTTCGCCAGCGGGCCGTGCCGCCAACAGTCTCGGCAGACGACTTCCGGGGACTGGAGCCTTCAGAATCCTGACCGCTCTGCACGATGCAGCATTAGCAGCATTGGCGGAAAATGCTATGTGCAACAAAAGCGAAATAGAGTGGTGTGGTGCTTGGCTTGGAAGATTTAAGTTTGTTGGTTGTGGGAAGAGGGATCGATACATCCGGCTTGTCCCTTGGCTCTCCGACATAGGCCCGTCTTGACTTCTTAACCTCTTTTCTAATTAATCACCTGGTTCTTCTGGGCAAAAAAGCCCAAGCTAAAAAAATCAAGCATGCAAATTTCCCCTATGCAGCCACACAGCGCTTCTCAAGACAATCGCACATTCAGTCACCTGACTCACCTCGAGTCACACAGCAACATCCCGCCAAGCATCTAGACCCCGCATTACCAACCAAACCAAGGCCTGGGCGTTGTGCGATGTGCAACACAAATAATCTACTCTTATACGTTACACCTAGGTCTTAGCTGAGTAATGGGGGGTGTCAGGGCTGGGCACGAGGGAAAGTGTTTCATCGCCTCCAGTTAGAGAGGCGAGAGGGCTCTTGGCCCTTGGGCAAATACGTGTCACGGTCTAGGCACCCAACGCGATGTGCAACATTGAGACGCGGCGAGCAGGGAATCTTAAAGGGCCGAGATAATGTTGTCTTTTATTCCTAGACGCAAGCACCTGTTTACCTGCAGGGTGTTTAGATGAGGTGTTCAAAAGATAATCCATCCGAGTCATGTGTTTGCTGTTTAGGAGGATCCTTTAATTGGTATTAAGGACTTCTTCCGAGCGGTAAAACAGTCCGGCTCACCTCATTATTGTCTGAATCGTTTGTGACATTACATTATTTGCAGTAGAGCTTCTGGAGTTGTCAGTATTCCACAAAGTGGTACTTCGTCACTTAGTTATTCAGAAGCTGCCAAATACAACGCGGTAAAGGATGGTTTGAAAACAGGCGAGCGGCTCCGTCCTCGCTTCTCGAGCTTTCGAGTATCTGTAGTCCCGGAATCTTGATATCTAAAAGATTGCTGGACTTTGTTGATCCCACCCATCATGTTCCACATGGAGTGAACATTGCGGTTGTTGTGAGGAGCAAGGGTGTCCTCGAATTCTACTCTGGGAGAGCTGAACACAACTTAGAAGCTTTCTGGAATACTTCTAAGTCACTAATTCTTAGGGTCCCTCGTGGCAAATTCAGGTACTTGGAAGCCTTGATTCTCTGATTATCGAAGGCTGGGCAGCCCCTTAATAAGTACAAAATCTACTAGCCTCTCACTAGTCTCCTAGCCCCTGGCTACCTTGGGCACCATAAGCTTGGCATCTTTCAACGTGGGAGATGGTTGTTGCTATGAGGACCTGGGGTTGGTGTATGCTCCATAGAAGGTTTTGGGACGTGGATAAAGGCAGCTTGCCGTTGTGAACAGAAGGAGAGGATCACGTTCCATAACTCGTGGGGCATTGGAATTCATGCCAGGGGTTCTTCTCAATGAAGTAGAGATAGATAAATATGTGAATGTAGTTATCTAAGTTCTTGGGCACTACCCGAAAAGTCGATGCCGTTTGTGAGCTTGCAGCAAAAGGTCCATCTACTAAACAACACAAGAGTCACAAAATCAACAGACACAACGAAATTGCGACCATCAATTCATTGATTTAGTTTGCCTTTCAGTCAATTTGCCTCCGCAACATCATCGACTCCTAAGAGGTTCAACTTCCAGACACACATCTCCTTAATCCATGAAAGAATCCACCTTGTCATGAACGAAAAAAACCTCCCCGCCAGCGCCTTATACGCTGTGGAATCGACGACACATCTCCCAACCAATGAAATTACTCGTGTAGCAACTTCCCTGGTGACTTTCTCTATCTAGAAAGAAAAGGTAACACAGCTCTTGTGGGGAGTCTGCGTGAAAGCCTCCCCCTTCCCCCATACGCTTATCCAATACTGGATGAAGCAATGAACATCATCTTGCAAGAGAGTTATGGAAAAGAAATCTTTGGTAGAGGGGTTGTCCCTCTCAAGCGTCGCTGTGTGTTCATCGGATTTTTGGTGAAGTGCCGTGCTGGTGCAGTATTATGACAGATTCGTGTCCTCTTGTCGTATGCCCATAGCTAAAAGTTGCTCAAGATTCCTGTGAGGTTTGGATAGGCTTCGGCTTCCTTGGTCCACCTTTCAAGCTCTTCACTCTCGAAAGAAAGCCACCACCTGCCTTCGCAGCGGCTTCACCACCACTGCCGTCGCTAGTAACACGTCTCTCAAGACGCTCACCGAACCCTCGTCTCGGGCTACTTGGTGCCCGTGGTCTTCCAGTCTTCGATGGTTCGAGGATCGAAATGCTTTCCTTCTTGCTATCGTCGCCCTTTGAGAATTCATTGAAGAAAGGGTTAGACTCGGAAATCCTGCTTCCAGCAGGTGTTCGTGCCTCGGGAGATGTAGCTGTGTATACCCCTTCCGGACTGGTAATCCGTCCTGAAGGGCCAAAATCACGGCGATTATTGTTAATTCCACGAATCTTCTGGGCCAATGACTTCTTTCGACCTAGACCACCATCCGTTGGAGAAGTCTGTTCACTCTCTCTTCGTTGAATGGCGGTTCTAGAAGCGGGGGCACCTTCTAAGAAAGTAGATGTGCCTAGACCAAGCGTTTCCTCTCCATGAATTGGCTCCACTCGAGTCGTCGCGCTCAAGACCTGAGACTCGATGCGGGCTGGTCCTGGTCGAACAGCGCCATTCTCATAAGGCTCGTATTCTCTGGATCCCACGCCTCCCTTGGAATAGTCCTTGAAAGCTTCATCGTCGTTGTGGCCCAGAAACGTCGCATGATCGGGTCTCTTGTTGAGCGGGCCTCCACCACCCAAGACATTGTTCAACGAATCTTTTGGAAATGCCTGCATGGGTGCACGTCTGCTTCCTTGCCGATTTCGGTGAGGGTTGCATGCATCAAATGGTCCGTCATGGTGGAATACTGTCTCCCATTAATAATCAGTCGCAAAGAAAATGAAGATGGCACTTACATCCGGTTCCATATATACTTGTAACGTCTAATTTGTCGATAATATCCAATTTCCGGTCTGGCTTCCTTGATTTTGGGTCTTTCCCCTCCCGCTCTCGGTGTCTACGTTCACGCTCACGGCGTTTTCTTTCTTGGCGTTTCTTCTCCTCCTCGGGGTCGAGTGGTTTGCGATCTGCTACCGAGGAGTCAGAGTTTCGTCGCAATTTCCGTCCTTCGGGCGGTCTCCGTGAAGAGGATGATTCAGTAGGGTCAGCAAATATATCGAGTTCTTCGCTAGGTCGAGGTCTGCTAGACGATGATCCTCCAGCTGCTCTCCGTGCCCGCATTGCTTCTTCTTGTGAACGGGATGGTCGATGACCAGGGGTTCCGCGAGGAGGGACGTTTTCACCACGTGCTACCGATGTATATGGTGGAGGCATCTTCTCGCTAGTATTTGTTCGAGGGGGTGGTGGTCGCATGCTGCCATTGCTCGTAGGTGGCTTCTCATCAAGAGTGAGATTGTCCTGCAGTGCCAGAGTCAGCGAAAATCGTTGCTTCAACAGGTCTCCTTTTCGGGGCAGAATGAAATTTTGCGATAGACATGGACTTGTCCATGATTTTAATCCAAGCCAAGAGGGAACAACGTTTCTATGCTCAGGGAGGAATGACGTACAAAAAGTTCGGCTGCATTGCCCGTCAATGCAGGCTTTGGCCCCGAAATCTCTGTTGCGAGCGACATTTTATCTGGAGATCCGGCTAGTGGTCTTGGGACTGTGTTTGTAGAGGACGTGTCAAGGAACGGATTCCGTGAGACTGGTCGAGGAGGGGGGTCAAAGGGAGAGAGCTGCCCGTCTGACAAAGAAGGTGATGCTGCCCGGTTGCGAAAGGGATTGTTGGAAGAGAGGTTGAGTGTCAGTCCTGGGGATGGACGTGAGTCTACAGGCAGAAACAGGATACTCTTGTTAGCCGACGGGATCATGCATTTCCATGACGGAGAATTGGGAGATAGGGAGGGCTTTGAAACGAGACGATTGTCAACTTGACACGCCCACCACAATGATAAGTGGGGAGGGGGAGGGGGGAGGTGTTGTCGAAGCGCGCCGATGGAGGTGTTGCTTGATTTGAGGATTGACTGACCTGCTTGACCTGGTTGGGTGAGCGACATTGTGGCAATGACCTGCGTGTCCAGGATTGAATCCTGTCGTCGTAATCGCGTTCTTCGGATTGTGACGAGGCCGTGGGCGTGGATGCGAGCGAACTGGGCTGTCCAGAATCCAGATAGGCCAGCGCTCAGATTGAGTTTTGGGGGGGGTGAGGATGCTCGAGCAAAGGGGAGGAGGTCGCGACGCGATGGTGTTAGCTTTGCCAACGTCAGCGCTCCAGGTGAATTCGGGATTTCGAATTCCTTAGCGACTGGCTACAGTACCGGAACCGATCGTTGGCTGCTTTGTTCCTGGGACGGCGCACATGCACCACTTCTTAGTCCAAACCCGGCCCAGCTTTGAATTCGAGCAGAGACCTCTCGAGGGCTCCAGATGCGATTGATGCTCCCGATCGCTGCGCTGTTCGAGGGCACTGGCTGCTGCGACAATGTTGTCTCGTGGGTCGGGCGACGACGGGGGGTGTGGTGTTCAAAGGCGACTCTGTGCGGGGACACGCTGGTGGGCCTAGGTAGTGTTTGTTGCAGTGGGAGAGTGGCACAGTGTATCCAAATGGCGAGATATGATGCCGGAGAGAGATACTTCCTAGGAGAGATGATCGGATACTGGTACAAAAAGTGGCTGTTCCTGTAGTTTGTTTCTCTATTCAAGATGGTTTTCCTGGAGGAAGTTGAGGAGGAGCAGGAGCAGGAGCAGGAGCAGGGCAGGAGCAGGAGCAAGGAACACGAAGAAGGCCTCTAGTCCTCTAGTCCTCTACTCAGCGGCACCCTTTTCACTCTGCCCAGGGAAGCGACGCCCCAAGAATACGGGGGAAGGCTCACATGTTGCATTATTCGGCAACATCCTCTAAATCCCAGCTGAGATCGCTCTTGTGTGCCAATGATTGGTGGCCGGGGCAGAGCCCCTGAGCGGAAAGAAGCCACGAACTCTGGTCTGGACGCCGGTGAGAAATCGTTGTGGAGGGGTCACGCCTGAGCCTGAATGGTTAAAGCCCCTCTCGTCTCCTGACTACTTTGCAGCGCCGAAAGCGGGCTGCCCACGCTGACTGGACACGCTAGCTCGCTGGAACAGTTCTTTTCTGTGCAAGCAGGTGGCTGCTTCAGTGCGAGTCTCGAGTCTCGAGTGTCAAGCCTGAGGGAGGGGAGAGCACCGCTGAGCGCAGGCCTCCGGCCCTGCTAATCTCCTTGCAGTCGTTTTGCGGTGTATCAAACAGCTGTGGGGACGATCTTCAATTTGGATCTTCAACGGGCCGTTGGCCCGTTGGAAATACTGCAACTCGGCCAACACATGTGCGAGGAGAGAGCGGTGAAGTACATAATCTCGCTCTGCCGCTTGCCAAGGTGCATAGCCTTAGGGCGCTTCTGCGAAGGGGAGGCCGGCTTTGAAGGCTGCAGATCTACTGCAAACAGAATATGCTCTGATATGATCTTCAATAATTATCCTCTTAGTCGAAACAACTCGTAACCACCAGTTCCGGCCTGTAGTCGTTATCGCCCCAAAAAGGGGAGAGCTGCAGTACCTGCGTATTCACAAAAAGCGGTAAGATTTCATGCAAGCCATCTAACACACTTGGAAGTTCAGACCAATTTTAAGCTTCGTTGTGCCGGCCAATGATATTTCTCGCAACCTCAGCCTTGTGTCTTCTCCAAACATTGTCAATTCACAACCTCAGCCTCAACTACTTCAGTTGCCAGACAATCCTGGGCACGGAAGGAATCGCAATGGCCACGGGCTCGCCTCAAGACATCGCAATAACAGAGGGCCAAACACCACCGCCAATGCCCTCAGAAGAACCCAAGTACGGCGGCTTCACAAGGTTTGAGATTGAGATCGAGGTGATTCCCCCTCCTCTCTACCCTAGAATTCTCGACGCGGGCCATCCTAACTCCTCACAGTTCGTCCAATCTCTTGCCTCTCCACAATATCTCAATTATCTGGCCTCCCAAAAGTACTTCGAGAATCCAGCCTTCATCGCGTACCTCTCATACCTACAATACTGGTCGCATCCTCCTTACACCAAATACCTGACCTATCCCGGGCCTGCACTCAAGAATCTAGAGCTCTTGCAGCAGGAGAGATTTAGAGCGGATATACTGAGCCCGGATAAGATGAATGAATTGATAGAGGAGGGCATGAAGAGCGGCATGGAAGGACCTCGTAGTTGATTCACGAGAAGGAAAATACAGGGGTTCATTAAACTTGAGATACCCAGGAACAGGCGTTGATAGGGCAGAAAACCAGTGCACTGTATGATCTCTTGGATTCTGGTATTAACATTTGGCGTTTATAGGAATGGAGTCGGCAAACAGCAGTATCGACTGTAGTCAAATGTGTGACGCCTCCATAATTTCTCCCAGCGCCTCGCTGAATTGCAATCGATAAAGCAGAAAGCCTCGTTCTCATCTCCTCTCAGAGGCATAACTCCAACCAATCCCATCTTCCAATCCCTCAGTTTTCTCTCCACCGGTTTCCACAAGTCATACACTACTTTCATCAGCTTCCAAGCTCCTCCAAATCCAAGGTAAAGTCTCACCTTGTAGAATCCAGTCATAGGCTCATCGGCACTCCTAATCTGCACCTGGAAGAACGCCGCTTCCTCCCCATCACATCCTTCTTTCGGGCACTGCATCTTTGCCTTATTTGCATTGTCCCAAGCTCCAGGTCCCCCGAAGACATCTTCTCGCTCTTTCCTCGTAAAGATTTTCCGCTCGTAGTATCGCTTCTTGAGGATATATTGGTAGGGGCAAGTTTGGCATTCCAGACGGTTTACGGGTTCATGCGAGTCTCCTTCGCCCGAGGAAGCGGGAGTGGTCGTGGAGACTGTGAGTACATTGCTACAGGAGGGGCAGACTGGATTGAGAAGTTAGTCTTGTGCTCGATAGAAATTGCCAATTTGGGGAATGGAAGGCCGTACAGAGTAACATCTTGTCTCTCTATGTCAGATTCCAAGTTATGGCAATCTCAAATGAAGCATGCGGGGCTCGATAAACTTCTCGTTCCTGACTCAAAGCACGTCCAAAAATACATCCCACATCGGCGAAAATAAACTCCGATCCAGGGCGCTAACGACTCCTCGACGCTGGAGCATTCTCACAGTCGAAGCGCTCACGTCAACTTGTGAATCTACCTTCTAAGCATACATATTCTCCTCCCCCTCCCCCTTCCCCTTACTCCCAATAGTTTGCCCAACATACCGGCCATTACGCTCCTTTAAAACCCCCATCCCTCCTTCCGCAAGGCTTTCTATTCAAGGCGACGCAACACCACTTCCACGCAATCCCAAAGGCGGCACGAGCAGTCGCCGGCGCGCAAACATAAGATCTTGTGAGGCGGCCAAGAGCGTACAAGCAAGATGGCGGATTTACGCGCTCATCCTGAGCAAGATATGGAGCACGAGGTATATTTTCCTCCATCTGTTTCCCTCAAAACACCCGGCCAACACCCCCTTGGGAATATTCACATCCTTTGCACAACAAGCGCAACAAGCTGACCGAGTCCTGAAGGGAGCCTCCCCCAAAGAGCTCCTCATCGAAGCCGCTCGCCGCAACAATACCGATCTGCTGAAGGAGGTCATCGACGGATGTGGAAGTGCGGAAAAGGCGGCTGTACTTCTCAACGAGACCAAGACGGTATTGGGAAATTATATCTATCACGAGGCAGCCCTAAAAGGAAACTGTGCGTGTGCATACATCTCCACACCTCCATCCCTTCCACGAATTTGGTGGACAGCGCCAACCAGGCGAAGCAAGTGCCATTCCCAGACCTCTACTAACATCCACCCACAGACGAAATAATCGACATGCTCCTCGACCAAGAAGGCTTCGAATGCGACCCCATCTCCCGCATCGAAGGCGACACGCCTCTGCACTCCGCAGTCCGCTACATCAACTCACTCACCGAATCGCAACCCTCGAATCCGGACATCTCAACCTTCGCCCAGGAACTAATTAGCATGATGGTCGACGCCGGCTCCGACCCACGGATCCGCAACAAGGCGAACCTGACACCCTACCAATTGACCGATCCACGGAACACAGCGCTGAAGCAGCAGCTGCAGGACGCGGTCGATATCACGCAGAACCTTGGTGATTATATCGTTGATGAGGAAGAGGGAGGCGGGGAGGGAGAGGATGAGGATTATGCGGGGAGTGGGAGTGATAGTGATTTTGATCCGGAGGAGTATAGGCGGGAGAAAGAGCGGCGAGAGAAGGAGAAGGAGGCGCTGGCGAACGGGGTTCGGCCTTCCTGATCTACTTTCCCCCACTTCACCGTATACCAATCCCCACGAACCGCTCCTAGCTCACGACTGTCAAACTGGAGAACAGGCAGATGAGCTGTGGACACGACTAATCGAAAGGAATGAAGATGTAGTCTACGTTGGATCTGTACTGACATGCCATTTCCTTCCTACTCATTGCATAGCGCGGCTCTCAGGCCTCCTATTTTCCCGAAGGATATCAACCGCATGCGATCGATCATAGAGCATAAGGCAGCGCTGGTCGTTTATGGATTGCTATTTGCCTCTATCTTTACACTGGAGTTTTGGTAGATAGGTAGCGTTGCAGCCCCCAATCTGTCCGTAGCATGCAAAGCAGAAAGCTTTGTGTATTGAAAAGAATAACAACCACAGAAAAGGCTTCTGGGTAAAGTTTGCTGCAATATGTGAAGTGTGCTAACGTGTGTGAAGTGTGCTTCATGGTCTACGTTATTCAACCACTTGTTTGGACCTGGACCTGAGGTGTTTGATTATACGTTTTGAGTTCTATAGGTTTAGAGAAACGCAATAGGAGTATCGAATCTGGGTATCTCGCTTCAAAATTCAAGTTGGCCTCTTGCCATTCGAGCCGCCAGGGCAATCCGAGCATGACAGACCGATCATAAAAGCATCCTCCCCTTCTCTGCTGCAAACTTCTAGAAAGGCAGTTCAGCCTTCACCACAAAACGGCCCATGCAACCATGACCACCAATGCTCCCGTGGATCCAAGATTGAAGCTCGGCATCTCACCCCTCACTCTCTCAGAACCACTTGCCGCCTCGTTGATGATGGTGATATTGGTCAAGTCCTGCAGCAATGCCTTGGTCATGTGGCCTTGTTGGCTCAGACTCTGCATCTGAGCCTTGAAGGTATTCAGAATATTTGTACTCCTTCCAGGAGGACAGAATGTGACCTCCCATCCTCCACCACTCGGAATAATGAAGGTAGAAGTTTGATCATCGAAGGCGTAAGAATAAGCATCCGGACAGACAGCTTTGGCTTGCTTAGCATACAACGGAGGGCCGCATTTTTGCGGATCATTATATGACCCGGTGCAGCAGTCTGATGGTGCGTTGGTTTTTGAGCAGGCCGAGAGACATGGATCAAAAATGGGACGTTGGATATTATCGTCCGGGTATGGGTAAACGCCATCCCCTGGTTTGGTGGGTTGTGTTACTTGGAGATCCCAAGGACACCAGGAGGCCACCTGCATGTTGGTCTGCTTGCTTTCGTATGGAATTGGATAAGTTGAGTTGGACGAATTGCCAGAAGTTCCTGAGTTTGCTGGATCGGCGAGCCATCCAGCAGTTGCAATGCAAGTGGGATTTGTAAGATTTGGGGGGATTTGCTGTAACTTTGGATTATCACCGGGGATATAGATAACTCCTATGGGAATATTGTATCCATCGACCAAGGATATATCGTAGAATGTTTGGTCGTTACTGGAACCCCCAGCAAGATCAAACTCTGCAAGAGTGACGGGTGTTGCGCCCTGCGTAAAGTATCAGTACATGTCAATTTTCGAGGGGAAGAGGTTATCTTTACAGTAATGACACAGCTCAAGACTCCACCACAATCCCCAGTTGTGCAAGCAGCTCCACCGCCATTATTTCCGTTTAGATTGCTGGCTCTAGTACCTGAAGCATCGAAGCTACAATTCGTTCTCCCCCACACTCGTCCTTGCCAGTCACCGCTGACCATCAAACTCTTGCTTGACCCTGGAGTCAATTCAAAGCCACCAGTTCCTGCGCCTGTGCCTGCCTGTGTTCCAATTCCCGGCCAGATAGTTGCCTCGCATTGGTTGCTAACCACCAATGGCACAGAGTCTCGCTTCTCTGGAGGTCCCCATCGAGCTGGTCGGGGGAGCGGACCCGCGTTATTTATTATATATCGATTGGTGGTGTAGGCCGTGGCCATGGGTAATAATACCAGAAAGAGCAAAGATGAGAGGAATATCCGTGAAGGAGAGGTTTTACGTTCTCTCCGCGGGCCTGTCGTTGTGCTCATCTCTACCTTGGTATGGGTCGTGAAGTCTCAGAAATAGGTTCGTAGTGATTCGTTCGTGGAGGGGATGAATGAAGTTATAAACAAGAAGGTAGCAAAGGAGTCAAGCCAAATCGCCCCAAGGACCAGCCAAGAAGCAAGAAGTATCCAAGTCTTCCAGATCGAGGTTATCGAGATCCACAGTTCCCCGAGAGGAGGTTGACAGCTCCCAGCACAGCCTTGTTTGTTCCTCGAGGGGCCTGTCGGCCGGCGCTCTCTCTTCCAATGATCCAAGGATCAGCAGAAGTTCGCAACGAGCTACATCTCCCAAAATGACGTAGAATTGTCGCCTGCCCCTCTTTGTGCCCTGGAGCTGGACCTGGAAGAGCTCCGATGCGCTCCTTCAACCAAGGCAATACCCCCTGCATGGGCTGAGCCTCGCGATCGTCGCACCGATACCCAAAGATAAGGAATAGAGGGCGAATTGGGGGATGAATCGACTGGAGGATTGCAGGAGAATGTACGCGTCTTTTCGACGCTCGATGAGAAAGCGAATGTAGGAGGGGAGAAGAATGATTGGCGTTTCATCTAGAATAATGCATGAGCGGTTGTTTACATGAAGCAGAAACCATTTTCCGTGCCATCAGTCCTCGATGACGCAGGGGTGGGAGGCACGACCCGCGACCCCTCCACAAACACCCTTGAACGCCTAGAGTGGGAGTGGAGTTCTCGGGAATCAGCCGACAGGAACAGTGGGGAACAACGGCGTGGGACTTAACTCGTTAGTTGGAAGGCACGAGCTTCGTGCCGCCTGAACCTAGAGCTTGGTTTGTTACAGAAGATCTTTCCTGCTTGGGAATGAAATGGTAACAGTCGAAGGATCTTGGGAAAGTAAGCGTTGATATATACATCATGCCCTCATTCCTCTGTTGATGTAGAATGCCTCCCCGGTTCTACGCTTTACTCTGCCAAAAGATTCATGGAGACTTCTTTTGGAATTGCAAGGCTAAACATTTATCGAGGTTTCTAAACTATGAACCAACCCGATCGATTATACTATTTATTCCCAGAACAACATGTTAACTGCGCCATCCATCATCTTCACGCATCAACTTTCTGTTCAGATCCTCGCCTGTTCGCATCCGTATCGCCTCGTCTGAAAGACTGAACGTCTGCTGCTCAAAACTGGCATCCTTATAGCTGCCACTATCTTGGATATCCTGTTGGTCTTGGAAGAAAAGAAATTCGTCTACTCCATCGTTTTTTGGCGCCCAATCACTTGAATCTTGAAGTGCAGCGGCCCATCACTTCACCCTGGCACACCAACTCGGCGTTGAATTCGGATCCGTCAAGTGTGAGATAGATGTCAAAATATACACGGTAAAAGGTTCCTTGTGGGGTATCCATTCTCTCGAAATCCTTCTCGAGGTTCTTCCGGGAAAGATCTGAGGTGAGTGTGACAACTTCCTTGACTCCTAAGAAGTCGTTAGAAAATTTGGAGGAACAACGGAGGGAAGTACTTACGAGGATCCTTGGTATACTCAGGGCAGACATCGTCGTCACAAGCATATAAGATATCCTCATACATGAGGGTGGCACCTGGAGCGACTTGTCGGAAGAAGGAGACCTTCACTGGCTCACCAATCTTCACTCTTTGGCCCTTCTGCACGAAGATTTGTCGAGTGAACTTGCATCGATCCTTACCATCCAGCGATGGCACACGGTAGGCTTCGGGGTGGTGGCCCTCCTTGAAAGGCTGTAAGGTGGCCATCAGATAATGACGGCGAGCGACACGAGAGGTGACGACTCGCTCTGTGATACCGGCAGTGACAGCACCCTTAACGATGGCAGCGACGGAGTCCATAGGTCTGACAACCTTTGCCTGGAATTGAGGAGGTACGTGAAGCTTGATTTGTTGGAACAGGTACTCGGAAGCACCAAAGCCACCAACAACCAGGACATTTTGGAGTGTTCGGTTCTGTGCTTGGATAGCAATGATCTGGTTTCGGACCAACTCCAAAATTCGGTTGACCACTGGCTCGAAGCATTGAAGGATTTCCTCATTCGTGAAAGTCATATATCCTTCTTCGATACCAGCTTCAGGGAATTCTGCCTCGATACCGACATCGACAGCCCACTTCTGGTTGTTGTTGCGGAAATCGGCCTTGATTCTGTTCTCGAAATCCATGATGCACTTTGCGTACACTCTTCCGGCAGTCTTAGATCCATCTGGCAGCTTCATCTTTCGGATCTTCGTTCTTAAGATGTTGCTGAAATTTCGGTTCAGGGCTGTTGATCCACAAGAATCACCAGACCCTGCTGTACACTCAGACACTGTGAACGGAGACTCCTCTTCAACTTCGTAAGCAATCAAATCAACGGTTCCGCCACCACAATCAACAATCAATACAGCATCGTGAACCTTGAGATTCAGCAGACCAGCCTTTGAACAGAACAAGGCGGCGGCTTCTGGCTCAGTGATGAGCGTTAGTCGGTTGTCGTTCTCATCACGTAAGAAACCAGCTTGGATTGCAGCAGCTCTTGTCGCAGCCTTCCCAGCGTCGTTCCAGATGGCAGGTACAGTGAGGTAGTATCTGATATTCCGCTCCTCTCTGTTGAAGACCTCACCCAATGTCTTTTGCAACTGACTTCGCATTGCTTGTCGAAGCTTGAACAGATAGTCAGCCGCGACGTCGATTTCCGACTTTCCGGGAGGGAGCGGGGGAAGATTGATAGGGTCGATGTATGTGTTACCAGAAAGCATCAGCTGAAGCTTGAACCACTCGACCTTTTGCACACCGGGCTTTGGGTAGCCAGTTGGTGCTAAAGCATCGGCGATATCAGGTCCCCAACCAACAACCTTCTGGTATTGATCGTAGTACAGCACCGTCGGAATCTATATTTGTCAGTATGAAATTGCATAGAGCTGCTGTCGTCCGCACCTTTTGCTTCGTATATGATCCTGCGCCTGGCCATTCTGTGATGATATCTTCCTTTGCTTCAGTATTGGTTGCGAAGGCGAAAGCGACACCGGAGAAAGTAGTTCCCTGTATGAATTAGCAACGATCTCTCTGATCGAGAATAGATGGCTTACAAAGTCGATGCCGACAATGAGTTGTGCTTTGCTTCGTCCAGCTCCCTCGACTTCGACGGCATTGTTTCTGTTTGCATATTGTGCTGCAGCAACACTCCCGCCTCCAGGAGGAACGGGAGCTCCATATTGTGGTGGCCCGTATTGCGGTGGTCCGCCTGCTGGAGGCGGCGCACCCATTCCACCAGCGGGGTGTCCAGGAGGATATCCTGAAGCAGCTGTGTTGATCGGAGGGGGTCCGCCCATTACCTGGCTCGGCGGTGTGCGAGGAGTGCCAGCCATGGGACTTTGGGTACGGCCGACGGATGCTGGCGCAGGAGAGTAGTTGTTGGTATAGCTCGGTGGTCGCCCACCAGGCCCTGGGTGATTCATGGGAAGACTTGTCGTGGACGACGAGGCTGTTGAGGGTGTCGGTCTACCAGCAAGCTGTGGCGTGGAGGTGGTGGGGTTTTGTGCGATGGTAGGGACGTTGGCGCTCGATTTGCGTTTGGAGCCGAATCCAAGGCCTTTAAACCGGGAGTTCATAGAACTCATAAGGCCTAGAGGGGTGTAATCAATGCAAGAAGGAAGGAAGAAGACGCAGACGGGGGAAGAGACTGCGGTTGGCGTGGGCGTGGGCGCGGCCGTAGGCGTAGGAGTGGGCTTCGAGACGGCTGTCAGCACGCCTGGCCGCTAGTTAGCGAAGTGAGCGATGCGGTGCTGGTGCTGGTGCTGTGCTTGCTGTGCTGTTCTGCTCTCGCTCGCGCTGGGCGTGTTGGCAAACAGCACCCTGTAGGGACATAGGGCTGTGGCGGGGGCAATTGAGATGGGATAGCAATCCCGTGATAATCGATTTGAAATCTTTCTCTTTCTCTTTACTCCCCTTCCACTTCCACTTCCACCAGACTCAGTCAATGGTCTGGGCAAAAGGGTGCTCCGCGTGGTTTGCGCGTTCGTGGAGAGGCGGTCGGATCGGGGCTGGGCTGTGTCTCTGGGGGCAGGAGCTGAATGAGCGGGACGGATGGGATCCTCTTGACTTCTTAAAAGCGCCTTTGTTCCAATTCCAAATGCAGCTACGCAACCGCGAAACGGGCGATCGTCGAAGAGTCCTGAATTGACGAGACGACAAGCAAAGCACAAGGCGATTCCAAAAGACACGACGCTGACCGTCCTGTGGAATCGGGAGGGCAGCAGGACTCGTGCGTACGTTGCAAGTCCTTGTCTTTTCGGCGATGGCTGCAGTTGCTTCTGCTCAGCCTCACTGGCGCCGTCCTTCATTTGTTACCACCAGTCCACCCCCGGGAACCTGACTAAGAAAAAGCAGCCTTCTCGCGGCTGGGCCCCGCAATCAGGCTCGGAAGATGCAAGTCTGCCTTACAAGTATCGGGAGGAGGGAGGAGGGACGAGACTTCAACATGTCCGGATTCACAGTGCGAATATAGAAGCAGTGCAAGGTTAGGAACTCGTGAACTCGAGCAGCAGCAGCAGAACAACGCCGCAATCGATCCAAGTCCAGAGTCTCCGACCGCTTGCAGAAGTCCTGAGGTCCTGACACACGGTGGCCGTCGACAGGCCTTCGCCGCCTCCCAAGCCGTGATCCCATTATGCTACTTTCCACCTGTAAGATGATTGGCCAGCGCGGAACCTCTCTGGGAGAGCCGAGTAAATGTCTCGTATCAAATATCTCACGAAACATGAGGTCAGCAAGTCAACATGCCGAATTTCGAGCTGAGTATCGTTGCGGTACTTAATTTAAAAATAGATTTACAGATAAAATAGCGATCCACCCCTTCTATCTCGGTCAGAGAAACCAATTCTGGTGGCGATGTATCACGTGATACGACTCCCATGGCGTTGGCGGTGTGAGGGGTGATTGTGGCAAAGTCTGGACTCCAAGAGATTGGAGTCCGACCATTGGAAGATCGGATGGCCAGGCCAACTTTCCGGCGAGTTACATTGATGTGAGAGTGGACACTCGCCAGCGCAGATCTGACCAGCTTGGCGATTCTGAAGGGGAAGGAAGGGTTGAGAGGGAAATGATGGAAGAGATTGATGAATTGACTTCCATGTAGTCAAGCAGGTTCGTAAGAAAATCCAATGCTGGTTTGAGAAATTACCGGAGCCTGGGATAGTAAGGCAACAGAGAGATTCGGGGATGAGTTCCAGGAGGCGCATCTGAAAATGGGGATTCAACCATCTACTATCCAACAGTCTTCATGTATTGCGATAGCTGAAGTTGAGGAGTTCAGAATTCTCTTTCAGCTTGGCTTAAAGAGGGCTACCAGCCATATACTGTGTGAAAGAAACACAGGAAATTCCTGTTGAGTGAGATCCGTTCAATCGCTTGAATTAGAAAGAAGTCGTAGTGAAGTTTAAATTACATTTTACAACGATTTGTATTGAGAACTCTCATAGACTCATATTCAACCTCCAATTATTTTATCCATAGAGGTTTGAAGATAAAGTACTGTAGGTACTTTGTAATGTGTACCATCAAGGATTCCTGAGCACTGTTGTCAGCACTCACCTCTAGCCACCATCTAAAGACAGGAGACGAAGAAGGGAACCAGACGACTAGTAATAAATTATTTGACGTGATATCCAACCAAGCCTCTACCATACTCATTTGTCCAATGGACTGCGGTACTGGTTTTGGATTGATCGACAGGAAGAGAAAATTGGCACAGGAAAGAAAGATAATTAGAAAAGATCACTTGTTCGTCATTAACAAGCAAGAAGAACCATCAAGAAATGGCACACACTCTTGAACACTAAAACCACTTTGACGTTTTATATCCCGACTTCTGAAGCTGACCAGGTTACACGAGACTTATCTCTTGTAAGCTTGTTAGACAAATGACGGTTGGCTCAATTGGAAGCCATTACACAGTTCAAGTGGATGAATGAGCGTGAGTGAACTAGAACTACGGCATTTGCATCATATTCTTTTGTGATCGGTCTTGTAGAAGGTGCAAAAATGGAAGGAGTGAAAATGCCAAGTTGTCCAGAAACGCGGAACCTTTGCCGGTTATCGTGGAGAAGTCAAGCCTGGAGATGGAACACGAGCTCTAACATTCTGGGAACACAAAATACCTCCCTTCAAATTGCCTTGACCTCTGTACTCGAGAAAACCTCCAACCTCTGACATTCCAATTTCAAAACATTGCGGAACCCCTAATACCCACATCTCGTGCCTTTCCACTATCCTCGGCGAGATCGCATCGCTTGGCTCAGAATCTTCGCCCAAATTCGGGTCCCAGAACGACATTATTGCGGATCCTTCACGCCTGACAGCCAGGAGTTTGGCCGAGAATCTGGCAGACACGCCCGACTACTCCCTTCGCATCCTGGTGCCCGTCCCCAAATCGAATCTGCATGCAAGACGGTGCAGAACGAGGCTTTAAGGATCCAGTCGTGTTGCTCTCAGGCTATCGTCGACGGCGTCAGAGCTCCATCTCCGGCGAACCCAAGGGTTAAACGCAAAACAATCCGCTGACAGGGTCTCCTGCCGCTTGGGTTCCATGCATTTGCCCAACGCATCATCAATTGACCTTTACCAAACTAAAATCCCTCTTTGGTCGAGTCGTACGACATAGACGGGCCTATACTGACGAATGGTTGAGAGCTTCTGTCTACCCCTCCCAATCCTGTCCCGCTCTCACGCTGCCCCGCCAACTCTGGCTTTTGGCAGCACCGTTTCCAAAACGTCGTCCTTAAATCCAAGGAGGGCCCGCTCGCCCAGGCACTTCAATCTTCGTACGCCTTCCCTGCCACCAGAAGTCGACGAAGCCAATCTCTTCAATTCCCACAAGGTGTCGACCCGAAGCCCTATCACTCTTCTCCAAGTCGTGTCCTTCGCATTTCTTGCGGTAGTCTTAGTAAGTGTCATGGCCTTGCCAACAAACTCATCATCATGCATAAGGTTGACAGCGGGGATCTAGGTCGTTCAATTCTACTTCACAGATAATCCCCCTACGTACTCAAGACGCCTGCAGCCGTACTCTTCCACCAGATTCTCCCCATCAGCGAACATCGTTGAAGGGCAAACTTGCGAGTCCCCGCCTCCTTTTCCAACAGAACCACCCATATCGAAACCGCACACAATGGCTCTTGCGGCAGAAGCAAAGCGGGTGGCCGCAGAATTCGAATTGACGGACAATGATATCAGAAAGACGGTGGCAGAGTTCGTGGCAGAGATGGGTGCGTATCAATAAAGGTCCGGGCATTGACGTACAATCTAATCGTCACGCAGCGGCTGGGCTGGCACAAGATGGTACTGCTATGAGCCAGATCCCTACATATGTTACGGGTGTGCCCAACGGGACGGAGAAGGTGAGCAGACACGCTGTGTTGCCTCTAGAGCCTTAAGATGACAAGTGAAGGGTCTGTATCTAGCTGTCGACCTTGGCGGTACGAATTTCCGAGTCTGCTCGATTCAGCTAAACGGTGATACCACATTCAACCTCGTGCAATCCAAAGTGGCAATACCGAAAGAACTTATGGTTGCAAAGACTGCCAAAGAGCTATTCGCATTTCTGGCGAAGCAGATCGAGGTGTTTTTAAGGACCCATCACAACGACCATTTTGAGAAACAGCTTAGGCGGCGCCAGACAGTCAGCACCCCGGAAGGATATCGGGATGAGCACATATTCAGACTTGGTTTTACATTCAGCTTTCCAGTGAAACAGGTTGGAATCAACCGCGGGAATCTGATCAGGTGGACCAAAGGATTCAATATCCAGGATGCAGTTGGTAAAGATGTCTGTCAGTTGCTACAAGAGGAGATTGATCTCCTCAAGTTGCCTGTAAAAGTGGCAGCACTTGTGAACGACACAGTCGGTACCCTCATGGCCCGATCCTACACCTCTCCAGGCAAGACCAGCACCCTTCTTGGGGCAATATTTGGCACTGGCACCAACGGTGCGTATGTTGAGAAACTCTCCAAGATCACGAAATCTATGAAAGGAGATTACGACAAGAGCACTGGCGAGATGGTGGTCAACACTGAGTGGGGATCGTTCGACAATGGGCTTAAAGTCCTTCCCAATACCGAGTATGACGCCCAACTCGACAGAGACAGCGTAAATCCTGGGATCCAAATGTTCGAAAAGCGAATCTCTGGCATGTTCCTGGGCGAGATCTTACGAATTGCTCTCGTCTCCATAATGAAGAGGCCGGACGTTCCCCTCTTCCGGGACGACAATTCCTCGCACAACGACTACCGCTCGACGACTACTGTCGACGAGACCTCGCCCCTCCACACCCAGTGGGCAGTTGACAGTAGCATCTTGTCCATTGCAGAAGCGGACAACAGTGTGGGTCTCCGCGCACTCAGACAGCAGATTGAGACGAGTCTGGGTGTTTCCGCGGCGAGTATCGACGACGCTCGCGCTGTGAAAGAAATTGCTCACGCAATCGCTGAACGCGCAGCACGTTTATCGGGTGCAGCTGTTGCAGCCATTGTGATCCATACTGGCCGCTTAAATCCAGGGGCCTCGTCTGCTCCACAACCGAAATCTGCAGCTGCTATCGTCGAAGACCTCAAGAACTTCAACCTGGCAGAAGCAGCCTCTGCAACGACAAACAAATTGGCAGATACAGCCGGTATGGCCGTCAACGAAGAAGAGATCGTGGACATTGGTGTTGACGGCAGTCTTGTCGAGTTCTATCCCGGTTATGAAGACTACATGCGAGCCGCGATGAGAGCCGTGCCAGAAATTGGTGCGGTTGGTGAGAGGAAAATCAGAATTGGAATTGCAAAGGACGGCTCAGGTGTAGGAGCAGCTCTCATTGCGCTTGTGGCCGCGAAGATGGAACAAAGTAACAACTATGTGGGAGACTTGAGGCAAAGGTTGGAGAGTGTTGGGGAGTCGTCGGAAGAACAAGCGATCGTAGTAGAAAAGTAAAATGATCTACTTACAGTATAGGATATATGGTTCTTGATGGGTTTGCTTCTGGTCTTGGGATATTTTATTCTTGGTGGGTGGTTTTCGCATAGCAGGGACCCGTAGTATGAAATTACCATTGGACTTTCGATACTTCGGTTCCAAACTCGTGCTTGCTACCCCCCCTAACCCCAAACACGGGCTCAAGGTGAGCTCTCGATCCGAGATTGCCAAATTGCAAATTGCATTATGGATTCAATTTAAACTTCGGATCAGCCGTCTTTGTTGCATGTCGCATTTGAAGAGCCGTATCGAGTTTCCCTTTTTCCGACAGCAGATGGCACAGCGCGAGTTTCTCTCGGACATCGCGAAACAGAACGTGGGGTGGGGATTTCGTGCCGAGGCGGTGCGGTTAAGGGGGGAAAGTCGAGACGAGGTGTCTTTATTGTGGTTCACCTCGCTTGGGCTTGCTTGTGTATATGAAGGGGTTTTAGAAGTTGAAGCTGTTTTGGGTGGATTTATGAGATGATATGTTCATTTATTCTGTTCTTTTGGGGAATGATTGAAGAGGTAGGTGCTGCCGGATCCTTAAGCACGTCGTCAAGACACTTTCTTCTCATCGAAGTTGAGGACCTCATCGTGAGAAGTCATGTCAACCTTGAGGCAAAAGTCAGTCACAAAGATCTTCAAAAGAGGTCCTTTTCGGAGTTCTCTGTACTATATTCTGTCCATAGCTCGGGTGCATCATTAATGTCCGACGGCTTGTTCAAATACTCGACCGTAGGAGGGAGAAAGGTGGGGATAAGAAGGAACACGAGCCAGGTAGACCGTCCGACCAGACACTAGTCCCGCACATTACTCTAATCTTATCAATCATATCAAGTCCTCTCCTGTCAAATCCTTACCTTTCCCATGCCAAGCCGGGGAACGCTCCAAGGATCAATGTCAGGATGATCCACTTCTTCCATCCAGGCCCGAAACTCTGGGGCCGCAGTCGATTCTCGGAGCAGCAAAGAAGTACTTGAATGTCCTCTATCTGTCAGGACTTTGGAGACGTCATTTTAATACTTGTACCTTGATTCTCTCCTCTACTTTCAATATTCCACACAAGTTTCTCAAAGCCTAAACACGCTTCACTATGCAGTCAGACAAGCTCCGCCTCTTCACACGCTACCTCCCCCTCCTCCTCACCTGCGCCCTCAAATTCCTCTCCCAACGCCTCCAATCCACGCTCCACCAACTCACCTACCGCCCTCTCCACTCATCCCAAAACGTCCTCGTCATCGGCGGCTCCTTCACCGGCGTCTGGCTCGCTCGTCGACCCACGGAATCCCTGCCTTCCGGCTACAAGGTGGTTCTCGTCGAGAAGAACTCGCATTTCAACTACACATTTAACCTCCCGAGGTATTCGGTGTTTCGGGTCCATGAACAGAAGGCCTTTATCTCGTATCAAGGTCTGTTTGAGAAGACGCCTGAGGGGATCTTGAGCAGATCCAGGAAGTGACGTGTGTTAGGGATGGGGAAATCGAATTGGCAAGTGGGAAATGTGTTCCATATGCGTATCTGGCGATCGCTACAGGAGCAACGCAGTCTCCGCCTGCGAAGTTGCTTGCGAGTCAGAAAGGAGAGGCGGGTGCTGAGTTGAGGGTCTTGCAAGCGATAATTGAGAAGGCGGAGAAGATTGCTATTGTTGGTGGTGGGGCTGTGGGTGTGCAGCTTTCGGCTGATATTAAAAGCTTTTACAGGGATAAGACGGTTGTGCTTATTCATTCGAGGGACCAGTTGCTCTTGAATTTTGGGGTGAGGTTGCATGAGTTTGTGGTGGGGAAGTTGGGGGTATTGGGCGTGGATATTTGGCTTGGTGAGAGACCGGCTGTACCTGTTGATGGTAATTGGGAGAGTGAGGAACTTACATTCAAATGTGGAAGGAGCGAGATGTTTGACTTGGTGGTGTGTATCCTAACAAACCAAAGTTGCTGTCCTGACACCAGCAGATCCCTTGTACAGGACAAAAGTCAAACTCTTCGATTGTCGCAGAATTTTCTCCATTGTCGATATCGACTCAAACGAAAAGGATTCTTGTCAAGCCAACCTTGCAGCTTGAAGGAAATGGGAAGTCAAATGAGGGAATCGCCCGTATCTTTGCGTTGGGAGACGTTGCGGAGACAGGAGGACCCAGGATGGCACGGGCTTGAATGATGCAAGCAGAAATCGTTCGAATATCGTTGCCCTCATCAAAGAAAGAAGCTGGCTGAGTACGCGTCGTTGGCTCTCGAAGGAGCGTTGAAGTTGAGTTTGGGCAAGGTAAGAAGATATACCCAAATCCAATCTGAGAAGAAGAAATCTCATACGAGTATGCCGCTAGGACGAGTGTGTTATTACCTGCAGGAATATGATGGGACTGACTTCATGTTCCCAGGCAAGGGTGGACACGTGGATTTGGAAGTTGCTCAAGCTTGGAAGATGTTTGGAGCTGATCTCCAAAAGGAGGTTATCGAATAACGACATATGAGCATCTTAACTTCGGATCCGTCCTTTAACCAAATCATCACTCTCGATTTAGAACTACCAGCATGCTTCCCATCAAGTCCTCTTGGTTGAGTTCAATTTTTAGGCCGGGGGGTAGGTGCCTGCACCTTTCCACAACAGCCTGCTCGAATAATCCACTAGATAGATAGATAGTTACTAATACTTCTGATTTCTGAAAAGGTCCGCATATGAGCTTCGAATTCGATGAGAGCTTCACGGGTAAAGAAGTGACTCACGTGAGTCTCTCACGCGTTTGCTATTTTGGGCGTTGCTGCCTGGTTGCAGCCTTATATCCTTTGTCGATTAGCGAGTGGCTTACCCCTTATTTTCCACCACGAACATATAAATTCCTTCTTCCCTTCATCCATGGTGAATGGTAATAGCATCCGGTCTCGAAGAGCTCACATCACATTGAAATCTATCAAATTTATCTCACGCCTCAGAGGATCTCGGAAAATGGCCACCTCTTGCAGCGCAAAAAAACCCTTGTCTCGGTTTGACCTCCCTGGTCTCAACCTGCCTCTCAACTGGCAGCCAGCCTATAATTGTTATGGAATTTTTGCTGCCCGCGAGGGCGAAGCGTTGTTCAAGACTGCACTGAATGGAAAGGACGTCGACAATGGCGCCGCCTCGTAAGCGTGCATAATCTCACCTTTGCTGGATCCTACTCTGATGCATCTTGTAGGCTTCCTCTGACGACGTTGCGAGAATTTGCTATGCTTCAGATTATGGATCTCCTCACTAACAAACCAGGATGGGAAGAAAAGGTGAAGTCGCGCTTGGCATTGACAGTATTGAATCAGCTAACGATATATTTGTGAAGGTCTTCGATGATGAGATTGCCGAAAAGTGGAAGGCGGAAGCTCTTAGTACCGAAGGTCGAGATGTGACGCAGAAGATGTCGGACTGGGTAATCGACGAACTCCGCTACAAAGCAAAGATCTTCAAGGAGACTGGTACAGTACGTTTGTTGTCTAACCCCCCCCCCCCCCCCATATCTTGCCTCTTCAGGTCGTGGGACATTCAATTTCGTGCCCTGTCCAATGTGTCGAGACTTGCCGTCCGCGACAGTTTCCTGTTCACGAAATACTAACTCTAGTTTGTCCAGGTAACCATCTTCAATGGTGATGTGGTAAAATCTGATGTTGCAATTCCAATCTCCGTCAAAGAAGCACTTCAAGCTGCTGCTCGGAATCTCGAGGCCATCCCTGAGAAATACAAGGACTGGCATCCAGGATCTGATGGAAAAGTTCTTGATCTCGTCCATCCATCTCTCTTCCCTCTAATCTACGGCCGCAGTCGAGTTCTTGAGGACAGGCTGATCGGACTCGAAGATTGCATCGAGAATTGTGGAAAAGGAGTTGTGGTACCTGTTCGCGATGAGAAAGAGACTCACCTTCCTAGAACTGCAAGCAACACCATGGGATACAACTTGAGAAACGACACGCCAGCACCATATAGCAAGGATTTCCAATGGCTTCCGTGCGAGGTTAATATTTCGGCCGAAGATGGAAAGGCAAAGTAAGTGGTCACGGGCCGATCTGCGCACGGCATATTTTTAAAATAAAATCAGAATCACAAGCTACATCAACAACCTCCATCCCGGCAAATATAAAGCATTGTACAGAATTATCGAGGACATTATCACCAAAACCATTCCACAGTGGGGAATGACTCTCGGACCTTTGCGAAATCATAATTATCGCAGGAGAATTGAAATGACGGAGGTCGAGTTTGATCCTGACCCAGACCAAATGGAAGAGCATGAGAAGCCCCAACAAGGGGAGGATGAGGATGAGGATGATTACTACGACAGAGTCTGGCAGTGGGAAAACGACATTCGGCGCACAGTTCAGCCTGAACCAGGAGTTTACGAGCCTTGGCCAGAGTTTCGAATCGACTTGAAAGAAGAGTACGCACATCGAGGCTTGCAAGTGATCGTAAAGCTTGCCAATATTGAACTCACCCCTGAAAAGCCGGAGTACTCTGTAAGTGTCGGGGAGGGGGGGAAGCCTTTTCCTGTTTTAGGCAGTCTTAGGAACCTTTCCAAGACAATGTCTCAGTTTCCTCGGAATAATCTGTGTCGAGCAATTGCTTACTTCCCCGTTACCTAGGGTGGGACTTGGCACGTTGAAGGTCAACTCAACGAGCACATATGCGCCACAGCACTTTACTATTACGACTGTGAGAATATCTCTCGAAGTCGTCTAGCATTCCGCCAGATGTGTTCTGAGGACGAGGCAAACGAGATGGGATATCCGCAAGGTGTTCACGACTGGCTGAGAGAGATCTACGGTTGCGAGAATGACGGACCATGTGTCCAGGAAATTGGGTCTGTTGACTGCTACGAAGGACGACTTCTCACATTCCCGAACATCTTGCAGCATCAAGTCCAGCCATTCAGGCTTGCGGATCCTACCAAGAAAGGACACAGGAAGATTCTTGCGCTATTTTTGGTTGATCCTGGGATTCGCATTATCAGCACGGCCAATGTCCCTCCGCAACAGAGAGACTGGTGGGGTGAGGAAGTAGCCAAGCAGGGAGAAACAGGCGGCAAGGGTTTCGGAAAGTTGAGCACAGAATTGAAAGACAAAATCATCGATGAAGTTGACGATTTCCCAATCGGCATGGATGAAGCGAAGGAGTTTCGACTAAAGCTGATGGAAGAGAGGAGCAAGTATGTTGCTGATTCAAGAGCTGTATTCGAGAGAATGGAATTCTCCTTGTGCGAGCATTAAACGATAGAGAGGTCTTGGGAGCCATGTACTATTTCCTTATACGGCGGGATCAAGATTGTAGAAGCTGCTACAACGGGCTCTACCTGCTTTTGGGTTTAGATAGCTGGGCGTAGTCCTACGGCCACTGCGAGGGCAATATCATTAGGTATTACAGTCCATCGGGGGTAATGCCAGTTTCCTATTGCTTGCTCTGTTCCAGCAGCCACTTCATCCCCTTCACGCAATCATCTCGAAAAGTCTTCGTAAAACCAGCTTCGGTCCACAAAGACCAGAAACCGTGTGGAAGGCCGGGGTAAAGATCCACTAGGGTCTTGACTCCATTTTCTTCCCTCAATATCTCTTCATAAATCAGCGCCTCATCGCGGAGCGGGTCCATTCCGCAAATCTGGAAGTACGTCGGTGGGAGACCTGCGTGGGATCTGAAATTGATTGGATTGGCCAATGGTGAACGTTTGTCCGAATTGTAATGGCCTGCGAGATCAGATATCAGAGAAGAGGTACTTTGAGTGGAAGTGAGTAGACCTACGGTCAAATAGCCGCATGCTATTCTTGTTCAAAATAGGGGCGTTCATGTTCTGTTCTCGGCTAAGAAATACAGCTTTGTACTTCTCAGGGACTAGTTCTGCTGTCATGCAAGCGGGTATAGAAAGATAGGAGCCAGTCAAAGGTGGAGACAGCCTTTCGTCCCGATACAAATGGGAGACAATAGCTCCGAAATTACCACCAGCAGAGATTCCTCCGACGAGGAAGCCTTTCTTGGGGTTGCCCCCTAGCTCTTCAAAGTTTGCTGCAGTCTGGACAATTAGCGGGATTCTAGATGTAACACTTTATTACAAACCCATTTCAATGCATCGAAAGCGTCTTCAATAGGTACTGGGAACGGATGTTCTGGCGCAAGCCTGTAGTCAACGTTGACTGCTATTCCTCCAAGCTCTGTAAAGTTCCTACACATCAAGGATTCATCATCTAGACCGCCAAGCGTGAAGCCTCCGCCATGATAGACCACGAAAATAGGACACCCATCATTAGGAACGGCCTGTGGTTTGTGGATTCGGACTGCAATAGAGCTTCCGTCTCGGACAGGAATTTGGCGGTCCTCCTCCACGTATGATACCTCCTTCGCTGGGTTCGGAGCTGCCACTTCCTTTCTCCTTGCAAGAATAGCTGCACGCAGTTTTGGGATATCGATATCGGGGTCCACAGGGGGTGGCATAGGAGAATCTTTCAAGATCTAGAACACTTAGTAGGCTGCAGTCTAAAGATGAAGAAGCTACTGACCTGGTCAAGCTCCGGATTGATATCTGCAAGAACGAGGAGCTCTTCAGGTGTTCGTCCCATCGTGAAAGAAGCTTTCCCAAACTTTGTGAGGGAAGGAAAGAAACCCCCATCTTTTCTAGAATTCTCACATCCTTTTCAACCGATCATGAGACGAGAAACGTCGCCAAGTTTTGGTACACTGGTTGGACGTTCGCAAGGTCCGTCGAAAATGGTTAGCCTGGAGAAGTCGTGTGGAGAAAGCTAGCCAGCTGGATGCGCGATAAGGACGGGTGCAACCCTGACAAAGACATTATCGATATCCTACCAGGTGTGAACTGGTGGGGACCTGTTACCGGAGCAAGCCAACCGTTGCACTTCGTTGGCGATGTTGGAGGTTCTCCGATGCAGGACGGGGCGAACCAAACGGGCAAAGTTCAGGGGACCTCGGCTGCCAAAATAATCGCCGAGTCCAGCTCCATCGAGCATAAGTCTCCGTCCAGCGTTAGTCCGCAAACTTGGCTCGGTGAGCAATACTCTGTTTTTCTGATGGGATTGAAAGCGTTCAGGTCAAAGAGCTAGTTATCTTCCGAAGGAAGCTTACAGGGACAGTTCTCCTTCTTTCATTCTTGATAACCCGTACCTCTAGCATTATATCTACCATGGCACCTGCGTTCTTCTGATCAGTCTATCTTTGTTACAATTTCTTCTCTTCTCCCATCTTATCCACTTCTACAGGGCCCTCATAGTCAGCATCGAGCGCGTTGACATTTCTCGGCGTTCCAAACTTCTCCCTCCATTCCGTCCCCTTGAGCATCAACATCACCACCGGGATGAAAGCCAGCACGTTGAAGATCGTGAAGAGGAAGAAGGCCCATTGGTATCCAATATTCTTGCACAGCTTCACGACGTAAAACGCATAAGTCATGCCGAACTCCTGTCTGATCAAGTTGAAAAGCTGGGACGTCTCGGAAGACTCTGCTCGGTACGAGTCGATGCTATAAGTGTAGCAAGTGGTAGCGACGACTTGCAAGCCAAAGCAGGCGAGCCCCATACCGAAAAGAGGGGCAAACCAGAAGACGTGGTATGCCAGTGTAAAGCCGTATATTAATAATCCAGCAGGGACGAGGATAGCTCCAGTCCAAATTGCTTTCAGACGGATTTCTGGCGGTGGGTTTGCTCCTGCAAACTGATGGCGGGCGCGCTTGATGATGGCGTCTAGCACTATGCCGGCTGCAAATTCGCCCAGTATACCTGAAAGATATCAGTATTGTCAAAAAAGACAGAGGGGAGGGGACTCACCTCCAATTGACAAGGCTCCTCCATATGCAAGTCCAATCTCGAGAGTGTCCCAGTGGAAGACTTCAGAGAAAATACTGGCTACAGTTACAGCTGGCAGAATGGACGCGAACCCGTACGAAGATGCGTAGTATAACGCTGGAAACAGTACAGATGGGTACTTTGCCATCTTCAACGAAGGGATGATGAATTGATTCCAGCGCAGCTTGAGTTGAGGGAATGTGGAGTAAAGTCTGAGTTGAGAGACGTATGTTTTGGGGGTGATGTCAATTTCACGTTCAAACATCGTCCGGGTCAAGCGTGATTGATCGCGGATGTAGAGAGTCTCCGGGAGGCAAAAAGTTATAATGAGAAGCATAACTCCGTCAAGGATTGCTGCAAACTTGAACGTCCATCTCCAACCTAAGTATTGCCCAATCAAACCTCCAACAATCGGGGCGATGTGGGCTCCCGACGTGAGAATTACGGTGAAGATACCCATCGCTCGACCACGCTGATGGTAGAAGAAGAGATCGACCACCGTTGCTGGACCCAGAGCCATCGCCGCGGGCCAGAGCCCATTGAAAACTCGAGCAACGATCAACTGATTATAGTTCTTGGCATAAGCTGAGCCTAGAGCGGAACCAAATCCAAGCAGAGTGGTGAAGAGATATACAGGTCTGCGTCCGTAGACATTGGTAAGTGGAATCCATAGAAAAGGTCCAACACCGTTCAGAGCAATGACAACGGTAGTCTGATATGAAGCGCTGACAGTCGTGATATCGAAATCTTTGGCTAATGGCCCATAAGCAGGGTTGATAATGGCAGTATTCAAGGTTCCGATAGCTGCAAGCAGGCAAACTTGGATCAATATGGCCCCCTTATTTTGAGGTCAATCATAGCCAAAGCGTCGATCACAAATAGGGCAGTTACCTTCAAGTATATTGACCAATTTAGGGGGTCATTTGGGGAATCTGACGGTCTGGGAAGAAACGTGTCTCGGTCATGTTCAATACCCAGAGCCGGGACTCCCAATTCCTCGTTCTTTTGTTCATTTTCGACTTGAGCTGGCTTCGCTTCAGCCATTTTGACTTGCTGGGCTGGTCAGCCGAGATTTTTGATACGTGAAGTCACAGAGAACGGGGTCCTGGAGAACAACCCATTTATTATGAAATCTCAGCTTCGGCCATACCCCGATAGGTGGGGCCTCCCTTCCCACTCTTACTTTGGAAAAGCTGGTGGGAGGTTTCTGTCAGTCGTAATCTCATAGGGCGGTCACCAATCCTACGCCACCCCAAATCAAGCTTTCCACAATTCTTGGCGTCAACTTTAACACGCCTCCTCTGAGCATTACCTTCATTCGTGAATAGCGACCACTGAACTACAACTCGTTGACCAATTTGATTCCCGGCTTTTGGAACCGAGGCTTGATCTTCTCCCCGCACCCACTTTCGGACCTTTCCCCACCTTTTGGAAACCCATTGACCGCTCAGCTGGGTGGGTTTACAAATCGTTTCTGAAGGAAGAGTCGTTTCGTATTGACATCTCAACTTGAGATTCTCAAGTGAGGACTGTCTTACCGGTAAGCGCGGATTGCAGTGTACCTTTCCCCGCGGTCATTCTCTGTGAACGCTACATTCTTAGGTTATGACAAATGGCTGTTCTCCGTTTCCGTAAGTGAGAGACTTTTCCAAAACCTAACGCCATCGTGAAAGAGTCGGGCTAAGCAGAAACCTGCAAACTTTTGAGAGATTTCAGTATGGTTACGCGTCGACGAAAGAGAGCAACGTATTTCTTGGCTTCTATTGACCTTCTTGAGTACTTCTGACCAAGTATATCGGGCAAGAGTCAAGCTTTGGGACTCGAAGTATGAAAAGAAAGTAAATATGAGCCCTGTGACAAGGGGTTATTACCCATTTCTATGCAATCGGTGCTCTCAAAAATAAAATCACAAACTCGAGAATGTCTGTTGTTTTCTGGTCTTATAGCAGGATTTTCACTGGGTGGAAGATATGTTCTACCCTTTCGTCGAATTCTCCACATCACTTTTGCCTCAAACCAACATTATATCAACTCTCGCTCCTCATATTCAGCATCGAGCATATCCACCAAAGCTAACCCAAACTCCAACCAACTCCCACCATCTCAAATGGCCATTAAACACTCTTCCCTATTCTCTCAATTTTTCTCGTCAACGCATTCCTTCCGGCTTCCCATTCTGATTCCCACCATACGACGGATCCTGTGAAACTTGTGGAGGAACTCGTGAGCTCGGGCTTTCAGGGCGATTGGCGGAGACAACACGAGCGTTCGCTTCTTGTGCTTTTTGGGCGTCCTTCTTCTTCTTCATGCTGCAGAGAGCGAGCGCAATGCACATCTTGAGGTTTGTGGGGAAGATGGTCTTAAGAGATCCGAGGGCGGTTTGCTTTGGACCCAATGAACAACTTGATAGTGGAGATATTTGAAGAATGAAATTTGATCAAACGTTGCTTTTTAAATTCAAATTTACAACCAGTCTTGCAGACTCGGGAGCATATATATTAAAGCGCCCCCTAGCTTTTCATCCCGATATCAGAGCTTGGGGTGCAAATAACTCATTACAACTGGAACTCAGCCAATACCACTCGTTCGTAAGACCAAAACCCAGCATGTTGGTATCTATTCTAAGAAAGAGTTGCGGTTATCGAGATTTGCTCCGAGATGAATAGTTTCGCTGCGCTGCAATTTGAATGCCGCATTGGGAATGGAGTGCGAAACGATTAGGCGAGGATTCAGAGGTGACGCCCTGGATGCCATTTGCGGGCGGCTCCACTTGAGTAAGCTTCCATGAACGTCGTAATTCATGTCAGAACTGCGAGTGATGACTTTCAAATGCTGCGAGCCTGGCGAGAGGTCGGATAGAAATCCTTACTGAGAAATTAGTTGGCTGAGTTGGACCCTGCTCGCTCTGATAACATTCTTACTGGAAGGAACATGCGCTGCCGCTCATTCCTGCATCTGCGGCTGTGCAAGACATCATACAAATTTTATTTGAAATAGTGACGGGAGACCGCACCGGTAAGAATAACTCAGACTTTTGCTGACTTGGTGGCAAGGGTTATCGGGGATTGTTCTCTGAATTATCTTGTCAGTCACATGAGAAGAACCCCTTTTCCAAGAAATCCGCAAACATCCAGAGAGCAGCATCTTCTTTCTGTCTTCAGAACCAGTTCAGCTTTTCTTGATCACCTAGAACCTATGCAGAATATCTTGTCTTTGATATTTCAGAAAGTGACATTTTATTTGTCACGAAAACGTGGCTCATTTGTAAATATGTTTGTTATTTTCGCCTGTAACCCCCCCAGATTGCCCATGCCCTTTAATGTACATAGATCTCGGAAACCCCTCGAGATATGAAATGGATATGTTGAATATCCCATCAAGACCCAATTTCGATGAATGTGAAATCCACCAAATAGCAGCCTTATTGAAGGCTTGCATGTGTTCCCTGTAAATGCCATATGATCTGGAGTATCGGATTTCCAAGCATTTGGGATTGGTTGACATGGCTAATGCTGAAATCCTCTGTCTTGATCGTTTTAGTTATCTTCTTTTGGTCGAAATAGAAGTATAAAAGAAATGTTCTGGACGGTTAAGAGTCATTCCGAGATCCTGCTAAAGGTTAATTTGAGAGTCAACGGAATCTGGGGTAAAGGAATTTACCTCTCTCTAAAATAGCAAAAGTTTCAGACTCAAATGCCATCACCCCGTGCTTCAATGTTCAAGATCCATCGTCCTCGTCACTTTCGATGTCTCCATCAGATTCATCCTCCTCGGTAATCTCATCCTCATCCGTTTCATCCATGACTTCGTCATCATCTTCATTTTCGTCATCATATTCGTCTTGAAGGTTTTCCATGGATTCATCATCGCCACTTTCTGAACTATTACTCACGCCGTCTTCTTCCGTGTCTAGAAACGTCATTTAGCATCTTGTGCGTTGTGTTCTCGGGATCTCTTACTCGTCACTCCATGTCGATCAAGGCGAGCCTCCTGCTCCTTACTGAGGATTTCCATGACCGAATTGATACCTTCTTGCTTCTCTCTTTGCACTGCCAAATACAATGAGCTGATGACTGGTAAAGCTTAGCGAAATGGAAACCTACCATCGACCACATCGTCATCTACCGTATCTTCAACAACAATTGTCACGAACGTTGTCGGCTTCTTTTGGCCAATTCGATAGATCCGTCCATGCGCCTGGTTTTCTCTAGAGAAGAAGTCTGTGAGCAAATAATTCGGGCGAATGGAAACGTTGACTTACACGGCTTCGTTCCACCACCGGTCCCTGGCAATGATCAGTCAGTTCTCAGAGCAAACTGTACGGAGACTTACACAAGAATTCCTCTGTTTGCGCAGGTTAGATTCAAACCAAGGCCTCCAGCCTTCAAGCCCATGATCATTACATGAACTTGTTTATTTCCATGAAATTCTTGAACCGCTCGAGTTCTCTGCTGCGAGGTCATACTTCCCTAAAAAATGTTAGTGAAAACATAAACATGCGTGAACCCACCAGACTTACAGTGATGTAGACAAATTTTATCTTCTCTTTCTGAAGCAACACGCCAAGGATGACAGCGAAATGGTTCCACTGTGTGAAGATGGTACATTTGTCTCTGGGGTACTCCTCTTTCCAACTAAGAATCCTGTCAATGATTTCGGTCAGTTTGGTAGTTGGGAGGAGTTGAAGACGACTTTTTTTAGTGTCGAGTCGTTTCAGCCAGTCTGTCGCACCCGCAGGCGATGGTCTGAATTTTAAAGCGTCTCGTCCTTTATTGCCCGAAGTTGAACGTTTGGATTTTTTCATGCTATGAGCTTGGCATTCTTTGACATTGTGGGTGTAGAAAGTCGATTGGCATCGAGGACAAGACTTAGCCTAAAAAGACGCAACAATTGAGTATGATAAAACGGAACGCGCTTTACCGAGGATCTTACCACTTCATCGTCCTCGACTGTCTCTTCGAGATTGTCCAAGCAATCTGTGCAAATGAGGTGTCTACATATGGAAATAATCCAAAGGTCTTCGGTCTCAGAATGTTTGCATTGAATGCAGTACTTTCTCCTCTGTACAGGTCGTCTTCGGCCTTTACTTGCTTTCTTTCGAGCCACCCAATTCTTAACTCCTGTTATCCGTAAGTGACCAGAGCCAGCAACAAAAGCTGGGCGTGTTACTCACGATCTTGCATCATGTCTAAAAGAACTCGAGACTTTCCTGTGCGCTCTACCTTGCTCAATTTGTCCTGCAGATCTTGAAGATGTTTGAGATCGAACATAAGCTGTATATTTGTCAGGAATCTACGCAGGGATTTGTGAGAAATAACAAACCAGAATATCCTTTTCGATGAGATCGGGATGTGCGGTCAATCTAGGATCGTCAGCTACGGAGACAACAACACGAGGAAGAGCAACCGACTGTCTCAAGCACGTAATTTGTGCAAGTCTGTTTGACAATTCTTTCTGCGGATTATCATCATCCAATTTCCCTTTGCCAAGCTCTACCAGGCGCGCTGAAATTTCTGTATAGAGAAGGCGTTCTGCATCTGAAGTCTTTGCTGTTACGGGTTCTGTGTGGGGAGGAGGAAGATTCACCAATTTCTTTCCAAAGAGCGAATCCTCTAATGTGCGACTTTGATAGATTAGTTTGGACATTTGTATTGTCCGAACTGGGATGAGCATATTGGACTTACCAGATTGTGACTTTCGAAATAGCCAATCCTAGTTTTTCCGTCTACAAATCCTTGTAAGCGGGCAGTGCATGGATATCCGTGAAGGAGTGTCATACTTGTTCGGGGCCACAGAACTCAGCTCGATAACTAAAAATCAATTTTAGTGAGATATCCTCGGTTCAAATTCGATTGCTTTACTGACTCTGAGAAAGTTAACTTCGATATCTCGGGGTCTCGGATGAAGCAGAATAAGGGATAATAATCTGGAAAGTATTAGCACTGCCTCGCTGCGCAACAAGTGTGGCATTAACAGACCTTCAGGGCCGTTTTGTGCTGGTGTCTGTAAATTTTAGCGTCATCTCAAGAAAGATCGAAAGGTTTGGGGAACGTTACTCCGCTTAGAGCCCATCTATAATGGCTTTTCAGCGCCAGCACTGCGAGAGTCGTCTTGGCTGAAGGGTTTTTAATGAAATGCTGGAAACGTCAACAAAGAGGGCTTTGCAAAACACCAATCTGGACTCACGGCTTCATCAAGAATGATCTGAACAAAGAGTTAGCCTGCCCGCGTGACGGGAGCAAAATACTTACTCGATACCAATGAATATTATGTAAACATCCAGCGTCTTTCTTTTTCTCCGTAACCCAATCTTGGATGACTTCGGTCAAACTCCTCTCTTCCTCAGCCGCCCGGTTGCATAGTCGTTCCATGGTCTCGTTGTCCAAATTAGGGAAGTTCATGCGGATCACATTGTATGTCGTCAACACGACCTCATTATAGACTATTCTACGAGGCATGTTGTTGTCTGTATCTGAGTTGTTGTAGATGAGAACTTTTTTGAATTTGCCGTGCGTCTCTAGCTCGGCCTTCCATTGATGAAGCTGCCAAAAGGTCAGCTTTGAAGATAATCGTAAGATCAGGAGACTTGTGCTTACCACGCTTCGGGGAACAATGATGAGAGTGGTTCTCTGGAACTTTTTCTTGAGATCTGGTGGCGGAGGGTTTGCCATCATGGTCTGCTTAGTTAGCTCGAGATGATGAATGAACGACCAGCCAGCCTACATACCGTAATGCTTGTAACGGTCTTTCCAAGACCCTGAGTTTCAATATTAGGCACATCATTTTCGTTGGGCATGGATGGAAACTCTTTTACTCACCATTGCATCAGCAAGAATCCCCCCCAAAGGGCCTTCTGAAGAACATTCGCATTTTACCATCCAAGCAGCGCCGCTCATCTGGTAGTGATAGACAGCTGAAATTTAAGTCAGGTTGTTTCCAAATTGAAGGAACAATCCGAATAACTTACGCGACTTCATCCCTTTCAATTGCCACATGCCATTTTTCATTTGCATTCGTTTGAAGCCGAAACTTCTGCTCTCTTCGTCTAAAATGTTCAAGTCGGTCTTAAACTTTTGAAAAGCGTCTTTGTCCTTACAACTGGAAAGAATTTCCTGAAAAAAGGCCTTCTTCGTTGAGACGGCCATTGCGGGCGCTGCTCCGTTGCTTGGACCTGCATTATAGGCAGTGACTGGGTCTTGATGGGATATGCTATGAAGCAATTTTTCAGGATCCACATTTCGAACGGTTTTTCTGACCTTCCGAATGCCGCCAATTGAATCCTCTTGTTTGCGTTTGTGATACTCGAATGCAGTCTTTGCTGGGGTTCTGCGAGGCTGCTTTGCTGTTTTTGCTCCCCCTTCGTTTTCGTTCTGCTTCTGGGCTGGCTCAGTAATGTCGGAGATCTTGGGACTACCAGCTTCAGGCTCGAACTCAGCTTTGATCTGAGACTCGACCTCGGTCTTGATATCAACTTTCTCAAATTTGACCAAAACTGGCGTTGCATTGTACGCATCGCCTTGAGATGAATCAGACGGTGTGCGATTCTTTTGCTTCCTACATGAGTCGTGATGGGACCATTCATCTGTCATCTCAATGTCTGCATTCTTGATCGCGGGGCAAGGCTCGGGAGCAGTTGGTGCATCATAGGAAGCTCTTCTAGGCTCTGCTATCTTTGTTCCTGGTTCGTTGGACATTGGGATCATTACTTGAGTTGAAGATCCTATTTCCTGGCCGCTTGATGAGCTATCAGAAGCACCAATAGCAGCAGAGAGTTCACGTTCCATAGTGAAATCTTTGCAAGACGGCGGCGGAGTCGGAGCACTCATTGTGCCGGGTGCACTCCAAGGTACCGGGGAAAAAAAGTCCTAATGAAGTTTGTCAGGCAAGTTCATAGCTTGGCAAAATTTGAGAGGCGGAAAAACTGGAGCTCAACGAAGTACAGAAACCTCGGAGAGCATACCCGCGTAAAGGGAATGAATACTCAAGAAATATGGGGGATTTGCGCAGTATACCCAGCTGCATGTAAAGGACGCTCATCTACGTGGTGAAGTTCAGAGAAGAGTAATCAACGGGGAGGAAATCTCGAAAGTGAGGGAAAATTGGGCTCGTGGAGATTTTATTGGGGATATGGATGAACTCCGATTTTTGGGGAAATGAGTAATATGCGTTCAACTCCCCAAAAGCTACGCTGGAAGACTTCTTCAAAAGTGACTTGGAACGTGAGGGTGAGGCTGTTCGGGGGTTACAGCAAGGAATAACGACTTATCACTTACGGTTATCTTTGACATTGGAATGAGGCGTTATTTTGATGCACTAGGGTTATCGAGAGTTGGTGCCAAGCGGATTGGATGATGATGATGATCAAGGTTTCTTACGAGCTGTCGAGATTAGAAGAACTGACAGGGGAACGGAGTTGGCTCTCAAGCTGAAGCGGGGTCGCTCTTGTGACTATGAAATAATGTGAGAAGACTTTCAATAGAATAAAAGCTGAATGGAGGGAGGCTAGGCGTCTTGAGGAGGACCGAAGATGGCGGGGTTATGACGGGAGAGGAGGTGATAGAGTGGACGAAAATGATGGAAGGGTTGAGGTTTTGAGGATGTGGAGGGAGGAAGGCTTACTGTGAACTATGGAGATGGTTGAAGGAGGCGGCAGATGTTGAGGTTGTCGATTCTATTGAAGTTGTTGTTGATGGTAAGTGGAGGAGGACCGGTTGCGAGCGAGGTTCGTTTAAATAGGAGGGAAAGTGGTTAGGAGTCGCATGAACCTGTGCCGAGGCTGCATTCACTGTTCGCGGAAGATAGAAGTTGAAAACCCTAGCTGACAGAGGTAGGATGAAAGGACAGGGCCAAGGGTTGACTTGGGGAGAAGTGAGACGCTGTTTACGAACATGAAGCTCCAAGGCGCCGAAAATTTTAGATGCAGTGTAGGAGAAAGGCGATATATCTAGCATTAAAGACTCCCCGCGAATTAAGATAAGTCCCTGCACGACAACGTGCACTAATCGTGTTCAACCTCAGCATATGCATGGGGTGAATCCAGATTTCAGTTGTGCAGCCTGGAGCAACTCAATTTCAGCACCAGTACCGATCAATGTGCAATACGCAAAATCAAGATCTGATCCTTGGCATCACGAGAACTGTCTGCAACTACGCAGAGCAAGATTGTTAACTCGGTCATTTTGCGATCTATCAATACGGCTCTAAAAGCAACGCAACAAAGTCTTGTGATGAAGGCCGAGAATTTCTAAGGGTTCAGCGGCCACATTTAATATGGCTAGAAATAGTCGTTGACATGTCATCCGGATACCTCTATTCGAGACAAAAGAATGAGGTAAAGAAGATGTTACGGTACATTGTTTGTGCGATGAGAGGGCTTTCTAGATTTCATTCGTAGGGGAGTGGACCAGATTTTGAGAAGCTCGTCTTTGTTGGTCGATATTTTCGCTCACTTGGTGACTTGAATGCTCTGAAGTTCGTGAGCGTAAGAGGCTCGCAATGCATTGGACGTACACTCAGATTATTAGCAGCAACTTTCAAAGTTTTGAGACTGAATGGCCTGCGTGGAGTCCTAAGTCAGCGGCCAGAATCCGAGAAGGAATTAAAGAAGTGCACGATACCCATGGATGCCTGGAAAGTCCAAGAAGGATCTCAAATTTGGCTTCTGGTGAATATATTCACCCAGAGATGAGATCTTCAAAATCACCAAGAGTGCTGCGAATTGAATGCTCGTCGTCTCCCCAACCTCTCGCCAAAAGTCGCCGAGCGTGCTCTTTAGTCAGCAATTTTACATTAACTCCTCTCTATTCACACCTTCCAAATCCATCTCCTTCCGTTCCTCCAGAATGAAGTCTCACCAACATCTCTCAATGTTTGTTGCACATCGCTCCAGTTAAAATCACCCTGTTGTAAGGTTGCACTCGTCACGACTAGCTAGGACTACACAGTCCCCTTTTCCCTCGGCAGGTCATATGCGACTTCTGCCTGCTTAGCGTGCGTTCCACTGACCAAGAGCGGAATGCGCGTGGTATTTGAGAGGCACAAGACCATTATTTCATATTGTCCAGATTTGATGGGCAGTGCATACTGATGCTTGACACTGACGCCAATTCTCTTGGAATAGCTGTGAACCCTTGCAGATTTTCCTGGCTTCTCCTGGCAACGAGCATCGATCCGCTAGCTTCTTTAGCCAGTCCATCAGAAAATAGCAAGCTTTCACTATCCTGCAAATCCTCCAAAGATGCAGATAATTCTGTACACAGGCTAGTTCCCAGCTGCTCGTTCATGATCACGGGTTTCTTATTTTCTCTACATCTCAACAAATGCCTTCGCACTTCTGTTGTGCACATTTGAAACAGAATCAGATACCCATATTGATTTTAAGCTACAGACGTTTCAAATAAACTCTGCCAGTGGTTTAGCTCCACATTTGGGACCCTTTTCGATCCTTCCGAACCCATAGTTTTGGAAGCTCACTCCCCAACATATAAATAGGTAGATTGGTTCCGCGAACCTGTTCAGCTCACCAGTGTCGAGTAACTCTGGTTCCAGCGGGATCTTCATCTCTCGTTACTCTCGTCCCGTCAGGACTATCACGAAGCCTATGCGAGGCAGGAACCCCTCCACTAGCCTCACGAGCCTTATGCGGCATGGGTGCTCTATCGTCAACCTTGCGGCCGACTTGATCACGTTGTGTGAGGGAAAGTTGCTCATTCCATGTGGAATGGGGAGAGGTAGGGCTGGAACAGAGGCGCTGGTAGCAGCGAGAAAGAGCGTGATTGCGATTATGGGTGTTTGGTAATGCATGCTGACGGATTCAGGGAAGCTGTTTCAAATAGCTTGTAGACGAGGAGATGGGAAGTTGTCTTCACGCCTTGCAATTTGACCAGAGATGTTTAAGATTTTGTTGATAGATAAATTTTGAAATGTTGTTGGTAGAATTCGCGTGTTTGTGTTGACGTAGTGAAGAAATCGGTGCCTTTCGGGCGGGGGGCGGCCTCCTTTATCGTCAGATGTCGCATGACTTCTACCCCAATTATACCCGTGATCCTTCAGCACCCCCAGCTCTTGAATAAAAATTATGGTGCCAGAGCTGAGCCTTCGTTACCGTAATAATAAGCGTACACGAGGATTACCGGACTTCGGGTGAATTTCCTAGCCATTGTGGTAGTACAATTCTAAGCAGATGTGGATGACTTTGAATAATATCGCCAAATCATAAACACAAAACGTAAGAGATTCACTTCCTGCTAACGAAAGGTTTGAGATCGTTGTCGTTTCTTTGAGGGTAACCTCCTACCCTACATGGCCTACAATTGAAGCGGGATATATCCCTCGCTGACAATCGACTTGAAGATGTCGAATCAGAGATATCGAATGGGGGAAATGACCCATCGACAGTAATTAACTAACGACGTTTGTGGAATAGGTAAACAGGAGACTGAGGAGATGAATAATCTCCTGCTTGACAGAAAAGAATGTAGCAATATCCAGACTTTTTCCATTGCATTAGGGGAAGTATCCCTAGAACACTGCAGAAGAATGTTTGAAGTATCCAAGCTAGATGTTTAATTAATTTTTAATTCTAAAAATATCAAAAGATGCTTTGTGTCCATTTCTGATAACATGCTAAGAGGCAACAAAAGCAGCAGCGGCGGCGGCATTGATTCCGTATGTAAGATGTGCGGGTAGAATCAGATCTCCGTTTACACAAATGTTGTCACCATCGTGACAATAGACGTCGACTTTTGAAGAAGCAACGTTGGGCAGGGCTTGTCCATCATCTACGTTTCGGTCAGTATTGTAATATGAGTTCTGACTGGTGCAACACATACCTGGGTCACCAAAAATAACGACCTTGCTGACTGCAAAAATGTTAGCGTTCAAGATCATGTAAGGTGACGATCGGGGGTCTCGAATCATATCCCACGAGATACAAGTCCAGTTTCTCGGGGTCGACTAGGTGCGAGCTCATGCAACGAGGAGTAAGAAAACAAGAATGATCTTACTCCATGCAGCAACTGTGGCTGGTAGTAGTCCGATTGCATTATGGACAACCTGTCCGCCTTGCGAGTACCCTGAAGCGACAAGTTTGGTCTTTGGGCATGCCTCGTATGCCGCCTCAATCTGTATGGCCCTACGTATTGTTAGTTCATGGAGCTTCGAAGGTGAAGATTTGGAAGTAATCTTACATTTCTGCACTACCTGCTGGATCCCCGCCTTCTAAATACCCATCAATCGAAGCCGAATAATTATTCACACCTTGGATAGTGAGTGCTGAAGTGCCCACCAAGGACCGTAATGCGTCGAAGAAAGGGGGACCAACAAGAATGCCAACATTCCCAGGTTCGGTGGTTCCACGAGCAAAGATGACGGTATAGGTCTTGCAAGTTCCTCCGAGTTCATTGTAAGTCGTTTTCTCTCCAGTCAAGAGCGCAAGGAGGTTCTCAAAAACGGTAAGGACACCAGCTACTGCGGAAATCGTGCCATCTAAGGCTGGAAGATAGTCCAAGAGAACTGTGAGGAAGGCGTTGAGGGCAGTCTCTCTTTCGACAAGATCTTTGGGGCCATGGTTAGGGACCGGAGAGGCGAGCGCAATGGCAACGAGGGAGAGCAGCGTCCAGAAAGAGAGCTTCATGATTGCTTCTTACTTTTTGATAGAGCATTGAAGAAGTGAAAGCTAGGGGGAGTTTGTTGGCTTGCTGCGGAGAGAGGAAGAAGGGGCACAAAGTTGCAAGACTTTCGTTTGAAGATTTCGATCTGCCTCCAACAGCATCTCGTAGAGGATTTACAGCCAACTTTATAGGCCTTTCCTTGGTGGCCCGCACACAAGGGGACGAGATCAATGTCCTAGTGGGATACGGAGAGCATTTGCGGGGTGTGGGGGACAGGGATTCGCAACGTAAAGCTCAAGCACCTGGCATGACCCGAATCTTCAAAGAGGAATAATGTCCGACCACCACGCATATTATTCGGAGGCAGGAGCTACATAAATGTAGACACGTCGGTGTGAGGATGCGGATTCCTGGAGATTAAGTGTCCTCATGACCCAAGGCGTAGCGGCAATCATCACCAATGGGGCAAAGATGAGGGGTTCTGAGTTTGGATGGAAATGTAACAGAAGTGTGATCATGCAAGTCAATCTTGACAAGTTTGATGGTGGTTTTTAGCAGGGCGAATGAAGAAGGAGAGACGGAAAAGAGTGTGACTGCTGAAATCCAAAAGCGCCAGTTAAGGAAGAGGAATAGACTTTTGTGAGTTCTTGGTCCCTGATCTACCGATCTCCCGCCAGGGCCAGGTGGGCCCTTCCAGCTTTTCGGTACTGTTTGAGATGTAGGCTTAATCAACGCTCAAAACCTTTTGAGAAAATTCCACATCATGAGCTCACATTAGGTCTCTACGGATTACTCCACATTCCCAGAACCCGTTGTCCCCATAAGGTTGAGTCTGGCAGCGGGGGATTTCCCACAACTTCCCTGCCGCCATGTGCTTGGAGGTCGGGGCCATGTACTTTGAGATCTTCATGGCTTGAGGGCCTCGGTTGCTCAGCCATGTACGGCATGTGACGACATCCAAACAGATGCGGCGCCTGGCGAAACTTACCAGCCACCCTTGCGCCAGTCTTGATTTAGAGATATTCCCGGCCGCTAAGCAATTGCACAAGAGATATGAGATCTGATTTGCTTAGAGCATACCCAACCGGGGATTTGAAAATATCCAGGGTTGCCAACTGAACCAGCATGTGAACTTGTGAAAGTGATGAAACCTCACCAAGCTTCAATCCCAAGTGTTGATAATGATAGATCGAGAAAGCTATTGATTAATGACAACTTTGCCGATACAAAACTACACATTCAAGTAGGTCATTTCTGTCGTGTCACATCTGAGTAGTAATGGTGAGCATTTTGCACACACAGAAAGTCGAAGACTATTTCAATGCTTTCCATTCCGATGATTGAGAACGCCCCCTGATTCGCGAGCTTGGGACACAATTTGAAAAGGAAATCCCGTCCGACCGCGGCAGCGGCAAGCCTGTATGACGCATCTGAATTTATCATACCCATTCCCCGATGAAAAGCCTGGCAGCTGAATGCAAAGCCAGGCGCAGTGGCAGTAATACAATTGGCGGTAGCTCAATGTTCGGAAAAAGAAACGCCTACCACATAAATGATCGCTTATCTATCCCTATTAGGTGCGTGTCTCAGCTCCTGTGTTCCGATCAAGCTCACTGGATAGAGGTTAGTAGTTGTCAAGCGAGAGGCAGAGCGAGACATACCAAGATCTCATCATCCATGTTAGCATCGCCACCAGCAGCGGGCTGAGCAGCTCCGTTGGTCTCGGTGGCTGCAGCACCTGCCTGCCAGTAGTCTACCATCTCCGAGTCGAGTTCCTCTGCAGTCTTCTTCGCAGGTCTAGCATTACGAGCAGCACCTTTGCCGCGACCACCCTTCCCACGACCACGAGTGGCACCTGCGGTCTTGGTAACTGCTGCAGACTTAGGTTGAGGCTTTGGCTGACTGCTGGAAGAATTAGAATTATTTAGCTAAAGACAGTGTAGTAGAACTCACGTGATACGCTCGCTGAGGCCCTTTGGGGGTGGAATTGCCTTGGCACGTGTGGCATCGATAATGAGCTCAACCTAGATAGATGTTAACGGGTTTCAATTACGGAATGGGTCTAGCTACCAACCTTGATTGGTTTGCCGTCAACAGGAATACCATTGCATTCAGCCACAGCCCTGGTTGCGCTCTCGGAACGGGCGAAGAGGATATTTGCAATACCACGGCTAGCTCCGCCAGGTCCATAGGAAAGTTCAACTCGCTTGACGGGTCCTATCATCTTGACAAAGTACTCCTATTTAATCCAAGGTTTGGTTAGTGATTTGGATATCGTTCATGTTATGGAATCGCGTGAATCTCGACGTCGAAGCTCGGTACGAAATGAAAGGTAACCACAAGGAGGGCGAACACTCCTCCATTCAAAACAGTAGAGCAATAGCGAGCGAGCAGTGAGCGTTAGTAGCCAGGTCAGCACGGACGCCTCCAGGCCAGAATCGGATAACGGGTAATTCACAGCCAAGGGAGCAACCTCCACAGGTAGAACGGCTCGCCGATGTCGAATTATTGCAGTTGCTTGTAGTCGAGATCGCCCACTCCGACAGGAACTAGCTACCGGAATGTCGGATGCACCAATGGGTAGGGAGATGCGATGCCGATTGCGGGAGTGCCGAATCGAAGCCCTCGTGTCGTTTTAAAAGGGAGAGGGTTCATGACGAAGGTTTTTTTTTTGCGGAATGGTTGCTGTGATCGGGGTCCACCATTGATGCCGGGGTGATCTCGAGGCCCGCTGTAGGATCTTGTGCTATGCTGTATGCTCCACTGCTCCACTCGCTGTAGCTTGCCACAACATCCCCACCAGTTGCAAAATTATAAAGGTGATGCCTTTAAAACAACGCCATCACCGATTGTCTGCGCCATGTTCTGATGAAGGAGCTTGCCAGGCTATCTTCTGCGAATCATGGACGTTGTGCAAGACTTGACACGCTCAACTGCAATCCACAAGTGCTTATTATACTGCAAGCGAAGGTGGAGAGGAGACGGTCTTGATGAGGCCCCCCCCATTATATAAATAAAGAGCATCGCAAAACGATTGTTCATGTCCACATCGACGGATTTGAAGAGTCGGCGAGGATGGAATATTTCGACGAGAGTCCAAAGGCCAGGATGGCCTCATCGGTAACATACCTTGATCATAGGTTCCGTGATATCCTTAGGCTAGCCTGAGGTTAGCATGTGTCGTTCTAGAAGAGCAGCATGGAGACTTACGAAGCCAGTGACTAGAATCTTGCCTTCACCACTTGAGCCCGACGGTCCCGTAGGAATATTCTTGACAGCACCTTTGGCATGCTTAGGGTTTTTCTTAACACCACCGGCAGGCGCGGTAACGGCGGGCGCAGTGCGATGAACGCGTCTGCCTCTGCCACGACCAGAAGATCGTCGTTGAGTTGATATGATCTCGTCGAGAGACTTATCGAGTCTGGCAGACATCTTGATTGTGGATGCGGAGCTTTGGTAGCGAGGCGAAGAGCTGGTTGCGGATCGAACCGTTAGGATCAGTAGCACGAGGCAGAAGAAGAGATCGAGAGCGCAGTCGGTCGCGATCCGAAATTCGATGGATAGGAAGGCTAGCTGACTCTGAGATTGATGCGCTGGATCGCGTGTTTGCCTTGGGAGGAATGAGGCTTTGTTTTGCGAAACGCGACTCGAAAAAAATGGCAATAAAGTGCGGCTGTCGAAGTTGGGTGAAGCGCGCGATGAACGTTTGATAAAGACGCCCGAGGCAGTGGATGCAGAATCGAAGAAGTTTGCTTTGGAGTGGGTTGTGGTTGACTTAGGGAGGAAGGCGAGGATGTGTTGGAACGAGGAACAAAGGAGAGGCTGGCGTCGCGCTAGTCCCGTTTTGAGTCACCAATGGACAAATCACGTGATCCAGGAATTGAGGTGACCAGCAGTTTCTCGATGCTCCAGGGAAGGACAATCCGTTGGTGAACAGGGTACAATCTCACATTGAATTTTTATATAGAAGAGAAATGTGTTCAGTTTGAAGTGTTGTGGTGGTGGGCCAAGCACAATATTGAATCACCAATATTTTACCAGCTCTGCGATCTGACCTCAAGCCATCCCCTAGTTACTCTTAACTGCCTGTACCCCAAGCACTCTAGAAGCTTTATAGTACATTCACCATGCCTGTTATAATCACATTTTCCACCAGTGGACCTAAAAATGCCACAAATGCCTGCAAAAACGAGTTTGTATCTAGTGACGTCCTGGTCTCAACTCATCCGTCCTCAAATTCTTCTTCATCCCACCCAAGTTTCCGTCACCTCCCTGCTAAGATAGCCTTCGCCTCTGATTGTGTTGAAGTAGTAGGCTTGCTTTTGGTGTCCGCGGGCTCCTCCACAGCATTAACCTCGAGGAAGTGGTATAGAATAATGAGGAGCATGGCAGCAGAGCCGAGGAAGATTGCGAGACGATAGAGCTCATCGTCGGAAATCATCTTGACTGGAGAATGCGCGATTTAGAATTGCTCGTTGGAAGATGCTCTGGAGTGCTGCTGCGAAGCCACGTAATTGTAATGTCGTTAGACCTCTGGGATGAATGTCAGCCCAATTTCAATACAAATATAGATATACTGTATATTCGAAGTTATTGCATACCTGCCAAGACTGCGCCTTCGTCAATTGCGGATTGTGAATGTTTGTTATCTCGACCTTTGTTGCAACGTATTGGTGAGGACAGCTTGAAGCTCTCCAGGATCAGAGGCGGGCATGAGCGGGAGGCTAGTGTCGCTTCTTGGCCAATGAAAACCTCCCCCACCAAGATTTAAAGATCGTGCATTCGCCATAACTTACTTCGATGATCAAGTCATCCTGTACTCTCCCACGACAACCCCACAGTCATTTCTGCACATTTGGGGATATATTCTCAGTCTGAGATCTGATAAATCCTATTTTCCCGCCAATTTTACCCGTCTGGGACCTCCCAAAATCCATCAAGATGCCTCCAAAGAAGGTCGAGAAGCAGGGCACGGGCAAGAAGCCTTCTGCCACCAAGATCGTAGAGGACAGAACGTTTGGCATGAAAAACAAGAAGGGCGCACAAACACAGAAACAAATTGCACAGATGACACAATCTGCGAAGGCTGGTGGCACCCCAGAGGAGAAGAAGAGAGCGGCAGAGAAGGCACAGAGGGAGAAGGAAAAGGCTGCTGCTGAGGCTGCGCAGAAAGAAGTGGCAGAGCTTTTCAAACCAGTTCAAGTTCAGAAAGTTCCATTTGGGGTGGATCCTAAGACAGTACTCTGCCAATTCTACAAAAAGGGCCACTGCGAAAAGGGAAGGAAGTGCAAATTCTCCCACGATTTGAATATCGAGCGGAAATCCGAAAAGAAAGATTTGTACCAGGATACTCGGGAGGAGGAGGAAGCCAAGAAGAAGGAAGAAACATCCGCGGACTGGGATGAAGAGAAGTTGAGAACGGTCGTCCTATCGAAGAAAGGTAACCAAAAGACAACTACCGACAAGGTCTGCAAGTTCTTCATAGAGGCCGTCGAGGAAGGGAAATATGGGTGGTTCTGGACCTGTCCCAATGGGGGCGATAAGTGCATGTATCAGCACAAATTACCACCGGGGTTTGTCTACCTGCACCTTGAATTTGTCGCACATGCTAACAATTACAGCTTCGTCTTGAAAACAAAGGAGCAGCGGGCCGCAGAAAAAGCTCTTATGGACAAATCGCCTCTGAAAACACTTACCCTCGAAGATTTTCTCGAATCAGAACGGCACAAGCTTACTGGAACTCTCACTCCTGTCACACCAGAGACATTCGCAAAGTGGAAAACAGAACGCATGGACAAAAAAGCAGCTGAGGATCAAGCCAGGCTTGCCAAGGAAGCCACTGGCCGTGCTCTGTTCGAGAAGGGAGACTGGGAAGCAAGCGGTGATGAAGACGAAGAAGATGGTGGCGACGAGGACGATGATGATACTTGGAACATGGAGAAGCTACGGCAAGAAACCGAGGCCTTAAAAGAAAAGAAGGAGGCCGAACGGATAGCAGGCTATGGTCAGGGTGCGACTGCCAATGGCGACAACGGTGTTCTGGGGAATGTTGAGCCGGATATCAATGGAGCAGATGAGGGAGGGGAAGCATCTTAACCAACAGCATATTGACGGTCTTCGATTACATTATAACGACTTGAATTTAGCGTCATTGGAAATGGGGATGGCGTCTTGGTCATATTTGGATGGGGCCGTGGTTTATTCACACCAATCTGCATCGGCAAACACAACCTTTGCATCGTCTGTGGTGATGACTAAAATAACCATATTACATAGCGTTTTACGACTCTCTCGGCCAAGGCTGCTGTCCACGAGGATGCAGCTATGCGAACGAATAGCAAGACTTGTCAGAAAGCTTACTTGCTTCTGTGCCTCCACTTCTGCCATCATCCAAATCCGTGATCAATTGAAGAAAGCTCAGTTGCTCACCCCTGGTACCCCAGAGTTTTACCTGCAGGCCTCGTCTACCAGTTCACCCATTGGGACTTGTCAGTACGGTAGTACCATAGGGTAAGTTACTACAAACTGTATCTTATGTATTCAGCCTCCTAGGTTCTCCCCTAAAACATTTATCAAATTCGTTACGCTCAGTTGCACGAGCACGTGCTGACAACATCACCTGGAATTCACAAACTCGGTAATGACATTTGCAAATTCTCAAAAGAGCGGAAACCGTCTCATAAAAATGTATCGGAACCTTCTTGCTCTTCTCCCTGTTGGAAAAATTCAACTATAGGTAGGTGTAACTGGCCGCGTGTGTGGTGGTGCCTTGATTGTTCATTGCCTTGGATTTGAGAACTTGCTCAAATGGTCTCTGCGAGCTTCACCTTCTCGAAGTCAAATTCAGTCTCCGTTTCTTGCGTTTCATCATCTCGTTATTGCTGGTTATGTTTCCATTATAATGCTTCCGAAGTTGATCCTTGTGATGTGGTTGTTGCAGGTACGATGCGTGATAGACAAGCCCTTAAGTTTGCAAGTTCGCAGCTATTTCTTATTGTGTTGAAATATTGCTGCAATTCTGGACCACACTACCGCTTTCAACAGCTGAGGGCTGTGTGGTAGTACTGGTATACTATTCTAACAACTGTCATAATTTCTCCTCCATAATACCCTGTCTCAAGAACTTGGAAATACCTGCTCATAATTGCTTTCATATATTTGGTTCAACAAGTTGGATTCTACCCAGAGTATAGATTGGGCGTTTCAAATCAAAGTTAAGAAGTATCGAACAAGTTCAGAGCTTTCTCATTACAATCCACGGTTGACAGCCCTGTTCCTCTTCCCTATAAACAGAAATTTCGACATACAAGCTTTAAAATATCTACAACGCATTCCGGGGTGCTTTTCGATCAATGAGCTGCGGAGAATCCTTCGAGAAGATCACCTTTGTGGTTCGTTTCGTTTTCAACATCATTTACTTAATTGTGAGGCCGCCAAGCGATCAATCAGCAAATTTTAGGCCGAAACATTGCGCCTACCGGATTCATGTCCAATGCGAGGAAGGTCGGAGAATTAATGTTCTGGAGGGGGACAACCGAGTGCGATATTTGCTCAAATAACCTCACAATCACCGTGCTTCGCCCTACAGCATTTCGCGATGGCTTTCGCAGCTAAAGTAGTGCTACTGGTGGCTGGAAACTTGCTCTCATCCCTGGCATCTCGCCCCATTTATTCTGACAGAATGAAGATTGGGTTATATAATGAAACGGCTTTTAGGTCGCATGCTTTCTCTTCTTGCGTACCTTCAAGACAGAGTAGTACGTCAATATCTGTGCACCGTCTTCACCAACATCCCTGAGTTCTGTTGATCGTCAGCTTCCTCTACATTGGCTCTCGACATTACCTCGGTTTTGCGAGTTCAAAATCAAAGACCAAGAATCACTTTGATCGACTTGGGTCCCCAATTTACAGGAACACTCCGGAGCCTTCAGCATGCCGCTCATCAACGGCTGCAAATATTCTTGGTATTTATTTTCAGATTCTTTGGGGGATTGATGTATATATGCTGTTCTCGGGATTTGACACCAGTTTAGTGAACCGTGTATTCGCGGCCACCGTGCAACATCATGTGCGCATACTGATCGGATTCTGATTGAAGTTCGTAAACCTGGACGCCCATTGGAAAGTTGCGGGCACGAGTTTGCTACCTGCACATGTGGGAAGATCACGGAACTATTATCTGTGGGAACAGGTAAGTTGAACTTGTTTCTCTTAGTTCAACAGAGCGTCTTCTGACACACCCGACGAAATTTATTCAAGTCCTGCTTCCGACCAACTAGGCCAGGCCCCGGATGCAACTTTGGTTGTAACCTCGCCCCCACTTCCATCAGCAACAGCAAAACCCAAAGATCGCACACGAAGTCATCATCGAGTTAGAAAGAAGTCGAGCAGGAGGAAGAAGGGAGAATCTCCTCCCACGTCACCATCAACTAATAGGAGTTCGCGAGAACCGTCCACCATGCTCGAAGAATCTGGGTCGAGTATGAACCGCAACCAGCTATCTTATGCGTATCAAGGTCAAACGTATTCTGGGGCGAGTTCGATGTCTGGCCTCCAACAACAGTCGGTCGCGCAACTTCCAACTCCACCATACCAGACCATGCAGTCCACGATACAAGGGCCGCAGGGTTTTGTTCCTTATCGAACAGGGCAAACGTTCGACAGTCAGGATGCATATCAAATGACTTACTCGCCGCAGCCAAAAGCTAGTAATTCTGTAGGCTGTTCAAGTCGAATCGAAGATATTACAAGGAGTCCGAACGAACAACAGGACAACATGGATCCCAACCAACCGTATATCAGATCACAGTATATAATGCCAAATCAGGATTCAGTCTGGAGAGCAACACGCTAGAGGGAAAGCGCTTCGAGGAAGACTACGCTTCGGGGATCTTGACCATAGAGGCTCATGAATCACACCACCTTGCCTCAAAGAGCGTCACCTGATGGGAAGCAGTTACGGAGATCGACGGCCGCTGACCTGTCCATTCTCAACGTCTAGTCTACCAAGAATCATTGGTTTCTCTCCGTCCCTCTCTAGGTCCTCTTAGTTCCTTCCTCTGGGGCCTTATTCCTGCCCAGAAACAATCCCGACGGAACAGATGAGGAGGATCATAGTTGAAGCATACTTCTTTTCCATCACATGTCCGCATTGGCGGCGACTATCGACCCTCGTGCGTTTTGGCGGCGGTTGATCCATATTAAAGCTTGAGACGAAGAAATTGCGGTTCGATGGTTGCTGTCTGGCTGTAATCTGAGATCTTTCAATATGAGGAGATTGGAAAGGAGTTGGTGGTATGGAAATTCGTGAATACTCAGCTCGATGTTCATTTTTGAATAACCATGGCATTCCAGCAATTCAGGAACTTGCAGCCATTGCTCAAGCACCAAGCGAAACATTAACTCTCAACTTCCCAATTTATTCAAACACTAAGTGGGACAATCGGCTAGCTTCACACCATAGTTCGATCAGCATTTGGGACATTCAACATCAAATATACTCCATTCTTGCGCACTTGTCCTTCAGTAAAAACTCACACATGCTCACTGAAAACAGAAATTTCCCACCGACATCTTGGAAGCAGTCTTCGACGTGTTGTGGCGTTTTGTGTCAGATTTGATTCTGTTATTCAAGCTCTCCTATAGAGAATATTCTTCTATGCTGATAGCTTAGATATCTGGATACAAGTCTCCATTTAATCGTCCTAAATGAGCATTACTGGTACTCATCTCAGATTTTACCGAGGTTGGACAGGGGTGAAATCTGGAGCCTTTCGCTTATTTAAGGGGTTCAAAACCCATGTGTGGCTTGCGCATACAACATTACAACGGACGTTGGGAGTAATGCCTATCTTCCGGAAGATTTCATTGAGCACCTCTCATTCTTTTTTCGGTTGCGGTTTAGTGTCGACTTGAATCACATGAACAACTGATCTGATTTAGAGGAAGTGAGTTTGAATGTTCCGATAGTTCTGCGTCTCATTCGGTGTCGTTGCCGAGTGTCTCACTCCATAAGCCACGATATTGACGACTTGCATCACAGCCAGCCTTCAAGAAGGAACGGTATAAATACGTCACCGCTTCTTCGGGCAATTGCTGCCCCTGTGGCTTCCTCAAATTCAAATTCTCCGTTTATTGTGGCCATCGTTGTGGTTTCACGCGGACAAACTGGTATTTCCACAATGATACCTCAAGAGAGCTTTTTTGTGGTGCACAACTTGTTTCCGGCTGGAAAGCTTCAAGATTACGATCTGTCGACGTGCGCCACTGTCTTACTTTCAAACCAAAGTGTGTTGTCTTGCGTTTCAGACACAGCAAATACCCTGGATTCAAACTCATATCCGAGATCAATTGAGAATTTTTACCATGTTTGTCCATTATCACAGTTGGGTTGTGCAGGAGTGAGGATATTGCTATGTTTATATACCGTGGTGGTCCCCTATATGTCTCCTTAGGTGCTCCCCATTGCAAAACCAATTTCAAAAACCAAGCTCTAGTCATGATGACAGTTTTCAGCCTCTTGGCTGTTTGCACTCTGCACAGTATCGCGCTTGCCAATTCTTGCGATGCAATTGATTGCCTCCTTGGTGAGTGATCTCAAGTCTGATCTTGATCCTCCGAACTGAGGTAGCGCTAATATGGGGCAGAGTTGAAAGGAACAGGAGCACCTTCGGTCGGTGGAACAAGGTAGAGAACTCACGCCTGGAGGAGTGAAATCACATTGAGGGTAAAGTGGTTGTGGATCGTTGGATTTTCTGCACAGCGATGTGTTTTTAATGCACTTATATTGAACTTCTAATATGTCTAAAAGCGCTCTGCCAACGGTGACTGACTTGTGAAGAACAAGACCTCCCAAATCCTCAACTTCTAGAAACAATAGATGCCCATAAATCAACTTCATATTAGACGAAGGATGCTTTGCGACTGAGGAGATGCTCGTCAATGCCCACGTCCGCCGTCGAGATCATCGATTGTTTATGGTGTACATTTTGGGCAGACCAACATCCCCGAAAACCAACTGAAGAACCCATTTGAGATATCCGCGCATCCTTCGAGTGGAAAGGGTTGCAAAGGTGGCGCAGCACCATAAGTGCAACCAAAAGGTTGCTCATACAAAATATAACAATCAGCAGCTGTAGCCTTGCAGCTCCCAGTGTAGAAAGATTCGAAACTTATAATGACGGAGAAAGGGAGGTTGACGCACTTGCCCCGTTCGAAGAGAATTGTGGATGGGAAATCGTTCCCGATCTCCTGTGAGCACGTGACATCTACCCATTGGTGGGCCATGAATATTGGGAGATCGTATTCCGCTATGTTGGTCTTCGTTGCTGTTGCCATTGTCGTTATCTTGGGCGGAAGAGTGGTGGTGGCTGCTTTGGCCCCGATGCGGAAACAGGCACTTGAGTAACGCGAGATTCCTGGGCAGACAGATTCACAGTCTGGCGTGTCAGAGAAAAATGCCGTCTGCTGTCGAGCTTCAAGGAGATTGGTGCTGCGTTTGAAAGGGTCGGGTATGTAGGAGACATTTGGAGTAAGATCCGTCGTGGTAGTTACTAGTCGTGGTTACGGTCTTTGCTTTTGTCTTAGCGACGGTACTGAGTTTCATAAATCAGCAATCATTTGGTTATAATGGATCTACTCACCTCACAACTGATGGTGTGACAGTAGCCTTGAGATAGGAAGAGCAATAGGCTGGCCCGTGTCTTGTCGGGAAGCCTGAAACTAAGGTTATGGCAGCCGTGCAGGAAAATAGCCAAATTCATCACTTGACCATCTCACCCGCTTGGAAAGATACCCTTCGCTGTCCTGGAGGAATCACACCAGGCAATATTGTCCCACGAGATATGGGACATTAAGAATTGCGAGGTCTTCAGAAGGTAACAGCAAGAGGGCTTCCAGCCCGCTTCAACCATTCCATATCGCGTTTTATCTCGGCCACACTCTGATCCCTCGTAGTGGATGCAACTATACAAGGTCCTCTCTGCCCATCTTCACCCTGATCCATGCTTGCATAGTTGTCTGTACTGTTGCCATCTTTGCTTAGCGCCTCGTTGACGTCACTACAAAGGTCTCTAGCACCTTTGTAGCTCTCACGGTGGGGAAAGGCATTCATAATAGCTCTGCCTTCCTCCAAATATCCAGCGGCCGTATTAGCTGCGGCGTACTGTTTTTGTGCCGAATCTGCTGATTGCTCAGTTTCGCCAGATCGAGGAGGAATGGTAAATACAAAGTGCCAGGCAGATGAGGTGAAGGTGCTCCGAAGAATGCCGAAGCATTCTGTTGATAGGAACTGATTTGATGAGGAATTGGGCAATCGAGTTGAAGTGGAACATGGAGAGAGTAAGCGCTTGAGGACGATCACGGCATCTGTACCACATGGTCGGCTAAAATTAAGAAAAGAAAACATGCCAATTCACATTTGCAATCGCAGAAAAGAAACAAAAGATATGGAGAGACATTCTGTGCTTTTCTTTGCTGCAAAGGTATTTCACACACCAACCAGGAAATCTTAGTCATCGAATGATGTGTCCAAAGCAACAGCTTTCCCTAATCCCCTGATATCCACTGAGACGCTGGAAATACTGAACCAAAGGAGTCACCGTCTTGTTGCGCCTCTAGGACAGGAAAATCTAAGCGACCTCCTCAATCTTGGAAGATGCGGGTTTCTCGCTGCTGCTCGCCTCGTCCTCCTCGAGCTCGGGCATGTCTTCATCTTCGTCGTCTTCTTCCCCTTCCTCCTCACCCTCCTCACCGCCCATGCCTCCACCAAGCTTGGAGAAGTCGATGCCACCGAAGTCGCCTCCTGCTCCTCCCATCATTGAGCTCATGTCACCCATACCTGGCATGCCACCCATTCCGCCCATGTTTCCTAATCCAGCCTGTCAGCTTCCTGGGTTCTAAAAATAGTAGAGCAACTTGCCTAGATCGTCCTCAGGGGCCTCGTCTTGCTCATCCTCGTCAACCCACTTGTCAAAGTCGGTCTTCAAGAAGTGAACCTTCTTGGCATCCTTCAAGAGCCGGGGCCAGAATTCCTCCTTCAGCTCCTTCTTTCTCAGGACGATCTCAATGTTCTTAGCGGTGTGGTTGATCTTGCTCTCCTCCTTGTCAATCTCAGCATAGAACTCGAGCTCGAGGTGGTAGTCTCTCTTGAGCGAGTCTGAGTGACCGGAGAAGGCGAGGGATTGTGGCTTCAGGTCAAGCTTGAGATGTGAAGGCTGGACATCCGGTACGGAGATGGTGAGGTAGATGAAATTCTTTGCCGCATCGGTCTTGTTGGATCGTTGAGCCCAAAGGACTGTTGAACAATTAGCTATGTTTACTGAGCAGAATTGAGGAGCAAAGCGTCAAAATTGGTGGTTGCTTTGCTTCTTCTGCGGCAGGCTGAAGCCTAGGAGGTGAAGTAGCTCCATGGTGCGGATCGCAGTTGAGCTTACCTTCTGGCGTTGCGGGGGCAGACATGATTGCGACGATTGACGAGAGGAATCAAGAGTCAGTGGGAAAGGTCTCAAGGACGGAGTGTTGATGTTCGGTTTGGAGAGTGGTTGGTAGAAGATGAGGGAGAGAAAAATGTGGAGTGCAGGATTGTCTTGTAGGTAGGCACGGTAGGGCGGAAGTTCGAGGAGTGCTAACGAAAGGTTTGGTGTGCGCAGATCACAGCCAGCTGCAGCACCAGCAGGGAGACGAGGCTGGATGGAAACGAGAAGAAGATGAGCGACGCAGGGCTGGCAAGCAACCTTGCACGCCGCTGGCGGTCCTGTGCGCCGAACAACTAACTACGCATTTACAGTCACGAGAGGCTGAAGCAATCGCGAGTGGCACCCTTTGTACTTTTTGCTTTCGAAGTAGAATTTTGGACTTGGACCCCTAGAGGCGCGGTGATTACAAAGTCAAATAATTGTCTTCGAGCCCCACGTTCTGCGGCTCTTTCTCTTGTACGAGTCGCCCAACGTCACTGGGCAGGGCAAATACGATAGTCGATCCTGGATCAGGCTTCCCGCGTGAAACCCCCTCAACCACAACTCCTGCCTAAGACCAAACAACACCATTCTGCAGATTCTGTTTGGCACCGGATTCTTGCAACTTTACGCTTCTTCAACATGGAGGCCATCAGAGGGGTCTTCTTCCGACCGGACCCTCAAGCACAGGTCTGCAGCCGCGTCAGCCCAAGGCAATCACAACTGACTCCTGTCTAGGTCAGGAAATGCAATCAGCTCATACGCCAGAATACCCGCAAGCTTGACCGGGACATTGCGAACATGAAAATCGCGGAGAACAAAGCCAAAACCTTCATAGTCCAAGCAAACCGACGAGCGCAACGAAACCCCTCCCAGGCTAAGCAGGCTGAGAAGGATATCCGGGTCTTTGCCAGAGAGCTTGTACGGTCACGAAAACAGACTCAGAGACTTGTCACATCCAAGGCGCAGCTGAACAGCGTTGCTATGCAGGTTACGGAGGCATTTGCAGTGCGCAAGATTGAGGGAAGCATTCGGTCGAGCGTGGGAATCATGAAAGACGTCAATAGCCTCGTACGGCTGCCAGAATTGACGGGCACCATGCGAGAATTGAGTCAAGAATTAGTCAAAGCAGGCATAATTGAGGAAATGGTTGGGGACAGCCTTCCAGATGAATTAGAGGAAGAGGACGACGAGGTAGAGACTGAGGTCGACAAGGTGCTTGGGGAGATTCTACAAGATAAGATGTCCAAGGTTGGGGCTACTCCTACGACTCCTAAACCGGTACAACAAGAACCCGTCGCAGAAGACGAAGACGAAGAGGATGCGGAGGCTATGTTAGATCAGATGCGTGGCCGCTTGGAGGCTCTGAAGAGCTAGAGCAGAGCCAGAGGTTAATAACGGCTTTCTGTTTTTGTATGCCTGGAGTTTGGTTGGGCTGGACGTCATTAAGGCACAATTTCGAGCTTTGAGAGAATTGATTTGGCTCCATGGAGCATATCAGAAACAAACCACGGTTGGAAACCTGATGGCCTTACTCTTACCACGGGAATCAGATCGCTCCCCTTGATTTAAGGTGCATCTCTTCCTTTTCCATTCATTGTATCGACCCAAGGGTAGTAGACCTATTCTAGTACCCAATCCAGTCCCAGACACAATTACTTAGTGGGAGACATTGCCTGGGTTCCCGCTCATAGCCCGTATTTCGATCTGGACTGAACCACATTTTCAATGGCCCTACAAGCGCCTGGGTCATATCTTCTGCTCTTTGCTCTTCAAATTTTTCATTCTCTCAAATCTTTACACAAATTCTCAAGCAGCTTCAATCTTCTCCAGTTCCCCCCTTTCCGATCAAGGAAACCATAGTTTGCAAGATGAAGTCTTCCTCCACCACCACTGCTATCATTGGCGGTATTTTGGCTGTCACAGGCAGCGCAATACCTATCTCTCAAAACCCAGCCAGTGCCGCTGTCAGCACGCCCTCCTTCAGCCCTGAGGACAGCAATGTCGCTGGGACGTTCACAGCTATTGCTGGACGCTCGCCAGCCACCACCCCAGTCTCTTCGAGTGCATTCGCCTTCTTGGGCGGGTCTGCAGTTCCCATCTTGGACTTAGGTCCTGGCCATGAAGTTCTTGATTCTGGCATTCCAGAAATCTTAACCACACTCTCCACCTCCACCGTTGGAACTCCAATAAAGACAAGTGTTACTAGCTCTGCCACGGCAAGTCTTTTCCCAGGCTTCCATCCTCACTTCGGTCATGGACCCGCCGTACCCGGAAGAGGACTCAATTCCTCTCGTAAGGCTGGCCGAAAGCCAAAAAACCGCCATCCACACTCCCGCCACGGGACCGTCGTGCACGGAGAAGGCTTCAACCACAACAGCCTGACTTCCAACTCGACTGCGCCAAAGCTCACGTCCGCAACGGCTTACCTGACCTTCGATGACTTAGTCAACCCTAAATTCTTGCCCCACACCGGCTACAACTATTCCTCCATGCGTTCCATGTGCGAGAAATATATGTCCATGGAAAAGTGGCGCCGTTGGCGCTTCTCCGACGAGAAGCACTCTTCCGACAAGGTTCATCACAACTCCATCCATGGCCGCGACCTACCCAATGCCGTAGTAAGCCCTTATCGCGAGCTCTATCCTGACTCCAGGCCCGCCAAAGACTCTGCCAATTCCGCACCAGCACCCGCAGCCCCGAAAGTCATCGACATCGCTTGTGCCAGACGCGAGCTTGATGAGAAGATCCAAGAGCAAAATAACATGATCGATTACTACAAGCACTTAATCGCCGAGATGGAGGATGATATCAAGGACGTTAAGAAGCATAAGAGTAAGAACCATGGCAGCAGTGAGAAGGCATCTTACATCCACAACGCTGAAATCCGCATGGCTCATAAGATGGAGGAACTGAAGAAAGTTAAGGTTGAGAAGGAAAAGTTGGTGAAGGAGAGAAAGCTGCTTGGTGACATACCGCCTTAGGTGATGGGATTCAAGCAAGAATAGTTCTGCAGTGATCACTGGCACTGCGTAATCAGGCTGGTTTTGCTGGATACTGGCCATGAAAATTTCCCTCTTTCTTTGGTTTGAGTTTGGAAATTTTTAGTGAACAGTGTTTATCATTTTGGACCTTATTTGCACCCATCTGAGTGTTAATGCTACCTTTCCGTCGAAGGACGAAGCATAGCGTAGCCAAAAAGGACAGTTGGATTTGGACGCTTACATATACCTGTCCACATGTTTGTCCTGCTATTTAGTTCAGCATAGCGCAGCTAGGAAGAGATTTGGCAGCGCAATGAAAAAGCTGTTTGATTTTACCCCCCTGATCCAGACAATGTCAAAGTCGTTCCGATTCAGTTCCACAATCTTAGAATGCAACCATCTCCAAAATTCATGCGAAATTGGGCATCCAGCAACGCAGCCGAGCATGGATATACTAAACTCACACATACGGTGCTTTATTCGCATAAATCGTCGCCCAAATCTATCTTGGTAGTCTTGACATACCTGAAGATCACGTGCGAATATCACATCGAGGAAGCCAAGCAATCAGGGTGTACCCTCTGTATTGGCCAGAGAAGAAGAAAGAATCATCTCTCCATCTTCTCATCCATAAAACGGCCTTAACGAAAGACAATAAAACGTCTCTTGGGCCAGTCCACCCAGATAGTGCCAAAGCACATTCTCAACTCTCCCAAACTGCTGTAATTACCCTTCAATGTTGGATCCCATATGCCACTTTTCTTATCACGTTCTGAATGCTCTATGTGTATCTGATGAATAAAGAATCCAAGCCTTGCTCCCAATCTAAACGACAGCGGTCTCATTCACGCCATTAACTCCATTAACCTGTTGACTTGCTTCCATAGACGCTGCTGTAGCCTTGGCATTTTTTGTCAAACCATTTCGAATCTTGAGGACGCTGTCTACAATAACCGCATCGATGCCTTCTTGTACTTGTTGCTGCATAAAATTACTTGGTGCTCTTGCTCTTGAAGAGGGCTAAAACGTACCTGTACTTTTTCGGGATTGTTGTTCAGTGACCCGTAGCTGACACACACCAAGCCATTTTCCTTTACCACCCTTACCAACCTCGGGCTATTGCAGAAGGGCTCAGCCGAGCTAACTATGCCCAGGAGATTCCAGCGACTTGCAAAGCGAATAGCCTCTTGTAAACTACTGGCTCGAATGTCGCCAACTGGACATATGCCTCCATCTGTCAAGAACAGAACCGGAATGCTGGGCTGCTTGAAACTTAACAGCAGGCATATGTCCGGATTAAAACTGCTGAAAATGATCTTTCGCTCCTTGCCCAACTCATATACCTTTGTGAGAACCGTATCCACAAAGTTGTTGAGTTCGACGGCGGTGCTGTCCATTTCTTGCTCTTCTGTCTCGTGCAACATAGGATATTTCATCTCGATGTTGAAGCCAACATTCTCTGGGATCTTGAGAAACATTTCCTCTAAGGTCGTAAAGGGGGCTTGGATGAAATTTCCTCGCGAGTTTGCCTTAAATCCCTTTGCCTTGAAGTCGCGAGTATGTTTCATCCTCTCTGCCATGTCGTAGTCGGGAAGTTCGTGGCCAAGAGAGAGTGACCGCTGACGATCCATCCCTCGAACAACATTGAGCTTTGGATCTCTTGGTGGGGAAGGAGGTCGTGAGGCACGTGGAGTAGAATCGTTGACGTGAAGAAATTGCTCTAAGGTCAGAGTATGCACAGGTGCATCAATCCCGGTCTCGCTGACCAGGAAATCGTGATATATGACCGGAACATGATCTTTAGTGAGTTGGACATCAAACTCGACATAGTTGGCACCGAGGTTGGCCGCAGCAATGAATGATTGCAATGTATTTTCGCCAAGTTGGAGGGATTTGTTGGAGGTCGCATTCTTCCCCAATCCTCTATGCCCGATTAACATTGTTGAGGTCATCTTTCTCCAGTACGTGTGTTCAGTTGAAATTCCCATGTTCGGGTGAGAAAATGGAGTGATAACAAGAAAGTTGAAATTGACAACACCAATGACCTCGAGATCCGTGCTCATTATCGGAACACTAACATCGCCTTGTAGGTTCATCCTTTTCAAGCCAATCGCCTGCTTTATCGTGGAAAGAATCGCCACGCCGCGCCCGACTTTATGCTCGTCACTACCAGAATATGTGGGAACGATGTCGAAGTAAAGCTTCACTTTCGAAACATCCGCGGTAGTGAAGACCATCGGCTCGGTGGATATGTTATCCTGTACTGGGAGATCGATTATGGTTGGCTCTCCTTGAGCACCTTTGGCACTCACAATAACAGACAGCGCTGTATCAAGTTGGGTAGAGTGTGCTTCTGCGATTGGAATTCTATCCAGTTTAACAGCTGGAACGGCCTTCCTCATGTCCATTGACCCGAGACTGACAAGGACCATGCTTTCGTTGGTAAGATATCGGTGCCCAAAGGTTTTGACCGGTTCGGTGGTTCGAGTTGGCATCTGCGAGCGAGATGCTTCCATTGAGGACATGACTGGTGGAGATGATGCAGCCGTGCTTCCGGAGTCTTCAGATCCAGAGGCAGAGCTAGAACTCTCCACGGCTGCCACTTCTAAAACCTTGGCAATATCCATGTGCCCTCTCAAAGCAGCATGCTCTCTAGCTGTCCAACCCGAAGCGTCAGGCTTGTTGATATCCGCTCCAGCAGCAACAAGTAAGTCAACAATGGAGAGGTGCCCATCTACACAGGCAACGTGCAATGGTGTCCAAGAAAATGTCTTTTCCGTGAGTTCCAAGTCAGCTCTCTGATCTTTGGTACCTTCCAGGAGAGTCTTCGCGCAATCTTCGTTTCCGAAGCGAGCAGCAATATGTAGCGCAGAATCTCCTATCTCGTCCTGCCAATTGATATCGACTCCAGCATCCACAAGCAACTTGACAATCTGAGTGAAATTCGACTTTGTCGCAAGTGCGAGGACTGCGCTAGACTTTGAGATATCTCTTCTCATAGCCGCTTTATTGTCACTGCGCCCTTTCCAGTTTTCCCCAGTCAGGAGAGCCTGTGTTGTCAACGGATGACCTCCAATCACACTCAGATGCAAAGGTGCAAGACCTTCGTTATCTTGCCACTCCGGTGCATCGATGCCGTTCTCCACATTAAATTGGCCCCAATCTTGCATGTACTTCATGACCAGCTCACAAATTACCACGAACCCAAATTGAGCAGCGTAATGGAGAGGCAAACGTCCATACGAGTCTTCACTATTCAAAGCAGGACGTTGTTGCGGCTCCAACTGTTCCAGGACATAAGCCAAAAGCTGCACAGATTCATCGGCTAGACTCAGGAGACTGGACTCCTTCAGGCTGCTCCGGCCCGGCCCAAGAGGGGGGGATTCTGCCGGGGTGAGATAACGCAGTTCATCAGAACTCATAGACGCGACGATATCAATGGTTGAAACTCCCATCTTCGCCGATTTTGAACGTCCAATAGATATGACGAGGCGGTGGAGGCAATTACGATGGTTGATATCGTCTGCTTCGTCCAGAGATTTGATATCCTTGAGAAGGTAACCAATCGACTTATTGGATCTGCATGAAATTGACCGCTGCAACAGATTGATAAAGAGTTGCTGCATTCCTGGGTCACTTGATTCGAATTCGACCTCTGCCAAAGTCTCTTTCAATATCGGAACATCGTCATTCCTGATAGCTTGGTCCACGGTATCTAGAAGACCATTTGGCAAATTCAGAATGGATCTCGAGGACACTCTTTTGACGGAGTGGGCCGAATGAACGGACGGAGCATCGTCTTTATTCCTTGTGTTCCCCAAGTTTGAAAGCCAATCGTTGAGGTCCTTCAGCGCTGCAACGAGGGATGTACTTGTTGCGAAAGGCGTGAGGAATACCTTCGAAGCAAGGTATCGCTGCTGTGTGCAAACGTTCGGAACTTTCTTGTCCAGTTTCTTTGTAATCTTAACAAAGCCTTTCCTGTTCACTTCGCCAAACCATTGTAGCTTCCTCAGCTGGCTTCGTAGCTCCAGCAGAGCTCCCATGAGCTCGTCAATTTCATTGCGATCCAAAGCCTCCAGAGCTTGTTTTGATGTGCCATATCGATCTTCAAGTAGCTTCAATCGTCGCGAGGCATCCCCAAACTTCTTATTGTAAAATTCGTCCACATCTTCGAGATTGCGATCCAGGGAGAAGAAAAACTCTGCGAAGAACAATCAGTTTAAGTTGGTACCGTCTGTTGCAAGCAGAACTATCTTACCCGCGAGGTCGGGGTCTCTGCCAGTTTTTGCAGTAGCAGCAGCGGCCTTAATCAGCTTCTTCAACCCTTTATAATTGATATACGACGATGACCATTCCGGGATTTGGTACTGCGGGAGTCTGAAGCAATGTCATTAGCAAAAACTCGGATGGATCTGAAGGAAAGTGTCGGCCAAGGAAAAGACATACGTCCTGCCGAACTTCATCTTGGCCACGTATAATTGGACTCTCCTTGCCTCGTTTTTGCTCTCCTCCGAGGTCGAATAGAGCCGCAGAGACTGACTTCACCGCCCAAGCTCTCAGACGGAAAATCTCCCACTGTATCTCTGAGATCTTGATTCGCAGCTGGTTACTGCGCAAAAATTGAAATGGAACTTCGTTGGTCGAATAGGAGCTTGCTTGGAGAAGCCATTTATGGCAGGGTCGGTATCGTTTCAGTGCTGGGATGCGAAGATGTTTTGCGACTGCGGTGAGAGATTTATCAATTGCTGTATGTCGTACAGTGAATTGCAGGATTTAACGGGTAAGTAGAGCTTCTGCTGTCGAGAGAGATGGAGCGTGGAGGCAGAGACAGCTGCTATTGGCAGAAAAGCTGTCTCGAAAGTTCAGGGCCGTAAAAGGCGCTTAGCGTCATGCTGAGAGAATGGTCCCAGCAAAGCCCAAAATGTGGAGTTGAGAGTTTCAAGAAATCCTTGCTCGAGGCAAGAAAGCTCTTTATAGATGGATGTGGTCCCGGCTTTACGAAAGCCATAATTAAGTGCTGTCCTTTGTTCTCAAGTGAAAAGAGCCATCCATCATCACGTGAGCCGATGACAGGGGTCGGCTCTTGAAGCTCACCGCCCTGAGAGGCGGCCGCTCGGCTTTACAGATCAGCAGGTACAGAAGACCACGATAGCTTCAAAATTTCTCAGCTCCTTCGAGTCAATGTCTCTTCTTGGCCTGTCATCTGATGCGAAGGAAAAGCCGACATGAGGGGAGCTTCATCCAAAACGCAGTCAATTCGAGAGCTCAATGGTCTCCATATACATGATTCCATGTGGGATTGGCGCCGGGACCGGGCCGACTGTGATATCAACTTCAGGTTACACGACCTGGAGCTTCATCAGAAGGCGAAGGGTACTGCAGACAGATGGACCATGTGTCGAGGACGACCAAAGTAGCGTCCGTCTTCGGTGCTCGGGGCCACAAACCCGTTCTGGACCCAATCCTCGCGGGTTAGCTTCCTCCGCAGCAAAACACAGCTATTAGCTTTCCAAGGAGGTAAAACTGACTTTACCTTGTCGAAGACAATCCAGTGACCCGCAAGAAGCCGAGAACTCCATGGTAATTGTGATTTCGAGATATCAAGACAGCAGATGCTTCGACCAATTGCAACGCTCAGGGGTATCTTGAAATATCAATATCAACATCGACGCCATTTTTCCAATCCCCTACCAACCCCTTCCTCTGCCCCATACTCTACCACGACTTCCTCTTCCTCCGCCCCGACCACCGCCTCTGCCTCTTCGGCCGAAACCACCGCCTCGCCTCGCTTCAGCAGGAGCAGGACCACTTCTCATTCTCTCATCACGTTCCTCTTGTGTGGCGAAGAATTTATTCTCGATGCCAACCAGCTCACAGAATTGCCCCATTTGCGGATTGCTGTATTCCAATGGCCCGTCGTTGACGATTTCGGGACACCCAACGATGAAGGCAGGTGCTGTAAGCACGAAATTCTCTGGAATCTCCAATTTTCCCTTCTTCACAACGTTTTCGTCAATCCATAATTGCTCCTTTTCAATTAAAGGCCGATAATGATCTTCTCCTAGACTTTGAGGTAGTTTGGCACTCTTGTCCCCAAGGACCAAGTCAGAAGCGAAGACTCGAGTAATGGCTAGCCACTCCGGATCATATTCGAATTTTGGCTTTGGCCGGGAAGAGGGTGCCTCGGAAAAAGTAGATTGAGTCTCGGGCTGCGCATATGGCGTGACCTCAAGAAGTTGCAAAAACTTGCGGCTAGGTAAGCACTTATCGAGGGCAAGGAATCGAACAGTCTTGTTCGTCACATCGGGCGGCGTAGGTTGGCCAGGCTGTTGCCGTTGAGACGGAGGGGCAGGTCTTGAAAAGGTTGAAGGTAACTGAGCTCGAAGATCTTCGGGGACGGCTGATAGAGCAGGCCCACCACCAACTGGCTCGTCTTCATCTAAGCTTATTTCATCTTGGTTTTTCAAGACTGATGTACCGTTTGTTGCTACAGTCTGTTTGGGGACCGCTTCATCGTCATCTATATCAAGGTCAATTTCATCCGTATTATGAATATCTGCAGGCTCGATGGATTCTTTGGCAGTCGACCCATTTGTATCAGCAATATTGGTAGTCGAAATGTCTTTGGCTACTGTTGTATCCTCGTACGTCTTGGTTGCGGCAAACTTGCAGTGCATATGAGCAGCAAACCAGTATGGAGGTCTTAGACGATCCATAACATATGCTGCAGCTTGACTCCCCAGAGTGCCATCCTTTGATTCCTGTTCAAAGTCCGGTTTCATGTTGAATAGGGCTCTTGAATTTCCGTGATTTTCAATTGCCCTCGGCCAATCGTGGCTGATGCCAATATCCACTTGCGTCCTCAGCTGGAGCAACTTTCTCGTGTCAAGTTCTCGTACATGGTATATCGACTTGACATCATCCTCGTTGTACGGTAGTCGTTCATGATGCGGTTTGTTGAAGTTGTACCCTTTCCAGATTCCAGACATGCCAGCAATCCTAACACCACCAAGTCGGACAACATTTGCAGCTCCCATGTAGTAAATGTTTGGGGCAACCCATCCTCCGTAGTAGAGTTCCCACAAATGACTGCTTGCTTCATGGTTGCCTCCGACAAAGATTGTAAGGTAAGGAGCTTTGGCCGAACCGCCATAGTATGAATGGAAGTCACCAATCTCGCGATACTTCACGGGGCAGGACATCACAGTGAGGTCCTGAGCATTGCGAACCGCCTGGGCTTGTTAGACACAAATTCAAGAGTACAACGGAACCATGCCTGAAAGTCCCCCCCAATAATGAGCAAATCAACACCATCCCAACCTCGAACTTCGCATGATTTTTTCACGGATGCGTAAATTGCATGCAGCGTGCCATGACCCTGTTTGGAATCAGACGTGCCCATTTGATCTGGGGAAGTCACTTGAACATACACAGCCTTCAACGGCAATTCGCAAGCCGTGCGAGGCGTGGAGGACAGGCTCCATTCTGGGCTAACAGGTTTATCAAGAAGACAGAGGACTTTCATGAGGGGTCCATTGTGCGGATGGAGGTTGCTGGACTGCTGGTTGAGATGTTGTAGGCAGTTTAAGTTTTGCGCTTGGGAAAGGGTTCTTCAGCCTCGCTTGTCCCTTCCCCGCAACTTCAATTTTTATCTTACACCCTTCTCACAAAACGCGCACCCTTTTCAAACCCCTCTAACGACCGGACTCGATGGTTCAAATATGTCGTCTCCAGAATTATCGGCGCGTCTACGATACTTGAACGACTCTGCACACCTTCTAGCAAACACTGCTCCCTCAACCTCAAGACAGCTTCGATCACGGTGCGATGTACTGATGTCCGAGAACGACCTGGGCCCCTCAGACGCACATAGGCAGGATGCATGTGGGGCCTGTGGTACCATCATGGTATTGGGGTGGGCGGGCACAATGAAGACTGGACCACAGCCATCTCGACGAAGAAAACCGCGACCGGACGGCCAAGCTATTAAGCAGACGAAAGCCCTGATCTACGAGTGCAAGACCTGCCACAGAAAGACTCGATTCCCTCTCAGCGAACCACCTCCAGCCACCAGATACAAAAAAGCATCGTCAACCTCGAGATTATTGTCGACATCTCAGTCTCTTACCAAGCCCATGCCTAGCTCTTTGGTCCCAGAGGCAAGATCGAATAGCAAAAAGCGGGCGAAGGCGCGAAAACGGGGTGGATTGGAGGCTCTCTTGACCGCCAAAAAGGCAGGTCCTGAAGCTTCGGGCTTCGGACTCGATTTAATGGATTTTATGAAGAAATCGTGAAGCTGCGGAGTAGATTTCTATGTCTGGAAGAGACGTGGGACTTTTGTCGCCAACAACACGCCCGAACCATTGCAGAACCCTGGACCCTAGACTGGACTGGAACATCTACGTTGGCTTGCTCGAAAACGAGTTCACAGATATCTGATTCTGGGGGAAATCATAATATGGAATTTCTAGTCCTTGGCTTGTTAGGTCCAAACGAACAGACAATGAGGCATGACACGCAAGAGGCCAAACGAAACAAGAAATGTTGCCAGGATTTCTCCTAATTTTGTCAGGCAGGCCACATTATTCCGGGGGCGAACTCCAAATCCAATGTAAGAAAAAGAACTAAGATGCAGATATGAGCTAACAGCCCCCGAGAAAGGACAAGACCCAACTCTTGGGTATATAATATGGTTATGTGAGCACTCTAGCAAGGATAGGATCGAAGGGGTGGGAAGGCGGGAGACGGGATTAGCAGATGGGACTACTGAGAAGAAGGTTTTAGTTTGGATCATAGTGGATGTGAGCAGAGAAATATGGGATGAATATGAAACACACAGAGCTGTTCTAGACTGTCCAATCCTGACTTTAGTGAATTTCATATGGAGGTTGAGTATCCATATCTCTGCCTTGAGTGATACAAGTTGATACTTTTCTCCTTGCGCTACTCTACAATCATATCCTGAAATTTCCCCATGAACGAACTTTGTCCTTCCACAGCCTTCTTCAGCCTCGCACCCCACATCGTACTTGGCCAGTGGTTGGTCAGCCTTGCCAGGCAAAAAATATTTGAACCCCTTCGATGACAACATCCCATACATTCCTCCAAAATAAACATTACACAACAAGATGGCGACTGACTCTCAAAAAGATCCCAAGCCGGATGGAGCCGCCTTTGATGATTTCTTCGAGAGCCTAGGCAAGAAAGCAGAGCATCTCACGATCGACGAACGAAATGGCAAAAAAGACCCCGCCACCAACAGCACAGCGTCCCTGAATACCGCTCCAAAAGAGCAAGAAGATGATGAAAATGAGCTGCAAATAGTAGACGAGATTGAAAGTCTCTGTATGAACTGCCACGAGAATGTATGGGTTTCCTAATCCTCAAGTATCGACCTTTACTAACAGTTGATTTCAGGGAATTACACGCCTCCTCCTCACACGCATCCCCTTCTTCCGCGAAATAATAATAATGTCTTTCTTCTGCCCCCATTGCAACTTCAAGAACTCCGAGATCCAATCTGCAGGCGAGATCCAACAAAAAGGTTCCAGATACGAACTCCGTCTGACAGACCAGGCCGACTTTGCACGACAGGTCGTGAAGTCCGATACCTGCACCGTCAAGTTCATCGAGTTGGATATTGAGGTCCCGGCTGGGAGAGGGCAATTGACAAATGTGGAGGGACTACTCAGCATGATTCTCGAAGACCTTGAACTACAGCAGCCAGAACGCAAAAAACAGATGCCTGAAGTGTGGGCGAAGATAGAAGAGGTCGTAACCAAAGGGCGAAAGATGATTGTAGGAGAGAGCTTCCCTTTCCGTGTTGATCTCGATGATCCTGCAGGGAACTCGTGGATTGAGCCAGATCAGAAAGATGGTGTAGGAAAGTGGTCGAAAGTCGACTATGCAAGAACGCCAGAGCAAAATGAAGCATTGGGACTCGGTGCCGGGGATGAGGAAGAAACTCCAGCCGGAACAACAGGACAGCCTACAGCAGCAACCTTTGAGGATGATGATATTATTCCCAACGAAGTGTATTCTTTCCCTGCGACTTGCCCTGGATGTACCAAAAGTTGCGTGACTCATATGAAGATGGTCGAGATCCCGCATTTCAAGCAAGTGGTTATTATGAGTACTGTTTGCGATCACTGTGGTTATCGATCAAACGAAGTAAAGACTGGAGGAGAGGTCCCTGAAAAGGGAAAGAAGATCACGCTCAAAGTTGAAGGGCCTACAGATCTCGCACGAGATATATTAAAATCCGAATCTTGCGCCATGGAATGTCCGGAGCTGAATTTATCTGTCAATCCTGGCACCCTTGGAGGTAGATTCACGACAGTAGAGGGCCTGCTGACACAAGTCAGAGATGATTTGCATCAGCAGATCTTTGATGTTGGAGATGGTAGTGGTGCAGGAGGTGACTCGCTGCCTTCTGAAGCAAAGCAGACTTGGAAATCTTTCTTCGATGGTCTCAACGAGGCAATTAAAGGGGGAAGAAAATTCACGGTTGTGTTAAAAGATCCTCTGGCTAGTAGTTATGTTCAGAATCTCTGCTTGCCCGACAGTGATCCACAGATCGAGACCGAGGAGTATGAGAGGACAGCAGAGGAAGAGGAAGACTTGGGCTTGAGTGATATGAAGACAGAAGGCTATGTTGATGAAGTTGGCATTGAGAAGAGGAAGCTAGAGGAGGAGAAGACAACAGAGGAGAGTAATGGTTGATATCACTAGTCAGCAAAGGATACATGAAACAGTTGTTTGCATTGATTTCCTATTGTACAAGCCAATCGATGTGTCCAAAAGTCAAACTTTTGCACATAATGAGTATCCTAAGATGGGAGCAACAGCGCTAAAGCATGCAAAGCAGCCGAGCCTCCCATGATTCCGCGAAAGAGCGAAGATATGGAACATGAAAAGCAGCAGAGAGGCAGATTATTGCCACCGCAGCATTTTGGGTAAGAATCAGATCCGCTGTCAGTCCACGAGAAATAACGACATAAGTCTCTCATCGAGCAAGTTTTGCTTACGAGCGCTTGTCCAGACATAAAAGTTTCGTCCATGCTTCCGTCGTCAATGGCATCTCGAATATCTTTGTGAGGGAAACGTCAGTGTTGGGTCCCAGACTTAGATGCCGTAATAGCCTTTCTCCTTAAGCTTCTTAAGAGCGGTCCATTTGAAGAACAGTCTGCCTTCAGATTGAACCAGCAAATCCGGCTCAGTGATCTGAACAAATTGCTCCACATCTCCGTCCATTATTTGCGTGAAGGACATCCCATCGTGTTCAAAAGTGCGCCCGCTCTGTTGGCCAGGAACTTGAATCTTGCACGGGAGTAGGAAGACCCTCTCTTCGTACTCATTTCCATCTATCATTGTGACCCGTGCTTGCTTCTCACGTAACATTCCGCCATTCTCCATCTCCCGAGGGATAGTTCCGAAATGGCGAGGTTCAATCTCAAAGTTCTGGACAGCAAGAGCTGGCGGAGCCATCAGGCGAGTGGCTATTTGTGCTTGCAGCTGAGATATAGTAGCTCTCAAGCCAGTGATCTCTTGGGCTTGGTCTCTGTTGGCCTTTTGAAGCTTCTCAATCTTGGCGTGGCTGTCGGAAGCAAGTTTCTCCAGGGACGAAACCTCATTAACGAAATCGTCGAAACTATTGGCGACCTTTTCCGCATGTTGCACTATTGTACTCTTGCAGCGTTGTACAGAGCTGACGTTTTGGGATCCAACTCTCAATGGTTGTTCCTCAAGTCCATCGTCCAATTCAGTCGCTCCCTCATCATGATCTTGCTGCTCCTGGACAATCTTTGGAGTCTGTCGAGTGGGCTGAGGACGTCCAGCTACAGTTGGTACTTTCTTCAAGTTAGCGTCTTGCACATCGAGTCACGCAATGTTCCGGTAAGTGGGGATTTGAACTTACCTTCCGACTCGGAGATCTTCGCTAGATCGTATTCGACTTCTTTTCTGGATTCCTCGAGGTTTCCTCTGACGTATTTCTCTATGTACTTGACGTCCTTATAACTAACCAGCCGATTCTTAAAACTGACAGTGCTCTTTTCTGCGTCGGACTTGCGAACGTTGAATGTGGGGTATGTTATGCCGTTGGGCTTCAGTAGTTGGTAGGCATAAACGGGGACCTTGGGGTCTTCTTTGTGAAATCCGACGTGTATTTCCAGGGATCTGTTAGGCAATTCTTCTAGTTTCATCTCACGCCTGTCCCTCTTTGCCTCTAGGTATTCCTTGAGCCGAGCAAGCACCGTTCTTTTGTCAGCTCCATCGAGATTCCCAAGTGATAATGGAAGAAGATCCTTGTCAATGGCTATCTTATCTGAGGATACTTGAGAACCACTTGGAACTAGTATGGCCCAACGCTGAAGAACATCTGGAGGAGCGTGCTCCTTGAGCGTGTGGAATACTAATTGGTTTGAATTGTTCAATGATGTAGAAATTGGGAGTCTTGGCTCATCGATATGACAGCCAATAAGGAACCGTTCCTGCATATCGAGTTGGACTCTTTTTCGAGCTCGCTTTCTTGGGCCTTGCTCCGTCTCGCTATCGGTTGGCGAGTCAATTGAATCATGGGCTCTCTGGATGCTCTGTCGCGAGAGGACGCTGTGTGCTCTCTTCACTGGCTGACCTTGAACATCGTTGGCGAATGCGGACTTGATCCGGGGATGCGGGTTCGCATGGCTGGCAGGCAATACTGAGCTAGGGCGAGATATTTCCCTTTGGGGAGATATTGGATTTTTGGATTGGCGTTGAGCAGAACTGCCGGCACCACTGGCATCAGAAAAGTTACCAGGCGTCAAGCCATTGGAGTTCATACTAATCAAGACTCAGGTGTCAGTATATTTGTAGTCGTTCTTCTTACCATTGCTAGGAGTAGGGCTCGCATTTCTCTCCCGCTTGTGCCTCGAGTTGACTCCAATTTAGGATCACGATAGAGATCTGTTCTCTGTGCGGAAGGGAATTTATTTGGAGGCAGGGGGGTACGTACCTTCCGAGTGTCGTGTTTGTGGGTAGACCGAATGGTCGAGGAGTGTTGGGAAGGTTCGACATTGTGTCAACAGAGAAGTCTCAAACTTGCTGACTGACTCTTTCAATACATCAGAGCAGGAAACAGCGAAGGCTCTAGAGTCTCCTAAGTAACCTATATTAGATTCATTAGATAGTAGCTCATGGTTGGGGGAATAGGAAGGCATTTACGTAGTCGATGAAAAGGCGATCCGCGACGCGATGCGACTGACTCGACGCGTTGGCTTGAGCTGTTCTCGCCGCGAAAGTGCTAAGAAGACCGTGAATTGAACGCGCCAGATCTTGCTAAACCAAGAGACTCAAATTTGAGGACGCGGTACGCGCCAAGATAGAGAAACAATTCGATGGTTGCGCGAGAGACAGGTGTTGGTGGTTCAAGGAGGAAGGTTGTAGCGAGGCTGCCGGGAAGAGTTCGAGGACCTACGTAGCAGGCCTCGAAACCCGAAAGCGAGTGCACGTGGATTGCAAAGGCGAAGGGGAGGTGCTCCACGCAGAAGCTTCCTTGCACGAAGAGGAAAATAAGTGTCAAGCCTCGAATATTATGAAAGTGCAATCACACGGAAAGTGGAGGAAGAACCACAAGACAGGTGCAGAAAGCAGGCAAGAAAACAATTGCCTTTGAGCTGGACTTACCCGTCTTTCAAGTTGATAGAGATAACTCTAAATGTACAATATCTCGAGGGAACATTTATTGGAGAGCTATCTACATTGGCTAAGCTTGATCTGATTTGATAGAGTGGAGATGTATTCCTCCTACTCCCCAGAAACCACACAGAAATATCCGTCTATCCGTCTATTCTACGATAGCTATGCTTAACAAAACGGCAAAGGACCCACAAACACCAATGCAGCTTCGACGCCTCCAATCCTCAAGTCGAACTGAATGTGCAATCCCGAAGTTGTACATTGGAAGAGAAGGAGCGGGGAATATGACCCTCTTTCTCTACTTCAGGACAAGTCAACGGATATAATTGCAGAATCGCTTCTCCAATCATGCATACGGCATTCAGTCTTCCCAAGCATACTATTACTCCCTTGAAGACCAAGGCAACTGCGTTCAAGTACTTCTCTCACAGAGGCCTTCTAATGCAACAGCGCTTTCACAACCATCTTTGCCTTCTCCACCAATCCACCTCTTGCCTCACCTTATTCCATTGGTACTGCCCGTAATGCAATCCTCAACTCCCCTTCACTGTCTTCATAAGAATGTGAGCAATTTAATTCGACTCGATTTTTCGCCTCAGAAAGTCGTCTCCTTCAATTCACCTTTCTGGTGCTGTCATAACGACTTTACTTCGCAAATTCAAAGGTCACCGCCACAACACATCATTGTATCCTCATGCACAAGACAATAAACTGACTATTCGACACTTACAGACCTTTTGGGATGTTGTCTTTGAAAGGGGCTTAAACGAGATACGCTAACGACGCGAGACATTGTGTGAGTGGACACAGATCCGAGAAAAACGCACCGTGCACAATATGAACTTTGGGAACCTCCCTCCCAAGGAGGTTTGCCGAAATTATTCCGCAAGAGTTGGGGAGACTCCAGAGGCACGGTTCAGTGATTGTCAGGTGCTGTTTTACGCTGAATTATGGGCTGTTTGATTGCGCTATTACAGAGGATTGTCGACATCATCTTGCACTTTTTGTTCACCTTGCAGCTATTTGCTTTAGGTCGAGGATACTTGAGGACAAGCAGGATGGTCCACCTCAAGACAGCGATCTGGCCAGCACTTCGCGAGCTGGAGCAACTGCAGATGCCAATCTTCACATGTCGAGATGGCTTGTTGGACAGGTGTACAGAGCAATAGAGCTGCTGCGAGCACTATCGAGGCTTTGTCCAACCTTGGCAGCGAAGACAAAACGGCTGCAGGAGCAGGCTGAAGTACCAAATCATGATTCAAGACGGAAAGTGTGAATTATTTTGTAGATGTCTTTATTGACTACTACAGTCTGGTGGTAATGCTTCCAGACTATTAGTCTAAGACGCAATCTAATGCAATAAAGCACAATAGCCAGCCATGCTCATACTTCATCAAGAAGCAACATTCTTTTCTCATCCGTAAACAAAGTCCTTTGGAAACGCGCTTTGCTGCAGCGATTAATGCAATGTGCGCCAGTTACAAGAATCCAGAGCAAATAATCAAACAAGCACGATAAATCTTACAAGAGTACAATCTGGGTAAGAGGAAGAGGGGTGTACCAATCTAGCAATATCGTCAACGGATACTTTGACCACCTCAGAAGAACGACGGCTTCGTCAACACCCGGTATTCTACGTAATCCTCCCCATCAATGCTAAAAATCTGAGGCTGGCTGACAAGCTTCCCTTGGAATGGGCCGTTTTGCTTTCTCTCGTATTTGATGCCGTTGTAGTACTTGACTTCTTGTTGGTCCTGAACGTGGCCGAGGCCACCAGCATTCGGGGCCGTCGCAGCCTGTTGGGCAACCCACACCTTGTTGAGTTTCTTGAGGTTGTTCTTCAGCTCCATCTGTGCAGCCTCCTGAATAACAGCCTCGGCCATGGCAACCTCCTTTCTGGCCTTCTCATTCTGTCTCTCTCTTGCGTCGGCTTTCTCCTGTCTCATCCTCTCGGCAGTGGCATCGGCCTCAACTTGGGCTCTCGATGACATTCTGGGCTCAGATCTAGCGCTGTGACGAGTCTCCAGCATCTCCGGACCGGGCCCGCCTTGATCGACACCGTTGTTCAACCCTTCTGACGCAACAATAGCCTTCGCATCACGAACAGCTCTCAACTCGTTGGCTTTGCGCTCCTTCTCAGATTCTCTGGCCTCGATATCTCGTTGACGAATCCGGCAGTATTCCTTGACTTCGGGTCGGGTCAAGGAGGCCAAGTGGGGCTCAAGGACAACCTTGTCGTAGTGAAGCCAAAGTGCTCCAGCGCCAATGGGGAAGTTGCCATCAACATAGCGTCCATCGCGGGTGACTCGCTGGACCTTGACTCGGAAGCAGTCAGTTCCACTTAGGACACCGAAAACAGCATGCTTGTCCTCCTCACGCGGCTCATCCGAATCTGCCCAATAACCCAACAGAACACCATGTGGTTTGCCATCGCTGAAAGGGGAGGCTTTCGGAGTCTGGATATCAACAGCGTTGACAGCCTGAAAGCTTGGTGTCTTGTGAATTGCCTGGCGGGGAAGAGAATGACGACCGTTGAGTGATTGCCGACCAAGAGACTGGCGATGAGCAACAGGTTTACCTCCCGGCGATGCAGCCTCTTGCTGAGCAACAATGGCCTTTGCTTTCAAGACGGCTTTGCCATCGGCTTCTTGTCGCTCTTCGGCGGTTGCCTCTGGCTTAGTCTCTGAGCGAATCTTAACGTATTCCTTGATTTCGGCAGAACTCAGGCCCTTGAGATGCGAGTCAAAAATCACTCGCTCGAAAGTAACCCAGCATCCGCCAGCTCCAGTGGGGACATTGGCAATAAGCTCCTCTCCTTTGCGATTCATGCCATAAATTCTGGTTCGAAGCCTGTCGTGAATGTCAATGAAACCGTAGATGACATGCTTGTCAGCGTCGTCGGGTTGATCAGAGTCGCGCCAAACGCCGATGATAACTCCTCGAATTTTTTGCGACTGCTTTGAACGCTTGAGCGGAGGCTCAACGTTGGGGCTGCCTCGGGCAATTTTGCTATAATTGACTTCATCTAAGTTGTAATTGATGATGGACGTGCGCTTTCTCTTGTGGAACGGCGTGACCACCTCGCCATCTTCATCGTCTTCGCCGTTGGCAACCATCAAAGCGGACGAGTCGGCGATCTCAATGGTGGATGGAGCATCGACGACGATACCCTTTTCTGTATCTGTGCTCAGCGCGTTGTGCGCATCGTTCAATGGTGTGTCAGATCTGTAAGAGTGATTCATTTTTAGCAAGTAATCTTATGGGTTCAATTAAAGCTTAGGTAACAGGTACCCGACGGGCCAAAAAGCAACAGAGTCTAAACACGTGGCACTGGCAAGCACGCCCAACAATCCAACACCGCCCTTCGGTAACTTTTTTGATTTGGAATTTGGAAATCACGACCAAATACAGGATGCAAGGCGTTGGAAGGAGAGCGGAATAGAGGTCGCTTAGTTCCACGCGTCACTCGGATGCAAGGCGCAGTAATTGAAAATGAATGACGCGACATGTCGGGAACAGCAGAAATGAAAGGAAGCGAACTCGGGAACAACTCGTTAGAACGCAAGATCTTGTGCAGACTCGCGATGCAATGGCAATACGAGGATTGATGCGGAAGAACAGACCCCTGCCGAAGGCACTCTGCAGAGGCCCTTGACGAGGACTAAAGAACTGACTGACCTTGGTGGCGACCCCAGTGCGCTGAGAGCGTCGTTGTCCACGCTTTCGGTGCTCCCGCTCGTCAACGACTCGGAACTCGAGGACGGGGGCGGCTCCATTGGCGTGGGATGCGTGCTGAGCAGGCCAGGCAAAGGAAGAGATGCTGCTGTAGATGCGTGTGGGACGCGGGCAGAACGGAGGGACCTGAGGTGTGCAGAAGAAAGAGAAAAAGTATTTATTAGAGAAGAGAGGAGAAGTGCTGAGACGAGCGAAAGCCAGCAAGACTTATTTAAAACCGCTTAATCGTGGCGCTAAAAGGCGCTGATTCGCTCCCTCCGTATCGGGAGCTTTATCACTTTGAGTGCTGATAAGTCAGGTCTGGCGGAACTACGCACAGGCTATTATGCTTTAATTCGGCCTGCGAGCCTTTTTGTTTGCCAACCTGCACCAGCTGCACGCAACCGGCGCGCCTCGTCTCTCTCGTCTCCCAGACCTGAGGCCTTTCTAACTTTAAGCAGACCAGGCCAGCCAGCTGCCAGCTGCCAACTGCCAACTACCCAGGCGCGCCGTGCCCATGCCCAAGGCCCAAGGCCCAATAAGCCCACCCCCCGTCCCATACAATCCAGGCTGCTTTATTAATCTAACACTATTGACCATTCTCCACGCAATCCAACGAGCACTCCCTAATTGCGGGCCCCCCTCTCCCTCTCCCTCTGCCTCCTCTGCCTCTCCCACGCCCGCCTGTGCCACGCTGTGCACCCCCCACCCCTCGCTTCGCACCTTGGGAGCTGCCTCCGTCAAACCTCTCGTACATTTGTTCTTCTCCAAAAGCAGCTTCGCCTAGCTGCAAGTAGCTGATAACCCCTTGGTCATTGACGGCCAAGACCACATTTCGCCAACCATGTTTCAACCTTCCGTAACTCTTAGCATTGCCTTCCCAATCGGGATTTGGGGGGTCCCATGGCGTGCTCTCCAGCAAAGAGGTGATTTGCGTGAGGGTTGGGACAGAGCTTGAACGAGCATCGGCAATTGCAACACGGAAGTCGGGCGCTCCAGGGTTGCTCTTGGCAAAAGTCGCAAGCTTACTAGCCCTCCATAAGAAGTAGGCAACACGAAATGGCTCCTCTGGCGACGGCGCGGGTTCCGGAGGCACTACGCAAGGTTTGTGACGCGGAATGATTGCAATTTGTCGGTAGATCGTATTGTACGATCTGTACATACCTGGTCGTACCAGCGGACCGTACAAAGGGCGCTCCCTCCCCCTCTCAGCAAAACGCCCGAAAAGCCAAGTGATGAGACTTGGGGACTCTGCTGTTCGTTGAATAATGGTTGGACTGTTGTGGTCGACATCTGTGCTGGAACCCAAATCTGGCGCTCTGGCGATTGCATAGCCCGTCCGCTTGAGATTCGCATAGACAGTGTATCTTTCCAGGCTGACTTTGCCTCTCTCTCCATCCTTGCCGATCAACATAGCGTATGCAGCTTGTAAACTCATAGGCACACCGAGGTCTTCTTCTGCCTGGTCGTCCGTCTCCGTTGATTTTCGACTGCCCTGAATGCCTTCATGCACGCTCGCGAATGAGGACCTTGTAGGCCACCAAAGATCAAGATTCCCTCGCTCAACTAGATAAAGCGCCTCCTCTGGCAAGAGCCATATGCTTCCATACTTGTGACCCTGTGTAGTCTTGCCCATTGTCTTGAAGTGTGGGCCTTTCGATGATTCTACGACGACAATATGGTCCTCATCTAAGCCCCGTCTCAACTCCTCTGCGATAACTTCGTCTCGATTCAGGCCGTCCTCACCATAATAGTAGCCCCGCAAATACGCCTTTGGTGGATGAACCCTCGTATGCGATAAGGCATCATGCATTGCCTGCCTGCTTGCCTCCAAGATCCCCCCTTGATGTTTCGTGCCATGTGGTTCGAAGTCTTTCTCTCCTCGTTTCGGGAGCTTAGCAGATTTCGAGGATAAGGATGCAAGGAACCGGAAATCAGGCAGATCGTCGACTAGGTCGTTGTCATCGTTCGATTGGTCTTGTAGAGTAACCGCCGTAATATCATCATCCAAGTCCGCCATTGTGGGTTGTTTGTTGAGTTTGTGGGAGTTCGCGAACTTGGCATGAGATATTTGAATTTCTGACTCTTCTTGCAAACACAACTCAGCCTCGTGCAAGGGCCATCCGCTGCAGCCACGGCAGCCTCGCTAACGGATTCTTGGGACCACATTTTATCAATTGTTTTCATATTGAAATAAGCCGCCATCGGAGTTCGCCGGGAAGTCCTCTGTTATGCCGAGTAAATATTCCAGACCGGGTGAATTATCAGGGTGTGACAAGAGTTCGGGGGTATATCACATGTGAAATTATAAAACTAGTCACGTGAGCCGACAATGTTCTAGGTACGTGACCAAATAATTTTCGCTACTTCAGAGGCTTCATTTTATTGCCTCACAAACAAATTCCTCTTCTTTAACAATTCAATACGACGTCGATGATGTCCATCCTTTGATCAATCACGTAGTTAGAAACTCTCTGTTGATCGGGTCACTCCCCGACCCGCTCTGGTTGTACATGCCAGAGAGTGAGTAACCAAACTGAACAAGAAGCAAGCAAAGATCAATGTTGAGTCTGGGGACCGATTGCGCAGCCAACAAGACAATCACAGATTTGTCCTCGATTGCTCGAAATGATGGCCCTCACATGCTTGACGCCAATTCGCGAATCGCTAGTACCCGCTGCTATCACGCCCCGGCTGCTATTTGTCAGCACTGTTCGGGAATTGGGAAGCAGTTTAAGAAAGCCTGAGTGGGCGCATCGGGGCTCCATTTGGAATATGGCAGAGTACCATCCATCTCAGGAGCTGCAAGGGCGGTCCGGTGGCTTTCGACTCCCAGTAATGGGGCGTCCTCAACGTCAGGTTCCTCGATGCAGCTCCATGGACAAAGGTAGCCAACCCACGCAGTCTTCTTCAACATCCGTATGGCCGCTGGCGTCTTGTGGCCCCCTCCGTAGTTCGCTTTGCGAGATATCTCGTAAAAGGACTTCCAGTGGATCAGCCGGAACGGGGCTTCCGTCGAGCCACTTTCGATTGCAGCCAACAGCATCAACGAGCTTTCTTCGAAGCGGCGATGTTCATCGATATGAAATGCGCAGCTTTCGCCCAGTCCTTTAGTCGTGCAGTGATGATACGACCTTTCAGGTTACCCGTGAGAAGATCCCTCATTTGAAAAAGTCTAGAGTATCTGATCTAACCTGAGAACTTGTTGTCTGGCGATAGAAGAGCGATGCCTTCCTGGATTGTGTTGGATTCGAGGGTCTGAAAGCTCACGAGATCACCAACTCTGGGAGGACGATGGTTATCTGTGAATTTGGCGGGTACAACTAAAAGAATTTAAGTAGGTACGCAAGCCTAAGCGCTTGAATACTTACGCCAGAATAGGAATTGAAAAGCCATTCTCGAAGTAGTTGTATGCGATCTTGTCATATGGTTGACGTGGATTTGATGGTAGATACGCTTGCTGTATCTTCAATATCTATTGAAGCATTTTGCTCACTTCACTTAATAAATACAACCTTGGAGATGTAACATTGGAGACAGTTGACCTTGAAAGGTGGGAAATTGCTCTAGGGAAAGCTTCAAAGCTTCGTCCTTCGGGAGTCAGTAAGCTTAATTCCATTCTCTTCTACTTGCTCGTGTCGTACTCTTTCCTAATAAAGATATAACCACTGAAAAATGAAAGCAATTTTTGCGATATATTACTTGATACTAGATTTCAATGACATTTTGGGGAGTTTTGAGCTCTTTACAGAGTCCTTCATTTTTCTTCTAGAGTTGTGGCAGTTGAAGTTTGCGGGTGGGTTAGCTGGGGCAAAAAGAAGGCAGTCAAATATCAAATAGTAACAAACACCAAAAGATGTGAATTGAACACTGAGAGATTCGAACTCTCGCGATTTCTCACTGCGGATCGTTTTAGTAGGCTTTCACCCAACCTAAACACAGCGCCTTAACCACTCCTTCCAGGAGGTTAGAATTATTTGAATATTCGATTTGGGATGTCAAAAGTCACTTACGGCCAAGTGTCCTTTTTTCAACTTAGTCGGAAATTTTTCTTATTTTGGATTATTAAGCCCATCAGATTTTATCATTGGGTTCCAGGGGCTTTCACGTGACACACACTTCCGAAATGCCCCGTGCCCCCCCTATCATACCCCTTTGTCTTCACCTAGTTTGGAATATTTACTCCGCAAGGCTAAAAGAGTTCGGCCGGTACGCGTCGCTCCCTTAAAACCTCCGAAACATTATCACTAATGGATGCTATAGAGTGGTTGAGGTGCTGTGTTTGGGCATCCGAAAGGAACCCAAAACGTCCGAAGGGGGTACGTAAAGTCCTAAAAATCTATCTATACCTAGGCTGTAGAAATGTTTCTTTTTTTGCTATTTTCACTCGAATCAGGCAGGTTCAACACCAAAGAGCTCCAAGACAAAGAAACGAAATGGCTCCTCTCGAATTTTGCTACCTTGTCTCTTGTATAACTGTAGGACCCTAGGCAAAGACCTTTTATAATGTTCCTCTCTTAGCGAGTACTTTGAAAACCGAACGCCCTCAATTGTCCCATATGTCGTGAGTACACTGAGAACTGAATGCCGTTACTTGTTTTAAGTGTAGCAAGTACATTGCAAAGCAAATGCCTCAGATGTTCCCCTATGCATGAGGTACAATGTCCACCGAGCGCTTCCAAAAGCTCACCTCGTCAAGTGGAACTTCAAACCCAACGCATCTCAAGTGTTCCATGTGCAGCAGGTACAGTTATAACTGAAGAGTTGTTGTAAATGTTCCTTGTTCGAAAGGTACGTCGGTTTCAACTGCTCTGCAACAAACAAAACTATCATTGCATGGTAGTAAAGGCCTTCCAATTCAGTACCACACAGCGCTTACCATAGTCATCCTCGCAACACCATGCTCAAGATTCTGATTTCCTTCATAGAATGGCTTTTGCGCCAAGCATAAAACATCTAGTCTTCGGGGTCAGCGTGCAACAACGCTAGTCTTGTGGTGGAAAGAAAGTGGCGCTCATCCTTCAGATATGCCAGTCACATTGGCCGTTCAACATAACGTGGACGAGGAGGACAAGGACTTGATTGTTATAAAACTTCCGGGACACCCGAAGGGGGTAGAGTCGGAGTAGACGATAAGTCGATGGAACAGTCGGAGAAGGAGCAGCCAATGAAAAGTTCAACTGGACATGGCATATTGAGATCACACACGAATCTCGTCCCGATGACGAGTTTGACGATTTAAATTTTCTTCTCTTTCTGTTCCTCGTCTCTCCGTCTCCAGAGGACTTGGAGGTTCTGTGGCCTTTTGACTCTAAGACAAACTCTTGCTGAAGCCCTTCATAGGGGTCAGGGGACTGGAATGTTCTATAGATGAACCATGGGTATCGTGTCCGAGGTATTCAATTCAGAAAGTCCCCGATATCCTTCAGCCAGCCAGAGGATTTGCATGTATTGTAACCCTCTCAATTTTGATCTCCTCCTTCGGCCGATTCTTTTTGTCCACCTCGCTACCCTCCATTTTCGACAGTATTGCCAGGCTATCATCCCCCAAGACATGACCAAAGACTGTGTTCTTCCCATCCAGATGCGGTGCCTTTTCAAAGCATATAAAGAATTGGCTACCATTCGTCGCAGGTCCTTTGTTGGCCATACTGACAATGCCTCGAGCGTTGTGCCGCAATGAAGGTCGAATCTCGTCTTCGAAAGGTTCTTCCCAGATAGATACGCCGCCTTTCGGTTGAGAGGGAGGAGCTCCAGTTTGGATCATGAAATGCGGTATGAGGCGGTGAAAGAGAGAGCCATCGTAGTAACCCGAGGCGCAAAGGGCAAGGAAGTTCTAGAAGCTGGTAAATGATATGTTTCAAACTTGTGGGGAATATGAGATACCTACCTCTGCTGTCTTGGGCACACTCTCACAGAAGACCTCGATCTTGATGTCACCGAGATTCGTATGCAGAGTGACAGACATGGTGAACGGATGAGGTTCTCGAACGCAGCATCGTTGTTGGATGTTCAGTTGTTGTAGGGCTGAAGCTTCAAGACGGCGGGACTTTTTCCTCGCACGGCCCCCCGCAAGTTTATCAGCCCGCTAGCCAATTATTGTTGACGGTCTCCGAAAGCAGCCATCGAGTAAGCGACCATCCATGCTCTGCCTGGCCTCGACAGCCGCCCTCGAACATTCACCGCAGGCCGAGAACAAAGGACCACGGCTTCTTAGACAACGGAGCCTCATGCAATTCACGTCTTCAAACAAAGAGCTTCACTACGATCGAGCCTTGACGACTCGCTATTCCCATAGCGCTGGAGTATCAACAAACGAGCAGAGCCTTGCTTATGGTGACGACGAGCTCCCCCCAAATCAGCCCTAGCATCTCAGCATACAATATTGCAACGTCGCAACCCATATGATCCCACGGTCGCTGCAATACCGCCCGGTCTGTCGACACCGCAATCATCTTGGCGCAAACCGCGAGGTAGCGCCAGCGTGAGCCCGAGACAAGATGGCAGCCTTCGTCAGAGTCTCGGGGCCGCCAAATAGCAATTTTCTTGTTGGATATCCGGGAATCTCTGCGACTCTGGTAAGCTAGCTGTCAGAGTGGCTCTATAGCTCGTGTTTGTTAACAGAATCGCCTCCCAGCCTCGAATAGAAGGGAAGGTTGAAATCAGGCCCCTGACCGGTATATCCGCACCTGTTGCGATATCTCTCGTACGGATATGCCTCCAACGACGAGAAACGATACATCCTTCGGCGGAGTCAATCGCAAAGAAGCATTTAGGGACACCCAGAAGAGAGACAACCGATGTTGTGGGGAAAGAGTTACTATTATTCAGGTGTCCGGCTGGAAGAGAGTCAGAGAGCGTGGTGTTAATGGATCTTCCCTTCGTCCTTTTTATACCATTTGGAAGAAGGGGCGAAGAGATAAACAGGCGGATACCACCCGCGTCATTACAACTTCCAAGTCGTATAGCGGAGACATTCTATGAGTTGGTGGTGACGGTTCAACAAGGCCAGGAGCAGAAGAAGTTTGCATTTCCAGTGCCGATACAAAGATATGATACCCTGTCGACTTTCGGGATGTATAACCGACCCGAGGCTGCAGAGAAAACATCAGATCATCTAGTTACCCTCGGCATCTCATTACCACGGTGGTCCTACGGCCCTTTGGATCCTGTGAGCGTCTACATCAAGCTATCACCGAATCCGGACTGGATGAACAAGGCAAAGAAGGTCATGATACAAAAGATTACCATTGGCATAGAAGAGGAGATTACGTTTAATCCCGAGGGTGATGAACCAACGAAGAAGGTCAACCGAATAGCGAAGCATACCCAGCAAGTCGGGGTGAAGATGCCAGAGGCTGGATATTTCACAAATCTAGGTTTAGTGTTTCCTTCCAAGGAGTTGCGAGATCCAGAAGGTATTATTCGTCGAGGAAAGGCTGCATTTCCAATGTATGCGGTCAACTCTTTCACCACCACAGGGACGCTCTACAAGATTGAGTTCTTCCTGATTATTAAGGTAATATTGTCATTGATCAAATTCAAACCATAGCTAAACTCTTCAGGCGCACATGTCAGCAGCAAGAGACATTGTACTGAGGCAACCAATAGTGGTTTGTCCACTTGATCAGCAAGATTGTAAGGAGGAAATGGACGCGATAGAGCAAGCTGCTAAAGACGCTGCCCATGTGGACCCGCATAACCCCATGTTACCAGCCTGCACGATAATACGAGCGAACGATAAGGATGCATTAAGAGCATTAGGATGGACCATGGCTGGAGGGCAAAGGAAGATGGTGATCGAATGAAGAACACCATCTCACAAATATATCAGGCCGATTCTACGGAATCACATAAACGACGAATCCCTACAAACTGGACCGGTTTTGTCTCGAGGAGACACAATCTGATATCGGATCCATTGCGTCGGGGTTCCATCACGTCAAGGGAGAGGAAATATAATGCATCGGCGTCACAGGCGGAGGCGGCCGTCGTGCCATATTTGGAGCCGGTGTTTGGATAGCGCGGAAATCCAGGATAATACTGGGGCATTTCAGGGCGTTAGAACCTCTTCTTTATGTTGGAAATGGTGGATGAAACATGGCCATGAGAGTAAGACCATTGTTGTACGACATAGTTCAATTGATAATGAAAGCTACGATGATACCATCTCCGATTCCTTGCAGTGGCAGAGTTACTGGTGTTGGGTGATGTGATACGGCTGTTTATCAGGAGCTGAAAGTCCGGGTTGGGGCTGGGAACGAGATGTTCTGTGAAGCTGGCTAATTCGGAATGAGCGTCGTAATGCCTCCCAATCGGGGGGTTTGAGGCCGAAGACTACGACACCTGAAATATTTCAATAGTTTCCAGCTTCCTTCTGTATATTGTCGAATTTGTCATGTTGTCAAGATCACGTATGATTCTGGTAGCGGATCCTGATTGAGCTGGTATGTGCTTTGCTGTTCTCGTAAGCGTGCGGTGCTACTTACGACGTAAAATGTCCCACTCATGCCGAGACATTCGTAAGACATGTGTTCTTTCACTGGAACTAAGTCGTTTATAGAACTAAAACGCCTTGTAGGGCTTTCGTTTTCAAAATCAGTGCTCACCCCTGGACGAGATTTCAGATTTGGTCTGTGGCTGGAGAGCTGTCTGCAACCGATGTCGGATACAGGGGTTTTCAATACTCTCAGATCCTACAGGGCTGATTTCTCTTTTTTACTCGCTGCGACTAATACAGTTGTAAGACATCGTGACAAGGGTTGTTCAGTAACTGGTTCTACACTCTGGCGCTGCACATGTCAGCAGCAACCTACCGATGACTCTAGACTGCATCGAGGCGAGAAAAAAAGCCGACGTTCTTCAATCCAATGCAACCAATATTACCGTGATTCGCTTTGCAATCAGCCCGAAATGGGAGGTGATTGCAATTTTGAAGATCCGTTCTTGGCTGGATGGTGGGGATGGAGGGGTTATTTTACACCCACTCCCAAGTTTCTAGAGCCACGACCGCCCCGCATCTCTATCACCCCTCTATCATCTGATAAAAACGCCGACGACTTGCTTCTTCTCTTGTAAAGCCATCAAATTATACCACGAGGAGTTCCCTCTCAAACCATTGGCAGAAGCTTGAAATCAACGATAACCCCTGACAGACTCTTACCTCTCTATCTTTCTTCAACAGTTTGTTAATGACCCCATTATGGCGCCAATTTACAAGATTGCTGTCATACAACTCTATCCCAAAGTACGTACCATAGGATAGTTTTGTGATCGTCTTCAGTTCTTTCCCGTATTACTTGGTTCGAGTTGTTTCAGCTAGGGGCTTCCTATGTACCAGAACACAGTCATTCGTATCCAAGCCATGAATCCCAGATCAACCAATGTAGACAAAGGAAGCAGCTCCTCTGATACCTTCGGCTATATATGGCGTCGAATCTTGGGGCAAATCTGGCATCTCTATGTGTATCAAGCGCCTCCTTTTACTATTGATTCTGACGGCTCTCTCTCTCTTGCACTCCCACCATCGTCCCGAGTGCCGTCGAGTGTCACTGCACAGCTCCTGAGATGTTTGCTTTCTTCTCACTGTTGTTGGGCGTATCGCGCGGTCAAATATAAAGTCTATCACATTGAGCTCTTGATTGCGTACGCAAATGTTTCTCAAGTCTCGTGATCGCGAACGAGGAGGCCAATGGCTTGGAGGAAGTGACGCCTCATAACCTCCACCATTTTACAAGATGCTCGAGCTAGAATGTTATGTCCCCCAGATCTTTTACACAAAAGATAAGAACTATGTCCTTGATTTATTGATCAGCGAGTTCCCGTTGAGCTCAAATCAGCTTAGTCTAGTGACTGCAAATTGGGCATAGCCTTCGAGCCTCTCCCTGAGTCGTCATCCCCCAACTGCTCAATGTCCCGAAGCTCACCAATGTCCTAGCCCCTGGCCATAGAAGCCAACCACGCGAAAGCCGTATCCTATATACGTGGTGCAGCCTCTCAAGATTGCCATCTCGCTGTCCTCCCAGAATACCACCTCACGAACTGTTAGTGTCTGGGAAGAAATTCCTTCTATTTCTGACCTTCTAATGAACTCTACCATACAATTTCCCACTCCCTACAAATAATACCATCGAGCAATTGCTGAACTTCCCCATCCATCAGGGCTCCCCGATGACCCAAAATTTGCCTCGCTTTGTGCCCAATACCAAACATACCTCGACGCCTACTGCGTCCTCGCCGCCGAGCTCAACATCTGCATCGTCCCGGGCACCATCGTCGAAAAGCATGGCTCTTCCCTCTTGAACATAGCAACCTTCATCTCCAACGATGGCACCATCCTCGGGCAATACCAAAAGAAAAACCTCTGGCACCCTGAACGGCCTCACCTGACCTCGTCCCTCCACGACCCGCATGTGGCATTTGACACCCCGTTAGGCAAAGTCGGAATGCTGATCTGCTGGGACCTCGCCTTCCCCGAAGCATTCCGCCAACTGATAGCCGGGGGCGCGAAGATGATCATCATTCCGACGTTTTGGAATCTGAGCGATTGTACCCCGGCAGGCCTTGCGCATAACCCGCTGTCCGAGAAGCTGTTTTTGGAGAGTACGCTGGTGGCGAGAACTTTTGAGAACACGTGTATGGTTGTTTTTGCCAATACTGGGGGGCCGAGGGGCAAGGCGACGAAGGGTGCGTATGCGGGGCTGAGTCAGGTGGCGGTTCCGTTTAAGGGGGCATTGGGGAAGATGGGCGAGGAGGAGGGGATGAGTCTTGTGGAGGTTGATATGCAGATTTTGGAGGATGCGGAGGAGAATTATAAGGTAAGAGAGGATCTGGGGAAGGAGGGATGGCATTATGACTATTCTTTGACGAGGACTGCGAAAGGAGAGGGGAAGAGTAAGTTATAGTTGAAGTATTAAGTTGCCTCGAACTTTCAGGGGTGCGTGTATTGGAATTATGTTGAGTAGAATGATTCAAGCACGAGTTATACATTCTGTACCCTTGAAATCTATTCTGGTCTGCCTTAGCCAGTAGACAGACACAGTGTGATGCTTTATTTGAGCCATTGGGAGAGGTCCAAAGCCTGTACTACAGCTCATACCACACGCCCTTCCTCCTCTCTTCTCGTTGAAGGGAAGGTAATAATTGACGATTGAGTATTCTTAGCCTGCACCTAGTCACACGAGATTGGGCGATGGCTTGATTTTCAGTTGTTTTCTATTCCTCCCAATCAGGAACTTTTATAGTGGTACAGAGTATATAAGTATGGCTCCCTCGATGCTTCATGCTCCAAATACAGTCCCATACCGGCATCGCGCTGCCTGTGACTGGATTTCCAGACTCCCAACTCCAATATCAACCACTATGCACCAGATATGCCAGTCGTGCCGATGTACCAAAAAAAGGAGCCCATAAATCGGGCCTGGATTTTCGTTTCCCCGCACACATTTTTTCCCCGCACAGATAAACTCATACAATGTCAGGGAGGGGTATACCAAAATAAGGCTACGAGATCCCCCAAAATCAAGGGGATCGCATCTCGCGTGCCGCGATGGGGGATCAACGGCCCGACTCGCCGCTCAAAGCTCTCAGATAACCGTTCTTCATGATCTCCTCGAAGTTCGGGTGAACTTTGTTATGCATGCCGGCGGATTTTGCACTGAATATTTCTCCTTCACTTCTGCTCTCTCCCATGGCAACGTCTCGACCTTCCTCATTAGCTGTTGCAAGCTCGGCCAGATGTTGTAAGCCTTGAGCGGCCGTCGAAACATGCTTGCTCTCAGCGCTGCCCGGAACCCCCGCCTGCTTCCTATTGGAGATCATGTCCCGAACTGTGGAGTCCCAAGCCGAAGGAGCAATCCGATTTTCCATCAATATCTTCAAGCCGCTTTCTGCCTCGGACCTCACGCCGTCGTACTTTGATAACTTGACCAAGATCAATGTTGCAAGGATGGTAGAGTGGCAGGTCAAGGGAGTGACGAGGTTTGAATTGTGGGTGAGCTGCGTGACAATTTTCATTGCCGATGTTAAGAGGCTGGAAGGGTCTGGGTCGGCTTGTTTGAGTTCAAGGGTAATGCGGATATACCAGAAGCAAAGATGAATAAGAGGAGAGTTGAACAACGAGTCAGGCAAAACTTCGCGCCATCTTTCTAGCTCGCCGCGTAAGAGCGTACCGTAAACAGCGAAAGGGGGAACACCAAGAGATGGGATCTCTGTGGATGTCGTAGGGACGGACAAATAGTGTCCGAGGATGATGGAAAGGCCTGGATTATCAGCATAGGTATCAGCAAGAAGATAGGCGTTCTTACGAGTGAGGTGGAAAAGAGACTCCCCCAGCAAAGATTGATCCTCTGGCATCAAGACGAGCGCGTTGTCGGAAACCAAGAGGGGAGTCGACATGCCTGCAGCGTGCCATCTATCCATAATCACCAAGCTCCACCAAATTCTTCTTCCGAGTCTCTCATCTGAATCCGGGTCGTCCGTGAGTGGCGCCTTATACTCATACAGCTTCATCTCATACGCCAAGCCAACAGCATTTCCTAGCCAGACTGATTGCGAAGGCGCGGCTTGTCCTCCCGCAGCACCTGGAACTCGATTTCCTGCTTCGATCGCGAGAAGGAGCAGGATTTGTAGGTAGGCCAGATTTGTAGCAAAGGATCGCGAAGCTGGGGCCTCTAACTGAGCTGTGAACCATAGCTGCATCCCTTTCCGACTGCTTTTGTTTTCTGGAAGTGGAGTAGCCGACGGGAAAGAATTGACAGCAGAATGGAGAGCGCTGTATAGGGCATCCCTCAAAGTGACTGGATAACTGGACCACCTGCTGCTCAACCTAGCCTTAGACTGTGAAAGCAAGGGAAGGGTTGGGTGCATGATCTTGTAATAGCTGTTCAAAGTCAACATCAAGACCCTCGTTTGGGAAGCAGCGCGTTTCCATACCTGTCCACCGTCGTGTCATCCCACTCCAAAGGCGACTCGGAAGGGGCTCGATCTTGAATCGCATTTTCAAAAGCTGCACTCTGGTGGTGAGGAGGTTCCGGAGTAGTCTTCCATTGAGGAAGAGGGGCAAGACCGTTAGGGGAATATATAGGATCTCTGAAGGCTTGAGAAGTAACAGGAGGTAAAGGTGTAGCCGCAAAACCGGAGACAGGGGCAGGTAGATGACGTGGGCTTTCATGGGTAGGCCAGGCTGATACCGATCTATGAGCTAGATAAGGGGTCCCGAACTCGCTGCCGGAGACGGAGGAATATGTTCTCTTCTTGGGATGATGTTCCTGGCTAGGAGGCGGGGAGAAATCCTCTGATCCACGGCGTTGCAGAGGACTATCATGCATATAAGTCGGGACGGGCATTTCGCTTGCCTGCATTGCTCCCTCCAGTTGGCCTAGGCGATCAGCAAGTTCTTTGATGTATCTGAAGTTTGCGTCAGTGAGCTCTCCGTATATACGAATCCCCTCAGCGTACCCTTTGCTAGGTCCCCGCTTCATCGGTACTCTACTGAACTGGCAAGTTGTTCCCACACGCTTGCAGCTTGTGCACGAATCCTCGCCCGATTCAGTCGTCGCATCACACCTGATTTTCTTCCGCCGACATTCATCGCATGCCCTCGACACCTTTGATCTCTTTCTCGGTGCCATTGAGCCATCTGGAGTGCCATACTGTCCCGCCACCTCATCCACCGAGCTCTGTCTGCCTTGTACATGTGAAGCTTGGGCGTGGGAATCTTGCGGGTGGTCATACTGGTGGTTGATGCTTGCTTGACTCTGGGTCCTGTGGTCTTGGCTTTCAGACATGGCTCCACCGTGGCCAGCACTCATGTTGGGCGCAAGGCCGCGCGACAGCTGTGCGGTGATCTGAAGCTCATCGGGGTTGGGCAGGACCGACTGCTGCTGAGCGGACGAGGCGTAGAAGGGGTTGTTCCCGGTGTCACCAGCACGCTCACTGGGAGAACCATAGGACTGCATATTGGGCGCGTCGATCTGTCGGGAATTTTAACTGTTCGTCATGGGCACGGTCGCGCGGGGTTTCTGCAGGACAGCAAGTTGTCAGTGTTGAGTTGATATTGAAAGGTGACGTGCCGTACCCTACTTTGTTGTTGTGGCTCGGTAGAAAGCAGTCATGGACGGCGCATACTGCGAGCTCTCACGCCACGAATTCTGCCTCAATGGACTCACTTTCAAGACAAGCAGCCGGAGCACAGCAACGCGACCCCGGGGACACCTGTTTGGACGGCGCAGTTCGGGCTCAAATAGGGCTCGCCAGCCAGTTGGAGTCGCGGGCGCAATGGAGCTGATGGTGTTGGTGCTGTTGCTGGTGCTGGAAGGCCCGGAAGATTGTTAATGCGTGATGGTGAGGGCGGAGGTTTTGGGGGATGAGGTTGGGGTCTGTCGACGAATGAGAGAGACGCTCTTCTCGCTGGCGCAGATCTCCAAGCGAATGGCGCTAGTTGGGTTTAGTTTTAGAGCTGTTTCCTCGGCCCGTCTTGTTCCCAGCGCCGTGGTCGAGTCCGTGGTCGAGTCTTGGGCAACGGCTTGCGTTCTTGAGGCACAAGAAGGCGTTGCGGCGAGTTTGCTGATGCACAGCGCTGTGAACTCAGCTCGGGAGCAGCTGTGCCTCTGCCCTCTACCCTCTGCCTCCTCTGCTGCGGCTGGGCCGACCGCCGGGAAATTGGGCACTCGGCACTCCGTGATGCTGTGCGACGGTCGGGAACATACGAGGCGCGGCTGTGGCAGGAAATGCATGGCTGGTCGAATCGGGCAAAACCTCCTCTTCCGGGATGGGAGTCGGGCTGCTGGGAAGGAGGCTGGCGTCTGATCACGGGAAGGGAAACTCCAGCCTCTCGGAGCTTTCCAGTCGTCATTTTGATGACAATGCCTGCACCTGACGAAAATCATCGACAACCAGGTTCAGCTCCGCGACCTTGGCGGCTCGGCGCGGATTGGGCAATCGAATTCCCCCTAATTGGGTGAGGCACCCGTTCTGGCGGCCTCTTCTGGAGACGAGCACATCCCTCCAGGGCCTCCACACACCGCTTGGAATACTTCGCGGAGCTGGTTCGCCCCGTCGACTACGCCAGGCCTCTGCATGAGCCTAAAGAAACGTCCCATCCGGATCAGTATCAGTTCTGCCGTCGACAGCAGCCTGTTCTTCCGGATGAAGCCCTTTGGCTCTTCCGTGGGGGCGACGTAAATCGGCTTACTGAGAGGGCGAGGGCCCTGCACAGTGGGCCCTAGGAGAGGGCGTTTCCGGCGGGGAATTTATACTGTATCTTTCAATATCAGATTCAAATGTTTCTGGACTTGGCATCGGGAGCGTTTGTAGGGAGTATGGAGAACTGTTCTCGGCGACCCAGTAGTACCATAGTTCCGTCTGCAGGGCACCGGAGGAATTCGGACGAAGTTTTCTCCGCTGATCGAACAAGCTTTTTAGGGATAACTGGTGCGTATCAAAGCGGATGGTATGGTGTTCCGTCAGCACCATCTCGTGAGTTTCCTCGTCGAGATCTTGGTAGCGTGAAACCAACTAGCATAAGTGGGGAAAATGTTGTCCCACCACTGAAAGCCACCATCGGCCTAGCCGTCTAATATAGGTTCCGGGGCGAAGGTAGCAGTACAGCATATGCATATCATTTGACCGGAAAACATCCATGGGCATGCTCGAAAGTAGTGGCATATTAGTCAAGTAGGCCAAAGAGGCAAATCAGCAGTCAAAGATGTGGACATCGAGGTATAGGGGAATTATGTTATATGATATAATTGGACATCGAAGGGAGGCTGGGCAGTGGAGGGTTCGAGTGAAGTTTAATATTTTCATGGCAAGACTGTTGGGAGATACGGAGTACCAAGTTGAGCTTCAGGGTAGGTGGATCTTGGTTATTCATGTTAAAGTTGGACACTCAAGGGGTGGGGGTTATTGCCAGCTTGGGGGTCCGCCTTGGATTGGTTTTGACAGTGTAACGGACTTGGATGTTCAAGAAACGCAGTCGATTGAATTGTGGGTTGTTGAAAATCCATCACCGACGCCTGGAGGCTGTGAGGGGTAGAAAGGAATGTACCCATGTATACGAAATTGGAGAGTAGACAGAGGATCAACAAGATATCAGAGCTTATGTAATTTGTATTGCAATATGTAACATTTGAAATCTAGAACATCCTCAACTCTTCACATAAATCGGTACCGTGAACCAAAGAAGTCATCGAGTCGTCGGCGGATACATCCAGAAAGAGAATAATTCGTCGAAGGCCTGCTGCCTTTCCGCAAATGTTATTGAGCCCAAACATTTTCTTCAACCAATTCATTTCGACTGTTATTGATCGCGTTGGTTGCAAAATTGTTCATCCAAAAGTTATCATTCTCATCCTCAGGCGAAAGTAGTTGGAAGGCTGCTTCATCGAAGGCAGGTGACGACTGCATCATCTTGGTAGTCTCCGCATAACTAGACGTCGGGAGGCCGTGATGTACAGCGTAGCCATTTGAAGTTGGTACGCCTTTCAAAAATGCATCCACGTCAAGATCTTCCACGTTACTGCCAGCTAGCATCTGGGCCTGAGGCAGGCCAATATAAGACGACGCGGCACTAAGACGATACCCATCAATGTCTCCACCAAAATCTGAGTTGTCAAAATCCGATCCATATTGGTTGGTCAGCAATGTTGGTCGAGTCCCATTGGTGTCTCCCAAGCCGAAGTCTTCAACTTCCGAGATCTCACCAGAGGTAGATGTGGTGGTGAGGGCTGGCTGATCTATGCTGCTGAAGTCGAACCCGGCGAAGGAGGGAGCTTGGCTGTATGAAGAGGCCGCAAAGTTTTCGTTGTTGAAGTCGAGGCCGTCATAATGAGACCAATCGATCGAAGCCGAGGATAAGCCTGCGGAAAACATGGGCTGCTCGTGGTCTGGAATACTCGAGAAACCGTCCACGTTTTGCATAAAATTGCAATCCCCGGTAATGTTGGAGAAGTCCAGGGGTGGAAGGAGACCGTTCAATTGATCTAGGGTCGATGATGGGCTCAAGAGGGGCGACCCATGCTCAGACTTGACCTTCCGCTGCTCTTGCTGAGCACTCACCATCGAGTCCTTGATATGAGACTCACTGTGCAAGGCATCGATGGTACTGGTGTGCGGTAAGTTGTCCACAGACCTGTTAGCCATCCCAGAAGGCGACGGTCCATGAATTGAGTGCGCTCTTGGTACTACGTAAGGAAGACCGCATTTGTGAGCCATGTTGTTGTGCTTATGTACGGGTTTATGATGGCCGTTAGTGAATATGGTCAAGCCGCCCTCAGAATTGGCTGTCAGGGCTCGAGGTCTGCGTTTCTCATTGCTTGGGGTTGAAGAGGAGGAGGCTTCGTCGGAGTCGGATTCTGGCACAGGATCCAAGTGCTCTTTCTTGAGGGCACAGGAGCAACGGCCCCCGTGGCTGCAACAGCAGTTGTCTGCTGTATTAATGATCAGAAACTGCTGCTGTGATGCCTCAGATATCCCGTGAAAAGCTCACCCTGTGTATCGCCTTCTTGAGGGCAAGCTCCTTTTGAGTGTGCCTTCTCGCCGCCGCAGTCGCAACGAACATGGGCGGAACGAGACTTGCGGAGGGTTCGACAATGAGTGCACTGCGATACGGGACGACCCTGCGCAAGGTAGGTGAGCATGATACCACTGGAGAGATGGAGAGGCATACCTTTTTATTGATGTGCTGCAATGGCCTATCGGAGTGCTGGCAGTTGCTAACACGATGGCCTCTTACACATGCCTCGCAGGCATACTTCTCGCCCTTGATCAACATCTTGACTCGACTCGACTTGAGGGTGATGTTGGAGAGAACGGAGAATGGGTGGCGAGGTGCCGGACGACCGTAAACGGCCGACGCGGTCTACCAAAAGAAATAAAGCACCTTCAAGATGTAAGATTTTTGAATTGTGGGGGCAGCCACGAGGACTGCAGAGTCGAGAAATGGAGTCGCAGAAGGTAGAACAGAACAATGGATATATAATCGAGGATATGAACGCTGCAGCCGTGGTATATGCCAATTACTCCAAATCGAGATCCAACGCCAGAGATGCCTGAGAAGCCAGAGGAAAGAGGACGACGAGGAGGAGAGGATAGGAGATGAGAGGAGCGAGGAGGAACGCCTTGCACCGTAACGGCGCCGGCTGGAGGAGCGGGACACCGACTGCCGGTATGGGCGACCAAAACAGGAGGGGATTCCCTTTGTCTCTGCACGTTGAAAGAGGACTGTGAACAGTCGGCAAAGTGGGCGACGGGTTTGGAATTATACGTGGAATACGGTGGCCGAATGGGCGGGGCAGGGCAAGACGCCTGGGAGGGCAGCTCGGTGTGCGCCTTGGCCTGGTGGCTCGAGGGGGGGAGGGGGGGGGGTGGAGGGGGTTTGGAGCTGTGGAGCTGGAGCTGGAGCTGGTGCTGGTGCTGGTGCTGGAACTGCTGCTGGTGTGTGTGTGGGTGGCCGAACGAGGTCGGGAGGGCGGTCGGCGGTCGCTGGTTTCGAGCACCTTGCGACAGGGGGCTGTGAGGAAAAAAAAGGGAGGAAGCCTGCAGCTACGGGCGGCCGCACGGCTCGAGTCGCAGATTCGTTCGTAGATTCGCGGATTGTCAGGATTTCAGATTTTCAGATTTTCAGATTTTCAGTATTTCCTTTCCACACCGGCCTCAGCCTGCACGATGCAGCGACCTCCCTCCCTCTCCGACTTCGATGCTGCACGCCTGGACAGTGGGGTGCAGACAGCGCCAGCGGGAACGGACGTGAAAGTTTTCCGCCAGCAAGCAAGCAAGCAAGCAGGCAGGCGAGAGGCAAGCAGGCAAGCAAGAAAGCGAGGCAGGCCACAAATAATTTGATCTGCATGCGGGACCAGCGCTTCTGCTTTTTATGGGCCAACGCGATGCGCCCACCGATTTGACGGTACTACTGTACAGTACTGTACTATTTTGCCATTTACGAGCCGACCGTCTCACTACACTTGTAATCCCACACAAATTACAACCGAGAGGGCAACCCCCAAATCCGGGCGGCCAGCAGAGATCTCGGGAGAAGGACGGGCAGAGCAGGGTGGCGCAACTGCACCCAGTCCCAGTTGCCTGCCCTCTCCTGTGCCATCAGCAGCAGCAGCAGCATCAGCAGCCTTGGTAAAATGCACCGTCTGAGACGAATGATCCGGATCAAGCACTTGACCGTGATCCAAGCAAGCCCCAAGAACAACACGCCTCCGCTGCACCATCCACGCACGACTCAGCCCCAAAGCGTTGCCCGATCGATTACCGTCCTTCCCAACCAGGTTCTCCAGGATCAACGCCGGCTTGATACTCCGTGTGAATCCAGGCACTCGCCAGCGGCCAGTGTCAACGCTGCCCTCGAGTCTCGATCCTCTCCCATGGAGCAATAACCCTTTTAGTGCAAATCACAGTTACCAGACTTCCAACTCCCGAGGTCAGGCCCTCTTGCTCGAGAATGAATGGTCGAATCCACCGTTATCCGTAACCCCCAACCTTCGACAACTGCATGGACGCTTTGTGCAGTCCATCTGGCTGGGATCGCATCGACAATTTGACGGAGAATGCTCAGCAAGCGCCTGCAGCATGCACGGCTAGGCTGGCACCCTTTGGAGCTTGCTGCATCCAACACCAAAAACTCGAGAGTCGAGACAGATCAGATTCACAAGGAATCCAGAGATGGCCGCCCCCCGGGGATTCGGAGGCCGCTGGCGGTTCCAGCCGTGCTGTGCTGTGCCATTGCTGCTGCTGCCGCTGCCTCGCCTCTCGCCTCTCGCCTGAACTTTCTGAACTTCCTGAAGATGCTGTTTTTCTTACCTACTACTCAAGCCACGGATATCCTTCACCCCAACGGCCCAAGATTTGCCCCACGTGCGGCCTCGCAAAGGACGACTGGACGACGATGCTCCAAACCCAGATTTTTCCAAGCGCGTCATGATCATGATCATGATCATCTGCCTCCCCAAACCCCACAGCCCACTAAACTCGAGAATTATACGGGTCCTCCAGACTGTAACACAAGATTGCAATTTGCAACCCATCTGTTATGTCAGAGGATGTTACTGATTATTACACTTTTTCCGGCCGGTAGGTGCAACACAGGGTTACCTCTCACCTTGCCCCTACATTGCCCCTCCAGAGCCTCCACCAACCAGCGAGTCGCGCTCGCTTTTCTCGATGTGCCATCACAGTCGCGGCATCTGCCAGAAGGACGCCAGTCCAGCGCCTGTAGAGTCATGCCGTGGACAAGCCAGGGCTAATGTGCACTGATCGCGAGCGCAAGCGGCAACACATAGAGTGCTATCTCGGAATAGGGCTGTCTGGCACCAAAGCTCAGCAGTGAGCACCCCCACACCTTCCCACTGACTATCGTCGATTGACAACCCGGCGCTCTGTCTTTCTCCAGCGGAATGACTTATTACCTGCATCTGAAGCTAATGAGATCCCCACGCTTGACACTTCACATTCACCGCCAGAAAGAGATTTCATTTGCGCAGGGCGGACGGCAGTCAAATGGCATAAATCCCTCATATCACGTGATGAACACTTCCCCTTCTCATGCTCGCCGTCGACCGGAATACTGCCGGTTTGAACGTAATGAGTTTTATTCCGGAGAGGTCATGAGTATCAAGATAAAGAAAGGCCCTACATATTAACAAGGGAAGCCAAGCATCTACCGACTTTTTAGGAGCAGCGATCCCCAGCCCTAGATGAGCAACTACTCCGTATATTTGTTCCGGCCAGAGGGTTGGGACGGTCAGTCTTTCATCCATGGAAGATCGCGCTGACTTGCCAAGTTCCTTCTGTCTTGGATTTCAAGATATTGAGAAAATTGATGAAAAGAAGCCGGAGTAGCGTCCGGGTGAGATGATGGCAAGAGAGGCTCTTCATAGTTGAGGGCCAGACCTGTGGAATTCTGATATCGTCCGTCCGAGATAAGCGTTTCGATACGTCGTATCACATGACCACCCTATTACACGTCGTTTTAAGCATCCGTCATGGTAATGCTTCCTACCATATCAAAAGATCCTCATAGAAGAAGCAGTCATGAGTACTCCCCAAGCGTAGACGCTCACATGATCTGCTCCGCGGGGGACAACGAGCTGCTTTGGGAGAGTCACAGGTTTTGGGAACATCAGAACGTAGGACAATCAATTTGCCTAATCATTGATTGCATTTGCTATTGTGGTATCTATCTAGTCCTCCATTCGCTATCATCCACCGCCGGCGCAAGTCCGTCGAGACCAAGGTCCATCATTACTTCCTGATCCGTTTCTCCAAGTTTCCTCTCTTTACTCCACAACCCCTCTTTCTTAATTGACCTTCTTGTTCTTCCCCGGTGCTGCAGTAATCGGGCGACCGTTTCGTTGTTGATAAACTCCATACAAGAACAGAGCGGCAACAATTCCCCCAATAACGACAATGTTGCCTGCAATCGCGGTATTAGTAAAGGGCCCAACGGTGGGGAGGCGTAACTTACTCAAAAAGAACTTCACCAAACCCTCAAATGTCTGCGCCAGACCAGATACCATGATACCAACAGCAGCGAAAGCGGTCGAGATAATATCCCAGATGGTGCTGACCAGAGATTGGAAGACGGCCAGGATTGAGCTCAGGACAGCGGTGATGGCACCGAAGATCGAAGAGATGAAGCTGCCAAGGGAGTCGATGAGGGAAGGCATGATCGCGGTGGGTTTGTTTGTGAGGTTCCTGGTTTGGTGTCTGAATTGTGGTCAATGTCAAGAAGGAGGCGGAAGGATGATGGACTAGACCCACGACTTAGGATTTGAATCTCAAGATATCTGCTCTCAAGTTCGAAGCTGATGTTTCTGACGTTGGTATCGATTCACTTGCTGGCAAGCACGAGAGGCAAGAGATGTGGCTGTGAATTTATGCCCCATACGTTTCCATGTCGAGCACTTTCGGATGACCTCACAATGCTCACATGCTGGGCAACCCAATCACAATCGTGAGATCTTCAACGTCAGCCCTATCAAGCCCCTGTCACTTTCATCCCGATGCGGTTGCGTCACCGGCAAAAGCAAATCGTATCCATTGGTTCCTTGATACCGGTTCCCAGTGACGAACTATATGACATGACATTTCGCAGAGGACGAGTTCACACGTCAATAATACCTGAAACGGCCATGCTGCTGCCATTGAATTTTGACATTTCGATGAGGTCGGAGGTTCCTCCATCGATCATTAGCACTCGTCAGTGGCGGTTTTTGAACAGGGGCGCTGTGGGCACGGTCACCCCGCATCGATCCGAAAAGCTTGGCATATCCACAGTGTCAAGATGAAAACTTGACCGCTTGGGAATGGCTTCGTTTTGGTGATTCGAGTGTCTAAAGCCACCACATTTCATATTTTGGACAGCAATTTGCAATCTGGGCCGAGGTCTTCGCAGATGTGCTGTCCCGGCTAGAACCCGCCACTTTCCTTCTCTCTTCAATGAATTTTCGTGCTTCTCTTGAGATCGGTTCAGGGCGTGTTTATTGTTCTCTCAAGGTCGACTGAGCCTACAACCCGCTTCGAAGCCCTTCACGCACCATCGAGGGGGAATTTACCCTGTCTCTAGAACCTATATACCGAGGACCGTTCTGCCTCTGTCCAGAAATGCCGCCAAACTCCTCGCCCATTCCAAAGAACTGGCCTCCTACTCTCCCCTTCCTAACCACACCATCCTATTCTCCAACCACCACACCCTCCCTCCTCGCCTCCCTACGATCGCGTCCAAAAGATGCCCTCTCCACCCCAGCAAATACGCCCAAAAGGCCCTCTCTCGTCAAAATCACGCCAATCACCACGCCTTCTCACCCAGCAAATGGACAGCACGGACTCTTCGCGAGCAGAGATCTGAAACCAGGGACTTTCATCTTGCAATACTTGGGCGAAATCCATGCTGCGGTGGGAAGGGGAGAGCATGGAGAGCATGGAGAAGAGAAGGACCCGCACGCTGATTCGGACTATGATTTGAGTCTTGATAGGGAGATGGGGATTGGTATTGATGCAGATAGGAAGGGGAATGAGGCGAGGTTTATCAATGATTACAGAGGGATCGCCGAGAAGCCGAATGCGGAGTTTAAGGAGTTGTGGGATGAGAAGAGCGGAGAGAGGGGCATGGGTGTTTGGGTTCTGCCTGAGGGCAGGAGTGGGAAGGGGAAGGGGATTAGGAAGGGTGAGGAGATTTTGGTGAGTTATGGAAGGGGGTTTTGGGGGGCGAGGAGGGGGGCGAGGAGGGGGGAGGGAGGGTGAAGGTGGTTTAAGATGGATTATTGCATGATGAAGAGTCGCGGAAATCAGGGCATTTTGAAGCTCTCACTGGGTGACCGCAGCAGCAGGCAACTCGTCGAGTCTGTATTCGTGAACCAAGACCACATCATCGTCACGACAACTTCCAATTCTCGTCCACCGAATTAGACCCTAACACCACCTTCTCAACATTCACAAATCGCCCGCCAAAAACTGCGCCCTGCCCATGCCAAATCTTCAATCTTCCTTCTCATTCTTCGAACAACTTATAATCAAATCCATCTCGGGCACGCTACAGTCCCTCTCCAGCTTCCTCTGTACTCCGCATACAGCGTATTCGCTATTGCCTTGGCCAAAGGAAGATGCTGAGGCACTGAACAGCACTGCGCCTGTCAAACTGTTGTATAGCTACCCAACTTGGAAATTGCCTGCTCCTGAACCGGAGGACAGCGCTCATCCAGAGTGTGAGGAGTTGAAATCTGTTACATACATACGAGCGATCAACGGAGTGGATTATTCATGTCTCCCAGCAGCAGAACATCAAGAAGTCATTAAACCTGCTCCGACCCCTAGAGAAAAAAGACTGGCTCGCACATACAGTTCAATCCATTCAAGCCGCTAGGATTCACTTTCTGGATTCAGGAGAGAATGCTCGGATATGGACTTCTGAGGCCTATGCCTGGACAACCCCATTGGCCGAGGTGCACAATTACCCTCACTTCAACTACCACGCTTAGCAAAGCATCCTCAGCGCAGATGATCTTGCTGAAATAGAAAGATGGAATGAGACTAGGGAAGTAGCCCGTGATTCGAGGAGGTTAGGTCCATTATTAGCGCAGCATAGGAAGGAAATGGAGGACTACAGGATTTAGTCTCAACACAGTCGTCTCGAATATGTATCTTGGAATTTCTGTCATGTCAACATCATCCACACAACCGAAGACATGTTGTTTAACTTCTCCGGGGCTGTACCACGGTGTTGGTGTTTTCGATTTGCGTCGTCGGTTCTTTCCAGTTCTTCGGCCGATTCTTGTCTATATAGATTTTCAAGCAGTATTGTTCAAGCTTCCCAATCTCTCCTTGGGGATTGGCATTGCTTCTCAAAAAAAGACCTGTTAATTTTCTTTGGAAGGATTAAAGAGATAATTATGGCATTGCCAAACGAACAATGGAAAATATGGCAAGTTGAAGAAAAAAAAACAGTTGCTGAACAAAGAAAACGAAGAAGATAAAGTCATTGTTCTAAGAACAATGAGCCGCCGGAATGTCATATTGATCGTTCTCGCTTTGCCTCAAGATCAGCAGTAATCAATCATACAGCCGCTCATCCCAAAATTTCCAGAACAACACCATCATCATTATGTCCTATATTAACTATGACACCGAATCACTCTTGGGCATTAGCGTGGCTGAAAGCGGAAGCACACCGTGCTACTCTGAAGACAGTCAGCCACGGATCTGCTTCGATGAGTATTGCACTTTTCCGATGGGAAACATGTGTAAGGCTTGTAGGCTAGATCGTGTCGTTCGAAAAAAGAGAGTCAGGAAACATTCGAGAGTCCAACGAGCCAGAGAATGGGTTCACGAAATTAACGTCCAAAAATACATCACGAATTACAGCGGCGAGGTGTTCCTCGGTGGGGCTGTGGATCGTGATGAACTTGAAGAGAATGATGGGCACAATGGAGGTCTCGATTCCGACGGGGGTGAAGCTGAATATGAAGAAGTCCAATCTTATGGATCGGATGAAGAAGACGATTGCTATGATTCAGACGAAATAATCCAAGCAAATGAGGCTGAACAAGAGAAACATCCCGGTCTCTGTGATCTCATACCAAAGTCGTTCGGGTCTGATTGGGACACTCATCCCAAACTTTCATCGAACTCCGAAAGAACATCTTCATTGACAATAGTCTCTTCTAGGCTATCCATTCGCTCTGATCTAAGTGCACATCTGGAACTGTGGGTGTCCGATATTTTCGATCGTACGCTCGAAGGACAGATGAAAGACACTATCTTCATTGGAGGCGCGGAGGACGACCGGATACTCTGTCCCTTATGCCGAAATCCCATAGGTGATCCCAAATACCAGCATTTGCTCCAATGTCAATTTGCCCAGGATGAGCAAGAACGGATGAGAGTAATGTGGAGAAGGTAGAGGAAGAGGCCTGTCAATTTTCAGTAGCAGTGCCCATTAATATGAACCTTTCACACCACACCATGTATCATGCTTCATAACTTGAAATCCTAGAAACCATAGGATTCAAATCAGAAAGATCGTCAATGAAATTTGAGCTGCAAGGTGATGATGCTTGCACACCGCCAAAAGGAAACGCCTGACTAAACAACAAATATGCGGGTCAATCTCCGATGCCAATAAGAACACATCCCTCGGGCCTAATCTTGCAATCATCCTCTCGTCCCATCGGTATTCTGAAGACTTCATCTGCAACAGAGCACTTGCTTGTGACCATGAGAGTTTGGTGTCTAGAGGTAAGAAGTCTGATGAGCCGGTGCCGCCCTATCGCGCACCTTTGACACGAACCCCCTAATCGGCATGTGATTGGCTGCAACCGCGACGCACAATTGGCTTCGCGATTACTTGATCTTGAACCTCGTTGGTGACTCCCCTCTTCACTAACCATTGACCGCAGCAATTCTTCCAGGTACCTGTTTGAAACCCATTCAGATCGATTAATCTACCGTACCTTCGTTGAAGAATCCGAAGTTCACATAGCAACCACTTCCTCAGCTCTCACCGCCGTCGCATAAGCTCAACGAACAATTACCTCGCAATCGCCTGGCAGCCCTCGACGAACCTCCGTTCTTTCCTTCTCTTTCTTCTTCAGGAATCTTCCTGCACTTCGCCACACCTTTAAAAACGCCGTGTCCCACTGAGGTCACAGCGAGGTGTACTTTGAAGTGACTGGCAGATTCCTTGCCACCTTCGCGACACATGAGCAATCTTCTCTGGCGATACTACCATAATGGGGAAGTCGATAGATTTCGGCACCTCCTTTCAAATGGGAGTCATAGTACCCAATATACACCGAAGAACTATGGGGCAGGGCTGGGGGCGCATACCGTATGTGGATCCGTAGGAAGCCCCAGTGGATTTGCGACCTCTCCCAGAGCTGTGGTGAAGGGTAGGAAAGTCTCTGGTCAAGCGGGAAACTTTGGCGCCGGAAAAGTAGGCAATTCCGGACTGGGTCGAGCAGAGGTCAACAGTAGAGACCATGCCGGACTTACTATACTTCACCGAGCTGTGTCCTCACCGTCTGAAAGTGCGATAAGCTTCGCCATAGCACTCCTCGAGCATCCTACTATCGATTTGTACATTCAAGATACGGAGAATGGATGGACTGCTTTGCACAGAGCTTTATACTTCGGGAATATCACGATGGCTCATGCTATTATCGAGAAAGATATTCGGGATCCAGGCAGCCAAGGAAGCTCTGTGATTAAGGTCAAAGATTACGAAGGGAACAGCCCATTTGACGTTTATAATGCGACGATTGCAAGGCGTAATCTTCAACTCACTGGTGACGGGACAGAATCTGATGATGGTTCCAACGATGACACTGAATTCGTCCAAGCTGAGTCTTGCTCCGATCCGAATTCAATGCAGACTTCGATCGATGGTGATGAGGTCTTCACCTGGGGTAGTAGTCGCAACCATGGACTGGGCTTTAAGGATCAGGATGATCGACAGCATCCAGAGAAAATTACCCTGAGGCGGCCGGATCACCTACTCTTCCGGTTCTATCGAGAGCATCTAGAATCCAACGGTGCTGCGAACTCAGCAAATGATACTTCGTTGTCATTGCCAAAATCGGTGTCGGAACTTCCGACTCTCATCGCAAATCGACCTATTATCATCCAAGACGTTGCTCTCTCAAAGCTGCATAGCGCCATATTGACCACCGATCCAGAATCCAATTTATACATATGTGGATTTGGTCCAGGTGGACGATTAGGGACGCGGGATGAGATGACTAGGTTTTCCTACGTTCCTATCGAGGGAGGTGCACTCGCTGGTAAAAAGGTAACGAAAATTGCACTTGGGCAAAATCATTCTTTGGCCGTAACGTCCGAAGGATCGCTCTTGTCCTGGGGAACCAATACGTTTGGTCAACTAGGTTACACTTTGCCTCGACCAGCGCTGAAGGATGAAGAGCCCATCTGTGCTACACCACGTCAAATTTTCGGTCCTCTGAAGAGAGAATTTATCGTAGGAGCAGCTGCATCAGCTCTACACTCTGTTGCTCATACGTCAACGTCTCTGTTCACGTGGGGAAAGAATGAAGGCCAGCTTGGGTTGATGGACTCAGACTCGCGCAGTCTTGAGGTGCAGAGCGTTCCTCGAAAGGTTGCAGCATCTCTGTTCAAAGCCTCCATCACTATGGTCTCAGCTATAAACTCAGCAACAATTGTCCTTTTGGCGAACCATACGGTCTGCGTATTCACACATTACGGTTACAACATCGTCAAATTTCCATTAGACGAAGGCTTTACGAACTATCACCTGAAGAGTAATCCTCTGACCACGAGGTATGATACGGTATCCAACCATATTTCCCAGGTCACGGCTGGGGGAGACACAATAGCGGCGATATCGACCAGGGGCGACTTATACACTTTGACTGTTCGAAAGCATGATAACACCTCGGCGACAAGCACCACCAATCCGTCCAAAATTAAGGATTCGCTATCTACTCCGGAACGAGTTTGGGCCCTCCGAAAAGGTAATTGGGATGGCATCAAATCAGCCGGCATTACCGAAAATGGGTCCGTAATAGTGTGTACACAGGCAGGTGCCGTTTGGCATCGAGTCAAGAGAGCAAAGATCAAGGATGCATTTACAGGGTCAAGGTCGTTCAATCGTAAAGACTTCAAGTTTCAGCGTATTCCGGGTCTCACCAAGGTAGCCGCTATACGCAGCACCGCATTTGGGGTTTATGCTGCGATTCGAAAGGACTGCGACGTGACAAAGACCCAGATTGCAGTGGAGCAACGAAGTCTCTGGGAGGACATCGCTCCTCTGCTTAGTCTTCGAGGCTTGGAGGCATCTAAGCCACTTCTCGACGACGAAGATACAGAAACTCCCAGATCCTGGACGCCAGTGCTGCCAAAGGACCTGTTTGACCCCATGAAACGCGCTGTTCTTACGTCTCCAGATCTTGACGCTGATATTGCCCGCCATTTACTTGGCCAAGACCTGGACGGCTATGACATTGATATCTGCACGACGACTTCGGATGTGAGGATTCCAACTCATGGCTTTATTCTTGCTAGAAGTCCAGTCATGAGAAACGCATTGAGCCAATTTCGTCGGTCTGGGGCTGCTTCCATTCCAGATGTCCTCTCAATTAGCAGTGGCTCTGTTGAAGGCCGCACAGAAATTGGCGCAGGCGACCCAAAGCCAAGGATCATGTTTCAAGGCTTGGATCTCATTGTTGTCGTGAATTTGATCATATATCTGTACGAAGATACTATCATTGATGTCTGGCATTTCACTCGGCACTGTCCGAGCATGGCTTTCAGATACCGCCAGGTACGAATTGAGCTCATGAAGACTGCAGGTCATCTCAAGTTGAACAAGCTAGAGGCGGCTGTGCGTCTCATGACTGAGCCTGAAAGGCAGTTGAATGTTGATCTCAACCGAGCTACGCATGATCCAAGATTCTTTGACGATGGAGATGCTATTATTGAGCTAGACGGTTCAGAGCTGCGGGTCCATAGCGCCCTTCTTTGCCAGAGATGCCCATTCTTCGAGGGTATGTTCAATGGTCGGGCTGCTGGTCAATGGCTAGCTAGTCGACGCGAAGACATCTCGGAGGCTGTCCGAATCGATTTGAAGCACATTGAACCGGAAACCTTCAGGCTCGTCCTACGCTTCCTGTATGCCGATGTTGGTCCGGAACTTTTCGATGATGTGGTTTCCGCTGATATCGACGAGTTCTCTGAACTCCTTCTGGATGTTATGGCGGCTAGCAATGAGTTGATGCTGAACCGACTGTCACAGATCTGTCAACAAGTGATTGGTCGTTTTGGTAAGTCTCTTTGATTGTGTTACGCATCTTTCAGTGCCATAAAGTGCTAACCATCGCCCAGTCAGTACTCGTAACGTGTGCAGCCTACTCAATGTTATTTCTCCTTGCTCTGTGAAGCTGTTTAAAGACTCGGCTCTCGAATATGTTTGCTTGCAATTGGAATCGATGTTAGAGAATCACCTACTCAACGACTTGGATGAGGAGCTTCTCTTGGAACTCAGCAATGTTGTCCGTGCGAACCAACTCAATTGCCTTCCGTTTGCAAAGAGCGGCAGAGCTGAGCTTCTCCTACACGAGCGACATCCCAGTTTAGCGGAAGACATCCACGAGGAGAAACAGCGCCGACTACGAGACATGACTTTCAGGGCAAACCTCAAGGATGATGACAGTCGATTATCGTCTTCGTTCCGCACCCGAGTTGGAAGCCTTGACGATATGATGTCCTTCTCTCCTAGCCAAGACAAGGCAGGGCGAAAGTCAAAAGCTGCTCGGAATGCACCGTTTAGCCCTAGTATTAGGCCGAAGGACTCTACGGTTGATTTGATGTTTGACATGGATGACGAAGATCCCCTGGGAAGTCCCAAGTCTCCCCTCCTGAACGCTACCACAGAAGTGGCATCTCCTCATCAGACGGATTCTACAGGTCCTAAGCTTCCTTGGAATGAGCTGGAGTCCCGATCGGTCCCTGATCAGGAGCTTTCGTTGCCCTTTTCAAATACGCCAGGGTTGGGCATTCAGAACATGCCTGAGAATGCACCTCCAAGTACCAAAACATGGTCGTCGCCAGCACTGCCGTCATCGAAGTTGGATATGCGGGAGATCATGGCCCAGGCCTCCTCGACCAGGATTTCAGCCTTGTCGATGAGTCTCTCTGCCCAGAAGAGCAAGGAGGCAGCTGCAAGTAAGCAATCGACACCCAAGCTCTCTCAGAAGGAGCGCAAGAAACAGCAGCAACAAGCTATGCGGTTATCAATGAATCAACCTCGAATAGAGCTATTTGATCACAAGGTCGACGGCAAGACATCGTCTCCTTGGCAAGTAGCAAGTTCTGGACCAAAGATGTCGCTTAAGGATGTCCTGAACCAGCCCATACATTCATCACCACCTGTTCACAACAAGAACCTGGGCCCTCCGATTCCGTCTAAACCCATGACAACTCGGCGAACAGCTTCTCCAGACACTCGATTTTCCGGGCAAAATCGCAGTGCCAGCAACAAAAACATTACCAAAATGCAACCGCGATCAGTTGGACCATCCAAGGCCGCAACTCCTCCCCCTTCGTCAAAATCTATGCCAATTATTCCACATTCGAAGAGTTACACTCAGCCTGCTGGAAAAGCGGAGCCATCCCTTCAACTATCCATGGCTGATATCATCGGCCAGCAGCGGAGAGAACAAGAAGTGGTTCGCGAGGCCGTCGCCAAGCGAAGCCTGCAGGAGATTCAAGAGGAACAAGCGTTTCAAGAGTGGTGGGATCAGGAGAGCAGAAGAGCCCAAGAAGAAGAGGCTGCAAAAGCAAATAATAGTACTTCTAGTTTACGCAGAGGAGGAAAGACGCGTGGTGGGTCGAGAGGCAAAAGTGGGGGTAGAGAGCGGGGAGGCAGAGGAAGAGGGGATGACAGGGCGGGCCGGGGTCGTGGGAGGGGTCAAGAGAAGACTTCGAATGTAATGCAATGATCGTTTATACGCTTACATACTGGGCAGGCGTTTTAAGAGGGGATGGCATGAAGCTCAGCACATGATCGCGAGCAGGCGTTTATTCCAATACAGTAATTCATCGGAGTTTTGCTCATCTGAAAGTTACTGAATAAGTTACTGGCAGCTGCTGCACAAATCAGATCAGGACATTGATTCTCAGACGTAAATTGTCTTCGCTATATCGACGATGGTCATGCGTATCTCACGTGCTGTACTCTGTAGCACTCGAGTCATTGGCAGCATTACGCTAGCTGATCGCGTTATCCATGAGTCTCGATACCCCGAGAATGACAAAAGTCGAAAATACAGGAAAAGATCCTATCTTTGAGCCACGGTACAGTATATTAGGGACTTACCCCTCAGATAGGCTGGCACGTAGGACTAGTACCATGGCATCCATCCAGACCTCACTTACACCTAAAGCAAAACTCGGCATTGCAACAAAATCCGGGATTGGAGAAGGCTAATAGCAATGAACGGTTAATGGCCAGAGCGAGACTTCACGGTCTACGAGATTGGGCTGCGAAAATCGGAACAACCTGGGCCGTCACATGCTTCTACATGCTTCAGAGTCCTGAGTTGTTCGGCTCACGTACACAACAGGCACGCGGTCAGGTTGGTGTGGCAGCCATCAAGAAAGTGCACCAAGTCTTATCGTGATGAATGACTAAGCCGCTGAAACAATGGGTTGATTGACGGGAGCAGCTTCAAAGCTCATATCTCTGCATACCACGCCTTTACACTTTTGTTTGCTTGTCAATTCCGCAGAGAGGGTTGCCAACTCCAAGCATCCCAGCCTCAATTGCATCCCCAGCCTCGATCAAGGTCAGGCCAGGCTTCGTGGTTCCGTCCGCCATAAGCGCTGCGATCACGAGGCGGTTTCTGGAGCATGACTCTCGACATCTGAGCTTCCTCGTCACACGAAAATTGCCTTTTGCAAAGCCCGCCATCATCACCTCGTAGCAAAATCGCAACAGCGACCTTCGACATCTTGCATTGTATCTTCTCGACTCCACGATCACTGTCAGCGCCTTCTCAACAAAATGCCCCGTGCCTGAGTTGCCTTCTCTAGGCCCCAGCTACCCCAGTTGTCAACCTGATTGGGCTCACCGGAAGGAACCTACCATCCCCCACCACTGGTGCAGTCCTTTCGGCACATAGAAGTGCAAGACCAATTTCAAATTGTGACTAGACTACGATGGATGTCCAAATAATGTGGTATCTTTTAGGGTTCGACAACTAGCCTTACGACAGCTGCCGTTGAGCTTCTGGGAGGACGGGATTCTTGCATATACTAGCAGACCGTCCCACAACTCTACAACGACAGCTTTCTCAGACTCGACGGACACGTCAATAAGATTCACAAAATGCATCAGCATCCCAGGCCACCGCCAGTAACGGCTTCCCCAGCCTCATCGCCTCGAACGAACCCAACCAGAACCAACAACCCAAGAGAAGAAGGCTCCAGCCCGCATACAAGATCAACATCCGATATGCCTGGGTATAACGACGCTGATGAAGGTAGTGGGGATAGTGGGGTTATACAATCTGGTGGTCCAAGTAAGGATGCTGTCAAGAAATTGGATCAGATTATACAGGTATTGCAAATCACCACTACGGATATTCCAAAGTCTTCGAAAAACTAATTTGTTCTTCGACAGAACTTCCACACTAAAGCTGCTGTTGTGGTCCTACAATCTCGAGTTTCCCTACCTGTGGTCATCTTAAAGGACGGTTCCAAGAAAGTCAACAAATGGGTAAGCCTTGCAAATACTCCACCTCCAAAAGAGGAAGCCTAATGCTAACTGTTGGCACAGTTTCAAATTGAGACCGACGACACAACGTCCTTTCGAGAAGAGTTGAGTCAGTGGCGGACTTGCGGCAGCTTCCAGAATCGACCACCACCCCTCCTAATCGAAACATACCTCGACACCTCCGAATTAACAAATAGCCAGAGTCTTGTTATCCTGGATGATGAAGGGAAGCGATGGGATGTATTGGAGGCACTCAATTCCAGCGGATCGAGTGATGGAGGTTCTCGTCTGCGAAGACGAAATAAGGAAGTAATATTGGAGCGTTGGAGAATCGAACTCAAAGATAGTCCAGGGGAACGGGCATACGACTTTGGTACATCACTGCCAACAGTCTACAAGAAGTGCATTGTCTTCTTTCGCTCGTTGTATGCGACCACCAAATTTGTGCCAACCTGGAGATTTGTAAAGAACTTGGCGAAAACTGGATCAGCGAACAGTTCCCTGCGGATCAACTGTCGAATCTTGAACAACGACGTTCAGCCCAGTCGATTTGATGCGCTTACTCACCCTCTTTATGAGACTGGAGGTCCTGTCACAACCGACTATTTCCTGGGATCGACAGACACTCCAGTGGGACAATTCTGCGCCGAAGTCGTGTATCGAAATGATTGTAACTTCCGTGTTGATGACTCTGAAGCCCTTCTAAGCTCGAGATTTATGGGAGCAGATGAGCACTTTTTCCAGCCTTCGTTAGGGATAACGACTGATAACCGACGCCAATCATCACGGGCCGTTGAAGTTGGCTCTTTACCAGCACACCGGCAGCAAACCGAAGACTCCGAGCCAATTCAAGCTTATGGCAGCTTGTCAACATTTCATGGCGACGCACCTCCAAGGGGTTCCAGCCCCATCTCCGCCCTTCGAGCAGCCAAAACCATGGGATCAGAGACGAATTCTCCACCCATGGGCTCCGTACCTAAATCTAGACCCATACAGACCTCTAGAGCTTCTTTGATCTCATTAGAAGGTATCAATATGGCAAGAAGGCCATCTGTATCATTTCAGCCTTTCAAAGCTGGGTCCCTTTCCTCCTCTCCTGGCCGTAGCACTCCGTTACATCACGCCAGTGATATGCTTCCACCTCAGTCACCACAATCGCTTCCTCGAACCTCTGGTATTAGTACTCTAGCTCAAGCCCGGAACCGCTCGTCTCTCACAGCTGGCATGCCAGCGTCTTTAAGGGGTGGCCCGCTCGCGCCAGATAATGTAGTCTCGTCCTCTGCATCAAGTTCACCGAAACCTGCTCCTATAAATCGTTATAGCAGCAGCTTTACCCACCGCCGGGGGCGGTCTTCGTTTGGCGGCACAAGCAAGATTGTCGACGATGATCAACATAGCAGCGGCAAGCAAAGCTTATCTTCGTCCTCTGCACAACCTGGTTCTGGTATCCTCGCCGAAGCAGGTACCGGGGCAAGTTCAGGATCTCTGCAGACTGATGATGACAATATCTCAGAGTTCCTGAAGCTGCTGGATAGTAAGAAGACTCTGCAAAGTTTCGAGCAGTCGGGAGAAGCGTCTGCCAAGCGGACAAGTGCACAGCTCTCGAAATTCCAGTCAATGCGTGACTCCAACAATGCGTTGACCGAATCGATGTCATCTTCTACGTTGTTACATCGGTCTTCAAGCTCATCAAGTCGACAACTATCTAGTGTCCCGCCAATGGTTGCGGCTACATCGATGTCGGCATCATCGTCGCCTGGAAAGCCTGTATCACCTCACACTCCGCACACGCCCGCCGTGCCTTCACGTCTGAGTGCAAATTCTATTGCAGAGTATTCAGAGCCTCGCAGATTGCCTCATCGCAGCAGGACAGCTGCTGATGCGGCCCTTGAGGATGTTGCTGACGATGATGCCCCATCGAACGAGCTTGGTACTAATGCAATCGATATCCCGACATCTCCGAGGACATACTTCCCACATGCTCGGCGATCAAGCTCTGTTGCTCAGCAACACAGGTCTCTCGCCGTTGAGGATGATCTGGGGGACCTGCCATTTGGCATTCATCGGAGTATCAGTTTGGGAGCCGATGACCGCGAGCCACCTAGTTTGAGTGCACTACTTGGGCCGGGTCACACCACCGAGAATGTGGCTTCTACATCGTCACCCTCCCAACGTGGTCTCCGACCAGCTCCCCATATCTCGGAGACTCCGATGTCCCTTGAGGCACATGAGTCAGAACCTCAGCAAGTATCGCGTGTGCTCTCTGCTGGCTCTATGAACTCACCGTACCGCCCGAGACTGGGGAGAACTGGAGGACGTGGTGTAACTCCTCCGCAAACAGGCTCTAACTCCAGCTTGATAGAAAGAGGAAGTGGCAGTGGTAGTGAGAGGGCAAGTGGCAGATACAGCTTTACGAGACCGGCGGGCACATACGAAGCTGATGACGAACCACTGCTCTTCCAAATGAGTGAGATAGGAAGAGACAACTCGGGACGAAGAAGTCTTGAGGAGCCCAGGGGAGGGGGGAATATAGGCCCCACCGAACGAGGAGGATTTGAGCCTAGGGGAGGGGAGTCGGGCTCGAGTAGCAGAAGGGGCAGCCGACGCTGGTAAGAGTATTCAAATCCTGCGAGCAGGTTCGAGTCGATCAGACAGGCATCCTCGAAATACGTTCACCATTGATGCATTATACGCCATTTACGATTTCCTCAAATTCGCAGGAGCGCAGACGACCTTTTTGTTTGTCACTGGATCATGGAGTCTGGGGAACAAACCGTTCCGGCGGCATTTTACGTTCTTTGTTTTTGGCGCATCCGAGGATAGGATGGCATGCATTTGGGCATTAGGGACATTTATAAATTGAATTGGATTGAAGGATTTGATATCCGGAGTTCCAGAGGTTGTATAGGAGAATATTGAGATAAATGAGATGAGATAATGCACATTTTCGATGAGTAGATTCGTGATACAAGTCGTGAGCTTGTCGAACTTCTTTTTCGTGCTTTCATGGTTGAATACGGGTTTCGATACTAGTACCCCTCAAAGCAGAGTCGCATTTGGCGTCGAGCATGCGCCCCTCACATCAACAATCTCGGTCAAAAAGGGGCACTCGGCTAATGCAATACTTCGCAGTATTGCCTTAAAGACTTGTCCTCCTCGTCCGTAAGCTTCTTATTCTGCCCCCCCCTATCCTTATATGTGGTTTGTAGGTCTTCCGTGAGAGCGGGCGATTAAAAGGTTATAGTCGACATAATAGTACCTTGCAGCTTGCGGAAAGGTATTGATTTGACTAGTACGGATAGCTTTGAGAGCTTTGCTATATTCGTCTTTCGACGCTTGCAGAAGGGGTAGGCATTTTTGATCAAATCTATCGCGGAGAAATGGGTTAAGGTCACTTTGTAATAGTAATGCAGGCAATTTCCATCAAACAACTTGTGTTTCGCTGAAATTTGCTTATCGGCGTACCTCGCCTATTTTTAGGGAAATAGGTGAAATTGGTGGAAACCTCGCGATTAATGAGTATTGCTTCTTAAATGTTGGTGAATTTGTTGAAGTGAGTGGCCTTAGAAAAGATACTCAGCCCTGAAGCTTTGAGATTTGGTTGATATGGAAGAGAGAAAATGCAAGGGGATAAGTGGGTTTCAATGCGCGGCTGCTCCCGTTTTGGCGTGCGGTAGCGCCTATAATATAATACTCAAAGAGGGTCAGGACTTTGTCTATTCAGGCTAACGCCAAATCTCTAAAGCTCCGTCGCTATCTTTGATGGCCGATTTTCATGCCCCTCTTTCTCTTGGAAAACACTCTTCGTCTTTCCGACAATTTTCTTACCACACGAAGCTGATAACAACGCTTTTTGTTCCTAAGCACAATATTTACTTCGGGAAAGTCGCTTTTCCGGCAGCGCGACTCGCAGCAAGAGCGCCAGAAAGGGCGAACTGGGACGCAAAACCGTTGATGCGGTGAGTGGCATTCAGATTCTTGACCACGACCATCTGGAAGCAGGTAGCACTGCCCTGACGCGAGGCGATAGTGGACCAGGCTAGGAAGAGTTCCCAGATACGGTACCAGCGCGAGCCGTACTTGGCCTTGATGGTCTCGGCATTGCCGAGCCAGTTGCGATACCAGCGCCAGATGGTGCCCGAGTAATGGACGCCGACCGTATCGATGCTGGGGTTGGGATTAGTATGTATAACGAGTTCGTGTTGTTACTTGTGCTCACCTCTTGATCTCCCATCCGGCGCTCTCAAGACAGCCAACGTAATTAGCAAGCGGGGTTGAGGCGTCGGCGCCAGGAAAGATGTATTTGTTCAAGAAAAGCCCCCAGATGAAGTCCTCATATTGCCACGCCTTACGCAGACCAGAGAGCTGGACATACATGGCGCCGTCGTCCTCAAGCATATCATAGCACTGGCGGAAGAAGGTCGTAAGTCTGCGAATGCCCACATGCTCACCCATCTCGAGCTGAGAGATTTTGTTAAATTTTCGCGTCGGTATGTCACGGTAGTCCATACACAAGAGGTTGCTTTGGCTCTCGGGGATACCCGCGCGGCGGAGAGCGTCATTTCCCCAGGCGGCCTGGTTATGGGCAAGGGTAGCACCAGTGACGTGGGCACCGTAGTTGACGCTGGCGAACTTGGCGAGGGTGCCCCAGCCACAGCCGATGTCTAAAAGTGATTCTCCCTCCTTGAGAGCGAGCTTCTCACAGACGATGGCCATCTTGTTGTCCTGCATCTCCTCCAGCGTCTCTTCGCGGGTGGGATCGGAGAAGATGCCGCTCGTGTAGACCATGCGGGGGCCGAGAAACCACGAGTAATGGTCGTTGCCACGATCGTAATTGGGGCGGATCTGCTCCTCGTCCTGCTTGCGCGAGTGGAAGAGCACATCTGGGAAGAAGGTGAAGAGGATGAAATGGAAGAGAGCCCGTGTGAAGGAGAAGTTGGCCCAGTCATGGCGGTACTCCATAATATCGAGGCAGTCGCCATTGAACTCCACGTCACCGTCGAAGTACATCTCGTAGAATGTCTTCATTGGGATCTTGTTATGGCCCCTCCATCGCTGGCGGTCTTCTTCCTTCTTGAAAGTTATGTAGTGCTCGACGGGGCGGCCGGGGAGCTTGACTTTGTCGTTGATGTTTGGCGAGTAGGCCGAAGTTATGGTCCAGAAGCCGATCAAAATGGGCAGGAAGAAGACCAGAACGAAAAAGATGGTGGTCTTGAAGCCGCCACCGAGGCTGCGAGAGACAATGGTCGGGACGCCGAGCACCAGAGCTCCGAGGAGGTAATTCGAGAAGGACTCAGAGCCGGGTCCCTCGGCGGGTAGGGGAGCATTATGGATGGCGGGAAACTTAAGTAGGCGTTAGTTTGGGTGAGTAAGTAGCCAATTGGTGTCAATTGATGTCAATTGACGTGGTACAGGGAGCTCAATGGAGCTCAATGGGACTCACAGTGGTGACTTGGACGCCACAGTCCTCGCCCGTCGCAAATTTTGAGGGCACAGCTACGGGAGTCGCGATGAAGGTGATATCGCCCTCGAGCTCCTCGCCCTGGCGTTTCTGCGAAGACATGATTGTTGTGGCGGTTTATTGAAACCTTCTCAGCTCTTGGGTCGGTGTTGTGAGCTATCTTGAAGTATTCGTAAGTTTTTGCGGGTGAGGAAATTACGGGTACGATTAAAATGGCAGCGATTCGCATAAAATTTTCAGTGCATACGGAGGTAAATTTACATCCCATAAAGATAGTAATAGCACTAGCAAGGGAACCCCTAGGCTGGAGAAGGACTTGACTTAATCGGGTATTAAATCCCTCATTCGGCTTGTTTTGTTTACTCACTTTGGCAAGGCGACATTGAAAAGTGTACGTGCGCAAGAAACCCTTGCTAGTGCTACGAGTATTACTATCTTTATGGGCTGTACCTCTGTAATTTAGCCACGTACTACTACCTAGTCTCAATTAAGCTTAGTTTTGGTCCGAGCCTTACCGCTAGCTAGTATCAAATATTAGCCAATTATATAAGTTATGGGCAAAGCATTACTAAAGGTCGAGGCATTCTTCCCTTCTTTGCTCTCTAGCTTAGTATTTTCAATACATGAGATTCATTGAACTTTGAGCCTTCGACCATTGCATTGATCCTGCCGTCACAGCTAGCGTAAGTCGAATCTGTCGAGTTTCTACAATACTGTACTATTCGTTAGCACTGCCGTTCCGTAGGGCTTAGGAGCGAAGCGAGAGCAATGTGGAGGCCCGTGCCCTTGACCGCTATCTAACGCCGACGACCTGCTGTGCTGTTCTTCTTAGTCAATATAAATGGCGAAGGCATTCAGCCCTCAGAGCTCTAGCCATAATGGCTGAAAACCAATAGGTAAGGTAGGGTGAGCGATGGTAGGTAGAGAGGTCTGATCTGTCCCCTCCAGGGCATTGCCTGGGATACTGTAACGACAAGGGGAAAGGAGTCAGGCTAACCCTCGGAACCACAAGCAACCAACCAGATACTACTGTATTGCTTACAACTGATCGAATCAGGGAACGGAAGCTTTTGAATCTACGAAATCTAGCTCTAACGGGTCTCAACCGGGCGATGTTAATACTCACACCTTTTACTACTGGATAGAGGAAGTCCAACGTCTATGAAGCCGATAAGTACAACACCGGAGATCCAAATGGATGGAAAAACAAGTCAGGAGCCATCTCACCCATCTCGACACCTATAACCACTCGTATTTCACCTTCTCACTCATTTCCCATTCACCGATACACCCATCCTCGCAATCATCTTTTCACACAGAGCCACCAAGCTCACTGCATTCATCACCTCCAAGGTGGTTAGCTCTACCCCTATCGTCCCCCGAACCCAATTCCTCAACTCCACCGCTGCCAGCGAGTCCATGCCGTAGGCGCCGAGCGGCCGCGCCGGGTCCATGGGACTGTTTAGACTCAGCAGCTTGGAAAACTGGGCTGACATGGCCGCCACTCCAGCTGAGAGGAGTACTGTAGGATCAGGACTCGAGGACTGGGCGACAAGGAGGAAGCTCTGGACTTCTTTGTCCTTTTGCGTAGCCGCAGTGTTTTGTGTGCTAGCTTGAGAGGATGTGTGCAGACCAGAGAAGCGCACGTCGTTCAAAAGCGGGCTGTCTGCGGGCTGCGGCACTTTGATGCCCGTGATCAACTGTGTCTCCCCGGTGTTGCTCAACCGCTGCTCCGGATCGCTCAGCTGCTGCAAAAGAGCATAGTCGAGGATCCGTCGCAACAGGATCCCGTTAATACCCTTCCAAAACCTATCGTCGAATCTGCCCTGGAGACTCTCGTTCTCGTTAATCACACCAACATCCTCGACCGGTCCCAAGTTGACGCTGATGGCTGGCAAGCCTAGTCCACGTCGGTAAGCAGCAAGAGCGTCCTGGAACACGTTGCCGCCGGCGTAGTTGGCTTGCCCTTTCAGGCCGACGAGGCCGGATACAGACGACAGTGTAACAAAGGAGGTTATCGGTTGCCGGGTTTCGAGGGAGACAGTATGGAGGTTCCAAGTTCCTTGCACTTTGCATGCGAGAGCTTCAGTAAATTCGGCATGGGACATGGAGGCAAAAGTACGGTCCTAGAACTCAGTCAGAATAGCAGGGGATGGGAGCTGGGAGAACTTCAACCCACTCTGAGGACCATTGCACCCTGAATAATGCCTCCAATCGGGACGCAGACCTCGCTAAAACAGCGCTGCAAGTCTTGAACGCTCGTCACATCACCCTGAAGCAAGTCGACAGTGCATCCCAAGGCACATATGTTGCGGACAGCAGACTTGGACACTGCATCTTGATGCCCACTGCGTGACATGATAGCCAGATGCTTGGCTCCTTGCCGCGCGAGATGAACCGCGAGACTTCCACAAACCCCTTTCAACCCACCAACAATAAATATAGCGCGTTCTCGCTGCAGAAGCAGGCCAAGGTCCCGTTTGGCTGGCCGAACCTGAAGGTTATCAGCGCTCTGCCTAGGAAGCCATGTTCGTTGATAAGGACTCTATACTTACCGGTACAATAATTCTGGTATCTGGGCCATTCGATATGACTACCTTTCCGATCTGGCTTCCAGTTCGGAGGAGTTGCAGGGCGGCGGGAACTTCATGATAGCCAAAATCTCTCCGTGGCGTGATGGGTCTGACATGACCGCCGCGGACAAGCACAGAAAGCTCGTTGAGAACTCTGGAAACCTAGTCAGTGATCCTGTCCATGATTTGTGTAGCAAGAAATGATTGGAGCGGATACTCACATGCCAATTACGTCCAGTGGCAAAGTACTGAGATCCAAGCTGCGGAAGGAACGGTTGTGTGAAAATGGATCCATGGGCAACCAATTTCGGTCAAGAATGTCTCTTTTCCCGATCTCAACCATAGTTCCACCGGGCGCGAGTAGGGACCAACTCTCGTGCAGCAGTTCGCCTGTCAGCGAGTTCATGACGACGTCGACGCCATAACCTTGAGTTGCGTCGCGGATACTACGCCCGAATGATGTGGAGCGCGAGGAAAAGATGCGATTGTCCGGAATCCCAAATACTTGCTTCAAAAATTCTCTTTTCTCCGTGTTTCCGACAGTGACAAACAGGTTGCAGTCAAGACGTTGACATAGCTGGATACAGGCCACCCCGATGCCACCCGCAGCCGAGTGTATCAGGACACGCTGCCGTCGCTGCAAATTAGCCAGGTGGTAGAGGCCATAGATACTGGTGCCAAACACGACGGGGAGAGTGGCTGCTTCCTCAAATGTCATAAAATCCGGTATGGGAACAGTAGCCTTGAATGAAGCAGTAATTCTGTTAGCATAGCAACCGTTGCGAAGAACTGCGACTCGCTGGCCAATACGGCGGTCCTGCACAGCATCACCCGAGCGAACCACAACCCCAGCACCGTCAAGTCCGAGCCGCTTCTGGTCCTCAGGAACGATACCCATGGCTACAGCAACATCCTTAAAGTTGCAACCCGACGCAAAGATTTCGACTTCAACTTCGTCGGGCCCCAATACTGGCGGCTTCCCGTCTCCGACCTCGACAAATGCCAGCGAGTCAAGGGTGCCGAGCTTTTCTGAGACAAGGCGAACAGTTGACTTGCAAGCATGCAAATCCATCTCGACAGGTGGGCGGCCGGCTGAGCTGTCCTCACTGCTGGCTCGGTTTACGGCCTCGTCAGGCCAGATGCGGCTGACATACAGAAGCCCACGCCGCTCAACATATTCGCATTCGGACGATGCTAAAGATGGCGAGTGAAAATCACGTAGAACTCGGCCCATGGCCGCGATAGTCTGCGGCAAGGTCTTAATTGTGCTGGACTCGATGTCCAGGGTCACCAGACGAAGTTGCGGCTCCTCACCGCGGATGGTGCGGAAGACACCGTGACAGACGGCATTGAGGGGCGAATCGACCGTCTTCTGTGAGCCCCTCGTCACCCAAAGAAGGTTGCATTCTCGCTGGATGATGGTCTGGATAGCTATCCATTGGGTCGCCGTCGCCGTCGCCAGTATAGGCTGACAGAGCTCGCCAAGCACCAGGACAATCGACTTGGAACTCAGTCGAGAGAGCGAGGGGTCATCTTGCAGATGCAGCTCGGAAAGATCCCAACCCTGGCTACGTAGGCGTGCACCTACCTCTGAAATAATGTCGTCTGGCGGGGAAAGGTGTAGCAGGACGATGGATGTACCTTTCGTCTCTTTCCAGGCCGGATGCGCGATGGCGGCTTCCGCGATGATGGATCCAGCTGCCGTGTGCCTGATTTTGGCAAACCGGTGACGCTCCCAAATGCCCGTGGCTGTGCTTTTCGAGTTCGACTCGGGGTCAGGCCCAGTTGGAGTTCGGTGTCCATTCATCATAGCATTGCAATTCCCGTTGCTTTCTGGCTCCACATCGGCTTCTGACTTGTCTTCTCCCGCAATTCCGTCTGTACCATGCCCATGGCCGTTCAGAAGATTAGGACGTTCGACTTGATGCACGATCAAGCTTCCACCATCCGCCACTAGACCGCGCAGATTACTGGCGATCCGCTCCAGTGCAGAGGTCGAAAGATGCGGGGCCTTGACCAACACAAGGTCAAGATTGGCCAGCTCTTCTGGCTGCGAAAAATCGTCGCTGCGAGGGTTGAGAACGAGAAAGTTGACATTCGGCGGTTTTGTGTACAGGTCTTTGGCGGCACTCACATCGTCTGCGTGATCACAGGCGAGGTGAAACTCACTGAAAGCGCCGCGGATCGAATGATCACTTGCAGGTCTGGACAGCCAGAGGCTTTCCCCTTCACCAGGAACGAGGTTGAGCTCGAGGACTCTCAGGTTCGGCTTCTTGTGGGCCACAAGATCTAGCAACTCTTGGATCTCGATTTCGGGATCGGCTCCAACGCTACCCAGTGCTCGCTGCAGCCTCTCACTGTTGTCCAAGTGAGACCAATCAGACTTCCAAGACAGCCGACTGTACGTGTGAGACTGATGGACACTCTTGTCCACGTCCAGTGGGGTGAAGACGAGGCCCTTGAGTTCCATGATGAAATCACCACTGAGAGGATCAAAGACGGATGCATTGGACAGAAGCTTCCTGGATTCTTCGGGAATGCCCACGCTCTGAAACTCGCATATGCCGATAGAAAGTGCTTCATTTGAGTTCCATGTTCGGCCCGACACGGTAAGTTGATCAATTCTGGCTGGAAGCAGCACGCCCTCCACGTTCTCGTGGCTTCCGTGATAATGCGCGGGAAATACAGCCTGCACGAGGCCATCCATACATGCGGGATGGAGCGGGTACTCGGACTGTGGTTCCCACTTTGAGGATGGCGGTAGCAGAGAAACGATGGACCGCGAGTACGATTGGCCTTCCGTAGCCTCGACAGACAGAATCTGTTGAAAGTCGGGTCCCCATATCTGTCCAACGTCCGCCATTGCCTTGTACCAAAGCTTTCCCGGCGATGGGTGTTTTAGCGGCAAAGAACCTGCATTTTGAGGTGTACTGGGCAACGGCGCATGCTTGTTCAGTACTAGTCGTATCAGGCCTTCGCTATTCTCAGACCACTGATCCGGAACAATGGCTGAAGACGTAGATGACGATTCTGAAGCTATTCGCGACATGACCTTGTACTCCCACCAGCCGACGCCAACTTTTGTCACGGGCGTCAGAGCCAACGTCAAAGATGCAGCAACGCCGTCTTCAAGCACCAGACCGCGCGGAAACCGCACGTCTTTTAGCGTATAGTGATAGTTGCGATTCTCTAGATCTGGCACGTCTTCTGGGCCAGCTGTTGCCCACATCATCTGACGAACAGCTTCCAATGCCATGGCCATATAGCCGGCCGCGGGGAAAAGGATCTCTGACCCAACCCTGTGATCTCTCAACCAAGGCAGGTCGTCAAGGCGTAGGGTCTTGTGCCACGAAGGGGACTGCCAAAGTGTCCCCAGCACCTTGTCGCCAAGTAGATCATGCTGCGGGAACTTTTTGAATCTATAATCCAAACTAGCGAAACTTTCATGCCAATAACGCGTCGAGTGTTTCCATGGGTAGTTGGGCAAGTCCACAATAAGTGCCGGATATGCTCTGTTCGATTTGGTCTCGTCGGTATTGACCCTTTCAAGGGATATGCTGGTATCGTGCAGAAAGAGCTGACCCGCCACGTTGAAGAGCGTATCCACCCCTTCCTCGCCTCTCCTCGCGGCGGACGTGTAGGCAGCATTTTCAACTCCTGCTTCCTTCATAATCTGGGATATAGGACCCGAGAGGGTATTGCTCGGTCCAATCTCGATGACAATGCTTGGTTCTCGACACTCCTCAGTGAGTACCCTCTTGCATGCACCTGCAAACCTAACAGGCGACGTGATGTTCGTTCTCCAGTAGGCCGCATCACAACTACCCGTCCCAGAAATAGGCTTTTCCGTGACTGATGAAATCATGATTGGCCGTCCAACGCCTACCTTAGGTTCGACGTCAGGGGCCAGGCGGCCATGGCCCAGCAGCAGACTCTCGCACCGTTCCGCTATGGCAACCATGTTCCGAGAATGGTATGCCAGTTCGACCTGCAGCTTCCGGGCGAAATGTCCATCCGCCTTGATAGTCTCACTTAGGTCGGACAGAAGCTCCGCAGGCCCGGAAAGCGTCACACTAGACGGGCTGTTATAGCAAGCTATGGACACCTCGCCAGTGAAACTGCCCAACTTCAAGTACGGCTGGATGGCTTCGGGAGCTAGACCTACGGCCAGCATACCCATTCTTCGGACGGGGTGAAACTCTTTGGCTGACAGTCCCCGGAGATAAGCTCCCAGAATCGCCTGTGCTGGTGTCAAGAGCCCTGCGCAGCATGCCGCAGCAACTTCTCCTGAGGAGTGCCCTACAACAAAATCGGCCTGTACATTCCAAGAATCAAGCACAGCCAGTATGGCGAGCTGCAAAGCCAACGACAATGGCTGGGAGAACTCGGGCTGTCTGAGGTGATCGCCTGAGCGAGGCTCCGTGAGCTCCTCGAGCAGCGACCACTTGGGCCTCAGATATTCTGGCAGTTGCTGCAGGACATCGTTGAGCTCCTGTATACAGCGCTTGGCCGTCTTGGGGAACATCCGAAGAAGCTCGGCACCCATTTGCGGCCATTGTGCTCCTTGGCCGGTGAAGACGAATACGATCTTCGGTGGACTTTGGGGCTTCTTGGCGTATTTTACAAGATTCGTTTGAATTTGATCGACGTTGCCGTTTGGGTTTGGATGGCAAGACAGAAACGCGCGGCAAAAGTGACGGGAACGTCGTGCTGACAACGTGTAGGCCAGGTCGGACAGCTTGACGCTGATGCGAGGCTCGACCACGTGTTGCGAGAGCGAATCGACTTGGCGCTTCAGAGAGTCTTCGTCGTTGGCAGAGAAGACCAAGACCTGAGGTCTGATGCTAAGTTCTGCAGCTGACCCGTTCCTATTTCCGTTGCAAGTATGCAAAGCCGCCAACTCCGCTCTGCACTCTACCAAAGAGGACACAAAGGGCTGAGCACTTAGGAGTGCCGCACCCCTGTGCTGCAAAAAGTGTGTTGCGTTTTCCAGTACAACGTGGGCGTTGGACCCGCCATAGCCAAAAGAGTTGACGCTGGCCCTGCGGTAGTGACTCGAAGCCTCTGGCCACGCGATATTTTCCCGTGTTGCGAACACGCGCAAGCCTTCGAAGTCGATGTTGGGATTGGGAGTTATAAAGGTAGGATTTCCAGGAATCATACCCGTTTCTACCGCTAACATGGCCTTGATCAGCCCAGAAATTCCTGCCGCCGGCTCCGAGTGTCCAATGCTGCTCTTGACAGAGCCAATTATCAGCGGGTCGGACCGTTCCCGCATATGTGCAAGCACGGATGCAGCGGCCTTGACTTCAATAACGTCGCCCACTGGCGTGCCTGTACCGTGACATTCGAGGAATCCCGTCCCGGCATAGGCACCATCGAGCCCGGCAGCCGCATATGCGGCGCGAATCGCCGCTACCTGGGCTTCGCCGCTGGGGTTGGTGATACCTGGAGTGCGCCCGTCACTGTTAGTGGCTGTCCCACGAATTACCGCGCGGATGGGATCGCCGTCTCGGACGGCGTCAGAGAGAGGTTTGAGGAATACAGCGTTGACTGCCTCAGCGCGGCAATAGCCGTCTGCTTTTGCGTCAAAGCTGTGGCATTTGCCCGTGGAAGACCAGGCGGCTCGCATAGTTCCCCTGTCCATCATTACTTCAGGGGAGAGCTGGAGATTTGCCGCAGCTACGATGGCACCCGAAATCTGGCCCGATCGGAGATAGTGACAGGCCACATCGATCGATGTCAGGCCTCCTGAGCAGGCGGTGTCGATAGACATACTGGCAGTTCTGTCAACAACCAGATTCTCAGGACTTGAAGGCTTTCTTACCTGGGGCCTTTGACATTATAAAAGTGGCTGATTCTGTTGCTGAGAATAGCGCGACCCAGGCCGACAAGAGTGCCCGGAGGGCGATCTGCAGGATCTCGGGCTTGGATATCTTGATAATCTGGTTCGAGGCCGGTATCAATATTAATCCTGACTTAAGCAAGGAAATGAAATAGTTCACCATTCATAAAACTCCCGACAAACGTCCCAACTTTCTCTCCGCTAATCCGCTCCAGCGTGATGCCGCCGTTCTCCAAACATTCGTATACCACTTCCAGCAACTGTCTTTGTTGCGGGTCCATGGCCACCGCGTCCGCCTTGCTGATGTTGAAAAACGCAGCATCAAACGCGGCGGGGTCGATATCCTCGATGAACATAGCCCCGGCGGTCATAGTACCTGGTCTCCCAGAGCTTTCACGATGAACGCGGCCATTGAAGCGGGATGGTGGGACTATGTCTGAGGCGGCGATGCCTCCTGTGTAGAGGAGATGCCATAGCTGGTGAGGACTATTGACGTGACCAGGGAGGCGACAGGCTGAGGAGACAATGGCGATGGGTTCGCTGGAGGCTGGTACCTCAGAGGGGCTGGGTTGCACCCCGTTGGGCTCGGTGGTGGTGACCATTACTGAGCGCTGTGGTTTTGCCCTTACAAATGAAAGCTTGTCTCAACGTTGACCAAATCCAAATCAGCCTGGAAGAAAAGTACTAAAATTTGAGGAGATATTGATGAAAGTCAAAGGTGCGCGAGTTGACCTAGTTCAAGATGGGAGGCTACAGACTACTGGTCTCATCAGAGAAGACCTTGCAGCAAACTGCAGACCCTTCGATCCTGTTCGTGAACGAGATCAGTGAAAATAGTGGTGAAGAGTCAAGATGCGAGATCTAAAAGTCAGGAGTCAAACGACTCACGGAAAAGTCTTGGCTGAAAGGCTTAGTATCTGAGGATACCACAATCATTAAGGGGCTATGAGAAGACACTTGGATAACACTGAGTCTGAAGCAAGCACGCCAAAACTGAGGGCCAGCGGTCTCCTGAAAGTAAGTCCAAGCTACACGAATGATTGTACAAGCTGCCCAGGGGTCCACCCCCGAGCATGGATTAACTAATCCTATCTACAATTCTAATCAGAGACCGGGCCGTTAGTATCTGCGGGCCGCCAAAATTTCCAAGGTCTCATCCTTTTCCCAAGGAAGGCGCTTTCGGATTTCTTGAGGGCCGGCTTACATGGAGGATCGGCATCCCACTACGGAGTGGAGCGCATAATGCTCCGGTTGCACTTCACTCCGGAATCAACCGGCCGCTTATCGGGTCGGGAAGTTTGGGTTCCGGCATACGTAGAATGACATCTTTCCTGCTCCCTCGCGTCCGTGGGATCAGTAGCTGTTTTTTTATTTACTGTAGGTTTTTACGAGCCCTTCGAGCAGATGTAAGCACTCTACGGGGGAAGCTCATTTCTACCAATTTGATCTGGGTGTAATACATTTTACTGTTTATCCCCTCTCGACAGGACTGATCTATACCTGGGCTTCATGTCCGATACTTGACAGAATACCTCGAATCGTCATCTGCCATAATGATAGAATTTGTCCTAGAGAACCGAACTGGTCTTGTAATCGGTGCTGCCATTCTGTGGTGCGTCTACGCATTCAACTTGGTTGTGCATCGTTTGTATTTTCATCCGCTTGCAAAGTTCCCCGGCCCAAAGATAGCAGCTGCAACACAATGGTACGAGACGTATTTCGACATTGTGAAGAAAGGTGGTGGACAGTTTACGTTTGAGGTCAAGCGCATGCACAAGAAGTATGGTATGTCTCACTTCATGTCCAGGGTCTCTTCTTCAGACTCTGACGCACATAGGTCCTATTGTACGCATCAATCCTCACGAACTCCACATCGATGACCCAGCCTACTATGAGGTGGTGTATCCCACCAACAAGCCAGTCGACAAGCTTGAGTTCTTCTCCCACCAATTCAATATGCCTGACACAGTGGCTCCCACCTGTCCCGCTGCACTGCACCGCTCCCGCCGCCAAGCTCTGGCACCTATGTTCAGCCGCAAGCGCATCATCGAACACGGCTCGAGCATCCAGCATATCGTCGACCAGCTCTCGTATCACCTGGACAACGAACACGTGGGCACTGGCGTTCCCACCAACATCTCCCACATGTGGGCCGCGTCCGTCACCGACGTTATCATCAACATCGTCTTCGGCGAGCCGAGCCACTACCTCGATGCCCCCGCCTTCTCTGACCCATTCCCTCTCGCTGTACGAAACATCTCACAATTGACTCACACGCTGAACCATTTTGGGTTTCTGATGAGGAAGGTACCCCTCACCTGGCTCAAGCCCTTCTTGCCGGACCTGCGGTGCTTTCTTGGTTTTCGGGACACACTCGAGGCTAAGATCAGCTTGCTGATGCGCGAGGACCGGAAGCAGGATTTCGAAAACTCGGCAGTGCGCACCCTGTTTCACGAGATGATGGATTCCAAGCTATCGCCGCAGGACCTGCGGCTGCAGAGGGTCGTGGACGAGGCTATGCTGATGATCGGGGCGGGCATCGAGTCGAGCAAGCAGGCGCTAACGGTGGCGTGCTTCTACGTGCTTACGGATCCCGAGATCGAGGCGCGGCTAAGGGCCGAGTTGGAGGCGGGAATTCCGGACCCAGAGCAGATGCCGCATTTTCAGGAACTGGAGAGCCTGGAATATCTGGAGGCAGTTATGAATGAGGGTGAGCTTTGCACATCTCCCCCATCCTGTCTATTTACTGCTTTTAAATTCAAACTTGTCTAATCTATCGCCTACCAAAGCCCTCCGTCTCTCCATGGGCGCCGTCCAACGTCTCCCCCGCATCCGCCGCGACACCCACCTCACCTACGGGGCCTGGACGATCCCCGCCAATACGCCCGTCAGCCAAGACAACTACTCTAACAACCTCAACGACGTTGTCTTCCCCGAGCCAGACCGCTTCCTTCCCTCCCGCTGGCTGGGCAACCCCAAAGTACCCGCGACGAAGCCGTTGGTCAAGGATGGAATCCTACCGGCAGAAGAGAGGCCGCTGGGTCACTACATGACAAGCTTTTCCAAGGGGACCAGGATGTGTTTAGGGAGTGAGTGAATTTCCAAGATCTGTTCCTAGCTACTTCTGTACCATGCTGTAAGTTGCACCAGGGTAGGGACTGCATGCTAATATTATGAAAACACGTAGTAAACCTCGCAAAAGCAGATTTACTTGTCTCGTTGGCGATGCTGTTCCGTAAGCACAAGATGCGCCTGCACGAGTCGTCGAGCGAGGAAGATGTAAAGATGGCATATGACATGTTTGTGCCGCAGCCGAAGAAGGATTCAAAGGGGGTGTTTGTGATTTTTGAGAAGTAGATAGAGCATTGATAGGGACAAATCGCTTTAAAGTTTGGATGTCGTTGAAATAATGTAGCTTAGTCATTTCCCCAGCAACTACTAATAAGGGAAAAAACTAAAACGACACCCCCCGGGTGTTAACGACTTGTAATTGGCTATCTAAGCTCTTTAAAAATCTCAAGTTATATTTTTTAATATAAGTATAAGCCAGTATATTATAACCCTTGTATTGTAATTACGTGCTCTCTAACTTATAATAAAAAGATTCCTTAAAATAGTATTTTAATTTAAGGGAGTTTATATACTAAATAATTAGGTTCTAGTTTTTGAGCCCTATAAGGCCCTATAAATTATGGGCTTATAGGGCTCTTATATCTGGTTTTAGGGACTTATTCGCTAAATTTCTAGGCTTTCTTAAGCTTACCTTTGTGTAATGGGCACACGTGATGGCGCATGGACAGGTGTCAGATGTCGTGGATCTAGTTTCCTATTTTAGGTAAAGCTTGCGATCGGAATCGTACGGGCGATCGGAATCGTACGGATCGCATGGGATCGTGTTTCCTAGTTAAGTAAAGTGCTTCGCAGGCTTGGCTAAGCACTAGGGAACATATAGGGAGACGCTCCTAGCTTTGGAAAGGGGCATTAATTAGTCTTTTGTTGGAATCAATTCTTGGAATTAGTTACACTTGCAAGCGTCACTCCGCAGCTTACTTACCTTGACTACTTGTGCATCACCCTGCTATTACGTGCCTCACACTTTGGGCTATAAAATATAAAAATTTTAACTTCTTTAATTTAAAAGGCTATTACTAATCCAAATTTTATAAAAAGTTCATATTTAAATAGCCCTTAATTAGCGCTATAAGGAAATAAAGCAAGTATTAAATTATATTAATTCCTTAAAAAATTAAATTAAATTAAAGAAAAAGCCAGAGTTTTGGTGTTCCTGTCCGAGCGCCTCTACTTTGGGTTAGTGGCTAGTCTGGCCCCTAAATCGACACCCCTAATCCTGGTAATCGATACCCCTAATCGACACCCGGGGGGGTGTCGTTTTAGTTTTTCCCTTAATAAGGGGCGCTCACTAAATTAAGGTGCCTCGGACAGCGTAACCTAAGGCAACTTTTATATCTGTTTGATAGGAAAGGAAGAGAAAGAGGAAGAGGATGTTCTTGCTGCTCCTCGAATCTTTTTTTTCTCGTACACCAAGTTCGGACTTTGGTTAGTATCAATCTCACCTTATGTTAATATTCGACCGATGGAACTCAGGCTACTCAGCTGTTAAAATTATAGTACCTCCTCAACAAGCATGATCGACAGTCAAGACGCGAATCTCAATCACGCAATTTTGCCGCGTATTCTGCCAATATTTCAGTTTCTAACAATACCCGCAAGTCTGTAGGCTACTTACACACAATCCGGCAAGCGGCTTCCGGCTCTGAAGCACCGACTCCGGTGATCCACAAAAATCGAACCATCCGATCATCCTCCGCTCACTCACGAACCGGATAGTTTCTGCCGGCATAATATTACTCTGGCTGTCGACGGAGGTCCGTACAAGATGTCACAGACACAGGGGTATCTCTAGGGATAATGCACAGCAAGAGGGCTCCGAGGACCTGAGCGATTCAGTCCTGGACAGCAACACATTCTGTAGAGCCCACAACAAAATTACCCGACAGTTCTCACTCACTCTCCCTATCAAACTGCGTCTAGGTTTTTCTTCTTTGTTCATCCTTCCCCTCTGTTAAACCAAAAATGCCCTACTATCCCCAAGACAACGTTGAGTTCCACACCCTGGATGGCCTCACTCTCCGCGGATGGCTCTATCCTGCCTCCGTGCCTCATGGGCCAGGCGTGATAATAACCTGCGGGGTAAATGATTCATAAACGCAATAATACTTGAAAAAGACTAAAGCCAGACAAACAGTTCAACATGCCCAAAGACTTGCTTGCGCCGCAGATTGCGAAATGGTTCCAGAGAAATGGTGTGACAGCATTGGTGTATGATAACCGGACGATTTGCTTGAGCGATGGGGAACCAAAAAATGATGTATGTAAGCGGCCCCCCCCCCCCCTTCTCTTATAATACACACTTTCTCGTTTTTTCTTTAAATGAGTGTGCAAGTAGTGCTATCTGTAGACAATGCTTCAAAAAAAATAACAACGTCGTTAATCCCTGACATGATACACCATGCAGATAAACCCCCATAAGCAAGTCTCAGACTGCCACGACGCCGTCACCTTCCTCTCCAAGCATCCCCTCGTCGACCCCGCCAAGATAACTCTCTGGGGACTCTCTCTCTCCGGCGCCGTCGTCCTCGCCGCCGCCGCTCTTGACCCTCGTGTTGCTGCGGTCGTCTCACTTGCCCCGACAGCCAAGCTCAACATTCCGCCCGAGAAGCAAACTATCATCCTCGAGAGGGCCATTCATGATCGTGTCGCGCGCGTTACAAAAGACGCCCCGCCAGCGTACTTGCCCATGGTCTCGGAAGAAGATGGAACCAACCTCGCCGGCCTACCCATCGACGCGCAGGCCGTCCGCGAGCTGGAGCGGCTGAGCCCACACTTTAAGAACCATTTTACTGTGCAGACGGCGTACTGGCTCGTGAGTTGGTCGGTTATAGACCTGCTGCCGAGAATTCGGTGCCCGGTAATGGTCGTGGCGCCGGAGCTGGACGCGATTAACCGGCCCGAGGCGCAGAAAACGGAGGTGTTTAACTTGGTAGTGACTGACAAACGGTTCGAGGTGATTCAGGGGAGGGGGCATTGGGACTGGTGGAAAGGAGAAGGTGAACAAGGGCTGGAAGGGGTTCTAGGATCGCAGTTAGAGTGGATGAGGGGAAAGTTAGGGCTCAAGCTATAGCTAGCGACAGGCTGAGCTACCACTTAGCTCTTTCCTTGATTAACATATATATGAGTACGTATAGCAAACAGAAACTCATTATAATTGGAGTTGCGTTTATAAACTACCATGTAAGGCATGGGACGGCCCAGGAAATGGTACTTCGTAGAGGATAAATAACATCAAATAAGCAACCCCTCTGGATCACTCTTGAAATCTCCTAAGATTGTTCGTAAATATCAAATAAAGGTAAAACTTTCAACCCAAAATTTATCTATTGTCATATTAAATGTGCTTACTTTATATACTAGCCCTCCCTGTGGTTTTAGCCTTTTACAGCCTCGTCCGCCTAGATTTAACAAAAATATTTTCTTGTTTCTAACTAAATACTTTATCCTCTTAAAAAGTATACCGGCTAGTGTACGTATATAGGTATAGCTAAAGAGAAAGGACTCTATGCATTCTGGTCTGAGTATGCTAGATGTGGCTTTACTGGTCGTACTTGATAGTCCTTATTAGCTACAAAAAATAGTGTCGCAGAGCATCAAGAATCAGTAAAGAAATCTCTATATTTACTTAAGATACTGAATCTCGGTACGGTGCCTATGCACTGTAAGTACACTGGTCTCTCTATCTAAATACTCAAAGCCTTCTAGAGTCATTTATCGAGTCTTGTAGTTCCCGTATCTTATTATTTAAAGTGGTATGTTGATCCGGCACTGTTGTCAAGAACCCTTTCGCAAGCCTCACGAAGCCTTGCTCCTCTGATTTCTTGCTGACATCAGCCTCCTGTCTAAACAAAAGCAAGGCCGAATTGCTTTGGCTGCTGCTCAAGGAGCTTAGCGGTGGTATCGTCCAGCTGGGAGAAATATCCGGGTCTGTTATGGCCGAAAAGTCAAAAGAAGACCTCAGGTTCTGGCCCCTGGATAATGAATGGGTAGGAGAAGGGCTCAACGCCATGTCCAGCTGGTTCAGTAGATGGCTCACCAGCTGTAACACCATGACGAACTGTGCTACGCAAGGCAGTCCCTCATCGCCGTGTAGTGTGCGCTTCCAAGGAAGCGTCCCACGGTCCTCGCTTTGATGAGAGCTCATAGAGTCAAGGCTCCAGCGGATGGAGTCACATATGGCTTGAAAAGAGTCCAGCAGACGCTGGTGACATGCGAGTATAAGGAAGATGAGGCCTGGGTCCTGGGTTAGTCTGGTGGCTGTTGGATCTGTTGTAGACTCTGTGCTTGAAGAAGAAGCAACGCGAAGGGCCTCGGAGATGCCGTCGAGGATACGAAGCAGGGTGCTTGTTGCGTCAAATATTTGGCCGACCTGCGGGGAAGAAACCGTCAAGGGGGGGCTGATATCGGAGGGAACTAGGCGATTGGCCGTCTGTGTGGTCTGCGTGGTCAAGGCAGCGATTCGGGCGGTCCAGGCTTCTGAGGAGTCTTCGTCGTGGCTAGAGGGGGAGCCTGAACTCTGGCTAGTTCTCTCGTGTTCGGGGGACATGTGATGTTGAGGACCTTGCATCGTGGCGAAGGATGGACCGGCGGCGGAGGGGCTCATGTCCCAGCCTAATAGGTTGTCGGTGTTCAGGGGAGGAAGTTCGGGCAGGTTAGCCTCGGAGAACATGTTGCCATCCAGGCTGTGGTTAGGGGGAGATCCATGACGTCCTCTCAAACTAGGACGACGAGAGTCGCTATAGTTGCGGGTTGGTGAAAGTACTGGCGGTCGTCCAGACTTTTGCTTTGCTAGAGCCACTTAGTGAGCTGCCTAGCCAGCATAAGAAAATAAGGATTCCACTCACAACTATACAAGCAGACCGCACCCGCTTTGATACACCTCTCGCACGGCAGGTATGTATCTGTGACGTCGTGCCCGGAATCTACTCGCATACAACGAGCCTTTTGCTGGCGGCACCTGTCACACGACTGGCGATAGGGCATCATATTAGGCATCCCTCGATTTCGCGAATTTGACTTTGCGGCTGCTTACTTTCAAGGTTCCACGGTCTTCAGTTGTATTTGTAGTGGATTAGCCCAGTGATGCTGCTAGAGCTATCTCAGATCATATTACGTGTCGGAAAGAGCAAGTGGTCGGCTACATGCGAGACCTCTGAGGAGATGGCGCTTACGATCCATATTTCTTTCCCCGCTACTGCCGAGCTCGGTTCTAGAAGGGGTAATCTACTCCGTAAGTCAGCTCTGCAGATGCTGGCTTATCTATACCAATTGACTACTGGGAATAGAACAGATCACGATGACAATAAAAGATTGATTAAGTTCCAATGCTCCTTGAATGGCTAGTACTGATTTTAGAACCAGCTTATTATTCAATAATCTTCTCTAATATAATGCGGACGCAGCCCCCTGCTCAACTAGAGGGCTTTATTAGAAAAATCAAGGCAAATTGATACCCTAGCATTTCTGCGCCCTTAATTTCTTACAGTGCAGCAGCATACTGGGGCCTGCAGGTGATCTGTCATTTTGGCCTAGATATTTACCTTTGGGCTAGGGAAGGAAAAGTATAATTCGGTTTTTTGAGGTTAGACAGGGAGGGATTTTCAGGACCTTAGACTTTTTCTAAGGGCAGATTCCGACTTGAAGACGAAATTCAGGTTATTGATTGATTGATTGAGTCTAACACTGGTTTGGCTGTTAGCCCATGCAGGAAATCTATATATCTAGGTTATTCACAAATATAAAACTATTCGCAAGTCCTTATCCTTAGGAATCCTTCTTCCGGACTAAAACCTGAGTGCCTCACTTTTTGCTGCCTTTCCTTAAACATTGCTGCCTATAGTACCGTGATTGTTGGCTGGCCGTACAAGAGAGAATTCGCCAGGGAGTACGGAGGGAGCCTTCCCGATGCGATAAACCATCTACGGAGGTACAGCCCATAAGATAGTAATAGCACTAGCAAGGGACCCCCTAAGCAGGTGAAGGACTTGACTTGATCTGGTATTAAATCCCTCGTTTGGCTTGTTTTGTTTACTCACTATGGCCAAGCGACATCGAAAAATATACCTGCGCAAGAAACCCTTGCTAGTGCTATTACTATCTGCTGTACCTCCGTAGATAGGGTTTTTGCGCCAGGATCCGTAGTCGTCAGGCGTTTGAAGTCCAGCCTCCCGTCCTGATCCCTGAGCCGGTCTCTTCGGTGGTCCTCTAATGGGCAATAAAGCAGCACATGCCTGGGGGTCTCCCTTCTAGTGCCGCACGCGCAGGCTCCTGATTGGTATCCTGGTACTCTCATCTGACTCAGAGCGTCGTAATGCAGTTGTCAATAGTGGGATAATCTACCGGTATGGGGGAAGAGGGCCTATCACGTCCCTGGGCTGAAGACCTGGTCTGGTAAACAGCTCTTTTTGGGTGTGTATGTAACGTCTAAAGGGAGAAAAGAAGAGAGGAGCGGGGAGCTCGAGCTAAGTACAGGGTGCCACGCTAGGGCCAGGTCATGTGACGCTGACGTCACAACAGGGCCACTCCAAAATTCCCATGCAAGTAACCCGGTTTCTCCCTCCTGCATTTAAACCCCCCTCTTTCACAACTCACTTGTGCATTAACCGACTTTTTTTATTGTTCCCCTCCGGGAAATCTCCGGGGGCTCTCCGAGGGCCACTGCCGTGGGGGGGTGCAATCGGGGGGTGCGTCAAAATAAGCTGGAATATGCTTTTTGATGGCCAATCAGTCGGCCAGGATGATCCACGGGTTTCTGCTCCGGAGCAGACGCAATTATATTGATACTAGGCTTCTTTTTCACATATAAGAGTATGTCACTGCGATGGCAATCACACACTGAAATGATGCCCTGAAGGAGAGCTGTAGCAAGGGTACCTCGTCTCCTTGCTCCGTGGGCTTGGCGACGCACGCAATATCTCATGTGGCGTTATGGGGCTCCATATGGAGTATTTTACGGTCCGAACCTCCCGCTAAATTTGTGCACGGCGCTAGACTGTACTCTCCCCCCCTAAAAAATGTAACAGTGGGTCCAAGTGCAGGGGTGTTTTGGTATGGCAACTGGACCGTGCCAGGCTGGTTTTGCGGGGACCCACTGTTACATTTAATTAGGGGGGGGAGAGTAAAGAGGGTGGAAGCATCGGCTTGGACGGCTGTACTTGCAGCTATATGTCGGGATGGGTGTTGCTATAGTGAATGCACGTGCGCACCCTGTCTCTTAAACTTTTAGGTGTAAAAGCCTCAAAATGGCAACAGCACGTCGGCATATGACTTACGTACAGGCTTCCAAGCCGATGCTTCCACCCTCTTTACAAGTACAGGTGTATCTTTGCTTATAAACTTATCAGTCATTCATCGCCTTTTCGCCCTGAGCCAGGTCCCCTTGCTAGCGCTGGACATGTCTCACCGCACCTAATATATTGCTGCAGATGCCGCAGATACCCTCCCCACAGACCTCTATAGCCGGCTTCTGTCCAGCCAAACAAGACCGTTCTATATTAATACCTTAACTTTACAGTAGTATTCTAGTGATCTGCTTCGAGAGCTTGCTCTCTGAGGCTACGAGATGAAATAGGCTACCAGAGCACTACATATATAGAAGGTGGATTAGGAAACTTTTTTTGCTGTTTGCTATTGGATTTCTTGCATTGCTTGGTTGCCGCTCATGCCGCGCAGAGGTCTGAAACCACGCTAATATAATTTTGGTATCCACTGCGAGGAAGTCTCGCAATGTAATTAGGTCTGACCATTCAAACAACCCAGATATCGTTTTTGGATCCACTGTTTTTATCTATACGTTGAGTTGAACAACAACATCCCACTCTAGATCTTGGTCTTCATTTACTCATCATTTCTCACCATTCGGATAATCCAGATCCTTCTCGTGGGTTTCGAAGTATTTGCCGTGGCAGAGCCGTCTACAAAGTTATTCCATCGGGCTTTAGACACAGGAAAACAATACATCTTATAGATTACTGGATTGAGGTTAGCTGATGCCACATTGAAATTTAGGGGCTACACGAGAATTTCATTGCATTGTGGTTCAGCCCACTATATTCCACTTACCGGTAGGTCCAGAGATTGTCTTGTATCCAGTCTCTGTCTTATGCAGTGACTACTTTTGCTGTGAATTAACCGGATTCAAGATCATACAAATGGCTCTCTTCATAATATATAATATGGTCAACAGCGCTTTCGCCCAATCACGTAGAAAGGTTCAGCGGCTATCTATGTTATCTCAGAGATGGCTGAAACTCGAATCATTAAGCGGTCGGTCTGATTTTGTATACAGAGCTGAAAGCTTCCCTCACTCAAATCAATATACCGTCGTGAGCAGAGGATACACCAACTTCTTCGCCCTCACATGTCCCAAACGCACTTCTTGAATTCCATTTGTCAGCGCACCTAGTCCCCCTTCCCTCAGCTCAACCGGATGATTCTTGATAACCTTTTCCCCCCGCATCCCCTCGACCATTTCAAAAAACCGCTTTGAGAATTCCCTATCCTCGCTTGACACGGGCCGCCCGTACGCCCCCGGCAGCTTGACCCCCTCCCCAAACATAGATGGTACCATAACCCATCCCGCTACCACATCCCGCCGGGTGTACTGCACCGTTGTGGAAAATGCTTCCAGGGCAATATACTTGCCACCCGACGAGCCGAAAGCCTCGTAGCACATCTTCATAGTGGAGGCTTCTGTAGCGCAGTCGAGGACGTAGGCGAGCCTATCGTTTGTGTAGGAGCGGATTTCGGTGCCGCAGGTAGGCTTGTGGTAATCGAAGCAGGCAATAGCGCCGAAGGACTCGCATAGAGCGTTATTGGCGGGTGAGCAGGTGACGATGGGGTTGAGGCCAACTCTTTGGGGTGCCAAGTTAGTGATCTTATCGAGAGAAGCTTTTTATTATATCCACAACTTGCCTTTTCAACAACTGAATCGCCATAGTGCCTGTGGCACTGGCACCGCCAGACACGAGCACAGGCGTCCCTGACATGCTCCGAGCCTCCTGCGTACCGGGAAACGGCAGCCTCAGCTCGTGGAAAAGCGTTAACCCGGCTGTCGCCAGGGCCGTCGGCATCGCGCACGCCTCCTCGAAGCCCATTCCCTCAGGCATCTTGCAAGCTACGTCCGCCGTCGCCAGCACGTAGTCCGAGAAAGCGCCCCTCAGCGGATCTTCGCCATGCATGCCATACGCGACAGCCAAGACGCGGTCCCCCTCCTGAAAACGCGGTACCACATCCGGGGCAACGCGCACGACGGTCCCAGCAAAGTCGTGGCCCGAGGTAGCGCCCGGGACGTTGGAATAGTCTGCCTTTTTGGCGTCACTGGGGTTGAGGGCAACGGCGTGGACGTGAACGAGGAAGGTTCCTGGGCGCAGCGAGGGGATTTGGAGGTTCGAGGCGAGGCGGTATTGCCCAGAGCCGGCGCCGACGAGGCCGTGCATTTTGTCGATGGCCATGGCTCTTGGAGAGGTGAGTTGAAGAAAGATGCTAGGACAATGGGGGTCAAGTTTTCTAGTCTATAAGCCTAAGCCCAAGATTCCAATATGTTTAGCTACGATATATGTTCGATGAAGGGATCTGTAGGTCGGAATGTATAGGCCGAAGCGCATTCTCGGAGCCAAAACCCGGGGCTGTCTTGGCCAAAACCAAATCAGAACTCTTCTGGCAGAAACAAACAGAATTTCTGATCTTTGTCCCCCTCGGTGTATTACGCAGATTTTTTACACAGATTCCGTTGGGGAATTGCGTCTGAGAGGAGGTCGGCCGGGGAAATCGGCACGGCACGGGGATCCACTCCAAACTCTCCGGCCCGTCGATCTTAGCAGCCGGCCCGGCTTACTAATAACTACTTTGCTCCGAGAGCCTTCCGGTATTGTTCTGGAGAAAGTGGAGCATGCTTACACCTACCGGAGCCGGTGTCGAAATCCGGGGCCCTGCCTGAGGGAGACAATTGACGCTGCTTTCGAGGAATGGATCCTAATGGAGGGGTCGAGGCTGAACATATACAGACAGATCGGGCATGCCTTTCCAAGGACTACAGCTTGCAGGCGTTGGCAACAAGTTCTTTTTGCATCAACATTCTGGCCGAGCATTTCTGAACCGTTATTCCCTCAACGGTTACGGTCGTGATACCATTGTGACTACGGCGGGTCCACTCTTATATAGAACTTCACAACCGTCCACCACAGCTCGGCCAAGTCCAACAACCCCTAAATTGCGCTTCAGCTATTGTATTTGCTCTGGAAACCGAACGAATCATGTCCAACTCTGCAGACGAGCCCGAGCCCATTGCAGTCATAGGCACCAGCTGCAGATTTCCTGGGGGTGCTTCATCGCCATCCAAGCTGTGGGATTTGCTGGCCACGCCCACGGACCTCGTGAAAAAAGTTCCGGCAAGCCGCTTCGGCTCCGAAGCATTCTATAATTCTGATCCATCGTATCATGGAGTGAGTTTATTTTGCCTTCTTCCTCGGTTTTGGGTGCTCACCCAGTTTACAACAGAGCTTCCACACCCAGCGTGCCTATTTTATGGAAGAGGATATCCGCCTTTTCGACAATGCTTTCTTTGGTCTCTCCCCAAGGGATGCTCAGTCCATGGACCCTCAACATCGTCTTCTGCTTGAAGCGGTTTACGAGGGCGTGGAATCGGCCGGATACTCCATCTCGCACCTGCGGGGCTCTGACACGGGTGTCTTTGTCGGACGATCTAGTGGCGACTATGGGGGTATGATGGCACAAGACCTCGAAAACTATCATCCGTCGGGATTGACAGGCACGGCCGCGTCCATTCTCGCGAATCGCGTCTCTTACTTCTTTGACTGGACAGGGCCATCAATGGCGCTTGACACAGCCTGCTCCTCGGGTATGCTCGCGCTGCATCTGGCTGTCCAGGCTCTCCGGGCCGGCGAGACCAAGGTAGCTGTTGCAGCGTCAACAAATATGTTGCTCGGGCCCGAGGCCTTTATTGGTTTAGGTCAGGTACGTGGCCTATGGAACATGTGAACTCGAGCTACATGGCTGATTTTGATATATAGCTGCACATGCTTTCGCCGAATGGAAGGTCTTGGATGTGGGACGCAAGTGCAGATGGCTTCACGCGTGGCGAGGGCATCGGAGCTCTGATCTTAAAACCCCTAAGTCAAGCCATCGCGGATAACGACCACATTGAGAGCATTATTCGCAACACGGGTACGAACCAAGACGGCCGAACTCGAGGTAAGCTTTGGCAAAGACCTGCCTAGCAAGATCCCGACCAATACTGATGTTTCTTAGGTATTACCTTGCCCAACGCCGAGGCGCAGACGGCCCTCATTCGGTCTACGTACGCCAAATGTGGTTTGGACGTAACCACCCCAGAGGGCCGGCCGCAGTTTTTCGAAGCACACGGAACGGGGACCCCTGCCGGAGACCCACTTGAGGCCGAGGCAATCCACCGCGCCTTGTTTCCCACAGGATATAAGGGTACGGATAAAGAGAAAGTATATGTGGGATCTATCAAAACCGTCATCGGCCACCTCGAAGCCGGTTCGGGCATTGCGGGCGTACTGAAGGCAACTCTGGCCGTGCAACAAGGCAAAATTCCACCGAACCTACATTTCAAGGAACTCAATCCTGCCATTAAGCCTTTCTATGACGCCCTCGGTGTGCCTACCACAATCACTCCCTGGCCAACGTTAGCACTTGGTGTGCCCAGGCGCGTGAGTGTGAACAGCTTTGGATTTGGTGGCGCCAATGTGCACGCCATTGTTGAGCAGTGGTCGCTAGATTCGCGAAGCCTTGCTTCTCCATTGCAGACAATTGGCATGCGTGAAGATGGTGCGGGCCTCCCTATGCAGATTTCGGCCAACTCAAGCGGATCGCTAGCAGCCATGGCTGCAGCACTTGGAGAGCACCTTCAGACACACCCTGATATAAAGCTCGTCGACCTAGCTTACACTTTATCACGCCGGGGTAACTTTCCGTTTCGAGCATCGTTCTCGGCAATCTCTACGGCGCAACTGGCCGAAAAGCTGGGAAATAGTACCGGCCTTGCCAACACAAATCGCGCACGAGCCATATCAGAGAAGTTCCCTCTGCGGATCTTGGGAATCTTTAACGGACAGGGTGCGCAATGGCCGACGATGGGTAAGGAGCTTTATCAGAATTGTACTCTGTTCCGCGACGCCATAAGCCAGATGCAGCAAAGTCTGGACGACTTGCCAGATGGTCCAGAATGGTCTCTCGCCGACCAGCTGTGCGCCCCCCCAGCAAGATCCCGTGTCCAGGAGCCCGCCGTGTCGCAACCGCTCTGCACTGCCTTGCAGATCGCATTGACTGAGCTTCTTCGGGCGGCTGGTATCACCTTTAGCGGGATTGTGAGCCATAGCAGTGGTGAAGTGGCGGCCGCATATGCTGCGGGCTATCTCAGCATGTCTGACGCTATCCGAGTCTCGTATCTTCGAGGGAAGTATACCAATTTGGCGAAAGGTTCGGACGGATTGCCGGGTAAGATGATTGCAGTTGGTCTATCACTCGAGCAGGCCACAGTTCTTTGTAAAGAAATTGGAGCCGACAAGATCTGCGTCGCTGCCAACAACTCGGGGCGCAGCTGTACTCTATCTGGCGACGCCGATGCCGTGGATGAGGCGCAACAGCGTCTTGATGCACAGGGTACCTTTGCGCGTACACTCAAAGTGGACGCAGCCTACCACTCACCCCATATGCTGGCTTGCGCAGAGCCCTATTTGGAGTCTCTGCGCAGATGCAACATAATTATTCAAGATGGCCCTTACCACTGCAAGTGGTATTCTAGCGTGTACGGATCAGACGGCAGGAGCCGTTCATTCGAGATTGACGGGCAGCTTGAGGGCCAATACTGGGTTGACAATATGACGCACCCCGTAATGTTTGCACAGGGAGTGCGCAGGGCCATCACCGAGGACCACGTCCACGACATGGTGCTTGAGATTGGCCCCCATCCAGCTCTGAAAGGGCCTGCGAATGAAGTTATCAAGTCCCTTATCGGCTATGAGCTGCCTTACTCCGGAGTGCTGAAGCGCGGCCAGAATGCCTTGGAAAGTTTTTCGGACGCCATAGGCTTCATCTGGGAAAGGTACACGTGCCCAAAGCCACTTTTCGACTTTAACTCTCTGCAATTAGCGTTCCGAGGAAGCGCTGCGAGAGCACCTACTGTTCTCAAGGGCCTTCCTTCCTATAGCTGGGACCACAGAACGGCCTTTTGGCACGAGTCCCAGCAGTCCAAGGCCATCCGCACCCGCTCTGCCCCACGCCACATGATGCTGGGTCATGGCACGTCTCATGGCGAGGGAAGTAAGCGTGAAGTTCGCTGGCGACATATCTTCAAACTGGATGAAATGGCCTGGCTGCGGGAGCATAAGTTCCAGGGGCAAGTTATCGTTCCCGGTGCTGGCTATGTCTCAATGGCATACGAGGCGACGGTGCGCTTGGCTGCTGAGCTGAACGTGTCAGTGAAACTGGTTGAGCTGAAAGAAATCAAGATCCATCGGGCTATTTCTTTAGAGGAGAATTCGCCGGGAACGGATGTCGAGTTTGTTATTCGTACTACTGGTAGTTCGAGCGACTGCATCTCGGCCGAGTACGCCTGCTACAGCGCTCCCACCGAGGCAGCGCCCTCGGATGCTCGCCTTACCAGTGGCAGGGTGAACTTCACGGGACGCGTTGACATTGTGCTCGGAGACCCTTGCCAAGACGCGCTTCCTTCTCGGATCCCACATCAGTTGCCGATGCAGACCGTCAACGTGGAAGAGCTCTATCCCGAGGTGCGCAAGATCACGGGTGTTGAGCACTATGGAGACTTCCGTTTTGTAGGACTGAAGCGCCGTCACAACCAGGCCGAAGTCAAGTGTAAGAGCATCCATAGCTCGCTCCGAATCCATCCCGCCACGCTTGACCAAGCTGTCCAAGGCATCTTCATGGCCTTCTCTTTCCCAGGCGACGGACGTCTCTGGACCACTTACCTACCCGCTTCAATCAACCTCGTCCGTGTCAACATGTGGGCTTGCCCAGACGAGGGCAATGAAGAATTCTTGACGGCCGACGCTCTGCTCACAGGCACCGACACCAAGTCCTTCACCGGCGACGTGGACATCTTTTGTGAGGACCATGGGCACCCACAGATGCAAGTCCGGGGCCTCCGATGTGCCAGCTGGGTCCAAGCCGGCCAAAAGAGTTGGAACGACCGCGCGCTATATGCAAAGCACGACTTTGTGCGGGATGTCTCTGCCGGCATCGAACCGAGCCAGCAAGCCGTTATGACGGCGAAGACGAGGGCTCTGACAGAGATCATTGATCGCGCAGCTTATTTCTATCTTCGCAGGTTGAAGTCTGAGATTCACACAGACGAGATGCCTTCAATGGAGTGGCAATATCGTCACCTGGTGACTTGGGTATTGGAGCATTTGGTGCCCGAGGTCGAGGCCGGAACGTCCGAGTTAGCGCAGCAGGACTGGGCGAATGACACTGAAGACATGGTGAAGGCTTGGGGGAAAGAGTTTGCCGAGAGTATCGACCTTCAGGCTGTTCTGACTGTCGGTGAGAATCTCGTGCCTATTGTCCGTGGACAGGTACCGGCGTTGCAAGTGTGGAAGCAGGATGACTTACACGACCGGATCTACCGCGAGTCGAAAGTAATCAGCGACACAAACCACGACCTCTTCGTCTTTGTTGGCCAATTATGTCACCGATACCCGCACATGAGGGTGCTCGAGATTGGCGCCGGCACTGGAGGCTCAACAAAGGGCGTTTTGGCCGCTCTCGAAGGACGCATGGGCTCGTACACCTTCACGGATATATCGCCGAGCTTCTTTCAAAAGGCACGCAAGGACTTTGACAAGTACAGCGACCGCATGGTTTTCAAGACGCTGGATATCGAGGATGATCCATCAACTCAGGGCTTCGAATTGGGTTCGTACGACCTAATTATTGCATCCAACGTACTGCATGCTACCCGTCGGCTCAGCAACACGTTGAGCCAGTGCCGAGCACTTCTCCGTCCCGGTGGACACTTGCTTTTGATGGAAAACACGCGCATCACTACAACTTTCCAACTACTTTTCGGCGTTCTACCGGGCTGGTTCCTTGGCCTTGACGATGGCCGTGTCTGGGCGCCCAGTACCACCGTACAGGAATGGAGCGACGTGCTGAAGAGGGTGGGCTTTTCCGGGGTTGATGCCAGTGTGACCCCCTACAGCAGCGTCATGGTGTCGCAGGCTGTAGATGACACAGTTCAAACCATCCGTGACCCGCTCAACTCCAAAGCAGGTCTTCCACGACTCGATGAGCTCCTTATCCTACGGGATGAGAAGCCATCCTCGCGCGGTGCTCGGCTTTCCGATAAGGTCGAACGACTGGTGGGTCATTTGTTTGGCAATGTCACGCGCATCACCTATCCTGAAGATTTCAAGGCCAGTAGCGTCAAGGCTCCCAACAACACAGCGGTTCTGTGCTTCACTGACCTAGACACCCCGATTTTCGATGGAATGAACGAACAGCGCCATCGGGGACTACAGGAGATCGTCCGGCATGCCAAGGCGGCCCTCTGGACTGTTTCAAGCGCCGAAGACGACCCCTTTGTCAATATGAGCGTCGGGTGGGCACGAACTGTTTGGCTCGAGAACCCTGACATGAAGTTTCAGCTCGTCGACATTGACGACTGCGAAGCGGTTGACGCCGAGATTATCGCCACCGCGCTCCTGCGACTCGTTTGTCTGGGCACACCACAGGCCGCTGAAGTGCTGTGGAGCACCGAGCCCGAAATTGCGCTGCGGGATGGGGCCCTATACATCCCGAGGCTTCTACCAAAGCCGAAGAAAGCGGCTTTCGAAATCACTCATTCCGGGGTGCGCCAAAATGATGTGCTCGGAAATAGTCTGCCTCTCACAGTTGAGATTGCCGAAGGACGTGATGGTGTCTTGAATCTTGAGCCTGTACCTCAGCATCCTGTTGGCGATGACGAGGCGCATATACAAGTACTTGCCTCCTCAGCCTATCCGCTCGTGGCATCCGATGGGCAATCGACATATCTGTGCGTTGGAGATGTTCTTGAGTCTGGAAAGAAGGCCATCATTCTGTCCCCCGTAAACGCCTCAGTCTTGTGCGCATCCAGGTTGGAAATATTTCCCGCGTCTCCTGAAGACCCTTGCCAGCTACTGCACCAGCTTCTGGTGAGCCTCATCTCAGAGGATGTTGTGAGCAAATCCAGTGGGCCGATCTGGGTGCACGGCACAAACAGCAGCTGGACTCGAGCCATGCAAGAGGCGGCTCATCGCCAAGGTGTTGAGCTTTACCTGACCACATCAGATGAAGAAATCGCCAGAAGCAAGAAGGTGAAGTTCATTCATCCGTATATCACGCTGAATGCATTGTGGCAAATCTGGCCGCGGAATGTCAAGGCGTTCGTCAATTTGCAGCAGGGACGCCGGCGTCCAGTGGATGAAGCTATAGACAAGCTCATGGAGACAACAAGGATGCCCAATATCAGCCCTGAAATGACGATGGGTGGGTCTTCGACTTCGAGATCGAACAGGCTAGCTCTCTCGTTTGACGGTCCGCAGCTGCGACAACTTCTCAAGCAGCATCTGGTTATGGCAGTAGTTATGACCTCGAACTACGATCATACGGCTGTTTTACCCATAGAAAAGGTGGCATCTTCGACGGTCGACTTACAAAGGCCCGACAAACTTGTTGATTGGCGCACTCTGGAGATCGCCACGCGCAATGTACACCCACACCAGCAACCAAATATTTTCTCGCCGAACAAGACGTACATCCTCTTTGGCCTTGGCGGCGATGTCGGCAACAGTATTTGTCTGTGGATGGTCGAACACGGGGCCCGGTACGTTGTCACATCCAGCCGTAACCCCAAAACGCCGCCGGCTGTAGTTGAATATCTCGCCAACAAGGGAGCAACGGTTCGCGTTGTGCCTCTTGATATCACCAACCGAAAGGCCCTAAATGCATTCGTCCATGATATTAAATCCACCATGCCTCCAGTGGGTGGTGTTATGCATGGCGCTATGGTATTGCGCGATCGTCTCTTCCTCAATCAATCATGGAGCGATTTCGCCGCCATCTTGGCGCCCAAAGTGGAGGGCGCACGCAACCTCGACGAGGTATTCGGTCCGCAGAGCAATCTCGACTTCTTCATTCTCCTCTCCTCGGCTACATGCATTTTGGGGAATTCAGGACAGGCGGCATACACCGCTGCCAATATGTACAATACGAGCCTCGCCGCTCAGCGTCGTCGGCGCGGCATGGTAGCCTCGGTGATCCATATTGCTGAGCTTGTTGGTCTCGGTTACTGGCATCGTGCCAAGGGCGATCGGCCGTGGGACCTGGGCTTCATGAAGCTTTCCGAGACAGATCTACACGATACACTGGCGGATGCGATACGGGTCGGGCAGCCGGGATCGGGACACCCGATTGAGCTTATTTGTAACTTTAGGACAGGCACCGCGGGGATATGGAGAGATAATCCGCGGATGTGGCATTACTTCACCCCGAAGAACGACAAGCTGCTGGCCGGCCGGAACGGCGAAGACAGCGAGCAGCAAAGTAAGCACGACGGCAAGAGTGTTAAGGAGCTACTTGATGCGGCCGAAGATGAGGCCGCTGCCCAGGCGACGCTTGAAAAGTGCTTTGCTCAGGAGCTGCACACTATGATTCAGGTCGAGACCAGCCGTATTGACAAGGATATGCCCGTGGCAGGCCTAGGTGTGGATTCACTGGTTGCAGTTCAGATCCGTTCCTGGTTTCTCAAGGAGGTCGGCGTCGAGATCCCCGTCTTGAAGATCCTGGCGGATAATAGTTCGTTCACGCAGCTGTGTAGGGACGCGTTAGCAGGGAGGCAGCGCCCCACAACCACGAACGGCGTTAAGGGCGGGGAGAGTTTACACGATGGCAACAAAATTCAGAATGGAGTCCATGAAACAGCAGCCGAGACGGATATTGACTGGGACAAGGAGGTGGAGTCCTTGTTGGCGGAGGTGGACGGTCTGATCCCGTCCGACCCCAAGCTTAATGGAACACTTGGAATGAATGGCTCAATCAGTGGTCGCGTCAACGACCTCATCGTCGTCCTTACTGGCGCAACCGGGTTTCTCGGCGGGCATATCCTCCAAAAACTCGTATTAGACCACCGAGTCCGCGAGGTGCACTGCATCGCGATCCGCCCCGATGTTAGCGGCAAACCTCGCCACGTCAAAGTCCAGCACCCCAAGATCATAGAGCACATAGGTGACCTGGCCTCGCCACGAGCTGGCCTGTCGCAGACCGAATTCAATAAACTTTCAGAGCATGCCGACCTGATCATCCACACCGCGTACGAGGTCAACTTCCTCAAGTCCTACAACTCTGTACGTCCCACGAACGTGGCCTCCATGCCGGCACTGCTGGCCATGGCGGCTTGGCGTGGAGTGCCAATGCATTTTGTTTCGTCCAACATTGTCGCCATGCTCCAGCCGTCTGGCGAACTCGAGATGGCTGAGGTTTCTTCCGCCCAGTTGCGACCTCCAAAGGACCTCAACCGGGAAAACAGCAACCGCATCGGCTATGCGGCAGGCAAGTGGATATGCGAGACATTACTGGAGCGTTTCTCAGCTCAGGTGCCTGCCGTGGTGCACCGGCCGAGCCCCATGGTGGGTGAGGGCGGCTCGGAGCCGGCGCTGATGCGGACGGTTGATGAGTACAGCAGGAAGCTTGGAGCACTACCCAAGCTAGAAGCGAAGCTGTGGCCTGGCAAATTGGATCAAATCGAAGTAGAAGATGTTGCTCGAGACATCGTCGAGATTGCCCTTGAACTTCGACCCAAGGGAGCGAGGGCGTCGCCCTTTGTGGTGCGGAATCACTGTACGAATGGGGCCTTCGAGGTTTCCAACATGCAGCAGGTGATAAAGGAGCGGGAGGGCTTGGAGCTGGAAGTGTGGTCGGTGGAGAAGTGGCTTGAGAAGACGACACAGATGGGCATGGATAGGTCGTTGGACTTTATTATGCGCTCAACGATAGAGTCGAAGGTAGCGTTTCCCCTTACGAGCGTAAGGAAAGGAGGGGTGTGAGGTTTAAGATGAGGGGAGAAGAGCTTTCTGTATTAGCTTTCTGCAAAGAAGGAGTATTGATGATTGATTGATTCATTTACTCTACTCGGAGTATTCTTTCCAACGTTAGAATCTTAGCGTAGGTTAGGTTACCAAAGAAGACAAGAGAAGAGGTTGTTCACTCAAGCTCTCCGGCTAGGCGTTATGTTTTTCCGGCTCCGAAAATATTGATACCACCCGAACGCCACCAAAATCCAATCTACAGGTACTGGAAGCCACCCCACCCCACAACGAAAATTATTAGAAAATATTTTAAAGAAATTTCAACTTTTACTAAATATCTTCTGAAAGTCGGATTGATTTTTCCTCAGTTTCATTCCTTTTTTTTTTCTCGGCTACGCCCGGTCCAGTAGGGACGTGCACGAGACTGCCCTATCCCTTCGTCTGGTGAGACATTACTAGCGTGGCCAGGGGGGTCTCGCTTGGTTGGCTGGGCATAAAATTATGGCTTCTGTAATTTTATTGGATGCCACAGCTGTGGCTAATACGCTAGTAATGTCTCACCAGACGAAGGGTTAATAGCGAGTTCCAGGGCTGAAGCTTCTGAAATTCAAGCGAATGCTCACGAACAATATAGAGCGACGTGCCAGCGTCATCTAGCGCACAGCCATAATGCTCAATTCTTTTGAGAAATGCAGGAAGTCGGTGAGGGAGATATGCCAAATCAAAACTGAAATTTAAACCAGACAAGCTGCCCCCAAAATATCCTATGGGCCTAAATTTCCTGACCCGTAGATGGCAACAGGTGGCGCATCAGAAGAACGTGATATCCAAATAGAAATTCTCTTATGAATATGATTCATTTTTAGTTTATAAAATACTATTATTTAAAGATAAAAAAGTCGGCGCCCGTACCAAAGTCTAATGCCATTCAGCTGGCATTCCAAAGACGTATAACTCCGAGCGAACGAATTCGAAGGTGGCGAGATATGCAGCTATCGCAAACGTCAGAGAAAAGAATTAGACAAGCTTAAAGAGAGTGAGAAATACATGTCTGATGGAGATCGAAACGCATGAAAAGAAGAATATGAAGAGAATAGAAAAGGCAAGAAGTGCGATAAATTATTTGAATAGTATATTGTATACGTGGTGGTGGATTGCGTGCGGCCGCCTTCCTAAACCCCGTGTATTACAGTAGCTTAGTCAGGTGCTCACAGGGGCCTAGAACCTTGATTAATCATCCTGCATCTTCTGTACAATTTAATTCTTCTTGCTCCATTATCTTAAGCTATGCACACCTCGGTAGCTGACTAAGTATTAATATGTACCGGTGCCGAGGCGGAGGCGGCGAGATGAGATGAATAATTGTCCGTGGCCGGTGGTTAACGGATACGCTAACGGATACGCTATGATAATATTCGGAGCTTATTCTATATGGATCATGGCGCATCCACCACAACTTCTCCACCTGTCATCATGCAACGGCCATTCCCCTCGCGATGAACAACAGCGGGAAAGGAAGGGAGCTCTGGATGCCGAGGGATGCCCAGCTGCTTCGGAGCCGGCGTAACCTGCCGTAGGTCTACGGTGGTTCCCGACGGATTATAATAATGTTCCGTTGGATCGTCTGCCCACAGACTTCAAATTACTTACTACAATACGGTAGTATTCCAATGGAAAGCCTCGAGCGTCTATATTATACTGTTGTGCCGAAGATGTATGAACTAGGCATCCTGCCGCTGACGGCCGCCCTGCTGGCAACCGTCCCCTTATTGGTCTGTTAGAATCCTGGGAAAGTCTTGGTCCTCGAGTCTCTCTGACTTTGCATCAGTATATTCTGTACACCGGGTTGAGAGGACCTCTCGCACACCTGCCAGGCCCGGTCTGGACGAAATTCACTGGGATCCAAGTCGCATATTACATCGCTCGTGGTACACGGATGTACCATCTTCAGGACCTGCACAAGAAATATGGTGCAAAGATTCCCGATCTCAACACAACCCGATGCATACGCTGACCTCTAACCAGGTCCGCTTGTCCGAATCAGTCCGACTGAAGCCTCCGTCTCGGATCCAGAAGCAGCAAAAGAAATCCACAAAAGCAGAGGTGGATACACGAAGACAGACTTCTACGAGAATTTCTGTTTCTCGCCTACTCAAACCATCTTTAGCACCACTGATGTTCGTTTTCATGCCAAGTGGCGCAAGCTGCTGGCACATTCCCTGTCAGAATCTAATTTGAAGATCTTCCAGCCCATCATACAGACGAATGTGGATCTGCTGATTTCGCAGATGAAGAAGGAGAAAGTGACGCAAGGCTACGTGGATCTCCTGAAATGGCTGAATTATTTCACCATAGACGTCATGGGAGAGTTAAGCTTTGGCGAGTCCTTTGATATGCTTAAAAGAGGCAAAGTATGCTACTTCAATGGAATGGCTGGTGCGTAAGGCTAATGATTACAGGAAAGTCAGTATGTCACGGATAGCCGGAATCATGTACCGCTAAATGTTCTGCGCGTGGCCCTTACCGACATGCCTCACTCTACAACCATAAACTGGCCTGTCTGGCCCTTCACTGAGATCAAAAAGTCCGGTATTCGACTTGTGGCTGGTGCTACGAGCCGCATTGATGCATATCGGAAGTATGTCGCCGAGACTGAGAACCCGCGGGCCATGTTGCTTGACAAAGTGCTTGGTGCAGAGGGGGAGGGCGCGCCGCCGGAAGCTGAGATTGTGTCCCATGCCCAGATCCTCATGCTCGCCGGCACAGACACGACCGCAATTACTTTGTTGTACCTGTTGTGGGCCCTCTACAGCCACCCAGAAGCTCTTTCGAGGTTGCTGAAGGAGATTGAGAATGCAAATCTGCCCGAAGCCCCAGATAATGAGGAACTCCGCAAGCTGACGTATCTTGACAATGTCATGACTGAGACTCTCCGAGTCTACGGCTCAGCACCTGGCCCGCTTCCGCGCTGTGTGGTAAGTCAACCCCAACTGACGTGTTACGTGTTCCTGAGATGGAGCTGATCTCCGCTATAGCCAAAAGGCGGTCGTACCATCTGTGGTCACTATGTGCCCGAAGATTTGACGGTCAGCCCTATCAACTACTGCATACACCGCGACGAGACTGTGTTCCCCGATCCAGAGACCTGGAACCCAGACCGATGGTCGAATGCCTCCAAACAAATGAATGAAGCGAACTTCAGCTTTGGCGGCGGAACCAGGGTCTGCCTTGGCATGCATGTTGCGAAAATGCAGATAAGGATGGCAACGGTAGCGATATTAAAGGCGTTCGGAGATGCTGAGCTCGCGTATGGCCTCAATGGCTTTCGGCCAGAGGGCATGAAGCAGTTTGATGCTGTGGCTGCGAAGCCGTGGGAAGAGCAGATGTTGATCAGGTAAAGTCGCTGACTGCTGCCACGTTAACTTCTTGGGGTTTGCTCTATGAATGTTCCTAAATATGTCTTTACGATTCATTTTCCAATGAGGACTAGACATGCCTGCAATGGTTCAGGCTCCTAGCCTTGCCGGAAACAGGGATAGGAAAGGAGCGGCACGCTGAGCAATCGTATCGGGCTATTGAGGCACACTAGAAGCACGTGTCGAGGCGCACATGCTTGCTATTGGTGCGGGAGATATCTAGTACATAACCATCTACTGGTACCCGGTACCTATTATTAGACTTATGTATACAAACAAACCTTAGATGGTCGCACTCACGATGAAGTTTACAAGGTTCAGTCATATTCTGTCACGTGCTACGCACAGGCGTATATATAGCTTCTTCACCGCCATTAGGGCACCATCATTCTTACATATTTACACAATACACACCACATTCCACTTCCACAGCTTGTCCAGGCCGTGACAGCATCTGTGAGTAGTGAATATCTTTGAGTTTAAGAAATCGATTTAAAGCTAAACATTGCTAGCACGGCAGCGTATTACAAGAGCGACAACGAACTAGTCATCGTCGGCGACGTCGGCAAAGTCGAAGGAAGTGAGGCATACCAGAAACATTTCGCAGACATGGTTGAATATGAAAGCCAGATGATGTACGAAGACCTCTTGTAACTTTTGAAGTCTACCTTAACATTAAATAGAGAGCCCTTAGGTTTCAATACCGACACATCAATCAATGCTTTCCAGTTTTCCGGAGGAGTTCATTCCACCGTCAAGGAGCTCGTAGGTATATTTGCCAAAGTACTCTTCGACATCAAGGAGTTATGCTCCGAGAAGATTGGAGAAAATAAACGTATCGCGGTGATTGTCTTACCTAGCAAATTATGGTGGAACACCGATATCCGGGGAGCCGTCAAGGTCGCCGGAAAAAATACTCTCGGCTTCATTCAGCCAGACCATCAAATACTATCTTATGTCCGTGCCACGTGTGGGCAAAAACTACTCAAGCTACTCAAGCTACTCTAGAGTAGTCTTGAGTAGAGTAGAGTAGAGTACTACTCTAGAGTAACTCAAGAGTAGTCACGTGCAAGATATATAAATATAGTAATACAATATTTATTTAATTATTAATAAATATATAAGTTTCCCTATTAAGCAGTACTATATACTCGTACTCCAGGGAAATACATCCAAAATGCAGGGGGGATGCTTGGCAGTGCCGCCCTAAGAAAAGCTCTTAATATTTTGTATACCATCCATCTGCATCAATCACAGCTTTACATCGCGCTCTCATACTATGTACAAGCTCTTTAATTCTCTCGTGCGTAATCGATTCCCAAGCTTCCTGAATTGCAGCCCTTAGCCTCTTATAAGAGCTATGGACTTGAGGGTAATGCTCTTGTATATAGTCCTTCATATCGTCCCAAAGCGTCTCAATTGGACTTAAATCAGGTGAGAAAGGAGGCCATTCAATAATCCTTAATCCTGCAGCTGCAATTACAGACCGTGTAAAAGCGGAAGCATGCCCTGGTGCGTGATCTTGTTGAAAGTACAAATCAGGATATTGGCGGAGGATATCGTCGACGATTGGGATAATAATACCAGAGTAAGAGCCTTCATTGATTGTCTCCCAATCCTTCTCCCAAAAAAGCCCTCGATGGCGGCCATATCTTCCGCTTATCGACCCCCAAAACATCCATCCAATCTTCTTCCGGTACTTAGATTGTACGCAATCCTTATGATATACCTCTTCTTCCCCAATCTTGCGTGTAATCCAAGTCCGTGTATGTCTCCCAGGTTGTGTCCACGTCTCGTCACTCCAAAGGATCTCATCCCACTGCTCGTCTGTCCAATTCAGATGTTCCTTCGCCCAGTCAAGCCTCTTCTTCCTATTCTCCTCAGAAAGAGGAGGTTTCTTCCGTGAAACGCGGCGAACAAAGCCTTCCTTCTTGAATGCCGTACGTATAGCCCATTCTCCACAATTCAAACCGAGGATCCCTGGGATCTCAATCCACGGCGTTTCGCGATTCTCTTGAGAGGCTGTGGCCCATTGGATTAGCCTCTTTCTTTGAGGGGTATTGAGGATAACTCTCCGGCCGCATCTCTTCTTTTGAGGTGTGAGACGGTGAACGATCGCATAGCAAACTTGATCGTATGTATAGCCTGTTTCTAGGCAAATCTGGGATCGCGTGTGGTGTGCGTCAAAGAAGAGAGTCTGAACCCGTAATCTCTCATCGCGTGAGAGCTGAGCTTTTGGCTGCTTAGGCGTGGGAACTCGATATGTGCTGTCCATGATTGAATTCTGGTGTTTTGGCGAGGAATCACATAGTAAGGGCAGCGTTGGATCATTATAAGATCATTGGTGAAGACCCCCTGTCAGCAGGGAAGGTGCTAGAAATCTTGGCGGCACTTATTACCCCGAGTACCATAGTAAGGCTACTTAAATACTACTTTTTTTTTCTAAAAAAACAGGGTTTCCTCACTTACCAAGCCTCGCCACCACTTGATTGGACAGTACAGTGGCGCTAGGCTCGGGCCACCCCCGGGGCCTTACCAAATTAGGCTAGATTATCACGTGTAACATCACGTGTGGTATCACGTGTATACTACTCAACTACTCTAGAATATTCTAGAGTAGTTGAGAAAAAAAAAAAAAAAGAGTATTGAGTAGAGTATGAGTAGTGAGAAATATAGTTGAGTAGAATATGAGTAGGGCCCACTACTCTACTCTACTCTACTCATTTCCCACACTGTCCGTGTGATACGACCTTATTACAACCTCACAGTTTGCCGCGAAAAATTTGACCAGGAAAGTTGGACAGGGGTGAAACCAGATTGTTGGTATGATGACCCAGGAGACGAGCTATTTCAGTAAATGCTGGTTGAGTACGAAAAGAGTTGGCTGGAAGCAAGGATTGTCAAGTTTTATAGGGGTATAGAGGACGTACTCGTTGAACGTCTCTGGATGAATTTGGGAGAGATTAGTTACAACTCGAGCGTAGTAAGGTGCCTTTCGTTTTGCATTGAGCTAGATTCCTTACAAACTATCCAGGAAAATGTTCAGCCCACAACGAGCCACCACCAAGAGATTGAAAAGGCCATCAGAAGCTTCGTTCCGTCAAATGTAACAGAAAATCTCAAAGGCGTTATCATCGGCGGCGAAGCTTCAGCTCCTGGGCAAACTGCTTTACGAGACAGTATCCTCCATGCGCTACCGCAACTCGTAACAACTAAGATTCTGGACTCCACCGACCCATTCTACCTCGGCGCTGCCGGCGCTGGTCCGATCATTTCACCATGGATACAATTTGGCCGTATGAATCAGTGATTTCACCAAATAATCTAAATTTGGTGAGTTGACCCTCGCCCAAGTGAAATGAGTCATTAGGGAATAGTTTTCTCTATCAAAAAACACAATAATGATATCAATTTTGGCTGACCAGAGTAGAATGAAGTACAATTTCTGCAGGTAACAAGATGGATTTATGATATTGTAAGGAGGTCTCCCTTGTAGTACTCGGAAAGGAGGGGGTTGGGCACGTGATCCTGTATACTGAAGTGGCCCACTATGGCTGAAATGCGGTCCCAGTCTAGAGGCCGGTGCAGGAGGGCCGAAGATGGCTAGAAAAGAAACTGGGGGAGAGGCTGGGAGAGGTGAGATGTTTGACAGCCTCCTAAAATGATTAAGAAAACCAACTGGCAGTGAAAATCACTTGGTCAGTTAGATTTCACCAAATTGTGGTCAACTCACCAAATCTGAAAATTTTGGTCAAATGAATATACATTTTGGCCAAAAATCATATTTGGTGAAATGGCCGGACCAGCGCTGCATATTGGTCCTGATATCTATACAACTATCCTGCTCAGTTGACGGAGGGTGACAACGGAATGTCACATTGTTAATTTAATGAGGACCCGCCGACAGATGAATGTTCGCGGGAATACAGGATGTACTCGGATAGAATGGAAAAAGAGAAGAGACTGGTTGCTGACTATTTTGGATATCCAGAGCCATGCCCTGCTGAGGACAAAGACGGCGATAATTTTCGAAAAGAACGGCCAGCAGGATCGTGAATGTAGCATGATCAGAGATAAGACAAAAAGAGACCCCTTACAACTCTATAACGAACACCTGAAGTCTAGAGGAATCAATGAAATAATGTGTAAGAGTCAATTTGATGCAAATCATTCGTCAGCGACGCGCCGACGGTAGCTCCTATCCTAACCATCGTAACCCCATACCCTATCTTACGCCCATTGGAAGTACTGTATATATGTTTCACACTGAAAATTTTGAGATATAACAGCTCTGACTTTTTCAGGTGCCTCTAATAATTCGTTATGGACGCAAGCTAAAGGTGAAGACGCCGTCTACTTTGATGGACGGCGCAGAAGAACCGTGGCATGTCTAATCTCCGGTGCTTTCCACTGCGTGGGACTTTCAGCTTCCGCCTGCTCGAACATCAACATAACATCCCGAAGTAGAGTTCTAAAACGCCTTCCTGGGGGGAATGTCTCGAAACCATGAGGCTCTAATCCCCACGGCATCCCGTCCTGCCAGGCTTGTCGATGATCCACCGTGGAACGTTCCAGCCCGTATCGATAAGTATTAGGTAATAATGGTATTGGATCGTTCCAATCGTTCCAAAATGGCAGGGGTAGGATTATTAATAAACCTCTCTATTAAAAAAGGGCGGTCCGAGGATATTTGACAAGGATCCGATAACCGGACGGCGGAGAACCTCCTTCCCCACACTTCAGTGACATAGCCGGAACGCGGCTTGAGCACTAAGCTTTGCCACAACCTCAGCACGATGAGCTATTCTCGGCAATGTGGTGAATTACATTTGTTTGTATCCTTTTCCTCTTTTTAATCCTCGGACATGCTGCGCAATATTGTGTAGAACATCGGCCAGCATTGTCTTGAATCTCCATTGCCCAATCCCACTTCTTCCAAGATGTCTTCTGCCGTGCGAATTGCTCCTACGGTGTGTAGTTTGCCTCATTGAGCTTTCCGCAATACTGACAGAAGACTAGAGGGCGACGCGGGCTATGAACCTGCTCAGAACAATCCAATACACGCATCCTCCTTCGTGCCCCTGCCACGGCAATCCTTCTCACCATCATCACCATCAACCTTCCTCCGGGCTTCTCGCCCATGCGAAACGAAACATCCAGCGCAATTATGCCACCCCAGTCGACATGTCGAGACACAAGGAATATGCATTCGAGATGGCTGCCTCCTCAATTCGATTTGGCCCTGGTGTTACAAAAGAAGTGGGCATGGATTTCAAGAATATGGGTGCCAAGAGAGTTTGTGTTGTGACGGACAGCGTGGTGAAAAACCTGGATGCTATGAAACAAGTCATAGAGGGATTGACAAGGGAGGGGGTTGAGTTTACCGTTTTTGATGGCTGCCGAATTGAGCCCAAGGACAGCTCGTGTGTAAATCCCCACCATGCCCCCTAGAACGTGCTAATGTGGTGAAAATAGGATTAAAGAGGCTATTGATTTTGCAAAGCCATATCAACCAGATGCATTCCTTGCAGTTGGTGGTGGATCTGTCATCGATACAGCGAAGCTAATGAACCTATACACTTGCTATCCTGATGCCGAGTTTCTCGACTTCGTCAATGCTCCATTAGGAAAGGGCCTCCCTATTGATAAGCCGTTGAAACCATTGATTGCTGTACCGACGACTGCAGGTACTGGGTCTGAGACGACGGGTACCGCTATTTTTGACCTGGTGTCTAAACGTGCTAAGACTGGAATTGCGCATCGAAATCTCAAGCCGACTCTTGGGATATGCGACCCCCTAAATACTCGAACGATGCCCTCAGCTGTTCATGCGAGTTCTGGTCTAGACGTGTTGTGCCACAGTCTCGAAAGCTGGACTGCCATTCCCTATTTTGAACGAATACCTCGACCTTCCAACCCTATCAACCGCCCGGCATATCAAGGGGCCAATCCCATCAGTGACATATTTTCATTACAGGCTCTTAGGAGCACCGTTAAGTACCTACCAAGAGCCGTGAAAGATCCCGAGGACCACGAGGCCCAAAGTCAGATGTTATTAGCCGCCACTCTTGCAGGCGTTGGGTTCGGAAACGCTGGTGTCCACCTCTGTCATGGTAAGTTCTCCCCTAAAGACTTTAGAGCTGCCCCTAATCCCATGGAATAGGAATGTCATATCCCATTTCCGGTCAGAATCCTGGGTATCGACATCCCGGCTACCAAGTTAGCAGCCCGATTATCCCCCATGGCGTTTCCGTGGCTGTTTCTGCTCCAGCTGTATTCCGCTTCACTGGTGCTTCAAATCCAGACCGTCACTTAGCTGCCGCAGAAGCCTTTGGCGTTGATATATCGAACGTGAAAAAGGAAAGCGCCGGCGAAGTCCTTGCAGATGCCTTATCCAAGTTCTTAGCAGATTTGGGAGACCAGCCCAAGGGGTTGAAGGATTTGGGCTTCAAGAGAGAGCATCTTGATGATTTAGTCGAAGGTACCATCCCTCAAGCTCGTGTGTTGATGTTGGCCCCCGGCTTGGCAACAGAAATCAACGAGGAGAGAGAGCAGCTGAGAAAATTATTTGAGGATGCTATGGAGCATTAACGTGAAAATTTTGCTCTTACCCAAGGCTGTACATAAGTGAATTTGATCTTGAAGGTTGTTCTCGCTTCGGAAGGCTATTCACGAGTATATTTCTTCGAACTTCGACTTCCCATTCACGCCTCCACGTCATCTTCCAAGCTTCAACACCATAACCTCGCAGACCATGGAAACGACTTTGCATCGCTCGCGCGATATTGCCATTAAGTCGTCCAAGTAAGTATTTGAACCGAGATAATTCAAAGACGGTCCTGCCTTCCAGGACCCGTTCGCTAACCCCCTTTCCCAGCGAATCTACCCCGAGACAGATCGACTATAGCAATCCTTCAAAGAACCAGCATGTCGCTACTCCGACTATTAAACACTACATGTCATGCGATGGCGATAGGGAAGAAGAAGCCGCGAAGAAGTACGTTGTATATAGTGCTTTGTTCTGTGCTTCAAGTCACAATGATTAACATGTCTACAGCAATAACTCCTCACTGAACGACCTGGGCATCATCTCTGCCTTCTCTACCTTTCCCGGCGCTAATACCCCACCCAGCAATAGCAGTGATAGCTTGGACAAGTCAGTGTATATTTTCGTTATTCCTATACCGATTACTATAGATATTAGTCGTAGTACGACTCAAGCCGGCGTCGCTTTCATTTATAGATCGACCCTGCAGTCGCTAACTTCACAATAGCGACCTGACGCCATGGCTGCCATTCACTCAATCTGCTACATCCAGCTTGTACAATTCAAGAGGCGCTGGTTCCCATTGCACCAGACCCGGTATGCACAATGCAGGAGACTCAGCTTCCCAATGTGCCAGAGCTAATATGTACAATGCAGATGGCTCTGTTACCCAATGTCCCAGAGATGGTATGTACAATCCAGGAGAGTCTGCAATGCAATGTGCCAGAGCTGACGGGTACAATGCAGGAGATTTCGTTACCCCCACCCGTCGCCGGGCAAATTCATCGCTATCTACCGTCTCAATGTCCAATGTACCAGAGTACCTCTCGGCCAGTCAGCTCTTGTCGCCACGAGGTCTCGCAGCCACGTCGTCACTCTTCGAAAGCACTAAATCAGATGAAAGTGCGAAGGTATATGCACTTCGTGGCGAGGATGTTGTCACCGGTCTCGGTATCGCTAGTGTCAATATTTTCAGCCATCTAGTAGAATGTGGTGATGTCTACGAGTTCTGCCACAGCGAGGAAGGAGGTGGTGTCCCGATTAGGAAGGGGCGGAAGGGAGGAAAGAAGTGGAGAAGGGATGAAAATGATATTGATGGTGACTTCGTGGCGATTGACCACTACCATTTGGAGGAGGATGATTGTTCCAGCGGTGACGAGGATTCTGATGGAATTGCACAGGGTGGCGTCTCGTTGGATGTACCCACTCCCTTCCCAAAGTTTGGTAAGTCCATTGTTCCCCCCTACTGATATAATGGAAAGTAACAATTTATAGATGAAGTTACAGCTGCGATATTGGAAGCTACGGGTGGTGTGACCTATACCATGCCTATTGGACCAACTCGCTCTGGAACAATGGAGTATGTCCTAAGCCGCCGCTGCCGCCGTTAGGTGGCTATTTATTGTACTTCAGAGGCGTGGAACATTCGAATTATGGATTAGAAAGCAAGCAGTTTATAAATAAATATTCCCCTGAAAGTACTATTGCTTGATTGTACATTTTGAAAACAATAAGCTCAAATATTCCAATTTTTACTTGAATAATAAGGGTAATTAAATATTGAAAGTACCATGTTCTGATTAAACAATGGAAATCGAGCAAGGTATAACGTTCAGAAACTTGCATGAACTACGAGTAATCTTGAATATTAAAGTCTTAGGTTCTGATAGGGCATTCGCAAAATAGAACGGTGTAAATGTTCCCCTCTTCACTTGAACAATGAGGAAACCAGAACCTGAGAGTACCACGGCTTGATAGAACAATGGAAGTAGACCAGGTTTCATTGTTGCATTCATTACTTTACTAATGGAGAAGCTGGAATCTGAAAGTAATATAGTCTATTGGGCACATTAGAAATAGAACAAGTTGTAGATGTTCCTTCCTTTCCTTGTACAATGAGGTGCCTGAAATCTGAATGCCCCACGGCCTATTGGGACAATGAAATAATAAAAGGCGTAATTGTTCCCATCTTGCCCTGGACAATGAAACATCAAAGTGTCATGCTCTGATTGAACTATGAAAGTAGTGAAAGGAGTGAAAGTTCCAATTGCTAGCTGAAGTATGAAAGTAGCGGAGGCTCTGAAGGTTCTAGTATCTGTTGGGATAATGAAAACAGGATGAGTGATGAAAGTGCCAGTCTGTGTTGGAACAATTCAATAGAAAATAGAACGTGAAATTTCCAATGTCGGGCTAGACAATGAGAATAAAGTTAGGCATAACAGTAACATTGATCAGAGAGTTGCTCATGGATGTATGTTCCTGGCTTGCATGAACATTCAGAAAAATGAGATCTAAAAGTCTTGGTCTGTACTTTGAATATTGAATAAAGGAATTTGAAAGATCTCATGTCTAGATAGAGTATGAGAGCAGGTGAGGTCTAAAAGTGCCAGTCTTGGCTCGAAAACAGGGAGCATGAGCACGTAAAAGTCCCAGGCTCTTCTTGAACATCCAATGCAGAGAGGTTGGGAGGTTCCAAGGTCAACTTGAATATTTCGGGCATATAAACATTTGAAAGTCCTACCCTTTCCTTGAGTATCCAAGAGTATGAAACTGATGAGACATCGAAAGTACCCTAGTTTGCTGAACTCGGAAACAATGGAATTTGAGGAGGAACAGCACAAGTGAAAGTCCTCGCACTTGCTCGGATATTTAGCAGTCTGAGTGTGAAGGTTTCTTATCTGCCTTGAATAATAGAATGCACAAATTGTTACAATAAAACGTTGTTATTGTATTGTAATAATAATATATAGATAGATGAAGAAGAAAGAAGGTGTGGCACGGGTGGCCAATGCTTAAATATAGTGAGTGTGGTCATGTGAGCCTGCACGTGACCACTGGCACGCAGTTGCCATGCAACACAAATACTCTACTGACTTTTAAGACAGCGAAAAGCACAGAGCTCTTTCTGGCCATTGCTAAATGATATTACGTGAAAACTTCCCGGTCTTTACCTGAAAATGTGAACAATTGGCGTAATGTGAAACGGCTGCCCTCAAGTTGAAGTAAGCGTCTCTAATGTGGGAGGTCTTTAAACAAGGGAGAAGAAGCAGGAGGTCTGGAAAGCAGCCGTCAACGACATTGGAATTTGGTGAAAAGCGTGAAAGGTGCAAGCCTGGGGAGCGCTTAGAGCATTCAAGAGAACGAGTGCGTTCTCATTCTCCTCGTACCTTCCTAATTTGAATGAATGGCTTTCACTGCGCCATTGCGTTGGTGTGCTTCTTGGATGAAGAGGAAGTCACGCCTGCCTCGTAGCAAGAGGAGCCATGGGACCTTCTCGACACGCTTAATCAGAACTAAGGGAACAACACCCAATTCAGCAGGAACTTCTGCCCTTTAGTGATGAAAAATACTCAAGGGTATGTCGCCAAGGTGTATTGTTGGGTACGTGGCCACAGATTTTTGAGAAAATTTTGTCACGCATGACCAGATCTACGCAGGATACCAAAATCATGATATGGAATGGAACATTCAAATGAGAAAGAAATTCCATAGTTCTGTCTGAGAGAATTATATTGCCAATTGGTGAAAGGTATAGTACATTTGTGAATAAACTTTCTTTCACCTTGCCTAGAATTCATGCCATTGATGCAGCCCACGAACTCCCCTTTATGAACACGATAGAACCGAATCCTGCCTGTAAGGTTGCATTACTTGCATCGCTTGATAACCAAATCAAATCCCTTCTCTGATACATTGAGGAAACGACCCAGAGAATCAGTAGGCAGCACTCTGTCGGTAAAAATCCGCTGGTCCTCCAGGCGGTGCACTTGGTCCTCCACGCCCTTCTGCCGATCCGGGTCGTTGGTATGGTTTGTAGCCTTGATTTGCCCCTTGACTTGGTAACGTGTTCCTAGCGTCGAGTGGTTGCCCGATCACGGGGTATCCAGCATTCATTGAAACTGGTGCTGGAACAGCCCCGGCCGGAGGAGCTGGTGGTTCATAGCTGGGTTGTTGTGGAGGGTAAGATGGCTGCTGTGGGGGAGCGTAGGCGTTGTATTGTTGTTGTGTAGGTGGCGCCTGTTGAGTTGCCGTAGGGCCAGCAGAGTAAGGATCTTCTTGGGAATACAATGATGCACTGTATGCGGAAGCCGGATTTTGTTGCGCCACGGGAGAGTCGTAGACTGACGTAGCGAGTTCTTGTGGATTGGAGTAGGTGCTTTGAGGGCGGTGACCGGTCTGCGGCTGAATGGGGTATTGGTTAAGGGGTGGTGAGCTCGTTTGAAGAGGTGCAGGTTTAGAATTTGAAGGGATCCGAGGGGTGGGGTCTCTTTGGGGATATGGCTGCTGTGCTGGCGGCCCTGATGGTCCTTGAGGCTCAGGAGGAGGTTGTTGCTGATTTGTTACGACGTAGAATGGTGCTGCCCCTTGGCGATGAGGCTGTGGCGGGTAGCCTTGAGGCGAAGAAGGCTGTTGTGGGTATGGCTGTTCTATTCGAGATTGTTAGCAAATATTGGTGTCATAATTATAGTACATAACATACCTTGTTGAGGATTTGGGGTGTAATATCTTTGAGGTTCTTGTTGAGGTGGAGCAGCTTGCGGTGGGTAGCCCCCGCCATATCCTTGATTATGACGACCATATTGATACGCAGGTTGCGTTTGTGTCATCGATGCATCCAGAAGGTTCTCATAATCACGGCAAGATTTAATAAACCTTTCGTTGAGCTGTGTAAAGTCGTCTATAGAGTGTTAGTATGAGAGAGCACGTGAGACTATTGCTGGCAGTACCTTTTCTTTGAGAGTACTTCCCAATAAGTTCGATGAGCTTCGGTCGAATGGCAAGAGTTGAGTGGTATAGTTTCTATAGACTTGTCAGCAAACGTCGAGAAGTATGAGGTGGTAGTACGCACGGTAATCTCCTCATTGTCGCGGACATTCAAGTCAGACGTTGAAGTACTCAGCAGCGTAAGCAGCTTCTCCACATTCTTAATCTCCGCAAATACTTCCGCCTCCATCTGTGCCTCTCGCTGTAGTTCTTCCGCAGTAGGGTCCGCTAGCTTCTCGACATAGTTCAAAGGGAAGATACCGGTCTGTCCCCTCAACAAACCCTTCCACCAATCCTTGTAAACCGACTCCAATACCGCAATGATATCGCCCTTTCGGAAAGTTAATTCGTCTGGATCTGTAGCATGGAAGTCAAATAGAGCTCGGACTCGCGAGACTGTTGCTGCCGTAGTCCCTGACGGGACTGTCTGAGTCAGAGCAGCCGGTTGTGACTGCGAGGGACCAGCGGAGGTGGATTGTTGAGCTGGTTTTGGTTGTGTTTGGGCCGTCTTATCTTGTATAGACAATTTCAGAGCCATCTGCAGCTCCTCTTCTTCCTTTTGACGATCCAAATCTGTGAGGCGGCTCTTCGAGGGTGCGGAGGGAGGGTGGAGGTTCGGGTTCTGGCTCTTGAGCTTATAGTATTGGTCCTTCATTATGCCCAGATCCGGATCCTTGAACATATCCGCCCATTCTTGCATTCGTTCTAAGATCTTTGCCTTGACTTGTTGATGTGTGTTTCGGTCGTTCGCTAATCGCAGCAAGGCGTCTGTGAAGGCTCTCGAAGCAAGCTCTCGGTGCATCTTAGGGCCACAGTTCTGGCTGAGCGCATTGGCAAGCTAAAGTGGCCATTAGCAGAAGTAAGGTGATAGAGACCCGGAATGTCTCTGACCTCTAGAGTGTATAATTGCACGTTGGCATTGCGATGGGCCAGCCTCTTGATCATACTCGCCACGGCATCCTTGGCACCACTGTCTTCCCCGGTCACCTTGTCGCACACGTCCATGATATACTCCCAGTTCTCGGAGGTGAGATTCTCGTCAGTTGCTTTGGCTATGAGAGGCAGAAGTCAGTGCCTCGTTGAGGTGGTAGGCAGGTATGCCTGAGCTCTCAAAGCTGCAGATTTGACTTACCGACGACATCATCGAAGGCGTTCTGCTGAGCGCGGAACATAGTTGCGGTGATCTGTATTGTCTTCTTCTACAGCTCGAGGTATTTGCTTCGATGTTCGGAGTGAAGTGGGATGGAGGTTTGGAGATGTGAGAGGCTGAGGCAATTAAGCGGCACATTCGAAGCTCCCCGCTAAATTTATGCCTGAATTTAGGAACGGCTCAGGAACGTCATGCCCTGTTGCGCGTCTTTCTAGTCACTGCCCCAATCTGCGAAGGCGAATCTAGGCTTCCATTACAAAAGTGGATTAAATGCGCCGAGAGTACCAAATAGGGGAGGAAGCAAGTTCTCTGATTGGCATTTTTCTAATCCGTCTGTGACAAGAAGCCACCATGAATGGCAGGGCTGGCAGCCGGACTGATTACACGTGATGGTCGAGAACCACTTGAAGAATTATATCCAGCTCTTCACTCTACGTCCTTTCTGCAAAAGCCTGTCACTCAGACCAGATATTTCAGCGTGACTGAATGCGTCTATTGGAAGTAGGTCTGAAAGGACCACGCCCTGGAAACTCCTCCGACACTTCTGAGCGCTGCTTCGTGTCACTACCCCTGGGTATGAAGAGCATATCCCTCAATATTACGACCTTTCCAGCAAAGAAACTTCCCTCCAACCTATTCGTCGTAGGACCTACGACAAATGTCAGCACCCACTCAAAAATAAAATTCACTTGCAGGTAGACTTATCCCCCAAAAAGATGGAGGGGCCATCCCAAGCCTGCAGAGCAGAACAAGAGACGACCCAGGACTGCCCACCATAGGCCTGTCCTCTATTCCTCAACCCTCCGATAGGCCCGCCCACACCAGAGACAATCCACGACCCAACACAGCGACACATCTGTTAACACTCTCCATGCAAGAACTCCAGCAAAAGACCCAGCGCTACCCAGAACAGACAAGCACTAAGCTTTGACTCCAACTCGAGATGGGTCCCGTTCTAGACGCTGAATAATTTCTATCATCCAAGCCGAAGAAGCATCAAGTTCGTGTCTGCAGCATGAATCAATAGGAGGATCTCACCGATGCATCCAGTCTCGTGCAACCCACAAATCCATCATCCAACCTCACAACCACGTCCAACCAAAATGAATTGACCGTTTTCCCACCATCAACTTGATTCGAAACTTCGGCAGGAGACCGGACTTGTACGGACAGCCAAAGATGAGCAGATACCTTGACACGACTTTCGAAGCTTCTCTCTGTTTGGATAGCAATACCCTCTGAGATAAGTTTTATGTTTCCTCTGTACCACAAGAAGAAAATACAGGGCTGTGAGCGGACAAAAAACATCAACAAAAACCGCGGGCGTCTCGATAGTTCCAGTCTACCGAAATAGATAGGAGAGCGAGGAAATGGTGTACAATCATCACGGAGATGAGAGACTGTGCGTCGGCGTCTTCCATCACCCAAGGTCCGAGCCTAGGGGAGAAAGTTAATGCGGCTGATCGGGATCACACGAATGACAATGCCTTTGGCTGGTGCCATGGCAGAGACCTTGTGAGCTGACTACGCGGTATGTTGGCCGCGAGTTTCTGAAGGGAGGAGAGGATGGATACAACGTCCTTCGTGCTGCTTGAAAGCTGCCGGCAGGATAGAGAGAGGTACGGAACGTCTTCACTGAAATGAAACGCGCAAGCCCATCTCGTGGACTTGATGAAAGGGGTGGTCGATTGGGTACAGAGACTTCCGGAACTTGGCAACACGCCATTTCTTCGTAGCGGTAGGCCACTTTGAAGGACCATCTGACGCGACATGTTTCTGTTTGAAGACTCTGAAATCTCGCTACAAATGCACATATGCAAATGATTCCGACGAGTGAGATCAAGGCCAAATCACAACCGTGAGGAAGTGGAAACACGCGCAGGAGACAGTCTGTTTGTAGGCTTTCCAAATAGGAATGCTGTGCTCAGTCCCCATAATCCAAAAGAGTCCCAACCATCTTGTCTTCGGAGTGTGTAGAGTAAACGTTGATCGATTCGAACAGCTTGATGAAGATCCCAAAGACACCTTCTCAAGGAAGAGCCTGTACCTCTCCCACATCGCATCTCCTCTCCATACCATCCATTTGAGCACCGACAAAGACGATCCATAATAACCAGAGTAACGCCCAGCAGAAAACCCTGACGAGCATCCTCGCGTGAGGATCTTACCAGAATGGCTCATAGGAGAAATCTATTTTATCGTCTTTCGACATCTGGACTATCCCTCCAAACTTTCAGTCCCTAGCCTTGTTCGAATCGTTCTGCCTTTCGGCGTCGCAACCGTCACTAAGCAGACGAGGACCTAATGATTTGGAAGAGTAACTGTGACCGCAAAGCTGGAACCAACAAATACTTAGGGTTAAGTTCTGGGCCCAAATTTCCATCCGGAAACGGAGACCAGAAGACTGTCGGGAAGGCGAGGTGCTTGATTTGCAAGTGCTCTGGAGAGAGCGAGAGAAGCTTCGTAGTCGCGTGTGGTTGCAAGGCAACTGGTAGCATCCATGGAGGTCCGATACGCGTTTGGCGCTGCAAGTGAAGATCCGAAGCTGACGCCAGTCGGGTAACAATTCGAGGTAGAGACAGAGGAAGTAAGAAAAGGAGAGGGAGTTGTAGAGCATTGCAATCGACTAATTGAGAGGCAGCGGTTGGTTAAGGTGGAGAGAGGAAGAAGGAGGAAGAAGAGTCGAGGCTGAACTTCATTTCGCGCCATGGTCCGTGCCACCCCATACCCAAACATTCGCCAAAACACGTGATATCGCCCGCTTCATCAATTTTTTGTCTCCAACTCTGTTCTCCGTCATCAGAGTTTTCACCAAACCTTCAAACCTTGACGGTCCGTAGTCTTGAAGTATCAGGACCCAAAGATGGCACGCGCATTCGGCCCCCTTAGACCGAGATCTTAGACGCAGGACCTGTTCTTTTGCGGACCGCCGTCACGAGCTTGGGTGGAGCTGAGACTGTCAAAGCAGGAGAAACAGATAGATGACAACAGTAGTTTGTATCAGCAGGTTAAAGCAACAATACCCTCGAACTTCCATAAGAACGTCTTGAATTTATGTGCCGGCCATGGCGGATGAAAGTTCTGAGAAGGCTCAACCGCCACTTGTTGATCGTATTCTTCAATGCGGAAAGCAGGCCTTCGATCCTGAAATTTCATGGGAGACGAGAAAAGCCAATGTCCCTGCATTTTCCGCTCTTCTAGAAAGGTTTGTTGCAATTGCACATGCTGAAATCATCTATTGACTTTCTCAGTACAAGTACATTGGCACTCATGTCGGTCTTGAATCTTCTCGTGCAACCTGATCGAGTACAGCCATGGCTACGAACACCCCTCATATCAACTCTGGCACGACTGCCTCTTCGGCCTCGAGGCGTTCAGGATACGATCGAGTTTATTCTTTCCGTCCATCCGAGTAGCGCTGCTCGTAACGCATCAGGCAATAGCGGCAGAGGATCGAGCATTTCTCACGAAGCCTTGAATGCAACGTCGCGTTTGCTTTCCTCCCCTCCTGTTAGCATGTCACCCGAGAAGTGGTTTTATGGCATAGCGCCTCAGCTTTTCTCTCTACTCGAAGGCGAGGGCGAGCCAGAAATGGATAAAGCTGCAGCATTTGTCATTGGATTTGGAATTCTTGGTAGGAAGCAGTTTGGTGCACCTGGGATGCCGGGTTGGAAGGCATTCGTGGAGCCATTACTAGTAGCCATCGATCCAGCTCTCCCAACGACGGTGAGTTCGAAGCAACCTTCAAATGATGTCGAAATTTTAGGATCTCGGAAAATATTGGTATCCTCTGAAGAAGTTGCCAAATGCCTTCGAAGACTATCAACGTTGTTGACCTCACATCCACACCCTTCCTTGACCAAAAGACTCCTCAATCCAATTCTTCTCCCACTTTGGTCTTTGTCGTCTTGGCCTCACGGTAATGAATATACTGAGAAGTCCTACCGGAAACCGGCAGCGAAGTTGCTGAGGACGTTGCTCCAACTATCATCAGGCGCCACAGACTCGAGCAAAGCTGAAAAGCCCAGCCCTAATCTGTTAATCACAATTTTGCAAAATCTTACATTTAAAGGAAGGTCAACGAAGACCGAAAAATCATGGTTGTACAATACTGCTCAGGACGGGGGTGTTCAGATTGAAAATATCAAAGGAAGCGAACTCGAAGATAGTTCAGACAGCGATTTGGATCTGTCAAGACTCGATCCTGCTGTTGACGCTTTCATTGATCTTCTTCAAACCTTACCAGACCTGAAGACCGATGTTTCGGAGTTATTCATCAATCTGTGCATGAAGTGGCTCTCACATAGCACAAAAGACCAGACTAAGCCAGTCGTCATCAGTGTTGAGCAGACTGCCGCCAAGTACGACGTTCAGAACAGCCTCGTCGAAGCAAAAGTAATGCAAAAGATGATGAGTACTTTTCCGGGAAAACTAGTTGAAGATTCGACTCAGGTCCTCGATCTTGTTAGTCAAATCTTGTCCGACTTCACCATGAACACTACCACCAGTAGCGAAGATACGGTAGCAGTCGCACTCAGCCTTCTGAACATTGTCTTCACTTCTCCGAATTTTCAAGCAACCTCTGGAACCGAACCTCGTCTCGAATCTATCCAGAAGTCTCTCAGTTCTATCAGCAGGAAGCGAGATTTAGAGACATCATCGACAGCACAAAATCTCTTGCTGCTCTTGAAATATCGAAGTACGCTCGAAGAGCCTGCCCCCGGTACTATGAATACGCCAACAGACCGGCAGCTGGAAGACAGGAAAAGCTACAGTCTTGCAATGTCGTATCTCACAGGGACTGAATCACCGCCCCCCGTCAGAGTCCAAGGTCTCGAACTCATCTCCGACTTGATTCGCAACAGTAGTCCTACCATCGACGTCCCGGCTCTGCTAGCCCTCTTCTCCTTGCTGCTCCAAGATAGCGAAGAGTATATCTACTTGCGGGTAATAAAATCCTTCATCCAGCTCTCTCAAAAACACCCAAAAGCAGCGATGAAAGATCTCACCGACCGTTACGTGGATCCGAACGAAGAGCACGAACTAGATCAACGGCTCCGGCTGGGCGAAGCGCTCCTCCAAGTAATCGAACATAACGCCTCGGCATTCAACGACGAAACAGCGCGAGCTGTGTGTGAAGGCCTGCTATTTCTGGCCAGCAGACGAGGGTATAGACCAAAAACCGAACAGCAGCAAGAAAAGAAGAACAGGTTGAAGAGAAAGCAAGACGAAGAGGCGGAAGAAGCATGGGGTGGAGAAGTGCCTCAACTCGACGAAGCTCTAGATGAAAAAGCTGAGGAAGAGCACGAGATTCTTTCCCAGATCGTCACGGGATGGGAAAGCAAGCGTGGGGCTGAAGATATCCGGATCCGAGCTTCAGCTATCTCAATCCTCGGCTTAGGAATCGAAGCCAATGTGGCAGGCATTGACTCGAAGATACTGTCTACTGCCGTGGATCTGAGTATCCATATCCTCACTCTCGAGTCGGAGCCAGAAAAGGGGATCTTACGTCGCGCTGCGATCCTCCTAATTATGAATTTCGTGCGAGCTTTGGATGCAGCTCGAGCCGAAGGCAGAAAGTTGGCGTTTGGATTTGCCGGGCAGAGTTTGGAGGATGTACAGAGAATTTTGGGATATGTTGAAGCGTCGGATAATGATGGGTTGGTGAGGCAGCATGCTAGAGATGTGATTGTGGGGCTTCGAGCATGGCAATTTAATGCACTGTTGCCGCCGCAGAAGGAGCAGACTCAGATTCAGGACTTGGCTGGATTGTCGATTCATCCGAGAGCTGACGAGGGTTCGAGTGGAATGTCGAGACCAATGATTGAGGAAATTGAGTGACAGCGATTACCTCAGATATCACAAACCCGATTCAGTGGAGAGAAAGATAGATCGTTGCATAGTAAATCTAGTGCAGATCACACCCAGGAAGAGATGTTTACATTGCAATTCTATCAGAAGCTCTGAGTCTGAGCTCGGCTGGAAACGCAACTATGGAGGGGCGAGGTAAGAAAGGAGGAAAATTAGATATTAAATCTGTCTCTGAGAATCTGTTGAAGCGGTTTCTGCGGGTGACCAAAATGCCGCAACGCCTTTGCCCTCAGGATGTATGCCTGGCCTGAACTCCATAACAATGCACCCATTCTATTCTTAACAAACCAACGCCTTGAATGCAACACAATATTCAATCAGAGGCATGCAGCTAGAGCAAACTCCCGCTCTAGTAAGCTCTTCCCCTGTTCTGTAACAGATGTAATCTCCTTCTTTCGTCTCCATCCCCTAAATGCGCGGGTGGCGGTGGGTGGATTGGCGTAAATCCCATAGTTGACCATGGATTCCTTCGTCCATTCACGGTCTCTCCAGTCTCCGATCCAGGTGTCGCTGGGCCGCTGAAGGTTCGAGTTGGACTGGGTGCTAAAACCCAGATTGTCGAATTAGTATTGCCTCTCAAGGATGTGATTTTGGAGTTGAGTTGTTGCGTCTTACGAGCCGCCTACTGTCAATGTCTAGAAAGCAAACGGCTCGCAAGACATGCGAATGTGGAGGTGGAAACAGTGCTAGTGCTCCGGGGAATTTTTGGGGGCTTACGTGCTGAGACTGCTGCTTCGTAGTTTGGCAGGGCGTTATTGTAACTAGTACTTCTGATCGGCGTCTGGACTGCAGTTCGGTACGATGGTACTTTTGTCAGGTCTCCCAGTTCCGAGAAGTCAATATGCTGAGGAGAGTGTTGTCCACTGGTCATGTTCGACACTCCACCTTCTTCCTCGCTCGTGCGTCGGCTTAAGGGATTGCTGTTTGAGCCTGAGTGGTCAAAGTATCCGGCTTCGCCATCAGTGTGAGGCTGGGAGTGCGGGGTATTCCCTCCGGAGTCTCCACCTTGATGCAATTGACGAAAACTGTTGTTTCGGGACCCGAGATTCAAGTCCTGAAGTCTAGATGACAGTGCTGCCGGCGGCACGGCTCCACTTGGATGGGGTCCTGAAGTTAGAGCAGTCAAGTTTTCTGCTGATCCAGTTCGTGAATGATTGTAGAATGGCGTGTTCATCCCTGACTGCGGTGCAGGCGTCATCATTCCACTCTGATCGACATCTGCGTAAAGTTGGTCTAGGACATGCTCTCCATATAGCGGCGGAGCGTGCTGCACAATATCGGTTGATTGAGTGCTCATCGGAGTCTGGTCAACCAGACGTCCATCAGAGGTAAGAGGCATATTAGGGGAGATGAAAATGGTGACCGGAAGCGTAGCACGAAGCTGTCCGTGTCAGTAAATCCTAAATCCAATACGAAATGTAGCCTTACCTCTGAAACATGCCCATCTGGGTTGTGCAACGCAATGTTGAACTTGACTTTATGCCGAATTTTGATCCCATGCACATCCACATCCTGTAAACACTTACTCAGCTTCTTCGGTAATGGCATCTTCTCGTGGAGAGTATAGCCATCTTGGCCACTGTCATCTAACATATCATGGTAATGGTCCTCATCATTCAGTTTGAAAGTCCAGGTATCGATATCTCTCTGGTGTTTCCAAAATCTCTCCGAATTTGCTGTGGACCCTGCGATTGTAAATTCCTGGGCCTCGATAAGCTGGCATTTGATATTGCCGATTCTTAGCCCTTTCAATAATGATGTAAATCTCATTTCGACATCGATCGCTGTCCCAAATATAATAGCTTTTTGGGGTATTACGAGCTGGTATTCGATCTTATTCGGCCACACGTTTTCCACCGTCATCGCGTGTGCCAGCTCCAAAGCCGACGGATCTAATGTTCGGACAATCCGAACTGGCTTGTGGGCGTGTAAGTCGTATGCCAGTTTACCCCGGGCCACAGTAGCCTTCAATTTGTACATGATATGACTTTCTTGCAGACCTTCCACGCTCTCAGCCATTCCACCTGGTATAACGAGCTCGAAAGGCCACTCGTAATTCCCGGAAGGTAGGAGTGTGCCTCTTGATGAGGAGCCTGGGGCACCACCACCGACAAATGGAGCCCATTTGTAAGTGAATATTTCGGTCGCTTTGTCGACTCGATTGTTGGAGATGCCTGTCGGAGTAATCCGTTGGTCGTTCCATCTAAACAGTTCGTCAGCTTCGGCTTGAGACTATGATCTGGCCCACTTACCCAACTTTCAGCTGTCCAGTCATTCGTAGATGCACATCATCAACTTTTAAGGCTGAAGGCAGGCACAGAACCACAACTCCCTTCAGCATTTGGCTCGACGCCTCGCTCTCACTACCACGCAGAACGATAATCTCATTCTCAAGGCTGCAAAATTATCAGCAGAGGACTGAGTCTACGGAGCAGTACAACCAACCGAATTTCGAACAGTGTTGCACTGTTCCTTCCGGTGACGCCTCCGAAAACATTAAAACTTGGCATCTTGGTGGGCTAGGTCATGGATTGTCGCCCAGTTCTTGCTTGAAAGACTCAAGAGGGGCAAGCAATCAAGGAGTGATGAGGAATTGTTCGTTGCGAGAGAGGTTGCAGGATGCAAGTGGCTAAGAAATCGAAGAATGAAAGAGTCTCGAGTACGAGTCAGAGAACTGCTTGACGAAGCTCAGAGAGGCTGGGGCTCTGAAGACCAAGAAACTCTTTTCTGGCTCTTTCCTGTGCAGTCAAAATCTGCCCTGATCAATCACAATCGGGCGACAGAAGCAGAAATGGCAGGAATCCACTCCACTTCATGCCAGGAGGCCGTTGATAGGCACAGGGCAGTGCCTCTGCGGGCTCTGATAAAGAACCTGTGGTAAATACTTGAACGTCAGACGGCGGCGGGAGGTCCACAATCGGAGCTACGGGAATCGCAGTGGGGGTTTTGAAGGATGGCGTTTTTTGGCGGCCGTCGCGAAAGCTTCCTTCCTGGCTCTAGTAAGTAACTTTACCGTAGCCTACCCTTCCGCACCGGCACCAACGACGAAGGGTTTTCTTCCTGTTCCCAACGAAAGCAAAAGGCAGGAGGCAAAGAAGATGACGAGTTGCTCGTGTAACGCTCAGCCTTCGCACACCCTGGTTGAATATATATTGCGCATGGATGCTCTTCTGGGGTTCTGGGAATGGGGGAATGGTCGCACCGCAGGTCCGCAACGGCCTCCTACGGATAAGTACTGTCAGCAGTGGCTGGCTGTTGTCCAGACCAGGGACCGTGGACGCCGGCCGGTAAGCCCACGCTGATGTGATCTGCGCGGGTGGCCTGTTGCAGGGCCTCTCCTGGTGTCAATCATCCCCTTGCAGCAACTGTCAGCTGTAAAAAGCACGCCGGAGGCCCAGAAGCCTGATATTGCAGAGCTGGACAGCAGGGCAAGCAGAGCAAGCAGGGCAGACAGCAGGGCACGAGCCGCAATCAGCTGCACATCCGACCAGTGCATCTTCACATTCAGGCCCGAGTCTACCCAAGGAACCGGTAGTCTCCTTCCGCAGCCTCGGATGGTCCTTGGGTTTCACTTCACCAAGGTTGCGATGCTTCACGCATCAGCACTGAGCAGCGACAGCCAGCTGGTCGTCTTGAAAGCTGTCGTCGACGCGTCGGCGCGTCGGCGTCTGCTCTGTTATTCCTCCGTCTTCCGTCTCCGAACATCGGCCGATAGATTCCACATGCAAACTCACGGTCTTGGATTTTCTTCCGCCACCATGAGGTACATTCGAAACATGTTTCCTGTACAATCTCTGTCCAAATTGTGGGACTTGAAATTCCTGCGATAAGGCAGGCGTACCGTATCAGTGGGCTGAATTAGAGTATTCTTATCCAAACGCCACATCCCCTTTTCGAGGTGGATCTCAATCGGTCCGCAGATGTGGCTTGAGATGCGGCTACTTTTCAAGTTTATGGAAGATCTCCATCGCAGACTTCGCAGTTCAAGGGGCCAGGTGGGCCACAGTAGTTCGGACCTGCCTGAGAGTAACACGCTGTATCCATAAAGAGTCCTCTTCAGGGCCGAAATTCTCCGATTTGAATCGGGCATTTCATTCTTCCGCTGTCGTACAACGCTACCCAGAGTCGGGATAATAGTCTATTGACGATTAATAATCCCGACCACTGCGAAAATCTTCTTAACCTAGGCTATCAAGGCGAAGGGGTAGGAGTTGTACCTAGGCATCAACATCGCCATACGCAACAAACCGGGGCTGGGAATTAAAACAATATCACGTGACTTTAAACATGCCCCCTTTCGAACGTACCTCGGCATTTCCTTTCTATATCCAAGTAAACAAGCAATAGGCTGAGACATATTGCTATTACGACGTACGCAATATCGTCTGACGGTCTGGGATTGCTTTGTCTCTTGAACATCCAATTACCGAGGTGTTCTCGGCTTTGAAGTGATACTGGTCATTACTTCGATTGCAACGTCCCGGGTTCTTTAATTGGCAACTTGCTGTAGAAGGATCTCACAGAAAACCCTGGAACTCCTCGAATCTAATTTGCCAATCTTATCAGCTAAAAGTCACTGTGTGCATGTTCTCATCTGAGAACCTTTACGAAGGCAGACGGCATTAAAATTCGTCCAATTCGCTAAGCGAGCACGGGCGCAATCCTGACCCTCACAATAAGAATTCCTTGTAATTCCGTATCACATTTAATTATCGCAAAAATTCCACAAAAGTTAGATCTGCTTCCTTTCTATCTCGCAAAACTATTTTGAAGATTTTTAGATATTACGTTGAGATTTGGTGTAATTTTCTAAACGTAGCGATTTTGGTGTTCCTCGCTTTTTTGCGGGTGGACGGTTTTTAATGCCGCCCGCCTTCGTACCCAAGAGAGGTCAATGGCCAGTCACGTGAGCGGTATTGCCGCCCAGAAAGAAACAAAACTCATCCGCGCTGTGAGACACCACCCCCATCCTTCTGCCGCGCTTGCATCTCTATCAACACTTTGATATGGAGCTGAAGTTCGATTCGTGAATAGACGAAGAATAGACCACCAGGCTTGATAGTTTTCTTTCGAGGCCTAGACTGACGCTGTCCGAGATATGTCCACGACGTCAACAATATAGAGACATGTAGGGAATTCTGCCATGCAAGAAGCTTCACCCATCATTTGGTCGATGTTGAGAATATCGTGTTTTCTCATGTGGTCGCACACCTCACATCTGCCAGCGAAATCTGGCGCTTTGCCGCCCTCGTATTCTACCCAGTCAACATGCTGCAAAATGTGGGGTCTCTTCTGAAGCACTCAGCCTTCCGAGCCTTTACGTCTCGGCCTGTCGGACTTGCTTCCCCAGCGCAGCACCTGGGAAAATCCAACAAATCGCAAAGGTAGGATGGACCTTCAATTCGAGCATCCAAGTTATTCACGTGGATCGCTGCGAGGATTGTGATGTCGCTGCGCTGTCGGCGATTCCTGCTGGACAGCGACAACAGATTGCCTCTTCCTTGATCGTTTCCCTCCTCCTCTTCTTCACATATGAAAGGAAGAGCTCAGTCTCATCCCGTCGGCTCTCCAAGTCTCGGCCTTGTGAGCTAGTTGTAATCCTCTTCGTCCCTCGTTTTTGCACCTTCGGTCTTTCGTTTAGTCCTACTGTCCAGAATGGATTTCACCATTCGCAACACAGGCGTGCTTGTTTCAGTTGTCGTCTTCATTTTTTGGTATATTGGACAGTCCATCCGGGTCGCTAAGTTCAAGAAGCAGAATGGATGCCGGCCAATTTGCAACCGGCTGCCTCAATTGGAGCGCGTCGTCGGAGTCGATCTCTATCGAACGCAAATCAACGCATCAAAAGACGGAAGAATTCTGGAGCTGGCAAAAAGCCGTTATGATACACATGGAATGACATGGTCAGCTCGCATGATGGGGCAGACATACGTCAATACTATCGATATTGAGAACATCAAGGCCATCCTAGCGAGTAACTTCAAAGACTTCGGACTGGGTCAGAGGCAGGAGGCGTTTGGGGCAATGTTAGGACAGGGAATCTTTACTACTGGTAAGTTATTAGGTCAAAACGGGATAGTCTTTTGCTAACATGAAAAAGACGGCGCAAAGTGGGAGCATTCACGGGCAAGTAATTAGACCAGCTTTGTCTCGATTACCCTCTAACTTCAAGCAGGCCCTCGTCAGACCAAACTTCACCAGGGCTCAGGTAGCCGATCTCAACTCGTTCGAGATTCATATTCAGCAATTCATCTCAAAGATCCCAAGAGATGGCTCGACGGTGGATCTCCAACCATTATTCTTCCGGCTGACCTTAGATACGGCAACCGAGTTCCTCTTCGGAGAATCAGTTCGCTCTCTCAACAGCACCGAAGGCTCGGAAGAAGACCACTTTCAGCAAGCCTACGATTTAGCACAGAGCCGGCTCGCCAACAGGGGCCGGTTGGGAAAGTTGATTTGTCTGTATCGTGATAAGGAGTTTGATGCTGCTTGTAAAACAGTTCACCAGTTCGTGGACAAGATCATCTTTAGATCTCTGGAGAAACTTCACCCACGAGACGCCGAGAAGTCGATTGATGGCAATGGACAGCCGGAACGATATGTCTTCCTAACGGAGATGCTGAAATCGACCACAGACCCAAAGCAGTTACGAGATGAACTTCTCAATATTCTCCTCGCTGGGCGGGATACAACGGCCAGTCTACTCAGCAATACGTTCCATGTTCTTGCTAGACGACCAGATATCTGGAAGAAGCTGAAAGTGGAAGTCGATGGACTCAGAGGCATGAAGCCAGACTACGAGACGTTGAGGAATATGAAGTACATCAAGTATCTCCTCAATGAATGTGTGTAACCCCCGCCAATCCTTTAAGAAGCTGCTAATCGTTTCAGCTCTGCGGCTCTATCCCGTTGTACCGAACAACGCACGATTCGCCAACAAAGACACCGTCCTCCCTCGCGGAGGAGGACCAAATGGCGAATCCCCAATCTTTATAAAGAAGGGAGGAATTGTAGCGTACCACGTCTACGCCATGCACAGACGGACAGACATATATGGGCCGGACGCAAACGAATTCCGACCAGAGAGGTGGGCTTCCGACCTGCGGCCATCTTGGGGCTATTTGCCATTCAACGGTGGGCCGCGAATATGTGTCGGGCAGCAGTTTGCACTGACAGAGGCGAGCTACACGATTGTGAGGCTATTGCAGGCGTTTGGGGGGATCGATGATAGAGATAGATCGGAGTGGATTGAGCAGCTTTCGCTGACATGTTGTTCAGCGAATGGTGTCAAAGTTGCGTTGAACCCGAGATAATGCTTTGCTTGCTCATTCTACATAAGACATGACTTTACGAGACCGCCCTCCACCTAGGAACCAAAAGTAGATAGCCTAATGATCAGACGACTATAACTTTCAGTACGGAGAGTACCTCGACCAAGTTTTCACATTTGAATCACTTCCCAATCAGACTGCCTTCCATCAACTTTCCAGATGTCATCAGAAACCACAGGCATCCCCGCGCAGCCCCGGATCACTAATCACTCCTACCCAGGCCAACCACCGAGCCTGAATCTCGGCTCCACACATGCTTGTTATCCCTTTTGTTGCACATCGCTTTTCCTATCAGACAATGATCACACCACGCCCATCCCTCTCCCCGATTGTCCCCAAAAACCCCCCCGACGCGAAATCGACCGGCCTAGGCCAGAGAGAAAGGTACGGAGGTACTTACCTCTCCCCTCTGCACCAAAAAGAAAGCTTTCTTCAATCTCAGACTTTGGCAAACTAGGGGAGAGGCAACGGACAGAACACGCCACCTTTGCGTCACTTGGGTTTGGAAAGGGAGTGAGGCGAGGGCAAGAGGGAAAGGACTGAGAATTTGTTGCACGTCTGATTTTTTCATCGCCGATCCGCTGTGAAGAGATCGTTGAGGAGGATCGAAAGCCACAGGCGAGGATGAAATGGAGGGGAGTGGCTGGTTGCTTGTGCTGACTGGTGTGGTGTCAGGGGTGCTGGCATCGGATGGTGGTTGGCTGATGGGTAATTTAGTTGTGTATTGTAGACGAAAGCTCCCTCGTGAGTTTTTAACTTGGAAAGAAAATAGTTTTAATTTATTCAATTTCGTTGTGATGGTTGAGGAGGGGAGGAGTCGAAAGCGGGAGAGTGAACCCCTGCATTTTCAGCGTTGGGAGAGAGTATCAGCGGCTTTTTCGGGAGGTTCTCAAGTTCTGGATTATAGGATTTTTGTTCAGTCTCTCTCTAAAATTGTCGATACGGTAGTTTCCTTTCTACTCTGTTTCTTTTGATTTGGTAGCGATGTTGTTAGTCATTAATTCTTCGGAGCGAGGAGCTTGGTGAAGCACACTTCAGTATGATCTCAAAAGGAGTCAATTCTCACCGTGCTTCAAACGATTTGATAGCACTGCAAGTTTTGGGTGTGAGAGGGTGCAGTTGCTCACCTGGTATCTTGCACACTCATAGGAATTAATGAAGTTGTCCTTTGACCCAAGAAAGACTTTGACCTTGAAGATGCATTTACTGGTAATGTGGGGAATTGGCGGAGTTAGGTCTCCGTTATCTAGACCTCTTGTTCAGGAAAGACTTCAGCAATTCAACTATAGGGGACAGCTCTTAGCTTCACAGAGCAGTGATAAGTCCACTGGCAAGCTTTCAGCTGCAGTGGAAGTTTGGTTATGCAACCATAGCAAACGGTAGGTGCTGGCAGTGCTAGAAGCTTGAAAGCTGCAACAGATATTGTTGCACATCGTAACCTGTAATGCAGGATGGGATTTGTGACTTTCCCCATGCGCTTAAAACATTAGGTGTTCCTGGTGGTAAATGGGAGAGCCAAAAGTCCTCTAATCGTGGAGAACGGAGAAAGAGATCAGAGGGAAACAGGTGCTGCATTGCCTCTCTGTGAGTGTACCGTGCCGAGTGGAGTGGCAGCTGCGGTGTCCTCTGCGGGTGAGAAGCCTCGTTGAAATGCTGTGCAGAGATCATAGGCCAGGATAGCCCCTATCAGACAGTGTGCTACCTGCTGGTGAGCCAGCCCACAGCACGCAATTCACCCCACGAAAAGGAAACCGAGGCGTTGCATGCCGTGAGGGAAATCTTCTCGGTGGGTTGTTGGTTCCAGTAATCCACAGAGCAGCAAACGAAGGTATCAGGCAGCTCAGGAGGCAATGCAGTGAATATAGCAGGATTCTCAAGTCGAAGTACATTTCGATGTGATGCTAGTAATTGCTGACTGGGAAGCAGTGAAGCACATTCGAGGTTCTAGGGGTCCCGTAACCAAGGAAAGGCTACCTACTTCAGGACTCGCCTCGGACAGGGATGTTGACCCCGAAGTCTTAAGTGTCTCCGGCAATTGCGGCCTCGACTAGCCTCCTTTCACGGAACTCTGCAGCAAACAACTTCTGTCAGTTCTCACAGAGTACGTATCACATACATCGAGAACAGTGTGAGAGCACCACAATGTGATTGATGCAGTACAGCACGCGACTGGCGGAGCCTCCTCCCTTCTCCTGAGTATCTCAAATTTTCCTCCGTTTTTCGATTCTCTAGCCACTGACTCGTTGGATCCCATTTCCCATTGGCACGAACTTTAGTTCAAAGCTTCTGAGGCGCTGGCTTCTCAGAGTCGGCACTTGGGGTCCTCGCTAATGTGCCTCTGCGATGGTCTATCTGCGAAGCTGAATGCTCTTTTTGAAGGCCGTGGGACCTTTGAGGTAACGATGGTGAACAGTACGACCAAGTAAAGCCTACAAAGCAGCTTTCTGGCTCATAGACAGCAGAGCAGAACTAGTACCGCCATTCCTTTTGCGATGGACTCGGACTTTATGCAGAACTCAGATCGCCAAGACCTAGTTGAGTAGAGAACTCTCATCAGTACCTTCAAAGCAGCCTCGCAAGCCTACCAGAATCTCTTCAACACTTACCTAAACTTCGAGAATCACGAAGCTATACCGGATATGAGAATTCTCGTCAAATGAGCCAGAATATATCGTCCGAGTCGGTTTGTTAGGGCCACAAAGTTCAGGGGAATCTTCCCAGCAACAAAACACTTCGACACACACGTGGAACAGCAGCACTGCAGAGCAAACCCAGTCGATCGATTCGGTGAACCTCTTAGAATTCTTTCCGGTCCGCACAGGGTAGAGATAGCATGTTGAGGAGCGTGGATGTCGAAAAGGAGCTTGGAGAGGAACAATTATACATCGAGTCATTGGGGAAAGTCAACAAGCATTGAGAAAATGCGGTGATATCTCTGTGGAGTAGAGGACAAAGTCACATACATACATACCTGCATACTAGGTTTGGATCCGAAGGCAAGATGAGGGCAATAAGGAGGCAGCAACACAAAATTGGTTTGCAAAGCAGAAGTTCAATTCTCTTGAAGATCGAGCATCCCAATGCTGAGGAGCTGAAGCCATCAAGAAGCTCCAACTTCTTGTGAAATGAGTGAATGCAAAACCATAGCCGGTAGCGTTTCTGGAAGCTGTGTCCCTGGGGACGTTTGAATATCGTGTGCTAACGAAGATCCTTCCGTTTCTGGCAATGACGCAATCAATAAATGGCTGGACCCTGAAATTCCGCGAAAGCAGAAGTGGAAGCAATCACATCCAAGACGGGAGGCCGTTCTTCCCTTCTCCATGTATATTTCATTCCTTCTGACGACCTCCAGGGCATAACAATCGCGCGTGGTTCCACCACCATTCGCATTCGCATCTCACGTTTGCCAGTGCAACCGCCTTGAACGACACGAAAAGGGATTGACCGACGGTGAAACTCATCACATCTTGCACCAAAAGAGAATTCGACTGAATCATGTCCAAGATCTGGCTCCCGAGTGAGGTCGGTTCCATGGCATGGCTCGGCGCACTGAGACAATGAGACCAGATCAAGACCCATATGGGGTCATCCCTGGCACGACCGAGCCTGCCCAGAACGCTTTCTTCCTCGAGCTGTGAGGCTCGACAGGCTGTTGCATAGGATGTCTTGCTGCTTTGTCAGCGTGCTAATAAAGCAAACGGCTGTTCCCAAACAAGATCCTCCGTCGAAGGGTGAAGTCCAAAATTCTCCTCCCAGCAGCGGCCGCGAACCCAGGGCCGTGTCATCTGTTCCAAAGCTGCATCAAAGGGAATCTGGCCCGGACGATGAGGTCTCATTCGATGGCCCTCCGACTGTCTCGACCTCCGAGTCCAATAGCACAACGTCGCCCTCGGGAGGCCGCTTTACTTCTAACACATTTAGCTATCACGCCAATGACAATGAATCTGCTTCCTCCAAAAACTCATTGGGCTAAAAGGTGTTTCGATGGGAGGACGAGCCGTGAGTCCTCAAAGTCATTCTCATGTTAGTAGCCAAATCAAGAATCGCTGACCTTTCCTTTTCCTTTTCGTAGAATCCATATCCTAGGAGCTATTCAGAACTTTGGGGTTTTTGATTGCAATTAGAGAGAATAACGCTGGCCAGTTCAGCGTTCGTGTCGTGAGCGAAAATTCTTGTAGTATTACCGGCCTCGAACCCGACTCCCTTTCGAACTCCGCTGCTTCACGGATCTCTTGATAAAGACCGACAAGAAGGAATTTCTGACCCGCGTTCGTGGATTGAGAAACCAACAAATAGATTCTCGCCAGATTTTGGATTCCTGGCGATCAAAGGAGAAGCTCGAACCATTGGACAATTGTTTGCATAAAATGAAGCCATCATGCTTTTGCAATACATTCGGGAGAAAAACTTTGCAACCATATTCTCAGCCCAAAACCTTTTGAATGATTACTTGGATATCTCCTATGCTCTAGGTTCTATCACGATCGCAGGAATGCTAGTTTTTCCCTTGTCTCTACCATCTTCAGATTTTCTGGCGTTCTTCAGAAAGGGCCAGAGCCAGGAAGTAAAATGCGCAGGGAATCCCCATCAAAAGAAATTACCCAATATGAGATATCTAGAGCCGCGTGCAAGCTTTCGACGTTGGAGCGAGCATGTCATAGGCAGAAGTCGATAGTGGACAGAAGGTCAAGGCGAGTTGAGAAAGAAATTTCATTCTGCACAGCATCATCAATTATTTAGCAACCGCTCTTGAGGAAGTGTTAGACGGAAGAGCCGGCAACATCTACAAAGATCGTTACAAGCTTCGAAATCATTGGTGTTCTAGGTCAATGACCTTCTGAATTTGATGGAAGCCGAGGAGTCCGATTTTGACGTCTATGAGGATAATGTCGATCTGAAGAACAAGATCGTTGAGGTCATTGCCTCGTTCAACAGCGGCTCGACACGGGAGCACCTTGAAATTGAGCTTATAGAAGACGAATCAGTACCGACGATTGTGAGGACGGATCCATCGATGTTGCGATAAGTCATCTCCAATTTGTTAACCAATGCAATTGAGCATTCCAAAGAGCGTCTTGTGTCTATACAACGCAAGCAATCTGCGTTTCTCTTACAAGACATTGTGCTGCAAAGTCACATTGGAAGTAGTAACTTTCAAATGGGACCATCCGAAGCGAGACAGATTTAGAAAACGTTTGATCCTACTGCTCGGCGGTTATCCTTTCCCGTTAACGGCACAGCTCAGAGTGAATGTCATGGTCGCGGAGGACAGCACACTTCAGCGGTCGTCTGCTAGACACACGATTAACCAAAGGAGCCCATGATATAAAGGTTACGCGGATGGCCAAGCGTGTTTCGAGACTTTCAAGGAGAATCCCGAACCTTATGTCGTTATCCTGATGGATATCCAGGTATATACTGTACATGGTGGTTTCATAATAGGATGCAGTACTAATCACTCTTACAATCCAGATGCCGCTCGTGGATGGAATAGAAGCAACTCGTCTCATTCGCGCGTATGAAAAAGAGCATTTACCTCCACTTTCTCAACAGGTCAAGTCATATAGGCGTATCCCCATCATCGGCGTTTCTGCTTCGTTGTCTAACCTTCAACGAGAGGAGATCGTTGTTATATGGAAGAAGTCCTTGGAATAGAGGCGGATATTTTAAGCTCAATGGTAATAGTTCTTCTTGAGCATGCTTTGGGTGGCATTGATTGCAAGAGAGCATTTTGGGCTCTGGCCTTTAGAGGCATGATCTGTGCGAGCATTTATGAAAAGAAAAGCGATGACTGGGCTATATATCGATAGAGAGATAGCCAACTACGATGTATAGTGCAAGAATGAAATGAATGTGAAATTGATTGCAGCTTGGATATTCTCACCATTACGAGACATGCGAAGGATGACGCTTCTGAGATAAGGTGCATGCCAAGAGTCTGACGGAGGGTTCTTCCGTCACACGAGCACTTTCCCTCCTGACGCATGTTTTGACGTGATGCGCTGAACGTGAATGATCTAGACAGCGCTTTTTGGTTCGGTGCCGCAAAATGCAACTCGAACATGCAGACCCCGGAACTCAAAAGTCTAGATTGTTGTAGATATATGAGAAGACACTGCAAAGCTCAAGGAAGCTGCATCCTGACTAGGGCTGGTCGTCACGAGCGCGGCCGAAGTCCCTGGAAAGCACCAGAATACCCGGGATGTAACGCCGTTGACGACATTGATGCTGCATGTTTTCGCGATCCCACACCACGACCCTCACCGCACCCGCCAAGCCCTTGCCGCTGCCGCTGCCAGGGTAGGCACCATTCGCGGAGGGTCCTCCGCAATCTCAGCGTATCAACAGAATCTGGTCGAAATCGCGAGAAGTTCGCTTCCCCTCCCCCCATCTCACAACGCCTGGGCTGAGAAAAAAAAAAGGAATGCTCCACCATGGTAGAAGGTTCTTGTCCATTCGACAGGAGCACTTTTCTTCGCACCAAGTGGTCAGATGACAGAGTCTTTGGCAGTACTTTAGATGCTGGAATCCTGAGTAGAGGTGCACAGACGAGTAGTTTAACGACAAGCCCGAAGGCCCGACGAAGCTCTCTGCGCTCTTCCGCAATTTGTACCCCAAGGACCTACCCCCGTCCAGCCCACACAGTCTTCAGCCAGTTCAGCTGATTGGCGGGTAGCGGGCGTTGCATACTGTGGTATTCGACCCCATAGGTGCTCTGCCCAGCTGGAACGGACTCTGTGGGCCATGCGCGATGATGTGACGACACAGACAGCGCACCCATCCATTGAATCGATGCAAACGCAGGACTGCAGGGGTACCAACATCGACTCCGGCTCTTTAAGCCTAGCCAGTGGCCACTCTCAGGGCATATAAAGATCCTCAAGATCCTCGACTCGAGGTCTAGGCCATTGCACAAGCAGCCCGCCTCCCCGATCCTGGTGGACGGTCGAGCAGAGTGGCCAAGTTGGAAGGGAATAGGAGAGGCGTTCACGTGACCAGTCAAGCGAATCAAGCGAGCCAAGCGAGCCCCCTCCCCTGTCTGCCCTGTCCTGGAATGGCTGCCGCCGCGGACCTCCAACGGACGCTCACAGATCTCGGTCTTGAGCAGTACCTGCCCAATTGCCTCCAAGCCGGCTTCCAAAATTTCCAGTCGCTCAGCTCCGTTACTGAAGCAGAACTTACTGCCCTCGGCATTCGCTTGGGACATCGGCGGAAGCTTCTGCGGAAAATCGCGCGAGACCATGCTTGGCCAGACAACAGGCCGCTCCCCACGTCCTACTCGGAACTGCAACAACACAGAAATAGCGTACGCAGGCTTGCACGCGGAAATGTAGACCCGGACACACTCGAGGAGAACTACTATTCTCTGACAAGCCCATCCCAATCGCCATCCCCATGGTCTCGAGCAACATCGTCTTCGTCTGATTCCACTGTCTCAACTCAGGAGAGTCTGGATGGCACTCGCCTCCAGGTGGCGGGCGTGCTGCGAACGAGCAGCCCCCTCTTCCCCATTGCTGTAAGTCGCGCCCACTTGAGCCATGCATGTTCTGAGGGGGTGGCTGATGGCTGATGTGTGTAGATACATGAAGAGGACAACCACGCTCAAGAGCGAGAAAAGATCTCTCGAGCACTGCGTGGCTTGGGTAATTTTGGCATCCACATCCCCGCCGCCGATCCGTTAAAGTTCTCCGATCCTGACCGAATCCTCGATTCGGAGAAATGGCTGTATGATGTCATGCCTCACGGCCCCAAGAGTGGCTTGAGCAGAGGGAGCAACAGCAGCGAGGCTGGTGTAACCCCAGGTACCCAACCCCTGGAGGCCTTCGTTGAGGCATTCTCCAAGAGCTTCAACCACTTCTTATTCCTGTTCCGCGAGGATGAACTGCGACAGAGCTTCAACCCACGCAAATGGACATCCGATGCAGACCTGCCGATCGATGTTTGTTTGGTCCTTGCTCTCGGTGCAAAGGCCAGCGCCTTTCAAGTAGAAGACGTCCAGAATGAGTGGTACAGAAGAGCGCGCTTGCGGCTCTTGAGTGATGACCGTCAAGACGATCTGTGGATGATGCGTGTGTTGACTTTGATTTGTCTCTTTGAGATTGACGACAACATCGATGTCTCCTATAGTTTCCTAGGTAAGTCGACATGGCGCAGACATTATGGACTACGAGATTAACGCCTTCTAGATGCTGCAACGAACATTGGTCTGGAGAATGGATTAGACTCTCCAGAGCCTACCCTGAATGGGATGAGGGAACCTGCGCTTTCCCAGTGGCTTCGCGTCTGGGACACAATTCGATTTTTGAATCTGTGATTACCCTTACCCCGCTCACCATTGGACAGAGTCCATTGACTTGAATGCTTAGGTGGTTTCTTCTTCAACCGCAAGCAATGGGTAGACAGCTGTCAGACACAAGCCGCTTCCTGAACATAGAGGTTGGTCTGCCCTCCGTAATTCCCAGATGTGGATGCTAATGCGCACAGCAACCTCCACTATTGTCCGATCATTGCCGCAATAGTCGATTGATTCAGATGAGCATTGCAGCTCTCAGTAACCACCTTCGGGAAATTCTGAACGATCGCCGCGATTCAACAAAAGAACCTTCCTCACTTCTATACAAAGCACACCTCCAGGCCCTTGACAGTTGGCATGCGGAACTGCCACTATATACATGTCTGCAGACACCAAACATGGAGGACTCACGAATGGTCAACCCGGAGGCAGATTATCGACAAAAGACTGCAATAGTAAGCCCCATCCCGATTTTGGAAATATGTGAACATACTGACTGGTTCTCAAAGTTGAATGTCCAGTCTCTATTTCTGGGAATTGTCTGCGTCCTATTGCAGCCCGCGTTGATGGCCGTTTTACAATGCATGCAATCTTCGAGCGAGGATGAATTAATCGTGTACGCCCGCCGATGGTAGGTACTCTCAAGGAGCTTGAATATCGATGTCTCAATGAATATTGACTCCACTACAGCGTTTCATCTGCAACTATCTTGATCCGGCTTTGTGATGAAATAATGAGGTCCGGATACCAGTTCTCAGCATCCTGGATTGCACAGTGAGTCCTGGTATTCCCAAACCACGCTCCATGCTAACGGCAACACAGGCATTTCATCTTCAACGCATGTCTAGTCTTGATTGCCGACATGAACAGATCAAACTCCGCACTAGAAGAGTTTGTTTCACCAAATGAACACCTGGAGTGTATTCAGATCGCTCAAAATTTGCTAGACCAAGTGAGCTCCGCAAGCCCACAAGCGACCATTGTCCGTCTATTCTGCCGAGCTGCTGGAATCTCGGATGCCATGAAAGTTGACTTAGCCCCTAGTGCGATAAGTCATGTAAATCTGGTGGATCTGGGTTCTCACTAGTTTGTCTGCTTGTGTTCAAAGTTGACTTGAGGACAGTTGCTTGTACTTTTAAGGTGCAGTTTTTACATTTCTCTTTACGTAGACGTCCTAAGGTTTGGTTTACATTTTTTGGACTTTTCATCCGTAACAATTTCCCTCAATTTTGGGCCGAAATCATTTTTCCAAATAGATATCTTTGAATTAGAAACATCGAACGTCTCACTTCGTCCGGAAACAAATCTTTTTTCTTCTGCATTAAAACCTGTTTCCTCTGTTCTTCAAAGATCCAATTGAAAGTTTGCATGGTATCGACAAATACACCCTCCTCATCTATACATCCAACTTGCCGTGATCCTTCACGCACCACACCTATCACTCATGTACCACCGAACCCTCTCCCCACTCCGCCCAACTGCCAACTAGCCCGTTCGATGCGCCAACACCTCGGTCTCTCCACTCCGATGCCAAACCGCAAGCGGGATACTACAGCTCCCACACTTGTGCTCGACGTCCTTGAACCAGTTCGTGAGGTACGGGACGCAACCTAGGCAGAAGCAACAGCAGCACAGCAGTGCTGCTAGACTGTTTCCAAAAATATCAGCACACATTCTCTTCAGCCATCGCATGAGGGAGATGGGAGGGACTTACTGAGTGCGACTCCCGTTCACAAACGCCGGGCTGGTCATCTCTCTCATTCCGCAGGCAGGGCAATCGACGACAGTTGGCGTCTGCTGCAAGGAAGCGAGAGGGATGGCGTTCTGGTAGTTGTTCATCTGTGGAGCGGCTTTCATTTCTTGCTGTGGAATCTCTTCGGCCATTGTGTGGATGGGTGTGTTTGGTTTTGTGGAGAGGGAGATCTGAAGTGTATTGTAAGATTACGTTCGTGAGGAAATAGAACAAGATGGTGATGTTATTTATAAAACTGAGAGAGAGGGCTTGTAAGGCAACAACCACGGGTAGGGAGTATTTATCTTTTAATTCAGCTTTAAATGACCGGCCGGCTTGTGAATGACACGCCTGTCATCTCAGTGGTTCATGAAACTGCTCCATGCATTAATGGCGGCATCCTTCTTGGTAATCCTTTCTTTATTCGAGGTTCAACGAGACGGCGGACCCCAGAAAGAGGCTGAGGTCGTCAATCCCGTTGCCGTAAACGTATTCTGGAGGAGGCGAAGGCCTGTCGCCTTTGTTCAGGGGTAAAGACACGCTGAGCGAGAGGGGGTTAAGCTTCGAGTGCTGACAAGACGAGCCGTGCGCTCCACCTGTGGGAGGAATAGATTGTGGGGCCTGTGAGTTGAGTTGAGGTTGATAGGGTGGAGATCGGCTGCACTACCATTTTGTTAAAGACATGTACAAAAGCAGCTCGAGTTTGCTGATTGTAAACCTTTATGGGATATCTACTTGATTATGAGAACTGCTTGATTAGACAGATGAGCTCGAGCTTGGGGACTTTGAAATACTCTCCCCAAGAGACTTGATGTCGTGGAGGGAACTTTGCGTTGTGTGGTGGGGCGAAGCAAGACAGAGTTGTCTCGGATATGGGCTAAAGTCGGCCGCCAAATTACTTGCCTCTGGGGGTTTGATAGGGCTGACAGGGAGGATGACCGCCGTCTGTCAGATTCTAATTTCCAATCAGTGAGGCCCAAGTTGTATGGTATTGGAAGACTAATTGGTTGCCCTTTGATATCGTCAGACTGCTGACGGGATGCTGACTATACGTGTACGGCTTTACGAGGATGAGAAGCTCGTTGGTTCGAGAAAGCATGTGAGTTGAAATCCTGGAGATCCTTTTCAGCTGGAGCGGGAAAATTGGATAAAGAGGAATGGTGCTTGGAAGTGATCATGAAGGAAACGGGTTGCTATGAATTGGTAGTCAGGATGGCAAGGTAAAGGATGATCGGCAGCGACTTTTGATTCACAATTCACGGATTAAGCGAGCCCCTTTTTTTGCCAAAACTTGGACCAATGTATTCGCAGCTAAGTTTCGAGCTGGATGTTCTGGATGGAAAGCTAAGATGAAGCAGAAAGAACTTTTAGGAAGCATTTTCATTGCTAATATGATGTTGAACATCGTTCACGTATTCCACATTGGCTCCAGAGGCTCCGACTACGACCAGTTGCTCCTGGCTGCCTGTTTTTCAGAAGAAAACTTCTCGATAATTTCGTTCACATACCACTTGATTACACATTATCACATCACTCCATGTCCGTTCTGGGACTCCTTCAACTTGCAACTTCAGATCTTCTCGGCAGCAGGAGCTTGAGCATGTACAGATGCAGCATGCTCGGCCGTAGCACTGGTAGGAGTTGCAGTTGCTGGTGAAGCCACGGTCCCCCCACCAGTTACGCCAGCCGGATGAGCTGTCTGCAGAGGAGCAGGGTGTTTTGCATCCGTAACCCCGGCCGCGCTTCCCTCCGCATAAGTAGGCGGCTGTGAAACGACCCGCTTCTCTTGAGCAGGGCTGACAGGCGACGTTGGTTCGCTGGCCAGATTGGCAGGGGCGTGGCCAACAACCGACCGGATGACTTCGAACCATTTCTGAGCATCAGATGCGCTGTGCGCTTTGAATGATATCTCTGAAGAACCAGAGAGCTTGCTCCCGATCCCTCCACTCATGTCCTTTCCCTTGATGTTGAATTTCTCGCCGTTGGGAGTGCCAACTGTGGCATCTGGAAGGTAGATTGAGAGCTCAGGGGTTGGGTCTTTGCGGAGGTTGTCGCTGTCTTTGAACTCGTGGATATACTTGCTTGGAGTGATAACATAGTAACCCGTCGACCAACCGCTAAGGCTCAGTTTGTTGCGAGATTTCCTCTCCAAAGTACCCTCAATCATAGCTTTTGTGGCCTTGTGGTTCTGGTTGGGGAAGGAGATGCCTTCAATAGTTCGCTCTGGGGAGTTGGGGTCCACAAGCATGTTCACATTGCGTTCGGTAAATCTCGACCACTCGAAGTCAGATGGCACGCGTTGAGCTGTGCCAAGCATATCTGAATATAGCTGGTCGACCTTTTGAGCCTGGCCACCAACGAATTGCTGGAATGATGCAATTGCCTGCTGGATGACTTCAATGATGTGGGCCTCGAATTGAGCGAAGTTGTTTTGTACGGAAATTAGATCATGACGATTGTTGTTCTCCTCCATAACCTGTTTACCCAATCGGTGTAGAACGCCTCGTTGAACAATGTATGGGTCTTCCGTGGCATGCATCTTGCCGCCACTTGATTCGAAGTTTGCAGTTTGTTGGCCAAGGAGCTCAATGTGCTTCTGGGTTGTATTTCGTGCCTTCTCCACCTCCTTTGCGCTCTTCATAGCTCCCGATGACAGTTCTTTCGACTTATTCTTGATTTCCTTGTGCAGGCGGTCGAGGATTGGGAGGACGGAGCCCTTGAGGTTCTTTTCGGTTTCGAGGTGAGTGTTTGCCAATCCCTAGAGGCAATTAGTGTTATCCCTTTGTCTTCGGATAGAAACTTACCTGGGTATTCTGTCTCATGTTCTCGAAGAGACCAGCAATTCCGCCCATGCTCTGATCAAAGTGGTGCCCCTCCTTCAACGGATTTGATATCGTCTATGCCCATCAGCAACATGTTTGCACATTGAAAGGTCCGTTTGCCCACCTTCAACACCTTTTCATATTCCTTGGCGTGTGCCTTCTCAACCTTCTCGGTAGCGCTCACATAGTCCTCGAGGTATCCAACGGCATGCTTCCAGGCTTGCAGACGCTCTGCTAGCAATTCGGAAGTCTACAGATAACATTAACATAGGCCTTGAGCATGTGCAAGCTGCAGATTCTCACATCCTTGGGATCCATTGTAGGAACTGCATCATCGCTCATGTTGCTGGAAGCCGAGGCTTGACGATTGGGCATCGTCACTGGATGCGATCCAGGAAGGCCTGCCTGTTGTGCCATGCTTGGGAATTGTCTGCGCATTTTGAGTCAGTCTTTGCGGATGCTCTTCTAGTTTGTGGAGTTGTCAAGCTGGATTATAAGTAGAAGACGTTGCGTGGATGTGTGAGCTCACCTTGTGTTTCTTTTTAATGTGGAGTGAGACACTTCTGATCCTGGTGAAAATCAGTCGCCAATCTCCGGACCCTTGCTCCTGTGATGCGGGAGGTCTGCACTTACTGATATCTCTGCGTCTGTCAGTAAACACGGTTTGGGGGCTTTTACTGAGAATAAAAGATTAGATTACGGGAAGGGGGATGCAGAGGTAAAGTGTTCCTCGATGACTGTGGAACAGGTAATTTAGTATTGTATCATAGGGGTCCGTCGGCGCATAAACCAATATCGTCAACACAATGACGTAGGGCGGCTTCGACACACCTCACCGCGCTCTCACACCCACCAACAAAAAAACATCAGACGATCCACCCCTTCCAGATGTCTTGCACAGCCTCAGACCCTATTGCAGGTCCCGGAATTTTAAAACCCATTAGGACCCCAACTTTTCCTCTCTTGATCCGGACCGCTTCACACCAGTTGGCGAGAATCGCAGGGACATTCTTCGGTAGCTCGAAAAATCAAGAATTAAGTTTAAGCCCCATGCGCGAGTGTCGCACAGGCGTCGTTTCTTGCTTCTTCCGGGACTTTTTTTTGCTTCGATTATCTTCGGGACCAACCCTGTGGCCAAGGGTGTCCTTGCCAAGTGCTCCTTCCAGCGTTGGCTTGACGGCAAGGGTAGCTACTTGGGTAAAGGAGTGTGGATAGCCACTTGTTGATCGGAATTTCTCTTGGAACTTCATCTGAAGATCTGGTTCCATGAGCTTGGATAGAAATGTTTACTCACTAACCAAACCCACTTTCCGCTCAAGCTAAAAACCGATTTTTCTCTCGGCATTTATAATACTAATAATATGTCTCCCAATTATAAGAATATTTATAAAAGGGCTTCTTTTAATTATTCTTTAATATAGTATTAAAATTCTAAAAAATATTAATAATATCTTTCATTTTAAAATATTAAGATTTAATGAAAGAATATATTCTTTAGCCAAAATATAAACATATAAAATTATATTAATATTAAAGTTGAACTTTGGCTTGGGCGGAAAGTGGGTTTGGGCGGTTGGCGGGTGAACTCTTCTAATGCTCGACCATTTCATCTAACCACAATTGTATGACTTCCCCCCACTCCATTCAACAGTATAACAGGCCCATCGAGTTGTGGATTCGCCTCACGTGAAACAGGACGTCCATCAATCGTGATACTTGGGAATTTCCCAACAGAAAGACACCGAAGAACAATCTCACCCGTCGTTCCTCGTGGGACATTGTAAGTCAGACTATAGCCATCACGTCTGAGGTTCCAGCTTGCCTGGAACTTCCCAAGGCTCGTCATGAAGCCAGCTTCAGCAAATCTCAAGTCGCCGAATTGGGGTGCCAATTTCCAAGTTCCTCCAGCAGGAGATGTTACACTGAGACCAACAATGAATTCCGTGAGAGCAGATGTTGGTCCAGAAGACCATCCATGTGAGTTTGACACGTAAGAAGAATCATAGGCGTAACCTCGACTGGATCTGTATCCAAAAGTTCCATTTTCGAGATAGCCTTCGATCACTGTGCTCTCAGTCCCGAGGGGATTGTTGATATACCACCCCCAGCTTCTTCTGATTAGGTCCAGCGCTCGTGCTGTCTGTCCGATGGCGAAATGAGCCTGAATCTCGAAGCTAGAAATAAACGGGGAGATATTTCCTGGTAGTTCAGGAGCAACCGCTCCAATTGGAGTCCAGTTCTTCAGCAAATTGCTCGAGATGTTCTCCGCTTTGGCGGAGGTGTCGACTACGTCGAATAATATGGACATGCTGTTTGCATCCTGAGGATGTAAAGTTGTTGCCGTAGCATTGTCCTTGAATGCACCATAAGAAGGGTCCCAGCAGTACTGGTTGATAGCTGTTTTGAGCGATTCTGCACGGGTATGCCATGTAACATTCAGATTTGACGTATCTCCAGCCCATATCGACAAATCCGCACCAGTGAGGAGGGTTCGATAGAGACTAGATAGATGGTTAGCGAAGTGGCAGGGATCAAAAGTTGAATCCTACATCATATTGGGCTCAGAGCCATTGAAGCCAGTCTGCCATCTTGCCCAGTCTCTTAATCCGGTGACATTCAGAAGTCCACTGCTGCCAACTTTCCCATAAATAAATTTCATTGCCAAAAGATATTTCGCCCAGTTCTCATGAAGAAAGGTTGTGTCGTTGCTATAAAGAATGTAGTTGTAGGTGCCAATCATTGTCCACATATGATATGTGTCAGAACCCAGTTGCAAAAGTGGAGGTCCGGCTTCTGGAAACGCGCCGGTGGTGGGATTCTGGATGGGAAATAAAATCAGGAAATGGTTCTGAATGTTGACTTCTCACTTGCCTGGTAATTATACATGACTTGCAGCGCGTTCTTTACAGACCCAAGATCCCCAATGCTAACAAAAGTGGATGGAACCGCGATTCCCATGTCACCTAGAGGGTAAGTCATTACTCATGTGATACGGAATGCACTGGAGAGACATTACCAGGCCAGACAGCTCGATCTCTCTTTGCACCATCGACTATAATGCTATCTCCAGGGCCAAGTGTTCCATTATTTGCCCACCCTTTAGCAACAAAAGGAACTTGTCTGCCGGTATTTACTGGTACGGCATTTGTCTGTAAAGTATAGGCCCCGCTGTACCATATTCGGTTAAGAAGCTCGTCAGAACTGTGGAAATATCCTTGGTACGCCTTCAGGTTCGACCAAGTGGGCTGGAAACTAATCTCGAGTTTGATATCTGTGATATCGACTGTGGTTGTTCCATTGGTGATGAGAAAAAGTGTCAGGTATCGGAAACCCCCTCTAAGACGAAGATTTGGCATGGTATAGGAGTATGTACCCGAGTTATTGAAAGCTGAATATATCGCACCATCTGGTCCCTTGAAACCTCCATTTGAGGAGTCGGACCATTCTCCAATCCAATTCTTGCTTTCTGTGAAGGCCAAACCAATGGATCCCTGGCCAGTGGTCGAATAGTGCAGAGTGACCAAGCCTCCTACTTCGATGCCAAAGTCAAATACCAACCCGGAGCCATTCCCCGATAGTTGGGAGATCCCTAGAAATTTAGAAATGAACTCCCCAGACTTCGAAAGAATGGACACGGGGGATACTGTTCTAGAAGCTGGTGCGAAGATATTTGCTTCCCACGGCCCCGGGAATGCAGCGTCTGTTGGACCGCTGCATGTAGTGTTCTTCCAACATTGCAGGGCAGTGGCCGAATTAAGTAGAAGAAAACAGGTGCTGAACCAAAAGAGGACATGCATGGCCGCCATTTTGGTGATTTAGGGAAACAAGGCCTGAGCGAAAGAAAGATCCCATCTTCCTGTCAAATCGAGACTTATGTACTTGTGGGAAGAAGAAAGATCTACAAAACATTTCGACTTCGCTAGATTTATAAACCGAGAAGAAAATTTGTCCGGGGCGGCAAAATGCACGACAGAGTTCCTGCATGCACTCGGGAATGCGGGGAGATCTACGAAATCGCAACATCTCAACGCGAATTGACACTTCGCAATTTTCCTTCCCCAAGGCTGTTGCAATCTTCCGATTTGGATTGGGTTCGAAAAATTGATGTTTTGACAAGTGCGAAAGTTGACTGATAAGATAAATCATAGAAGTTTTTCTACTCACTGTTGTTCATCCACCCCTGCCTTCCCCATACTCGGTCATTCGGACCGCTTTTGCTATGTACAATGTTCTTATCTGCCAATCCGGAGATCATGAACATATATCTTGGCTGGCGATTTATGCAGCGAGCTGCGATGATATGAGCCATTGAGAAATTGAAATTGACAGCTCAATGGGTGCATCTTCAACGAGGCGACTGCAACATCAGTGTCTGAGTCTGCGCTGGAATTGATGGGTACTCGACTACTCTTTAAGGGCAAAAAGAAATTAGTAGCAGTTATTTGATTCATGCCGCAATCTATCAATAGTACTTCAGCCCACGACGTTTCGTTTGCCATTCGTCAATGCAAAGTGTGTGTGGGGTTGCGCTCCTTTCCTGATTAAAATGGCTTTGGCGGCTTGACAAAAAACAAACTCTTCCCACGTGATGTGACACATATCCCTGACTGAGAAGCATCCTGCAAAGGAAGAAGGAACCGATCTGATCAAAATTGTTCATGGTCCTCGTTAAGAGGTGAGGAAAGGTTTGGGCTGTCCCAAAGATTCAGAAAGGCAGAGAAGGCAGTTTCAGTTGGTCTTTAGAAGACAGATAATGTGGTTGATATGGTTTGTTTAAAATGTAGAACAGGCTCAGAACCTAAATTGAAAACGATAGAAGACAGAATGCAGGCGATTTAATTTCGCGTCCCAACAGCAATGGATGGGTCAGCTTACCAATAGAGGAGCAAGTATTAATTATAATGAGGCTGCCCCCCCCCTTTTTGCATGGGGCCTGACAAAGCCGTCAATATAAATGCACGCACGCAATTCCTTAAGCGCTGTGGGTCTCGTGGCTGTAAGCTTAGTGGGTGGGAGTGGGAGTGGGAGTGGGAGTAAGAGTCGGAGTGGGCGAGACGAGAAACAAGGTTGATTGCTGCTAAAGCTGGCCGGCCTGCAGTGCGGTGCATGGCATGACTGGCATGACTGGCATGGCATGGCATGGCTGTGGCCGAACAAAGAGCGACGAGCAAAAGGGGAGAGGCGAAAAGAGGCCTGGTGGGCTGGCTTGGCTGGCTGTGATGGCTGTGATGGCTGATGGGTTTGACCCGGCGCTGAGGCAGCACATCACACCGCCGCCCTTCCACCAGAAGTGCCAGATGATGCAGCCTTTCCTGCTGACGGCATCTCACATGTTCAACGTTGTGCGCAATTCCTGGACTCCTGGAGCCACACTCGCTGCCACTAAGAACAAACCAGATACTTGCACCTGCACCGTCCACCGATCCGCACTGCTGAACGAGACCGAGCCGGGGGACGGGGGAAGGTTCTCGCTTAGCCACCCTGCAGGCTTTCGCTTTCTGGGCAAATGACCGAGCCAAACCAAACCACGACGAAGACGGTCAACTTAGCCCAGTCCTGTCCAGTCCAGCATCCGATCCTCACCTAACCTCTTGCCATGCGACGACGATATTCAACCATCTGCGAAGCCCTACCTTAGTTGTATAAGTTACCATCGACCACGAGCCCTCAGCAGCAAGCAGCTCCAGATGAGATCACCGTTCCGAATCAGAATTGAGCATCCGCTGCTGGTTCCAACTCAAGCAAGGGGAGCATTCCTCTGACCTCTCCTCTCCAACTCCCCATGAAGGTATGTAGCCTTCTGCAACGCTCCCCTCCTGCCAACTGCGAGGCCCCGACGGGCCAGTCCCATCCGCTGCCCACTCCTCCCGGCCGTGGGCGTGTCTCTTCCGCTGTTGCACGCGAGCATCAGATGCCCCGTTCCACGGCGTTTCTTGCCAAAAAATACAACGCAGACCATACCTCTGACATCCACTGACTGTTCTTCTCCTCTGCAGACCTCATCTAGACCTCGAGACATTGGCGGGAGCTTCGCCAGCAGACGGGGACATGGTGCTCAACTTTCGATAAGTGATACAAATCACCACGTTACTGAAGCAATCGGAGACATGTACGGCGATGATGACTACTCAAAGCGCGATTCAAGGCCTTTGAGCTTCGTTGGCTCGCCGCTGCATGAATCTGTCGACCCCGACGACGCGTATTTTGACGCCGCTCTGACCAATAGTCCCTCGAGGCCGGGAGTTTCGCCGCATATAAATGGGAGCACGCCAACGAAGTCGCACACCTCACCCGCGATGCTGCAGGGCCCCCGGAGCAGTGGCTTTGAGAAAGGGCAGCTATCGCCTTCGATGTCGCTCAGGGATCGAAATGGATCTGATACGTTGAATGCGCAGTTCCCTCTCAACGATATCGACTACGAGTCCGATCCAACCGCCATCGCGCAGGAACTCAACAACCTCCAGGCCCTACGTCGCATGTCTATGGATGTTGGGAATACAAGTGATCCAGATTTGCCGTCTTTTCAGGGTGTGTCTCTGATGCCTTCGGTCGCTCCTACTGGCGACGATGATGAGGATGATCCTTCAAGGCTCTTTTGGGTCCCAGCCCGGGTGCATCCAGAGCTTGCTCCTATGGAATTTAAGACCTTTCTTGAGAACAGGGTGAACTCGATCAAACGAAGGTCTGGGGAACAAGCGTCGCTGTCTCCGGATGGCCTGGAACGAAGTGGGTCCTCGGGCAGTTTGAGAAGGAAGAAGTCAATGTTGTCACGGCAGATCGACAATGATGGTGGACGGGGGGCTATCGGGTACAAAGATGGTGCGGATCAGTTGGAGAGAAAGAAGTCCCAAGCAGCTCCGCAAGTTCCTGAGCTGAAGATCTCCGATTTGAAGGAGTTGGATGCTCTAGTTAGGGATCCTTCAATGGCGATGCAGAAATTGACCCTGGACCCTGGTGCTAGAAATGTGGGTGGTGGGGAAGTGTCAGTGGAAGAGGATATGCCAATATTACCGAATGCTCCTGGAATCGGGCTGAGGAGATCTACAAGGACAACATACCGGAGAGGTAGTTTAAGGAAAGGCGAACGAGTGCCATTTTCCAAGAGAGCTGGATCTCTGCGTGAGGACAAGACTGACGGAGAGGAATCTCCTATATCATCGCCAGTGGATGGTAAACCGTCAATAGGATTTCCCTTGACAAGGGTGCAGTCAGAACCTGCAACCACAGAAAACTTTTCAAGGCCGAACCGTGGGGGCCGCCGATTGCAGAACATCACCCAAACGAGCCCGGTCTCTAATACTGAGAGCGGTCCGGAAGAGATCTCATTCGAAGCCATTCCCACGCCTGCGGTCAGCCACGATTCACCTCAACCGCCACAATTAGGCCCAGTCCAAAGGAGCAACACTTCCCCCCGGAATGATGCACCGGTTCCACGCATAATCGAAACCCCGCCGCCTCCTGAAGAACCATCAGAGCCTCCACCACCTAGACACCAGTTCCCTGAAAGGTCATCATCACAAACACCCCCAGCTCCGCCTGCAAGATCAAGCAAGCGACCTCCACTCGATCGGAAACCTCCAGTTCCAACACCGAGCGTTGTGAATTCGTCACCAACCTTGAATGATATGGTTCAACACCCCTCGCCACTCCCAGGAAGCTCAGCAAGGACAGATACTCTAACATTCATCCCCACAATTGAAGAGAAGAAGCCAGAAAGGAAGTCAAAGAAGGATAAGGACGATGACAGCTCAGGATCGAGGAAACCTAGTTGGGGTTGGTTTAAAGGGAGCGACGAGAAGGACAAGAAGGACAAGAAGAAAGAGGACGATCACAAACGAAACAAAACAAAGATGGGGTTGGACAAATCCCATGATAATGCGCGCCTGGATGTTTTACAATCTACATTGGAGACTGCCCCTCGAGGCCGAGAAAGCTTAGTACTGGACCGTGAAAGTATGGACTACAGGTTACAAGACGAAAGGAAAAAGGAGAGCAGCCGCAAATCTGGCGGAGAGAACAAGAAAGAGAAAGAGAAAGAAGGCCTCTTCTCCTCCTTTTTTGGTGGCAGCAAAAAGAAGACTGACCGAGATTCCGGTGGAAAGAAGGGAAGCTCACTTCGGGCATTATCTCCTGATCCACCACATCGTCCACTGAAACCCGATGTTGACTACAATTGGACACGATTCTCTATCCTTGAAGAAAGAGCTATTTACAGGATGGCACATATCAAACTGGCGAACCCTCGGCGAGCGTTATACAGTCAGGTATTGTTGAGTAATTTCATGTACTCATACTTGGCCAAGGTACAGCAAATGCACCCACAGATGCAGATTCCTCAGACCGCGCTCCAGAAGAAACAGGATGCCGAACGAAGGGCAAGGGAGCAAGAACAGCAATATCGGATTGTAGATGAAGAGCAATTGCAACAAGAACAGCCAGCCTCAAGTGGAGAGCAATACCGATATGACTATCATCAGGTAAATGACTATCAGATTCGGTTTCTTTACTACAAATCTAATTTGCAACAGGGTATTACACAGTATGCAGAGCCGGTTCAACCTGCCAAGCAGGAAGGGGTGAATTATGTCGATGATTCGCAAATCTACGACTACGATCACCAAGGCGAGGATGCTTCCAACGGGCAAGGATCCCATCGGCCTCAATCACGGGCCTCTCAGCATAACTCGGAGAACGGGTATGGAGACCATGGACACCACTCACGCCAAGGGAAAGAATACTACCCGTATGGGCGATCGGACCCACCTGATCACCACGAAGAGGATGACGACATGTGGTGATTCTACTGTACAGGCATGTGCGACTGCCTGTTATCTCCCTTCGTTCATGCATATATGATGGAGTTATGGGTATTTTTCACAATACATCAGGATCGGGGTTTGGTTCACGTCTGTTCTGTTTGTGTTTTCCGGGGAGAGGAGGTTCATAGTCGTTGGAAGCATAGCGTCTGGTGGTCTGGCCATGCATGTCTCTGCCTGGATCATTGTCCCATGGCTTTGGGGCTCTTAAGAATGTCATCTGATGACAAGGGGCTTGTTTATATGTACAACAGACCTGGGTTTCTTGTTGAAGACAGGTCAGGGATGAAATGAAGCTTGGTGAACATGCGTGAGAAATGAATCATAGATTCCAATTCTGAGTATAAAGGGATCTACTTTGTTCTCGAAATTTGTAACGAAAAGTGAACTCGAGGTTGACTTTAGATCTAATTATACCAGACAGAGTTCCGACATCGAGTCGATGTGCAACAAAATTTCCGAGCTCAGGGGAGCAATTCACTCGAGGAATCCTGCGAAGTTGCCAGCAGAAAATTCTTCCCCTTACTGGAAACGCAGTAATGGGATGAAAATCCTAGACAGACTTCGGATGAGACTTGTGAATCTGCAGCAACTAGACCACAATTCACGTCAGTACATGGTCCTGTGAAGACCCACTATTCATTAAATCCATGCATTGCATTCACGAAGTCAATTTTTACTCAAACCCATGCATAGCTCAAATAGCATTTAAATGCTCCCCTAACGCCTAACCCAAGTCCACACTTCTCATCATAATATTCCCAAGCAACTGCCCAACAACATCACTAAGCCCGCCACAACCAAGCCATTCCATCCAGCGTCCAACCTCCCTGCTGCATTCTTCTTGCCCAACCCGAAAGGCAGCCCCTGGTAACTAAACGTCACGTTCTGCTTAATCGTCGTGTTATAGCACTGTCCATTCACAATATCCAGATTCGTAAGATCGTCAGGCACGAGGAAGAACATATACTGGTTCTGGCTCAAATTCTTGAATCCCGACGTATCGTAGGGGAATTTGTCGCCTGAGTCTATGGCCGAGGTATTTCGGAGGAAAATGCATTGCACTTGGTTTGGAAATTCGGTGGCCATGGCTGGGTAGTCTTTCATCACGTCGGAGTTGGAGGTGTCTGCTATCAAGATGAACTTCCGCTTTGGGTAGGTCTGGAAGATCTTCTCGAGGAGGAACTTGCGGATTGAGAGGGTTGCGGAGACGTCAGAGAAGTTTAGGGGGCGGGTATCGAAACTGCCACCGGGATAGGTCTTGAAGATGAAATCCATGTAGTTGCGTGTCACTTGCTCCGGGGTGGTTGTTAGGTAGTGGAAGTGGAAGTCCGGGATGCTTTTGCTCCAGTTTGCGTAGATATCTGGCATGTTCATCCAGGGCACGAAGGCTTTAGCGAATGAGTTTAGGAGGCCGTCCGCTGGCTGGTAGATTCTAGTTATGCGGAGGATATCATCGATGTCAGAAATTATGGTAAGTCCTGCTTCAGGCACGAGATAAGATGTTGCATTCCCAGTCTCTGTGCCTTGGGTGAAGACGTTCAATCGTTGGATACTGGTCGTAGCATTGCCTGGGAGAAGATAGCCGCCCGGACCAGAGACATTTTTAAGTGGAAGAAATTGATCGAAATCTCCCTCGGATGTTGTTTGTCCCATTAGGGTGATGTTTTGAGCGCCACCTCCTGCTGTAATGGCGTTGCTCCCGCCAGCAGTCCCATCGCTTCCTTGGCTCGAAGCCGGCTCAATGTTCATAGTAACATTGACGCCGCCTTGCTGGACGACGTAAATCTCAGCAGTCAGATTCCGGGCTTGTGTTTGTTCAGCGGGCGGGAGTTGCTGTATGGATGTGCCGACCAGGAAAACGTTCGCAAGGTCATCGAGCTTCGATTCGGAAATGTTGGGCTGCTTGAAGACATTGCCGCGAAAGCGCAAGTTCCAACCTTGATCGGTCCAATTCGCATATCCACTGTGGACAGATCAATCCTGTTTCGGGAGTAATTCTCAGACAACCTACGGGATATTCAGCACCTGTGTGGGTGTCGCAGCCAAATCAGTGGAACTGATTCCCAAGCTCTTCTCCACCGCCGTTCCAGTTGGGAAGTCCTGGAAGAAATTGGGTACTCCGCTTGCAACATACGAGGGGAAAGTTCCCAAAACGCTGCTAAGATAGCTTCCAAAACCTTCAATTGAGCTGATAAGGTCTCGTTCTTGGACTCTGGTGGGAGTCCGATCGGTCAATGACGCGCGGGCCGTGATCATGGGATGAGGAGCGGCGACGATGGGCGCTGGAGCTGGCGCTGCGAGAGCGGCTGGCAGGAGCGCCAGCAGCAGGCAATGAACAAACTTCGCCATTTCGGCGGTGGTCTTGGTGGTTGGCACTACTTGCGGAAGATGCTGGATCAGCGGGGACCGCCGCTGTGGGCTTCTCTCCCTCAACAATCAAGCAGACGGCGGGATAAAAAAACGCGGGTTGGTGAACAAGAGAAAGGCGGAGGGAAGGGAGGGGAGGACGAGGACGAGGACGAGGAGACGAGGTAGAATGGAAGCAGACAAGCTTCATTTTATCAACAGTCGCGTGCTTAGCCACTTTTCTTGGCATGTCAAAGTCATTTGCGAGTGTGTCGCTGCGTGCGATGCTGTGATCTGCAGGGAAATGCAGGATCCTGGCGATGGTCCTCCTCTTCCAAGGCAAAAGCGCGCTCCAGTTTGAGCTTCAAGCTTAAATCCCCGCAACGTCATCGTGCATGGTTGCTCTGGTCTAAATTTATTTCAACCTCAGTCGTCCGTCCCCACCGAGGCCCGCTGCATCGATGCTGACTGCTCACCCCACATGAAACGGCTTTGGAGCCAACGCAGCTTTGCCTCACAACTTCCAAGATTTCCTGCGTGCACCCTTGCGGCGTGCCAATCGCGTGGCCCCGGTATGAGATTGATCATCCTGGGGGAAGCATCATTTCTGCAAGGTACCAGCGTCACGTGGAGGCGGAAATGCGAACAAGAGTTTGAAGGTTCACCAGGTTCGTTGTTTGGAAAAGATAGTACAATGAGTAATTGTGAGGTTTCAATCTCCCCGTGGAATTGGTACGTTTGGACTCCAGTCTCCCTGACAGAACTGGTAAGAATACATCCGTTGGGTGTGGATTTCCATCGGCCCAGCTAACTCCAGTCACTGAATTGAGACTGAGGCAAGCCCAAAGCTTGCAACTGTTTCCCCAGATTAACAAGCGCCTCCTGTTCTGTCTTCAACTTAAGCTGGGTCTTTAGTTGATCATACACCTTCGCCTTCCACAGTGACCCGTCCTCCAACCCGTCCATCCACCTATACATAGGCTTGGCCATGAGGTTCCTGACAAACCAAACGGATGGAATACCGATAGGAATACCTAGAAGGTCGTACCACGCTATATCGAGGTTCAGCTGCTTGTATACGCCGCAATCTCCCTCCCATCGGCACTTGGTAGCGAGCATAAAGTTCTTGGAAAGGTTATCCAGCTGCGCGAACTCCAATCTTCTCTGAGGCGTTGGCTTTTGTTCTTCCATAGCCCATGCTACCGCGGCTATCTTGTAGATGGCGTGCAACGTTTCATTCTGCGTCGGTATGAGAGGAGAAGGTAGCTCGATTCCCACCCAAGGTAGGTGCGGGATAACTACCTCTTCAAAGTCAAATCGGACCCCCGGGGGCCATTTCGCTCTCTTCTGTGGTGGCCACTCCCATTCTCGCCAATCATTCCAATGCACCAGTTCTTCATATGTCTTCTCACGAGCAAGTAGTGGATGCGCTTCAGCCTCATAGAGGTTATTGTGCTGGTTTCCATCGACGGTGAGGTTGCGAACGTCGCCCGTGTTCGTACTGCTCGTGGATTCCTTCTTGGAATTCGACTCTGCCAACTGCTGAGAGCAGTCATTGCAAGGAAATGCAGCAGCACCTGTAAACGCGGCGAGTGACAGGATCGAGAATTTTACGAATTTTTTGAAGGCCATCTTGGCGTCGTTCAATGTTCAGGTGTCTTCTGGAACACTGATGATATCCTCCAAGTTGGATGCTCAGATGTTGTTTGCAACACTGTGAATTTTATTCCAGTTGGATTCTCTGGGTTTTGGGAATTTATAGGTGTGATTAAACTTGGTTCCCAAAGTTTCGGTTCCAATTTCGGAAGTTCATTCCTACCTCGCGGCAGCCCTAAGAGGTGCCTTCTCGCACACTTTTCGGGAACGCTACACTTAGCTCTAGGTCTAGGTCGACGGAGGCAGCTAACTCATATATGCCGTCTCTCTAGACTCTGATTCTATAATGGTCTAGGCCAACCATTTTTCATGGAAATCCCTCGAGCGATTCCAATGCAATGACATTTCCTTGAATGCTTTCAAATGCAGCACTCAACAGTTTCTTAAATGCAAGAGACTAATATGAGGTGGTGCCGAGAAAAGTCTACCTATCTGGAGATTGAAATTCATATTCTCTGATATGATTCTTGATACGGAGGAGCTTCAATTCTCTTCATCGTCCTCTCTTGAAGTCGAGATGGTTGCGAGAACATGGTTGCCGATCTCTCGAAAAGGGGTGTTGTCTCATAAATTGTGACAGGCAAACTCGAGTGTTGTCGTGTGACCACGAGTGACTCACAAGCTGACGGCGTTAGAAGAGATGCATGATCTAAGTAGTCGTTAACAACTCATCCTTGTGAGTCACCTCCAGTGGAAAAGGAGACGCTCACAGCAGGTGACTACCTCGCTTAGTTACATATCATGTCGCAGAGATGCAGGAGATGTTCCATCTCATCTCACAGCTGCCTATCTAAACAGCTAGCTATTGTCGTTCGCATATATCACTAGCTAGTTTTACTTAACTTAGGTGCAGTGCACATTGTCATGGAAAGGACGAAATGCTGCTCTCGGCCACAGGTGTCTGGGAAAACTTGGAGGACAGGGCCACCCAGGGCTAAGATAAGACGCCGGTTGCATTTCCATGTCAGAAAAAACCCAAGATATGATTCTAGTGATTCTTAGAGCCCCTATCATACATTTCTTCATCAAATCTAGTCTTCGGACTCGTCCAGTGAGACCAAGGGCATCTTCGTCGCTTTCCACCCCAGACGCCAGCTTCCAATCAGTCAACAAACTCCCAATCGAGCTCCGTCTCGAGATCCGGAAACTAACAACCGAAGACCGTCATCTTGTTCCCATCTGCAGCTCGAAGGACTCGTGGGCTTCCACTCCCCTGCTCCTATCCCGGCTGCCCTCACGTCTGTTCTGAATCACGCGAGGGAGTGAAATGAGAGGATCCAAGCTTTGTTTGATAAACGAATGAATACTCTTTCCAGATTCGTAGAAGTTTCTATCACAGTGCCTCGGCCGAAATTCATAAATACAAGAAACACGGAGTTCGGCTTCCTATAACCACAGAGCACACTCCTGAGCCGAAAAGCCAGTTTTCTTGTCAATGAAGCCTGCGTTGCAAATCTCGCTCTTCCACGGCTTTTCGTTGCCGCATTGGCATGGCTAAAAGCAAAGCTACCATCACAGCAGAGCTTTCAAGTTCCAGGTCACTCAAAGAAAAGGGAAAGTTGAGGAGCATATAAGCAGAGAATCAAGAGTACTTACAACAGTTGGATCAATGCTGGTGCCAAAGTTTGGACCTGTGCAATACTTCTATGTATCGCTAGTCCCCAGCTTCGGAGAGGAGCTGGGTGGGAAGATTTACCTGAGCACAACCGCCAATACCACAGAAAAAGTTGATCGGGCCATCGCAGGTACAACCAGGCGTTTCTACGTGGATCGGGCATTCAGGCCATCCTGATGCAAAAGTACCGATGGCCAGGAGGGTAGCAGCCACAACTGTTGTTATGAAAAGCGTTATGTTTGTAGTTTTGATGTGAGATTAGAGGCTTGAGGTAGAATAACGTGGCGGAGTAACGAATTCAACTGGATGCAATGGTGGCTTTTATACTTTCCTCGAAGGTGCTTGTCCTTTCTCCCAGTAGTGGTAATGTATTGCTAAGACTCCGTATCAATGACTGCATCATAACTAAGTGACGGAGGCATCAAGGAATCTGAAGAAGGGAAGCTCTGCCTCGGACCTTTGGCCAATGCGGACATACTCGTAACTTTCGAAAAGGTGCGATATTTCCTGAAACATTGTTTCGAATATTCATTCCAAGTTTCTACGAACCAATATCTGTACTCAAGGACAGGCCTGGTTGTAGCCTGAATCTTGTAGGATGCGAAAGCCCAGCGACTTGGGGTATTTGAATTTTGCCAATAAGCGCACCCGGAATTTACAAGGCGAAGTGGAGTTGCAGAGCCTTGCTCAGAGGATGAAAGTATTGCCGTATATCATGACTAAGGGAATTAAATCTGATGGCAAGGCTATTGTTGGATCGTTTATGGTTGGTGATGTAAAACTCACGTGAGTAAAGAAAATGGAAGATAAAAGGAAAGCCGAGTAGGGTCCTGTTCTCATTGTCCGAATTGATTTATGGAGAAGGCACAGGTTAATAATCACTCAGATTTATAAACCACTTATTTGCCCAAATCCACTGCTTTAGGTACCTTAGGCACTGACCTCAAAATAAGCACGAAAATGAAGAAAAAGCTCTTGGCGTCACGTTATGAGGCTTGTGCGGCACGCCTCGGACTTGGAGATCAGCTTGATTCCGGTACCTTGTGCCGTGTTATTGCAGATTTGAAACACCCAATGGGGCTGAGATCCTTCCAAAGCACCTGAAGAGTTTTGGGAGGCACATTTGGATACTCATCCAATGTAGAAGCCTGGAGCGCAGCTTGAATGAAGGAGGTTTCTTGATTGGTAAAATAGCCGTAAATGGTCTTGAGGTATCTCTGGCTCCAATTGTGCAAAAATGAACAAGCAGCTTCGAGGATAATGGTCTCTTGGAAGAGGATTGGGCTGGTGACACGTGGCTCTTTAAAAATAGGCATTCAACCCCAAAGTCAGCACCAAGAGACATTAATACTCTCTCAAAATCTGAAAGAAAACAACCCAAAATCTCACTATGAAGCCACATTTATAATCGCTACCCTGCCCAATATTCTCACCTCCGCACCTAACGCAGCTCGCACAAATGGCCCAACAACCGGGCTTCGCAAACGCGAACACCCCCACCTCTCTCCCCTCAATCCTCTGCCTTCACGGTGCTGGAACCAACTCCGCAATCTTCAACGTCCAAACGATCCGCCTACAGCGCGCTCTTTCATCCAAATTCAACTTCATCTTCCTAGACGCACCATTTCCAGGTCCACCCGGCCCAGGCGTCCTCCCTGTGTTCGACAGCTGTGAGCCTTTCCTCCGCTGGACAAGATCACCAGGTGACAGCAATCTTCCCGAGGAAACGAAGACTCTGATTTCTACTTTGTGTAAAGAGACGGAATTCGTTGGTGTTTTAGGATTCTCACAGGGGGCGAAACTGGCGGCGGGATTGCTGCTTGAGCAGCAGGTTAGAGGTAGGAAAGGGTTCCGCTTCGGGGTCCTCTTGATGGCTGTGTCTCCACCGTTGGTGTCGGGTTTGAGTGATGAGCAAAGGGCAACGAAGATCGCAGTTCCTAGTGTTGTGGTTCTGGGGAAGGAGGATCCGTGGCGGGATGAGGGGAGAAGGTTGTATGATGAGTTTTGGGAGAAGGGTAAGGCGAACTTGCTGGAGTTGGAGGTTGGACATCGTCTCCCGGATTTGGAGGCTGAAAATAAGATGGTTGTTGATGAGATTTTGAGGCTCTATAGGGAAACGGGAGAGGGAACGTAAAGAAGTTTGCGTAATTGAGTGAGGATGAATTTGGGAAGAGACAGCATGCAGATAGAGTAACGGGATAACCACTTCAGGGCGTTGAGATCTGGTAGTTCTAGATAGATTGTGGGTCGCACTGCATTTCCGGGGGGGGGGGTGTATGTTATTAGATTCAGGGATTTGAGACAGTCGATTGAAAACATATTGAACCCGGTTTCACATCGTACAGAAAGACAGCAGAGCGTCGTCTCGAAGCAAAAAGATTATCTGTTGTATGAAGCTCAAAATTTTGCCGAGGCGGGCATCGCTCTCTTCATCCATCTGATCCCAGACTACATCACCGTGAGCTTCTTTCCTCAAGATATATTCTCCTGGGCTCCTGTCATAAATAAAATCGCAGCAGTCACAATGCTCTTTACTACCTCAAGTTCATCTTTCGTCCTCGGGGTATAGATGATCAAATACTCATGAGGTACAAAAACTCCCGCCAAGGTCATCCTCTCGCCCCATTTCTTCGCGATAACCTCTTTACAATCCATCGGACTTAAGCACATGTGCATAGAATACTCTCCACTCCCAACACCAGCATGAACGTGAGCAATTTCCCTCTTCGTTTTCCCACAAATGGAGTGAGGAGTGGTGATGTGATCAGCGACTAATAGAGCTTCTCCAGACTTTTCTAGAACGGAAGTTCTCATTACGACATGAGCCGAATGCTTGGCCGCTATCTCTTCAACTGCCATTAATAGGAGCTGTTCGCAAACGTCAGATGACGAATTTTGGAAGACGACGAGGGAGTTACCTGGTGCATGTCATCTCCAGTCAATTGAGAAATCTGCCGATGAGGGGCCATGAATTTGATTATCTCTGGCCGCGGACCCTCCCTTTCAGACAGGCTTCCAGGGAGAAAGCTCTTGGTGCCATTCTTTCCACATTTGGCGATTTCTTTGGGGTCATCGTATGGGAGTATTGTAAATGGATCTGCTCTAAACGGACCGAGAGAGTGTTGGAGGAGATAGCCAAATATGTTCTGAGGTAAGGCTGTGTCTGCCACTTTGAGCCAGTCTCGATAATTTGAAAAGAAGTTGCTCATGTTGAGAGCGGCCGGCAACGCGTGGTCTCAGCTTCGTGACTTCGTCAGCGGCGGGATGGCGCGGAAATGAGGCACTTCACACCATATTCAAAGATAAATATTAAATTAACTCTAATACGGTGGAGAGAAAGGTATGATAAGCAACGCAAACAATTTTGCTGTCTGGAGGTTCGTGGAGGTTGATGTCGTGGCTTCGTAGTGCGGCTGAAGCTGACTCTCCCCCTTGTTACGCCCTGCAGCCAATCAGAGACAATTGCTCATTTCCCAAGTAAGACGCTACCAACTGCCAATTTCATGTGCCAGCCTTCTGCAGGACAAGTTTTGAAGCTTTCATCAAAAGAAAAGGCGGACGAATTCGAGACTTTTCCCACCCAGGGTTTGCAGGCATCTCTTCCTCACTCGGCGCCCACTCATCGATCGCAGAAAGCGTGAATCCTGCTTCAATGAGGATGTTGATGTAGGTTGCGAGTGTACGATGTTGCTTTATAACACCATCGACTAGCCAATTCGTGAGTCTTTCCTGTTGAAAGAGCACAAAGGATCGAGTATCACGTGTTTTCATGTGACCTGGCCGCAAGCAGACAGTTTCTATGTCCTAAGGCCGCAAACGGAAGTATAAAGAACTCTGTAACTCTTTATCTTCCTCAATCTCTTTACCATACGATGTCTATAGAAGACTCGTATATTCCTCTCTAGTTTTAGATCTTTAGTGAATACATATCAGTTAAAACAACATTTCCCCTTCATCGAGGTATTTGTCCAAAGGCCATACAGTATGGCCTTCCGAATCCTCAATGAAGTTTGGATTCCGGGGCGCAGTCCACAGCGGATGCTCCACAGAGAACACGAAGGTCCCTCCAGCCACGAGAGTTTGATAGACTTGAGCTACCAGTCGTGGAAGATCCTTCAGATAGTGGAAGGTGAGAGAACTGAAGGCAACGTCGTACGTGTTTGGCGGTAGTTCAAGGCTGTCCAGATCGGCACGAAGATATGTTATTCTTTCATCTGCTGGGAACTTTCGTGCCTTTGCGAGCATATTTTCTGAGAGATCAACGCCCCGGACTTGCACAGCACCTTTCTCTCGGGCCCATCTGCACACCCATCCAAATCCACAGCCCAAGTCGAGGAACTTCGCCCCAGTGAGGCTTGCTGGCAGCATGGATCGCAGAGCAGGCCATTCTGGTGCCCCATCAAGGCCTATGACCTGGCGTGGTAGTTGGATATATTCCTTGAAGAACTCCTCGCTGTCGTATATATTTTGGGCCATTGTAGGTGCTTGACGTGGGATATCAACTGCTCAAGAATTCGGAGATGTATGTCCATATATTTGGCTCAAATTTACTCTGAAAGGTAAGTTCTCCCCGCACAAGACCTCCCAAATTCCACTGGCTTTCAATATATCACGCAATATCTTCTCTCTGATGTTCTCTCATGGGCAAATTGACCCTTTCCACGTGATCTGAGTCATTCGGTGATTGGGCCTTTACGTCGCCGGAACCGAGCTCACCGCCCGATGCCGGGGATGAATTTTTTGAAGCTCGAACAACTCGTAGATAGTCGACTCACTCGCTCACTCCTCCAAGAACAATCCGACCAAAATGGCAGACTCCAAGACTCCCGTTGGTTTGGCTGTGCCAACGAGGAAACCAGCACCTGCTGGAGATGCTGAGGAACCCAAAGACACGACTCACACCCCTTCCCAGAGGTACCTGTCGACGAGGGGAGGATCATATGGTGTATGAATTCCCAAGTCAAGCAATTGGACAAAGCGCGGTGCTAATTGGCTTCAGCTTTCGTTCGAAGAAGTTGTATTGAAAGGCCTTGCTTCTGATGGCGGACTTTTTATTCCAGAAGAAGTCCCCTCATTACCCCGCGATTGGGAGTCAAACTGGCAAAATCTCTCCTTCTCCGACCTTGCCTTCGAAATCCTCTCCCTTTACATCTCGCCCTCCGAAATACCTCCCCAAGATCTAAAAGAGATCATTGATCGAAGTTATTCCACCTTTCGCGCACCAGAAACTACCCCACTTGTCACTCTAAACGAAAAGGACAACCTATACCTGCTCGAGCTATTCCACGGTCCTACATTTGCATTCAAAGATATCGCCTTACAATTTCTTGGGAACCTCTTCGAATACTTCCTCGTCAGGCGCAACAAGGGCAAGACTGGAAGGGATAGACATCATCTTACAGTTGTCGGCGCAACCAGTGGTGACACCGGATCTGCTGCGATTTACGGTCTGCGCGGGAAAAAAGACATTTCGGTCTTCATTTTACATCCCCAAGGACGAGTCAGTCCAATTCAAGAGGCTCAGATGACAACAGTTTTGGATGCCAATGTCCACAATTTGGCTGTTGAGGGAACTTTTGACGATTGTCAGGTGGGTTATGTCAAATTTTTGGTCAAGCAATACTGAATCTTGACTAGGATATTGTAAAAGCCCTCTTCGCGGATCCCAAGATCAACGAGACTCTAAAGCTTGGAGCTGTTAATTCCATAAATTGGGCTCGAATCTTGGCACAAACTACCTACTACTTCCACGCATACTTCACACTCACGAAATCCCCAGCATACAAAGCAGACCACAAGGTAAGATTCGTCGTGCCAACTGGGAACTTTGGCGATATTCTAGCTGGATATTTTGCAAAGCGGATGGGACTTCCTTCAGAAAAGTTGGTGGTAGCCACAAATGAGAATGATATCCTTGATCGATTCTGGAAGACCGGAAATTACGTGAAGAAGGCAGTCCATGGCGCAGCCGCTGAGGGAGGAATCCCCGCTGATGGAGCAAAAGCTCATGAAGACGGTGTGAAGGAGACCTTGAGTCCAGCAATGGATATCCTTGTCTCCAGCAACTTCGAGAGACTACTGTGGTTCTTGGCTTGCGAATTTGCCGCCGAAGCAGGAATGGACGATGAATGGAACAAGAAACAGGCTGGCCAAGAAGTCGATGCCTGGTTAAAGCAACTGAAGACGAAGGGCGGATTTGAAGTCCACGCAGATATGTTGAAATTTGCAAAGAGAGACTTTGAGAGTGAGAGGATCAGCGACGTCCAAACGCTTGAGACGATCAAGAAATTCTACTCCTCTCTCTCTACCAATGACGTCACAAATGGCAGTGCCTCTAAAGGAGGGTACATACTAGATCCTCACTCTGCAATTGGCGTTGCTGCATCATTGCGATCCATCCAGAGAACACCGGGTGTCCATCACATTTCTCTTGCCACAGCACATCCAGCGAAGTTCGCGAATGCGGTTGACCTGGCGTTGAAAGACGAGGAAGGCTTTAGTTTCAGCACGGTTCTTCCTGAAGAGTTCGTTGGCCTCGAGCAGAAAGAGAGGCGAGTGACTGCTGTCCCCCGGGGAGCTGGATGGGAAGGTGTGAGAAAGATCGTTGAAGATGAGGTCGAAGCCGAGTTGGAGGGGAGCAGATGATCATATTTACCTCTAAAAGCGTTAGCTTCGTTGAACATATTTATTCATAGATTTCTGCTGAATCGGCACGGAAACAGAAAAGGTCAGATGAAAGTGGGGCTTAAAGATGGGATCGCTCATAGACATTCCACATGTCAGAATAATGAAAATTTGATCTCACTTCACTTTGCCTCGGGAATGCGAAAGTTTACTGTATGAAACACATTGATCTGGGATCATTCAAAAGAAGTTTGGAAGGGGGATGGTAACTTGTATATCACACGAGGGCATTTCAAAACGAGAACAACCCTGACCAGACCTATCTTGCACCTAGTCCGTATGACACTCTGTAAATAATAAATTAGTGAGCATTGAGCGAACAGAGTCACAGCTGATCTTAACATTGTCCACTCTAATAGAAAGAAATTTCCACGAGGTTTTATTTAGATTAATGAGCATCATTTTCGAATTCTTTGACTATTTTTACTAAGTAGCTCAGGTGCAGTTTGCCTAGCTATTGCTACAAGTGATCAGGAGAAACCCAGAGCGAGCTTTTATAAATATAGGCTTCTCTTTTATTAAACGTACTTCTTTTATTTTACCACCGAAGGTCGATTTCATATTCACAGCCCTCGATCCCTCAAAATTTCAACTACAATCTCTACTTGAACCCCCTTATTTCTTCCAGCCAGCAACCTCACAGGTCAACTTCGACCAGAAAACTTATACTTCAAACGCTCCATTGAACATCGAGACTTCGCAACTTAAACAAGTGATCCTTCTCACTTTCATATCACGGTTTGATTTCCTATCCTTTGAAATAATCATGGTTTGGTATGCATCTCTTCCCCAAGTGATCGGCCAGCCTCTGAACTCATGCCAAAGCTACAAGTTAGGTGGCTATCTGTATGGCAATGACAGCAAATCATACAATGCTTTTGTCAACTTTGAGCTCATCCCCGGCACTCACTCACGTGTTCGCATGAAGATCAGAGCAAACAGTGCAGGCAATGATTTTTCACCAAGTACTGGTCTTACCCAAGGACTCCCAGGCCGTGTCAAATGGCGCCCTGAGGTTCAGCAACGCTGGGGAGAGTACTTTGACGGTGCAGGCAACTCAAGATGAACTGCAAGTAGATGGGTGCCAATGCAAGACTTGGATGTCTCGAGGAGTGGTGGTTGGAGAGTTTCCCCGATCCTCGAGGAGATACGTGAAGCATGAGAAGCCGGCAGTCGAATCCGCCTTTTTCAAAAAGGGTGTTAGGATTAATCAAGCCCATGCCATCGGCGCCAGCCACGATGCAAAAAAACGCAAACTCAAGTCGATTTTGGGGTCGTCACGCTGGACATCGTAGAGGATGCACTGATTCCAACGCCTGGATGGAAGCGAGACGGTCTTCTGTCTCCGAGAGATCCGAGCCCCCTCTTGACCAGGAACTCCAATCACTTATAGAAAAGGCAAGGGCATCAATTCTCCCTATGGAATGAAATGTACTCTTCATCAACCCCCTCCAGAAACGTCTCCAATCAACCCATAGAATGATAGTATAGCTTGGGCACACTTTCGCAGCTTCTCCTGCTCCCACAATTACCAAAATAGAACGTTGTTTTCCCAACTAAGCAGGAGATTGTCGCTTGTCTTGCCATAAAGTGAAAAGAAAATTATGTCCAAACCAAGATTAAACACACTTGCTCCCATTCTCTCGTATGCTACACTTCCAGATTCTCGTCAATAGATCATAGTTATGATGACCCCATATGTGACGAAAACTTAAGCGGCAATTTCTCGAGTTTGAGGTCTCGTTGTAGAAAATTGGCTGAAGTGATCAGAACCTCCAGATCACGAAATCCCTTTCAGGTTCACTAGATCCGGTTCATGGATCCGTTGAGATTGTCACGTGCCAAGTATGTTTGCTCTGTTTGATGAGCTGTCAAACATGTTTGTTTGCCTCGCTTAATTTTCTACTAGCGTGGTTTGAGAATTCTCGAGCATATATACACCAACTCTCGCCAAAAGCTTTCAAAATTTCAGACGATCTTACTTGTTGGTCCCCCCACCCCATTATTGCAACGCAGGAGCTAATACCCCTTCCTCTTGCAGCATAGAATCTATTCTATAGTAAACGTCCTCTTCTGAGGTAGGTGCTGTCGTTTGCCGATCCGATCTTCCTTTGCTGACCCCTTCCCAGTTCACCAAATGAGCTACAGATTCTCCATCCCAGTTGATGAGATAGATCCTCGGTGCCCCAAGAGTGAGGCCTTTACTCTCGAACTGTCCGCAAGGATGGCGGTGCGCGCTTGCGCGTTCTGTATAGAGAGTGGCGATGATCTCGGCCCTTTTTTCATTGGCTTCGGCCGTGTGAACTGGGTGGGTGGCGATGGAAGTCTGATGGGACCGTTTTTTCATTGCGGTCTTGGCTTGTTCAAGGACGTGAAGAAGAAAAATTTTCAACCCTCTTTCCGACCTACCGTCTACTTCGAAACACCACTCTACCACACGAAGACTAAACTCGAATATAGAGCGATAAGAAGGCAAAGGGCTGTGAATCTATGGGACTTGCTGTTCTGCAAGTTGTTCGAGAGTCACGCAGAGAAATTTTCAATCCTCCCTCGGGGTCTCGATACTCCGCGTTCCTCGCTCACGAAGACCAGGCTCAAATACAAAAGGAAGACAAGGGGAAAGGGATACAAATCTCTGGATTGGCCATTCTGTGGACTGTTCGAGAATGCGACCTCACTTTTAGGCATTGAGGATCGGGTTATCGTCTAGGTGGAAAATTTTGGTTTGGTGTGCTGTCATGCAGCCAAGGACGGATTCCCCAAGGCGGCGCGCTCGAAGGATTGCACGTTAAGATTTGATATGCTTGCAATGAGCAGGCCTATCAGAATAACTACCTTGAGGCAGAGCAAAGATTAGGGCTGGGTGATCTCCCAAATTGAAACACTGCTAGCATGGTGTTCCTCCCACGAAAATGCTTAGGGCTACAGAACATGGCTTCAGCGCTTCGTACGGCTTTGCAGAACCAGCAGCATCTCTGGGTAATGGGAACACTTCAGATCTGGTAGGTCCTAGAAAACACCAGCCGGGGAACACTTTCAAATCAATGCAATTTTGTATTGTCCTCTGCAAATACATTTGTTTTCGCTGCTTCTAGAATCTCGAAATAATTAAGGTCTGCAACAGCGGTTCTCGAAGCGTCGGCAATTTGATATTGCAAGACATCATCCCGTCAGCTTCAGGCCTTATCTCCAAAGAGATTCTACAAGTCCACCTTCGCCTAAAAAGCTATTCTCGCATATACACTCATCTGCTGAAGCAGTCACTACTTCGCTATCCTCCATATGAGATGCCTTAAATTTTCCGTGGAATTTGCGTTGGAAAATGTTTTCCTCCCCACAAGTCCACCCTTGTATAGCTGGATGGTTTGCGCTCGCCCAAATGTTAGTTAGTCGTCTTCTTCATCAACATACTTTCGTAGACAGTACGCAGTATTTCAAATGATTGAAAAGCTCCTTCATTTCGCGGCTGGTCCCGTAGGTGCAGCAGTTGGTGCCTTCGCTGCTTCCGAAGGACCAGCTTGAGCACCTTGCCGTGCGCCGCCCCGCCCACCACGTCTTCCCATGGTGCCACCTCTCCCGGCTCTGCCACCTCTGGAAGGAGCATTCGGAGGCTGATTTGCAGGTTTCTTCTCAGGGGGCAAGGCAGTTCCCTTTCGCTGCATGACCTGAACGGTTCCTTGTGCAACAGAGATGGGATTCGCCGCCATTGCCTTCTTCAATCCTTCTGTATCCACAAAGTCGACATATGCAAAGCCTTTTCTCTTATCAATTTCCACCATCGATACGACACCAAAGTTCTCCATAGCTTCCTTGAGAAGGGCTTCGGTCACACCCTGAGAAGGATTGGCATGCTTAACGAATGCTTGTGTAGCACCCTCTGATGGTACTGCAACAGGTGGTGGTTTTCGAGACAATACTGGGGCAGGCTTTGGCTGCTGTATTGTTGGAGAGGGAACTGGTCGTTGGGTTTGCTGGCTTTCAGGCTTCTTGAGTAGCACCACGGGATTCGCTGCCGGAGTAGAAGCGGAACCAGAAGCCTTGCCAGTTTCAGACTCGGTAGAGTTTCCTTTGGCTCGAGACTTCCTGTCCTTAGCCTGGTTGTTGCTTGCTTTTGGTGCGATTGGGATTGTCTGAGTTTGTGATGGTTGAGATGAACTTGCTTCCTTCGACTCAGCAGCAGCCTTCTCCGCCGCCGCGGCTCTTTCAGCTTTCAGAGCATCTGCAGTATCCCTTCTGACTTGGCGATGAGCTTGAGCTGGACTTAAACCAAGATCCCGTTGAAGCATCTTGATATGAGCAGCGATAACAGCTGGTCTCTGTCGGCCATGAACCTTTGTAACATCAAGCTTAGGTGTACCAGAACTTTCTGAGCCAGAAGCCTCTGAGATACTTGCTGCCGGACTCGCCTTCGTGGCCACTTCCCTGTTGAGAATCTTGACGGCTTCTCTAGCTGCTTTCTCTATCAGTTTGTCTGACTTTCCTTCTTTCCCCTTCTTCTTAGAATCGTCAAGAGAACTTGATGATTCCTTGCCAGCCTTGGTCTTCGCAAGCTGGGCTTCTTGTTTCTTTGCTGCCTTTGCCGCCATCTCCTTGCTCTTGTTGGCCTTCTTGTCCTTCAAGTATTGAACCAAAGGCGTGGTAGTGACCTTCTCCTGTTTCGTCGATGTACCATCTAACACAACATCCGCATTGGCCTCCTTCGACGTCAATGGATTTGCTAGGCCCTCAAGAAATGCCATAAATTCGGGATCCTGATCAATTGTCCCTGCTCGTGCATCAACTCGACGTCTACCTCCAGGTGTTCGACCGTAGGGTGCAAACTCGACGGTTGGAGGTCCAATAAGACATTGGCTTGTGAATGTATTATGGGCATCTTCGAAGACCGATTCTCGAACAAGGTCGGAAAGGCTGAGGAGATGGCTTTCATGTGTTAAATGGAGATAGGCCCGGGCGGGTCTGGACGGCTTGGAAGGACTTTAACAGGGTCAGCAAAAATAATATATATACCAAAAATACATACTCTTTTGAGTCCTTTCCTGGCTTGTATAGAAACCAGTCAACCTTTCCCTGGCCCAGACTCCAACCATCTCCAAGGACGGATGTAAACTCCGCCTCTGTGAGACCTGGGGCGAGTCTCCTGATGACAACCTTCAGTTTTGGCGATGGAGGTTTGGCTACTACAGAGCGGGGCCCATTTCCAGAGGTTTGAGAAGCTGTGATAGCAAGGACACCATTCATATGGCCTCGACTTCCTCCCGGCGTGGTGGGGGTAGCCATCTTGCGTGGATTTTGAAGGTGAATTGAAAGCTCACGCACTAGCGAGGTCCTAATAGCTTCGCAAGATTAAAGGCGGTATCGGGATCTCTTCAAATTATCGCGTTATTTGATTTTCCAAACTCCACAAACATCATTGCTCCTTGCTTTGAACCTCGACACAATCACATTAAGGCATGCTCGACGTCGGCGACTTTTTGATCCGGCGCTAGAACTCCAACGTCTTCTTCGCCATCGACGTTGATTGGACCAGCAGACGATCGAGTGCACGGACGTCGCAATGGCCTCCCAAGAACAAGGCCTTGTCAAGGTCATCCAAATCCAAGTCGAAGGTATTCAAACTTCTGCGCGCGACGACGAGCCTCAACAGCTTGGCCACGACAGCAGCACTGCTGCAGAAGACACACCCACACCCCCTGCCTCTCTGACTCGCAATCACGAAGACGCGTCGCCTACGTTCATCGACCGCATTTTCGAGGATCTCCACGACTACGAAGTTGAGGACGAAAGCCTCAGCTACGAGCGCATCTCCCCTGCTTCGTCTTCCGGCTCAGACTCTCCCACACCAACCGCCGAGCATATTGAGGACCTTGACGAAGAACCTGAAGAGTTCCCGTTCCTCTTTGGACGACCTCTGCCTCCAATCCCGGTCACAGGCACTGTCGAGACTCCAGGCCGTCGACCCTGCCCTCTACCCCCTTTTCATTTCCCTGCCCGTACCCCTCCTCCTCCCAAGATGCCCAACTCAAGCGTCCCAAAGCCAGGCCCCGCCAAGCTCTCGCCCAAGGCTGGCCTCGAGGAATGGCTCGCCGAAGCAAAGCAATGTCATTACCTCCCGGAGGCTGTCATGAAGCAACTGTGTGAGATGGTTAAGGAGTGTTTGATGGAAGGTGAATATTACAGTATCTCCATCGTGTCCGATCTATCACTGACCTCGCTATCTAGAGTCCAACATCCAACCCGTTTGCACCCCAGTCACGATCTGCGGTGACATTCATGGTCAATTCTACGACTTGCTTGAGCTCTTCCGCATTGCTGGTGGCATGCCTGGTGAGACCAATGTCGAGAAGCCTAAGACACAAGCTACTGTCATCAGCTCAGATGCTATTGAGCCTCCCAGCTCGATCACCAACCCAAAGCTGAAGAAGAAGATCCGAAGCTCCGACAGCGGTATTGAGAGTGCTAGTGGTGAGGACGAGGATGACGAAGAAGAGACGCGAGGCCGCCCACGTACTGCTGGTCAATCTAGCCGCGGTGGTAGCTCAGGTGGTGATTCTGCAATCGGTGTCAATGAGGTCTCTGGAAGTGGTAACCAAAACTTCATCTTCCTTGGTGATTTCGTCGATCGTGGCTATTTCAGCTTGGAGACGTTCACCTTGTTGATGTGCCTCAAGGCAATGTAAGCATCGGCATTCTCACAAAGTGTTCTCTTGCTAATCGCGTCAAGGTATCCTGACAAGATCACCCTCGTTCGAGGTAATCACGAGTCCCGCCAAATTACTCAAGTCTACGGTTTCTACGAGGAGTGTCAACAAAAGTACGGCAATGCTTCGGTCTGGAAGTCTTGCTGCCAAGTCTTCGACTTTCTTGTCCTTGCTGCGATCGTCGATGGCGAAGTTCTCTGCGTACACGGTGGCCTCAGTCCTGAGATTCGCACCGTCGACCAAATCCGTGTTGTTGCTCGTGCTCAGGAGATTCCTCATGAGGGCGCTTTCTGTGACCTTGTTTGGAGTGATCCCGAGGACGTTGAGACCTGGGCTGTTTCTCCTCGCGGTGCTGGCTGGCTCTTTGGTGATAAAGTCGCAACCGAGTTCAACCACGTCAATGGCTTGAAGCTGATTGCCCGTGCGCACCAGCTTGTCAATGAGGGTTACAAGGTATGATGATCCCATAGGCTGGACGAGAACCTGTTGCTAATGCTTTATAGTATCACTTCTCCCAGAAGTCCGTTGTTACCGTCTGGTCCGCACCCAATTACTGCTACCGCTGCGGTAATGTTGCTTCTATCATGAACGTCGGTGAGGATTTAAACCCAAAGTTCAGCATCTTCAGCGCCGTTCCAGAAGACCAACGCGCTGTCCCAGCCGGACGCCGTGGTGCAGGAGAATACTTCTTGTAGTTTTCCCATCACATCTTTGCTTTCGTCTGTACATTAGATGACCTAATGATGGTGTTCGGAGGAAACTGCATTGGGACCTGGCGTTTTCGCTTTGAATGTAAAATACTAGATCAATGATGAGACGAACTTTACTTACATCCTGATTTCAAAATTTGTCGGATGCAATTGCGAATTACTTCCATAATATTTTGCCAACTAATTGTCCAGGGAGTGCTCTTGTTCACCATCTCGAATTCTGCATTTTAGCAGAAATCAGTGCATCTCCGTACTTATAGTCAAACTGCCAAAGCTTCCTCTTCAAGCTCGAGAAGATCAACGCGCGGTTCCAGCCGCTCGTCGGGTGCTGGAGAATACTCTCTCATGATACACTACACCACCTTCTCTTTCATCTGTACTTTAGATGATATGATAATAGGGTTTCACTTAAATAAAAGATTACAATAATAGATCAAAGATGAGGCGAAAATTACGTTCATTCCAGGTTCTGAGTTGCATCGGACAACTCTATTGATACTTATGCTCTCGTCACAGCTTCGATGTGCAATTGTGGTTTCATCGAATCTGATTTCATTGGAGGTAATCCTGAACATGACCACAACAGATGGCATGAAAATTGAGATTGGCTTCTTGAGTTGCAACTTGCAAGGATGCGATAATCTGAGCGGGCGCTTTCTTTTCGGCGGGAAGCCGGTTTCCGGGATGCTCGCTGGTCTTGCTCGGGAACCGTTGGAGTCGACCACTATGGGATATTGCTCACGACTTTAGAAAGTCCCTCAGCTGTCATGGAGGCGTTATCTTCTCAGCACTCCAAGATAATCGGTCTGATAGCCCTCTTAGCCACCACGAATATGCTGTTGGCTCCGGCCGACTGGAGCAGGTTCCTAGCCTTTTGTCTCTTGACTTCCCTGTCCTCCAACAGGACCGGCTTCAATGCAGCTCGGTTTTGGCCCGGGAAACGCCAGGATTAAGGGCACGAAGATCTAGAGTATGTTTACGGCGAGCCTCTGTGCCCAGTCTAGAATTGAGAAGTTGATGGCTGACTTAAGTTTCGTGAGCTTTGATATTGATAAAGTATGATGGAAGTCGATCCATTGCTCTTTGGTGATTATTTGCCGGATCGAATCCTTGCCCTCCCAAGAAGACCAAGTGATTCAAGGACTTTCAATATGGAAAGGGAAGTAAACCATTATTGAGACAGTGTTAATTCACGATTCTTTTCATTCAAAGAATTAATATAAATGAGTTGTTTCGATAAACTTTTATTCAAAAAGCTATGAGTAGAGACGTCCTCAAAATAGACTTGTTCAAGACCAAAAATCCGCATCGTTGAAGGAACACAACTTTTCCCTAACCCCAATCACGAAATAAAAAATATTCCCAGGAAGATGATATCTCAATTCCTTGCACGAACGAAAGCTTTCCAGTCTTCTGATATCTCTGCTTGAAGACTTCATGCCACTCAGCCTGTGTGAACTCCAATCTCGTCGAATGGCACGGATGTCCTTGCAAATTTCTCCAACCTCATCGACCCATCAGTCAAGGGCAATTCTTAGATAGGGTGCCGGTAGTTGGAGGAGGTATGCACGTATGAACCTTCTTGTTGTTAGAGACTTGTTCAAGTGTTTCGATGTTGAAGAACCTACTACCGAAACGTCCATTTCGATTCCGAAAATTGGCACTCTTGTACAATCAATCAATTGAAAAGCAATGCTTCACTTCATCATGAGAGACAAGAGACCGAAAGCGATTGATCCACTGATAAGATTGGGAGGGGGTGTTCATGTTCCAGAGGAAAGAGGTTGTCAATGCGGGGCGGATCTCGCCATTGTTATGCGTCGACCATACAGACTTCAACTCTCACACGGGAGAAAGGTGATATCTGCCATCGTCCTGGTGGTAGTGTCCTCGAACCGGCGAATTTTGATGGCCAAACGTTGGCCCAGGCGCATAGGATAGTTGGTTCGTGGCATAGGCTACTGGGCCAGGCGCACGGTAGGTAGCTGCAGGCAGAGGCGGTCCCCGCGGGGCGAAGGGATTAGGGGTTGTGTGTGTCGTCGGCGAGTGGCTGTCATACAGCGGCACAGGCATCTCTCGCCAACTGGAACGGCGACCGCCCGTGCTTGAGGAACGACGACCGCTTGATCTCTTCTCGTCGCGGTGGCTTGATCGCGGTGGACTTGATCGAGTCGATGTTGACGAGGTCTTCTCGCTCCTTTTAGGCGACACCTCTCTTGCGAGCTTCTCGATGACCTTGGCTTGGTCGTCGAGTTCGTCGTTTGCGTTGTCAAGCTTGTTGTGCAGCTCCGCTTTCTCTCGCTTCAGTAAGCGATTCTCCTGGTTACTTTCTTTCAAGGCGGTGTTGAGATTTGCATTGGCTGCCTCAAGTTGACGGATCTTTTCGTTGGCGGCATCGAGTGCTTCTTGCACTGCGCCTAGGATTTGTCTCTGCTCATCTCTTTGCTGGTAGGTGAACGGCGAGTCGGGTGCGGTGCCAAGTGAGGCGCGATCAGAAGCAGAACTGCTGCCAACACCCGAATCTCTGCTGCTGCGGTGGTGATGAGACCTGGATGGCTTGGTGCCACGGTCGAAGTCGACGGTCTTTTTTGTCCTGGAAGACGACATCGTGATAGGATACTTTTGGGGCTCTTGCGATGAGGCTGGGATGCGTTGTCCGCTGTGCAGTGAGCTGGTACCAATAGGTGACGGACTGGTAGGGCGCAACAGCGGTCAGGTGAAAGGATTGGGTGTCGAGATATGTTGACGCAAGGCTGTGGGAGCGGAGCAGTTGGGCGTGCAAAGGTATAAGAAGGATGAAGAATCCACACCACGAGGTATGATTGATAAAGGATGAAGATCAAGACACGAACTAGCCCGACCTGCTGCCTACATACATACTTTTCGTATCAAACGTCTTTCGGTCTTCGGTCGAGGGCGTGGAAGCCATCCCACACCCTTCTCCCCTGCCGGCCGGTGTGAAGCATGCCACCCAGATCTGTTCACCGAGTAATCGCAGGCGTCCCGCTCAACCACCCCAGACCTCATCAGGAGAAGGCACCAGAAAGAGCCATCCAGGAGTCATCGTTGGGTGCAAGTCGGGCACACCATCCAGCACCGCGCTGCGTCGATTGGGGGAGGGAAAATGGCCGCCATTGGGCAGCAACGGCGTGCGCAGCCTGGAGATCCAGCACTGCCTTGCTGCCTTGCACGGTTTGTGGATGCTGCGCCGCCCTGGCGTCCTGCGCATGATCAGGAAAATAGGAAAATCCGCCTTGCAGGGAGCCTGCAGAAGAGCCTCCCTTCGCTCCCCCCCCCCACTTCGCCCCCTCGCACAAAGAAGTGCAATCAAACTCCCGCGCGTTGCCTGCCGGCTTGCCTGGCCCGGGGATTTCTCGTGGGAGTTTGGGTTGTGGTCACTGTGTCTGTGCTTGCTGTTCCCGATGCAGCGCCGCGATGACTCTCACGTGCAGCATGCAAGCTTGCAACCGGGTCACGAGTGTGCGCATCATTTATGTCAAAGGCAGTCATAATGCCTTGCTTGTCCCAGAAGAAGATTGCAAAAGTTATGCAAGCGTGTAATTTCTACGGTGTTGCCTGTCCCGGGTTGAAGTCAGCTCGAGGATGAGCGTGAGTCCTGAGCGATGTCGGCTCGGCGCGTGATGGTTGGGGGCCGGGACCTCAGTGCGATTGCGGTACAATCCCAAGTTCCAAGGACGAAATCTCCTTTTCGAGCCCTTGAAGGAAGGGGTTTACGTCAATTCTGGAACCGATGTCAGCTGAAGCCTAAATCCATTGAAAACGGCTACGAACTCTTTGCTGTCCCTCAGCTGGTCGCATTCCTAACGCGCGGTGAAGATCGAAGATCCAGAGGCTTTCGGTACAAGCAGTTGGTTTGACTTGGTATGACTGCTTTTCGAAACCCAGGGAGTTGGGGTTCGATTTTCTAGCCTTCTTGGGTTTGGGATGCGGAATCCACAAGTTCCAGATCCGTGTGGTCGAGAGGCTCGATCTTGATTCTATCTGCAAAAATCGGATTCCCGCTGTGGTTTTTGATCGTTCAGTCGGCAACGTGGAATCCGTGCCTTCGAAGATAGTCCTTTAGGTAGACGATTGTGCGATTTTTGTCCGCGATTCGTGTCTCTTCCAATCCCAACAGCTCATCCTTTTCGGCAAGTCGGCGCCTCAGGACCTCCACCTCGGCCAACTTCTCCTCATATCGCAACTTGAACTCTTCTTCCCTGCTTCCCCTCTTGAACAGGCGATACTTCTCCTTAAGCTCCTCATTCTTGTGTCGCAATCCGGCATTGGCATCTTCCTCGTCCGCGAGCAAGTCCTCAAGGCGTCTGACTTCTCTGACTTGCGCATCAAGCTGCGCTCGAAGGGGCCGGCATTGTTGATGCTCGTTGACTATGTTCTGGTATTGCCAATTGTCCCTCTGCGCATAGCTTAAGCGCGTCTGCAAAGACAAAATCTCGCCATCTAGCACTTCGATTCGTTCTTCGGCGTCGTTGAGCAGTTCGCGTGCGCTTCTGCCCCGTCCTTGAGACCCTCCCTCGCGGTGGGAGGACGAGCGCACAAGACGCTCTCTCCCCCGCCCATCTCGCTCAATCCTGTAGTCCCTGTGCGCCATTGGACTAACTGAGTTCCCTATTTTTGAATATGTGAGGTCTTTGAGGGAGAAGACCAGTAAACAGTGAAGTTTACTAGTTTCTTGGAAGGTTTGAGGGTGATTGGTATGGTTCAAGTGATTGGTGATGTGTGTCTGCAAGTATGATGTGCAGGAGATGGATTGGATAGGGAAGCAAAGTTTCGATCAATAGGATGGGCAAATGCAAGAGATATATCTGCGCGGGTGCCTAGGAATCCACAATGCGAGAGCATGTAGGACTTAAGACCTTGGCCTTCTGGCTGGTCACTTCGGCGGAGAGCGTGCACAAGGCTATGTTTTGGGGGTGCTCATGGGGAGAGAGCCTCACCTGAGATAGAACCTTGTCAACCAAGTGGCGAATATAAGCGTTGGAGGTATCTTTCTTTGACATTGTGACACCTAAGACAGTGTGGCATCCATGCCAACAAAAATGGGTTGTTGCAAGACTTGTCTTGGGTGCCATGCTTGAACGGCAGACCTGCATACTGTGCCGTAGCTCTGTGACTGGAAAAGGAAGCGGCGCTTATGTCACTCCTCAGATCTCAGCTCTTCCAGGTTTCTCGGAAGGCGGCAGGCTTGACCGAGATGCTTCAAGCCTTTTCGATCCCGTTCGGGATCGGTGGATCATGCATAACCCGATATTCAAGGGGCATCCAATCAGGTTTGAAAGCGAAGGAACAGAACGAGAACTGATGGCTAGGGCAGTGCTCACAACGTAACATTGGTTCAATTGTGATGGTGGGGTGCAAGTGGGAGTGTGGCAGCACTATGGCTTCAGCCTCTCTGTTTGGGGGGGGAAGGCTTGCACAGCCTGGCGGCGCCTGGAGTTGAGTGGTTGAAAGTCAACTCGAATCAAGTGGGCTGCTGACTTTCATCTTCCTGACACCGAGAGCAGAAGCAGTCGTCACGTTCGTGTGGCTTTGCATTGTGGCGCCATCCAGTTCCCAACACCTATCGAGGCTGATTCGATTCGCCGTGCGGGTGCTGCCGGTTATGCAGAAATGCAGCAGTCCGTGGGAGGAGAAGCGAGTGCGAGGTGCGAGGTTGATGGGCAAGGCAATAGGCAGTAGGCAAGCGTCCTGAAGCATCTGGTGGATGGGCAAGTGCGCCGTTGCCCGTTCTTTTTCTGGGGGAGTCTGATGGTTTGATGATTTGATGGTTGTCAGAAAAGGAAATGCGTGGAGGAGCTCATGAGTCAACCCGGCATACGAAGTAACGTGACCGTGCTCTACGTAGCCAGGCGGCTGTCTCCAATCGCCCTCTCTTTGGCAGGCAACAGCCCAGGTCCCCTGAATCAAATTCGATGCGTCTTTGTCTGTTTGAAGCTGCATTTGGGGAAACCCCGGAAGGTCACTCACGTTCACACTGATCAATAAAGAAAGCTTATTTCCGACCGGTTCGAGCAGCACTCGCGACCCCTCCTCAACTCGGACACTTCCCGACGACCGGCACCAGCCTTAGTAGTGTGGATTTTCACCCCCAAAAGTGGAATTACTCATACGGGAGGCCACTTCGGCTCCCCAGAGACCTCTTTTCCATTTACATCTTCTTGAGAATGGCCCAGACGAAAAGCAAACCTCTGCTGTAAGCTGGCGCGATCTCGTCATCTGCTCGTCTCCGCAACGGCCCGCCTCCGGAGATCCCAATTCCTTGCAAAAGACTCAACCTCTTCCCACGGCAACGGGCGTTGCAAACTCTCACCCGTACCCGCTCAACCTCCTCGAATGGCTACCGCTCTACCAGTGCAGTCTGCCTCTGCGCAAACTGCATCAAATTACTCGTTTCCCCGCCACAGGCTCCGATTGTCTCAAAACGATCCCTCCAAGACTCCATTGGTGCTGGTAGCATGCGGCTCCTTCAGCCCAATTACATACCTCCATCTGCGAATGTTCGAGATGGCGGCAGATTATGTGAAGTTCAACAAGACGGAGTTTGAGCTCATGGGTGGATATCTCAGCCCCGTCTCTGACTTGTACAAGAAAGCTGGGCTGGCCAGTTCACAACATCGGTATGACGGCATCATGCTGTTTTGAAACATTGCTAATAAACGTATAGTCTCCGAATGTGCGAAATCGCAGCAGACCAGACTTCGAACTGGCTGATGGTGGATCCCTGGGAGGCCATACAGCCCGAATACATGCCTACGGCTCTGGTGCTAGACCACTTCGAACACGAAATCAACGACGTATTAGGAGGAGCAGAGCGCCCTGATGGGAGTCGGGTGCCTGTACGGATTGCGCTGCTGGCAGGCGCAGATCTGATTCAGACGATGTCGTACGTCGTCATCTTCCCGAAGCACTGCTATTCTCTTTGACAAGCCTAACTATTTTCAGGACGCCCGGCGTTTGGAGCCAAGAGGATTTAGACCATATTCTAGGACGATTTGGAACATTCATAGTCGAGAGGTCAGGCACCGACATCGATGACGCCCTGGCAAATCTACAAGCTTGGAAAGACAAAATCTACGTTATCCAGCAATTGATCTCGAATGATGTGAGCAGCACGAAGATCCGGCTGTTCTTGAGGAGGGAAATGAGCGTGCAGTATTTAATCCCAGCGCCGGTCATCGAATATATCGAGCAGAACGGGCTGTATGAAGAGGATGGAGCTTCATCTGTCGATGGAAAGGGGAAGTCAAAGGGGGAGAGCTCGGGAAGGGCATCGCCGGCTGTCGGAGCCGCCAGTTCATCAAACAGCTGATGATGCCAGTAAGGCTCAATCAAGAATCTTCTAGTGTAACGACTCAGATTCTCGGGCCTTGCACACACCCCGTTCTCCATCTTGGACGATTCCAGCTAGGTGTACGTCGGCATCCAGCACAGGTCGGAGACCGTGCACAATCCCTCCTTTCGTTGAAGATATTTCAAGACAGTTGCATATACTGGATTTTCCTATCTCGGGTCAGGTTTGCATTGGGATTGGCGGCTCTCTGGTGGTTTTGCATATTGAAGGGAGATGGTCTGGTTTCAGGATGGAGGGACATTTGGTTTGCTTAGACATGAACGACCTCATGACCTGGTATAATACCTAAGACAAGACTATGATCTTTACAGAATTGGGGGGGAATAGAAAGTGGAATTACTTCTACGGGAAGCCTTGCCCTAAAACACTGACTCACCAGCACAAGCCGCTACATCACCGCTCATGTCATAATTGAAATATAAACTGAACGGATACTTTAAGTTTTCTACCCTTCCCCCACGCCTTCGCACCTCCTGACAAATACGAATAACGCCCTACTCTTAATAACTCAATCTTTGGCACCATTCTTGACTCTTCCACTACGATGGGCTCTGTGCCGCAGAATAAAGCACCTGTTGCTCAGCACCTGTTGCTCAACAACCGTTGAACGCACAAACACGACCACCAACAACGGTCTATGCGTGCCCTCACAATTAGCTGATGCATTGCATGGCACAAGCTAACAAGATTCCTCTTGTTCTCGTGGCCTGTGGGAGCTTTTCGCCCTTGACAGTCCTGCACATGCAAATGCTCGAAATGACGGAACGCTAGGTAACAAAAAGCACCAATTTGGAAGTAGTCGGTAGCTACCTGAGTTTTTTAAACTTATTTCTATACCAAATTGCTGTTTTATTTTTATTTTTATGAGAATGCCTAAGAGCTTCACCGGAGCCGGCGTGCGCATTTCTGTCTTGAGAGCTTGGTCGCCCGCTCGTGTGCTCTTCTTAGGAATTCATCGATACTCCATATTAATTGAAGATAGAGCTGGTGACGCATGCCAAAAGCCACGCCTTGTGCTCGGTCACTATTGCCTCGCAATGTGCACCTTAGCAGTCGAGAACACGAGTACCTCATGGTCGACTCGTGAGAGGCCTCTTGCTACATGGGAGCAGGGGAGCCAGTCTACACGAAGACGGTTGACGTCCTCCGGCTTGTACGAGGGAGTAGGACCAGTTCTCCGGCAACAGAACTGAGCCCTCTTTCACCTACAGCGCTTTGATCGAAGACCATATATTTGGGGCTATATTAATCTTTTCTGGGAAATACATCCAAGGGGCCTAGTTGCGACCTCTGCGTCACTTCCTCGCTCCGTGCCGGGGAGTTAGCTATCACTTGAGCAATATATTGGTCAAGCTTCGTGAGGTAGATGATGACACTGAGGGCAATCTTAGGGAGGATTCGAAGAAGATGGAGAGGCATTAGATGCCAACCAGCGTGAAGGAAATCAACATTACCAAGCGTGATAACTCAGGGACACGTGCCAAACGATATGGAATAGCTGAAGAGAATTACTACACCCGACGGGCTGCCAAACAAAGCTATGATCTTGACAGATTTGGGAAATAAAGATCTTTGTGTCACTTGTGCTAGTGCTTCAGTCATGGGTATGGCTAGATCGAGAATATGAAGGATAAAAGAAAGAAGCAGAGTGATGCCCAAGGACGGACTCCCAGTCAAGGACGTTAGCACTACTGACGGAATGAAAATGGGCAAACACGATCGAAAGATTTCGGTTTGCTTGCGCAACGATTTGTGGCAGTGTTAAGCAACAGGCAATTGGAGCGCCTTGAGGAAATTCTTTTCGCCCACCCAACATTGCGCACAAGAATGATACCAAGCCAATGACTGGCACAGACTCGCCCAATGAAACCAACAAACACAAGGACAGACAGATGGAGTCAAATCAAATTGTCAGTGGAGGGACTAGAAATAGCAATCGATCGTAAAGTGGAAGAGAGATTGAAGATGAAATGAATCAAGATGTACTGTACAGAAAGTGCAAAGAGCAGGGCCGCATCAACAAACGATGTTAATTCATGAATTACGGAAAGCGCAACGCTCTGACACAGGTCGTCGTTATGGTTTTCCCGAATGAATAGAGAAGCAGGAAAGATGGGGAAGAAGGCGCAGTTGGAGGCGAGCTGTGACCTTCGAGCGGCCGTCAGGGTGCGGTTGGCGCGGTCGACTCGGCCGCATGTCAAAGCGGAGGCGCGAGTAATCACCGCTTGAAAGCCCATCAGCTATCATACAGCCAACAAACAGAAAACAGCATCGGAATTCGGGAAAACTTGACCTGCAGTGGAGGAAAAAAGGATTTCCAGAATGCCTTGCCAAAAATGTATATAATTAAATTGATCCCCGGTCCCAAAACTCAATTTTTCATACCACAGTCAGATCATCTGCCTCATCGACCATTAAAGCTCCCTTCAACGTCAAAGTCTACAATACCTCAACACTTACTTTCTTATAAGTTTTTGAAACTCGCTAGCAGTATACTTGCAGCTTTATATATACATCATTGGACAATATCGCCCCAAATATGCCCGAATTTGATCCATCCTCTCTCCCCGACCTCAGCGGGAAAGTCTACCTCGTGACAGGAGGCAACGCAGGAATAGGCTATGAAACCGTCCGCTTCCTCGCCATCAAAAACGCAACGGTATACATGGGCTGTCGTTCCCCAGCAAAAGGCAACACCGCAATTGCCTCCATCAAAGCCCAAGTCCCCACCGCCACCATCCACCCCTTAATCCTCGACCACATGAACCTCCCCTCCGTCGTCTCATCAGCAAAAGAGCTCACCACCAAAGAAAAGAAACTTCACGGCCTCATCAACAATGCTGGCATAATGGCCGTTCCATTCGCCAAATCCCAAGACGGCTATGAGTCCCAATGGCAGACAAACTATCTCGCCCACGCGCTCCTAACCCACCACCTCCTCCCCTTGCTCCTCTCCACGGCAAGAGCATCCCAACCAGGCGACGTAAGAATCGTCAATGTCTCCAGCATGGGCCACAACCTCGCTCCCAAGAAAGGGATCGATTTCGCAGACATCAACCAAGAGAAAGGCTCCATCTGGACACGGTACGGGCAATCAAAGCTGGGGAACGTCTTGAACGCCAAAGAACTCAATCGCCTGTACGGTCCGAAAGGAATCAAGAAAATGGAAGGAGAGATTTGGAGCATGGCGTTGCACCCAGGGAATATGTACACGGATCTTAATAAGAATGCGAGATTTGCGGGACCGCTGAGTGGTGTGGTCGTGAAGATGTTAAATGCGTTTGGGGTGTACATCCCGGTTGAGAAGGGGGCGTACACTAGTATATATTGTGCGGCGAGTGAGGATATGATGCCGGAGATGTCGGGCAAGTATTTTGTCCCGCTCGGGAGGCTGGGGAAGGCGAGTAAGTTTGCGAGGGATGTGGAGCTGGCGGAGAAGTTGTGGGTTTGGACTGAGAAGGAATTTGAGCGGAAGGGGCTGTTTTGAGTGAGAAGACAGGAACGCAATGAGATGATTCTGTTTTGGAATGAGCGCAGTTTTTTGGATGGGCCGCTGCAACGTAGGTGATAACTATAATACACAATAATGGACTTTTACTCCTCTTGTACACCTGTGCACCTACACCGTACACCGTAAATATGCTCGCAGGTTGGGGTGTCGCTTTCGAACTCAGAAGAATCAAGTGCAGTTATATGAATTAGTACTACAGCAACCAATTCCAACTCAAACAATTTCATAACCTAGCAGAATTGCCAGCTGTGCAGACTAAATCATACTGGCAGTGGGAGCGGCTCCACTCCTCACGGAAACACCAGAAGCTGCCAACAGTGATTGACGAAGGTGTTCATCTTCTGATTGAAGTACAGGCAAAGCGTGTTCTTGGCTCGCGGGCTCAACTTCATGAAATGGACTTCCGTCACTGGCAGGTGATGGAGTAGAAACCGCCGAATCACTGTAATCGTGGTCTTGCAAGCCTTGGGCCAGCGTCATGATCCCGTTGACACGATCTTTTTCCTCAACGGCGTTGGCTTTTAGTCTTGCTTCAGCTTCCTTTTTACTGGCTTGCCCCGGTGCTCGAGTTTTGAGATCACCGGTAACACCTTTTAGGTAGAACGGCATCTCGTCACTGTTCTTCAAGAAGAACAGTTTGAGATTCCTCGCCTTGTCCTTCAGCTGCACTTGATTTCTATCCTTGAGTTGTTCACCATGAGACCCTCCTTGTCCAAAGAGGGCTAGGATCTGGCTCCAGTGTGGCCCCTTGACCATATCAAGACCCGTCATTAAGGCGCCCTCTTCGTGGGGCGTCCAAGGTCGTCTTGCACTGGGTACTCCTGGTTTACGATGACCATTGTTTGCCTTGGAAGCGGCTGCCTTGCGGGCTCTTTCATATAGCACTACAGTTGGAACCGACTGGCTAGGATGAGGGGCCTTTTTTTTAGCAGCATCAGCGGAGCCATCCTGAGTCGCATTGTGTTGGGATTGTTGAGGGGGCGAAGAAGATTCTATTTATAAATGAGTATGCAACTTTCATAAAGCGAGGGTACATACCTTCGTGATTCTGTGTGTTATTGTTGGCAGACCTGGGTTGGAATGCATCCATTGTGGCTTGTGTAGCACGTTTTAGCACTTCCGCGAATGACGGGGCTATGTTGTTAGTGTCCTGGGCAGTGTTCTGGATCACTCCGCGAACAGGAGGTGCTGGAGCTGTGAGAGCATGACGTTTCATATAAGGAGTGATCATCGGTCCGTAGGTCTTGCTAAGATGGGCACTTAGACTCTGTAAAAAGTCCTCCCAGGCGAACTTCGACGAAATTTCCTCTTCATGACTTTAGATTATGTCCCGGGATTGGGGCCTCACACTTACGAATCGATTCTATATCATTCGCCTCTGTCATGAGGAAGTAGCGACGCTCCTGTGATGCTCGGAGAAACTCATTCTCACTCTCAGCCAATTCTATGGCGGGATGTCGGCTCATAAGCAGCTCGTCAAAACCTACGGGGAAGAAGTCTTCGAGGATATCCTCTTTTGTCCTCTCCTGCTCCTCCTGAGTCACCGCTGACAAGAACATCTGGGTCTTGAGGCTCAGAAAGAGATCACCAGCTTCCTTCGACATCGGTTCTCCATCAGGAGTAAAGGTTTCGATGAAGTGGTCATTGAGTTCGTAAAATCCAACAGAGCCCCCGAAGGCTGAAGAAATGAAGGTAGCCAGATTTGTGATTCGAATTGTGGCACGATGTTCGGACTCGTGGATGTTGAGTTCGTCCGCAGATAAGAAGGGATCATTTTGGGAGTATATTTGCTTGGTCTGATCGAAAAGCGACTTCAGAGTAGTATATGCTTGGCCGAGCTCTGATTGAGGCGCCTGTACGACTCTTAAAGTCGCAAGCCAATGCCCCTGGGTAAGGGTTGACAAGATTTGGATAGACTGTACAGTGGTTAGAAAGCTTCGGGCTGTCAGAAAAGGCTGTTCCCACCAGACTTTCCAATATCGGGAGACTTAGAATTCGCATATAGAGATGAGGATCAGACATAAAGCCACGACTTTGGCCTTCGGGCTCAATATGCTCGTACTGAGCACCAGCAGGACATGACGATTCAGCCTGTTCCTGATAGATTTGCAGCCTATTGGCAGATGGCGCATGTTGTTGCATGACAGCGCCTTCAGCTTGAGCAAGCATTTCACGGAATTTGACACTTAGAGGTTCTGCAGGCCTACTTGCTGAAGAGCCGGAGGCAATCCTCTGTCGCTTTTCTCCCAACTCTTGAGACTCATCTGGTCTGCGACGCTTTTGGGACAGCGATTTGGGGGCCGTGATTGCTTGGCTCGAGCCAGATGTGACACTGTAGGAAGCTTCTTGTTTGATCGGAGGATCTATTTTGAAGGCGCGATGCCACCCGTCAGTCAATGTACTGGAGTTCATGGCCGGTTACTCGATTACGACCGTTAGAAGAGAAGCTGCCTTACCTGGTATCTCGTCGGAGAAAGCCATATTGATGCTTTGTTGCCCGACAGTCTTGCTCTTCCTAACAGAGTCCAGTTGGGAACGGTTATGTTCCTCCAGCCAGTGAATAAGTAATGTGGTGAAGAGGTAAGAAGATGAAGGCAGACAGCGACGAGATTTCTGCGGTGTCGAAGTGGTCCGTGCCATGCCCTCCAGCTGGGCCCCAATCGCGATACACACACAACACGGAATGAAAAATTCCTCAAAATCCGTCAGCATTTCTTAGTGTCACTCTTGGCTTTGGGAACTGCGTCTCTCAAATAATCATCAATGTATGGCTTCACTTCTAGTCATTGCTCTGGTACCCGCCAGCAGCTACAGCGTCTGCTGCAACCGATTGGCATTTATTACTCGGTCTTGCCACAGTCCCACAGGACGTACCACAAGGAGATTGTTGAATACAGAAAGTTTCGTCATACCTCTCCAGTAGTGGCAGTTGGACAAAAAACCACTTCTGAAGGCCGAGGGATCAAATTTACAATTCCCTTATATGGTCACGGATCGAGAGCGGAAAGGACCGCCGATAGAGATCGCAATTCAGCAATGTCCTCTATTAAGAACTTCGCTTTCTGCATAGCAAACTTTTCTCTGTTACCAACCCCACTTGCCAGCCAGCAATCTTGTTCTTCGCTCTCAACATGGTGTCCTGGCGACCAAGCTGTTTCTTTCTCAAAGATTCCATTTTCTGGTCAGGAAGTCGTATCTTCATCTTCAGCATAACCTCCCAATCCAACAAATGGGTCTACCGAAATGGTTGCCCTGCCTTATTGGCGATTACTCCAAGCACTCAAGCTCAACTAGACTACCACCACTCACAAGGTTGTCTAGCTCTTCAGGAGATTATCCCAGCAAATTTACTACCAGCAAACAGATCCTCTTCTAAAAGGAGTGGGGTTGTGAATTTGACTGTGTTGACCAACCAAAGGAACATGGCACTACTTCCCAACTTGAGTGCCGCCGAAGACTATATATGCAAAGCCCACGATATAGGGATAAAACTGTGCTTCTTATGGAGAGAATCAAGAGAATTGCTTGAAGAGAGACATGGGAGAATTGGATAGGGGAGGTGGAGACTCGGACAGAGATACCATAGTCTCATAGGTATTTTCGCGCTTAATAGCTTGATCGGGAAGGAAGATAATGCTACAGAAGTCAACTTCCTAAATCCACTCTCCCTTCGAACATTGAAGCGATCTGCAACACACCCTGGAGGACTTGAGTTTGTAAATAAAATCACCCTCTGAGTTGAGGACATTTCAATGTACCAGAACTTTTGAAACGTTATGGCAGCAAAAACCCCACTCAGGCTACCCATATTCACTGGAAGACAAGCAGGTTTGATAATAAAGGCAAAGGCGAGAGATGTGATGCGCAATAAAGTCGACTTCGCAGATTTAGGCTCGGTTGTCAATACACTGAACTATTGGAACGTTGAAGGTGCTCTTGCTAAAACCATCCTCTTTAGTGTTCAATGGAAAGAGAAAACATTCCACTCGTGAGTCTCGGGCAGAATCCGAGCACCTTAGAATAGTAGCTCAGTTAATACTTTGCGAGTCTAATAATCAGAGAGACCCACACACTATATTAGTCTTCCTGTACTTTACGTACAATCCAATCTCTAGACCATTTGCTTCCTCAACATCCTATTGGGCATGGCAGAGGGAAACAAATATCAATCTCACGGATCACGTGCTAATGTACTCCTTTGGAAAGCTTCTGAAGCGAACAAGTCTAACGAGCAAGTCCAAACGAGCACTGCATTTAGCACATCGCTGCTTTTTCATCTCATCCATCGCAAAAAAAATACACAGGATAGCTGGGCCATTCTCTCCCAGAACTACCTGACTCGTGTTCACAGATTACTCCCGTTGGTCCATCCCCACCCACGGTTCCGTGTGGAGGGACAGAGATCTCGCCTCGCCCCCTCGGTGATCCGGAGGCCAACACGGATGCCGCCACCATCTCCTAGGTCAAGCCACGCCGTCTCTCCGGCTGCGGGGAAGTCTATTGCATTGGAGGAGAGGAGGTTCCGGGGTTGCTCTAGTAACTCTAGTTTCAATGGTGAGTCCCCAGATCAGCCCAGATTGACCCTCCATCAGGACGAATGGCCTTACTTTGGTGGATCTACAGCTGCTGGATAAACGGAAGAATCGGGGCCAAGCCTCAAAAGCCACTTGCGAAAATGTCGTTGAGATCTGCATTGTATTGGCGCTGGTGCGGAACGATCCCTTCCCTGCATCGAGACAACATGCATTTTTCTACCCCGGGCAATTTTCCCTCCGTTTTGAATAATAATAGCTTTGATGTATGTTTCGCTACAGTAATGTCTATGTCCGAAGCTATCTTCGGCGCCGGCTATCGCCGAAAGCTCTGACGAAATGGCCTTTTGCCTGGATTCCACGAGGGGGCCGTATTTACGACGACGTTTTGCTGGCGAGACTGCCTCGGCCTAGATGATGCGCCCCGCTCCGCAATTCGCTACCTTTTTCCGCGAGGGCATTTTGCGGCTAAAGTCCACATAACACAACGACGCGTAGGTGTGTGCAAAACGTGGAGTGAAGATAGGAAAGGGACGTCTTCGGGCGAAGGTGAAAGAGGAAGAGGAAGAAGGGGAGGCCAACGTGCTACATTCCCTGCCATCAAAAAGCACACCATGACAGTGGTGGAGTGGAGTGGAGGGGCACTCCGTAAAACGCAATTTCCACGGTGGTACAAGAACTTCGCTGCCGGGCGACGAACCGCCGTTGGTCCTTGTGACAACAACTAGGTGGATTCCTGGATCGGCGGACGCAGCGAGAATTTGTTCGAATCCAACCCATATTATTGCCTGCGGGCAAGGGGGGTGATTGGCAGGTCAAGACCAGTTCCCGGAGCTGCAAAGACAGTTTCGAGCTCGAATCCTGGAGCTATGGCACACTAGCAAGTGTGGAGAGAATGATTGACCTCTCAAGTTGCCGCAGGGCCCGCCTTCCTTGCTGATGATCCACCGAAGCGTTGCACAGTAACGCATTCGAGTTGGGCGGGGAGGAACGGGCTCTTACAAATTATGTGCGCTGCTGTGCGCTGCTGTGCTCCTGCTGGGTAGCTTTACGTCGTGGGTTCCGAGCCATAAAACTCAACCCCTCCCCCTCTCCCTTGCCTCGCTCCTCCTTCCACATACAACGCCTCCGCGCACAACAACTCCAAAGTAATACCCATTGTACTCAGTCCATTCACAATCACACATCAAGATGAGTCTTACGGCCTCGCTCCACACGCCATCCACTGGCAAGTACGAACAGCCCACGGGATTGTAAGTGCTTACCCCGTCTACCCCGCATTTTCGGGACGGCGACGGCAACGGCCCCAGCTGACGGCTCATTCCTACAGGTTCATCAACAACGAATGGGTCAAGGGCGTCGACGGCAAGACCTTCGAGACCATCAATCCCTCCACCGAGGAGGTTATCTGCTCCGTCCACGAGGCCACCGAGAAGGATGTCGATATCGCCGTAGCTGCTGCCCGCAAGGCGTTCGAGGGTTCGTGGCGGAAGGAGACACCAGAGAACCGCGGCAAGTTGCTGGTCAACCTCGCCAACCTGATCGAGAAGAATATCGACCTCTTGGCTGCCGTCGAATCTCTTGACAATGGCAAGGCCATCGGGATGGCAAAGGTTGACGTCAGCATGGTTGCTGGCTGCTTAAGATACTATGGAGGCTGGGCCGATAAGATCGAGGGAAAGGTTATCGACACCAACTCTGATACCTTTGCATACACCAGACAAGAACCCGTAAGTATCCAATCAATTGTTGAGGTTATCACCTTCTAACGAACCCAGATTGGTGTTTGCGGTCAAATCATCCCCTGGAACTTCCCACTGCTCATGTGGGCGTGGAAGATTGGCCCCGCTGTTGCCACCGGTAACACCGTTGTTATCAAGACTGCTGAGCAGACTCCTCTTTCAGCTCTCGTTGCTGCAAACTTGATTAAGGAGGCAGGTTTCCCACCAGGAGTCATCAACATTATCTCTGGCTTCGGAAAGATTGCAGGTGCTGCCCTCTCTTCTCATATGGATGTTGACAAGATTGCCTTCACTGGTTCCACTGTCGTCGGTCGTCAAATCATGAAGGCTGCTGCCGGCTCCAACTTGAAGAAGGTTACTCTTGAGCTCGGAGGCAAGTCACCAAACATCATCTTCAACGATGCCGATATTGAGAATGCCATCTCCTGGGTCAACTTCGGTATCTTCTTCAACCACGGCCAATGCTGCTGTGCTGGTTCCCGTGTTTATGTCCAATCTGGTATTTACGACAAGTTCGTTCAGCGGTTCAAGGAGCGTGCCACTGCCAACAAGGTCGGTGACCCATTCGCTGCCGACACCTTCCAAGGCCCACAAGTTTCGCAACTTCAATATGATCGAATCATGGGCTACATCGAAGAAGGCAAGAAGTCTGGTGCTACGGTTGTCACCGGTGGTGAGCGTCACGGCGACAAGGGATATTTCATCCAACCCACCATCTTCTCCAACGTCACCGAGGACATGAAGATCATGCAAGAAGAAATCTTCGGCCCTGTCTGCTCTATTGCCAAGTTCGAGACTGAGGAGGAGATCATCAAGACTGGTAACAACACCACCTACGGTCTTGCCGCCGCTGTCCACACCCAAAACCTCAACACCGCCATCCGTGTCTCCAACGCTCTCCGTGCTGGTACCGTCTGGGTCAACCAATACAACATGCTCCACCACCAGATCCCATTCGGTGGATACAAGGAGTCAGGTATCGGACGGGAACTCGGCGAGGCTGCGTTGGCCAACTACACTCAAACCAAGTCTGTTTCCATCCGCTTGGGTGATGCTCTTTTCGGTTAATAAGCTGGGTGTTGGTAATGAAAGGGAACGAATCCACATATGTATTATGAATACTTTTGCTGAAGCGGTGCTCAGTACTCCGAAATAAAAATAAATGCCACTAGACTACATGATCTTGCCCTTCCAGTCTTGTCAGTCCTTGCGTCTGCCAAGTGCCTGTCTGCTTTCCCAGCCACCGATTAAAATGTCTCACCTGACCTGGGCTGTTGTGCAAGGATCACGATAAGCTGGTGTGCCAGCTCGTCGACAATCACGGCAGTGAAGTGTGTCTGCTGTCTTACAACTTCAATTGAATTTATGCTCTACTTTCTTGTAGACCTCGCCGCATAGCAATCGATAATCAGAGGGCATCCTTTGGCCGCAAGCCCTCTCTCTGTCTTCCCGTCCAAAGCTCTCCGCCATCTAATGCGGGGTCATGGATATCAGAGCACATCCCTGCTCATCCTTCGCGCAATCGATAGTCGATAAGCGTACTGATAGCGGACTTGGGGAGCTCTTGGAGCACCACACCGCACCGCACCACTTCTTGACAGCTGCAGCAGGCTGGGCCGCCGGATCGACGCATGCTTTCAACACCCACCCAATTGATCGAGGCCCTCGCGTGCCAGGGTTACCTCGAGTGCAGAAAGCTTTACTGTACAGTACAGAGCAAGTTTAGCTTCAGCGCCATGGGCCAGAGCAGGCAAGGATGAACAGGCTCTCCCGCGGTTTTGCTTACAATGCTCCCGCAGGACATCACGAGCTGTCTTCTTGTACCTCGAAGCCTTCTCTTCTCTTTCACTTTCACTTTGCGTCATATTATCTTGCTGCAGCCTGTAAACAGCTGTCTCTGCGCTGAAATCGGCGGCGGAATCGTCCATAGCTTCTCGTGACTGTCTGCCTTCACTCTGCGACCATGGCACCCGTCTTCACCGTCATCCTCGCGCTGTCTGCAACAGCCTTGGCTCAGCGGACCCAGCAAGTCGTCTGGTCCGCAGTGACCTACACCTACCACGGCGAGAAAACACCATCTCTGTTCCCAGGCCCGTACGACCTGACTCCGGTTGGAGCACAGCAGCTCTATGAAGCCGGCCAGATCATCCGTGCTCGCTATATCACCGGCTCTGGAAACACCAGCCTGACAAATGCTTCGCCCATCAATGGCATCAATATAATCCCGATTGACAACTCCCAATTGAACATTTTGACTACGGATGACCCATGGGTGAGTGCCAGTGCCATGGCTTTTATGCAGGCTTTATATCCACCAAGGAATTCCGTCGTTCTCGATTTAGAAAGTATGCTGGGCAATTCGAGCTTGGAGCAGTACCCTTTGAATGGCTATCAATATCCCAATATTGAGACATTAAGCATGCTCGATTTCAATCGTCTTTGGTGAGTATTCAGACCTTTTGTCTGATGTTGTGTACGAATGGCCGACTGACTGACTGACTGGATAACAGGATTGCTGGAGCTGACAATTGCAACAACTATGACATTGAGAACGTAATGTCACTCTCTTCACCCGCCTACGTCCAAGAAATGCAAACCACAAATGCCTTCTACCAATCGCTCGGCAACTCCGTCTTCTGGGCCTTCACCCCTGACGAGCTTAACTATGGCAATGCTTGGACACTTTGGGAGTACGCAGCCTTCGAATACCAGCACAACGAAACACTCTACCAATCCGGAAACTTCACCGCAGACGACCTAGCAACACTGTACAACCTCGCCTCCCAACAACAATGGCTATTCAACACCCCCGACTCAACCGGGACCGTAAAAGCCATGGCAGGTCGCACCTTCGCCTCTAAAGTACTTCAATCATTTCAACACCAAATGGCCTCCAACGGCTCAGCCGAAATGCTCACCCTCCTCTTCGGCTCCTTCGAGCCTATGCTCGCCTTCTTCGCGCTCTCGAACCTCGCCACCGGCCCCTCCGCCTCCCGCTTCAACTCCCTGCCCCTCCACGGTTCAACAATGACCTTCGAGCTCTACTCCTATACCCCGATGCCCATGTCGCAAAGCGCGACCATCCCATTCCCTAGCACCGAGGAGCTATGGGTGCGCTTCCTATTCCGCAACGGGACTGGCGCTTCGGACCCTTTCGTCGAGTATCCACTCTTTGGAAGAGGGAACAGCGAAGATGATATGACCTGGTCGGACTTCGTGTCTGGCATGGGAGCATTCAGCCTCGTTGATCTGGTTGACTGGTGTTTGGAATGTGCCAGTGGGAGTTTGTTTTGTGAGGCGATGCTGCTGAATTATAACAGTGAGATAGGATCCGGCACGGATACGCCGAAGAATGCGAAGACTCTTTCTGCTCCTATTGCCGGGGTTATTGGTGCCACGGTCACTATTGGGTTGCTGCTGATTGTTGGGGCTATCTTGGCGTTGATCGGGTTCAGACTCGATTATCATCCGAGGGAGAAGCGTGCTGTGAGTGATCTCGGTGTGTTGAAGCGGAGCGGGAGCGGTGGGGGCTTTAAAGGAGCGGAAAAGTTGGCTTCTGATACGGACTTGACAATGAAAGGCGGTGCTGGAGCGAGCGTAGTCCGACACGAGAGAGTGGGGAGCTGGGAGCTGAACGATAGCCCGGATAAGCGCTCGGCCTTGGATAAGGATATCGAGAGCGGGAGGGGATTGAGCAAGACTACTTATGGAAGATCAAGTGAAGATGGACATGGACTAGGAGGTGTTGACCCGTACGGAGAGCCAGTTAAGGCTTTGGACCAAGTTTGAAGTCGTGATTCTGGGTCATGGTTCTCTGGGCGGGCAAGGATAGATTTGGGATTGGGTTTCGGATTGCGTGGGCTAGTTGGTTGCGTTTGATGATTTGACGCGATATATACGACGGACGATACCCTTCTATGTCTCTCACTATACCCCATTTCCGCATTTATCTGCGTTGAATGTTAGATGGAGGCGTTCGGTTGTTGGGGCTGGAGGAGCTTGATTCGAGGGTAATAGCATTGATGCCTTTCATGAAAGTACTATAATCATTCGTCCGTTTTGTTATATTTATTATCCATCAACTTGTCTGTCTTCCGCAGCTTTGCATCTTGACCAAAACTTTCGAAGTGTCTGGTCAACAAGGCGGCGAAAGTTAATTAGTAAAGCAAGAGTCGAGCGTGGGAACCATACTGGAAAAATGAATTTTTACCATCTTATTGAGAACAAGATCGCTACTAAACCAGGGTATGACCTCAAACAATCTGTTTTTCAACCGGCCGGTACCTTCAAGCCTCTGGTTTGCTGACAAGGCTGCAGCAAGAACAGGACGTGACGAAAGTGAATCAAGCGACTCGCAGCGTTTCGCCTCGGGATAACTATCGGCCCCTGACTAGCCTAGCTCCCGCATCCGTCAGGGGCACACCCTGATCCGAGCGCTGGAAGTCCTCATAGTAAGCCGAGGTGTCAGCTGCAAACTTTATCTCCTTCATCATTTTGTTGAGAAGTCGGAGGCTTTTTCTATCCGACGACGACGACAACTTTCCACCTCATGCTGCAAAGGTTCCGGTTGACAAAGCAACCAATTTTCCGGGACTGAATATTAATCATCGTGAAAAGCCAAGGGAGGGAACATTGGGGCTGGACGGCCGTACAGTAAGGCTTAATCGTCGGACACCCGACGACAACATTAACTTCACTCAGAGGCTGAAAGGCGCAGCCCACTCTCAACAGTTTGAGATCCTTTACGGACGCACAGGCTGCGCCGCGTACGTTGCTTCTGCTTGGTCCAGTGACCCTGATTGGAGTTCTATATTTAAAGTCGTCCCGTCTGTTATAAAAGTCAAACTTCATCCTATCCTGCGATCTCTTTTGCCGAAGTCCACTTGCACAAGGAAGCAATTTTGCTTCCAGCTATCAGCACTTTTTGGGCAGTCTCTTGAAAGAGGTAGTCTCTGTATAACTGTCACATCCATCATGCCGTCCAGAACGGAAGACACACCTCCTCCGAGTATTCCGATCCCTCTAAAGCCATTAGCACAATTCAAACGTCTCTCGCCCACTGTCTGGCTCTACACACCACCCAACTATTCAACTACATCACAAACCTCCTCTCTTGCACCAACAACCATCCTCCTCTGTTCCTGGATGAACGCCGTCCCAAAACACACCGCCTACTACGCAACCACCTATATGACCTTGTACCCCCACGCCCGAATAATCCTCGTAACAATCAACACCGTGCAATTCCTCTGCCACCCGGAAAGCAAACGCCGCGCCGACATCAAAGCGGCCGTCACCGCCCTCCTCGCCGCAGACCAATCCACGGATCGCCTGCTTATCCACGCCCTGAGTAACGGAGGCAACCGCCGCGTCTATAACATCTCCAGCGTCTACCGCTCTCTCACGGGAAATCCCCTCCCCGCAAAAGTATGGATTGTCGACTCCGCTGGCGGGGTCCCACAGTTCAGGAGAGACATCCATGCGCTCCAAGTCCCGGCGAGGCAGTTCAGCTGGTTTGTGTGGATTCCGTACATGGCGTTTGCGTACACTATTGTGAGCGTGGTCTACGTGACTGTGAACTGGATGCCGGAGTGGTTCTGGTACGAGCTGGTTTGGGGTCCGTACAAGGGGAATAATGATCCGAGACTGGTAGATGGGAAGTGTGTGAAGGGGTATGTGTATAGTAAGGAGGATGAGGCGATGGATTGGAGGGATACGGAGAGGCATGCTAGGGTGGCGGAGGAGAAGGGGTATAGGGTTGTGATGAAGTTAATCGAGGGCGCGGGCCATGTGCAGATGTTTAGGGGGAAGGGGGGAGAGAAGGATTATTGGGGTTTTATCGAGAAGATTTGGGGGTTGGGGGTTGGGTTTAAGTGATGCTGAGTCCAAGTGGAATGAAGCCAGTTACAAGCTTCTAGATCTTAAAGTGGCTGATTTGATTGGAATTGCTTTCAACTATCAGGAGATTGCAGTATAATTTCTTGCTTCTTCATTCTTCCCGGAACCGTCAAGCCGCCTTCCCAGTGGAAAGAACAGCCACGTTCAGCCCCAGGAATCAAATTGAAGAGGCAATAAGACCAAGGAGTTCTCCTTCAAGATCACGCTATATACAGAGCAAGAAATTAAACATATATCTGCATTCACCACCCCCTCATCTGAACTTTGGTCTACCGACCTCTCAACTTACGCATAAACGAGTCCAGTCTCCGTTCATCTTCCATTCTTCAGCATCATTCATTTCCAAAATCTCAGCAGACTCCCAAATGACCTTCCACAAGATCTTCCTTCTCCTGTTCTCCCTCGGCGTTATGGTTGCAACACATAACAGCACAAATTTCATCCTCATCGCCGCCGATTCTAATCTTGAAGCCCGTCGGCTCAGAGACCATTACCAAAATCCATACCCATAAAGTAAGTATAACAATAATCTTCAAGTACAAGGGGAGCCAGTATAGGTGGGGCAGTACAAAGTTAAATTGTAGTTATGGCGGCCACGCAACTGATCAGCCTTGGTATCAGCTTGCGGGGTATTTCGAGTTTATTTGTTAGGAGGGATTTGAGCCAGGGGAATGGCGGCTTGCGAGGGAATGAAGTGTAGAGGCAGGAAGATCACTTGAGCTTTTTCCACATCCATGTGCTTTTTTTTTTGCAGGACTTGGTGCTCTCTTTGGGAGCGCGGTCTCGTGGCTCGGATTTATTTGTAGCTGTGATTTACCTGCGAAGATTTTGCGTTGGGCTGAAGATGGCTGGTTTTTCCATGTAAAAGACCTTGAGGTTCGAGAACAGTAGGGAGAAACGAGATTCCATGCGCAACTCGCCTTCTTTTGAAATGGTTTCAAATCTACAATTTGCATCATAAGGGCAATACTATTTGATTATCCATTTAATGATCTAAGCTGGAGCAAGTCTTATCATAGATCCCCAGGTTAAATTTTGACTCGCTTCCTTGAACCTATGGAGATTTGGAGGTCCAATTATTTCAATGGTTGCAAGCAAATCCGATCATTTTCTAAAGAATATACAAGACCTTGACACCTATGATAAGATTTTGGATATAAGATGAAGACTCAGTGCATGTTCCGGTAGTCCCGAATTTTGAAGTTAGTGTTGGTATATTTATGTATCAGGGTCCAATTGGGAAGGAACAGAGGCGTTCAAGCAAGGGCGAGGCGGTTTACCAGTAAAATCCAGGAAACACACACTTCTCCTTCCCCTTTCCATGCCACTTTTGTGATAGAGATCATTTCTTCCGGAGGAAGAGTCCATCATGACCCCCACATGCCCCCACATCCCACGTGAGTTCGTGCCATCCCCGCAAGCAAACGCGTCGACTTGCCAAGTTTGCCTTCACGCGTTACATTCACAATTTTTGTTTGACTGCCAGCATGCAGGTGAATCAGTATCCATAGTCAATCGCGTCTCCTGGCCCTCTTTCCTTCCATAAAGACTTCTGTTTCTCAGATGGTCTCAAACTTTCTGCTAGATTTATCGAAATTTGCTCCTCACGCGTCAACAACAATCCGTCAGGATGGCTGAGCCAAAGAACCTGATCGCCAAAGTCAGCAAGTACGTCGAGGAGTACATGTCACACTATGATGGGTCCCACGATTTCTGCCACATTAAGAGAGTTCTGGGTCTCTCCCATCAGATCTACGACGAGCTCACTTCGCCCTCAAACAAGCCCTCTTCCTCTGACTCGTCGGCTTCTGCTCAACCTCTCGATCCTTTGATCATTACCCTGTCTGCTCTGCTTCACGAGTAAGTAGTAGCAATTTGTATCCCAGTCCTGGAACATGCTGTTCGTAACGGTTGACCTCCATCCCCAGTGTCGGCGACAAGAAGTATCTCCGAGACGACGAAGACCACGAGACTCTAGCCCACAACGTCCTCATGAAGTGCGGTGCCTCTCCAGCACTCGCGCAGAAAGTCCAAGTCATCTGCCTCGGCGTCTCCTATAGTTCCGAAATCAAGGACATCCAATACGTGCAAGGCTTGATCGCGAGATGTCCAGAGCTGGCTGGTAAGGCTTCTTCTTGGACATGACACCTTTGAACTCCCAACACTCTTACTTTTCAGGGAAATTTTGTCGTGCTAATTGATTGTTCAGTGGTTCAAGATGCCGATCGTCTCGACGCCCTCGGTGCCGTTGGCGTAGGACGAGTATTCACCTTCGGCGGAGCGAAGGCAGAGCGCAACATGGAGGAATCCATGGCGGTGCTGGAGAAGAAGTTGCTCAAGTTGCAGGGAATGATGAAGACGGGCCCAGGCAAGAGAATGGCCATGGAGAAGACCGAGAAGCTGAGGATATTTCGGGCATGGTGGGACGAGGAATGCCGTGCGGAGCAGTTTGGTGCTTCAGTTCTGGATGCCGCAACGGATGAATAGCGAAAGTTCGTAAGATAAGATAGACAGGTTGGATTTGGTGTCTTTTCTGGAACTTTTGGAGATTTGGGCCTGGCGCCAGTTTGCTGAGATACCCCTAGACTTTAATACATAAGCGTTGGCTTCTGGAGCAGGCTCCTTCCATCCTTTTCGATAATCCTTCTTCTGAAACCGATATATAACACTGGATCCTTAAAGTCATTTCTCAAGATCTCCGTGGTTGCTCGTGTACGTTTCCCAAGTAGATTATCTGCTTGGACGGAGTTCAAGTGCTCTCCGCTCTCCGCTCTCAAGGTGACATAGCGAAGCCTCGACCCGTCTTGAAACCGTGTGTGCGGTACCTTGCCATTTCTACGAGGTAAAAGTGTTTAGGAATGTCTATCCACTGTTTCCTTTTGAATAATAGTACCCCGAGGTGGAAACAAGCCCTTAATTGATGCTGGAGAACGAAAAGCAAAATATAGAACCTCCCACTTCAAAAACTTCTGCCAAGCCCACGCGTTCAAGAAAAAGCCATGTTCTGTAGTGATCACTCCCAGCTGAGCCCAGATCATCAATCATCTACTCATTCTTCCTCACGACACCCATCACTGCTCCCATTGGGCCCAACTCTAGAAATCTATGACTGCCTTTCACAACATCTAACTTCCCTTGAATAGCGCCCATTACGCACCCGTATTAGGAAGCACCAACTGTGGGCCCTTGCTAAAGACGTTGTTGGGATCGTATTTCTTCTTCAGCTTTTGCAGCTGGGCGAAGTTGTCGCCAAAGACCTGTGTGCCTCCAACGCCAATACCTGAAGAGATTAGTGGCAGTATCGACAACCAGCCTGCTCAGCAGGTGGAGGAGCTTACCGTCATAGTTGAAGTATTCACCTACGCCTGTCCATCGAGTCAGAATCTTCGAATTTTTATTTGTGAAACTCTACACCCAAGAAAATGGAGGGAGAAAACCAAGGGGTCTCAGGGTAGCAATATTGACATTTACCATCTGCTACAACTCCGCCTATCCTTGCTGTCATCCTGGATTTCTCAAACTCCTGACGGGACTTGGAGCTCATATCCTGGGTCCACTGTCGAATCTCTTTGTCGTGATCTGCTTGGGTCCAGCTGGCCAGCGAATTAGCACCATAAGATTCAAATGGGGTGTGAGGGAGCTGAAGCTTCAGGGCTTCGAGGCCGCCTTGTTCCCAAGACACCAGGCTAAAGGAACACGCCGACTACTGGAATAGCTCCTGGGCTCCCAGCTCTCCCAGAAAAACATAGCAAGTTAATATGAGACCTTACCCCATGATCCACAGCAGATTTCCGTATGCGCCTCGATTTGCAAATGCCGTACAGTCCTGAGAAAAGCTGAATAACTTCCAGAAAGGAAGGAATTCGAAGACCATAATCGACATGGAGGCATCTGGAATCTTTTGGATGAGATTGCGAAGGTCTTCGAGGCACGTCTTGGCGAACTTCAGATCAAGAGGAGAAATGAATGCTGAGCCTTTCATGGATCTTCGGGGCCCGGCCTTCAGATCTTCATTCAACAGAGTATTCATCGTCCAATAAAGCCGATTCCCAGTAAAATTCTCATGTAATTTGAGGCCAATCAAACCGCTGAACAGATCCGTCGCAAGTGGCTCTGGTCCATTGTAGAAGACAGCAGCTATGATGCAGAAAGTATTTGCAGATAATGCCTTAAAGCCCCAAATCAAGGCGCTTTTTGGGTCCGATTTCTACAGGGAGTCGGTTAGATCCTCGTTCCGACGCAGATGAAAGGCAGAACAAAGCATTGGTGAACCTCCATACATACCTCGAGGAAGCGGTTTGCAAACTCAACCACTTTATCAATTTCACCGATGTCGATGGCCAATGTCCCTCCCCAGACTGGGCGATTCATTTCATGAGCCCGAAAGGTAAAGGAGAGAATAACACCAAATGAGGCGCCAGCTCCTCTGACAGCCCAGAAGAGCTTAGGTTCTCGATGTCTTGATGCAATGACAATGTTCCCATCAGCAAGTACCATCTGCACTTCCAGGAGATTGTCAATGACTAGGCCATGTTCTCCAACCAAATACCCGTATCCACCGCCCCTAGGTAGCGGGGGAGTTAGCAATTGCTAGATTGATATTGTTTCGGGGAATGAAATTGTTCCAATACTTACAGGGTCAAGCCTCCGACACCGGTCGTATTGACCGTGCCTCCCACCACTGCAAGCTCATGTTCTGCAGCAGCCTTGTCAACATCTGCCCAGAGAGCGCCACCTTCCGCAACAACAATTTTTGCCTTTGGGTCAACAGATACCTTTCGAAGTTTGGACATGTCGATGCAGATTCCGCCTTCTGTTGACGAGGATCCACTTGTAGAATGACCTCCACCGCGAACAGCTATCTCGATTCTGTTACTCGTTGCAAGTTTTATCACGTTGGAGACGTCTTCAGCACAGACTGGGAAGACTATGATTGCCTAGTTGAGATTAGAATCATGTACAATGAGGCAGCTTTCACTCTTACAGCTCGTTTCTCTGCTGCTGAGGACCATCGCGCGATGCTCTCTTGGTATTCTTCTGACTTTGAGGTGATGACCGTGGCTCCATGTGAAAATTCCTTTCTCAGAGTATTGGCCAACGACTCAATTTTGGTGTCTGTGATGTTTGCCATTTTGAAGCAGGTGTGCCTGGGGTGGCCAATGTACCAAGTCGGGAAGTGTGAAGATCAATTGCATGAGCAAGGCGCCAGACAGGGACTCCGAAAATTCTGTCCTCAACTCGAATAGTGTGGCGCAGGTGATGCAAGGAAGTGATGTTGTAAGAGAAAGTTGGGGAATTTGTTGAGTGGTGTTGTAGCACGGGAACCACCCTGGGGGAAGGAAGGAAAGAAGGAAGGAAGGAGTGCTGGGCAGCTCAAACTGCAGTCTTGCAGGCACTACCATCCGCCTGACTGAAAATTAATAGCGGCAAGAACTGGGATTTGGTGAACAACAAAATGATTTTTCATTTTGACAAAGGCATATGCCCTGTAACATCTCTGCTTCCAAGAGTCATGAAAACCTAGTCCCTATTGAGCAGCGATGAACAAGCTTTTCGACATCGAGGTATCAGTTTTGCAAAATCAACTTCTTCAGGTAATCTTATATTTGGTACAATCAGTCACGTAGTTCTCTGTGGTGTGTTATTGGAAGATCCTGGATAATTGCTGAGGGTAGTCACCATTCTTCCGCCGTCTTCTCTTCCAAGCCCGGGGCTCAGCGTTCACCAATTGCCTAGCCAGAAAGAAGTATAGTCCATGCCTATCCCCCTAAGACTCGATGTCTACCATCTTTTGAGAGGAGAAAAGTGTTATGGAACACCAAGTTGTGCAAATCATGCAGGTGTAACAACGAGGGGCGCACGACTCTGAATTTGTTGCAAGTGTCACTGATGTGTGCAACAGCCACCCCAAGAAAGGAAAATACCTGTGATTGTTACAATGCCTTGTACATCCTATCTTTCCAAGGAGAGAATTGCTCTCCTAGTCTCACAATACCCGATCTCCCATTACTTTTCAAGCCGAACCCGCGATAGAGTCTCCGTCAATACTGTACGTACCTCTTGAGAATCCGGCTCTCTGTCCAGATTCGAGCTTCCTCCTCTCCTCGCCCATATCATCTACCATTTCAGGCACACTTCTAGCATAGCTTCTGTATCCGTTCTCACCATCCACAGGAACCAAAATTATCATCCATACCCCCGACTTGATCATCCAACCCAAGTAACGGGGCACAACGAGTGCATCGAGGCTTGACTTCGGCCGCACTACGGCCACTTTCACATGGCTGAGACACTTTGGGTAGCCACAGCACTTTTGAATTGACAGAAGCCCCATCCTTGAAGGCCTGTTCGAGTGCTGAAATAGTTTGCGACGGACCGCCGATCTTGGTGAAGAGATGTGTACGTAGCAATCCTGGGAGCCGGAGAGACGGAGATGAGAAGATGATCTGCAGTGAAGGGTAGATTCTGACTAAAAGATACTGTGTCCTACTGTCAGTTGACCTAGAGGGAGTTGACCCAGAAAACAGCCAAGGGTATACGCCAGGAGCACGAGAGACTTACGTATACGCCTGGAAGGCGAGGAATTTTCCCATTGCTAAGACGATTACTAAGATGTAGTTGGGAAAGATTGAGACTCTCGGTTTCGTTCCTGTCAATCACTCTTTTGGTCTGCCCCCGGTTTTCCCGCTGGGAGGAACATTCGACTTCATCGAACCGGCATCTGAATCATCTGCTCCCCGACTATTCCTATCGACGATGTCCGATTCGTCCTGACTAAACATTATGCTCAGCTCCTGCAATTAATGAGGTTGGGAAGTACCTTCAGACGCAAATGTGATCGGATTGTCGTGCATAGATGGATCGGTCAAGCAGAAAACTTCGGTCAGATTTCCAACAAAATCTCGGATGACGGGAATGGCTCTGCCAGTGATGGCTTGCTCTATATACTGGCTGACCACTCCAACCACTGTATCCGTGATGAAGACAGGAAACGCTTCCGTACAGAGCTGTAAAAGCTACCTGCCGCATAATCTTCGAATCAGACATCCAAGGAGTCCGCTTGACGTCGAGAGAATTTGCAATAATATGTGTGAGATGGCTATCGCACCTGTCTTGCAACAGCGTTCGCATACTCGATCGCTTTGACTGCTTTCCTCATCTCTAGATATCTAACCAATGCGGGCATTAAGTGTGAGCTGTAGCGATTGAAGAACGAGCAGAACCTGCTAAAGAAGATGTGATCTCCAAGGATGAAATGGAGATGCTCCTCGGAGAACAATCGACTCATTATATCCTCGGGTTTAACGTGATTTGCTTGTTGTTCTGGCGGCTGAAGATCATAAAAGAAGAATCTGCTGGGTTGTGATCTTGAGTTGACCGGGCCTCCATTCGTAAACTGTCATCGTCCATGCTGACGGAAAAGCAAAGAGGTGTGGAGATCTATTGCAGGAATGGTGAGAAGAGATAATTGATGGGACTGCATTGTAGGACTGCTTTGAACTAGTGTTGGACGCCATTTTAAGGAAGGGCAACTATGTTTCGATTGAGAGCATAACTCTTACTAGACTGTAAGATATGGGGGCGAGGGCACTGGGGTGGCCGTATACATAGCAGAACACAGCAAAATGCTGCAATCGAACCTGCATTGCGTGCCATGGAGGTGACTGAGATCAATATAGGCCGTTAAATCAAGGATACGATGGTGTAACATGACAGGAACTGGAAGAACACTTGTGGACATCCATCCATACCGACCCGTCGGATCTTCCCCGTGGGCCCAAGGAGGAAGGGATCACTGAGCCACGAGCGTCCAGAGCTGTATCCACGTGACCCGTTAGTTGTTCAAGCGCCTGTTTCCAGAGGGATAATTCAAGGATATCTGCAGTTTAGCGGCGGGGCAGGTGAAGCACGGACTCGGAAAAGGCCCTTGAAGTTCCTCGAGAGCATCGATGTAATATGTCTGGAACTCGATCGATGCTGGAGCCACCGTCACACCAACCCGGATCGGACTTACAGGGTGTTCCCTGTGACACGTGCATGCAGTATGGAGTTGTGCCTTGCAGTGCCGCCCCTGCGAGCTTCGGCTCGGCAATTGTCTGAATATCATTTTTTGCTTTTCTTGGATGCCGAGGAGCTTTCTCATCGGTTGTTGCCTTCACCCAGACGCTGCCCTACCATCGTCTGGTACGAGATCCAAAAAGCAAGATTCGCCGTGAGGTGCAGAAAACAATGTTCGATATCAGGTTTTCTGGAAGCCGGGGTACGGTACGATTTGTAGCTCCAAGCAAGGGGACCGTGCCCAAACGGGGGCTCCCAGTTGCTCTGAGCGGTGGCCGAGATACCGTAGCGGGAGAGAGGTCGGGGAAGAGTGATAACGTTTTTTGGCAGAAGAATTTTCGTGACCTATGAAGATCCCTCATGGAGGAGTGTGACTGAGAATGCAACTAGGCCATGATTGAGGTTTAAAGAAGAACACCGTACGAATGAAGTGGAGGAAACCATTGGCACTTGAACCTGGGACGTACGTGATACTCTCAGGCCTCATCTACTTGCTAACTCTAGACTTTCGGAGTTTGTACTTGGGCTTGAACCCCTGTTTTATATTCTATATTCATTAACATAGTCAAGATCTAATGCAGCATATATGGAAAGCATGAAAGTGTGCCCTGCACGCTCTCGTGGCATCTGCAACAAACGTCCTTGCTTATTTGTAAACAGCGTGGAGAAAGGGGTAGAAATCTCGATGATAAAGAAAGCTCCCTGTTGCTATTAAGAAGAAACCTTGCTCTGTTCAAAGGTGAAGTTTCCCCTGCAGGGACTTTGACTTCCCCTTGGTGATTCACTCAGAGCTTCTCAAAGGAATACATCTGGAGAGGATCCGTAGCTCTCATTGCACCTCATATTTATCACACTGGCTGATAAAATTAAACCCAAGTCTAAAACCAAAAGAGCATGGCAGAAATTATTCATTTCACAGGAGACGATTCAGCCGATGATACTTGGGAGGTTGGAGATGGCGTCGGACAATCTATGATCCGCGCCGAAGCCATAGCGTCCAAAACAAACCGTGCAAACATCATCCTTGGCAACTTGGGACGACGACCTGAAAACACACTCTGACGCTCTCAGGATTTCCTGTGCAGAGCGCCCCATACAACTCTGCCGATCTAGATTTTCGTTTCCGAGACTATTATGTCGTTGTAGAACCTATTGACTGGAGTAAGGCGAAAACATTCCGCAAATGGGAATACGATCCGTAAGTAATTTCAAATCTAATATTCCCTTGGGTGCTTGCGTATTGAGGGAGAATCATGATGCACAGCTTAAAGGCTCCAAGACCGTGTTTCGAATACCAAGCATCAAACTCTGCTTTACTCTTATGGCCAACTACTGATCTTTCCTGTTTAGAAGCACCATCGCACGTGATGTTCTGTCCTCCATTGGCTCCCCTTTGGCCGACAGTGGCTTGAATCACCATTTGCAGCCCTTGCTAAAGAATTTCTCACATGTGGACGAGAACTTGGATCTGGCTGCAATTCGCTGGGACTTGGTTGGTGCTTGAGGATAGACACTTGTGTGTCGACCTCTCAATAAGCCAACAATGCCACCTGTCTCAGAGGAGCACCATGACGCACATAATCTACCCGTTCGCTCGCCTCTGAAGCCTACTCGAGGTGGTATAGTCCCGGGAGGATTTGGGGCAACTAGCCGAACGTCCAGCACTCTTTCTAGCACGAGTCTTGGCTACCATCTACCTGATACTGGGTTCTTCAAGCGGTCATTCGACCCAACCCCGCGTAATGGCCAGAGCAGCCTCAATGGAGGTTGGGGGACTCCTGGCCAGCAATTCGATTCAAGGCCGCAGGTGCAACGGCCTATGTTGTCTGGCGGTCTCGTGCCAACCCGACTTTGGCACCCCCCTATACCTATGAACGCATCGCCCTCTGCTTCTGGTGGCTTTGGGCTGGATGGGCAGGGCAGTTCGTCATACCGCGACCCAGGCACTCCCCAACACGCCAAGACTCATGTGCAACAAGCGAATTCTTCCGTTTCTGTTGTTCTGAATCCAGTCACGCCAGCTACTTTTTATGGTCAAAATGAAGTCTCTGGATCGGGTTCACGAAGCTTGGTCCAGAGCAGATCCGGGTCCGATGCCCCAAGTCCTGCATCATCCTCTGCTCTACGACGTGGCCGACCGCCCAAAACGCCTAGCTTTGTTATAGAAATCCCTAGTCTAACTCCAAAGAAACGAGGACGACCTTTTGCAAGCCAGCAAAAGACTCCCTCCACAGATCCAAATTACAAGAAAAGGGGCCGTCCGTTTGCAACGGCAGAATCTGCTGCTAAAGCTGCTGCCAAAGCTGCTGCAGCTGGATCAGACTCGGCAGATGGCACTACCAAGAAACGGGGCCGGCCTTTCAAAGTTCGAACGCAGCTTGATATACCAGTCCCCGAGCCGGTGTTCATACCATTTATCTGCGAGTGGAAGGGTTGTCCCGCTGAGTTGCACAACTTGGAGACTCTCGTGGCCCATGTTTTCAACGTCCACAACAAGAAACAAACCTCTGGTAGTCGTCTTTGTCTTTGGGGAAAATGTGGGGTGAAGCATGGGCCTTCAGATGAAACTACAAAATCACAGAATCATGATGAGCCGAATGAATTCAAGACTCAGGCGGAGTGGAAGGACCACATCGATCAGCGACATCTGATCCCTTTTGCTTGGCATATGGGTGATGGCCCAAAGGGCACGTCTTTGTGTATGTTCTAAGTCTTTGGATACCTTTGAAGGAACAGATTTGTACTGACTGACAAATTTTAGCTATCAAGCCAGACCCTGGTCCGGCTCCTTGGTTGATGGACAAGGATGGTCGGCAAGTCACCCCTTCGGTCCAAAGCCAACCGATCGAGGAAGGTCGAGCAAAAGAAAACAATGCGAGAAGATTCATACGAAAGATCGATGGTATCTACTGGACTTACGAACGCATCAAATCACCCGAAGAATATATGAAAGTCCAAGTCCCTCAAACCGGCAATACCAGCGACGGCGATGACGAAGATGATGCCCGTATGGACGAATATCCCTGAGCATTTGCTTGGAGGCAGACTTTGTATTACATGGGTTATGGCGTTTGGAGAATAGGATCGTTTGGGAAGAAGACTGCATCGGGCATGGCGTGGGAGGTTGATTCTGATTGTGCTTTACGTCACTAAGCCGTGAAACTTGAGCATATGCCTCAGGAAATAGACCGAGTGAAGGATCTATTACAAAGCCTGCAAGAATTGATGTTGCTGTTTAATGAATTGCCACTTGTGGAGAGGCTACAACTCCAGGCTGCAGGGTCCTATACTCTGCAATCCTGTGCCTCCATCATCTGCGAACTTTACGCTTATGCATCTCTATGTCTAGAATCCTCTGTGTGTTGAAAGAAGGATAAATAGAGCATACTATGCGATAATGATTTATCCACATTTATAAATTGGAAGTCATAGGGGCGGCGAAGTTTATATGAGCATCGGGTGGGCGAGGCTTGACGAGGCTCGGTCCTCGCCAGCAGCTTTTGTCCGAGCTCTGCTGTGTCAGCGGATCAATCCAACCCTTCTCCAACCTCCTCAAATGCATCCATCAACTTCCGGCTCCTCGGGAGTCACTACTTGTACATATTTCCATTAATGTCACATTAATCTGGATCTAGGCCGTTTTCCAACACGGTCCTTCCTCCGGCCTGCACAATGGCCACGACTCACACCCCACTTCTCACGGACGAAACCTCCCTCCTCTCGTCGATCTCGTCCAAATCCTTCTCTTCCCTCGCCCGCAAGGTGCAATCACAACAGCACGATGTTACCAGATATATCTCATTTGCCTCCGCCATCCTCTCTTGCCTTTGTGCAGGCTCGATTACAACATATTCCCTCTACGGGCATCTCTTCCAGGAACGACTACGCTATACACAACTTCAAGTCAATTATGTTATAATTGGTGCAGAACTAGCTCTCTATCTCCCTGTATCATTATTTGGATATCTATGCGATCGATTGGGACCGGCTCCGTTGTCATTTGCTTCTGCCATTCTGTTTGCAATTGGATATCTGCTTGCGGCGTTTACATATAGAAGTGGGGCTAAGGATATTTATGGGTACACTCATGAGAGGGGTTGGCCGTTATCTGTCATGGTTACGGCCTTTGTTATCATTGGGATGGCGACTACGTTAATGTATCTCTCCGCCATTACAACGTGTGCCAAGAATTTTGGACGGGGCAAACACAAGGGATTAGCACTAGCAAGCCCCATTGCGGCCTTCGGGTTGAGTGGCTTGTGGCAGAGCCAGCTTGGGGAGAGGGTCCTTTATGAACGCAGGCCTGGCGGAAAAAGGGGCGACGTGGATGTATTCAAGTTCTTTCTATTTCTAGCATTTACACTGCTGGCAGTGGGCTTGCTTGGAACAGTCCTGTTGAAAATAGTAGACGAAGAAGAACTCATCGATGAGGCTGTGGACGAGCTTGAGAGGAGCGGGTTGCTAGAAGATAGTGCTTTCTTCCGAAGAAATAGCGGACAAAATGGTTATGGGTCCTTTGAAGACGGCTCTGATGAGGAAGCAGCTGAAGCTCGACGGATAGAGGAGGCGAAAGCTCGTGATGAGGAAGAGTCTCGCAAGAAGACTTGGTTATTGAACGAAGAAACCCGCAGATTCCTCAAAGATCACACTATGTGGTGGCTGGCTGCGGGTTTCTTCTTCGTTTCAGGCAAGGTCCTTTTCAACCTGTAAATAACGAATAGCTAACGATTTCACAGGTCCTGGCGAGGCTTTCATCACTAACCTGGGGACGATAATTGGGACATTATATCCTTCAGTTACCGGTCCTTCCATTATACCAACGACGGCGGCCACCCACGTTTCAATAGTAGCAATTACATCAACAATTGCCCGAATCCTGTTCGGAACCTTGACCGACCTCTTGGCTCCGCCTACGGTCGGCCATCACTATCAGTCTGCTAGCAACTCACTTTCTTCCCTGCCACCAAGAGGCAGATTCGCAATTTCAAGAATCACTTTCTTACTCGGATCAGCACTACTGCTATCTCTTGGTCAGGTTTTGTTAGCTTCAGGCGTGATCCAAAACCACGCCGAGCGATTCTGGGTAGTCTCGACATTGATTGGATCTGGATATGGGGCATTGTTCAGCCTGACACCTCTTATAATTAGCGTGATCTGGGGCGTGGAGAACTTCGGTACCAACTGGGGTATCGTGGCAATGGTTCCAGCTCTAGGTGCTACGGTCTGGGGCGTCGTTTACTCGAACGTCTATCAATGGGCCGCAGAGAAAGCTTCGTATCATAGAGATATGGAGGATGACGTGTTGTGCTATGGGAAGCAATGCTATTCTACTACATTTTGGGCTATGGCCGTTTCCGTCTGGATTGGATGTGCTCTTTGGGTCTTTGCATGGAAAGGAAGAGATGGCTGGAGTCGTAGGGGTATTGCTGTGTAAAATAGATGAAACACAAGAAGTTATTGACTTTGCAAACAATGGAATTTCAATTCTCGTCAATTCAACTCTCCTGGAGTAACCAAACTAGCGGTTCCAAAAAGCGATCAATTCCCTCGGGTATTTCCAGCAAGACTTCGTCTCTATCCAATCTCACACAAACTTGACACAAGGTCCACATCAGGAGCCCCAGAGCTTCCTCGCCTTCTTCGTAATCCATACAAGAATCATAATACAGTACGCCGTAATGTATACAAGCACCGCCAAAATAATGGTGACCCAAAACTCCACCGTGACCAAAACTTCCATTTCTTCTATCCATGATCGTGGTCATGATCCAGAACCCAGCAACAATCTTCTATTCTTCTTGATCAAGGCGTGCAACTTCTTCTCAAATCCCTCTGTCTCCTTTCTGGCCACCTGCAACGCAGTCTCTGCGTCAGAGAGGCTTAAAAGCGAGACGTTGCCAAGTGGTTGGCCCCGATTGATATCTCCGCCGATGGCAAAATGGGCCGTCATGCTCTCCAAACCTGTAGCGAGAATGCCTTCACGGTTCGCATATGTGCCATCACCGCTCGAAGGATGCGGGGCTGCAGGGTCGGTTCCCCAAGAAGCCCAAGCGGAGGCATCGCCAGAACGCAAGATCTCGGTATCCAAAGCATTCGCATTTAGTGCCTTCTCCAACTGTGAATTGGTCGAAAGTGAAGGCAACACATATTGATTGATGTAGCTTAGTGCTTCATCACGTTGAATCTTGCTCACAGGATCCATCGGGGTATTGGTACTATTCAGTGTTGGGAAGAATGATGGTGGTCCGTTGGGGACGGCGCGGCCCCCAATCAAAGTGAAGCCATTGCTGGCGTGGTGCTTGGCAGAGTAGAACGCAGCAGGCCCATTAGCTTGGGCAAGACGAGCCTGCAACTTTAGATACCGTTGCTCTTCTTCCGGCGTAAGATTGCGAACACAGTCCCCATTGGGTGTCAGCATGATACGGTGCGGTCCTTCTTTGACTTTGTGCACAGGTCTTCCCTTGAGAAGCGCTTCTCGGTCTTCCGGAGTGATTGTCAGCTTCTGGTTGGCGCTCTGCATATCGATTGGGGTTTCCTGGTGTCGATAATTAGAAGTTGGGTTCCTGAGGAAGGACAGAGTATGGACATCCCCAAGTACTCCGGAAGTGACGAGTTCTTGAAAGACTGAGACCGCAGTTGGAATCGGTTTATCAGTTGTCTCTTCTTCAACCTCAGCCGTTGAAATTGGTTCCGGTGATGCAGATCGCTGAATCTTAGCTTTGCCTTTGCTTTTGGGGTCTACCATAGCACGAGCAACAGTCTCGGCTTCTACTTCGTTAGATGATTGCTTGGCAGGAACCTCGACAGGCTGCTGGGGGATGTCAGCGTTTGGCTTTGTTTCCTCGGCAGCACTCTCCATCGGCGTAGGTGATTGTGGTCGACTGGCAGTAGGTGTTGAGTCTCCTGTAGTAGTATTGAGAACACGGTCCTTCTTTTGCTTTTTCTTCCGGCCCATTATCGGGGCAATTTCGACTTCAGGCTCTGCCTTGGTAACGGTTGCTTCCAATTCAGACCTCTCTTTCTCCTTCTGGGCCTCTTTGCGTTGCTTTTTCTGCATGCTCTTGGTGGTGGTCCGCACGGGCGCAGAGCCAATCTTTGTAGGAGGAGGTGAGCTTGCGCGTGACATTGAAGCTGAAGTTATTGAAGCATTGTCTGATACCGCTTCACTCGTCGGACTGCTGGGCCGATCCAGCCTTGAAACCGATGCTAGACTTGCCTGACGTGATGGGGGAAATGTGGGTGGAAACATCGACGTCACAGAGGTCGGGGTGGCACTTCCAGCACTAGGAGTCTCTGTCTTCGGTGTCGAGGTAACTCGCAGACTTTTAGTGATGTTCCTTGCAAGAGGAGACTGAATAGCCGGAAGTGTTGTACTTGTTGGAAGCGGTGGAAATGCGGCAGGGGCAACAACACCTTTAGAAGTGGAGTCTGCAGTGGCGGGCACCTTGGGCTTTGCAGGAACTGAGATGTTCAGACTTGGTGCAGGTCTTTTGTCGACTCCTTTGGGAATAACTTGTGCAGATTGAACACTGCTAGAGGTGATAGGTTGCTTCTTGGCTGCCAACGTCGAAGCACCTGCCTTGGCAGAGCTTATAGACTTGGTTGCAGCTGGAGTTGTCGGAGTCTTGCCCTTACTAGCTTCCAGAGCGGGAAAGTCTTCAGATTGCAGAGCGGATTGTGAAGCTTGTGAAGCAATTGTCTTCGAAAGTCCAGTGCTTGAAGCCAGTTGCTGTACATCTTGCTTTGCTTGCGATGTTGGCATCTCTGATGTAGAACTCAATGCCATACGAGACGGTGTTACAGGGACAGAGACATTGGAAAGTGGTGTAGCGGCTCGAGGATAGAACGAACCACTTCGAGAAGGTGTGAACGGGGCAGAAGTAGGGACGATCCGTGAGGATACAATTCCGACGGATTCTTCCCCTTGTACCGGCGGAGGTTGAGCGTGAAGGAAACCAAAGCCAGGGGGGACTGATGGTGTTGAAGATCTGGACGCATGTTCAAATCCTATGTACTCATCAAAGGTGCTGTCGGCTACCAGTGCATCAACCGATGATGTCGCTTCGTCGAGAGATGGCAGGCCTAGGTCATCTGAGAGCACAAGTCAGCACTTCCTCGTTGATAGGTTCTGCTTCTGGAGGATATAACGAAATGAAAAATTAACACGAGGAAAATTGACGGCAGAAGTTATAAAAGTTCGGCCGTAATCTTGTCACATCACGGGTCCATCATCGTCTTCGAGCTAAAAAGGGGGGCTACTGAGGGCACAAAATATGTGAGAATGCTATATTTGACCAACCAGTTCTCTGGCTTGGGGTCGGGGACTTTAACGTACATGAAAGGGGCCGAGACGAAGACGATGATGGAGTTCCCGACGCAACCCTTGATGCAAAACCAGCCTGCCACAGCCTTTGCAGCTGTTGGATATTATGCGAATGAAAGCAAAATAGCAGATCCGTGAGCTCCCCTCATTTTCCCAAACGCAAATAACGCCAGAGCATCCCGAAGCTTCCACCTTGGAGCTTTTCCATGCTCGCTAAAACAAATATGCTGTCCGAGCAATGCAACGCCCTTAGAAGGGTCTTTGCGAACGCCACCCTCAGTGAAACCAATATCTACAAAAGCCATGCAGCAAGTAACGCCAACCCGTCTGCCATGTTTACCACCTAGTAAAACCCGTACCGTACATCATGCTCGGATTGTACCCACCTTGGGCCTGACCACCAAACAGTCCCTGTCCGACTCCGGCATTGCTCTGTTGCTGGTGCTGCATTCTCGCTTGCAAGATACTCGGGTCGGCAAGATCGACTAAGCCACCTCCCCCAGAGGAGGAAGTGTTAGCATGTCTGTGCTTCTTTCCCTTCTTCTTCTGCTTTTGACCGAAGTCATGGAATGCTCCAGTCTGAGGACCATAGAGCGATGCCAGGAGGCCTGAAGCAGGAGCTGGAGTGGAGGAGGCAGATGGGTACTGTGAAAGAAAAGAAGGAAACATGTACTCACGCTTGCCCGTATCATGAGATTGACCACCTGCAGCCCCACGGCCCCGAAGCATATCCCTAAGCATATCGCTTCCGTTTTCCTTTTGAATCCCACCAAAGACTGAGCCGCCACCCATCGATCCGCCGAAATTATGACCCTGGCCGAACATTCCACCGCCAATTGGTGGAGTACCCGATGACTTCAAACCTGGTGGAGGTCCTGGCATAGAAGACCCATAAAATTGACTACCCTGCTGTACATGGCTTCCGGATGGCATCATTGAAGATTGTTGAGCCATCAACTTTGAGTTGGCCGATGGTTTGATGTTCGCGGATGCTGAGGTGCTTTCATTTGCGAAATTGTATCGAGATGACTGCCTGTTGTGACCCTGTTGTTGAAATAGTGTAGAACCCTGGCCAAGTTGGCTTCCTATTCCAGGAGGGAATTGATCCATGAAACCAGACTGAGGTTGACCGGATTTCATGAGCAGAAGTTGTTGCTGCTGCATGGGTGTCAGAGTACGCCCGTTGATAGAACTCAAATTGCTTAGGTTCTGAGGAAAGTTCTGTGATAGACTTGGGCCGAAAGGTCCACCATTAGAAGCTCGCTGAATCGGGAGTTGCGTGCTCGGTCGTCGCGCACCATGGAAACCTTGCGGGAGGTTGCTCTCTCGCCCGTTGTCCCTGTCCTCAGGTTCGCCACCAAGCTGTAAACTGCCACTCTCAGGTTGCTCTTCCTCTTCCATCGGTTCGGTGACTGATCGTAGGTCGGCTTGAGACTCTTGGTCGAGATGTAGCCTGGCTTCTTCCTGGTGTTCCCGCATGGCTCTTCGCTTCTCACCACCACGGTCGTCGAAGAGTGGAGGAAATGCAGAATAGCACTCAGAATCGTCACCTGTTGTGCTTGATCCAGAAAATGATAATGTCGGAGAGTTAATTGCTTTCAAAAGGTCAAGCAATACTGGGTTGCGTTCGGGTCGAGCTGGTTCAGTAAAATTGGCCGAATCCGAAGGTGCGGCGGCGCTTTCAAGTTCTGGTGCCTGGTCCTGAACTGATTCTGAGGTTTCTTCAACGGCCTCTGCAGTGGCAGGCATCGCATGGGAAACGGCAGGACTGGAAGCTGCGCCACTAGTTGCATGACTGCCTCTCCTGCTGCGTTGTTGCGTGCCTCTATTTGCCCAACTTGCAGAAGAGGGGAGTGCTGAGCCATCACCGCTGTCTGATCCGTCCTTGCTGTTCTCTCGGGCCATAGGCTGTGCCGCCGCAGCTACGGGCTGGATTTGTTGTATGGGAGCCTGGGCTTGGGCAACTTGCCGAGATGAGGAAGCCATTGATGGCAGCGGACGCTGTGTATTGACGCTGTTAATGGAGGATAGATCTTGTCTTGAATAGCTGTCATCGTTATCGCCAGGTTCGTGGAGAAACATGCAGTTCTTGTTCGTGCATGTCTCATTCCGTAGATAAGCTGAGCAATATTTTGTCGTTCCAAGTTGTGCTCGTAGTACCCTGTCTCCATTTTGAGAACCGTTGACTGCTGCTATACATCTTGCAGCGTCTTCTTTCCGGGCAAAAGTAACATAAACTCCAAGTGATTGGCCATTAGGGCCTGTATCGGTTTTCTTGTTGCTGACTACGATCTTGATGATCTTTCCATATTGGCCAAAGTACTTGTCGCCTCGTAATGTTTGTAGTATCTCTTGCTCTGGTATGCCTGGACTCAAGCCAACCACGTAGACGAGATTCTTTTGTACGACTCGGAGACCAGATAAATGCTTTCGATTGAGACTTTCGACCTCCCGTTTTTGTGCTTCTTTTTGCCGTTGTTCCTGTTTCTTTTTGGCATTCTTTTGGATATTGGCCTTGAACTGCGCAACCCTGAAGAGGAGTCAGTACTAGTTAAGGGGGAAGCACAAAGCACTCTTACTCCTCCGGAGTGACAACTTTCCACTCTATTGTCTTCTCATCGTATGGTCTTCGACAAGCAGGACATAGTCCGTTCATATTATTCTTGATGTTGTTGTAGCAGAACTGGCAGACCTGTCGCAAGTTAGATTAGCATGAAGACGAGAAGCAGAGCGACGGCAGATGAAGATACCTGGTATCCGCAAGGGCATGGTCGGAAGTTCTTGTCTGAAAGATCAAACTCTTCGACGCAAAGAGGGCTGAGCGACAAATGTTAGCAGTGCTACCGAGAGGCTGAGGCGCAGATCCGAAGACTATGTAAAGCGACGTATACATACCACGAGTCATCGTCATCATCAATAAAGCTATCCTGAGGAGCCATCTTGGATATGTGGGTGAAGGGGAGATGATGGTTGTGACGTGGAAGAGATTTGAAGGAGCTTATGGTGAACAACGCGCGAGGCCCTCTCCTGGCGCGTTCTTGAGAATATGTAGAAGGAGAGGCGGCGAGACTCGAGACGGTGTATCGTCGAGCGCTTGTTCGCCGAGTGAGGGAGGGGGACGGTTTGTGTATGACAGAAGAAAAAGAGATGGAGCGGAAGGAGTTCAAGTCTGTCTGGAGAGGAAAGGAAAACCAGGCCTAACTCGTTTTGACTAGCGTGAGCTAGTGGCAAAATTAGCCACGCTTGACCAATCATGATGACAGGCATGAGCTGCGTTCACCTCGAGATTCCGTATCAACGTCTCTTGTCACAGCAATTGGCAACACAGCAAAGAGCCCTCAATCATGGCAATGAGAGTTTCGAATGGCCGAGCGCTGGCTTCAGCTGTGCGATCGAGTAGGACTGCCTTGACCCCGCGCAACAACACTATAATTCGAGGATTCTCGTCGACCCAGAATGTCCAGGTCGTTGTCTCTTCAGACCAGCCAAACATGCGACACGCCACAAGGCAGCCTGATGCCCCCGGAGGACTTCATATGCCTATAGTCAATCCGGCGGACAAGTACGCGGCAAAGGCTGCCGATATGCACCAGTATGGATCGTGGCTTATGGGGTGCTTGCCAAAATACATTCAGCAATTTTCAGTCTGGAAGGACGAGCTAGTAATCTACATCTCTCCATCCGGTGTCATCCCAGTTTTCACTTTCTTGAAGTGTGAGTTTTCATTACCAAGACGCCAGCTCTTTGATAATGAGTTAATATTCTTCAGACAATACTGCAGCGGAATTTACACAAGTTTCAGACATTACGGCCGTCGACTTTCCCACTCGAGACCAGCGATTTGAAGTCGTTTACAATTTGCTGAGCGTCCGTCACAATTCAAGAATTCGAGTAAAGACGTATGCGGACGAGGCTTCTCCTGTTCCCAGTATTACGAGTCTTTATGATGGAGCAAACTGGTATGAGCGAGAGGTGTATGATCTTTTTGGGGTTTTCTTCATTGGCCATCCAGATTTGCGACGTATCATGACGGACTACGGCTTTGATGGGCATCCGTTACGGAAAGACTTTCCTCTGACAGGATATACCGAGATTCGGTATGACGAAGAAAAGAAGAGAATTGTGGTAGAACCTCTGGAGTTGACGCAGGCCTTCCGAAACTTCGAGGGTGGCACAGCAGCTTGGGAGGCAAGTGGCAATTCTGCCTTATTTCTCTGCAAAAACTGACTATCAATAGCAAGTTGGACCCGGCGTTGATAGAAAGCCAGATTCGTTCAAATTGCCAACACCAAAGCCGGAAGAGAAAAAGGAGGAACCAAAGAAATAGATTCGATGGTTCCATTGTACATAAGTTCTGTTGCTATACAAAGTTAGTCGATGTCACAGAAGTAGGGAAATATTCTGCAGATTGATACTCCACCTTACTTGGAACTATACCACCGACCTGTGTGCAGCAACCGAGCAGGCATTCCTCAAAGAAAGTGTTATGCGATAAAATCCTAATTTTCGTGCCAGTCCTCCGGCTTGGGCCCCCTTTCCCCGCGAGCCCAGTTTCAGCTGAGCTCAAGAGAGCAGCAGTTCTGCTCAACTTCTCTCAAATACTTCTCCTATTTCCCATCTCGTTTGCGTTGGTGAGTGCGCTTATTCGGAACTGTTTCTTTGTGTTTGTTCATTCAGCAGAAGCACTAAATTAGCGCACCATACTTCACTTCTCCCCGGCAGAATCTTCCCGAAAAGTTTATTTTACTTGCATTTTCCTGGACCATATTTTGACACCCGTGGGAAGGATGTGACTTGGGGTGTCGCGCTAGAGCTGCATTCATGAATATGTCCACTCGAAATCTCGTTGCTTTTGTTCTGGCGACTGATTGTTGTCTCCAGCCCCAATTTTTGACATTCTTCTCCTAATCGGAACATATTTTAATGGCTCTCTTCACATCCACAGTTCTTAATTACTAGATGACGCTGAAGTCTTCCGATTCGAAAATTCGAGAATGAATGCAACGTATTGGTCTGGGCCCCAGTTTGCAATGAGTAAGATGTATATGATATATGTAGTCCAAATCCCAATGACCTCCATTAAGTACAACCTCCTCGAAGATTTCAAACCTCTTCTTTACACACATTATCAATCACAATCGGTTGCCAAACTCGCATTCTCACAGCAAACTACTACAGTCATTCACTACTACTAAACCCACCCTTCACAGCATTTCTACTATACCGTCAAGATGACTATCGGGCCCGTCCAAGCCAAGTTCGATCGACACAGCCTCGAAACGACCGACGATTACCAGCAATTGAAGCGTGAAGCCGCAGACGACAAACTCTGCTACCTCAGAGACGTCCATTCAGCTGAAGAATTCGACAAGCCTCCAGAAGCACCTCACTACCTACCACATCACCACCTATTGATTAACTTCTCTCAGATAGTTTTGCAGGCTCGGGGAGATGGAAGGATGAAACGGGAGGACGAAATGAAAGTAAATAGCTATAAAGATGGATTGGGAAACGGTGGAGGAAAGATTCTCCGGGAATCGAAGGCGCAAGGGAGGGTGGGGAGTGTGGCGGGGCTCTTTCCTTCTAATGCGTTGTGGCCAGCATCATCTATCAATCACTCACAATCCATAAGTTTATCAGTTCCTGTTGGGGAAACCTAGCGTGTACCATCGCTATCCAATTTATGATCTTACATTATCGACATCAATCTATGTAGGCTCTACTCAATAGTCATCGTCTGAATCGTCTCCATCATCTGGCAACAAAGCCCTGTACCGTCTACTTGCAAGGTCTTCCTCCAACCCTCCGTCACTCTCTGGATCAATATATCCTTCGCCGCCAAATAAGCTCAAGGCCACGGGAAGGAATATCAAGGCATGCGTTGCAGCAAAGGCGACCAGCGCCAGCCATATGCGGAAGTAAAAGGTCCGGAAAATCTTGCTTCTTGTAAAGGCAAGCACAAATACACCGATCAGCTTGGTGATCGTGATGCCAGAGAATACTGATCCTCCAACGTTCACGAGTGCAGTCCAGGCGCGAGCGTCCTTGCCCCGGAACTTGTTCTTAGCACGTTCTATTACTGAGCGTGAAGGGAACATGAAGGCCCTGGCAATATGTGCGCAGAATTCGACTCCAATACCAACGCAAATAACGAGATTGACGAGGCTGACCGCATTCAAAGACACGTCGAAAACGGCCATGGTCCCAGTGATGTCGACCACAATCATAAGAACAGTAGCTGTGACGACCGCACCAGTCTTGAGGGATCCAAGTAGGATTGATGAAATTACTAGGATGAGGCCAAGAGCTGAGCCGAGTAGAGTAGCAGTCAAGTTGACGATCGTGGCGTATTGATCGAAGAAGATGTAGAACACGCTGTACGGGAATATGTCGATGCCAGTGCTTTCACTAAGCCCATCGGAGATTCTGCGAGCAGATGCCAAAGCATCAATGAAGTCTTCTTGGCTGCGGAGTGGGGTGTGGCTTGAACGGAAGTGACTTGCGGGAATGGTTTCTCTCTCCGAATCGATAACAAGAGCAGTCGAATATGGAGCCTTTCCGCCCAATGGGCAGCTCTCACCGGTTGGCGCGACAATCCATTCCTGAAGATAGTGGATGAACTCTTGCCCCTCGGGCATGCCTGAAAGTGTGATATTCCATGGCGGGGTTCGGTCTTCGAAGCATGTCTTGCCATTTTCGACACAGCATTCGTCAAGCTCGGGGTCAAGCCAACGGAAATAGTCATCAATCCAGCTTGCTGCAGGTGATGCAATGTAAGATATGTTTGGTCTTTTCCTTTCCTGCTCCAGAACGTTCGTGAGCGACTCTTGCTCGCACGTAGTAAATCGCGAGCACAACTGCTGTTGGTGGGCTCGTTCTGTAACGTTTATTTCTCGAGTGACGAAATAGACGGGTGGGCCAGAATCGAAATAATCATATAGGTCGTTGAAGTATGGGATCAAATAGGAGTCATCCGGTATTGCGAGTCGCTGGTCTAACCCAAGAGATACTTCGGGTATTAATGACACTCCTGCTGTGAAGATACCCAGGAAAACGACAATTATGGCAACCTTCATCTTCTTCCCAAGTAGGGCAGGGGCATAGACCTTGCGGATAAATTTCTGAAGACTTCCTTCATCTTGGCCTTCATATGATCTCGCATATCCGTTGCCGTTGCCCTGGCCGAACTGAACACCAGCACTCCTAATCTGAATGCAGGGGAAACAGTCGGCTCGACGATCTTCCACCCGCCGTTGGTTGAGTGTCAAAACAGATACAAACATCGTGACCTGTAGTATTGCGTTGATGAAGACGGCACCAGCCGCATAGATCGCAAAATTTCGAACAGCCGGCATGCCAGCGAATGCTCCCAAAGCAAATGCAATAGTCTCCGTTGTTGCAGACAATAGTATCGACGGGCCCATCCGCCCCAGCGCTTTCGCAATGCGGTATTCCACCATATCATCTGGATGACTTATGTTTACTCTTTCAAACTCGTGTACGATGAGGAAGATATTGTCGACCCCAACTGCCAGCACAATAAAGGGAATGACCTCTGCAATAATGAGAGTAACTTTGATGCCAGCTGCTGAAAATAAACCAACAGAGGCTGAAATTGACATGAGCACAATAACGATACCGACAACGCCCAGAGTGAACTTGGATTCAACAAGGGAAGTTGACGGATTTCGGAAGAAGGACCGTAGAGACAACGTTGTAGAACCGAGGGCGAGTGAAGCGTAAATGAACATCATCACATAGCTTATGGCAACAATCTTTGCATCGGTGTTGGTAGACTTGTTGAGTTCCTGTTCCAAGCTGATCTCCGTCGAGAAGGATAATCTCAATCCTTTATCTCTTGCTTCCTGTTGTACATCTAGCAGCGTAGTTCTGAGGGATTCCTCCCAGTCCATCGCACTTTCAACTTCGGGAGATCTTTCGGCGGAATTCTTGATAACCCAAGTAACAATAGTCGCAGACGAAGTTGCAACGTCATCGGTATCATACAAGCCGCCGAGGATCATTTTGGGATCTATGGGCTGGCCAAACTTAGGGAGACATTTCACCGGAGACTTAGCACAAGCCCGGAGCTTGGTTTCCCAAGTGCTGGAATTGTAATTCTTGAGGTTGTTTCCAAAGTAGGCGGCTACTGACTGGACCACACAACCATTTCCGGTAGGATTGAAACAGACATCGTCAAGTGAAGAGCCAGTTTTCTGTCCTTTGAGGCCACTTATACGCTCTTCGACACCGATCCACCACATGAGAGTGTCATAGCTCAAGACGGGGCCGGGCCCAGAAGGAAGTGTATCGTTTACCAAGAATACCTGCTCGGCACGATAAAACGGCCCAAAGTTATCATCAAAGAAGATCTTCTCCTGTGCGGCGGTAGATGCTGGGCTGACCCATAATCTGGCGGGGTCTCTCTCTATGTCAAATCGAATCCATCCTAGGCTGAGCAGACCGACAACAAGAACGCTAATGCCAATGGTGATGCCAGGAAAGCTCGCCGCAGCGTAGCCTAAACGACTGAAAGCACCATCACAAACAGTATTGATCCAGTAATTCCGTTGCGGCCGGTCATATATGGCACCATTATGAACCATATCTCCTTCATCTTCGTCGTCGCTAGGAGCGGCGTCTTGGAGTAAACGCAGGCGTTCACTCTTCCGCTGCGCATGTTTTGCCCATGCGATATGACCAAATATAGCAGTGACAAGCAAAAAGATGAATATACCATATGTTAAAATAGCTCCAAAGGAGAGGCACGGCAGCTGTCCCACATGACAAGTCCCTTTTTGGGAAACTTCGGACAATTCCGGGCACACGGCAGGACAGTCGACGCACGCACATCGGAAACTCTCGTCCTCATCGTTACATTTCTTGGGGGTCATCTCCAGCGGCCTCATACGATCGTCGGGGTAAGTGCTCGGATTCGGAAAGTTGATCTGGAACGGCGATCCAAGGAGGGGGCTTTTCTTTCCCAGAAAAGCTAGAAAGTCAGGATAATTCTTCGCCCCACCACCAATTAAAGCCATTGCGTTGTCATTCGTAGGCCCAAACTTCACATCCTTGCAGCTATCGTAGAAACCAGATCCATATTCGTCAGACACAAGTTGATCAAGCTCCGTCACTCTTGCTGTATCGCCACTTTTTTCGATTTGGGTAACGTTGATGAATATCGACTGATCAGGAGAGCATGTGAAGGTGCAGAAGATGTTGTAGAAGTTCTCTTTGCAGGCCGGACATGATGAAATGAGGGGGTTTGCTTTCTTGAGGTTTTCCGACAAGGTATTAAGCTGTTCAAAATTAGCAGCGGTAACAAGAAGGGTTTTATGCCATCCATGCCTGTTCTCCTTCGCAGCATATCGGGCCAGTATTCCATTTTGGCCCGCAGATCTGCACCAGCTGCTTTCTCACATCATCCTCTGGTTCTTTCGCAAGCCCGTTATCCAGACATGGCAGGGCCGGTTCCCAGAAATGTGAGCTCCCACAACTCCCACGTATGGAACATCTCCCTGCTTCATGCTTTGGCGTATATGCTTCTCCCGATGCAAGGCTGAGCAGCGTGGCGACTGCGGCCGAGCGCCATAGTCGACTCATGATGAACTGCGCAGGCGGCAGCAGTGGGAGGCTGGCAGAGAAGGTTCGAAACCTAGTTGATGGGAGAATTCTTCAGTCCGTAGCAACGGATGTCTTTTTCATGGTAGGGTGATAGTAGATGACAGTGGTCATGGAGTGCCGAAGGGTTTTGGGTTTGCAGGTGATTGTTGTCCTGGTCACAATCTTAGCTCAACCCAGCCACACGCTGGTTGTCGTCATCTGGGGTGCGCACGGACGTTGTTTCCGATGTGCCTGGGCACCAGCGCCATCCCCCGAATTTGTGTAGAGTGCTCAGCAACACCTACCTGGAGCGAAAGGTGTCCAGTTTTTTGGGAGTTTTATTTCCTCCTCGTCTTTGTCTTAGTCTTCAAAACTCTCTCCAACATCTATTGTCAGTTGAAAGGTCCTTGCAAGAGCAGTTTCATTATCCGAGTACGAGGCGGTACTTTCAGTATTAACAAGCTCCGTGAGTCGAAGTAGTTGTCATTATTTTGATTACAATTTCCGATTCCTTCTCCAGCAGACAGTCGAGGAAGCATATGGAGCAACACTATTTACGCTATTTTAGTATCAAGAAAGCTCTTGCGGCCCTTGCCCCGAACCTAAAGTGGGTGACCCTCGTCCTTCAAGCACATGAATACCTAGAAACTTCCTTGTAGCTAGGCACCTTCTAGTGCTGGACTCAAGTAATGTCTTAGCTGAGTCAAGGTTTCAGGAGTACCACAACCTCACCTTATAGTAGTCGGATCAGACTCTAGTGAGGGTAGTTTCGGAGAATATTTAAATGAGCTGATCTTGACGAGTGAGCTTTAAATATCCCGATACGTAGGTATGTGCCATCTTCACATGATTGGAGTATAAGTCCGTGCAAATCTTTTACAAAATCCGCTTCGTTCAATGAGACCTCGTCATTCGTCTCGGTGATCTGGCCCTGGTGGCCGTCCTGCTTTGGTATTTTGCCATCCACATAGAAAAGAGTGACTGGGATTTCTTCGATAGCCAACAGATCAAAAGTCCTATAATAAGACTCCAGATTGACATTGGAGTCGAGAGTAAAATCCAGCATCTGACCTCAGTCATCGCGAACGATTGGATATCCCCACTCCATGGTACCGAAATCACCTGCGCCTCCACTTAGGCGGCGGATCTCGGGGGCCAGTCCGTTGGGGACAACTGTGGAGCCTGCTGTCACCTAGTCGTAGTAGTTTTGGTCTGTATTGAAGACTTTGACTTCGACCATTCTGGCTCGATAATCGTTTTCGAGGTCGACCTGGTGATGGTAATACTTATACGTTATGGGGATATCTACTGCTACGCACGACCACTGGTGACGGAAGAGTCAGCATCTTTCTTAGTTCAGAATATCTAGGGAGTACGGTTGAGCAAAATTAATAAATTAAACTCTTTTGGGGTATGTTGAGAGTGCATGTGACAAGGGAGGGGGTATTTCAGAACCCAAGAACAAATTCAGTAACCTGGTTGCCCTCACGGAAGGGGCGTTAAATTCCACCGGCCGATTAGCTGGCGACGGGAAGTACCCTGACGATCCAGAGCAATGCGAATGGCAAGAGTCGCAAGAATGACTTCCACATGCCCGCCAGGTAGACGTCGTCGCCTGCAAGCAGCTCTCGTTTGAACTCAGATGCCAGTCCATGAATGGCAATCAATTTATCAGTGAAATACGTGAGATGGGTGGTAGAGCTCATGATTGCAAAACCGTTCTAAACTCGAGGTTTATCTTTTGTTTGAAGGTGTTTTAACGAACGACCCCAGCTCGACTTGTCATGGAGATCTTCTGGCAGATTAGGTCCAATCTGCGTAGGTATTTTCTCCGGATAGCCTTAGTTCGCAAAGCGCCCTTGACGCTCCCAAAAGATTTCATTCTTTCCAAAGAGAAGAACTCATGGAGATAGAAGTCACTCTTGTAATACCCACCCTCTTTGCAATAGCGGCAACGTGTTGAGCTTATATCTAACAAGCCCGACATTGTGGAGCCACAAATGGGTCCTCTTGGTGGACTTTTTCCATTTGGAGAGACCTCGATTGGCTCAATGAAGTCATAGGACCGTTTGCGGAGGCAACTATCAGAACTTTCCTTAGAGCCAGTGGCAGTAATATTAAAAAAATGGGTTCTTGTATAGGTCACCCATCACACTTGCTTCTTCTCTCCAGTTTTCAACCGAGTTTTGAATAATGCGAAGCGAATCTATCTAGAGATACCTGACGCCAAGGCGACGCGTGATGGATATGGCATCTCCGAATGTTTCTGGCATCGCGTCCGAGAGTATCGACTGCTGAAGGGAGACTGCATCAGTCGTAAAATATCCGAGGTACCCCAATAATTCCTTAAAGTCATGTACCTGCTCTCTGCGTTCTGAAGACTTGAAGAGGAATGACACGGTGCGGTATCGCTCTGAAGTTCTTGTCTGATACAACTAGTCGAATCGACTCGTGCTCATAATTTCCAAGGGCAAGCAACCACTTAGGCTTCCATAGCGACGCCGAGGGACTGCGACACCCAGAATGATTTTCATCACAGTTGACCAACCAGGGTTTTATTTGTGGCCAACTGTGTTCCGAGCTCGCAGAAGACCACATATCCTTAACTTAGCTAAATGTGGTTGCATGGCTGCTCCTATCCTTATCGGCTTTCAGGTGTAATAGCAACGTGAACTTTCAGTCCTTACCCGCTTGAGGATATGGAGGTACATTTAGTGGCGGCCACATGTTTCTCACACGAAAACTCATGTTTAAACTCTCAACCTCTACACCATCGTAGGTACTTAGTCATGTCAAACGTCTGTATGCCGTGACTAGAGATCCAAAGAGCTGTGCGATGGTCTGTCTTGAAACCGGCGTGTGATCATGCTTTCTATTGGTGAAAGTCTCCCACAACCCCCAACAGATATTCAATTCTTTGAACACAGACTCTCGCAAGGATTCGGTGGTGAGATGGCCATCTTTGCCATCCCATTTCCATTCGCCCTCCGTGTCTGGCTCGCTCTCAAATATTGTAATACAGGTATCGCAAAGCATGTTGCCGTTCCCTCAACGCACAAGGGTATCTAGACTTTGATTCGAGACCTTGCAGAATAAGGTTGCGAGCAGGCTGAGGTGGACGCCTTAAGAGATCACAGTGGTGACAACACATACCAACGTGGAGAGATACACTGGGGTCGGGCAACAGTGAGATACTCCGATTGGCACACATAATGCTTGTTTCCGAACAGGAAGAAAAATGAACAAAAGCAATGAGCGGTGAAATTTGAAGAAACAAGCCGTATATCTGGAAGAGTGAACAAGAAAAATATGCAATCGCCTGATATACTTTCGATTCTGTATGACCTTCGAACAGCAGGGCGGTATGATGAAGGCCTAGCCTTGGGCCGGTCAACCGCCAGGGTTACGCTATTCCGCATCTGACAGGGTTATAGTATTGAAGGTGATCGAAGAATATCTCCCATTCAAGAAGAGCTACTTGGCAATCACTTGACACAAGACACTAGGTCCGTCCAGGCCTTACTCGTAAATTTCCATTGCTTTGCTGGAGTGAATCTGGGAGGTCGTCGTTGAGCACGAGAGGAAATATTTTTATAAGTACGCACCCTCGCGATCGCCGAAGCGAGCCTCTATCAGAGACCATAAACCACGGGCTTGGGTGAGCAGCCTTCTCCGCGACATCATCACCACAATTCCATCCTCGCAAAGTCCCCAACAATTCCTGCGATAGTGAAGAGACTCTGCCACCAAATGGCGTGAGCCGATGGATCAACGAATGAGCGAAAATAGCGAAAGAAAGACAGTCGCAACTTCCAGGTACACTACCTAATTCACCCACCACCTTCCACTTCTTCTTGAAACTTTCCCATCCAAGTCTTACTTTGCATACTCGATACAACTCCTCCACCTCCCTTGGGGAGCTCTCTTCAGCCAAATACTCACCATCATGTCTGGCAGAATTACGAGGGCATCCGCTAGACAAGCTGCCAGCTCCTCAGAGTCGTCTGGTGCCTCTGTGGGGACTACTGCAACTGCTTCGTCGACTCGGGCGCCAGCACCTTCGAGAAAACGCAAAGCTCCGGCCCGTGAGCCAAGTCCAGCCCCAGAAACCGAACCGGCGAAGTCCTCATCTTATCGACGTCCCAAACGCCAGAAGATCGCAGAGCCTGAACCTCCCCAACCGTCCACTGCACCTGCTGCTGTAGCGCCGTCCCGTCGAAGAAAGGGAAAGAATCCTGCGGTTATGTCTAGTCCTGGGTATGTTGACTATCTTGTTGCTCGGCTGTGGATGCTGATGATGGTATAGTGATTCTGCTGGTCCTTCTAACGATCCACCGATTACAACCAGCTCGTCAAAGCGAAAGTCCTCGAGAAACAAGAAAGCTGGCCAAGGTACCTCGACTCTGCCCTTTCGAGGCATTACATCTTCGGTACTGATGTCTGAAACAGAACAAGCCGTGAATACACCCAGCATTGGTCGTCGATCCAAGAAGACAAGCGGTGGCCATAAGGATGCGGATAATTCTCTAGATACCATCTCTGACGACAAGCCCCCACCTCCTGCGGATGATGACGACGGTAGCGATGACAATGACGACGACGAGATGGCCCGAAACTATGAAGGCCGAGATGAAGAAGACGACGATCCTTTTGGAGGTTTTGGTGGACCTGGAGGGCCACCGCAAGGCCTCTCGAGCACATTGCGAGCATTGAGCGGCATGATGTCAGGGGTTTCTACCAGACTACGAGATATCTTGAACAACTTGAAGCAGAAGGATGACCCCTCTATTCAATTCATTGCTCTCCAGGAGCTGTCCGAAATCCTGCTTGTGTCTACGGAGGACAACCTATCTGGCCATTTCTCTCCGGATGCTTTCGTCAAGGAGCTTGTTGTCTTGATGCAGCCTTCGGAGTTTGGGGAGGAAAACCCAGATATGATGTTACTTGCCTGTCGTTGCCTTGCAAATCTCATGGAAGCGTTACCTGCAAGCACTGCAAATGTGGTCTACGGAGGTGCTGTTCCTATTCTCTGTGCAAAGCTCTTAGAGATCCACTTCATAGATCTGGCAGAGCAAGCTCTTAGCGTAAGTGGTTCCCATGTCTCTGACCAATGTTCTTCACTGATACTTTCCAGACACTTGAAAAAATCTCGGTGGAGTATCCAGCCTCAATTGTTCGTGAGGGTGGATTATCTGCTTGTCTGACCTACCTTGATTTTTTCGCCACAAGTACCCAGAGAACAGCGGTTACTACGGCTGCCAATTGCTGTCGAAACATTCCAGAAGATTCATTCCCAACTATTCAAGGTCTCATGCCGTTGCTGCTCAATGTTCTCAGCTCAAACGACCAGAAGGTTGTTGAACAGGGCTCCCTGTGTGTGTCTCGCATTGTAGAAAGCTTCAGATATCACCCCAGCAAACTTGAAGAACTTGTCAGCACCGACCTTTTGAAAGCAATTCTTCGCCTCTTGCTTCCGGGTACCACCAACCTAATTGGTCCGAATATCCACACACAATTCTTACGAGTACTCGCTTTTACGGCCAAGGCTAGCGCAAATCTGTCTGCAGAGCTGTTCAAGATGAACGTTGTGGAGACTTTATACCAGATCTTGACAGGCGTTTCACCACCTGGTCCCGCCGAAGATATCGCGTCAAAGCTGGACAGCGTTGTTATCATGCAAGCTTTGATTCATAGGCCTCGAGAGCAAGTCATTGAGACTTTGAATGTCATTTGCGAGCTTCTTCCAGGGCTACCCAGAGAATCTGACCTTACACTCGATGAGATATTCGACCTCGATGCCGCATCTGCACCACCTCCTGGCTCCGCGTCGAGCTCAAGAAAGAAGTCGTCGAATGAAAAGCGTCTCGAACTCCTCGAGGGATGCAAAGACGAAGTCAAGCGATTTGCCATTATCCTATTCCCAACATTGACAGATGCATTTTCAAGTACGGTCAATCTAAGCGTCCGCCAAAAGGTTCTGACAGCGCAACTGAAGATGTTATCAAACCTCGACAAGGACATTTTGCTAGAAGCTTTACGTGCTGTGCCATATGCTTCTTTTTTGGCAGCCATCTTGTCCCAACAGGACCACCCTAGCCTGGTTAACTATGCTCTCCAGGCCGCGGAGTTACTTCTGGCTCGCCTCGATGATATTTATCGATACCAATTCTACCGGGAGGGAGTTATTGCCGAGATTGCAAAACTTGCTACTGTAGCCCAAGCGGAGAAGACCAGCACAGCCGATGCTTCAGAAATAGAGCTGATGTCAAATGATTCGAATGGAACGCGGAAGATTACAGAGAAGTCTGACCGTGAAGCTGAAGCCGGCGATGACGAGGACGATTCTTCAGATGACGAAAATGACGAGGACAATGAAAATGACGATATCCCCGACGACATCAGTCCTTCTCCTGCAAGCTCTCGTGGATCAACTATGTCCTTGGATGGCCCCCCTCACCGCATCCCATCGGATTCTGTCAGCATGCAACAGCTCATTAGCCAGCGAGCGAAGAAGTTCTTGGACATTCACGAGAATGAAAATAATAGCAAGAATATGAAGAAGAAAGCAATGAAGATCCTCACGAGCCTGCAGATTCTTGCTTCGAACATTGAATCCCACTATCTTCACCAAGGTCCTGGCAATGGAATCCAGCTGTTTACTACTCTCGCTTCATACTTTGATGGGGATGTATTGGAGAGTGTTACCAGCTACGAATTATTAAACTCTGAAGTCGTTCGAGTCTTATTGGAGGTTTTCAACAATCCCGATGAGCGGCTGAGCAATGACGCTCGTTCTGCGTTCTTGGAGGTTTTTATGGGCCGAACAGTTACGAAGAAGCCAAAGGCCACAAGCGCAGAGTCCCCAGCAACCCCTTTTGGCATTCTGATCCACAAATTGCAAGATCTTTTGAGTCGTTCTGAGCACTTCGAGGTTGTAACTGTTCATCAAAATACATTTGATGGAAACAGAAGCAGCGCTGCTTCTATGCTTGCGAAGCAGATTAGACTCAAGTTAGTCGCAGACGATGATTCGGAGATTCCAAGACCTTATCGAAACATAATGGTCTCCATCCATGCTATTGCCACTTTCAAGGCTCTCGACGATTACTTGCGGCCAAGAATCAGCTTGTCCGAGCGACCGCGAGGTTCACGGAATCGGGAAGGCCTTTCGGGTGCTTTAGCTGCCCTTGCGGCTGCTGGGATGCCGAACCCATACGCTGGCGTCCCAAATGCACAAGCTCGCCTTGTTGAACGTGGCTTGGCTTCAGCCGCCGCAGCAACCCCCTCTGCGCCAACTCCGAGCACCTCCCGAAGCTCCCGCAAGGCGAAAGCTAAGACTGCTCCAACTACGACTCCTGCATCAGGCGGTCCGTCAGCTGCTGCAACGCCACATGAAAAGTCTACTACGAGACGATCAAGCCGACGACAGCAGGCGCAAAGTGAACCAGCTGCACTTCCTCCCCCTCTACAAGACGAGGACAGCCTAGCTTCTGCTTTAGAATGTGCTGATGAAAGACAACTCAGCGATGATGACGACATGGAGGACAGTGCAGCTCTGGATGCTATTGTTGGCGACTTGGAGGACGAAATGGACGAGCGATCTCCTCCAGATCCTACAGCAGTCAATCTCGAAGTGGCTGCTGGGGGCAAAGTCACTGCACGTAAGGAAGACGGGACAAGAGTTGCAACCCCTTCACAAGTACCTGGAAGCAACCCACGCACCCATTCAGCTTTGCAAGCTGTTGCCGCCCAGGCAGCTCTGACTACCCCAAGCACGTCATCCAGACCTATGTCATATGCTGCTGCTATCCAAGCAGTCCCTCAGGATTGGCACATTGAATTTAGCCTTGATGATAAAGTTATCGCTAATGAGACGACTATTTATCGAGCTGTTCACAGCTTATCAACCACTGTTGATGATCACAGCAGTCGAAGCGTTTGGTCTGCCATCCACCCTATCAAATTCAAGAGAGTTCCGGGTCCGCCTCCACCGGAGCCAAGTTCTCTCACTCAGGCCATCGAAGTCACTACTGAAACCACAGCTTCAGGGATTCCTGCCTCACTAGACAAGCACCCAGCTACTTCTTCTATCCTTCGATTACTCAACATTCTCCATGCGTTGAACGCAAACCTCGATGATGTTTTGGCAGAGAACAAAGACACATTAAAGCTGAACGCAGAACCCCTTTCTCAATTCGTCAACACGAAGCTTACCGCCAAGCTCAATAGACAACTAGAGGAGCCGCTCGTTGTTGCCAGCAACTGTCTTCCCAGCTGGAGCGAAGACTTGGCCCGTCTATACCCATTCCTCTTTCCCTTCGAGACTCGGCATTTGTTCTTACAATCTACATCATTTGGTTATGCTAGATCAATGACTAGATGGCAAAATGCTCAATCTGCCGATGAGTCCCGACGAGATCGCCATCGTGAGTAAGTACATTTTTCCTTCGGTTCCTTCCTCAGCCAGCCACAAATCCAAGGTGGCCGCCCATCGCTCGAGCTCTAAGCTCGACTGATGGCACTCTATTATCTTGGAACTATTTTGGACCTGTGTACTTATTACCACTAACTGATTTCACAGTTCTCAGCCTTTTTTGGGAAGATTGCAACGCCAGAAGGTCCGTATTTCTCGGTCAAAGATCCTGGAATCCGCACTGAAGGTCATGGAACTTTATGGAGCATCGCAGAGTATCCTGGAAGTTGAGTACTTTGAAGAGGTCGGAACAGGTCTTGGTCCCACCTTGGAGTTCTACTCGACGGTTTCAAAGGAATTCTCAAAGAAGAAGCTCAAACTTTGGCGCGAGACAGACGCAAATGATTCTGATGAGTATGCCTTTGGTGCTCGTGGACTGTTCCCAGCTCCAATGAGCGAGGATCAAGCATCGAACGAGAACGGAAAGCGTATTCTTCACCTTTTCAAGATGCTCGGAAAATTTGTTGCTCGGTCTATGATTGACTCTCGAATCATCGATGTCTCGTTCAATCCAACCTTCTTCCGCATTGGGGATGGATCGGAGACAGTCACTCCGTCATTGGGAGCCGTCAAGACCGTTGATCCGCAATTGGCCAAATCCCTGAAGTTGATTAAGAAGTTTGCGGTGGGAAAGAAGGCCATCGATGAGAACCCCAATCTGACGCCAGCGCAAAAAGTGGCTCATGCTGAAGCACTGGAAATTGATGGTGTTCACATCGATGACTTAGGACTCGACTTTACTCTTCCAGGTTATTCGTCAATCGAGCTCTTGCCAAATGGATCTCAACTTGCAGTTTCGATCGATAATGTAGAGCTGTATCTTGAGAAGGTCATTGACTTCACCTTAGGAGGTGGAGTTCAAAGACAAGTCGACGCTTTCAGAGCAGGCTTTACTCAGGTGTTCCCATATTCTGCATTGAGCGCCTTCACTCCCGATGAACTGGTCATGCTCTTTGGCAGAATCGAGGAGGACTGGTCTCTTGAAAGTAAGCTCTCTCCGCCAGCATTACCTTGTACGGTTAGGATGCTAACAGTATTGTAGCCTTGATGGACTCGATCAAAGCAGATCACGGCTTCAACATGGATAGCAAGAGCGTAAAGAATTTGCTTCAAACCATGAGTGAACTATCTCTGCCGGAGCGGAGAGACTTCCTGCAATTCACCACTGGTAGCCCGAAGCTCCCTATTGGTGGTATGTACCCCAGTCCCTCTCATCTCATGGCTTGCTAATCCATGAATAGGTTTCAAGGCCCTCACACCAATGTTCACTGTGGTCTGCAAGCCAAGCGAACCCCCTTACACTTCTGATGACTATTTGCCGAGCGTTATGACCTGTGTTAACTATCTTAAATTGCCCGACTACACCAGCTTGGACGTCATGCGACGCCGTATGAATACTGCGATCAAGGAAGGACAGGGGGCTTTCCATCTGTCATAGGATGTCAATATCGATTGGTCAGACAAGTTTGGCAAGCATGGAGCGAATTGAGGGCTTAGTCCCAGCATTATTTCATGAAAGATGAACGGTGCTTTCCTTGCATTTTATGTATTCACGAGTTCCCCATAGTGTCTCCGTCCGCATCAAGTCAGATTGCATGGAAGGTCGTTAGGCGCATCACAGCGGGGGAATGCACATGGGAGCACGGAATTAACTTGTTGCACATTAGATAGATCAATTGATTTTCTCTCCACCTATCTTAAAAACAAATGCAGACCAGGGTTTTTTTGAGTTGCCTGCTTCCATTTGATAGGTCAGATAATATAGCACTGCAATTCTCATTAATAGTCGGACTTGACGTCGCGCTAAAGGGGCCCTTCCCTTTAGTCGGGGAAAGCGAAGTGTCCCGGGAAAGCGAAGTGTCCCGCACCACACCAAAATTTCTATGCAATCGCAGACACTTGAATTGCACTACACAACCAAATAACCCTTAAATTAATGCGCAATTGAGGATATAATCTCTCATTACTCTAATGCTATAAAATCTGCATTTTGAGCTATTGAATCAGTCGATATTACTGATCTAGGTGGTGAAGAATACAGAATTACCTCCTCCCCACTAACCCCACCATTTATACCCTCTCGTGCCTCCTTTACCTCCTTATCTGATCCCCTAGACTCCTCTGATATTGCCCGTATATATAATTGACTAAGAGGGTTCCCCTTTACCCGGTGAGCTTGTTCAGATGCGAGTATTGCAGGATTAATAGGGATATTAGTAAAGATTGCGGGATCTTCGGCCTGTATACGATCGAATTCAGCTTGCTCCTTAGCTACCTTATCGTAAAGTGATTGGTGCTTAATTCGAATGGCTTCAAGCTCGCTTTCCGTAGGTTCGTTTTGGGGATCGCGAATTGGTATTAGGAGCTCGGGAGGGATAATTATATCGGTTCTAAGGACTTGCTTCTTTGCTTGTGCCTCCAGATCTCTCACTCTCTTCTTCCTCTCTCTCTCTGCCGCTCGTGCGGCGATTCCTACTCTTTTGAGAGCTTCCTTTTTAGCTGATTTAGCCTTTGCGAGCTGTTTTTTAGCCTTCTTTAGCTCCTCCTCTGCTGCGTTCCTTACTTTAATCTTCTTCTTTTCCAGAGCATCAGATGCATTTAACTACCCCCCTCTTTGGAAACTAAGCCGTGTATTTAGCTTAGCCTTATAACGTTTAACCTGTGCCTTACGAGCATTCTGGGTATCCAGCTCTTGTAAACTTCCAAGTATTAGGTGGTTCTTGGTAGCCTTGATTGTGACTGAATACTCTTTGCGAGGGGAGGAGCTTAAAGTATCCAGAATCTTGTCGTTGAGATTATTGAGCCGTAGAACGCATTCGTTATATGAAGAAGGAGGTTTTGGAAGGGTAGGTAATTGGTATTCGTAAACAGGAGCAGGAGCAGGAGCAGGCGTGGTAAATCGTGCGTTTTCTGCGTTTTCTGCATCCGATTCAGTTTCCGATTCAGATCTAAACTCCAGAAATTGAAGGCCAGTGTCTTTCCTTCCCTTTTTGCCATATTCCTTGAGCTTTCTCCGTACTGCTTTGAAACTGACAGGCCAAATTCCAGCGTTCTGAAAAGCGTATTTGATTGTACGGATAGTAAATGTCTTCTCCCGTATTCCAGGAAGATCGCGAAAGAAGTACTAGACGTTGTATTCCGGCTCGTACGAGCGAATTGCATTTATAATATTGACCTGTTGGTAGTATTTCCATTCCCTAAAAATACCAATATTGCATGGTTGAAGTAGGTGGGTTTGATGAGAGGGGAATTAGACGATTCGTATCTTATTAAACGTAGCTTTTAGGATAAAATCGTCCGCTTGGTAGTAAGTTGCTTTGTTAATTAAGAGAATATGCCATTTCTTGTTAGGACCGCAGTTATTATGCTTGATAAAATGGTCTAACCAAACCATATAAATGCCCTCGTTCGTATATCCTGTAGGAGAGACTATAATAACCTCATGACCGGTTATATTTTTATAGAACCAAGAAACCATAATTATAATTCCAGGGATAATTACTACCGGAGGAATTGCCTTGCCATCTGCAGATATGTACTTAATTATCGTAAGAGACATGCGATTTTCTGGTATTCCTGTATATATCTTCTTGATTCCAATTGGAACTACTACTTCCTCTCCTGAAGGCATACAAATTCGTACGCCTTTCTCGTCTATATTATGTATCCGATCCCCATGGCATATACCAGTTTCCTCTAATGCCGGACGATATTCAGTCTCAAACCAATTGCGGAGGCTCTGTTCGGTATGGAGATTGATACGGTGGCTCGCAATGGGCTTCGTCTTAATCGTATGGAGTTCTGGAGTGCTCTTTAGCTATTGAGAGAACTATTTCCAAGATGGAGCTGTTTTATTGTCCTCCGTTCGCATCCATATTGCGCAGTTATATATTATTTGCTTTGTAGCTTCTTTCCCGCCATTAATCGCGTATGATACTGCGTACTGAATTAATGCCGCATATTGATCAGGACGGAGGATCTTGTTCTGCCCCCCTTTTTGCACTCTCACTGTCCCCATCTTCTTCCTCTTTCTCTGCCACGCTTTCCTTACTGTATCTTCATTTCGTACGCAATACGCGCGTACCGCAGTCGCAGGAGTCTCTTCTGGGTTGGCCTTGAGGAACTGAATAGCCTCACGGAGCTTATCCTTCTCTGGCATATTACGGAGAAGCGTGTTTTTGGGGAGGTTGCTTAGGCGAGCCATTGCTGTTGAATTTGACTGATTTTCAGGGAAATTTGGGCTGGTGGTGATCAAATTGATTGATTTTTACTATGGGTGTTCCATATAAATTGGAAATTTTTGCGATCGGTGCGGGACACTTCGCTTTCCCCGACTAAAGGGAAGGGCCCCTTTAGCGCGACGTCAAGTCCGACTATTACAGTAGTGAAAAATCATCTCGCTCGTAATGGCAGAAACAGTGCCACTGGGTTTTCAATGTCCCAAGTCAAAGTTGGATGTTAACTCGAACTTAAAACGGGTAGGAACTAATAGTCTAGTTAGTACTTCCGAGAATTTTAATGGGAGTAGACTTTGAATGCACAATATCGCACATGTGCATTTAGAGATGGAGTATTTTGAGTGTCCAGCTTGACTTGGGACTGAAAATGGGTCCACTTTTCTGCCCACTGCGAGTTTCGCTCAGAACAGCCTAGCGTATTGTGAGCGCCAGGACCTTTCAAGACTTTATGAACTCTCAGAATCTGAACTGCAACAAAAACCAACAAAGCACAATGTCCACACAAATTGAACCAAAGACCCATTACGGATTCCCACAAACCCTCTCCTTTCGGCGGCTCCATAAGGACGATCCTTAGAAAGAGCTATCCACCGAAGAAGTTCCCATTGGCGCGTCTGTAGCCTCCTAGTATGGCTGCCCTCGAAGAGCTTCAAGCAGGTCTACTTGTGCGTCTCCCCCAATTTTAATGTTGAATGTTGGTAATGGTATAAATTAACCTTAACATAGAAGGAGTACTCACAGAATCTTGATTCATCCACTGTGCTCGCAATTCTCTCAGACTACAACCTCTCCAATTCAACCGAATTAGAAGCCGCAACGCAGCTATTGAGTGCTCTTAGTTCTGAAGTTGCAACCGAAGAGACGACTGGCTTTGATCCCAGTGGTGCTAGTGGGTTGGGCTTGTTTACGAATGACGTTGAAAGTGGTAGAGATGGGGAAAGTGCTAGTGGGAGGAGCCAACAAGGATGGAAGAGCCAGACAGATGACACATCCCTAAGCCAAGAACTATCAGTGTTGGGTTTGGAAGGCCTCGAGTTTTCGGATAACGGCGGAGTAAAAAGCAGGGAAGAAAGCCCAGAGAAACCCTACCCCAGCAGTATCGATAGCTTGGATGCGGAGGGCCAAGAAGCGGCCTTGATAGCCATATTTCCTGCATTAAAAGCTTTCGATGTCCAATGGACTCTGAAAAAGTGCAAGGGGGATACAGGACAGGCTATTGATGAGCTCATGACACAGTCGTTCCTCGAAGAGAGCGGAAGCCGACATCGAGGAATTGAGGCATTCTCCGAGAGCGAACTTCCCTCCCGACGACGAAAGGGTAAAGGGAATAAGAGATGGGGCCGAAAGACGGATAACAATCCCGCAGATCCGGCTTCGCTTGTACAAAGCAAATGGGACACTGGAAGGCAAGACGTCGAGTTTATTGCTACCAATACCGGAATGCCGATGCAACAAGCCGCTTCCATCTATCACAAGAATGGAGCCTCAGTTCGCACAACGATAGCGGCAATCATCGGCGCCCACGCTTCTATGGAAATGGAATCAGACGACCCAAAAATCCAGATCAATGCCTCGGAACTCAGACAAGACTTTCCATCCGTCTCGACTTCTGATCTGGAGATTCTCGTGCAGATCACACACCCCTCGATAAACAATGCACGCGAGCTTGCTAAAGCTCTTAGCTCTCGCCCCGTTGCCAACAAGCCACCAATCCAATTTGAGTTCCGGCACGCACCAGTCGAACTTGGTTCAGAGCCTTCAAATTCTAAAATTAAGGTTTCCAATGGAATACATAATGAGGGAGCAGTGCCTCCTGCAGCACTTGCATCGACCTATATCCAAGCCCGAGATACGGCTTTTATCAAAGCTCATGCAGCGTTCCGGAAAGGAAAATCGGATCCATTGATGGGCGGTGCTGCAGCTTATTACTCTCAGGTAGGACGGGAGAACGACGCTAAAGCCAAGAGTGCGGAGAGTGCTGCGGCAGATGCCCTAATCTCGACGCAAACTTCTCGAACCGAGCTCGATTTGCATGGCCTTAATGTTAAGGACGCGGTGAGAATCAGCAGGGAGAAGGTCACCGCTTGGTGGCACGAAGGTGGTGAACAGAGATTAGGTACGAGGGGCATCGGCCCCGAGTATGCGATAATTACAGGCAAGGGAAATCATAGCGAGGGAAGAGGGAGACTAGGCCCTGCTGTGGGGAAGATGCTTATTAGAGAGGGGTGGAAGGTTGAGGTTAGGGGCGGAAATGGCGGGCGGCTAGTAGTGACAGGTGTTGCTAAGAAAAGATGATTCGAGCTTACTGATTTCAGGATGTGGCATTTCTTGGCGTTGCATTTCGGGTGTTTTTGCGGTGCACATGATGGGTAGGAGTATGTGGAGTTGTGTAAGTGGCGGGGATTTCATGATTTGTTTGGATAGAGAAAGCTCCATAAGAGAGATATAGAGACCTTGTGAATAGAACTTGATGTTACAGGAATACACGCGGTTTAATGGCCACGAACACCGAGAGTATGACGCAAAGCTACTAAAAAAATGATATCTTGACAGTCAATGCCAGCAAACTGGCAGAAACCAATTTCTTCGGAATCTGACAGACGAATTAGAGAACAAGTGCCACCTTTGGATGAGTTGTGCCGTTAAAGAATGTGCCTTTCTATCCAATATGGGCGTTTTCAATTTTTTCCATTGGTGTCTAAATCTATTGGTTTCAGGGTGAGAGAGTATCCTTCCCTCCCTCAAACTCACTACAATCATACTCTTCCGGATACCGCTCGATAATGCCCCTCAACTGCTCCATCTGTGCCTTCGTTTCGGGAGTCATTTCCTCGTAAACATCCTCAAATATAGACCTCAGTGGCGGTTTTTTCTCCTTCTCAGCCTGTGCAAACGCCTTGAGGCACTCTTTTCTAAGTCTCCCTCTCGCCTCAGCCTCTTTCTCTTCGCTCCAGAGACTTTTCTTCTCCAAGTATTTCCGTAATCTGGTAATTGGGTTGTCTCGTCGTTTCCAGTCTTCAACCTCGACTTTCGCACGGTAGGCAAACGAGTCATCGCTCGTGCTGTGATGAGAAATCCGGTAGGACATTGCCTCAATCAAGACTGGTCGACCGCCATCTTGCAAGGCCATTTCGCGAGCCTTCTTGGTCACTTTCCGCACGGCAAGGATGTCGTTCCCATCTACACGAATAGTATCAATTCCATAGCCTGTTCCTCGACTCGCAATACCGTCACCACGGTATTGCTCTAACGTCGGCGTACTGATTGCGTACCCGTTGTTCCGGCAAATAAATACAACTGGACATGACCGTGTGGCTGCAATGTTGAGAGCCGCATGGAAGTCTCCTTCACTAGCTGCACCTTCGCCGAAGTAGCAGGCCACTATCCGTGAAGGAGTGTTGGGATCTGTGAGCCGTTGCATTTTGAGGGCATATGCTGCACCAGCTGCTTGTGGTATCTGAGTCGCCAGAGGAGAGGAAATGGTATGCTGGATATTGTTATTAATGCAAGGGACAAAGCAATTGGGAGACTCACAATGTTCAGAGTAGCACTTCCGTAATGTACGGGCATATTCCTCCCTTTCCCAGCATCCTTCTTGTTCGCAAATAGCTGGCTCATGAAATTATCAAATGTGTATCCCCTCTGTATAAACACACCAGCCTCCCTGTATTGGCAAAATATTACATCCTCTTTTTCCAAAGCAGATGCTGAGCCCACGCATGTCCCTTCTTCGCCTTGACTGGTCATGTAGAAACTTAGTCTCCCTTGTCGCTGTGCATCGAACATGATCAGGTCCATTATTGAGATGGAAAGCATGTTTTCGTACATTGACAGAGCAAGAGTATCGGAAGGTGGTGTGAAAGAAGAATCGATTATGTCGCCATCAGGGCTCAATGCACGATATGTGGGAATTGCTGGGTATGTTGCTGGACGCTCGAAGTGCAGAGCATTGGTGAACTTGCTGTCGACTGCTCCGGGGAAACGTACACTGTTCAGTTATTAGAATACGTTAAAGGATTGGAGCACATGGCCTCACCCTGCTGATCCGGGCTTCCGGGACAATGAAGAAGACCATCTTTGGGGTAGGGGAGCTCTGTAAGCTGGGTGTCCAGGGAGGAATGTTGAATGGCGAGGGCTGCGAGCCAGGCTGGCAAGCGGGACCCTCATAATCCCTTTGATTGAACTCATTCTTGAGTTTTGTTCATGCCCGACTGCACGTCGGCCATCAATTGCATTCAGGACATTGTGAACGAGTTTCTGGAGGAGTTGTTGACAATGGAGGACGTTGAACTGGGCCGCTGGTAGCCGCTTTCTGGGGTCGCCTCGGCTTGCTCCAGATTCCCGTTAACATCGTTTGCGCTCAAGTGACTTGGCACACAACCACTCATAAAAGGGTTGAACTCTGCCGCAGCTTTATCTTTGCCAAACGGGTCATTCCAATTGAATTCTTCCAGCCGATGCAGGGCCCATAGCATTTGTGAGCTTACCAGCCTTCACCCCAAATCTTGACAAACTCCCCTCTTCCCAATTCGTATTCGATTCGTCCGAACTTTGAACTAACTATCTCTCTGCAAAGTAAGCAGTAGAATTGAACGAAAACTTCCAGAGAGATGCGGGGCCCAAACCCAAGTTCAATTACCGGTACTCTCATTTAGCACGTGATTATTTTCAACCTCAGGCCACGCGGTTGAAGAAGGCTCGTCAAGTTTATTTCCGTCAGCCGTTCGAGCTTGAGACCCCGTAGATTCCTCATTCCTTTTCGGATTCTCAATGGCGTCGAGGTCTGTCTTTAGGTCATTGTGGCGAGCTTCGAAACTACATCCTCTGCCAACGCGGGCACCTCGATGTTTCTCCAACTCTACACGCCTCGCAGAATCCCCAACACAACCCTCAAACCATGAGAAAACGACTCACTTCGGATTTGAGACTGTGCCAGAAGCAGAGAAGGAATCACGAGGTACTAGGTGCCTTTCAGTCTCTGTGGGCTAGCCAATTGATGCCTTCGCAGTGGCTGGAGTCTTCAGCAATGTTGCAGCCTCGTACGACACCATGAACGACTTCATGTCTCTTGGTATTCACCGATTATGGAAGTACGTACTTCTTGAACTTGACACCTTCTCAAGAACCCAATTCTAATAACCTTCAGAGACCACTTCGTCCGAAGCCTCAACCCCGGCTCCTCCTCGACCGTCGATTCACCAGGCTGGAAAATGCTCGACATTGCAGGCGGCACAGGAGATATTGCCTTCCGGCTCCTCGACCACGCAACAGACATCAACAACTCCCCTAGTTCCACAATCATAATTTCCGATATAAACCCATCCATGCTTGCCGAAGGCAAGAAACGCTCTCTCGCAACGTCCTACGCCAACTCGCCCCGTCTTTCCTTCCTGGTGGCCAACGCAGAAGATCTCAATACCATAGAATCAAACAGTGTAGACCTCTACACGGTGGCTTTCGGGATACGCAATTTTACAAACAAAGAGAAGGCATTGAGGGAGGCGTATAGGGTACTGAAGCCGGGAGGCGTGTTTGCATGTTTAGAGTTTAGTGGGGTGACGAATTCGCTTTTTGATGCGGTGTACAAGAGGTGGAGCTTTAGTGCCATTCCGTTGATAGGGCAGCTGGTTGCTGGAGATAGGGCGAGTTACCAATATCTGGTTGAGAGCATCGAGAAATTTCCAAAGCAGGAGGAATTTAGAGATATGATCAAGGATGCAGGTTTTATGGTCCCTGGAAAGGGGTGGGAAGACTTGACGGGTGGAATAGCGGCTATTCACAAGGGCATTAAACCCGTTGAGAAGCCGTAAATCGGACTGTGATTATAAATGTGTAATATAAATATAGTGTATCATAGATCATAGCATGCGGAAAGAATGTCATGACTCACGGCTTCAGAAGAACGGATTAAATTACAAAGGGATTTGTAGTATTTTTCTATGCTGCCAACACCATCGCCAGCCAGCGTTTTGTCTTCTGGCGGAACTAGAATACACGCAACGCTATTGGGAATGATGCAATAAAGGGGGATCAAAGTACACAGAGAAGAAAGAGCTATCATCGCTCACATGTAGTGAAGCATAGCTGATTTAACTCCGCCTCCATCCCAGATCGCAGATACCAGGTAACAAGCCGAGAAAAGGAATGGCCTTCGATATCTCCAGTTCACAAAAACGTGACCATTAAGAAGATGTACTAGAAGGCGACTTTTGGCGGAACGCAAGGGAATAGACTTGACAAGGGAACTTTAAGAGTCGGTTGTTGCAGGAGTTGCGTTCGATGGTGCCGGTGATGAATCGTTCTTGAAGCCTCGGCCGCGTCCTCGTCCACGCTCTCCACCCCGTCCTCTTGGTGCACCGCCACGACCTCCTCGGCCTCCGCGACCACCTTCACTATCACTAGCTCCCCCGCTTCGATATCCGCCTTGAGGAGTACTGGAGTTGTTGCCGCCTCTGCTGCTGCCCCAGTTTCCGGCTCCGCCACGGCTGCCACCAAACGATTTGTTCTCTCTTGGCTGGAAGATCTTTACAAGTGGTCGGCTGCGGTCCTCTCCAGTTCTCGATTTTACATCTTCTGGGAGGCTCTGGAGAACAGCATCTCGCTCCTCAATTGTCTTGAAGTGTGCTACCTTGTTTGATTGACCCCACTTCTCGATCTTGAGAATCTTCTCCTTGTCTTCGTCCTTGAACAGCTCCCGAACAGCCTCGTCTGAGGTAACGTTCATGACAAAGAGACCAATAATAGGTTCAACGGGAGTTTTCGAGACAGGTGAAGAAGCCTCGGCCCCGTTAGTACCATTTGTCGCTGCAGGTATGCCGACTTTCTCGCTCTCCTTCTTCTCTGGTCCAGGAAGGTTCACCACGTTGGTTTGCGGTTGGGGTGTTGCGGGCTGTTGCGGCGCAGGTGACTCGGGCTTTGCCTCGGAAGATGAGGGTCCTCGTGGAGCTTGTTGCTGGTTCGGACGTTGTTGGCCCTGGCCAAATAGCTGTTGACCAGATGGTTGGGCGGCGGGTGCGCGTTGGGCAGGACCAGTTGGGGTAGAGGCGACAAGGGTATTGCTTGCGCCAGGGGTTCCTGATCCAGTTGCAGGAGCTTGGGCAGGTTGATTGATATGGCCCGGATGTTGCTTGGCGCCTCGGTGTGCAAAGTTGAAGCCTTGAGCTCTCATCTCGGTACCAATACGACCATCTTGAACCTCAAGAACCAACCATCCGAATGCAGCATCTGCCAAGTTGAAGTTCCACATATTCTTGAATGCGCTTTCATCAACCTGACCAACTCCCCCTGCATTAGCTCCGCCCACGGGACCACCGAAAGGATTTCCACCCAGTGCAGTGCTTGGCATCTTATCGACTATGCCCAACGCATTTTGGAGGAGGTTTTGTTGTGCCTCGTTCTGCGAAATTGCCGGCTGGACCTCTCCCTTGACAGTCTCCCAGACATCGTTAAAGGAGGCCTTCGATGCAGCAAGCTTTCCACGGTAGTGGTCTAAGGTAGGGTTGACACTGAACTCGTTGTAGGAGCTGCCATATCGGAAATGAAGTCCAGCGGAAATCGAGAAATCAGCTTTCAGCGTAACGGAAAGCTGGTTCAAGATACCTTCGCGAGCCGGAGAGGCATGGGTGATGAAAATACGTGTCTCCGTAGGGTCGTAGACGCGATTCGCAGTATCCACCAACTCTCCCATTTGCAATAGGGTGGTCCACATGGTTCCTTGCCCACCAGCAATGGTTGTTCGGCCCTCACCGTTATCGAAGAGCTTGTGCATAACCACAGCACCACCCAAACCGAGGAGGCGCAACTTTACACCGCCAATCTCCAGCAACATCGATCGAGCCTCATCAATAATATGTAGCTTTTCCACCTTGTATTCACCAGATCGGAACTTTTCCAAAACCCGTACATCTTCACAAGCACCCCAGACAGTATAGACCGGAACGTCAAGCTTCAGGCTGCCGTCAAGAAATTGTGGAAGTTCAGAGAGAGGAAGATCGCTGGGATTGAATCGCTGCTTTACTGGGCCACCAGGTGCACTGATTGCCTTCTTCGTCGATTCTGAGATGAGGGGAGAATACTGAGCAACATGTTTTAGGGTCCTGAGAAGGACGGGTTAGCACGTGGCGAAAGGTGAATAAGAAATCTCTGAAATTCTCACTTTTCCGCAATACGATCCAGTGAGGTCGCATCGTAGAAACCAAAGTCTCCAGTATGGATAATGTGGTCGGCGCGGGCTTGCTTTGCAAGATCGTTGAGGGATCTGAGGTTTCCTTCACACTGTCAGCTTAAGCTTCACACGAGGCTTACGACCTGTTTTACCTCGGACATCTGCAATACACAGCACTCTAACACCTCCGGTTTGTATGATGCGACCGTTATTGGGAAGTAATGGAGTAGCTCCGGGTGGCAAGCCAGTGTGTCCTCCAGCGGCTCCATTTGGAAGATAACCAGGGTTTTGGTTGAAGTGACGCGGTTGCTGAAGCATCATCATCATTAGCTTGATTGTCATCAATGTAGATAAGTGCAGTGACAGGATAAGATCGGTGACGGCATGCGCGTGGAACTCTGTTTGAGATGGACATTGATTGTGGGAGGAGAGAAAGCGAGGTGTTGACGAGTTTGGGGAAAACTTACAGCCATAATCTTAGGATCGTTGAAAGGCCAGGGAAAATTGGTATCAAGTGCAGGATTCTATGCGCTCAAATAAGAAGGAGAGTGGCGTCGAGAAGGGAGGTCGTGGGCTAGGGAGGAGAATCGATGTCAAATGTTTCTTTTCCTTCCCAGAACGCTGAGCCAAATCGCGGTTGCCAAAATCAGAGCTTGAAACGACCACTGGCCGCGTCTGTCATTGGCTCGCTTCAGGCGCTAAAATAGCCTGGTCACGTTCTCCCCCCTTTACACTTCGTATCTTCACCACATCTTGCCTTGAACCTCGACATCGACCAGTGGAAGAAACAGCACTTGGGCTCTTGAAGTTCTCGTCAGCTTTGTCCAAAGCTGCAATCTGTGTCAGTTGCAAGCTTGACGCACACGAGGTTCCCTCAAACACCTCATGCTCTTCCCACCTCAAGCACACACCATCTGATCCAATAACATCTACGATTCACATAAGGCTTTACATCTACAGCGCAGTCTTCGCAGCCTTTCTGCACTGTCTATAAACTTAGAGTATGACAAGAAGAGGCACCGATATCGGAAGACCCTGAGATGGTGCGCATCTATCTCTCTGAACCTCAATTTACGAGATTGGATTGACCATTGTCAATTTCAAACCTCAGAGGCTGAGTACAATTCACTCTCAAATTGATTGCAGATGATTTCCATCTTCAACTCCAACCCTCTCGAGTCTTTCTTGCTCTCTCCGTCGATCTCGTCCCACTACTTCTGCACACCCCCAACCCCTCGTTCAGGTTCGACATTTCACCTCTTCAACAATCAACAATTATCACTCAACCTCGCTTGGACAACTGCAATTAAGACTCTATCGCCATTGATAGCAGAGTTCTCAATCAAGAGTCACTCAGCACTGTGATCGTTGTTCCTTTTCGATTCGTTCACTACTTGGAATCAGTTGACGCCGTCCCAACTTCGTCGTCACCGCCTCGCCACACATGCCGTCTCCTTTCTAGAAAGTCAGACCCTTCAACGTCAAGCATGGCGCCAAGAATGTTAAAAATATTAGTTCTGAATTAATTTCATCTCCACCAGAGTTCAAACGATTTTGTTGGCCCCTATTTCTCAGAATTTTGCTAATTTTCTTATCCCATTCCTTCTCATGTTATATGTGGACCATTTACTGACAGGTTTCGGGCCACTCGGAAGAGATATTGTTCACATCAAAGTCGGCGAGGAAGAGCAAGATTTCGATATTCACAAAGAGCTCACCTCCCTATTGCTCTCCTTACTTCAGAGTTGCTTTAGGCTCGGGATTCGAAGAGGCCAAGACCGGTGTTATGAAGCTTCCCAAAACAGACGCCACGTTTTTCGAAATCTTCTATGGATGGCTTTACAGGCGGAAACTATGGAGCAAAGATGCCAAAGAAGAAGACTTAGTCAAGCTCTATGTTTTTGCCGACATGCCGAGGATTCCTTCTTTGCAAAAGCCAGGCATTGAAAACAGTCCACAAGATATCAGATATCAACAACAACTTCCCCTATTCCATGATGGGCCATGTCTGGGAAAACACAGTCTCAACAAGCCCTCTCCGCCGGTACTTCCTTGGCCAAATTATTTGAGAATCTGCACTTGAGTCGTTGGACACATGTGAAGAGGAATTCTCTGCTGAAGTGCAAATGGAAATCAACAAAGCCATAAACCGGGCCTTGGATGCTCTGATCAAACCTCCCACAAAGTTCCTCTTCTCGCCACTCAATAAGATGCGAGATTACTATGTCAGCCAAGGGGAAAGCTCAACCACCAGTTCGGGTAATCGAAACATCACCGGACCTCTTCCTCTCTTACGCTCTTACTTGTCTCTTGCTGAACGAACAGCGAGCACAGATCGGCTCAAGATCGGTTATGAGTATACCCTTTCGTCGCAGCATCCAGTCAATTTATTGGAGATGGTTTCCTCTGATTCATTTATGAACATTCACGACCATGGTCGGGGTACCAAAATCTCAGGAATGCCTTTCATTAGGCCAAAAATACAATCAGATAAGCAACATATTGTGCTTGTTCCAGTTCCCATGGGATTAGGTAAATCATTGCTATGGAACAGAGAAGAGATGGGTATCATTAATTACAAATTCTACGTCCTCCCAAAGCTTGTATGTCCCTTTCCTTCTTCCCACTGTCGACCATGTCATCCCTCAATTTGAGTTCGTAGTTCGTCTCCAAATCATTACCGCCGCGATCAACGCACAAGCCGTAGCCCCTAACGCAACATACATCCCCGTCCTATCCGGCGGCTCCTCTTCGCTCTTTGGAAATGCGGTACTAGGATTCGTGGCTGCTTCTGCCAGGGTAACAAACAGCTCACTAATGCTATTCCACGTCACGCTAACATGCAGTGGAGAATTCATATTCAAAGCCATAGTGTATTCATCTGGCTGTTTTTCTGACCTTTGCGTGGTTTTATCTTGGTCTGCCTTCAGTGCTGTGTAAATGGCCGGTAGCTCGTCGAGTTGGGGAAAGCGTTCTCTGAGCGATACGATGTGGGAGAAAGAGTCGGGGTCTGAGGAGTCATAGGTGTAGCATATTAAGTCGCAAGCATCTAATTTTGCTTGGTTTTCGAGAATGGCAGACTCGAGTTCCCCGAGTTCTTCGAGAATGAGGTAGCACTGTTTGCCGCCTTGCAGTTCGACGCTGTTGACCGCTGTGCGGGGCTTGATTGAAGGTCGATACAGGGAATCAAACGGCCTATTGAGGAAAGCATCTAAAAGTGATGATTTGCCAGAGGAAGGAGCACCAAGGACATAGCACAGGACTACGTTCCGCTCTACACGTCCTGGCCGCCGGCGCCGTTTTCGTGGCTTGGTTATTTTCAGTGCAGAAGTTGTGGAATTTCGAGGTCCTCCAGTTGCTTCAAATCCCAGATATGCAAGATACGAGAGTGTGGTACTGGGTGACACGAAGGTGGTCATAGACCATTGAGCAAGCCAGCCTTGAAGTGTGATATGACCAGCTTCGTTTCGAACAGTTGAAGAAGGAAAAGAGGTCTCAAGCCAGAACGGCGGTTGACCAGGAGTAGGTGCAAAGAGGGCATCCAACTCAGAATCATTCAGGCCGCCGTCGTTGTCCTTATCAAACAACAAGAAGAGATCCACGAAGAAGCGGTATCCTGCAGGACTGAGTTCTGCTGAGCTGTTTTCTGGAATCTCAAATTTAGGATGTAGAAAGCTGTCTTTCAAGCTTAAGCTATCCGTATAATGAAACTTCCTCAGAATGATCCATATCGTTTCGTGTCTGCCTTTCTCTGCAAATATCTTGTTGAGATGGATAAAACCCTTTTGGTCTATCCCGTTTTCGACATCGGAGGCTGCCAGGGACTTGCTTATTGAAAGTTTGATATTATCCAAGTCGTCAGCGGACAATGGCTTCTCAAAGCATTTTGCCTGAAAATCGTGCATTTCCTGATCATTCAAACATCCATCTTGGTCCTTATCACACAGATAGAATATCCTCTTCAAGGCAGCCACAGCCGCCGGCTTCAAGTTCCCCTCCTTCGAATCGAACAGAGGCGCGATTGGGTGTGTCACCGCTTTCTGGCAGAGAAAGAAGACCTCATTGACATTGTGGTGCTCCCTTGCGCTGGTCCGTATGCATGAATCAATCTCTTTGAATTCTGCCATAACGGGTAGCATCTCATCCTCCACCACTTGTGCCGTATTCCCATTTGTTGTCAAGTCCGATTTGTTTGCACATAGTACCACCGGTACATTCACCCCCAGAGAGCGGAAGTATGGCATCCAAAACAGGGCCACTCGTTCATAACTGTAGTGGTCCGAGTAGACGAGTAGTATAACATTCGACTTTCGGATTTCCTTTCGCAGAGTATTCCGCTCTTGGGGTAACGCAGAGGTATCGACGATGGTAGTTGTGACGTTCTCCGGCGTCCCAATGCTGGGTGGTATCGTTATTTGAGGGAGGACGGACTGAATCTTGTTTGTCACGAAGACATCCTTGACCAGCGAAGTGATCAAACTTGACTTTCCGGTAGCTTCATCCCCGCAAACGCATATCCGTACTGATCAATGTCAGTTCCTTCCACGCACAGGGGGAGGGGGAGGTCGGAGATAGCTACCTGCCGACATGTTGAAGCTGTTTCAGCCTTGCAAGGCGCGGCTATTGACTCTCCATCATCAATCAAGGGGGGACAGAAGGTCAAGGTTTATTATGCTGTAAGCTCGAGATGTTCCGGCGTTTACTCGTTAGCTTTGGCACGCCGCGGTTGAGTGCCGCAGCTGATCGTCTGATGTATCGTTTCCCAATGTTCCACCGCTACTTTACATGCTTGCTTTCGGCTCTCGGGCCACGGAAATCCGCTGTCATTTAGGCGCGCCATCCCCGCTGTACTGGGAAAAGGGTGCATCCTCGGCGGCGATCCATCTCAGTCCTTGCCTCCCTCTCCATTTTGTCTAAATGCCCTCCTTTATTGAGCATTTTTCCAATTTGCCTTTGCATCTTTCTTGAAGCAAATCCGTCGCCATCGGCAGAAAGTCCTCTGTTCAGTCTTTCTTACCCCCACGAATTCCAAGACAGGCTTCAGTTACCCCACACTTCTGTACCTGCAGGCCATTCAGCAGCTCCGTCGCTCGCGATTGCATTGCGCTCCCAAGACATTTTGGATAGCTATTTATCATTTCAGTATCTTTAACGAGCCATCTGAAGTTGGTCTGCACTCGGCAGACCCCACGAATACGCCATGTTGTATGTGTCTGCCACTTGCGCACCTCCTGCCGTACTGGCTCGCGGATCGCTGATAAGATTCACTGAACAGTGTCCTACCACCACCTCCCAGATACCCTTCCCAAGCTGCGTATAATCTTGCTGTGGCCAATGGACAAGCTGCGCCCATGATTGAAACCAACAATATCTTGACGCACCCTACGGGGCCAGAATACCAGCTGGTGGTGGGCGAAGGTTAGACTTTGCCGCATATCCCCCTTTCCGACAGATCTGAAGACAAAGGCAGGCACATATATTCTCAAGGAGGATCTCCACCTAGCAACCCCCCCACCACACCCCTCTGAAGCTCCAGTCATCAATCCGAATCCTCTTGCGACCACTCCTCAGCCGGCTACAGCAGGAACCAAACTCTCATTGTTGTCGTTTAGTTCCCGGAGTTCAGCCCCACTCCTTTACAAGGTTGATACTAACAGGAGTATAAGATCCGGGGGTCTTCAAAGCAGTATACAGGAGCATCCCAGTGAAGGGCGGCCGTCTGGCGACTTGGTCCCTGGAAGCAGTGATGGGGGAGGGACATCAATGACTGGCAGTGCGAGGGCACCCCTCTCAATCGGTTCCGCTCCAGCATTCGGGGAAGGCAATTCTATGCTTTCTGCTCCGGCGACAAGCAAAGATGCAGGAAAGCGGCGCAAACCCAAAAACAACATCGCCAAGAGCAATTCGTCATTCATATCAAGGTGCATAGTGCACGAGAACTTGACAAAAAGGCTACAAGATAGACCGGCAGATGGTTATTTTGCCTTTGCGAACATAAATCGTGCTTTCCAATGGCTTGACCTGTCATCCCCTCAAAAGGTATGAAAGCAGATATTTATGACCTTGAGCAACAGCTGATATGCAATATAGGCAGAACATCTCACCAAGATCCTGTTCACTAAAGGGCATTGTCTTTGTCATGATATAAACCAATCCACTAAAGCGTCAAATCATATTGATCTTATCATGGGGTTTTCTACTGGAGAAATCATTTGGTTTGAACCCATAAGTCAGAAATACACACGCTTGAACAAAAATGTGGGTGAAATATTGTTCATGGTTTGTTCAGATATTAACTCTCTGTAAGGGAATAATTAACGCTACTCCTGTCTCCGAGATTCGTTGGATACCAGGATCTGAGAACCTATTTCTCGCTGCACATATGGATGGGTCTCTGGTCGTATATGACAAAGAGAAAGATGATGCTGCATTTTTACCAGAAGAGAATGGCACACATACGAATGGAGATTCGGAGAAGAGTAACGGAAGCGGGGAACACTCGGCGAAGCTTCATGTGGACAAATCTGTCCACTCCAAAAATCAGAAGTTCAATCCTATCTCCTTCTGGAAGTTATCAAACCAGCGCATCAATGCCTTCGCCTTCTCTCCAGACAACCGACATTTGGCTGTAGTTTCCGAGGATGGAACGCTGCGCATCATCGACTATCTCAAGGAACAGTAAGCAGTCTCCTTTGACTGATATGTTGTCCTGGAACTAACATTATCAGACTCTTGGATCTTTATGCGAGTTACTACGGTGGCTTCCTGTGTGTCTGCTGGTCACCAGATGGCAAGTATGTCCTCACCGGTGGTCAGGATGACCTAGTCTCTATCTGGTCCGTTGCCGAGTCTACAATCGTTGCACGTTGCCAAGGTCATCAATCCTGGGTTACTGCTGTTTGCTTTGATCCGTGGCGTTGCGATGACCGAAACTATCGCTTCGGGAGCGTTGGTGAAGATTGCCGACTCCTGCTTTGGGATTTTAGTGTAGGGATGCTTCATCGTCCAAAAGCAGTAAGTATCAGATCTATAAGCAAAGAGAGAGTGAAGCTCTGACAACGTCGGGAAAGTCTTCTGTGAGGCAAAGGGGAAGCATATCGTCACGTTTCGCGAGTCCACTACAAAGAGCGGAGACACAGACTACCTCGGCAAGCAGGCTGAGGTCAAACTCCAGCCCCTCTTATGAGAGTGATGAGGATCACACAGTTGAGCACCCTGTCGAACCGAGGGCTACAACAGCTATGCTGCCACCAGTTATGGTACAGGTTTATTCCAATCTAATGAAAGGGATGCTAGGAGTGGTTACTAACTGAATGTAGTCCAAAGTCATAGACGCAGACCCACTATGCTGGGTGGAGTTCACGGAGGAATCTATCATTACAAGCTGTAAGAGTGGTAAGTCATTCAAATGTTGATTGTATCTGTGGCAAAAGTGCTAACAATATGAAGGCCACATTCGCACATGGGACCGGCCTCGAGATACTACCGGCAGTAAGAGCGATACTACGTTAGCATCTGCCTGAGCGCAAGAACTTACTTGTCTAGTCTCATAAGAACGCAAAATATTTGCGAAACGATGAAGGATGCAAGATGATGAAGGAGGCAATGCTTTCGTATACCTTCAAAAGCACGTCCTGCATATTCGGTCTTGATATTTATCGTATGCCTTGTAGGCAAGGGCATGAATTCATTCAGTTACGAGACGATACAAACTCCAACCGTGTGACCTGTTGTGGTTCTGAGGCTTTATTTCTGTTCAGCTTCTCTGGTATGAAAGAATAGCTCAACAGTCGGTAGATGAGACTCATCGCTCGCAGAGTATAAACTCGTCTCACAATTTCCGTCAATGTGTGTTGCTTGTTTAGACACTCGACAGGTCCCTCGTAATTACTTCATGCTGTCTCACCCTCTCTCTTGAGTAAGCGCCAACATTTGCCTCTAAGTCGAGATCGAGATGACCAGTGTCTCACGGGCAAACCCCACTTTCCGTTCTTCCGGGAAGGAAATCGAGTCTGGATTTCTAATGTAGACCCGATAGCGGACAATTATGACTCTAATTTGGTGCACTTGAAGATGTTTGTCAACTTCTGGCTGGTTGGATTCCCAAAACTATTGAGTCGGTTTTCACCCATGCCGTATTCCCCGCCGGTTAAATTCGATTCTCGACCTCTCCCCTTTATCGTTCCACCAGCTGACTCGACCACGTCTCACACGACTTAGCTTACTTCCAAAGATGGGGGCTCTACAGTAGCTATTAAATCTTAGTTTCTCCCACACTGGTCTGTGTATCCTTCTTTCATCAAAATCCAAACACGGAGATAAATCAAGATGCCAGGCGTCATCGAAAACTCGGATTTTACCCTCACCGAGGAACAGAAGGCTCATTTCCTCGAGCATGGCTACGTGAAAGTTCCCCAATGCTTTACTCGAGAGCAAGCGACAGAGTTCACAGCCAAGATGTGGGCGAGACTCGGCATGGATCCGGACGACAAGAGCACTTGGACGGTGGAAAAACATAACATGCCCTGGCACCATCACGTTCCCGTCGAAGAGTTTTCTCCTAAGGCGTTGTCTGCCATGTGTCAGCTTCTTGGTGGAGAAGACAGGATTTCAGATGAAATTTTCTGGGGAGATGGATTTATCGTTAATTTGGGTGCGCCGGAATATAAGCCCGAAGATGAACTGAATTTGAGAAGTAAAAGCCAAATCAAAATTCATAGGCCAATTGTTCAAGCACTGACATTAGTTAGATTTGGAGAATTGGCACAATGATGGAGACTTCTTCATACATTTTCTAGACAGTCCCGAGCAGGCATTGCTGGTCATCCCTCTGTGGAGTGACATTGAAACAAAAGGTGGCGGGACTGCAGTGTGTGGAGAGGGCATCAAACACATTGCCAAGCATTTGGTACGTTGACAGCGTTGAATTATCCAGATTGGCCCCCTAATCTAAAAATAGTATGAACACCCAGAAGGTACGACGCCTTGGATGAGATCCTTGCATGATCCAACACATGCAAGGTATGAGGGCCGAGAATTTTGGCAGGAAATTGCTTGGAACGCTTCAAAGACCAGGGACGAAAGTTTTCATGAAGCAACAGGAGAAGTCGGAGATGTCTTCCTCTTGCATCCACTAATGCTTCATTCTGCCTCGAGGAATTTGTTGCGGAAGGTACGCATCATTACCAATCCTCCAGTGTCTCTCAAAGAACCGTTTTGCTTTGATAGGGCAGACCCGAAGGACTATTCCTTGGTAGAGCAAAAGACTTTGAATGATTTAGGGATGCCGAATGGGATTCCTGGCTGGAACATTACAAACCCAAGAGGTCCGTGGCGGTCAAATAGAACCAAGAAGCTGGAGGAATTGAGGAAGAAAGAACTTGAGAGACTGAATGGTCAGCCTTCGGTCGTGGAGTCATATTAGTAGACTGGACCTGGTGTTATGTCTGTAAGGGAACAAAGCTGTATTTCGAACATAGCGAAGTCCTATCAAACTCCTTTCACTTCAAGTCTCAACCTTGTGCTTAAACTTCCAAGCAGGATCCGGTAAAGGCCCGCATATTCTGGGCTTAAATCCTATCAAACTTTCGAATATGTGATGGCTATAAACGCCCAGCGAACGATTCCCAAAACTTGACTTGATCCAATCCTGTTTGATTTCGCCTGTCTGACATTGAAACCTCTCCTCGATCCTTTGGGGAAAGAGACTTCAAGCGAAGTGTTCGGGTGCGAGTTCAGGTCCATTACGAGTACCCAAGACTAAGAACAGCGGTGCGTTCTGCAGCATCTTGAACGTGATTTAACAATCATGACAGCTCCTTCAGACTTTGACGTTCTGGGATGACAGGAAGCACTGGTTGGAGAAATGTAGACAGCAAATTTGCCGGGTGGGCAGTCTTACTTTGCTAGGTAGGAGCGAGGTAATTGTATACTGATTTGAGTTGCCAGTATCCCACAAAAAGCCTTTGATTATCAGCCGAAGTCTGTTGGTTTTATCCGAATCTGAGGTTGTTGATGATGCGCCCCGCTCCCCAACAAGGTCTAGCTTCTTCAAGCCATTCCAGGACTAGCTGCTTGCTAATCCCTGGACAATCGGCGGCAACGAATGACGACCAGGGACGGACGTCAACTCCTCGACATTTTCTAAACCACAAATGCCATGATTCTCCGGGACTGTTGACATGGCTTTGAGTTCGGTAAGCTGCGAACACTGAAAAGACACTGAGAAAAGAAGGTACTAAAAGCTCGCAGTGGAAAACATTCGATTTCTTCGAGGTCAGCCCAGTCAACCCGCCAGACGATGAGAGCAAGGCCTTCTTCGAGAATAACGAAATCAGCTGCGTATGCTCTGGGTCGGAGAATCTGTTCCTTGGGAGCTACGATGGCATCGTGCGAATTCTCTCATCATCTTTCAAGATCCTGCGAACTTTCCAGGCACACGACATTGGATCGATAACACATATGAAACAGGTGGAGGGAACTTCATTACTGGTTACAATAGCTGTGCGTATGGAACTGGGGGAATTTCAGTGCTCAATGTGTATAGGAAGACATATCCAACGAACCAGTCTTAAAAGTGTGGGCTCTGGACAAGCCGGTGAAGAAGACAGGTTTACCAACTTGCCAGTCGACACTGAGCATTCAGAATGGCCGCAAGCCGTTCCCAGTAGGTCCTTACTATGGCTCTGGACTGCGTGTGTTATTCAAGCCGCTAATGCCTCTTCAGATATCTGCATTTACAGCCCTTGATGATCTTTCTCAACTCGCTGTAGGCTTTGCAAATGGTTCGGTTACGGTGGTACGCGGGGATCTTGTACACGATAGAGGAGCGAAGCAGCGGACCGTTTACGAATCCGAAGAGCCCATCACAGGTGTGGAGTTTCGAGACGAGTCTAGGGTTATTACTCTCTATGTTTCAACGACATCACGCATTCTGAAGCTTGTGATATCTGGGAAGGGCCAAGGACAAGGCGCCCGCGCTATAGAAGACGCAGGTTGTGCTGTGGGCTGTATGACCCTCGACGGAAAAAACGGTGATATTATTGTTGTTCGGGATGATGCTGTCTACTACTACGGGATTGATGGGCGGGGCCCATGCTATGCTTATGATGGCTCGAAAAGCTTGGTATCGGTCTTTGGGGACTATATTGTCCTGGTCTCTCCTCCTGCATCCACAACTTCTTCGACAAAGTCGAACACCCTCCGGCGGTTTGGTGGCGCTCAAGCTGATGTGCTTTTCAATACTTCGACTTTCACAATTCTAGACACGAGTCTGCACTTTATTGCCCATTCGGAATCCTTGGTCTCCCAAGTCAAGACGCTGTTCTCCATTTGGGGCGATCTCTTTGCACTTACACAAGATGGCAAGGTGAAACACTCCTCATCTGAATGATGCGTATGGCGATTAACATGTAGATCAGATCTACCGCTATCACGAGAGATCCCTCCAACAGAGACTGGAGATCATGTATCAGCGCAACATGTTTGTTGCTGCAATAAATCTGGCCCAGAAATCTGGTATGGATGTACAACAGCAGAATGTCATCTTCCGAAAATATGGAGACTATCAGTACCAGAGGCAAGACTATGATGGTGCCATGCAACAATATCTGAAAGCAATTGATAACACTGAGCCGTCCCAGGTGATACGAAAGGTATGTTCTTACAGCATGCTTGGAAATGCATGCTAATCGCACCAGTTCCTGGACACTCAACGAATCCACAATCTCATCGAGTATCTAGAGGAATTGCACGAACACCACAAAGCTACGGCAGACCATACTACCCTCCTGTTAAATTGCTATGCAAAGTTGAAAGACATTGAGAAGCTGGAGAGATTCATCAAATCACCTGGTGATCTCAAGTTTGACCTCGACACGGCTATCTCGATGTGTAGACAAGGAGGCTACTATGAGCAAGCCGCTTACCTAGCCACCAAACACGGCGAGCATGAGCTTGTGGTTGATATCTTGATTGAGGACTCGAAAAAATATGCAGAGGCACTCCAATATATCTGGCATCTAGAGCCAGAAGCTGTAAGTGAGCATCTACGTAGTTTTGAATATACTACTGATCTTAGTCTAGGCATATCCGAATTTGATGAAGTACGCAAGAGTTCTTTTGGAAAATTGTCCAAATGAATCGACACAACTTTTTATTGAATATTTCACTGGGCAGTATCAGCAAAAGAAAGATGTAGTCGTCACACAAGTTGTTGCGCAACAACCGGGCTACGCTGCTGGAGCTGTTAACGCAGTCCAAAATTTGAAGGATCTTCTTCCACTTCCCTATATGAACCCTTCCGCTGTCACATCTCCCGCTACACAAGGCAATGTCGCCGTGGCGATCAGCGATGGTCAACTCATCGAAAACCCCGATCAATTAGCCGCACCATCATATACCCCTCCACAACCTCGGACAGCATTTTCGTCGTTCGTGGATCACCCGGGCGAGTTTATAGTCTTCTTGGAAGCATGTTTGAAGGGAAAAGATCTCAAAGAGCGCGACAAGATTGACCTCTACACCACCCTTTTCGAAATGTATTTGCACAAGTCAAACGAAAAGAGAGGCGCGAATCGGGAAGAATGGGAAGCGAAGGCCAAGAAACTCATCGAAGGAAAGGATATCCCGATCGACACATCGAACGTGCTCTTGCTATCTCATCTCTCCGACTTCCGTGACGGAACCACCCTCGTCCGCGAGCAAGCTGGACTACGATTCGATATTTTCCGATCTTATACATCTGCCAAAGACACTAGAGGAGCTATCAAAGCGCTGAAGAAATATGGTCCAGAAGAACCTCAGCTCTACCCTGCAGCACTATCATATTTCACATCAGATCCGAAGATCCTTGAAGAAGCTGGCGATGAACTGGACGCTGTTCTTGAGAAGATCGATGAAGATGGCTTGATGGCTCCCTTGCAAGTCATTCAGACTCTCAGTACGAATGCGGTGGCCACAATGGGAATGGTGAAAACTTATCTTCAGCAAACCATTGAGCGCGAACGGAAAGAAATCGCTTCAAATCGACGACTCATCTCTTCCTATCGCAACGAAACCACAGACAAACGGCAGGAAATGGCGGACCTGAGCAGCAAACCGCAGACATTCAACAACACCCGATGTGCGTTCTGCGGCGCACCGCTGACTTTGCCAACGGTGCACTTTATGTGCAAACACAGTTTCCATCAGGGATGCTTGAATATGGAGGTTGGAGAGAACGGCCAGGTCGAAGGAGCTTGCACCGTTTGCAAGAAGGACAATGATACGATCCGGGCGATTAGGAAGGCGCAAGATGAGAGTGCTGATAGGCATGATATGTTCTTGGATGCATTGGCACGGAGTCACGATAAATTCTCCACGATCAGCGAGTTCTTTGGGAGAGGCGTAATGGAGGTCCCATCTGTAGACTGAGAGTAGGTACGAAACCTAAATAATAAACCTCATGACTGTCGCCGACCGCTTCACTTGAACTGAGTTCGACCCCCCCCCCCCCCCCCCCCCCCCCCCCTCCCAATCTGCCGCTTCATTTACGGATCAAGCGGGAATATACCCCAAAGGGAAGCCACATAATCCCGAAGATCCGGAGACGATCTCTTAGGGAAGGTATCTCTTTTTGTTGCAAGTCTTCTTTTTGCGCCACTTCGTCATATTCAATTCTGTCAGCGGAAGCGTTCTTAGGTCCCGCGTTGGCGCCGGCACTTACGCCAACATGCATGAGTTTTCCACCAGCTAAAAGCTTACTATTCTAGGAATTGAGGCCTTGCTTAATGTATTTGAACTTTTCCATTGAATTCCGGCCATCTATGGCATCCTGAAGCGTTTCAAAAGCTTCAAATTGTGCAAATCGTAGGGATATTCAAAAGTGGTTGACCTATGCTCACGTGATCAATATCGACCTTGCCATGGTAACTTTCCCTTTGCGACCCCGTCATGAATATAAGTCGGTACAAGGTGTCTACTGGTTTTCTTTCTTTCCAATTGTCTTGTGACAACTCGAGCTTGCTGAGAATCGCGGTGCGGCTTCCTCGCACAAATTCATTTTCTACTATGCGTAGTGACGGTACCACAATTTAGCTCCTATAGTTGAGATACAGTCGGTATCTAAATGTTAGATTTAGAATATCGTATAAGGGTGCTGATTCAGACTGGGTAAAGAGATGTATAAGAAGACTTGAGATTGTCATCACTGAGGAGCATCAAATTCACTTCACCACTTACAACATCCTTGCAGCCCTTGCTTGCACTTGAGCTCTCGTGAAAGACTTCTACACATCTCTATTGTTCGAATACAAACACAAGTCTCTTCCTCCCATAGCGGATCTCCGGGAATTGATAGTTCCCTGTACCGCGAGAGGAAAGCTTTTACATACAACCACTCCTCTTACATTCCTTCGACACTCATCGCTTCAAAAGAACTTTCAAATATATCGCCAAGTCGAAGAGAAACGTAATTCCTTTGCTCTGTACGACAACAGATCTTCGACAAACGACATTCCTTTACACTTCACCAAAAAGTCTTTTATCCTCTCCTGACAGGCAAGCTCGCCAAATAGCATTTTCCAAAAATCCGAGACAAGACTCAGCCGATGCTCTCAAGCAACACTACAACTTCTTAACAGCTTAACGGCTTAACAGCAATCAATAAAATGAACTTCCTCACTTCAAACTTCACCACTACAACTTCAGCACAAACTCAACTACTGGAAACAATCCTGCAAATGCACCCAATCGACACAACATTCTTCACCCCACAGACCTTAACCTACGCAACCATCGCCACGATCTGGTGGTTGAGGATCGTGTGCTGGTATATAACTACCGATGATGGGGGAGTGGTGTTCCAGAGGATATTGGCAGCGGAGGCGGAGGGGGAGCGGGAAGTGATTGGGGAGGTGGAGATGGGAGCGACGGAGATGGCGGTGTGTGGATGGGTGATGGCGGTTTTAGCTTGTGCTTGGGGGTTGGGTTTGGTTGGTTAGGGGGGGTAATGAAGAGATTATGGATAGTGGTGGATTTTGGTGAGCGGGTACAAAAGGGGAATTAAAGGGAGTTGGTGGGATTCGATTAGAAGACGGGATTGATACAATCGAAACTTCAGAGATGGAGGGTTGGTTACTAGAAAAGACTGGTGTTGGATGATGGACGAATGGATGGAGGAAAATGAAAGACTATATAGAAATGAATCAAGTATTCTTTGACAAACACTCGACTTTTGGTGAGCGGCGCTGAGGCCACCTGGTCGGCGTTATTGTTAGCTCAAGCTCGACTACTCTCGTGTAGCGCAGATGAGTTCTTTTTGAAAGAGTCAGAAGCCTATTGCTTGGGCCAAGAAGTGTTGTTCCATGTGGTGGTAATGGAGCAGACATCTTCTCTCATACATAAATAGTCTCGATGGTTTTGAGAATTATTTTATTCCGCCGTTTGACTACTGTACAAGCAAGACCGAAGTAAAACGCCAATTCCAAACGCTTGATGCAACCAAGGATGTCCGATGAGGCAGTTGCGAAAATGATCCCGCAGAGAAGCTATGCATGCAACAAAGTGGAGAGAAGGGAAAGAGGGACTGTATATGAACAAAAGAAAACAATCAGCACCCCAGCAACACTCGATATTCGTATGTTTTCCCTGTCCCTGGAGATTCAGCGTTGAGCCCTCAAGTTGCTTTAGCACCAAGACCGTTGACGGGCTTCCCGTTAACTTCGCGGTCCGAGATCTGACCAGCAAGCTTTCCAAATTGCCATTCAGGTAAAACGACGCCTGCTTGTTCATTAATAGTCGACATGAGAGGTGGCAACATTTGATACTGTTCAGAAGTTAGCCCATGATTGTTGCATGTTTCCACGGCAAATTGGTGGTGGAAAGCTTACCATGTTGCGAATACTGTTCACCCCACCCATTGAACCTTCAGCACCACCAGCTTGTTCGCTGCCGGCTTGAGCACCTGTGGTAATCGGAATAATCAGTAAATTCTCGACGACTCCATGAGAATTGTGTCAATTGAATTACCTGTGTTCCAAATGGTCATCTTGGGATTGAGACCGCGAACAGCGTCGGCGTTTGCCTTGGCCAGTTGTGTGTAAACACCCTTCTCAATCATGAGGTATTGAATAAGACCAGCTGGGCCACCGAAAGCGTGAGAGAGATCTGCATAGGCTCCAGCCATGGCGGACATGCCAGCGGCCTCCTTTTGCTGCCTGACAAGCAAAGCCTCGGCGTCCTTGGCGGCAGCAAGGAAGCGGGCCTCAGCTTCAATTCGGACTTTGTAGGCATGGGCATCGGCTGCCTTCTGCTCACTGTAAAGTGCTGGATGTACGTCAGTCAAGCAGTACAATGGTAAAGACAAGAGGAAGGGTATCCCAGAGCAAAGAGGCAGAGTTAAGCATACCTGCATTGGAGCGAGCTTGCTCTTCATAGTTCTTAGCGTCAGCAGCCTGTTGCTTAGACTCTCTGGCGATGGTTGCCTTCACGACATCCGTAGCTCTCAATCGCTCAAGCTCGGTCTGAGCACGCTTGGTCTCGACCTCCTTTCGAAGCTCTTCGTCACGAGCTTCTGTGGCACGTGTTGCCTCGATTTGTGCGATATTGACATCCCTGTTGAAAGCTGTCTTGCGGGTTGCGAGGGTAGCCTCGGCCTTGGCCTTCTCGCTGTCTCGCTCAGTCTTCTGTACCGCAGTCTCGGCGTTGATCTTTGCGATTTCACGATTCTGTTCTCCCTGGCGGGCGGCTTCACCGACATTACCCTTTCGTTGAGCTTCAGCAACATCAATACGAGCCTGATTGATAGCACCCTCATGTGCCTTTCGAGAGAGAGACTCGAAGTAGCTTGACTGAGGGGCATCGCGGAGCTCCTTAACGTTGGCATTGTAAATTTTGAGACCAAATTGGTCCAATTCGCCCTGGATGTTTCTGAAAATGCGTCTCTTGAATTCCTCACGTTCTAAGAGAACGAGAATGTTAGTATCGTTCTGTTTATGAAACCATTGAAAGGGTTGCGGGTTTACCGGTAAAGATCTCTTCCATTGTCATAGAGCCTGTTCTATTGTTAGTGCTAAAAGTCCCAAAACGAAAGGTATCGAGACTTCGAACGACTTGAAAGCTCCTGGATGACCTAAGAAGAGAAGTGGCAATTACTTACTAACAAGAACACGAGTCTCGCCCTCAATAATACCCTTCACGATGTTCTCGATGTGCTGTCCCTTGCTGGCACCTTTGGCCTCTCTCTCAGCATCTGCAAGAAGCATTGCATACTTCATGAGTGCATCTCCGTGATCCTCGGGGTTATGCTCAAGATGTCCAGTATCACGAGGAGCTTGGCTGGCGGCCGCTCCACGTTGATTGACATCTGGACCAACGGTGAAGACAACAGGAAGGAGGAATTGCAACTTTTCTCGGGTCATCGCTACCATCGAATTAGTACTTAAACTGAATAAGGGGCTTAAGAGCTGAGGCTCCCAAGACAAATATGCATGCCCGGCTCTCGTGAAACTCTCGGGATTTAGGCTCTCAGAGAAGGAAACAGTAAAATATTATGAGAAAAAGTCTTACCCTGAAGATTCATGGAGTAGTCGTGCGGCTGGATGCTGAAGCGTTGGCACTACAGAGTGTTAGAATTAGCTGCAGATCGGGGTCATCGACAGTTGCTTACTCGTTGGAAAGGCCAAACCCAAGCACTTTTGACGATCTTGAGGGTCTTGATTCCAGCGCCAGTGATGGCGAGATACTCGTCCGGGGAGGCGATTGTGTAAACCATCTTGAATGATTTCTTAACGTATGCTTGAGATTATCAAGTTGAATGACAGCGATACTGAATGCGATGAGTGATTGAAAGTAAGTTGGTTCGTTGGTTGTAGTCGGTGATCGGTGTTGACGAAAAAGATGCTTACGCTGTTGAAAGAAGGGTGACGGGGGAAACAGAGAAGTCTTAAATAGATTCTTGGGATTGGCGAATTAGGAATTGAGGAGAGAGCCGCTATTTCCCTCCTGAGTTGAGTTAGTATGGATCCTTAACGATCTCATGATCAATTAGCTCGAACCAAGACTTTAGTATTCACCTGGTGCAATATTGATTGGGCCCGAAAGCTCAACCAACTCGTATATGGTGAGGCAAGACTAGGCTGTTTGAGTTTACAGCAGTTCACTTTTCAAGGCAGATAGACGGAGCTTCGCTCAAATGATGAGGGCTGAGGAGTAATTAAGTTTGGAATGGGATTATTCAAGAGAGAAAGCAAAAATGTTCTGGTATGACCTACCAGACATCCATCAGATGCTTTATGGATGAGAAGCAAGCGGGGCTGACAGTTGTCAGAATCGGCGCAATCAGCGTTCGAAACGTACGCCAATAATGCCGCAGCAATCCTTCGCACCGTGACGAACTGGTTTCCATTTTCTGCACAGCAGCTGGGCGTTTTAGGATACATCCAGAGGGTTGAATTGGACAAAGAGAGGGGGCAATGCATTCGCCGTGGCATCCGAGCTCAGCCTCGTGGCCAATAGCGTTTCTGACGCATCCCTGCAGCGACTGAGGCACTGCCGCAATCCGATTATCAGAGCACGCTGGCACCCATAATCAAAGGCCATGTGCCCAGTGTGGTCCTATGGGCCGCATCATGGCTGAATTTGGGAGTGGGTGGACGGCATTGATGTCAGAATTGCTATGGAGAGTGAAGTGAAGTATCGAAGAGAGATCTCGCCTCGCCAAGCAGTCCGACATGAAGACTAGTGCCCGTTGTTGTGTTACCAGCTCAGACCAAAGCATCCCGTGATAGCTGAGCCTCCTTCCAACTCGAACAGTTCGAGAGGAAAGACCAACTCCGCACTTCCAACGCGCGCTTGGTTCCTCCGAGTTGGGCTGCATGTGAGGCAGACAAAGTTCACAGAACTCTCCGAAGAAACCGCATCATTTTCCGGGGTCCTGATCCTCATTCCCACCTCGCCCACTTATTTACCAAGGCAGCAATGTTTGAAGAGAGATCTCCCCCCCCTTTTCAACGGCAAAAGTACGCCACTTCTACTGAACCCCTCACAAATCGGGCATTGCTCACCACTTAGCCTCAGTACCCGAATCTATCCAGGTCTCCAGCTACTCGGTCTTGGGGATCAAAATACTTTTTGCATTTGGCAAACTCGCTCACCCCGCCCCAATTCTCTCTTCAGCTGGGCTCCAACTTCCAAGCGTGCTTTCCTATCTTTCGCACAAACTCCTCGAATCCTTCTAGAAACCATCAAAACGTCATATAATTGAATCGTACCTTCCAAATCAGGTGACTTTCAATCCAGACCAAATCTCCAGGTGCTCCACATCACAGTGACACCGTCCTCCATCGTCATCACCAACCTCAATACACTCCCTAATATCAATAATCATGGATTCAAAGGACCCCATGGGTCCATCGAGCTCCCGCAACGACGAAGCAGCACCTCCATCGTACTCCGAAACCGTATCCAGCAAATACATCTCCGACGCCTCAACCTCACAATACTACTCCTTGCAAATTCAATCCCAGCTCCACGACCTAACGACCACCATCTCTTCCCTCCAAACGCAGAAGACCCTTCTCTCGCACGCCCAGGACGAGAAAATCCTCTCCCTCCTCACCCAACAGATCCAGCTCTACCTCTCCGACTTCGCCAAGACTGGTCTCCAGAAGGGAACGCTTATCCTAGTCCCAGCCCAAGGCCTCGAGGATCCGAATGCTTTGCCGATGGAATACGACTTCAAGGATCCGGAAGAGCACGACCGGGTCGTTAGAGTCAGAGATAAAGAAGAAGGTGAGTATGGTGGTGGACAAAAGTGGTTTTGGAGGGATGAAGACATGGCGATACGATTGGCAGGCTACCTGAGACCCAAGCCTGACCCGAAAACCATGGAGCTTCCTCCGAGGAGGGAAGGGATTGTTGCTCAGCAGGAGCAATCGGAATCCAGCTCAAGTTCTGGGAAGTGGTCTTGGAGTAGAAAGAAGAGCAGTGCGAAGGCTGCGGAGAGGCCGCCGCTGGTGGAGTCAAGGAATGATACCAAGGTTGTTTCTGATGTCAAGATGCCTAGTCGAGATACCGAGGATAAGGTGGATATGAGTGTCGAAGCTGAGGAAGTCGTCTTTAGAACAGAGAATGACCTTGGTATATTTGGAACGGAGAGGGGTTGGGGTGTAGTGCTTAAATTGAAAGTCATCCCGGGTAATCGGTAAAGTTCTCTTGACTTAAAATCACATATTGACCCTTCGTTCTTCCTCATTCTGCGAGTGGAAAAAACTAATTTTTCTGTGTCACCGCCTTGGCATCAGGTTACAAAAACCTGACCGATCCTCAAATCTCAAGAGAAGAAAGGGATCTCTCTCCTCACATCTACTCATAATTTCCAATAGGGATAGCTTAATTAACTAACCGTATCGAATCACCAACATTTCATTCATCGAGACCAAAGAGGACTGCTCGATTCCTTTGTGAAGAGCTACATCATAGACACTTGATGAGAACGCGCGCATTTAAAGAACAAGGGGCTACCGGAAAATCGAACACGATTCAGAAATGGATTTCAAATTTATCAAAGAATTCTCAATCCAAGTTTAGATACCCTTTTCAATCAACATCTACCCATTCGTCCAATGCCTTAGTTTCTGCTAATAAACCCTCCACCTTTCTCACAATTTGCAAGCCACACGGCACGCCTCAACCAAACAACAACCCCAATTTGTTGAACTGAGTGAGGTGAGGAGCAAGTAGATTGCGAAGTGAGGGCTAGCCCCTAGCTAAATATAGGGTGAGTACAAAGCCTTCCTTTAGATGTCTCTCTCCATTTATGCATCACTCTTTGTGGCACACTCCAACACAATTCCAGCCCACGGTCCCAGCAACCCGGAGCCCAGTCATCCTCCACTTTCTTGCCCCTCTTTTGCCATCGCCAATACGTCCCGTGCTTCGTGTGGTCGGTTTGCAATTCCGATCTATTTCTTAGGCAGTGTGGTTTCCCAGGCATGGGTTGGGTGAGGTAGTATTCAAGTGGGAAGGGGCGATGGCTGAAATAAGGTTTAAAGTGGCTTCAACGCACTCAAAATGGCATCCTGAATTGCTGGATGCCATAAGCATGCTGAGTAGGAAATTCCGCGTCTGTGTGATACCTCATCCTGCCAGATCCCGTTGTCCAAGTCCCCATCACACAAGAGTCTGCGTGGGAGGCCCCGTGTGTTGCACACGCAAAGAGGAGACTGCACACTGTAGATCGAAAAAAGTGGATTCTTTCTTAATCCACCATCATGGCCCGTCCGTCTTCCTTTTACTGACGTCCATCCAGTGAATTGTGGTGATTTGTGAAAGTTGCGACAATACCACAATAACTTTGGCGAAGGCGGGGAAAATGTTGATGCGGCCGCAGGGGTACAGTAGTGAAGTGGGGACGTGCACGACCCCCCACCCCGCCCTCCTTTTTGAGGAGCTAAGCGAGCTACTCGTCACCTCGAGAGACGGAGTCGAGTGTTTGGTCGTACAGCATGCGGTATTTGATGGCGGTGGTTGGAGTAGTAGATTGGTTCTGTGGCGAGAGATTGCCTGCCATATGGGCGTGAAGAATATCCCGATGACCGTTCATAAGGCACAGGAATGGAGACAACGTTTCGAGCGTAATTGTCGATGGAGAGAGGATGGCAAGAAAACCGCCGCAATGGCTGCATTGAGTGAGCTCCTGTGGGCCGTGCCTACAAATCTTGAAGTCATTTGCTTGCAAGCCGGTTGTCTAGGTCCTTGACAACAACATCACCTACTATTCCCAACTCGAGAAGCTCAATCCATCTTCAACCCTTCAAACCTTAACTTATGGAATCTTCCTAATCCACGGTTGTTACCACTGCCATTTCAGAACCCCTCGGCTCTCGGCTTACAGGCGCTCTCCTGATAGACCCAGCAAGAAGACCGGAAGCTCACCCCTTGGAGTTGAAGATAGTTGAGCTCTAACTCATGTCCATGACATTCTTTCAAGAGCAAGCTTCCTGGAACTGCTTTGGATACGGAGCACTTCTTCGATGTTTCCGAGACATCCCGGTCCCCTCTGCTGACTACTATGGGCCCGGTACAACTTTCCAGGCAATGGGAGTCAAACACTCTCACCTCATGACACAACTGCAAATTGGGTCAAAGGTACAGGTGAGAGCCGCGGACCTCGAGCGCGTCCCTTATGGCTACCGATCCGCAGTGGGTTGCCAGGTTGGTCGTCTCGTCCATAAAGTCGAAGGACCAGAGTACGGTTCCTCTGTGCACGTCTTCCTGACCATTCGCTACGTCCTGGCATCTCCTAAGCGCTTTGAGTCACATTTCGAGAAGTGATGCCCTTGATTTTGAAGCTCCGCGAAATTAGAAGCCCCGAAAACACTGTGTAACTCGATTGCTACGAAGCTCGCGAGTGCAAATGAGTTTCAATAGCTATCCACTTGTGGGCGTCGGGATTCCGTGATATTCTGCACCAAACGGGCGCATTTATTTTCATAATAGCGAAGTGCCCTATCGTTGTTTCGATCGGTCGATACTAGCGTTGAGCTTTCTGAGCCAAACTAGCTAGATGGATAGGTCAAATATCAAGACTCTTTCGTACTCTATTTCTCGTATTTGAAGTGACTTGAGATTTATCCAGGATTGATTGAGGGAGAATGTGAAATTGTGCTGATGATACAGGCTCGCAGTGGACAATAAAAGCGATGCTAATGTTGAATGTACTCAATCAAGTTGGACATTGGAAGGAGACGCTTTTAAATGTTCCAGAACATCATAGACAATAGATGGCAGAAGACATTAAATGTACCATAAATCGAAAGAACTATGAGAAGGAAAGTATCTACAATGTCTCAAGTTGACTTGGGACATTAACAACTGCCACTTTTGTTGTCTAGTGTGAGGCAGGAGGGAGGAGAGCCCCCCAGCTGCCATCAAGGCGTCATAGGTAGCCAAGAAGGTTGCTCTCTTCAAAAGTATAAAGACCTTTCAGCAAGTCGCTGTCAAGGAGTCGGCCTTCTCCCATCTCGATGTCGTGACCTGTGTTACAGGTGGAAAGAAAAGACGATGGTCAGAATTGGCAGGTCCCACCTGGGACTAGCACACTCGCTGCTCTTGCCAGCGCCGGAAATAGGCCATGGATCAGACCACTTTCTTGACTTCGAAATCATCGTCATCGGCACCGCCCAATTCTCCGGTGCAGAGTCCAGAAAGGAGGCCAGTACGTAGTTGGTCCCTATTCTTGGTAGTTTTTACGCTCATACGGAGTACTCGCCTTCACAGGCTCAGAGGTGGCGTGAGTCTCCACAGCTTTCATCCTTGCCTCCCTCACCAGCTTGCATGAGAGCTGGCGGTGGACCGAGACTCCGAATGCCCTCCTACCCGACTCAAGACTCTGCACATCTCAGGAGTCCTCAACATTTGCGGCTCTTCCTGAGCTCCGCTCGCCTTGCCTTCGGATCAAGGGTTCAAACATCCTGCACGAACATGAGTCATGCTAGCGACCCCGCATACTAAAAGGTTCTACTTTGGTCCGGGAAGTTCTGAGAGCTGGTTCTACCCCGCAAGGGGCGTTACTCCAAGTGGTTTCGACTCTATCCATCAAACCTTGAAGCCAAGGGAGAGATCCACGCTCTTCGCCCTCTTGGGAACGGCCAGACGGGGGACGTGGACCACGGAAAAGCGCCGCAAATCGTTTCACGCTGATCCGGGATCGGGAACCGGCTCTTTGTGCCATCAACGCTTGTCAACCAATCATCTCCACAGCGCCTCAGCCCGGAACGTGGCGCCTGCCTGCACCCCTTGCAAACACTGTAAGACTCTGCCCACTGCCCAGCAAACCACGCCACTTCTTCGATAAGCCAACATCATCCGAGGGACTAGGGACCCCCATGGCAGAACGTCATAGCTCGAAGGAAGAGCGGAAAGTGTCCTGCAGGTGCATGCCAATTCAATGCTTCAAATAATGGGACTTTGCTTCATACGTAGGATGCAGGTTTTTGCGGAGACAACGTGCGTCCGGAAGACGCCCTTGTCCGCCCTTGGCCCGGGTCCTCGCTTGGTTCAACCCATCTCTCCCCTTCCTTTGGAGCTCAGCTCCAGGATCCAACAGAACTAACGGTGCAGCGGATCTTGATCTCGATCACAGGAACGAAGCTGGGAAGCTTTAGAGAGCGCTAAGGGGTCAAGAAGGACAAGAGGAGGACAACCAAGGGCGAATTTGCTCGGATAGGGCAGGAGCAGGCATCAGAGCTTGGGGCCGGCGTGATGGACGCTCCATTTTCAGGTGGGGGTACCTGTTAGTCCGGGAGGAGGGGTGTCGAAGTGTTCTAACAAAGTGGCATGTTTCTTCAGAAGGAATATAAGGAGAACAGGATTGCCGCATGGTAAATCTTTCACTTCGATCACTTGAGTCCATACATACAAGCAGTTTCAACTTGTGCAATACAACATACATTCCCAATTTTCTAAACAAATAAAAGCAACTTCAACCAAAAAAACCACACAAACACTCATAATGCCATCACCACGAATCCCAACTGAGCAATGGGCACAGGTTGTCGAGAAGACCGGAGGACGTGAGTATCACTCATGCCAGATTTTTGTTTTTCTTGAAGGATTCTAATGATCCATAGCTGTCGTCTACAAGAAGATCCCAGTTCAAAAGCCCGGCCCAGATGAAGTTCTCATAAACATCAAGTACTCCGGTGTCTGCCACACCGATCTCCACGCCGTCAACGGTGACTGGCCATTGGCAACGAAGCTCCCATTGGTCGGTGGACACGAGGGTGCTGGTGTTGTTGTAGCCCGAGGTGAACTCGTGAAGGACGTTGAGATTGGTGATTATGGTGGAGTTAAGGTATACATCCAATATTCGAGAATCAAAATTTAAACGGCCGCTCAACTAATGTGTGATTTAGTGGATCAACGGCTCCTGCCTCAACTGCTCTTTCTGCCAACAATCAGACGAGCCGCTCTGCGCCCAAGCCCTCCTTTCCGGCTATACTGTCGACGGGACATTCCAACAATACTGCATTGCCAAGGCCGCACATATGGCACGTATCCCCAAGGACTGCGACCTTGAGGCCATTGCACCAGTCCTGTGCGCCGGTATCACCGTCTACAAGGGATTGAAGGAGTCGGGAGTCCGCCCAGGCCAGACCGTCGCAATCGTTGGTGCTGGTGGTGGACTCGGATCATTGGCTTGCCAATATGCCAAGGCCATGGGTCTCGATATCATTGCCATCGATGGCGGTGCTGAGAAGAAGGAGATGACTGCCAAGCTGGGTGCTGGTCACTACGTGGACTTCCAGACAAGCAAGAACCTTGTTTCGGATGTCAAGGCTGCCACTTCTGATGGTCTTGGACCTCACGCCGTTATCTTGGTCGCGGTCAACGAGAAGCCATTCCAACAGGCTGCTGAGTACGTCCGACCACGTGGTACAGTCGTTGCCATCGGTCTCCCCGCCGGTGCCTACCTCCGTGCCCCAGTCTTTGAGTCCGTCATCAAGATGATCACAATCAAGGGTTCATACGTCGGTAACAGACGTGACTCTGCTGAGGCCATCGAATTCTTCCGCCGCGGCCTGATCAAGGCTCCATACAAGTCTTGCGGTTTGAGCGAACTGAACAAGGTGTACGAGTTGATGCACGAAGGCAAGATCGCCGGAAGATACGTCGTTGATACGTCAAAGTAAAGGGATCTTATGGTCGAGAAAATGAACTCTGGGGGTGATGATCAAGCGTCACTTGCTTCGATAAGCAGTTAATTCTGGATAGGGTTCTTGGTTGGGGTTGTATATATTTTAGGAATAGAATTGATCATGAAACCATACTGTAATCTTTGCCCTGATCTATTTTGAGGAGACAGAACTGTTGCAGTCGTTGCTAAATTTGTATGCTGACCCCTGGATGGCTAAAGACGATGTGACCAACCAGACGGCTTTTTCTGCCTCATCCCACCTCGCACGGACCTCAAGGAGTCCTTGGTGGAATTCTGGGACACCGGGCGGACGTAAAGTATGTAAATAGACACGGCAATACGGTACGCTCGAATGTCTCAGCACAGCTTCATTTGGGGCTCAAAGGAAGTGGCTGGAAAAATGAGAAAATGTCATAACTGCAACCACCAATACGCATCGAGACAATGAAACGGCATCCAGTTTCAGTGTCTTGTTACACGTCTCTCAATATCTAATAATCTCACCGGAAATGAGCAGTCTCATCCTGCAAATACTGCAGTGTTGATTCTCGAACCTCGAGTGTGGAACATCTAGAACTGTAGACGGCCCTTTGCCCGCCAAATTCATGTCCTGCACGGAAGTAATTCCATTACACCAAACATCAGCATTATAGATGCCCTGCCTACGGGTGGAGTTCCCAAGTGAAAACTTCAGAATGGGATTTCCACGGAGCAACCGGCACGAAGACTCCCTTGGTGAGAGTTGGGCGCTTCTTGATGCTTTGTTAACCAGATCGAAGGCTCAGCAATGCCAGAGGCGGACTTGAAGCATGCATACACGCTAAGCTTGCGCTACAGCTGAGTTCCACGACATCAAGCAATCGTTGCTGTCGTTGCTGGGTTCGGAGTGTTGATACAATCTCCGACAGATGATCCATCCCAACGCAGAAAAGTGTGTCCAAGCGAATGCCCACGAACATTAGAAGACAACCGGCTGGAGAGGGCCCAAGAGAAGGTACTCCCAAAGCACCTCGCTCAACTTCCAACTCTGGACATCTAAAGGGCGCAAGGCCCCGAACTTCTCGAACTATCCACTTGCAGATTTGAGTAAGCCGTAGCCAACATCTCGAATTAGCAACAGCGCCGTCACGTGTGAAGTATTGTAATGTCAATGGAATTACCAACAGCAACTGGGGCTGACACCAGTGTCAGCCCATATCTGCAAGCAAGCAGTTCTCTGGGATTTGTTGCATATCGCGCGTCCAGCAAGTGTAGTACAAGAAATCTGCCGCGCTTGCGTTTGAAGCCATACTCACATTTCTCCGGAACAAGCATCCGGACCAACCCCGAACCTCGACTCGAGGGTACCAAGTGTGCAGTGTCAATTTTCAAGACTTCGAGGTTGGAGGCAAACACTTCGTTCCCAACTAGATATGCAAGTAAGGCTCCAAGTTCAAGACAGACACTCGTGTGGATACTTGGGCACAACTCGCAGTATTTGTAAGGACATTGAAAAGGTTTTCTGTTGATCATCAGGCTTTCGATTCGAAGGGATGAACCTAAGCGCAGCACGTGAATGGCCCACTTTTAAGTTTCCAACCCCTGTCAGCTGTGTTTTCAACTTCGAGAACATCATCAAAAATCAATGCTCCACAGGGAACAGAAAACCGTGTTTAGAATTGACGACAATGTCCTTGTCTCACATTTACAAATTGTCAACTGCTACGGTAAGGTAACACTCATGTGTTGACTAATCCATCGGCCTTAAGGTAGTAAATTGCATCATCAAACACTCCGAACCAGCATTATCAATCATCAATTACTGATATTGCAGCCTCCCCCGCCACCCAATTGCTCAAAGTCCCCCTCTTTCCTCTCCTCCACACATGTCAACAGCTTCTCAACGTCTAACTACCACAAGAAATCACCTTCAATTACCCGACATGGCAGCAGCAACTAACTTCTACAGCATCGTTGCTGGAGTTGGCGCCGGAACAGGTACCTACTCTCTCTTCTCACTAAGCATTACATTATTTGAAGCTAATTCTCACGTCAACAGGCCGCTCAGTCGCGCTGAAATTCGCAAAGACCTATCCGGTCGCCCTTCTCGCCCGCAACCCAGCCAATTACGAATCCATCGTCAAAGAGATCAAAGCCGCCGGCGGCCAAGCAATCGGGATCTCGACTGATGTCTCCTCCGAGTCCTCCGTCAAGAACGCCTTCGCAGAGATCCAGAAGGAGTTCAAGGGCAAGAAGCTCGCGGCGGCAATCTACAACGTCGGTGGTCGGTTTGTCAGGAAGCCGTTCTTGGAAATGACTTCGGAGGAGTATGAGGCTGGCTATGAGGCCAATGGGTATACGCTTTCTCTTCAGTAAGATTAGAAGCTTGTGCTGATACCGGATCTTGTAGAAAGGGATTCTTCCTCTTTGCCCAAGCGACCCTGCCTCTTCTCCTTGAATCTGTGCCGGATTCCACACATCCTCCTTCTTTGATCATTACAGGTGCTACGGCATCACTCCGAGGATCTGCGAATATGAGCTCCTTTGCGAGCGGTAAGTTTGCATTGAGGGCTACGGGACAGAGTCTTGCAAGGGAGTTTGGACCTAAGGGCGTACATATTGCGCATGCTATAATTGATGGTGTGATTGATATCCCAAGGACCAAGGAATGGCCTGTTAATGAAGGCGTTGACGATGGTAAGATTAGTAGTGATGCTGTAAGTCTCCTCCGAATCATATGCCTGGACAAGATGAAGCATATAAGATGATTGGAAGAAGTAGTTATAGAGCTTGGGCTGACTTTCTTTTCTATAGATTGCCGATTCTTACTGGTATTTGCACACTCAACCGAGGTCCCACTTCACTCAAGAGCTTGATGTTCGTCCTTATGTGGAGAAGTTCTAGGTACATAGATACAATGAAGAAACGTGGAAATAATACCTTTGTATCTTTTCTTAGCAGACATCTGTGAAGTGCCAGATACGAAGACATGCAAGCCACTGATGATCGAACATAATATGATTGAAAATGTGCCTCACCATCAAACTCTCAACTTCAAAGATAGAGATCTAGAGGAAAGTCTGCAGGCGAGAGAGTCTTTCGTCCGAAGACGAGGACAATGTAATCCGTCTGCGCCAGTCGTATACCTCGAAAATCATGAAAGCCCGTAAGGAGATTGACGCGGAGATAATCTAGCGCTTGCAAAAAACATCGCAGAAGGAAAAAAAATCCTGTTTTAGGTAAGTAGGGGCTGCCCTCCCAAAGCAAATGTATAGCAAAACACACACGTCGAGCATAAAGCATCGACGATTTGCTTCGGGAGAAACTCCCATGGAGCATTTCACTAGACCAAGCGTGCAAGCACGGAGGATGTGAAATGGCCATAATGTTTTTTTGTCATTCCCTATGTCTAGCACATCCAGCCAGTAACCACCAGCGTATGTGTGTGAATAACAGTCATGCCAAACAAAAGCGTGCCCAATGCCATTTATGCCTTCGACTTCAACTTCTCCTTGATCTCTCGTCCGGCCTTGATGCGCTCCAGTATGTTCTCACGGTCCTTGTCGAGCTTCAACTTGGTGATGACAACCTTCGATGGGTGGACGCCGATGGGGACGGATTGGCCGTTTGACTTCTCCTTGACGACACGCTCAATGTGGACGATGTACTTAAGACGGTAGACGGAGGTGATCTTGCCTTCGCGGCCCTTGTTGGAGCCTCGTACAACAAGGACTTCGTCGTCTTTTCGGATGGGGATTGAGCGGACCTGAAGAACGTTAGGATGGCGATGAGACTCTATATTAGGGTGCACGAACATTGTATTTCTCTCGGAGCTCCTTGCTCAAGGGTGCGCTCATGATCGTACGTCTAACACTGGATGGTGCATCATAATGAGCCTTGCGAGACTTTCTCCTCGAGGAGTGGAGGGCTGGGTTCATCGTCAGTAATGCGTCGCAGTAGCATATGAGAATTGATTCTATAAGAATCAGAGCTCAATTGCAGGAGTATCACATACAGCTGTTGATCTTCGTCATCTCGGCGGTTGGTGGTGAACGTCGAGAAAAGTTGTTGTTAGTCGTGGATCGCAAGTTTTCGGAGAAGATTTCGCGAATCTCTTGTGGGAGGAAAGTTGTAAGCGAGAAAGTGGCTTAGAAGGTCACGTGCAAGGCCCTTGAAAAGCGTAAGAGAAAGCTCCAAACCCAGCCAGATCATTCTCCTGAGAGGAGAAATAGAAGTAAGAGTCTCGTATTCTAATAAGAAGTGTTCTTGAGTGCCATAATTAATACTTGAGGCGCAAATTATATTGGAGTGCCTCCCCTGCCCTTCAGCATTGGTAATTCACACCCAAAATACGAGATCTTTCACAGTTTTGGTTTTCTCTATAACAAGAACAGTTCCAAGTCGGATCCATGGTGACTGTTGTGATGAATTTGCAAGTTAAAGGCGAGTGAAACTAGTTGGTGTAACCATCTGCAGATTACCCCTGTCGCTTAGAAATTTTGGCGGGGTCAAAAGATAAAGCGATGGAGGGGTACAGTAAGATCCACCTCACCCGTAAACCTCACCCACGTGGGTTCTCTCCTTCTTAAACACTCACTTCACCTTCTCTTCAACTTGAACCACTCATATTCCTCATAATCTGCCACATATCGTAGGAACTTTCCTACTACAATTCTGACCATGGCACACCTCCCTACCCATTTCCATGGTAAGAAGCTCCCCATCTCGAGCTTCCCAAGCAAGACACTCTCTAACATCTTCACTCAGAACCTGTCCACATTGCAGTGATTGGCGGAACCGGCCTCCAAAAGCTCGAAGGCTACCACCCCGTCGCAACGGTCAATCCTCTGACTCCCTGGGGTCACCCCTCAGCACCCATCCACATTCTCAAGCACAACGATGTTCCCATTGCCTTCCTGTCTCGACACGGGCAATACCACCAGTTTGCTCCACACGAGGTGAATTCTCGAGCGAATATTGCGGCGTTGAGAAGTATTGGGGTCAGGACTGTTATTGCGTTCAGTGCCGTGGGCAGTTTGCAGGAGGACATCCGGCCGAGGGATTTTGTGGTCCCGGATCAGATTATTGATAGGACAAAGGGTAGGTGCTGTATACTGGGGTCGAGGCTTGAGTTCTTTGCTGATAGAGGATGAGTTAGGGATTCGACCATTTACGTTCTTTGAGAAGGGTGTTGTTGGCCATGTTGGATTTGCGGATCCTTTTGATGGCAAGATCGGAAAGGTATATTTTAGTCCTGGGTGACAGGTACTGCATGTTAATCAGTGTGATTAGGTCGTAAGTGATTGCGGCCATGCATTGGCTGGAGATGGTGTAAGAATGCATGACAAGGGCACCGTCGTCTGCATGGGTTCGTTCTCTTCTCCTCCCTTTTCACGGCTCACTAACCACACCCTCTTGTAGAAGGACCACAATTCTCCACCCGTGCCGAATCCAATTTATACCGCAGCTGGGGCGGCTCTGTTATCAACATGTCCGCACTCCCCGAAGCCAAACTTGCTCGTGAAGCCGAAATGGTCTATCAAATGATCTGCATGGCCACAGATTATGACTGCTGGCACTCAACGGAAGACGTCGATGTAGCTATGGTCATGGGTCACATGGAAGCCAATAGTGGAAATGCCAAGCGTCTCGTGGGTGCGGTGCTGGACGAGTTGAGCAAATCAGAGCATGCCGATTTGGTTAAGGGGACGCATTGGGAGGGACAAAGTACGGGGATGCTTCAATTTATGACAAAGGAAGAGGGCCGAGGCTTGGTGGGTGTGAAGAATGTGGAGTATTTATTCCCAGGGGTTTTTGGGCCACCGACGGAGGAGAAATTGGGGAGTATGAATGAGTGACGATGAGGCTTTTTAAAGGATACTTTAGTTGAGCATCAACTGCTCCCAGCCAGGATTCTACAACCGGAATTAGGACTGGCTGTGGAGAGACCGGGGGCAGGAATGATTGATGACGATGTTGTTTAGAAGATACTCCAGCTGGGCATCAACTGCTCCCGGCTAGCAGAAAAAGGTTACCGCTGATTTGAAAAACTTACTACCTGGCACGCAATTCGTCGACGAATTGGGAAGATGCTGTAGTCGTCTGACCAAATTCGTCTTTCTCGTGACTTGACTCTCCACACTTCACCTTTTGCCATTTCTCGCCGAATAGCAAAAATATCCCCTAATTAACGGCACAGATAAACCGTTGAATTGCCCTCAATCTACGCACAATGCTCTCTTTGGTAGGGAACCACGATTGAGTGTTCATATGTTTATTTGGCTTTTGGCACTGCTCAAATCTATCATTTTCTCATGCCAGAAATGGTCCCTGCCCCTTCTCGATCAAAATCCTGTCCGTCTACGACCCGCCTGGCCCACCCAAAAGCGCGAATCTTCTGACAATAGAGGGTCTAGAGCAACGAAGTTAGCAAAATGTATATTATAGCATGACGACAGCATAGAATGAGAATAATTGTCTTACCCGATTTCATCGTATTCTGCCTTCGTGTGGCAGTAACTTCTGAACTCAGGAGTTTGACCCAGGAGACTGCCACCAAACCATGGACCATGCCGTTGTCTCTTGTGGGAGATGACCTGCACTTCCAAACCACCACTTCGCGCTCCACCGCTCTTAGCTTCGCTAGCTCTTATTCTGACATCAACAAGGTTCTTGATATCACGTTGTAATCTTCTGCCAAAATCCTTGTACAACGTACTACCTCCCGAGAGCACAATATTCTTGTATAGCCCTCGACGTACATCAATTGGTGATGACTGGATGACACCGTCGACAACTGTTGGCAGAGGAGTCAAGAAGTCCGAGGAGTATATTTCAGGGTTGAAAAAAATTTCTGGAGCGAGAAAGCGCTCGTAACCAACATCGACTGTCACTTTTCGCCCACCTGGTTGAGTGACTTGATGCTTCATAAAGCGTGTAGGATCGCGGTCGAAACGCGAGAATTCCTTGACGATGTCTGGGCAGACGTAGCAGTATTCCTCTTTAATCTCACCAGCGGTCTTGAGAGATGAATCAGGCTCGCCTCGATCTCGGAGCAAGGACTGAACGAAATAGGTAATATCTCGGCCAGCGATTGGAATGGACTTGATGGACGATCCAATGACATACCCCTCTGCGACTGGAATAACGTGCGTTACACCGTCTCCCGAATCGATAACTGTTCCCGTCAATGACCGGTCCGATACCTTGGAAGATGTCCACGATGCGGCGAGAGCAAGTACAGCTTGAACGGCAATGTAGAGACCAGCGCAATTGAACGACTCGAACATGATTTCCGCCGTATTTTCGCGGTTCTCGGGAGGGTTAAGGGGCTGGAGTAGCCGCAATCAGCACAGCTTTTGGAGTGCTTGTAAGGAGCATAACTCACAGGCTCTGTCAGAAGGAAATAATGGTCTTCCGGTTCAACTCGGAGATACTTGAATATGGAATTCGACCAGAACCTCTCCATATGATCCTGCGCATATTAGCTTATTGGCTTCCACCGGATATCACAGAAGTTTACCCAGTTCTCAACCTGTCCATGTCGGATTGGGTAGTGTATGCCATAACCTGAGCCGTCAAAACAGTCCAGCAAATCCTCTCATATGTGCGTACCTGGTCCATTTGCTGCAGCTAGCGCTTCGTCGCCGATGAAGAAATCCAAATCCTCCGTACCACGCTTCATCGAAAGATGTCCACCTGGTCCGGCACCTCCGGTCAGATATGATGGTTTATTTGCTACTGCTGGGCGCCCAGATCCAGATCCTCCACTGCCAGCTGCGGGGCCCTTTGTCGCTATTGCGGTAGGGAAAACGAAGGATGGAGAATCGTTGCCTGCAAAACCTGTGTTTGAAGTCCATTAGCTGCTAGGGAGGGCTCAACTGGATTCTAAGAAACCTACCAAGCTTGGAGAAACCGGTACCGCTATAGAAGGAAGCATTAGTATTGTTGTTCTACCCGATTTCACGTCCTCTCGAGCACGACAGTTTGTCTGGAGGGGTGGTTGGAGAGACCTACTTGTCCATGACAACGGCTGGTGTGTGAGAAGCCATCCTGGTGTAAAGACTGCGCTACACTCTCCCACCGCTTCGGAGATGTAATGCGACAGCTTGAGATGTGAGCTCCTGTGTCTTCAATCGCGGTGGTATCGTGTTCGTGCGTCGAGGCCTGGAGATGACGACCAAGGTGAGCAGTGTGGAATCGTCAAGGCGACCTATCGCAACCCCGCCCTCCGAATCGGATTTTGGGGATGGTCACGTGCAAGGCAACCTCATCACAAGGGATGGAAAAGAGGGAATAGAAGGAACTTAGAGCATCGAAATCTAGTGGGTTAATTCTGATCAATGTGCACGTTCTGATGGGGGGCCAATGTAGTAGGGACGGTGGATCGCGAGTGCCGCGTGCAAAATGTGTTGAATCCAGGCTGGCTGCACTCTTGAAGTCCTTCCACTGAAGTGTCAAGCTGTCGTCAACAACAACATCCCCACCTCTTTTCAGTATTCTCTTGCGGTCCGAAGTCACTCGTTTGATTGCCCTAGCGGTTCTGCATACATTTTCTAGACCCCACCTTGAAATATTGATTCCTCTACTCAATATTTCATGACCTTCCAATCCTCGAATCTGAAGGCTTCTATGAGCCTCTCTTGGCTCTTTCTTTCTCACAACTGAGACGGGGTCTAAATAGCACCGAGTCTGCCCTGGTAATGTATGCCATGGTCTCTGAAGTCTGTCTATCAGCTAACCGCCGCTCTCCTCTAGCTTTCAATCCTTCAAAATAGACTCGCCGTTCCTCTGCTTCTCCTCCTCGATTTTCTACGAAGGCTAGAGGTACATCAACCAAATATCCCAGCCCAGACACTTCCTTCCAAGGAAATCACACCCTCGGCTTCAGCACCCCGTATATTCATGTGTCTTCCCTAAGCTTAATCGGTCACCACTCTTCCCTTCCAAGCAACAGGCGAATGGAAAGTAAACAAAAGTAATTTGGGGTCGCCCTATATTGTGATTCGAAGCCGACGACTCACCACCTTACCAAAGGGGTCACTACGCGCTCCCTCTTTTCATCCGAAAAGAGCTCCTTAAGCAGATTGCCCTCGATCTTCATGCAGCAAGACGCTTTATACCGTCGAGATTCTCAAATTTCTACGAAATTAGGCTCTGCGCGGACTCGTCTTCGTGACTTTCGGAGAAACCTCTCGAAGCCGTTCCGCAAGTCACAGAAGAACACCATCGACATATTCTCTTCACCTTCAGGAAGCAGCCAACCCGAATGCTCACAGCTCTTGTCTTCGGCACCACCCGTATTGATGTGCCCAATCCAGGACTCTGTAGCTGATAGCTTCAGCTCTATCATGGATGGTGCCACAGAAAGAATGTTCAGGAAGAGCCAGTTGTCGCAGGCGCGACCTGCCAACGTTTCTGCCATCTTTGTTCATGCTGGCGCCGGCTACCATAGTACCACGAATGAACACATCCATCTAGGAGCTTGTGACAGGTCCGTTATTGTCAAACATTGATTATAGCCCGAAATCACACTCGAAATAGAGCATCTTAAACTGACCTTCATGTAGTGCGGCGCGTATGGGAATGCGAATTCTGAAGGCAGGAGGTACAGCTGTTGATGCAGTTGAGGCAGCAATTAAGGTACTCGAAGACAAGGAGATCACCAATGCAGGATTCGGCAGCAACTTGGCTATCGACGGTGTTGTTGAGTGTGATGCTACGGTCGTTGATTACTTGGGAAGGAGTGGTGCCTGTGGTGCTACAGCGCGTAAGTTTACTTTCTACTCGCTTTACTTAGTTGCACATCCTCTGATATTGTCATACAGAAGTCAAGAATCCAATCAATTTAGCCCGAACTATCCTCGACGCCTCTAACAAGCCACTGTCACTTCGAAGAGTTCCTCCTAATCTCCTCGTTGGTCAAGGAGCAACTGACTTTGCCTGGGAGTACGGTATCCCTGTCATGCCTCATGACCACTTGGTTTCCAAGAATGCACGAGACCGATATCTTAGATGGCGTGATGATTTAAAGCGAGTGGAAGGCTTACGCATGACACCCGGCTCGAGTCCAGGCAGTAGCCAAGCTGAAGAAATGGACCTTGCGTACGAAGAGCGCGTCAGAGCGCAACAACGCCGAGATCATACCAACGCTCTCCTTAGTGGCACATGGAATGAAGGGCAGCCCGATTCTCCGCAAGCAAGCCCAGGCCCCGAAGTATGCGACTCCGAACCAATCTTTTGTCCAGCTACCCGCCAGTCTCCGAGTCCATCATATGGGGGTCGTACACTTGTCAATTCTGGCTCTTCTGCCCGCAGTCACTCCCCACACTCCCCAAATCCTGCGCCTGCAAAGCGTGCTCGGTATTCGAGTCAACCAAGTGAAGAGCGACGGACTCATTCCTTGCTTGGTCAAAGTGCTAGCAACAATGAAGCACAAAAAGGGACGCCAGATACCGGTATCAGCATGCATGCGGTCGAGTCTCTCCACAAGGGCCATGCCCATCATAAAGCCAACCCTACAAGCAGCGATGGTCATAATTCCCCTCCTAATCCTCTCAGCGAATCAGAAGAATACTTTGGCGCGCATTCATCACTTGCGTTCGCTCAAGAAGGAACCGCCGAAACACCCTCAAAGCTCCTCACAGGCAGCGATGAAGATCGAATCACAGACACTGTTGGAGCTATTGCCATTGACATGTATGGCCACATTGCTGCAGGTTCCTCTTCAGGCGGAATCGGCATGAAACACCGTGGTCGGGTTGGCCCAGCTGCCCTCGTGGGAATTGGCACGGCTGTGATCCCCGCTGATTCTGCAGACGAGGAAGATACTGCTGTTGCAGCAGTCACCAGCGGCACTGGCGAGCACATGGCGACGACTATGGCTTCTCAAAAATGCGCTGAGCGACTTTATCATAGCACCAGACGAGGAGTAGGAGGTGTAGATATCAGTGCAACTGATGATGAGGCATTGCAATCCTTCGTCCTGGCCGACTTCATGGGTCATCCCGGGGTCATGCAAAGCAACTCTGCTGGTGCCATCGGTGTAATGGCTGTGAAGAAGACAAATTATGGATACTTCCTCCACTTCGCGCACAACACCGACTCCTTTGCCCTAGCTTCTATGCACTCTAATGAGAGAGAAGCGAAGTGTGTGATGTCAAGAATCGGAGACCAGGTTGGCGTTGTTCAAGGAGGCCGGAAAATCCGTCTTGACTAGGCCATTCCCCAACTACTTCAGTCTCCTGCTTTGTATATTCTGCTCCACGGAAAGCATTTTTCAGCAGGTTGGCTTTCATTTTTCGTTTCGGCATGGGTATGGAGTTGGTCACAGCAAACGCGGCTTCAGATGGAGGAGCTCAACAATTTATGATTGCGGGACTGGCTGGCAGAGACTGGCATTGCAAGTGGCTGGTTAAGAGGAGCTTTCGACTTACGATTGCAGTATTGGCTGGATGGGACTAGCATGCAGGCCGTTGGCTGAGACCAGCGTGCACTAATCAGTATCCTTGGAAACCCAGGAGAGATTGACCGAGGGAGGGGAAGCAGAGGGCTTCGCACAGTTGTGTATCTCGGCTATGCTATCAAGCTAGCAGAGTTCTAAATCCTCCTAAATTCTTGAACCTATAATGCTTCAATATGAACCTCCAGAGTTTCCACTGACATGTCAGACAAATCAAAGCTTCGCCGGTCAGAGGGGTGATCAATCCATTTGATACCTCCGGAGCGATAGCATGGGGGGATGGATGTATTTAGCTTTATATGCAAATCTATTCCCGAGCTAGAATTTACGCTTCGTGAAAGGAAACCTTTATCATGATGCTAAACATGCCATCACGTTCCAAGAGAACTAGTTATTCTCCAGGTGCTGGTGTTCCTCTCGCACTGCCAGTATCGATGCCTCCATTGATCTTCTTCTTTTTCTTCTTCTTCCGTGGAACGACGGCTGGTTTTGCACCGTAATCGCCAAGCGAAAGGTGCGTTGAGCAGGTCAGACATATTGCTCCCTCAGGTGGTGAGCAGAAAACTGAAAGACACGTTACTTTCATCCCCAAACTAAGAAGCGCCAAAGCATTCACTTACTGCTCAAGCAAATGCTGCACACAAATCCCACGTCCACAACTCTCCTATGGCAGAAACAAGCCGCTCTAAAATCAACCACTTCTTGCGTCGGCGCAATGAGCTGTTTCCTGCTCGTCTGATCAGGCAGAAATGCCATCATCAGATATTGTAATAACCCTCGTGGACTTCGTAACTGCATGTAAATTCCTTTCGTGGCATCCGATGCTTGTTGTAAGAACACTGTATCTCCAGCTAGTTTTAAGATATCGATTGGTATCCGCAATCGTTGAGCCGCAAATGTGGTATTCATGATTGGGATATATTGGTGTGCCAGATCACCCGACACTGAGACGACCAGTATGCGGCTTCGCAGGCCGGTAGGCGTTTCATTTGTATCCACGCCTGTTGGAGTAGTATTTGTATCTGTGCTTATGCCGGAATAGTTTATGGTAGCTTTGTTGATATATGCAAGGGCCAAAGTCAAAGCACCAGCCATTTGAGTTGTTGTAGTTGTAGAGATATCGGCTTCTGTTGTCGTTGCCACGAGCTGGCGGAGGGATGTAAGGAGGCAGTCTTCTATGAGAGCAAATGGGCGGTATTTGTTCGCATTATGGAGGTGGGGAGAGGTCGCATCGCTCATTTCGATGTCGGAGGAGGGGGATGGAGGACGAGGGTAGAGCCATAGTGCTCGGTGGCTATGGCTAGCGACGATGGCCACTTGATTCGCATTGTTCACTGCCAGGTGGGCATTTATGAAGACGAGGATGTTGGCTATTGCTTTCGAGAGGGGGAGAGTCGGGGCGAGGAGTGCCCAGGCGTGGGGATTTGTGTCGAGGACAATGACTAGTAATGAAGGCGCAGGACCTACAGTCTGATTAGTTAGAAGACCTTAAGAGAGAGGCAATCAAAGACCTTCAGCTGCGACCTCGTAGTGATCTGAACCATCTACGGCGTTCATCTTGGAAGGCTGCGAGGCAAATCAGCTTGCTCAAAAGAGAGACGCCGTTTGGAACTCGCAGGGTTACGAGATCGAGCTTAATGAGGTTCAATATCTCAGCAAAGTATCTCTGGTTGCCCCCTCCAGCTTCCTCTATAGAAGTGAAGCAGAGATCCTCGCTATTAGCGTTTTTATGACAACCTCATGCCAACGCGAAGAATCCCCCAATCCCTGTCAACGCCTAATCAGGTGATCGGCCTTATCAATTGCCCCACCACTATCTTCTTTTCAACCTCAGCACAAGAACATCGACAATCAGAGAATACAACATCATGGCTTCCCCCTCTAAACAGCTTGACCCAAGTGTTCCGGCTCCTGGTGAGCGCGCACAGGCTGAGAGTGTCACCATCGAGGACCAAACACTTCTGCTTCTGGCTAGTCTGATGGAAGGTGGTCAAGAGGATGAAGACACCTGCAAAGAGCTCAACAGTCTCACCAAGCTCCTCAACGATGATTCGTCAGAAGAGACCAGATCCCCGAAGCCTCATAAGCCTTTGTATGAGTTGATCGACGCCGATTCCGTCGACACCATTCTGGGTTATCTCGACATGAGACAACCTCCAACTATTCGTGGTCACGCCACATTGACTACATCTGCATATCTCAAAGCATCTGGAGAGAAAGGTGTTGAACTATTGACTGAGTTCTTCAATGCACGAGTGGGCAAGGCCACTTATGATGATTTTATAATCGCCTTTTCTGTTGCAGCATCGTTATTTCCGGTGGTGCCGGACGTCATATCAACCTTGTTCCTAAGGGAGGGCTTCATAGTCAGTCTCGGGCCGTTGATGAAAAGGAAATGGAAGAGCAAGAAAGTTGAACAAGCCGCTTTGGAAATGCTCAATGCGGCTTGTATGCATACCCAATGCAGGGAAGCCATCAAGAAGTACTGCGCAGAATGGTTGGACGAAATAGTCACCGATGTTCCTCCAACCTCTGCGGACGTCTCGTCTCCGGACAAACTTCACCAAATTGAACATGGATCGATCCAGCAGCGAATTCATTCTGAACAAGTAAGAAATCTAGCAGCTGTTGTCTTGGCCAAGCTTCAGGTAGGTTTCCGGCTGTCCCAGTACCTCATCTTCTGTTTATTGCTATGCTGTGGCAGAGTCTCCCAGTATTCTGACTGACCTCAGGATTGAAGGCTGTTCCTTCACCACCCAGTGCGGGAGAAGAAGAGCGGATACAGCCTGCAACAACAAGCATCGAAGAATTGTCCGACATGTTCCGAACCATGCTCTCCAAGAACACTACTGAACAGAGCTCAATCGAGGGATTAGCATATGCATCACTACAGCCAAAGGTCAAGGAACGCCTAGCTTCTGACAAGCCTTTCCTGAAGAACCTGATCAAAGCACTGGGTGATGCCCCAGCTAAATCACCAGAAACTTATGGAGCGTTAAGCATCCTTCTCAACCTTACAACATATCTCCCAGCTCTTACAGAAGAACAGAAGCGGATGAGTCAACTAAAAGCGTACGCCAATGCTTCAAAATCCTCAAAGCCAGATCCTCTCAACGAGGACGATCATGTCTCGAAGCGGTGTCAAGATGTTTTCGAAGCTGGAATTATTCCAATCCTTGTTACTCATAGCCAGCATGGCTCAACTGCTTCTCTAATGCTCGTCGTTTCAATCGTCTTTTCACTCTCGAAAACCTCCAGAATCCGAGGACAGATGGCCCAGCAAGGAGCTATCAAACTTCTCTTACATGCTTTTTCTGTCTTCCCCTCAGACAACATTCCAGCACGCCGAACAACAGCACATGCACTAGCTCGTATTCTCATAAGCACCAACCCTGTGCACGTATTTGGCGGATCGAACCCCATTCCGATGACATCTTCCATTCGACCTCTTCTTCTACTTCTCGATGACGACCCTGCTACTGAGCAGCGGGATCTTCTGCCCGTGTTCGAATCACTCCTCGCCCTTACTAATTTGGCCTCCACAGACGACACGGCCCGGAATCCAATCATTCGACTTGGCTTTCCACGAATAGAGGAGCTGCTACTATCAAACAACAAATTAGTAACTCGCGCAACTGTCGAGCTGATCTGTAATCTCATGCAAGCACCAGGAGGCGTAACAAAATTTGCTGATGGCGGAAAGCAGGCTAGTCATAGGATGCACATCCTGCTTGCTTTGACGGACTCGGAGGACTTTGAGACGAGGAGGGCAGCCGGTGGTGCAATTGCCAGTCTCACAGAATGGGATACAGCTGTGAATGCAATTCTGGAGAGAGACAGAGGGGTGACACTTCTTCTAGCATTGTGTAAAGAGGACCAGGAGGAATTGAGGCATCGAGGAGTGGTCTGCATCTTGAATATGTTGACAGCACCTGGCAAAGTCGGAGAATGGGGAATTAAAAAGGTGCAGGAGGAAGGAGGTGTTGATGCTTTGAAGGAATGCCTGAAGAAATCTAGAAGTCAGGAGGTTCTGGAGATCACCGTCGAGGCTTTGAAAAGGCTGCTAGGGGAGGAAAAGCCGAGTCCAGCTCTATTGGAAGGGTAGTGTCATGTATTCATCTTACTGCGCAAGCAAAATGAGGCATTGCTTTCCACAAGATTAAGAACGGTGGTTGATCCAGACTGCATACCCACGCAACACGGGCTCCCCCTCACTCGGCCAAACATTCCCTGATTTTCCCTCCATCAAGATCAAGAGATCGTTTCATGCCCCTCAGCTCAAGTCATAAGGCTGAATCTCCTTCTGCAACCTTAATATGAGTCCCCTGCAGTCTCCTTCGCCTACCAATCAAACACTCCTACAAACCAGAGACAAACTCATTGGGGGTGGCTGTGACCTAAATCCTTTCCCAGCATCGCCAATCACCACCCACCACATGAGCCCACCTGACTTCACATCTGCCATTAGTCAAAACGACCCAATAACATTTCCCCAGAATCGGAGATAAGGTGGGCTCAGATCGGGATATTTTTTAGGTTCGTTGCTGGTTGATGAGGTCTGCTGTTGTGTAACTATATTATAGAAGGCTTCATGTGAGAGCCTAGCGACGTAGAAAATGCAATTGGCCACTTGCTTCTCAGGTGGCCAGTGACGAAGTTGTTGTTAGGAGCTGGCGAGGTGATATTTTTTGGCGCTTGTGGAGGCAATGCGTGGCCTTGGCTTGTTTATAGAGAAAGTTTGATTGGACGTGTCATTCGGCTTGCTAGTGAAAGATTGTAGATGTTGTACAGCTTTCCAAAATTTATATATTGTAGAGGAAATCCTTTCCCGGGTCCTCCTGTGACTGTGCGTTGCATGAACCACTCCAAGACAGTCATCTCTATCTTCCAGCAACGCTGCAGCATTTGACATTTCGAGATCAAGATGGTGTCTCTTCGAAGTCTTGCATCCATGGCCGCCGGATTACTGGTGCTCAATGGTGGTACTCTTGTTGGGTAGGTCTAGTCTTCACAGGACCGAACATCCCTTAACACGATTTACCCTCCATCCATTGTGTGAACTCTAAGCTAACTTCTCCAAAGCGCAACCCCAACTCCCTCAATGGAGCTCCACTCTCGTCAGGACTGCACCGGTGTAGCACCATCGCTCGGAGGGCAAGCCTGCGGTGGCACGAATGTTATGACTTGCCTCACAGAAGACACATGGCAATGCCCCAACGGCGATACTGGCGTGGTCCCTCCAGACACCGTCTGCATTTGCAACGCTTTCCGCCATCCGGGCTGGATTCCCAACAACGAGCTCCCAAACCAAGATGGAACAGAATGCCATAAAGGTATCGTCTGTGTTATCGAGGGAGGAACGCAGTTTCGGGTCTGTGGTGTGAGTGGTTTGCAACCACCTCAAGACGTTCCTCCTGTAACTGTCTGTAGAGATGGTGGGATAACTTGACCGTGAGCGTCGTTTGGTTGTTCTTGTATTTGAGTGAACTTGGTTTTGTTTTGGCTAGACAATGTATTATTGTCGAGGTGGACGCTTCGTAACTCTCAAAATGACTTCGTAGAACGAAGGCGACAAATATGAAAGAACTCAAATTCAAACCTGATCATGAATCCCTCGGCTGGTATCACAGTTTCATGCTGTGAGTAACGCGGAGGACGTATCCACCAGATCCTCCCAGAATCACCGACTCCCGAATCTCCCAACTTGCTGGGGGTGTTCTCCATGTTGAGCAGACATTAATTGAGAAAGATAATGAGGAAGTTGAAACTCTTCGACTATGCCCTTCTGGTAAGATGGGGATTACTCTAGACCCCAAGATTCCGATCCTGAAACGTGCATATTCTTCTTTATGCTCCCCAAAAGGATAACGCAAGAATCAGACATCTTAAGATTGTTGCTGAGATCTCCTGTTCTCCGGTGAAAAGGTCCCTGGACTGATGTATAATGTCGTCAGTACCTGGAAGAATATGTAGGCATGCTGAGACCGGTGGAAGTTGTCAGATTTTTGAAACGATAGCATGTCTTTACCTGGAATGTTGCAGGACCAGTCCCTGCCCGGCTCTTCATTGAAAGTGGCCGAGGTAGAGAAAGGACATCCTTGTGGGATGAGAAAGTCTAGAGATCAATGACCACGACCACTGGTTCTGTCTGGTGAGGCCGAGTCAAAGAGAACGGCATTCCAAGTCATAGAGATAGAAATCAACATCGCGAACTCATCAGTAGATATATATCTGATCTTCCCTCCATGGCATCAAAGCCAAGAGAGATCAGCGAAGATCGGCAGAAAGATCCATGCGGGACGAAGAATCCCAAAAGTCCCGATGGTAAGACGAGGCGGCGGCTGCGGTTGGAGAGGAACCGGGTCAAGCAGTCACGACTGAAGTAGTTGAGCCAACACTTTCCACGTGAGATGTCCCTCGTTCAATCCTTCACCAGTACTCAATACACCGTGATCCCTGAAAGTAGGTAGACAGGTTGTTATCCAACTGCCTGCTCTCGCCGAGATCCTCGTGACTCTCGATCTCCCAATAGAAATAGCCCGCACCAAGTCTCAGAGAGTGACAGGCATTATTCGGGGTCCACGAGATGGACCCCGCTGTTGACGGCGTGGCTTGTTCCAGAGCGGCACAAGGATTCGCGTGAGCATCGTGATTGGAGCTTGGAATTGGGATGCTGGAAAAGGATGGGGAACTTGAGAATCAAGGTGTGTGGCCATCATGAGCTGTTATTTAGTGAGCTGTTAAGCTTGTTAATTTAGTTTTTCCCCACTGCAGAAGATGGAAATCGGAGCCAATTAAGCGGCCGGGGGCGCATTTTAGGGTTCCACACACGCACGTCGCCTAGTGCAATGACGTGGGAAACACGCCAGCTCTGGGGGAGAGCTCGGGCAACTTCGAAAGTGGCCCCATTTGTGTGCCCTTGCCACTTGGAAGAATTGCGATGCACGAGTGCTGGCGATAGAGAATGGTGTGGATAAACGAGAACGTGAACGTGTCCTATCTGGCGGGTGGAAAAGGCGGGAGGTGCGGGTGCTTGGTGGGTGCTTGGTGTATCTGGTCGAAATCCTCCCACATTCTGCTTGACGCTCGGAAGTGGGGGCACCCCTGCAAGAGCGCTTGCATAGCAGAACGCGGCCACTGAGGGGCTCCCGCGCTGGACCCCTGGAAGACCCTGGAAGACCCTGAGAGACCTGGAGAGACCCTGGATTCTGAGGGGTTGCAGCAAAGGCACACGCACGGCCATGGGCATCTGGGCGGCCCAGGCAGTTCGCTGCCACAGCCCATCAGCCTGCCTTCCCCCAGAGACGCTCCAGACCGAGGAGGGTACTAGGCCTGGGCATGGAAATTCTCAATTCCCATGCTGCGGCTTCCGCGATCCAGGCCTTTCAGAGAAAGGATGAACGACCCATTCGGCGGTAATTGCTCATGCTCCCGCCAGTCCGTACCAATTCTTCTTCGGGCGCGGCATATAAGAACTGCCTCGTGTGCCTTCAGATTGTGGTCTGGTATCTGTGAAACAAGACCATCCTTGGAACAGACACATTCCTGCGCTTGTCCATACCCTATCGCTACAACTAGCCTCGCATCGCCCCTCATTAAGTCACCCACACTGAGTGCAGTGATTGCCATCTTGACCACCATTGAAAACAAGTCAACGCCGTGAAATCTGACCCGTCCTGATTTGTGCACTTGCATCCTCACACCTTCCCACGATGCCTTCCAGAAATCTATATCTTCGAGCACCAAACGGCGAATTAGAATTGATTACGCCCAGATGCTTCGTCAGTCCCGAGAATAACGTCTTCGACAAAGCTTTCAATACTGAAATTGACATGGAAGAATGGGACGACTGGATGAAATGGGAAGCTTCTGAGCTTGAATTTCCGGAAAGTCGTCGGGAAAGTTTAGCCAGCAACATCTCGTCACCAGAAACTTGGTCCACAGACCACGAAAGTACTGGAAAAGACCAAATCTCATGCACATACACCACAGTCAATGAGTTTCCCGTCGAGGACGCCCCCTTTGAGATTGACGAAACACCACTGCAATCGATCGGCCTCCCGCTTGGTCTCCCAGGCACTCTGTTTCTAGCAAGCCTCCAGCCGCAGCAAGATCTTCGAAGATCATTCCGCGGCTTCTCCTCCCTCACCGAGGCCGAAGAACGAGACCTCCAAGACATCGCCATGCCCTCCCGCATGCTCTCAGCCATCAAACTTGCATCAGAGCCTTCATCCCGAACATCCTCCCAGTCAAATCATTCGCGATCTCCCTCGCCAGAACCCGAAACTCGCACTCGCAAGACCAGGAAGCGGAAGTCGTCAGAGGACGATGACGAAGTGCCCAGCGCACTTTGTCAATCTCGAAAGAGAGGACACAATGCCATCGAGAAGAGGTACCGAACCAACCTTAACGACAAGATCAATTGTCTCCGTCTGGGTATCCCTTCATTAAGTAGACGTTCCAGCTCAGACGTCAAGTCCGACGAAGAAGCAGAAGATTCGAATGAAGACATGGACTCGAAGACTGCGCAACAAAAATACGGAAAAGCAGCTATTTTGACGCGGGCGCTTGAATACATCAAGCATCTGGAGACCACCACACAAAGACTTGGATGTGAAGTGGATGTTTTGACAATTAGAGTGGGAGCGTTTGAAAAGTTGGCAATGAGTGGCAGTTGTATCTTGGATGGAAAGGGTATTGAAGCACAGAGCGTACTAAGCCCTGTAAAGATCGAGACTCTTCAGAGTATACAAGCGGGTATGTTTTGCTCGTGAAATATAGCCCAAGAACTTCTTGCTGACCATCTGCAGATTTCAAACAGATCAAGCCTAAACTCAGGGCTACGTCCACAGCAGCACCAAGAAGAAGAGGCTCAAAGCAAGCCAAGATATGCTAATAGTTGTGAGCGACCGCTGCGGAGGGATAAGATGGCGAACGGCGGTTTGCAATTGGGATTCGAATATCGATTTATGACATCAAAAGGGGCGGTATGCATGCTAGTTGGTTTTTAGCTTTTGGGAGGCTCGACACCTGCACTTCGCTGCCGAGGGATGGAGGCACCGTCATAATATCGACTAGTAATCCACAAATCAATCAATCAACCTCCTCTAAATGGCCCACAGTCAGCGCTCGTGCATGCGAGTCTTGATTGAAGACAAGCTTCCATCAGCAGACTTATAGAGCGTATCTTTAGATCTTCACGTAGAACTGCTCCAGCAGTCAAAGCCAGGATTGGGGCGAGGATCTAGCCATTGTCAACCTGCAGGAGAGCTAACGGAGTGGATATGGGCTTTGCCATGTTTCTTCGAATGATATGCCAGTTGAATTCCGTGTTATGGCCACAGCAAGTCCTTATCGTATGGTACGGAGAGAGTAGAAAGAGGTCTACGTTAATTTTAAAAAATAGGGGTCCAGTCACGCTAAGCCCAATAAGGAACACTATTGTTACTTCACATCAAGGACGACTTCTTCCAAGTCCCTCGCAAATCTCAAGGTTGAAAATGTTGAAAACAAAGCATCAAAAATCTCGTGTCCTCAATAATGTGGACTATATTCTGATATTCAACAAAAATCCATGCATTCTTTCTATCTGAAGTTCGAACTTAAACCACCGCGCAGAACCTTTCTCTCTATGTAGGGGCCCAATCATTTGTTGCCTTGGTAATTACCTCTGGAGGGATATTGCGATGAAGCACCTTGAAGAGATGAAGGACTGCGATCCGATGTAGTATCATGTTGTGATCCTCCCTGCTTGCCTTGGCCAGACTGTCCTTCGGAAGAGTCGGAGCCATCACCTTTTACATTTGTGTATTGAAGGGAAGTCTTGTCAAAGGCTTGGTCCACTTTGATCTGGTTTGCTTGTATAGTGGCGTCCTCCCCCTTCTCCTTTTGTGGGGGAATAATGATCAAGGCAGAACCCGGCTTCAGTTCCTCCGTGAAGAAGCTTACCTCCCCAGAGAAGAGAAGATTGCGTCCGAAAAGGACATCGAACGGAGCGTTGGGTATGACACGAAAGACATTGGCATACGAGATGCCCGTTCCGCTATTACACCATGTTGCCCTGACCGTGGAGTCGGACACAGCAGTTTCACCACTGAAGGTTTTCCATCTTGTGACTAGCCCTTTGGTGACTTCCAGCCTCAGCCGGTCGACAACTTCTTGGGAAATCCAATTCTCGTCTGACCCCGTGTCGTGGGTTGCAATTACGCCGTACCATTGGCCATCGGAAGTGGAGTGCACGTTAATGTAAGAGTACTTTTTCTCGAGCTGAGAAAATGTCAGTGACTAGAAGACAAAAGTAAAGGTCGCAGGAACGGAAATAAGGCGACCTACCAAGATCATGCCATTGTCTGGAGGAGTCGTGCTTGCCCAGTCTTCTGGGCCTATTGAAGCCAATTCATTTGCAAGGTTCGTACGCACTGAAGTCTCGGATTCAGCTCGATTGGCGAAGGCTCCTGTGAATCTTGATGTATCATGGTCCCGGGTCTGAAGCCACTCCTCGTGGTCTCTGTCTAACGGAGTTCGGTTCACCAGGTAATTGTGTTCGTCACCCCTCTTGGCCAACCACTCGAGCACTTCCCATCTGCGGATCTGTTCTTCGGTCGGCATCTTTCTGAATCAGGGACTGGTTCTTGATCGGTGATATGAAGCTGCTGGGAGCCGTTTGAGTCTGTTGCAAGGCTGCAGGTGGTTGTTAATGGCGTCTGAAAGGCCTTACCCAACCTATACCTTAAGTACTTTCCCTCAGTGGATCCTCCATGGTGAAGTTCTGATTCTAAACAAAGTGTGAAAGAAAGCACTCGCGCTGTCAGAGAATCTGCAAAACATTGCTCATCGTTAACTACAAGCGGGACACAATGAGAAAAACAAGACGTGAGGTCTGAAGAACAGAATCAGGCTGCGTCTGTACGATCATAGTAGATGAAGAGGCCTGCTTCTATGACCCTCCTAATGATCATAATGTTTGCCCTGACTCGAGAATCTGGTGCCTGGTGACACTCAATGTGATACAAGAAATAGGACTCGAGAAGCACTTGTTCGGTATCGGCGGACAATCATTGGCAAACGGCTTGCCACGTCTGGGCCGGAAGGATGGGTACATGCAGGTAAAGACGTAGCAACCTTCGAGGCTACAGATTCCATTCCCGCCAAATCATCCGCAGTCCACCGTGGAGCTCATATTGCGCTCATCGCAGAGACGAGCTGTGACTCCTGTTGACTCCTATCCCACAATCACGCCCAAACATAATGGCTGACGAAGGCCACGCCAAAGTTGCGGTGATGATGAGCCACCACAACGATTTCGCTATTTTCAGAAAGTTCAGCAAACTCAACTACCAAAACCTTCTCTATCTCCAAGCAGAATTGACGCACCTGGAGGCAAATCTGAAGAAGGTAGCCGATCGGGATGGAGGGGATCCAAACAGGGAACTCTATTCCAAAGATTGGTGGTTCTTGGCCCAAAACGAGGCGGAGCATGACAGTAGGGAGCAGTGGCAGAAATTCCTGCAAATTCGCAAAAAGTTGAAAGAATACAGTAAACCAGCTCGATGAAGTGGTAGAACCCCAACAACGTACTAACACAATCAGATGACCATTTAGCCCAAGTGGTATTCCTCACATCTCTCAAACCCCCAACCGCCTACGACCAAGCCTATTTATCCGAGTGGCTAAAGCGTCCGAAAATGGGAGACTTTCCTCTTCGCGGTCTCGACAGAAACATTTGGTCCCCCGACTCCACTGATCTCCTCGCTATTCGTCGCCGTACTTCGTCCTCTCCATTTACACGCTGGTTAACGAATACTATAATCCCTTACCTACACCATCACCTTTTCTACCATTTCAAAACACCCGTGGCTGACGATCCCGAGTCGGGAATCTGTCGGTACGAAGAAAAGAAGATAGAGCGGACAGTGGACATTCTCGTAACAGTGCTGGCTTCATTGATACCAATAGCAAGCATCCTGATCCTGTACTTCGTGGCGAACACACTGCATCGATTGGCGATTACGGTAGCTTTTACAGGCATGTTTGCCTTCTGTCTTGCTGTGACCACAAGGGCAAGGAGAGTGGAGGTCTTTGCGGCAACTTCAGCGTAAGCAAACCATGCTCTCTCGCTGAGAGAGATCATGAAGGTACTGACCTCCGATACACAGGTTTGCCGCCGTTCTGGTTGTTTTTGTGACTGGCAATAATGCTGCTATTGCTTGAGGAAAGATTAGATATATATGATAGTAAGTTTGAAGCTCGGGTGGCTAAGTTTAAACATCTGGGTATTGCAAGTGAACCAATATAAAGAAACCAAGCCTATTATCTTGTCCTTTGGTACTTCAGGTAATGTCGCGGTTTCTTAAGACTGCCAACAATCTTTTTAGTAGCATGAAGCTTGAAAGCCAGACGGCTTAGTTACAACCCCAGCGCTCTGGATAAGCAATAGATGGACGGAATCAACACTGTCATCCTTTTCTTTAGTACTTCTGCTAGCTTTGATGCCGTCTCAGTCGAGTCTTCCAGCTTCCTTTGCAGCAGCATTAGAAATCCATCAACGGGCGGTGCAAGTACAAATGCATGACGCTGAAGAAGAAGAAACAAATCTATCCCAACATTCGCTTTAATCCAACGATAACGATTGCCAATGCAACAGCATCAATCATAGCTGGGCTCGGCATCAGAATATTTAGTAGGAGCTTCCGATCTGGTTCAGCAGAGACATAGACGGCGGTTGACAAGCTTTCACGAATCCCTAAGTCACCAGCCTTCTATCACTTCCTCATTACTACTGCCATGACCGCCGCCACCACCACCACCACCACTGCCGAAAAACTGGCGTGTTGAAGGCAACACTGTATCCTCTCGGACCACAGTCGATCCTTGAGCCTGGACTTTGGCTTCCGGTAAAGTTGATTGGCACTCGCCAATATACAAATCACATCACATCACATCCCACAATCACCAAGAGGAACTCAGGATCATATGAAATATCTCTCAATTTTGCAATCCACCCACCTCTCTCTTATCACTCCAGAAGCCAATGCACCACCTCACCTCACCCTCATCCTCCACCGCACCGCAATAAAAGAAGTGCGAAAATCAACCTTGTAGAACGCCACCGCCCATTTGCCCTTCCATTCTCCCACAGATCTCATAAAGCCATATGTACAATGCATCCCATGCAGCAAAAAGGAAAGATGCCTACCCAGTTTGTGATCATTCCACAACGCGCAAGGAGAGTGAAAAGGAGGAAAATATGCCTGCAACAAGCCCCACGCCTCAGGTGTCGGTAAGTAAGAAACGAGGTGCCTAGAGCTCGCGCCTAATATGGGGACCTCGTTCTTTCTGCCTGGACATCTGAGGAACGGGCTCTGGACTTCTATACTCGAACAATCTCGGTGCTTCCCAGCGCCAAAATGAGAGCTGAAACGCCGGGGAAATAAGATACACGGTTATTATCCGTCGTAACGACCGTTGTTCTGGTCTTCCGTTTGGTGGTGATCCTCCCCATCATGATGCAGTGTGACGGAATTGAACTCTTCGAATGGATCCACAGTCTCGTTAGCAGGTGTAGCCAAGCCCGAATCGAGAGGAACGCCCTTCGGTAAAGGCAGTAATGCTCTTCCTCCGCTGATATCAACACTCTCACTCTCTTTGACATTCCTGAAATTGACTGTATCTATTCCCCGTCCTTGGTGTGGGATCATAGGTGGTTTCATGTGTCGGATCAGAGCCCATTGTGTAGTGCGGAAGAAGGGGTGAGTCTTAACGTCCGAGGCACCAGCTCGTGCTCCAAGTCGGCGGTTCTCGTCCTTGATGAGCAGCTTTCGAATCAACGATTTGCACAGACTAGTAGCATGTTAGCAATGAAATCTGACGAATCAGCAGTCAGCTTACTTGGAAATTTGAGGAGACCCAGAGTGCTCAGGGAAAGGAACATCGTCTCTCAGGATATTCGCAAAGGTGGCATTGCGGTTCTTGCCCTTGAAGGGAGTTGTGCCGAATAACATCTCGTAAATCAATATACCAAGAGTCCACCAATCTACGGCACTGGTGTGTCCACAGCCTTTGATAACCTCCGGTGCAATGTACTCTTCCGTTCCAACAAACGAGTTCGTTCGGAAGTTGGCTATGCATGATTTTGTATCAATGGCTGGAAGGTTGTTCGTGTTCGTCGCTCCGTTTCGACCAAGAATCATGGTTGGCTTTCCACCTGGGTCTGACTGTTTCGAGAGATCAAAATCTGATAACATGATATGTCCGGATTGATGAAGCAGGATATCTACCCCTATTAGTTGCGCCTTAAATCTGCAGAAGCTCAAAACTCACTTTCTGGCTTCAAGTCTCTGTAAATGAAACCCATCAAATGGAGGTACTCCAAAGCCGCGGTGACCTCAGCCGCATAGAATCTTGCATCATCTTCCGGGATGCATTTTCCTGGCCGCGTTTGTAAAGCCCTGAAGAACTCCCCACCCGAGCAGTATTCCATGCACAAATACAGGTGGTCCTCCGACTGAAACGAGTGATACAGCGTGACGATGAAAGGGTGATTGCTCGTGGCCAAAATCTCCTGCTCGGCCAGAGCTCTCTTAATCTTGTTCCGCTTGATCATCTCCTTCTTGCTCAAGACTAGGTTGGTCAGCGACAATCCTCTTTTTACAATGAGGCACAAATTATACCCTTCATAGCATACAGCCTGCTGCTCTTCTTCTCTCGAACTAAGTATACCTTTCCAACGTCTCCCTTGCCAATCAACTTAATCTTATCAAAGCTTCCTGGGCCAACCTCAACATTGCGGACCTTGATAGAATTCGAGCTGTATGTTCTCCTGAAGGCCATGGCATTTCGTAGATTCGGTGGTTGTAATGCTCCAAGACCATCTTGTCCAGGTACACCGAGCGAGTTACCATTGAGTGCAGTCGATCTCGAGTCTAACAAAGACAGCATGCTGGTGCTGGCATTTTGGGCCAATGGCTCCTTTCCAAGCTCAGCTGTCGCCGGTCTATCAGCACTCCCTTTCGAGTTCGAAAACATGCCTTGTGCATTCGGTGCACTCGCTACTCTCCTCAATTTCCGAGCCAATTCTTCCTTTCCCGCGATTGTGGCTTGATCGTTCGCACCAGAGACTGCATCGATCTTCAGTGTCGGGGTATCAGGTGGACTTGGAGGCACCGAACCGTCATTGTGATGTCGTAAGGCAGGAGGTCCTTGGTGTGCAAAGTATGGATTGGCATGAGCAGTAGGACTGACTCCATCATCTAACGCATTGCCCTCGCTGGCCACCGTCGTTGATCTGTTTCGGCCAGAGCCTGGGAAGAACTTGGATTGCCGAAAAGAGCTCTTGCTCTCCGACTTTATGGAACCCTCATTCTTCTCGCTGTTGCTGCCGAGGCTGTTGATTCGAAAGAAGTTCTTCAGCTTCTGCGGGAAGGGACTGTGGCCATTTGCGTGCTTATTAGACGTCATTGAGAGGCCGGAGAAGTTTCGCTTCTCGTTGGGAGGAGAATTCGAAGAGAAGCTGTGGAAAACGGTCGTCATCGAGGTCGAGCTGCAGCATTCACGAGAGCTGCTTCTCGTGATTGAGTATTAGAGACGGACAGGAGGCGAGTGAATGAACGACTGTCGTCGTCGACGTCGAAGTTGGACCGTGCTCAGAGGTTGATAATCAGTTCGGATGCTCGAGGACAGGGTCCGGCTCTGAGAGTTTCGGGAGACCGTGGCGCAGTGGAGTGGAGTGGAGTGGAGGACCAGCCGCTTCCGCTAATAAAGGCCCATGATTCTGGCTTGGTAATGGTAAGAACACGAGTCTCCTGAGGAGTGGGAAGCAGCGACACGAGCCAACGTGCAGCGGGCAGTATCGTCTGCTTGGGGTTGACAGAAGCAGCGACACGAGCCAACGTGCAGCGGGCAGTATCGTCTGCTTGGGGTTGACAGAAGCAGGCAAAGAATTAGCGGCCGAAGTTCGTGCAGTTTTCTGGGCGTTGAGAGAGTGCGGACGATGAGAGGAAGAGGCAGGTCTTCATAGGCTGAGCTGAGCGATTTCAGTGGACGACTGGCTACGAGGCGTCCTAGATTCCTAGTCAACCGCTAGGAGGCGGGGGTGCGATGTTCCAGATAGGACAGCAGAGATGCTACAGTCCCGTACGAATATGCCGCGATGATCGAGGACAAAGTCTGTCTATTACAGTAACTGCAGTCGGCAGCAACACGCAGTGGTCCCCTGAGTATTGCAGCTGGGCAGTTTGCAGCCCGCTGGTAGCCTGCAGGATTGTGCTGAGACGAAGCAGCCACGGCTCGGTTACCATTCCTGAGTGCGAGCTGGACTCAGAGGCGTTTGTCGCTTGTTACACGCCTGATCGATCATCGACAACTTCTCCCATAATGCCATTTACAAAGAGCCCATTTTCCAATAGTGCAGTCCTGCGCACACGCAAGCATCCCCCACCCAGCGCCGATAGAATCGATATGGGGGCTGCTCGATCCAGCAACATGGCAATACCAAGTCATCAGGTCATCCATGGCAGTACAGTATCTGCCACGCAAACCTTGCCCCCCTCTTCGGCATCTTCCTTCTCACAGCATGTCACTGAGGAAACAGCCTCCCATCAGCACCGCGCAACCTTCGTGCCAGCCACACCTCCCTTCGATCACGAAATCGCCCATCTGCCTCTCGCCTCCCTCTCCATTCGCCAATTCCCCTTTTCCACCGCTCGGGAGACCTCCTCATCGGGTTTCCGCACCGGCCTTGTCCACAGCATCCATCCAGTCACCAGTGATCACTCAGCTCCACCCTCCACCTCTCCTGCCCTCTGCATCACGACCCCCTCTTCTCCTAACCTAATTACCAATCCATCCTCTGCGGCTGATGATCTCATCGCACGTCCTGCATTAACTTTCTCGAATACGACGAAGAGGAATGCCTGCCTTTGGCAAGTATATCACAATATCCCATCCTGTGATATCGTTTGAGGCAACGCTCCCCTATTAAATAGTTTATTTGATACAAGTAATCCGCAAGTTTTGCCTCATAAAAAGGATGCCGTATTTTCAAGTTTCATACACGCCGAGGGTAATCCGATTGAACCCCACCAGCCAAATACATCACTCGAGCCTTACCTCATGAGCGCAACACACACCCCTAAACCTTCAAGATAGTAAGAGCGTCGTTCCAAGGTCAAAGTAGATTAGACTTTACCGCCAACTTCCAGAAGTCTTGTGCTGCACCATTAATAAATTTTGCTGGTGGCTAGAATCTCTTTGCACAGCCACATGTCAGCTTTAGGGGAAAAGGGGTCAATCGAAACACGAACCAAACTACCCACCATTGTCCAAGTCACATGAATCGAGCCTGCAAGAGATATAGTAAAAGGTTTTTTTGTGTGACCATCAGTCTACTCCATATTCGGTCGGGTTGAATGACAGCATTGCCCCAGTTTTGTGCCATGCAAGCAGAAGCCTTCGCAACATCTCCACCGAGCTCTGAAATCACCTATTACCACTTATCGACCCTGATGCTTCAACAGAAACGCAAAATAATCCTACAACAATAGTTCATACATGGCTGTGGGCAAAAGCCGTGGAAAAGGGCAAATGAGGGGAAATGAATGTTGCCATGCAAACAATATCAGTATCGATACAATGTATCGGCCTTTATCTCCCAGCCCCCAGCCCTTGAGCCCGAAAGTTGAGGTGTGAGAGTTGCATAGACAGGTAGAGTGAAGAACATAGATGCAACCAGTGACAATACCGGGCTTAAGATTGCTGGGATGGATTGTTGATACAAGACCGTGAGAGACCGTGACAAGTGTGACCTCTTCTCGGCACAAGACGACCGCTATTATCAAGAAGAACCATCACACAATGATCGCTGCAATGAACTCCGGAAGGAGGGAGTCAGAGATTTACCAGTCAGAACCAGAGACAGGGCCAGTGCCGCTATCATCAGTGTTCCATTGCTTCTCGAGTAGCTTTTTGTCGGCCTCGTCCTTCTGGGTAAGATATCGCATGTACTCCTCGGCTCCCATGGTCTCTGCAGGCGGAGGCGTCGGTCGCTGGAAACGATTTACGTTCAAGGGACGGTTCTCTGGCAAGGGGTTGGCTGAAATGCTCGGAGCAACACCAGAGTCATGCGTAATTTCAGGCTTCGCCGTTGAACGTTCGCTGTCACGCTCACCCGTGGCGAAATTGACCATAGCAGGCGCAAGAGAGGCAGCCGCAGAGCCGCGGTACTGAGGCAAGTAACCATGAGCTGTTGCTGATGAGATTGCTCCCGACAGGGCTGGACTGGTCATTTGTGTTTGAGTGGTGTTCTTCAGCATGTTCTGCAAGAAAAGTGTCTGCTGCTCAATGCTGTTCCAAAAATCAGCCAGCTTGAACATGTCTTCCTGAACAGCTTTGACTCACCTTCGGAAATTCTCAACACGTTCGGCAAAGCTGGCCTCGTGAGAAGTTCTTGGCGAGCGTGTCTTCTGCGGTAAAAGGTGGAACTCAACCGATGAATTGTCACTAAATGCATCATTCTCAACAACTTCAGCGGTGGTTTGCATCTCGGAGTTAACTCTTCCAGTCTCTAATTCCCGATCACTCTCGCTAGGAGAACCAGGGTTTTTGGGCGTAACAGGCTCCTTCTCAAATTTCACCAAAGACTCCGTCGTGTTATTGTGCAGTGGAGATGGCGACTTGTATCCCGGCACTCCACGCTCGAGGAACAGATGAGAGAAGTCTTCAGTGACTGGTGAAATGACCAAATTGCGAGCGCAAGTGGGACGAGATGGAGTTTGTGGCTGTTGTGGGAGATCTTCAAGACGACTATCGTGGGTCGACCAATGGGACAGACCAGTGAAACTGGGATGGAATGACAATGATCCATATTCACCATGATCAGGAGTTCCGAAGCTGGCTGGCTGGTTGGGAATACTGACTTGATTATACTGAGCAATTCTTTCAGAAGGGACAATGCGCTGGGGCGACGGTGCTGGAGAATCAAACAGTTTTTCGAAGTTCAGCTGGGGAACTATTGCACTGCTGCTGTTGCTCGGAGTGACAGTTGCCAATTGGGCGTCTTGCTTGACTGGAGATGGTGGATAGAAGTCTTTGCCATCGAATTTTGGCAAGCCACTCTGGACAGAACGAGGAGCCTTTCCCCAATACAAAAATCGTGCACGAACCTCGTCTTGTGTGAGGTGGCGGGGATAGACAAAGTCCGAGTCTTTAACCTGACTGGCAGAAACACCATTTGGAGGCTTACCAACAAGATATGGTACTGCGTTCGGAGAGATGATCGGTGGGCTCGCCGGAGCCATGGTTGTTGTTTCGCCATGGAATGTGTTGAACTTCTGGAGCACAGGAAGTGGTGCTTCGATCTGGCGTTGGTTGGACGATTCTTGAACACTTTGAGTCCTAGAAAGCGTAACATTCTTCGTGGCAGCAGGGAAACCACCATAACCCCAGTCAGTAGAAGACTTAGCCAGAAGACGAGCTTCAATCTGGGCTTGCGTCTCGAAAAGAATATCTTCGATAGGCGAAGTTACAGCAGATCTCGAGGTCTCGTTTGCGAGGTGAGATTGAGAAGCCTGCGCAATTGCAGCTTGTGTACGCGGCTGGAATGGCGGTGCCATTGCAGCGGCCATTGTCAATCGGGACTTGGTGGTAGAGTCAGATCGAGCGAGAGGCTTCTTGTTACCATTACTCTGCTCGATCTGGGGGGTCTCAGTCTCAGCAGTTGGCTTTGGTGAATCTCCCTGCGCACCAGTAGACATAGAAGTATCCTTGGACGGTTGAGCCACAATTGTGTTGTTTGAGGTGAGACTGGGCATTGTGATATCCTTGCTGGATGGGACCGATATGCCTAAGCCGCCGTGCTCGTCTCGGCGTTGAGCAATCATTGCACCCTCTTGAGCAAGCTGGGTCTCGAGCATGGCCTCCAAGTTACCGATCTGACTGGCGATAAGGCCGCGCTGATGCTCCATGAATGACTCCTCAACTTGGTGTTTGTTGTTGCCCATTTTATGTTCCATCTGCTTGAGGCCACTTTGGAGGAATTGAATTTGAGATTTGACGAGTTCCGTAATTGAGACCATGGTCGGAGGCAGGAACGGCAGGTATGGCGCCAGCGAGGGTACATTATCTGCAGGTTGCAACCCATTAGGTACTACCATTGGGAGTTGCTGGCCTGGTGGAAACATGAATGGGTTCGCCATGCTCGCCAAGGTACCTGGAAACTGAGGCGGATAGAATCCTGTGGGAGCAGTCATGGGATTCTGAGGCAAGAAGCCCGGGTTTCCAAGCATGGACATGGGGACAGGAAGCGCGCCTGGAGGAGGCTGAAATCCAGGTTGTACTGGGTAGACTAAATGACCATTGTACATGAATGGCTTGGTCTGGTCGAATTGAGTGGGTGGTGAGATCTTGATCTGCTGTGGCAGGGAGTTGGTTTGGTGAGAAGCAGCAACATTCTCACCACTAACTGGCGGTGGTTGACTATTGGTGGTGAGAAGGCCAGGTTGGACCGGAGGAGACATTGTGGCCATGGCGATGGGGTTTGCCCGTGGCAAAAGATTGTAGTGAGGGAGGAAACCGCCTGGAATCGACGGCGGGAATCCCTGAGGAGGTGGTGCGCTATGTTGCCAGGAATTTGGTGGGAGGTTATGGTGATCTCGATCGGGTTCAGTCTTTCTGGTCTCAAAATGGAACTTTTCACCATTCCACTCAAAGACAGGCGGTGCCGATGTGCGCGTATTTGGTACAATACGACCACCAGCAGTGACCCGAACGTGAGTAGGAGAAACAACAGCTCTGTAGAATCTCTGGAAGTTGTCCGATTGTTGCGCAGCTACGCCAGTTGGTGCAGAATGAGGTTGGGAGGTTCGGTCGGACGCGTCTCGGCGACGGAAGTTCCACTTGACCTCGTCAGAGCTGCGATTCGCCTTTCTGGAGCTAATTGTCTGGTATTCACTCTCCTCCGAGGATTCAACCACGTGTCCTTTGATCATGTGCTGTTTGTTCCGTCCATTCGTGACATCCACGAGGCTTCGAGACTCACAAGTGAATCTGTCCGGGTCTCTAAAGGCTTCCTCAGGAAGTCGCACGATAGAAGCTATAGGTAGATGAATTAGCTGATGACTTCAGGAAATCATATTTGAAGACAATACCGATGTCAGGATGCCTGTTGAGCTTATTGATAACACAATTGAGCACTGGAAGGGAGGATCTCAGATGGAGCAGCTCGTCGGGAGAGTAACGAGGCGCGTCGATTGAGGAAGATCGTGTCGTCATCTTGATTTCGGTGTTGCTCATACAACAGGCCAGAAGTGGGCGAGGCTGTGGATGCTGAAAGTGAAGTGGATTGGTATATCGGCGCGGTGCCAGGCGAATGCCTCTTGAATGTCGGCGGTACACAATTCGACCAGGAAGACGTAGTACAAAGCGTTGCTAGCCGTGTTGGTGGGATGCCGTCTGTGGAATCTTGGAATGCCACAGTCTTGGAAAAGCCTGATCTCTTTGTTAGTCTTGGATCGTCTAGATTATCTCTCCCACAGTAGCAAATGCCTGAAACATCAACCTTACCTGGTACACAGGTGGCACAGACAAGGTCAAAATAACGTAAAGAGTAAAGTTGAGGAGAGCCAGCCTTGCCTTCTTGCAACGTATCAGCTGCAAAAAAGAGCGCGATTAGTGGGTTACGAAAGCGGAAGAGCGTGACCTACCAAAAACGCGAAGGCAAACCAACTGGTATTCTCGATGCTCGTTCCGAGGCGACGTGTTTTAGAGTGAAAGATCCGTATGTCCTTGGAGTCTTGATTATGAGGCAGCAAAAGGAATGTAGGGCAGGAAATTTTTTAGAGGCCGGTGTTGGGTGGAAGTTGGAGAAAGTCGCAAACCGACCTCACTTGAACGGCCAGATCGCGTTTCGGCAGGAGCGATGAAAAACAACAAAGGCAGTATTTGCAGTAGGAAAGCGCATCTGAGAAACGGCCTTCGGGTACCCGTAAGTGCAAAGTGATTATTTTTGCAAAAAAATCCACAGCGGCTGTTCGCATATCCTGCCTGCATTCATATTCTCAAGCAATTACTGGAGCAGCTCACTCAAGACAAACAAAGCCAAGCAGAATACACTCATGCAGAGTAGTGTGAACTTGGTGATGTTGAAACTGCTACTTCATTGCCAAGGGAGAAAATATTGATGCTCAACTACTTGATCTTCCTACAGAGCTCCCTTTTGTGCAATGATGCCGAACTAATACATCAGCTCTTTCTGGCAGCAGACTCGTAAGGGAGCATTGCACCAGAAGCAGAGTGGCAAGAAAGGTGGGCCGGCGAAACAATTGGGCTTGTGTACTTTACGTGGTGTTTGCTCCAGTGATCTGGACTGCCAAGCTGGCAGTGTCCTCTTCAGCGTGGCTCTTTAAATGCATGGTGCAATCTGCACCAAGTCGAGAAGATTAAAGAACGTCGAGTTCAACTTAAACCCCCTATTGGTGGGTTTAATAGTTATGTGCTCGAGGATCTGTCGAGCTGGGGGGTATCATCAGCTCGCAAGAAAGCAGTGTATGGCGTTAGAGAAAACAATTGAGTTCAGCAGAATCCACTTTTACCCCTACGTGTCTAGCAGCTGAAGAAATGAGCTTTGTAAGATTTGTCAGAGGGGCAGCAGTCGTAGGAGAAATGGCGGTCTATGGAAGGTCCGTGGACAATGGGTAAAAGCGAAGGGTAGGGCACCGCACCGCATCTTTATATTAACATGGTGGGGGTCTGCAAGATGTACCCATGGCAGCAGAGCCGGGGCCTACGCGTTGACGGAAGGTTTCCTAGGAGGAGAGCACGAGGCCAGAGCGAGATCGGAGGACGGTATTCGATGGCAATCTGACAAGCTGACCTCTTCGAGCACTGTCGCCGCATCTGCAACAGGGAAGTCAGGCTGTCTTTACGGAGCAATGTTGGCAGGGCCGGCAGTGGGTTTCAGAGCATTCCATAACCAAACCGGGGAGCCTCGGAGGTTGGGAGTGAAGTGTGTTTACAAGCGACAAGCGCCACCCGAGGGGTCCAGGGTTTCCCTCATCCCCACGTGATGACATATTTTAGCGGTCTTTTCGAGGGATGGCGGCAACGTGGCAACGTCCTCAAGAATGACGGCTCCTCCCGAACGTTATTGCACTCTAGGATTGACTCCGTATTCAACCGCCTCCACTCCTGAGCCTGAGCTGCTGACACAGAGCAGGGTCCAAAAATGGGCCACGCTCTTAAGATTGTGGAGGTCACAAACTCAATTTGATTCTGTCAGAACTCAGATTTGGCCCCTCCATCCAGTTCAGACGTTCTAAGAGCGGCCTTCTGTCCTGCCTGCAGCGACTTTATGCAGCTCTAACAGGCTCGATCAGCTGTGGCCATCCCATTTGATCTTCCGAGCTCACGCAGCATGCGCGGCCCCATTCTTGCATCATCGAGTCCAAACCATCAGGGTAGTGGACAGTCCTCCCTACTGATTATTGGCTCGATTAGCACGAATTGTTGACCTTCCCCAGCGCGTTCTCCCTGTCCAGCGTGCAAGTGGCCGTCAGGAAAGGGACCAATCTGGATTTTAAGCTCTTTTTCGTCAAGCTTTCGGGCAAAGATGGATGAGCCAATGAGTTCCTCTTTCTGTCCGGGGTTTGATCTTCTTTTTGTTAAGCATCTCCCTAGTATCTCGCCTTTAGTGTTGGAACTTGTTGTCTTCTTCTATCTATGCCTCGCACTGTCGGTGGTTAAATTCCGTCATCGTCTGCCCCTTGGTGATGATATTCGCCGAGAGTCATAGCTGGCCGATACCCGTCCAGAAAATCAGTGCTGATGAACGTATGCTGCACTGCTGGTGCTGTGGGGTCCGGAAAGTGTCCCTGGATATAAGAACCTCCTTTGATCCCATGGCTCCCAGTCCGTGGTATTACCAAGTTTGCGAAATGGAGCTATCAGGGTTCTTAAAGTGCAGATGGCGGGCAAAGACTGCAAATCTTTGAATGTGGTTTTTTTTTGGGCTATTAGTGCTAACGTTTCATCCGCTCAAATGCTCGTTCGAGGACTTGCCTCCATTAAAATGTATCTCGGTCCATTCTGGAATGCTAGCAAATCAGAGTCTGTGCTCTGTGGGGGTGTCCAATCCCTCCCAAAATGAGTGTCGTGAATTTACATGATTCGCTCCGCAGAAAAAGTAGCAAAGAAAGAAGACCAGTCAACCCCACACATTCTGGCCGGGTAGTATCGCTCTAGTGAAGGTCCATCGAATCCGCCTCTGTCGAATCAGGCCTCTCCTCTCCGTTGGAACTGTGGGAACGTCGATTGATCTAATCCATCTCCGTAAGGCTTAATCGAGATGAACGCTGGTGCCGGTCCAGCTTGCTGCACCGGCCTGACCTTGGGGTCCTGCTTTGGAAACCCTCTGGGTATCATCTATTGCTGTGAAGCTCACAGCTGAAGGTCCTGTTGCGGTGGGAAAAGGCTGGGATGGCAGGTCTTTCACTGCCCATCCACTATCCGCGTCGCTGGCGGCAATAATCTCCATAATCGTGTAGTGAAGGGAGCCGTTTTCGAGCTGCGGTACGTATACTTCTCGAGAGATGCGAAAGGGGCCAGGCATCATGGATACATCCGAATCACGTCCGTCTGCCTAACAGGGCGTTAGTTTATGCCTTTCCAGCACGAGGAGTGAGGGCTTACAAGGCAGTGGGCACAGGGCGCATTGTTGACCCAAACCCAGTTGGGGCAATTGTAAGTCAACCAGTACTTGCATCTGTACTTATAATAACCTCCGGAACCACTCATTTTGATGGACTACTACCCGCTGGCAGTAAAGCGTTTTGATCCACGAGATTGTGGCGTAGGCGGATTTGACAATGTCAGAGTCCTAATAGACAAAATCTAAGGTCCAGCAGCTTGACAGGAGTAGCACTGAAGAGAGGAAGTCGAGACCTCAACTCAAGAAAAAGAAAAGAGATCGCATGGCAGGATATATAGGCGGTCTGGCCCATGCCTCGCCCCGCAGCCCCCTGCCCCCTGCCCAAAGTGGTTGCTCAAAATTCCCCGGCCATGTTCTGTTCGAGGCAGCCCTATTATTACAGTACGGATGGCGGGCTGACAGCGGCACCTTGCCCTGGTCCACGCCCTCCCGGAGCTTACGAGGCTACCCGAGAACATCTGGGTTTTAGAGCATTTCGCCAACAATTATCCACTAACGCGAACTTTGATAATTTTACCTTATCCGTTCCGTTGCCGCAGGGAACGGACTTTCCTCCGCGGATTTTCTCCTCGGTTTAATCTGAAATAATCTGCCACGCAGAATGATAAAACTTAATTCCTCTTTGGGATATCTAAGTTACCCCTTTTAAAACAATCGTCCAAATGTTCGTTTAACTCGTATAAATATCTAACTAGGGCAAATAAGTTCGCAATGTGGGACTTTTTGACGTTCTTAACTTTTAGCGAAACTCGTTCCTGGCGGCAGCGGAACGGATACCCCAACTATTTAGAATAAGGTTTTCAAACTCGATTTGGTTTCTTTTATCTTATGTGCTCGAGTTTGAAAGCAGTATGCTTTGTGCTATTATAAATAGAAGGCAAAGTCATTGACTTCCGTTTAGCGGGTCCTGGACATATCGCAAAAAACACAGACTTTCTCTCGGGTAGGCTCGTTTAGCGAAATTCGCTGATGGAGTGTGCTGGTGGCATCCCCACTCCGGGCCAAGAGCTTCGATGATGCGAAAGCTGGAACATCGTGTGCTGGAATTTTCTCTCTGCGTCCGACGCCGCCGTGCAATCACTCCATCATGAAACAGCAGCACGATTCGATCGCTTGCCCTAAACGGAAAGGCAAATTGACTCTACTTGCAGACGTACTTTTTGACGGCATCACTCGATCCAGAAGCTTTCCAGGCTCAGCCATGGCTGCCTCGGCCGCCTTATCTTCCATTCAAGGTTCAGGAATCGGGATCCACAGATGTTTTTTTCACGGCAATGCATCAGCCATTAGCCCATATTCTCTCGTGGTTTCACGGAGCATCCATTTGCGGATGGGTACCAGGCGAAGTACCTCCGTACCTATGTACGAAGTCATTCATATCATAGGTTGGAAAGCATGTCGAAGGTGGTGGACTGCATTGAAGGTTCCTCATCCAAACTCAATGGAGGTTCGGCACAGTGAGCGGCTGCACATCCAGGCCCTTTGTTTAGCTTGGCTTATTGTGGACTCATGGGGGAGAACCGATTGAACAAGACTACTCCCTGCACGGCGAGTCAAGAAGGGGTCGTCCTCAACCCTGGAGAAAACGCCATGTGTCTGAACCTTGGGGATCATTGAAATTGATGATCCCTTTCTGATACCGTGGTATTGCGGTTGTGGAACAGTATCACACCAAACCATCAACCCTGCGACTCATGCACAGCAATGTTCCAAACAAAAGTGGGTGTGTGGAGATAGGCAAGGATCTCCTGAAGTGTGAGCCTGCCATCAGTGCCATCACAGTCGTCCCCCTGTCTTTTCCCACGTGTCTGCGAACTGTGTCAGTGCGCTGGCAGACCGCCACGGCTTGTTGGGGCGGCATGGCGCCTCCGAAGCTCGAAGAAGGATTACTCGGCTCCACCTTCGAAAGGGCCTCCAAAGTCGCTGGCCACCACCTCTAAGTTGCTACTGGAACGAAGAGCCGGAGTCTTGGGAAGCGAGAAAGAGGGGTAACAAGAAGAAGTCCAGGCCGTCTTTCGGGATCTTAAAGAGCAGCAATCCTCGGGCCGTATGGTGGTCTCCGGCTCGTTCGTGCCGTTGTCAAAGACTTCTTTAGTGGCCGTTGGCGGGCCGCTACGCCATACAATGAGAATTAAATGGAGCGACCGCCACAGACAGGGTGTGAAAGCCAATGAGAGGCTCGTGTTGTTGGCTCTCTGGTCTGTGCCAGCCCGGAACTTCCGTGCCTCACCACATTTACCAAGGAATTCCCATAAGATGTTGTACACTTAGTTCACGCTATATCGGCGATGACGTCCAAGGAACTTGTGCGCAATCAACCTTAAAAGTGCAAAGACCCCCAAAAGGGACCTACTTCAGCAATGAACGTCTCTCGTCTGGTCACGCAAATGGCTCGGCAAATTACCCCCTTTTCTGGGTTCGAAATGGCGCCACAACGCCTTTGCTCGTCGAATCGCTGGAAGAATTGACCAAGTTGAGGGCCAGCTGCTTGTCGAAAGACTTGCTTGGTGGGAAAGGAAAACCGGTGTACGAGTTTTCATGCTATTAACTCACAATTGTAGCAAAAGCCCTTGCCCCGCTCTTTGGACTTTGATAGCTCGAGTGCACGCAACCCACACCGGTTCCACCATAGCACTACAATCATGAGGAAAATTTATGCTGCGTTACCCACGGATCGACGATGGTCGAATGGTTCAAGACGGGGGCGTCAGGGATGGCCAAGTGAAGTGCCGGGCTGAAATGCACGTCTGCTGCTGTGTACCCTATGGCGTTCTGCGGTATCACCCTGCCCCCTCTCCCACGAGAGGCGAGCTGATTGTGTAAGAAAGGGTTCCGCGGGCAGGGCTGGACGGAAACAATTACTGTTCTCAGCAATCAATAACTCTACAGAACCACATGTCAGATTACGTCGAAATCAGATACTTCCCCTCCCGACTGCCCATCTCGACTTGTCAGATAGACAACTGGGCAAATTACAAAATAATCTCAATCAATCAATCAATCAATCAACCAATCGAAATCGAAATCGAAATCAAACAGCCGTCTGGTGGTCCAAGCACATCGCCAAAAGAAGAATGTGGGGGAATCCGACCCTGAGCGGCGTCCCATCACATGTAGTCCTCTTTCCATTCCCAGGGTAAGCTGCCTTGAAAAATTGGATCTCGAATTATTGCCAGCAGGGCTCGTGAAGCAGCCGGCAGGTGCCGAGTTCCACAAGTGGCATCGAAGAGGGGTATCACAGAGAACATCAGGAAGGCGGCAACGACGATTCTGCAACTAGGCTGGTCACGGTACACAACGTCTCCTCACATGAAAGCCCTCGGATGACTTCCCATTCGACACTACATCATCAACTCACCACCCCGCAAAATTGGAACCAGAGCCATTTCCTGGTGGTTTCCAGACGCGCAATAACCGCGCCATAAACGTCAGACATGCACAGCAACTATTACCAAATTCAACAAATTTGTCACCTTACACTCGTGCGTTATGGAAGATGTCGGATGCTTTATGCTATTGCTTTATGTTGATTGACGCAGCCTGCGAATTCGGAGGCTAGTCAATTACTCCACGCTCTCCATGCAACAGATTTCTTCCACAGATTGGATCTCTATCCTTTGGCCGGCCATCCAAACCTCTAGGAACTCCGCATAAAACAATGTCTAAACCATCTGCCCCAGATTTGAAACTCCCTATGCGCGGGGGGTAACGAAAAAAAAGAGGAGGGGGGGGGGGGGACACAGCAAGTTCATCGCCCTCCTTTCATGGCCTGTTTTCTCTTGATCTTGTCCAAAGTTCGCTGCAATGCAATCTTCACCTCTCCCTTTTGGAAGGTTTCGAGATCGTAGTAAGTAGGTGCGATATCCTATCAGCGAGTCAGCAAATGTTCAGAGGCGGAAGTAAACAAGCTGAGCTTCAAACAGGGGACTCACCAACAACCACTCCGGTCTAACAGAGGTCACCGTGCGGACATAGTTTTTCGTCGTGAGCACAAACTCGTTGTAGACAACCCACTCACTATCGACGCCAAGAACGGTACTTGGGTGCAGCAAAACGCTCTGATCATCTTTGACAGTTTTGTATGTCTTTCCTGACCCTTCTTTCTTTGCGACCTGCATGAAGAAGCCTGCAACCAATGCACGCCGGATGTTGGTGTAGTAGTCCTTGTCATTGAAGTCGGTGCTGACCAGATCCAACTCAGCTTTCTCCATGATCCGCTTCAATTGCTGGCGTACGTCGTCCGCAGACTGGAGTGCTCGCAGACTGATGAAATGCTCGTGACACCATCGTTTGGGATCTGCTTGCGCCTCTGGGCCCTTGAATGCGTGGTAGACGTTGAGCATCGTTAGGTGATCGCCATCTGGATGTGCGAAGAGAGCCTTCATTTCATCGGCACGTTTTCTTGCGCTGGCAGGTCGGACGAATATTTGCGGAACTGAAAGCAGGGCAGTGAGGGAGAGGATTTCGTTGGAGCAATAGAACTCGGGCGAGGAGATAAGCATAACAGCAAGGGATGGATCTAGCGGGAATTCCGAAGCAAGTTTGCCGAGAGCAGTGAGGTCTCCATCATCATCGAGACAGGCGAGATAGTTTAGTTCCTCGAGGGCTCGCATGAGGGTCTCGGGAGCCGGAGGGTCCATAAGGTCAAAATGCACCAAATCATCGATACCCAGCTTCTTGAGCTCCAATACAGTGTTTGCCAGGTTGGATCGAAGAATTTCCGGATACGTTTGCTCTATGAGCTCTTTCTTGAAGGCAGCCTCCGTGTACAATCGGAAACACTTCCCAGGGCGTGTACGACCTGCACGACCAGCTCGTTGTTGGGCAGAAGCTTTCGAAATGGGAGATACGAGCAAAGACTCGACTCGGATGCGAGGGTTGTAAACCTTCTGCTTACTGAAGCCAGGATCAACAACATAAACGATACCATCAATGGTCAAACTGGTTTCGGCAATGTTTGTACTAACAATGACTTTTCGTCCGGGGCGACCTCCAGATCGGGCTGGTGATGGTGCAGGCTCGAAAATCCGCTGCTGCTGTTGTGGAGGCAAAGTGCCATAGAGTGGGTAAACTTTCAATGGTCCTGCATCAGCTTCTCTGATCATCTCATCTGCTTCTAAGCTGATCTTCCTGCATGCATCTTCAATCTCCTCCTCTCCAGTCAGGAACAGTAATATATCTCCTTCGGGCTCTGTGGCGTGAATCTGGAGGACTGTTCGCAGTGCAGCTTCGACATAATCCCGTTCGGGCTCGGGTGTATAAAAGATCTCAACCGGATGTGTTCGTCCTGGAACAGCCAAGAGAGGCGCGTCGTTGAAATACCGCTGGAACTTCTGTGCATCAAGAGTGGCTGACATGATGACGATCTTAAGATCGGGACGTCTCATTGCGACCTCTTTGAGCAATCCCATTAATAAATCCGTTGCGAGGGTACGTTCGTGAGCTTCATCAAGGATGATGCAGCTATACCTTGTCAAGTTGTGATCATGCATAGCCTCTCGTAGAAGCATACCATCGGTCATGTATTTGAGGATCGTCTTTGGCCCAGATACGTCTTCGAATCGAATGCTGTATCCGACCTCGTCCCCCAGTTTGACATCCATTTCGTTGGCCACACGCTGCGCAACGGACATTGCAGCCACTCGCCGAGGTTGTGTACATGCCACCAGCTTTCCATTGAAGTGAGGGAGATCATCGAAGAGGACGAACTGGGGGATTTGTGTAGTTTTACCAGAACCGGTTTCACCAACGAAGACAAGAATCTGGCTCTTGTGAAACATATCAAGGAATTCCTGTCTACGAAAAGGTCAATAGAGATACGAGGGGCGGACATTCAAGTGACTGACCTTTGCTTGTGGACCGGAAGATCGCGTCTAGTCTTTAATATATTGAAGTATTGCTTCGAGAGTGGTGTGTTGTTGAAAGGGTTGTTTGGACCGTCCTCCGCCTTGTGCGCCTGTAAAGCCGTAGTAGCATGGCGCTTGAAATCTGAGAGTCCAGTGCGAGCTTTGGTGCCATTGCCATTTGATGTGCCGTAGCCGTTGTAATCAGATTCATTTTGAGCTTCGTACATATGCGCCAGGTAGGGGTTCTGGGAAGGATCATCAGTCCTCGGACGCTTTGCGCGAGACATCTCTTGTTCTTCTGGACGACGGTCAGCCATGGTGTTGGGTGCTGACAAGGAGTGTTGATGTGTTTACTTCAAGGTTGTGACAAGGCTGAAGATTCTCCGCAGAACTTTTTTTATCTGCCTGCAATCAACAGGCGTTTGCGCTTAATCTTGATCACGTGCGTGGCCCTCGACATCAACCGCTTCTCCACCATCATATCAGAACATTCAACATCCATCATGGCGAACGCAGACTCTCCTGATCCCTCGAAGGATCTCCTTCCAGTCGATAAGAACGATGAAGAGGTCGATCCTCTTGCGCCGGCTCCCGAACCAAAGCTTCCGACGCGAAAGGATGCGTCGCTGAAGGAGTTCCTTGCTAAGATGGATGACTATGCCCCAATAGTAAGTGAGCCCATTTCATGCACGATGTTCATTTTAACCTGGTGTAAAAGATTCCCGATGCTGTTACCAACTACTACCTTACAAAAGCCGGTCTTCCTCCACCGCCTCAAACCGACCCACGCCTGGCTCGCCTTCTTGCGCTCGCTACTCAAAAGTTCATCGCAGACATTGCTGCGGATGCTTACCAATATTCTCGGATTCGGTCTTCAAACTCTTCTAATGCCAACAATCCGATGGGCAATCTAGGAGCTGCTGCAGGCTTTCCCGTGCCCGGCCAACCTGCGGCAGCGCCTGGTAGTAAGGAACAGCAAGGCAGAGGTGGGCCTTTGGGTATTCAACGTCCAGGTTATGGTGGTGGTGGTCAAGGTGGTAGCCAGAACCGGACCGTCCTGACGATGGAGGATTTGGGAATGGCAGTTGGGGAGTACGGAGTCAACGTCAAAAGAGGCGAATTCTACAGATGAGGAGTTTAGACATGCGATTTGGCTTTGGGAGAGATAAATTGGGCAACCTGATATGGGTGGCGTTTCTCAGACAATAAGGCGTTAAGGAAGGCATTGGTATGGTGTCGCTGAAGCCTGCCATTTGGGCGTGATTTGTCAGTCAATGACTGAGGACTCTTCGGACGGCGGCACAACAAATGAATTGGGATATCTCCATGCCATGTCGCAGATAATTACTTGTGACTTCTTTTGACTGCTTGTAGTTTTCCATGACCCTTTCCCTCACAAGATATGGCTGGTGGACCCTCGACAGACATGAAGCCATAATCGGCTCCTTCCCCTCCAGTGTGGCATGTAGGAATCTCATGCCTCGTAATATACAATACACTTTAAGCCATTTATGATACGCCCAAAATCCCATTGACAATTCTGTACTTCCTTTACAACGCCATCGCCAAACGTAAATCGTCTGATCTATTTGTTCTTGCTTTGCTTGTATGAGAATGGTTTTCTCGTCCTAGATACCAGTTATAACCCAATTCTTCCTATTGTAGTTCAGGAAGGTCTTGCGGTGAGAATTCCCCTAGCTTATGCCCGACCATGTCTTCTGTTATCTCGACATCGACGTAGTTTTTCCCGTTGTGTACCTGAAAAACCAGTCCCACAAAGTTCGGCAGAATAGTCGCTGATCGGGCTTGAGTCATTATAGGTGGGACTTTCTGGCCTGGGGCAACTCGTTGAATTGGGAGTCTGGGAGGTGGGTAAGAAGGTGAATGCTGTCTGGAGCGTCTGAGTGTCTTACGGTACAATATTTGGTCCTATTAATGGTCAGCAGTTGATTTAGAGGGGGCGAATCGGCGGATATCACCATACCTTTCCAGACTGAGCGCGCAAGAAGCGCTCGTGTGGGAAACATTGTCCAGTCAAACCTTAGGGTCAATGTTGAATCTCGTCGTCCGAAGATGCCTCAAAATTTCCCTAGCTCGCTAAATTTACAGGGGCTGGAATTGATAAACGCGCTAAATTTACCTCGCGTCTCCCCAAGGCTGCGAACATAAAAGGAAGATCACCACCGCGAACCACCAAACTTCAAAAAATTATTTCAGACCATCCCCCCTCCCAACAACCATTTTCCACCTTCTATCGAGACCCGTAATCAGAAAGAATATTTGAGGATGCTGTGTGGCACGCCGCTTTAGACATCAAGATATCAAGATGCCTTCCGGTTCGTTTGCTCTTTGCACCTCACCCTCCTCTGCTAACCATTCTTCAGCCGCGGATACGATTCGTATCCTCGTTGCCACTGACAGTCATGTGGGATATGAAGAGCGAGATCCTATCCGTAAGGACGATAGCTGGCGAAGCTTCGACGAAGTAATGCAGTTAGCACGAACTCAAGATGCACGGCCTCCCCATATCTGATGGAATACCCTCTGATAATTTATAGGTGGACATGGTGCTCTTAGCTGGGGATTTATTCCATGACAACAAACCTTCTCGAAAATCAATGTACCAAGTCATGCGATCACTTCGACAGAACTGCCTGGGAGAAAAGCCTTGTGAACTGCAGTTAATGTGCGATGCCAACGACATTTTCGATGGCGCTTTCACTCACGTCAATTACGAAGATCCTGACATCAATGTTGCTATACCCGTATTTTCGATCCACGGCAACCATGATGACCCCTCTGGAGATGGCCACTACTGTTCTTTGGACCTCCTGCAAGTCTCAGGGCTCCTAAATTACTTCGGCCGTATCGCTCAGAATGACAAGATCGAGATTAAGCCAGTTCTGCTGCAGAAGGGGTCAACAAAGCTCGCTCTGTATGGACTAAGCAATGTCAGAGACGAACGATTATTCAGAACCTTCCGGGAAGGCAACGTGAAGTTCTTCACGCCCCGTGTGCAGCAAAAGGATTGGTACAATATTATGGCTGTTCATCAAAACCACCACGCCCACAGCGATACGAACTACCTCCCAGAAAATTTCCTACCCGATTTCTTAGATCTGGTAGTTTGGGGCCACGAGCACGAATGCATTATCGACCCATATGAAAACCAAGAAATGGGGTTTCATGTTATGCAACCTGGATCATCCGTAGCTACTTCTTTGGTTCCCGGAGAAGCTGTTGCCAAGCATGTTGCGATCCTTAATATTACTGGCAGGGAGTTGAAGGTGGAAAAATTCCGAATCAAGTCGGTCCGGCCTTTTATCACAAAAGAATTGGTGCTCTCTACCGATCCTCGCTTCAAAGGACTTGCCAAACTCAAGGATAACAGAAACAAGTTGGGCATGAAGTTGCAGGATGTTGTTGAAGAGCTCATACAAGAGGTAACGGATGAGTGGCTGGCAATTCAGGATGAAGATATTGCACCCGAAGACATTCCACTTCCGCTTATTCGACTGAAGATCGAGTATTCAGCACCAGACGGAGGCAAATTCGATGTCGAAAATCCACAGAGGTTCTCAAATCGTTTCGTTGGCAAGGTCGCAAATTGCAGTGACGTTGTCCAGTTCTATCGAAAGAAGACCGGTGGCAGTAAGTGTCTGAACCTTTATAGTATGATGACCTACTAATAGTGGTTAGAGAGAGATGGGGCCAAAAATGACATGCCAGAAGAATCCGTCCTAGCTGCCATGGAGCAGATGGACACCATTAAAGTCGAGAAACTCGTTCACGACTTCCTGACTGCTCAATCTCTCAAGATTCTTCCCCAAGAGCCCTTCGGAGATGCGGTTACTCAATTTGTAGATAAGCAAGACAAGCTTGCCATGGAGACGTTCGTCGACGAAAACTTGGCGGTTCAAGTCAAGCAATTGCTATTGGCGAATGAAGATTCAGATGAAGAACTTGAATCTAATATGGATCGTATTCGTACGCAGCAGGAGGAGCTCTTTAAGGCCGGTGTTCTGAAGCGGAAGTCGAAGAACAAAAAGCTTAGGCCTCGCCCCCAAACCTGGGACTCTGATGAGGACGGACCGTGGGAAAATCAGCCGGGTGCTGTTGAGCTTAGTGGAGCTGAGGAAGACGAAGAAGATGCACCTGCTGGTCGGCGCAAGAAGGTTAGCTCTCTCCTGAGTGACGACGATGACGTATCAGTGGTCTCCGGGACGACAAAGAAGACAGCAACCAAGAAGGCCCCTGCAAAGAAGGCTCCTCCTAAGCCGAGAGCACCAGCAAAAGCCAAGGCTCCGGCAAAGGCTCCAGCAGCGAGAGGACGCAAGAAGGCCGTTACAGAACCGAGTGATGATGAAGATAATGACTCTGATGTTATTATGATGGACGAAGCACCGGCACCTGCCAAGTCGCAGCCAAAGAGAGCTGCTGCTGCTGCAAAGGGCCGACAGACACAGACGCAGACGCAGCTCAACTTCTCGCAGCAGCCAAAGGCTTCGACGGCGAGAGAACTGAGTGACGACGAGATTTCTGATGATGATGATGCGTTCGAGCCAATGAGTAAGAAGAGATAATGGGTTGCTTTGGAGTTGCACTGGAGATATCAACTGGCATTGGTTTGGGGAGAGATGGCGTTAAGGAGATAAATTTATTTGAGCGCAGGTTATTGTGAATATGGGGCCTCATTACGAAATTTGCATAGCGAAGAAGGCGCTTCCTAGGCATAGCACTAATTGCACACAAAGAAATATTTTATGACCATTCCTGCTCTCATATTCGTGTTCCATCTCAGTCCCTTGTTTTCTGGCATCAGGTATCTGAGGTGACGAAAAGCTATGAAGAGTCAGCTGCAACACTTTATTCTGTAAATAAACTCCTCTCACCAAACGGGTGAGAGTAGAGTAATCTCATTGTCCCAGGAAAAGTTGGAACATTGTATTGTATGAAGCTACGATAGGTAAGCAACTCTTCTTCCTGAGATTCACGCTCAAAATTCCAGACACTGTCAATGTAAGATTACCAGAAGTGGTTGGGACAGTGAGTGGATGTGCAATAAAAGCAATGTACCAGATAATCATGGCCAACTCCACCGTGCAAAATTCCAATGTACGCAGGTCCTTCCGGACTTGAAGGGACATGCAGCGTAAAGTTTGGTTTCCGAGATTCAGCTTTCCACGCAAGACAGAATCAATGTGCCATAGTCCACTCGTACATTGAAGAGAAGAATAACTAGAGACTTCACCTTCCCGCAGCAACATCATGTCCAGTTTGGCATGTGTAGTGCGACAGAGGAGTACGAATAATAAATTGGCTAGTCACGAAAAGTGCAGAGTTAAGAGGGGAAATATCCTTCCATTTTACCCTACCCAAACAACACTTCTAAGATATCTACCGGAACTCCTCTCCCAAAGCGCTCAATTTTCGTATTTCCTTCCCATCCTGCCATCCTCTTCATCTAAACTCCTCCATAAAATCCTTGTGGAACTTCGTGATTCTACCCACCCACTCGGTACCTGGAGCGAGGAACGTGGTTCTGAAATGCAGAGTGTTTTCCTTCTGGCCGAAACCAGCGCCGGGGACGACGCACACTCCGGTGGCGTCCAGGAGGCGGAAGGCGTAGAATTCGTCGGGGGAGCGGCCTTCTTTCTTGGCTGCTTCGACGGCCTTTGCAGGGAGGTTGATGGTGGGGAAGAGGTACATGGAGCCCTGGGATGAGTTAAAAAAACAGATAATCATAGCAGAAGATTTAAACAGAAAGTACGTACCTGGGGAACCTGGCACTCCACACCCTCCATCTCCTGAAAAGCTTCATAAAGAGCAGTAGCTCTCTTCTTCAGACCGCTGAAAATGCCATCCCATTCCTGCTTGTAAAGCGGGTAGCTAGGCTGACCTTCCTTTGGTGGGTTGACCATCAGCTCTACCAAACATTGTCCAATAACAGGAGCGCAAAGGCTGATCGACACGAACTTGTAGATCTGCTCCACGACTTCTGGGTCAAAGCCAACTAGCTCAAAATATCCACCTCGGTGTCCGCACTCGCCAACCATGCCTTTCGATACACTGTGCAGCGACGCAAGTTCGACGTACTTGTACTTCTCAGGATCTTCCTTTTGCAGATTCCGCAGGACGCCCTTGAAGCTGTGGAATTTTCCGATGAAGACGTTGGTTTGGTAGACTTCATCGGCCATGACTACGAGCTTCTCTTGAGCTGCAAACTCGATGACGGCCTTGACATCTTCCTCGGCGAGACTTGCACCGGTTGGGTTTCCGGGGTTGATTATGACGATTGCTCGGACGTCTGTTCCTTCTGCTACAGCTTTCTTGTACGCCGTCTTGATGGCTTCGAGATCTGTTCCCCAGCCTTTCGACTCGTCGAGGTAGTAGGGGACGCATTTTGCGTCGAGAACTGCGAGGGAGGCGGTGTAGAGTGGGTATTGTGGAATAGGGACAAGCACGCCAGTGTTTGGTGAGGAGCAGATAACGTGCAAGAGGGTATTGACCCCAGAAGAGGCGCCAGCAGAGAGGTAGATATCTTTGGGGTCGGACGGGTGGCCATCTCGTTCTGATTATCATGGTCAGATTGGCGCCATAATTTTGAGACCGGAAGCTTTACCTTCAATGAACCTTGCAACGCTATCCTTGATTCCCACTGCGCCAGGACTGGCACTGTATGCACCAACAGATCCAATAGTCTTTAGCAGCCACCTCGCCCTCTCAAGAACATCACTCTTGTATCCCAATTGGTTCAACAGAACATCCTCATGTTCCAACAACGGCGGGTACTCAAGCAAGCTCAATACCTGGCGGAAGAATGTTATCGGCTTCTGATCCAATTGCTGGGGGTTTCCAATGTTCGCAGAGATGATTTTTTCGAATGGGAGGCCAGCGTTGCCTTTTGCAAGCTTCGCTCTGTACTCCTCCGACCGAACAGCAAGCTCTCCTCTTACTGCATACTTGGCTTCCTTGACGTGGGGGTTAATGTTGTTAATGTTCAGACTGCGAAGGTGGGAGGTGGAAGACATCGTGCGATGTTGGGTCGACAACAATCCAGCAGAAAATGGTAATGAATGTTGGAGATTATCTGTGTATAATATCTGTTAGGGATCGGACCACGAAGGGAAAAAAATTCACTAGAAATGCGGTATATAAATCTCTGATGGAGAAAAGAAGGAGAGAAAACAGCACATATCGCATGACCCCGCCAGGCTCTGCAAGGCTGGAGACCGGATCAGGCCGACACCGGCTGTGCCTGTCCCTTTTTCTCCGCTGCCGTGAAATATCTCCGCGTCAGTTCTGCACCACATTATACATACCTGAAGTTCGCGACGCCCACGCTCTGGAAAAGCAATATGTCGTGGAGCAGGCAGCGAGGGATTTGGAGTGATGTGTGAGGTTTTGAGCAATTCGTGCCGTGCCATTGGCACATAATGTCGCATTGGAGAGGGCCATTAGCGGTGACTGGTACTCGTATCGGCTAGAACCTGTCAGGGTATTTAGCATGCGCTGGCCCGGACCGGTTTGCTCGCTGCGGGCGTTATCTTCGAAGCATCTTCGTGCTCTTGGAGATTCAATTGAGGGGAGTGGAAGGCGACCACCAGCTCGAGACGCAATCGAATAGTTCGTGGGGGATCTTTCCTAGGGCAGATACTAGTACGCCAAGGGAAGAAGGGCAGAAGGGGAGAAGCCGCAATGGCTGGCTGGAGAAGTGGGACGTGGAGATGTGTGCCGTGTTGAGAAATTAAAAAAATGTCCCGCCGATAAGCAGCGATAAGCATACGAGGTTACTACTCCGTAAAAGGAGGCTGGGCGTTCTGGGCTGGTCAGGGCTCGCTTAGGCGTCTGTGTGAACAGCAAGAGTGAAGGCCCGATTCGGGAAACCTACTTCTCAGCGGACCCCAATGCTGTCTGTGCCAAAGATGCTCAGAGAACTGAGAGGCCTCTCACCTGCATGTAAGGCCTTACCACATCAGCCAGTTGACATTCTCCAAGTTGAATGTTCAGGGTTTCTGGGACAATGATACATACTAATCTCAAGACCTTGAAAGGAGAGTCGAGGAGCCAGATGGGATGAGAGATGTAGATATTTATATCCGCGTTTTGGCTACCAAATATAATGCCGACATCAACGCACCGTAAATATAGAGTCTGGACATCAAGTCACATTATTGCGAATTATTCCTTCGACACAAATCATCAGTACTCCCAGTCTTCCCGCTCTGTTGCTCATCACTCACAGTCCGTATTGACCTGCGATCAGGCCTAACATGCGAAACCTCCCTAATATGTGCCGTCTCGATGGTGACCACATTCGGAGGAATGGTACTTATTCTGTCCAACGCCAACTCGTCGTCTGGTTCTTTCGCAGACACGACGGTCGTGACACCTGTTGCCTCCCGCCATTCGCGCAGCCCGAGCTCGTAGGCGGCGATCTCGGAAAGAGGGGGCCGGGGAACGAGGCGCTTTGGGGATGGGGTGGGTTGAATTGAGCGGATTTGCTCGCCGTTTTGGGACGAGATGGTGGAGGCGTTGTCTTTGGAGGTTATCCAGTGAAGGACGAGGACGCTGAACAGTACTGGGGAGGTTGATCTTAGTAAAGAGCGCGGAGGATGGTCGAAGAAGGGGGACTCACTGTCGGTGTTGCAGCACATCAAGCATATCCATCCTGGTTCGCCGACTAGGACCAGGAGAACAGTAAGATTACTTCAGGGGAGTCAGCATTTATAAAGGGACTTGCAGGTCAATATACTCACACAACACTTGAAGTCAGGGTACAACAACTTCCGATGAAAGTCCGAAGAGCAATGGTGCGAACCTGAGAGTTTCGATCGTTCTTGTAGGAGTAGAGAGCTATCTGGGATCAGCTAATGCTAAGTGAGAAGGACTTGGAGTAGGGCTTGCCGCGTAAAGGGATTAGGAAGAGAGATGTCAGATATACCTTGAATTATCAGCGAGGGGTTCGATTATAGGGATGGATACATACATTAACAAGAACATCAAAAGCTATCAGTGGGATCATTGCCACTCGCTTCATACCAATACGACAGGAGCCATTTTCGTAATTGGCAAACCGGCTATTAGATGACCTCTGTTAGATATCACTTGTAATGGGGGCATTAACTTACAAGTAAAAGTTGAGCGCTATGACAACGCAGTATGGGACTATCCAGAGTCAGCTTTGATTCTTCGACGGATTACCTGGCCAATTACTCAACATCCCACACGAGTTGAACAGATACAACTTGTCCTTGAATCTCGGCTTCGAGCTCCTTCGGATGATGTACTGAGACACTTATTCAGCCAATCGCAGTTATAAAAGGAACAGATTCATACTGCTCTCTCAACCAGGAAGTAATAAAGCAACTTTGATGATTAGCAAGACGGGTACTCCTTGTACGATCAGACGGTACCTACAACCTGAGAAATATCAGCAAGTAGTGCCAACTGGACATCCAACTCTACTCACTTTGGTTGTCACGTAACAACTTAAACACAAGAGCAAAGCTTGCTCGCAGATTTTATGGGAAGAGTCGACTCCAAACCCATTAGAAAGCACTGCAGTCCCTGCCACAAAGCAAATCGAGTCAACGTAGATGATGAGAACCACTGAATGCTGTGAGCCAGGGTCAAAGGCACTTTATAGACAGACTCACACCAGCAGACTAAAGGGAGTCTGGACCAGTCTCGTACATTTTGAACGCGTCGAGCTGCCTTTTGGTCAATTTCCCAAGAAGAAGCAAGATCAGATGATGATTCCTTACTGAGACACACTGATAGTGCACCCATGGAAGCCAAAGAGAGAACGATCGACGCTATGGTGCCCGCTTTCGTCTCTTTGAGAGGAACATCGTGGAAATCCCGAGGGACGAAACCCATCATCTTCATCTGGCAATTATATAAAACGATAGCAGCATAAAGTTGTAGTGTAAGGGGAGTAGGATTAGACTCGATTATTAAGAGAGACTCGCTAACATACTCTGTTCAACTCGAGGGCGCCTCGACAGCTTTTATCGCTTCGCCTCGAGGGGGCGGCCAATTGCCACGAGGCACTCGCGTAATGCCCATCGGAGCCATGCCGTGTTCTCGCCAGGGCGGAAGACACCCCAGATCCTGCACTCAGGTCTGCGACTTGACGTCACCAGAAGAAAACAATATCATTGGGCTTGAAATACAGGAGGTCCAAGTGCATGCTTTTTCAGCGATTTTAGGGAGTCCTGACAATGGCTTTCAAGCCTGCCATCGCACAGCGTTGAGAGGTGCTGCCAACGACAGCTTCTGTCTTGATTGGAGGAGCGGTGGACTAGTGAAGGGAAGGCGTGAATTGGGTGACACAGACCAGGAAACTTGCAGATCACAATTGTGAGACAAAGATGCTGTCTGCTCCCACATAATTTGACCGGAATATACAAGTCTGAAGTGCCGTTCAATACGCGACACGGCAGGATGCAACGCAAAGAAACAAACAATTGAACACAGCACGAACCATTGGCCAACGACGCGTTGACAGAAAGGTCGGTAACAGCTTGTCACCTACGCTCCGGCGGGATATGTTCTGAGCAAAATTCCACGAAGGGCATTGGCTTTGGGCTGAGTTCTCTGGCTGTTGGTCATTTTCCCCCCAACAGCCGCCATATCAGCCACATTGTAACACGAGATATTCTTTTTGGAATTGTGAGAGCTGACAGAGCTTATGAGAAACAACAATCTGATGTGCACGTATCATATGGCAATCGTGATGTGCGCTATGATCTCCGAATGGGGCCGACACCCACATGCTCGCCGAGATTTGATCTGGACCCGGACCTCTCGTTGGCCGTGGCGCGAGACCGTCATGCCGGTATGTGCGGCACACGGCTCGGGAGACTTATCACGTCGCTAAGCAACCAAAGGGTGTGCACCGATCGAGGGGCTGAGCCTGCGGGAAATGGGAAAGAGGAGGGAGGGCTGAAATTGACGATGAGCTACAACGTATCTAGGGAAAATAATGTAGCGAGACAGGGGTGTTCCGCGCTGGCACGGACCAGAAAGCAAACAATACGAACTTTTAATTGGCTTTTAGCCCTTGTCTGTGGCTCTCTCGCTACATTATTTTCCCTAGATACGTTGTAGCCACTCGGAGTGACGAGGGTGCGGATCAGATAGGCGTCGAGTGAAGAATTGCTTTTGGCGCCAATGCAGTGCGATACGGAGGTATATTTCCCCTTTGGGAGTAATCTGTCATGTCAGCTGTACACAACAAACTTCCCAGTGGATTGGGCCCGATCCTATGCTGTGTCTTGGACGGATGGTTTCCGGAGCCGGTGAGGTGGAGTTTCCACACGTGATCTTAAGGTGTAGGCCCGTGGTGGTCAAAAAGGGTCGCTCATTTCGTTGAACCCCGTCAAGTTTGAACATTCTCAATGTTCCTTCAGTTTACTGTACATTCAGGTTCTACCCACTGCGAATCTCCAGGGGATTCTCGAATATTCAAGTCCTAGAGATAAGGTCAAACATCCAACCTCACTTGGAAACTGAGTGACGTTTTTACCGTCCACCGCAAAAGGGGCAATGCTTCTCAAGGATTGATAGAATCCAAGCAAGCTTTACATGCTCATACATCTGGGTATACGTACACGAACTCCATCTATTTCCCAAAAACAAGAGTAACTCGTCATCATCTCAACCCAGTTTTCTCCAATCCTTGACCCATTACCCGATATGTCTCCACTTAAACCATATCAATAGATGGAACCATCTTCTTCATCCTCATCGCCTGCTTCAAAGCTTTCTTTTCTTCAGCTGCCGCCTTCTTCGCCTCTTTCTTCGCCTCCCTCGCAGCCTTTTTCTCCTTTCTGGTTGGTCCTTTCGGGAACTCGCTTCCCTCTCCTTGTAGTACATTGCCAGGATGCACAATAATCATCAGCGCAATCGCAATGAACATTGGGAGGGCATCTAAACACATGAAGTATGCTTCGCTGTAAGGGATCGGATTCTTCGCAGGATCGAGACCGGATGAGAATTCGATAAGACGGAAAATAATTCGGGTGGTGATGAGTGCGAGGGAGGCGTAGAGAACGTAGTGGAGCATTCTCCAGTTGCGTGGCTTTCCGTCGAGAATCTGGCGCGATCTTTCTTGCTGGTTCATGATCAGGTGGAACTTGATGGCGATCGAAAGGAAGATGAGGATGCAGAATTGTTGAAGGCCGATGCCGCCCATGTAGAGATGAATGCCCAACATTTGCGTTGATTCGGAATTGCTAGGCTGGATCAACACACCCCCTCCCGCCTGCGTGAGGAACGACAAAATGTCGAGCCAAACGAATATTTTGGCGATCTTGATCGCCTTGATCTTCCAGATCTTTTGCTCGGGGACGAAGAAATACACCATTCTGCCCAGAAGCATATAATCGAAAGCGTTGATCCACATCGGTGCTAAGAGCAACAGTATCTGGGAGACAGTTGCGAAGGCAGCATTTTGTTGATTTTTGCTGCCAAGCGTGCGGAGGATGAAACTTGCGAATTCCCACGAAGTTCCCATAATGAGAGTCCAACATAATCGAAGCTTCTTATGGGTGAATGCTTGGTATATATGAAGAATGGTTGTGATTCCAAAGAGAATGGCGAATGTAAGGGCTGCCGCAAATGAGGGATAATACATGTAATTGGCATTACAGGCCCACTCAGGGACGTAGCCATTCTTGTCTGGTGTTACTGTGATGCATGATGCGGTCGCTGTGGGGGAGGAAGTAACTGTGCTGGTGCTGAGGATTGTGGAAGACATAATGCTGCAGATTGAGTTTTCTGATAGCTGGCATCAAGTGAAATCATGAGGGTAACAAAACATAGAATTGAGGTTATCTTATACACAATGAGATGAGGGACGATTGCATTCTTAATGCTTAAAATAAAACACAATGACGACGCTATGATTCAGGAGAAAGATCAAAGAGGTCATTCCGACCTTGAACTGTGAGCGTCAGCCTCCACGCCAGCACTGCTGCCGCGCACTGAAGTTGAAGTGTACGAGCGAATGAATGAAATCCAATGATAACAGCTACCAATCGATGACTAACAAGCGATTGAGCAAATGGATTTCTATGATAGGTGCCAAGAAGTAGAGCCTCCCCTCAATCGTCAGAAGGAGTGAAGACTCTAGCATTAAATGTAAGCCGGAAGGATGACGACCTCGTTGCCTGGTACGAACACACCAATCAGCAAAATGCATGAGAAAATCAATGGCTGTGCGAACGCTGAACTCATCCCAGGAATTCTTCAGAACTCCGACGCAGAAACACGAACTCCGCAAAAGTCAAGAGATCTAAACGTCGGTCCGTCGCAGTCTCCTCATAACACACGAGGAATAGATTGGGGCTTGGATGAGTTTGGGTTGATCATGATGACCCAAAGATGCAGCGTCCGAAGTACGAAGGCCGACGGCATTAAAAATCGTCCATATTCGCTAGTGCAAGGAACACCAAAATGTCTTAGTTTTGAAAATTGTGCGTCACAACGCCACCACATCCGTATGCTTTAGTTCAAGCTTGATAGGATAGAAAAGAAGCTCAAATATCCTTCATTTGTATTTTGGTGACTTTAAAATTATAGGGACGTTTTTCGCGAATTTTTGAATGGGGGAATGATTTTCAAGGCTCTCGCTTAGCAATTTAGACGATTTTTAATGCCGTCGGCCTTCGTAGAATTTGATTCAGGGGTCCGGTCACTAGGGGAAAATGTAAAACGACCCCCCACCCCCCCCCTCCGGGGGGGGTGTCGATTGGGGGCCGGACAAACCTAAAGTAGAGAGGAACACCAAAAAATCTAGTTTTCCTTTAAGTTTAATTTACTATATAAAGAATTATTATTATTTTTTTATTTTTTTATATTATAGAAAGCCAGATCATAAGCTAATAAGATACGAAGTCTTTATTATATAATAAATAGTAGATTTAAGAAAATTTAAAGAAGGTAAGGAAAGTCGGAATTTTTAAGGCACTATGAGAGCCTGAAAATTTAGCGATCAAGCGCCTGGAACTAATTTACCTCGTGCGCAATTATCGCCTCGCCCGTTCCACGCCCCAAATTAGAGCTCTTATATATAAACTTCCTTATACCTATATTAGAAATTCTGATTCGAGAGAAGGACTTAAGTAAGTACAAGCAACTAATTAAGTATTATTAAAACTCTAAAATCCATTGATTTGTCTAATCGACACCGGGGGGTGTCGTTTTACATTTTCCCATCACTAGGAGGGAGATCGGCCACTACCAGACTACCGAGAAGCCGAGAGTATCGCTTCCCAGCCGAAGTAAGAACGAAACGTTAAGCAACATGAAGCAATACATAGTGATTCTAAGCAGACGTTGCGATGGTGACTGATGCTGACTGATTTGATGTATTACATAAAACCTGATGGTTACGGAAAGCCAAAGCTGTACGAAGGCCGACGGTTTTGAAATCCGGACATCTTCGCTTAGTGAGAGCCTTGAAAGTTGTTCCCTTGCGTTCAAAAATTCGCGATAAAACTCCCTTAAACTCGAGAATCACGAAACCATAAGAAAGAACACCCTGGATTCTTCTCTATTACATAAAGTTTAAATTAAAGTATTTGGAGTTGGTGGTGTCGCGATGCGCAATTTTTAAAATATAGAGATTTTGGTGTTCCTTCACTTAGCGAAGGTGTCCGGATTTCAAAACCGTCGGCCTCCGTAAGGATCAAAAGACCAAGCGAGGAACGCAGGTTTAGCGTTTGACGATTGACGATTGACGATTACTGTTCAACCCACCAAAATTTGCCCGCACCTACACTCCGCCCCTCCCCCTCCCTAAGCCACTACTACTACCTAAAATATTAACTCTCTTTAACTCTTCTCTCTCTCTCTCTCTCTCTCTATATAAGTATAGGGGTAAAAAAAAAGGGGGGGGGAGGGGCGGAGGCAGGGCGAGGGGACCCTACTAAAAACCTATATCGCACCCTACGAAAAAGTCAAGTACTAAATTTTTAGTACCTATAGCCTATAATTTAGTGACTACGGCCCTATAATTTAGCGACAAGTAGCCTATAATTGTAGGGCTTCCTTTTCCTCGCAACTCACAAGTCTCGAAGTTCACTTCTCACTTCTCGTTTTTTACATTTCACTTTTACTCGCTCCATCCTCTCTCTCCCCTACCCTATAATTATATATAGAGATAAGAATTAAAGAGAGAGAATAAATATTTTAAGTAGTAGTAGAGGCTTAGGGAGGGGTGGGGGGAAGCAGCGAGTGTAGGTGGGGGGCAAATTTTGGTGGGGTGAACAGTGATCGTCAATTGTCAAACGCTAAATCTGCGTTCCTCGCTTGGTCTTTTGATCCTTACTCCGTACGGCTTTCCGTAATTTATGTAAAACCCCTAGACTGCTGGCAGTCGGCATAACTCGTAAAGCATTTAGAGTTCTTACGGAGTACTAGGAGTAGGTTCAGGATTCCGCGGACCCTAATTTTAGCGCCAAATGTACCTGAATGCCTTGCAGGTCGGGGGACTGGCTGTGCAAGAATCCTTCCATGGATAGTATTTTGGGATCCTGGGGCAAAGTAAATGTCAAGCCTTCTCCTCTGGAGATTTCTCTCGGCATCTGGCCTCACCGGTTTCGTCTTTTGTATTCTTAGGAGTCCAGCCAAACGTCGACATTGGGGGCCATGTTTCATGTGGTTCCCCAGTCTCAGTTCCTAAGTGGCGTCGGGACGCGACGATCGTTTTGCATTCAAGCTTTCTGCGAACAAATCGTACTTGAAGCTTGTTTCAATACTCGGTCCAGCCCGGAGTAAGGATCCAATTGGCTTCGACTTGTTCAAAATCAATGCTTTCGCCAAGGCTCGACACTCGAGATGGCATGGCTTGGCTAGAGAGCTTGTTATCAATCGTTTGGTGTTCGCGAATCTGTGTTGTCCCGAGGCTTGCGCACTGAGGAAAACAGTGAGGCGTTCGGTTTCAAAGGACAGAACACAGCGGTTATTCTTGGAAACCCAGTCCATTGGTAAAGTGAAAGGCCGGCTGGGTATCGTGAGCCACTGGTGAAAGCTGGATTTTACTAATTCAGCGAGCAATGCGCCTCTTTCACCCGGTGCCACCTACCGGGCACATCGCTTCCTCCACTGCAAGTTTAGAACACTTCTCCTTTGAAGGAACCTGGAATAGGCCACTCTCCTCCCCGGAATTTTAGAGTTTTGTAAATCTCCGATTTAGATCGTCGCAGACTCGCATCATGGCCGAGAGCCGTTGAGTTCGGAGAATTGGAGTGTCGCCGGGACGGGTCCATTTGCTGGGAGAAGGCGAGAATAACATACTGAGGTGGCGACATGCCCCCGTCGAGCACTTTAAACCTCTTTCATTCTTTCTTTCAATCCCGTCTTTCAATCCCGTCTTGCGAAGTGCCGCACTCCAGGCTGCAGCAAACAGCCCCCGGAGAACGTCAGCATGCGGTGACACCCAACGTAGCCAACGGCCTCGGCGCAGTGGCCTCGCCGTAGTTCTAATAAAATAGTTCTAATAAAACACAATAATAATGCCGGCTGTTTGGAGGAGCCAGCATGGGACTTCGTATATCTGACAGGCCGTGCTTCATGGCATCCCCTGTCGCTCCTTTGCTTGCCCCTGCGAGCGGAACGGTCATTGCAGAGCCCCCTGGAGCCGCACAGCCATCGACCGACCTGTTTACTCCGTAGGAAGGGTAAGTTAGGCACACACAGGTACAGTATGTACGGAGGTACAGCCCATAAGTATAGTAATAGCACTAGCAAGGGAACCCTTAGGCGGGTGAAAGACTTGACTTGATCGGGTATTGAATCCCTCGTTTGGCTTGTTTTGTTTACTCATTTTGGCAAAGCGACATTCAAAAATGTACGTGCGCAAGAAACCCCTGCTAGTGCTATTACTATTTATGGGCTGTACGGTGTACCTCCGTACGGATCCTGTTTTTGCTGCCCCAACCACTGATCTGCCCCTGCCTGCCCTCCCGTCCCGATCCCCAGATCTGACATGCTTGGCGGAAAAGCTTGGCAGCGCCCCCTTGGCCTCCCTGGCTCCCTCGCCTAAAAAGAATTGGCCAACGTCCGCTTCAACTCTTGCAGAAACTCAATTGGTCAATTGAGAGAGACCCAGCCAGCACGCAGCACAGCACGCCAGCTGCTGAAGAACAATGGGAAGCTTCGAACGCTCGCCGCCGCTCCATCATTGTCCCACGACATGACTGACACTTGGCTGGAAATGTTGGTGACACCTGTGCCTCTCGCCCGCCGTCCACCAGCCACACGCTTCACAGGATTCTGCGTGTCCCTCGATGCCAGTGCCTCACTGCCTCACTGCCCCACTACCTCCACCTGTCAGGCACTTCTATTCCGAGAACTACCACTGCAGTTCGAGCCATGTTTTCGGGACTTCTCCTTCCCTCGGGGCATTGAGGTATGTAGAGGGGCAGACGGCTTCAGAGTGGCACAGAAAGAGCGCCCTCTTCGCTTGATCAGGCATCTCCCGTTCCCGTGCCTCTTCCCTCGCGTGCTTGTATTGTCTCGGTAACAATAGGCCCAACAGCGCGTGTAATAATGCAATTTAGCAACACTTTGGGACTTTACCCACCCTCAGCCCTGCACGCGGAGAGATGGGTTTGGAGGAAGAGCACAGTGCTCTGGTGCAGGGGCCGAGTTCCATCCCTTCCAGGCTAGTGGCTCATTCCCTTCTTGCCTCGGGTGCTTTCTCAAAAGCGTGGGAACACACTCGGACACTCGCAGCGTAAAACCCTCCTTCACTTCCACGCTGACCGCGGATCCGTTGACGTCAAGCACGATCGGAGTTCATCTTCAATTCACTATTCGCCCTTCTATATAACCTTCGTGGAACCCCTCCCGTCGCCCCTTCCATGCCACCGACGCCAACTAGCCTGTTGTCCTGACTTCGCACTCCACTCCACGCCTTCGCCTCACCACGTGTTGTCCACCGGGGCATCAGTTCACCATGGAAGACTTCCTCATGTCTCGAGACATCAACGAGACACTAATATCGGGTACAACGAAAGGACCACATGTTACCAAAGTACCTTTAGAGCCCATTTCCAGACTGGTACCCTTCAGTGCCTTGATCATTTGTATCATCTTCGTCAACTACTTTTTGATCCGGTACTACGTCCTCGAAGGCTTCTTGCTCAAGAAAGTCTATGGCAACTTATACACACAGATGAACGAGACAGCAAGGAGAGGGTTCGTCAATCATCATATCGCTGGGGCGACGAAGCTGTTGATCCTGGTTCTGGCGGCATATCCCTTCATCGATGTGGCTTTTGGGACAGCTACCTTCAAGTCCTCATTTGCCGGTTCGAAACATGTCACCCAGGGTGATATCTTGGTTGTTGTGACTCAAATGTAAGTACAATTTCCGGAATTCTACTTTCAATCATTGTTTTCCACAGTGGTTCACCCCGGAGGCGACAATTATAGAAGAATCTATCTTTAGGGTTCTCCGCTGTGCGCGGACAAGAGGGCAAGAGGGGAAGAGTATCAAGTACTAGGCCACCTGCTGATTCGTTTCCCGACAGGCTCATTGCGATGTATGTCTTCGAATTATTCTACCGACCAAAAATATCTCCAGTCAGTGTTGCGCATCACATTGGGACAATCATGATCGGCCAGACTGCAATTGCAATAAGTTTAAATCTCGTGAGAGAAAAGGACGCTACCATTGAATTCATTCTCTGCACGGTGTGGGGTAAGTTTTAGTCAAAATCCTTGCTTCTTGCTTTGTCAATTGCTGACAGAGTTCGTCTGCAGGTGCATTCGACATAATCTCCGAATTTCTTCCTCACATAGCTATCATCCTATACCGGGTATACCCAACTTCGCACAGGTTTCTCTACAAGGTATTCCGTTTAGCGTGCATTACAACTATTGTTGGGACGCTGGCCGAAACGATCCTCACCATGTATCTCTTCGGCAGTCTCTGGACCCGCTGGACAATTGCTTTCAAGGTCACAACACCTATGCTCCACGTCCTCTTCTCTTCAGCTCAGTTGTGGGGAAGTTACAATTTATACCGGATGTACAAGAGGCAAGAACGCCTGTTAGCGGAATTGGAAGGGGATGTGGACGATACAGAAGCCGGATCCAAGGCAGAGGATACTAAGGACCGAGAGATTGTTAAGCCGAATGAAGAGGCACACCAATCGTCAGATGCCATGTCTCATTACGGCTCAGACATTGAGCTGCCGGATCAGGATTGCCTGAGAGGGTCGAAAAAGCCTTGACGCTAAATCATGTTTTGTTCGAGTTTCCATCTTTGTAGCGTTATTTTGGCAGGAGTTCCTAGAGATGCATTATCAGACGGCGTACTTTGATCTATGAACAGCAGTGATACATGGAACGGAGTTTTATGATGGCCAACCGTTTTTCTCCTTCTTCCCTTGCACATGTCTGTCTTACCTATATATCTCCATTTATTAGGCGTCGAAAAATAGGCAATGTATATCCAGTTCCTTTGGGACCTTCACGATCCAATCACTACTGCAACGGCCAGTCCGAAGCTAGTTACTTCAATTTCTATCTTCCTTTGCCTTTCCCGTTCTTCTTTTCTCATCTACTCCACACACGTGTCCTTCTCCATCTCGCCTTCACCGACCCGAGAAAATCAATCTTTCCTCCAATCGGCCCATCCCCTCTTCAATTGCATCATCGAGTTATCCCAGAGAGGCGCAAGTTTCGCAATCCGAATGTGGAATGTCACAAACAGAAACAGAAACAGAACCTCTCGCCGCTGTGCTCCACTAATTCAAGCGGCAAATGGTCCCGGTGGGTCAGCTTCGGTTCCTGATGCGGAAGGACATTGCATTGGGGCTCTTGCATCTCAGCTGGAATTGTCTGGCCGGACCCTAAAATCTTAGCTAATGAATCCTTTTCGGATGATTACTCCGGCTGGGGATTGAAGGAGTTTACGAATTTATCTGGATGAAGATTTTACAAGACATAAGACGGAATCTCGTTACAGCGGGTAGAACCGTTTTCCGCTTCTCGATTTTTGATTTCTGGTTTCTGGGTTTGCTTTTGTTCTCACGTGGGACGGCCTCGGAAACGGGCAGACCGTGGATGCTTATGTCTCAGATGGAGCCGTTACTTATCTTACACGTACTTTCTCCGAGATCTTATCTTCCTCGTATTCTTCTTTTGTTACGTTTTGTTTTACGTTTTTGGTGTGAGGGCAGGGACATTGAGAGGAGTTTCCATGCCATGGCACGCACCTCAGGTTAGTCGTGATGCCGATTACTTTCTTTAACAGCCAGCACATTTAGGTTCCCTTAAAACACAACATCAATTAATGCGCAGTCTATAGGATTACCCTCGATAAAACTATAAAAACTTGACTGTCACTGCTACATAAGTTAATATAAAAGCCATTGATTTTCGGCCCGGATTTCGGTGTATCACGACTAACCGGAGGCGCGTGAATGGCATGATAGGTTATGGTTGCCTATTTTGGACTTGGATCAATCCTTTCTTACGCGTTCTCTCTGACATCTATATCCCGTGTTCTTCGTTTCGTGTTCGTTTTCTTACATTTTTGGTGCGAGGGCAGGGATATGGAGAGAACAAAAGTTTCAACGTTTAACTTCATCGGGGAGGTGCTCGTGTTTGACAGCCTGGGACGCAATTTAAAAGGCGAGGCTGTGTTTTGAATTTTTGTGTGACGGGCCAATTCAATGATTACAGTTACAGTGGCTTTGCATCGAGCGATTTTGATTTGATGCTATATTGTTTTTGGGGAATGACGTGCACACTAAGAGATAGAGTTGAGGCTCAGAGGGGCAGTGGAGAGATGGGTATTGTATATTTTTCCGGGATGCTGAAAAGTATTGGCTTTCCAGAATCCAGCTGAGAGTTCAGGGATCTGTTTCTCGTACAAGAGCGAACTTCGTAAGGCAGGGTGGTCTTTCGGCCGAGTGGCCTTGTACTTTCTTTGGTGCTTTATGAAAAGTTCTTAGTAGAAGCTCATGAGACCTTTCATATGAAATGGTCAAGAGCTTAATGTGATCATAGCCTTCTGTCACAGGTTTATACTCAATTGGAGTCTGTTCACCTCAGCAGTGATCAACGCCTCAGGTGAATTCGTACTTAATGTGTAAGGTGCGCCTTGCCACGTCACAAAGAGTCAGAAGTGAAATTGGGGCGAGACGCTTATCTTTCAAAAAGGATAAGGTAAGGTGACTGCAATGTCGGAGTTGTTGGAGTTATGAACAAAGCTTTAGCGAGTTGACCAATATCAAAAGGGATGTATGCCACGTTGTGATGTTTTTTGACACCTGCCCTAGAGCTACTTCTGAGGAGCAATTTAGCTTTTGTCAAGGCAGTCCTGCATCTAAGGAAATGCATGCGCATCTGTGTAATTCCAAGAATTCTGGACATTTAAGAAGATACGTACAATCCGACGTGCCTTTCGTCACGTGATTCAGGGTGTTAGCATTCTCTTTTCAATTATCCTCGAGTTAGCTACTGGGTATAAGGTAATTGTATCTGTACCTCGCTACTTTACACGCTTGAGTCTCAGAGTATTATTTCATTAAGGACATGTATTGGGGTTGACAAATACAGACATCCACTAAGTGTCAAAATCGAGAGCAGTGTGACAGAAAAGAGATGAGATACACGCCTTGCAAGGTCACCGAAAAAGCCTTGGTACCCACACTTCATATCATAACATTGGGAAAGATAAAATCGTCGATGGGAGCAGGAATACCGAAGGAAGTACCTAAAAGAATCGATGTACCACGTGATCGATCACGCCGAAAACTTGCGCAAGACATGTAAAATATCTAGGGTCCAAAGCACGACCAAAGGCTCCCATGTATCTCTGATTCGTGAAGCACAGTATACCCGCATTTACCCGGACTTGTACAACCAATAATAGCACTTGCGGCGGGTCTCAAATCGTGGGGTTACCTGGCTCGCGATCTCTGTCGTCACGACGGGACTTCCAGATCGAGCCAACAACAGCCCCGAGCCCGATCCTGACATCTAGAAAACTGTGGACTATCGGTGGATAAGATCGAACCCACGATAAGAGCAAATTGGGTTTTGGACTTAGACTTGAGGCCAGCATGGCTTCAGCTACAAGTTCACCATGTCGACCGCACAGCGCCTTCATCGATTCGTGGCTGCCTGACCATGGGATCTGAGTACCAGGAGCAGAGGAGGAGGCTGGAAGAGGTGAGTTGCGCCCCATTCGCTGGTAGGGCTCCGTCACGTGTGCGCTGGGCTGATTCTTAACATCGTGGTCAGCTTCGGCGTGTTGCTGAACTCAGAAATGCGCAGCAGACAGTGTCTGAAAACTCCGTCGTGGGCTCTGGGGGTGCGGGCAGTAGCCAGGAGATGATGATGAGGGGAGGGAGTTCTGGCACAGCGCAACAGCAGAGGCAAGATCCGTTGATCTACCCTGGTCTTTATTCTCCGAGTGGCTTCGATATGATGGGCATCCTGGTGAGTGTTTAGCACATTTCCTTTTCTCTTAGTGACATTCGATTCCCATGCTACGTACTGTACCTGTACTAGATTTTGATACAAGTCAAGCTTGTTCTGCTGCTGAGTTTCTACGGGAAAACTCGGATTGAATTCCTTGACTTTCCCTTCCATCACTACACCTCACCCCCCCTTAAACTTAATGTTAAGAATTAACAAGAATTGTTGCGTAGGTCCGCGTCCGCCAACGTCCAAATCCAACGATCGACATAGGAAACATCGACAGCGGCGTGGCTCTCGTGCTCTGCGACTCCGCAATGCCCGACATGCCAATCGTCTACTGCTCCGAGCCCTTCGAGAACCTGACCGGCTACTCCAGCGCCGAAATACTCGGCCACAACTGCCGATTTCTCCAGCACCCTACAGGCGGCTACTGCCACGACGAGCGGGCTCGGACCGCCAACGAACTTTCGCGGCGGGAGATTAAAGAAAGGTTTGCTCGGGGGGAAGAGGCGAGAGTTAGATTCTGGAACTTTACGAAAGAGGGGAAGATGTTTGTTAATGTTCTGACGACGATTCCGATTACCTGGGAAGAAGGGAGGGGCGAAGAAAAGAGATATATTGTTGGATTTCAGGCAGATGAAGGGAGGATATACTGTGGATAGAGAGAGCTTGCATATCGGATGGCTGGCCGGGCATTGGAAATGGCGTTACGAGAGGACTAGGCAGAATTTTGGACTCATGTTTTTCTTTAGGGGTTTTTATCTTGGATATTTGGAGTTTTGATGGGGGCATACCAATTCTAGTTGGAAATTCCCAAAAGCAAGGAATTAAAAAGATTTCTAGGAAACGAATCCATGCAAGTCTTTCTAGTGGAGTTTTCGTGGAAGGCAGTGCAGGTTGAAAAACTGATGATGTGGAAAGTTGAAGCCATGGGACTCCGAGGACAAAATAGGACTTCCTATTGGTGGCTGGCTCGTCCTGGTCACGGATCTCTTTCTGGAAGCTTAAGTATTGATGCACCTCGGAATCAACACTCGTTAATGCTTGGCTCCTAAGTGCTCCCCCCCCCCAAAAAGAGGAGAATGGGAACCCTGCCAGAGACTCATCCAAAGCTGGGCGGCGTGGGTAAGCGTGACTTGAAACGTATTAATTCAAGCTTGTTTGGAAATGAGACTAGGAACGAGGAGGTTGCGTTTGTGCAGTGGTACCACAGATGCCTGATAGGTGATGGCAGTCTTCCCGCAACATGTCCGAGATTCTGTTGAACGACATCTTCAAATATGCCCGGTTCCGTTTGCAGCTTTATACCTCGTCCTAAAGTCGTTCCTCGCCTAGGAGGGGGTTGTACAAATCGGGCAGGGGTCAACCGGACAGAAAGTGACCGCTGCTGTAAGAAAAAGAAAAGAGAGTACAACGTTGAAGGTAACCCTGCAAGAGACGTCGATAGTTTAGTCTTTAGCCGCTTCCATACTCAATACAGACGTCAAGATTGAAGACTAGATCTTCTCATGCAAAGACGCTGCTCTGCTCTATTCGCCGTGATATTGTACAAATGCATTGCGAGAAGGTATTAGTTCGTGCCCACACCACAACGCCTTCCTCTATGCACGCTCGCTGCCCCTCAACCTTACAGCCTGGCCGTATTTTTGAAGCTTGGTGATAAGTTGATCGCCTTGTCTCACAACGTCATTGTACTGCTTGTTCTTGTCGTCTGGTCTGTTTGTCTCGATGATGCCTTTTCCAGTCACGCGGTCAATGGTACAGGGGATTCTCTCGGCTGCAATGAATTTTGCAAGATCACTTGGAGGGGTTAGCAAAAAAATTCATGTTCTAGTCGAGGTAGCTTACCGATCCAAGAAGTCCACAGAAACTCCAAAGTCATTTGCCATACTCTCGAGGCCGACAACCCGGTAGCTTTGCAGTAATTGTTGGTAAGCACGAAGACGCATCTCCCGGACAAACCATCCACGGTGCTCATAGAGATATCGGTCTTGAGTCAGGAAGTTGACCTCAACGGCTGCCAAGGCACCGAAGAAGGATCGATAGCTTCCAGTGTACAGACTGCCGACAAGTTGTGCTAATGGGGAGAAATTGACTGCTGCCTCGGCTTCGGGTTGGTCACTTCCAAGGTTTGTAAGATTGACGGCTGTCTTAGTAGTCGATGGAGTAGCTGATGAGACATCCTTCATCTCCTCATCGGCTCCAGGACCAGCTGACAGCGCTCCCGAAAGAGCCAAAAGCTTGTCTTCGCCATCCCCTAAGATAGCCTTGATCTCGGGTGCATCGACGACTTTTGACTTGAAGTCCACTCGTTTCAGCGACACAGACCCAGCCAGGACAGAGTAAACAACGAGGGATGAGTATGTGCAGAGTTCGTAGCTCGTGAAGGTCGAAAGACTGTCAAGGAGGAGAGGAGCGGCCAAGGAGTAGGATCGAACCATAAGAAGATACAGGCCCTGGTATGCCTTTAATCGATTTCTTCGGTCCCAGTCTCCTCCACTTTCAACCAGAGTCTTTGCTCGATCGACATGCTTCTTGACCAGTAATTTGTCCCCGTAGAACAGTCCCATTCGAATGATAGCAAGAACCAGGTCAATCTTTGTTCCCAAAACACCTGTCTTCTCAAACACCTCCTCGTATGCGGCAATAGCTCGATCCTAGTAGCACGTCAGTCTGATGTTTCCATCTAAAATTGAATTATGCCATACCTTATCACCAACTCGTGCCCAGAACTCCGCTCTCTTGCCTCTTGCAGCTTGGACTTCTGTTTCTCCAGCCTTCTCTGCTGCCTCTTCTTCCTCCTTCTTGAACCCCTCCAACTCCTCATCATTGTCCTTCTTCAGCTTCTCATATAAAGCTTCATCCCACGGCAAGTCGATCTTGGGTATGGAGTGCTTGCTCGCCACCATGCCAGCCGCACTTGGTTTCCGTCCCAGAGGCGCCGGCGTAGCCTTCGACGAGGTTTCGCCTGTTGCATTGAGGATGCCTTCAACAGGATGTGCTAGGTATCGATAGAGCGGAGCCATCTTATGCTCGGTAATAGCATCTTGAAGGCTCTTTAGGGAGGTTTGCTGAATTGCTTTCGGCGCGGAGGGATTGGTAAGAGTGAAGATGTGCTGGGCAAGAGGGAGGAGAGGATACTTCGCATATTGGGGGTCTGAACCCATCTTGAAGTATGCAGGGAGAGGTCGGAGGTCTCAGGATGTATTGAAGATGAGGGTAGGAAAGTTGGGTGGACGTTTGTGGTTGATGAATCTATTTCATTCACTATTGTTCTGTGAGGACGGGAAGCTCCTTCCCCCAGCTCCTTCCAGGCACTAGCGCGACGCGCAGCCACAAAGCTGATACCTCCTCCATGTGACTTCAGTCCACAACACCTTATTTTCACTGCAACCTACAAACTCAAGAATCGTCCTTGAATTACTTGAGATTGCCGCAAGGGTTCATGCCAGGCAAAAATCCCACCATGGCGGGCACCAACGGCGCAGAAATCTCGCCCATCGACGACCAACCTCAACCTTTCAATGCCACGAAGCTCGAGCCGGCCAAAAAGCGCAGGAGATCTCGCTCACCTTCCTCCTCAACCCCGAAACGCGTCGATTCTCGTTCAGATTCAAGAAGAAGATCGACCTCATCTTCCACATCTTCAAGACGCCAAAGATCATCCTCCCCTCAACCTCGAAAGCAGAAACGTCCAGGCCAGCGAGCCCGAATCACGGATGCAGAGCGGGAGAATATTCGACAGAAGCAAATACAACGTGAGAAAGAGCTAGAAGCCGCTGTTGCTGCTCAAGGCATTCACCATGCAGTTGTACAATCTTACAATGCCGTTCCAGAGAGAGGTCGAGAGTGGCGTAAAACGGGCAGTCGCATCTCGGGGCTTCGAAGCTTCAACAATTGGGTTAAGAGCACGATTATCCAGAAGTTCTCGCCAAATGAGGATTACACTCCTGGTGCTCAAGAACGAGGAGGTATGGTATTCGCTGAGGGACCTTCAGACGACAAGGGTCTACTGGTTTTAGACATTGGGTGTGGAAAGGGTGGAGATCTGGGAAAATGGCAAAAAGCGCCGCAAAACGTAGAATTGTACGTCGGCCTAGATCCCGCAGATGTCTCAATCGACCAGGCCAGAGACCGATACAGAGGGATGTCGAGTCGAGGCGGTCGTGGAGGAAGAGGTGGTCGAGGCGGATATAACAACAGCAGACCTCCTCCTAGGTTGTTTCAAGCAGAATTCTTTGTGCAAGATTGCTTCGGTGACACGATCGAGAGAATTCCGCTAATTAGGGATGTTGGCTTTGATGGATCTGGAGGACCTTCAAGAAATGACGGAAGAGGGTTTGACGTTGTTAGCATGATGTTCTGCATGCACTATGCTTTCGAAACTGAGGCCAAAGCACGACAAATGCTGAAGAATGTTGCAGGATCATTGAAGAAAGGAGGCAGATTTATTGGATGTATCCCGAATTCAGACGTTCTCAGCGAAAATGCCGAAAAGTTTAATGCTCGCATGGTAGCAAAGGTTGAGAAGAAAGAGAAAAACGGAGCTATGGAGAGCAAGGAAGATGATGGCGAGATAGAGGAAGGCGAGGCAGAGGAGACGGCTGAGTGGGGCAACGATATCTATCGAGTTCGGTTTCCTGGAAAGACGCCAACTGACGGTATTTTCCGACCTCCATTTGGTTGGAAGTACAGTTTCTTTCTACACGAAGCTGTTGAGGAAGTCCCCGAATACGTCGTGCCCTGGGAAGCTTTCCGTGCTATTGCAGAAGATTACAATCTCGAAATGCAATATCACAAGACCTTTGACGAAGTCTGGAAGACTGAGAAGGACGACCCAATTCTTGGTCCCCTGGCCGAGCAAATGGGCGTTCGTGAACGTGGAGGTGGCCGTTTCCTTGTGACTGGTGAGGAAATGGAGGCTGCAAGCTTCTATGTTGCATTTTGCTTCTACAAGGTCTAAAGCTACATACCAAAGCGTCTGAAATCGGCGAACGGACGCCGGCGATGTGCATGGACATAAGTTTACAATACTGCGATTAATATAGTCGCCTCATAGAAGGCAGACAAATTAACCAGAGAAAGTACTGCATTCACATCTATTGCGCATTCTATTCTACTCACGGGATTTTCCTTGTATCGTTTATCAAAAGCCAAGTGACCGTGCCTGATATTCAGATAGCTTTTAACACCCTGTTCGAAGTAGAGCAAGGGATGAATTGTTGCGAATTAGCCCAAGATTGCGGAACCATCTGGATTAATGAAATTGACCATTTCTCTGGATGTCATGGTCAGATAATGGACTCTGAGGCAGAACATTTACATGAACTTTACATCAGAGCTCTTGGGCAAAAGACTCCCGAGTTTACATGTGAATCTGAGGTTGAGGTTGTGTTTATGATAGGCACCTCGAGGGCTAGAATCCTGTACTGTACTTTTGTAAGAATCCTCGATAGAACCCCTTCTCCCTGATAGAGTGCGTTTATCTCAGAACTTCCATCCACCTTTGCACATCCAACACGTGTACTCGACTCGGCAGGCTTTTAGGAACCGACGAAAGATGTGTGTTAATCTCTACAACGAATACACCGAGTGCGGACGCACAACGAAGACAGGGCACGATCCGTGTCTGAATATCACCGACTGTGGCCCTAGGAGAGGGCGCACAGAGAGGGTAGAAGAATTGTGCCAGCGCTGCACGGAGAACTTCAAGAAAATGTATAGGATGAACGGGCTGGACTTCAACATCAGAGGAAATGGTTTAGTACTTGGACAGCCAACGTTTGACAATGAGAGGCGGAGACTTGAGAAACATGCTGAGGGGAAGAAGTCCGGAGAGGCTGAGGAGAGTGAGGGACAAGGCGGAGATGAAGTCGCGATATAGGGATGGTCATGCTCTTGACGTGATTCCTTGAGTTCAAGAGCCACAAATAAACTGTGCTCTTCAATACAATGATACCAGAAAACAGAACAGAAGATGTGAAAATCCACAGGGGTTGGGTCATGAAGTCTGCAATCTACATCGATACCAAGCATTCTCGAATTTCTGCCCAAATTGTTTCGAGGGAGTGCTTCATACTCGAACTGGAGAATTTATAAAGTTAAGTTAATCTAAGCCATTGTGGCCGAAGCTTTTCCCACGACTCCCTTTTGAAGAAATTAAATTTGAAGTCATGACACTCAAATCCGCGGAATTACTTCACGATTTGAATTCATGCTGTACATTCACGCAATGCCAAGGCCATTCGTGCTGACAACGCTTTTCGGCTTGCATTTCCGGGCCTTCCCCGCATGCGGATTCCTTTTCCATCCAGTCACACGTACTGCTAAGTGATTGGCCGGGGTCGGAAGAATGGTCTCAGCTATCACTGCTGTCTTGCTCAGGCCTTTCTAAGCAAAGTTCGTATTTCTAGATCTCGGGATGCTACGTACGAAGAGACGCGGTTCGTGAACATTCGGAATGGATTGATGTGCGGGGGGTTAAGACGATGTTCGACGAGAAGGAGGTATGAAACCACTCATAGTTCACCTCCAAGCCAATTCCCGCACAGCCGTAAGAAGTCGCTGTACCTCGATTTCATCGTTGAACACACACTCCACTGGTTACTCATAAAACAACTTCACAATTCAAAATGACGACCCCAAAAGCAATGAAAGCAATCCTCTTCACTGGCTCACCAACAGCGACATACACTTCCCCCGCAACCGTCGCCTCCCTCATCCTCGCCTCACAACCCTTGCCCGTGCCAACCGCAACACAACACCTAATCCGTATCCACGCTACCTCAATCACACCTTACGAGCTCTCCTGGCCCACATCCGCCTTCCCACACCCAGAGCCACGAATCCCGTGCCATGACATCGCAGGCACAATCATCTCTTCCCCGCCAAACTCCCCTTTCAAGCCAGGAGATCGGGTTTTCACTCTCCTGCCTTTTACAGGACAAGGAGGGATGGCGGAGTATGCTGCGGTGGAGGAGGAGTTTATTGCTAAGATTCCGGAAGGGATGGGATGGGTGGAGGCAGCGAGTGTGCCGAGGGCGAGTTTGACGAGTTGGCAGGCGTTGAGTGTCAGAGGAGGTGGGTATGTGAAGCGGGGGATGAGGGTTTTAGTTACTGGCGCGACAGGGGCGGTGGGGAGGATGGGTGTTCAGATTGCGAGGGAGCTGGTTGGAAATGAAGGGAAAGTAATCAGTGTTGGTGGAGTTGGAAGTGGTGGGTTGCAGGATCTGGGTGCGGATGTTGTTGTTAATTATCGGGAGGAGAGGAATTGGGAGGAGGTGGTGAGGAAGGAGGGTATGGTGAATGTGGTGTATGATTGTCTTGGTGGAGAGACACTGGAGAGGTGTTTACCACTTGTGATAGATGGCGGGGTCGTTATTACAATCGGATCACCGCCTCCGGGTGATTGGGAGACTCTGAAAGGATGGGAGGAAGCTAAGCAGAGAGGAGTGAAGGGCGATTTTTTTATTCTCGAGGAGAGTGGAAAGCAATTGAGAGACATTGCTGGCTTGTGGCAGAGTGGCAAAATCAAGACGTCGGTGGGCTTGATTGTTGATGGGTTAACGGAAGAGGATGTTCGAGACGGATGGACGAGGGGGCTTAAGGGAGGTTTGGCTGGGTCAGTTGTTGTCAACGTTGCGTGAACGACATACATATAGTTGGGTAGGAATGAATAGTGTATAATAATGGACTCTTGGCTTACATATCAAAGCAAGCTCTTTTCAAGGCTTAAGCAGCTCTTTATTGCCCTCAAATCATTCTTCCATGATCGCAAACCTCCCAGAGACTTCGAGAGTTATCCAGAGTCATCACCGAATTGTGAAGGCATCGTTCCGCCTCGACCACCTCGGCTGGCATTGCCCGACTTCTTTCCAGCTCCACGTTTTTTGGAGATGTCTCGATGCTCCACTTGAACACGCCATCCTGGCCATGACAGCCTTGCAAGTTCTTCAACCATGGCCACACTTCGATGTCTCCCCATTGCACAATAGACACCGACTCGAAGCATCGTGGTTTGGTCACGTGAACTGACAGTGTCACCATTCATGCTTTCCGAATTCGATCCTTCCTCATCACCCTTTGGGGCTGCATCTTCTTCCTCTGCCTCCACATGCTTCCCAGCGGCGTCTTCACTGGTAGTTCCACCATCCCGTAGCCCCAATTTCAGAAAATATCGCTTCTCCTGCGCTGCAATGATGTCCGTCATCGCCTCTTCGATTTCCTCCTTGATCGCATCTCGTCGAGCGAGAAACTTCGCATCAGTCTGCATCCACTCTTGCAATCGCTTCGAGATCCCATTATGAGTATCCCTTATATGCTTAGGAGGGTTTGGTAAAGACCGGACATCGAATTTCAGCTGAGGCGCTGGCTTCAAAGGAGGCGAGTGTCCAAACGAGATGAGGTACAATGTTGGGAGTTCCGCTTCTGGGAGAGGGTTTTGAGCGTATTCGGGAAGCGCGAGATTGTCATCAAGAGGGGAAGACTTTGAGGCTGGTGATTCCATTTGGAAGGTAATATTCGGAGGAATGGTGGAAATTGGACATTCGACATCAGGGCTGACTGCAGGTTTGTTCAGGGGGTCGCTTATCTGGCGAAGAGCTTCGCCGACCAACCAGCGTCGTTTCTATACGCTGACTTCTCATTGGCCCATCTAGAGACGCATAGCCACAACTCCAATGGTACTTACGCAAAATTGTCCAGGGATCTTTCGATTTTGTTGGTATTGCAGCAATCAAAGCAGCTAGAATAAGAATACGACCTGAATCCCGCAGTTTTGGGTCTGCACAGCTCGATGAAACGCGGCCTTTGTGTCTTGGAAACAACTTTCTTGTTGCTATAAGGAGCGTCCTTTTTCGCCATTGTCTTTGCATTTCCTTCCCTAGTCTCAAGCTCTCCCTTGTCTCCCTGCTTCTCGAAAGATCTCGGGGTTTAATCTTCTCGCTGTCAACTCGTTGCTACAGCTAGCTTCACATTTGACACCCTTACAATCGACGTTCATCGATCAAATACTCCACCACGATGGACACGATCTTCGAGACTGTTCTGCTCCGTCGAGCAGGTCAATTCGAGCATTGTACCCTCGACACTTGCCCAGTATCCGACTCTTTATATGGTTATCTGCCATCAAAGCCTATCAACCTGATCTTCGTCGTGCTCTTCGCCCTCTCCTGCCTCGCACATTTAGTCCAGGGCGTCAAGAACAGATGCTGGACGTTCTTGGTCTGCTTTGGAATAGGAACTGCCACAGAAGCTGTTGGGTACGTTGGTCGTATCATGATGAGGACAAACCCTTGGAGCAAAGGATCGTAAGATACCATGACCCTCCGGAACATCTCTATTCATCCTTGTTAACATTATGTCCCAAGCATTGGAATACAACTTGTTTGTCTCACAATCGCGCCAGCTTTTCTCGCAGGTGGGATATATCTGACTTTGAAACATATGTGAGTACTTGATCGTTCAGCCTGGGATTCCCACCACGTCGAGGGACATCGAGGAGCTGGAACACTGACGTGAATAGCATTATTGTTTACGGAGCGCGGTTCTCCCGCATCGCTCCCAGGTGGTACACCTGGATCTTTGTCTGTTGTGATATTTTGAGCATATTAATTCAATCGTAAGTCCTTCACATACCCCGGATTTCATGTTTCTCTGCTTGCTCTCGTCCCCAAGTTTTCCAATTGTCAAAACCCCTTATAGTCTCTGCTAACGAGCATTCTCTGTCAGTGCCGGAGCCGTCATCGCATCCAGCGGCAGCCACATCAGCCTCGGAAACACCGTTATGATGGTAGGGCTCGTCTCCCAGGTCGTGACTCTCGGCGTGTTCGGCGCTATGGCAGCAGACGGTAAGTCGCAACTTCTCGGGCTAGTAATTTCTCTTGCAGGAGTGTTAAACAGCTCTTGGGACACTCCATCAGCAATGTCCCAAGGCTCCTGGAACATTCACTTCCGGAGCTACCTGAAAGAAGTATGCTGACTCCGAATTCTTGGAAATAGTCTACTTCAGCATACGCAAATTCCGCGGCGAGTTTAGCGAATCAACCATGGCACTACGAAACTCAGGGCGATTCAAGTACTTCCTGATCGCCACCATCATCGCCTACGCCTGCATTTCCATCCGGTGCGTCTACCGAATCGCAGAAATGGCAGGAGGATGGAGAAACAAAGTCATGCAGGACGAGCCCGCGTTTATCATACTGGATGGCGTGATGTGCGTGATTGCCGTCCTGGCTATGAACTTCTTCCACCCAGGGTTCCTATTCAAGCAATCGTATGCGACGCTCAAGGCCGAGCTGATGGAGCCGGATACGGAGATGGTCAACGCAGTCGGGTATGAGAATAGAAAGTGATGATTTTGGAGGGATGTTCGATGTTGTATGGATAAGTTGTCGTGTTGTGGAAGCTTTTAGAAATTGGGAGACGAAAGTGCTTTATAGAGATTCCCTTTCCGCGACTTGCTTGCATTTAGACGGATCACACTTTTAATAATCCATCTTTCCTTTGACCTATCCCAATATGACGACACGAGCAGGAACAATGTTATCGAGCTTGAATAATTTCGAGATAACCTTACTAAGGCATGGAAGGGATAGTGGGCTAGAGGTACGGTGATGGTGATCTGTATTTAACTGAAGATGTAGTGACGAAATCCACCCTTGATTGACATATATAAATTGAGAATTGGGAAGCTCGTTGCCACCTTCATGATAGGATGTAGATATCTATTTGGTAATTTGATAGGTTTCGGAGGAAAAACTAGAGTACGGTTCATTTATCTGTTGTGGAACACGTTACTGTGTAAGAAATATGTCTCTAATAGGATTCCTAGAGCAACTTCTACTATATCATGACAACTACAAAGCTCAATGGCGAGATCAATCGGTGTCCATCGCATCGGGCTCTTCTTCGTCAGGCATCAAAGCTGCAGCTCTTGCGAGACGTATACCATGGCTCCTTTGCCCCTCTCTTTTGATATTCGTGATGGTTCTCCTGCGCTGCTCCTGCTCAGCAACGCTTTCATCATCTTCGTCGTCTATCTGTGTCGGTCTATTACGCTGCGTCCCCCGCGGACGAGCGTCTTCCTCAGAATCGTCATCTTCTGCTGCTTGAGCAGCTGCCTTCTCCATCCGCTGCACTTTGCGTACAATGAGCTGGTCGTCATAAAAGTCTTCCAACCGGAGCATCTGCAAATGTTTATGTTTAGTACAGTCAATTCCATTTGGAACTTCAGGACGTACCTTTTCACATCCGGATTGAGGGCATCTCGCTTGCTTAGTTCCTTGAGGTGGCTGTCCTCGGGGACGCCCTTGGCCGGGTGCAGCAAAGACAGTAGCAGTATCCTTGAAATATTCCAAAAAGTATGATTTCTCAAAAGTGTGGTTGCAAACATTGTTGCTGTAAGGTTCCTTGAACACCTTTTCCAATAATCGAATTAGTATGCTGTTTTGCAGATATTGAAGGGGGATCTTAGGAGCTCAGGAGCCCAGCTCGCAAGTCAAATTGACATGGCGGCTCGGAGGAGCTCCGGGGCTCTGAGCTCTCGAACTGAAGAACAGCAAATGAGTAGGGAAACAGGCCTACCTGCAAAGACAGGGGGCATCTCAAGTTAGTGGACAATCCAACCATCTTGATCTCGTCGTCGTCGTCATCGTCATCGGAATTGTTAGCATTATCAGTGGTGTTATTCCGCCGTCTTCGAGCTCCAGCAGACTCTTTCGGATTGTCCTCTTGAAACCATGTGCTAGCATGCGGAACCGGAGGTTGATTATCGCCAGGGTGCAGGGCGTCATGTACGGTACGCTTGAAGTTCCTGTAGTCATTATGATCTGCATATCTGTCCAAATATTAGCATGACCGTAAGTACTTGTAATAAAATCACGCTCACCTGTCTCTCATGCTCTTAGATGTGTATTTCCTGGTATGCTCTTCCTTTGCCTCTTTCAAAAGCTCTACCGCACTGGGAATATTCTCATCGGCGGCAGGAGCATTCTCATTTTGCGGCTCTTCCTCGTCCTCTTCGGCGTCTGAGCCCCTTCGTCTTCTTCTTGCGGCGGGCTGAGCAACGGGAGCTGCTGCAAGGTTCTCACTAACTTCCTTCATAATCGAATCTTGCATTGCGAGCTCATTGCCATAATCAATCAAATCTCTTAGAGCCTTCTCGGCCTTGGTCGTGAGATCTGAGACCTGCCCCTCTAAACCACTGGTATATACTTCTTCTTCGATATGTCGTTCTGGTTTTTCGTCATCCGGGATGTGGTTGTTTCTCCTCTGCTCCGCATGTCGTTGTACTTGAGTCTTGTGCGCAGCGAGCCTCTCATTGTTGTCGGCTGTTGCAGTAGTAATGGAATCGATGGCGCCCTTGAGATGCTTCTTGTATTTCGAGGAATCATGATTAGTTCGAATATTTTCAATCGATTTTTGGGCATTCGCTGAGAGGGGACAAGCTGGCGGCTCGTATGGAGGAAGTGGTGTAGGCTCGCCTGGTGCTTCAACATCTTGCCTTCGCTGACGGTTTCGGGGAGCAGGCGACGATTCTTCGTGCTGGCGGCCTCGTTGGACAAGTCTTCTGGCGGTAGACATTTTGATGGTAGCGTTCCTTAACTGGCACGGTCGGAAGCTGATGTGGTGATGTTGAAGAAGAAGCTGCGGCGAGTCGACGCGTCGTGAGGAAACCGCGACGAGGCGTGGCTAGCGTGGATGTGGTGGCTGTGGATGTGCATTGTGCATTGTGCATTGTGCATGTACGGAAGTGCCCGCCAACCGAAGTTCGTTTCATTTTCACGAATCTCTTTCTCCCCTTCAAGCGTTATTCAATGATTCATGTATTGCTCCAGCTAAGTAACGGTACAATGGTCTGCTGTTTGAGACCCCAAATTCCATCAACTCTTATGTCCTTTTGGTCCCCAAAGTTTCCTCGCGAGTCGGGTTGCCCGTTTTACGAGGGTGCCAAGGGAACGGGGCTCCAGTTCTTCTGATCTGCGCTGCCGTCAAATTCTGCATTGACTGCCGTCGAAATATGTAATTATGCTGCCTGCTTGGCGTCTCCACCTGGCCTGATACGAGGTAGAAAACGGGCCATGGTCAGTTCCAACTTTCTAAGGCATCAAATATTCCCTCCACACTCCCTATTCCTTCTTGTCCATATCAGTAATAGAAAGGATACACGGAACCTGGAGTTGTATGGAATGATATTTCTATTGCGACCAAAACGTTTCTGGGGTATTCCCAATACGGGGGCTCCTCCCGCCCCCAACCGCCTGGACTAACCCGAATCCTAACCAAAGCGACTTGGAAGCGTTCTGGAAACGTTTGTAGGGGTTTATTAAGCATAAGGACTTCGAGAAGCTGGCCTGTTTAGCCGGTTTAGAAGGTTGTAAAAAAAAAAAACACAAGTGATTTTAAGGTATCCCAGGCCAGCTACGCTCAGAAAACAACCTTTCAAACCCCCCTGCAAGTTGCAACAGGCGAAGTGACGCCAAGCAGGCCAGTTGGGTTACTTCCTACCGCCGTCAAATAGAACTACTGTAGTGACCACCAGCAGCACTGCACTCCCCTTGAGGAGAAAGGCGAGAAGCGAACGGCTTACAGTGAACGGCTTGCAGGTGTATCCGTCATCCGCTGCAGGGGCTTTGATGTTCAGCGGCTGATGTGCAGAAGGCAGTGCAGCCTCCCCTAGCTGCCATATTCGTTCCACCTTCCCCTCATTCTCCCTCTGTTCCACGACCTCAAAACAAAATCCAATTTGTTACTGCCCTCGTGTAGCGTTGTCTCCAGAACAGTCATCTTGAAAGGCTTTATCTCCACCCGATCCTATACGTCTGCAGTTGTACAGCACAGCTATATTGGTCCCTGGACTCATCATCCTCTTCGAGTCCCCTCGGTTGTGGTAACCCCACAATTGTGTAAGCGCATCGAGCACGATGCCATGTCGACGACCTCATCGGAAGTCCAGACTGGGCTGTAAGATGTGCAAGTCCCGCCGAACCAAAGTGAGTTTTACCAAACTGTTACGATTGCAATTGCTGACAGTATGAAGTGTGATGAGGTTCACCCGACCTGTTCAAATTGTAGGAAGCATGGCGTCGTGTGTGACTTTGAGATATCTCGCTGGGCATCGGCCACAAGTTCCACCTTGCCACCTATGAAGACCCCGCCGCTCCAGAAGAGGGCGGGCCTAGAAGATGGTCCTGTCGACCATCAATCGCCATCATCATGGTCAGATTTTGCAGAGTCACAAGCGAAGAGTTCTTCCCCCCAGTTAGATACTACCAGCCAAGTGTCAAGTCCCAGGTCCTCTCAATTGGTGCTTTCAAGGATGGACACTCCCACTGATCGGCTCTTGGAGCTGAGACTATTGCACCATTATGTTACAATGACTACACCCACGTTCCAGAGCCGTCAAATGGGAGACATCCTCGTCTCAACTTCAGGAGGTAACATCTACGCAAACTGGATGGTGAGACTTGCCCTCGAAACACCTAGCGTTATGGACGCCCTCCTCGGGTTCGCTGCCTTCCACCTCCGCCATGTTAACAAAGCCGATGAGCAAGCGGCCTTCGCCTCACTCAAGTTCATGACCCGCGCCATCTCCAAACACGCCGAGAACATCCGCTTCGGAATAACTCCCGAGAATGCAGAGATCTGCTTCGCTACAAGCACGCTCATAGCCTTCCACTCAGCTACCACCTACCGCCTGACACAAGAAGAACAACTCAATCATGCCCCGACTCTTCCCTTGCATTGGTTTAGTCATTGGCAAGGCGTCCGTGTTGTCCTAGCAGAAGGATGGGATTATATCAAGACCGAAGATATCAAGGCTGTACTACTTTCAGAAACCCTCTCCACAAGGACCCTGTTACTCTTATCCAACCTCCCGACCCCGCATACATTCTCCTTCCTGGTTGCGGACCTCGACCGCGAGATGACAGACGAGGAGACCCAATTTGCTTACGACTCAGCGGTTGGATGGCTAGCAAAGGCATACTCCTGTCTCGTGTTGCGAAACGTCTTCAAATTTACTGCTGTGGTGACCAAACGCTTCATCCAGCTTCTAGAACAGAAAGATCCGAGGACTCTCTGTATCTGTGCTTACTTTTTCGTGTTGATGAAGAAGCTGGATACACTTTGGTGGTTGGATGGCGTGGCGGCCCCGGAATTCTGGGACCTGATGTCTTTTATTCCGGAGGAATGGAAACCGTTGATGGAATGGGGTGTGAGGGAGATTGGGAATGGTGCAAATTCGCCGCAGATTGAAACTCTTGGATCGCAGGGGTTGGCTTTTACTTGAAGAATACTCTTCAGGGTGGTGGTATCGACTCTTATTTATGTGGACCAATAATCGCAAAAGGCAATAATTGGTAGCCCATTTGAGAGGGCCAGAGATTGATGGAATATTTCCCCTCTCAGAGACCGAGCTTGAAGTAAACACTGGCTACGGAAGACGGCTGAAGTCGGGGACTTGGGAAAAGTCTCCTATATACATACCACGAGCCACCGGAACACACAATCGTGAAGGTGATTCGCGCGTCAGGGAGAGCGGGGGGTTCAGACGGGTGGTTTGAGCGAGTCACATGGGAGTCGGGCAACCCATACCCACAAAGTACTCGAAATATTTTATTAACATGCTGCCATGAGATGAGGTAGAATATATGTAACTCTTACATTCAAATCTTTGGGCACACTCAACAGGACAATAATTAGAAAGAGAGCGAATTCATTAATGGCTAGCATTCTAACGAACTTGCTTTAAAAATGGATCGAGTCTGAAGACCATGCCACTATGTACGGCGAACAATGCATACAACCAACCCATTCTCAAAATTTAATAAACCTCAAGTACATATCTCAGATCCTCCTTCAACCTCTCGATCTCCTTCCTCGGATCAATCTTCTTACCAGTCCCCTTCGCATCCCTCGCAATCGCCTCCTCCAGCACCTCCGTGACATCGGGAACCGGCCACGTAGGACCGCATAGGTAGAATGCTCCTTCCTCTTTGATGTACGCCTTGATGATATCGGAAATCGTTTGGCGCATGCGGTCTTGGATGTAGATCTTCTGCGGCTGGTCGCGGGAGAAGGCACGACCGAGAAGGGTGATGACTCCGGCGTCTTGGTAGGCTTCCCATTCCTCACCGTACAAATATTCTTCGCGTTGGTGACGAGAACCCATATACAAGAGGATGGAGCCGATTTCCTTGCCCTGAGCCTTTTGCATGGCGCGGTACTGGACGAAAGCACGGAAAGGAGCGAGACCAGTGCCCAGACCGGCCATGATGAGTGGTGCGGTGTCTTTGGCTGGGAGCTTCATGACGGAGGGCTTGACACTGGTAGTTACTTTGGCGCCGATGGGGAGCTTGCTTAAGTATTTGGTTGCTTGTCCGAAGCGGTCACGGCCTTTGGGATCGACCCAGGAAACGACGACGATCATAAGTGCGACGGTGGTAGGGTTGACCATTTGGCTGGATGCAATGGAGTACTCTCTTCTCTTCATCGGGCTGACGATTCGTGCAATTTCGTGGAAGCTTGGGTGAGCAGATTTGAATTCGAGGAGAATGTCAGCGAATGTGATGGTGTCGACTTCCGCTCGACGCTTGAATTCGTTGGCTCCCTCTGGACCACCGAGGGTGAGGAGTTCTTTTTTCTCATTTTCGTCGCTTGCAAACTCAGCCAGAGCTTCGTAGAATCTCTTGGGTGGTTTTCCAAAGATGTCAATGTTTTGCACCAGAGACTGGAAGACCGTTCTAGTGTCAAGAACATTTGGATCTTCTCGAGATGGTACCTCGACGATCTCATCGGGGTTGAGTCCGTAAAATTCCATAAACTCAATAACCTCGTTGACATCATTCTCTGCGTGAATACCGAGAGCTTCGCCAATGTTGTACGTGAGGCCAGAATTACCAAGGTCAAATTCGATGTGGAAGATGTTTCGATCGTAGGTCAAAGGTGTGAGTCGGCGATTCTCCTTGACAGTAACCTCGAAAGTCTTGACAGAAAGGTCAGGCCGAAGACTTGTCTTGGTACCATATGCCTCTTTGAACACAAGACCCTTGGCAGCTGATTCCCAGTTGCGGAGGAGAGATGGCGGCGCAGTCTCTTCCTTCTCGAAACCCGTGAAGCTGCTCGGCGTGATAGTTCGTGGAAGGTCCGGAACTTGTGCTTCAACATCGACTTCAGCCCATGCCTCCGGGATCTCGACTTGGCGAAGAACATTGTCGAAATCAGCTGCAGCATCATTCAGTAGATCAACGTTTGCATTGATAGACGCGAGCTTCTTCATCCCAGACAAGAAGAGTTCAGGTCGAGTAAGTTGGATGAATGCCAGTTCCGTGACAAGAGTTTCAACGGCAGGATCTTTCTCAACAGCAGGTGTTAATGTCGGATCCAGGAGGAACAGCTGAATTCCCTTAAACTTGATCTCGTTTCGCACAGATGCCGGCAACTTCTTTTCTAAATCCTCATCCTTGACTCCCGGAAGCTTCACAATGAGTTTGCCACCGTTCTTAATGCTCTTCAGAATAGCGATCTCTTTAAGAAGCTTTTCTTCGCCAACAAAAGCAATATCCGATTCTTCAATAGGGTAATAAGCCTCGACCGACTTCTTCGAGTTGCGGATGTCTATCCTAACAGTTCCACCTTGGATGAAGTTGTCGTGTGTCTGGCTGATTGTGACATTGCTGGCAGAATCTCCTGACAATAGCTTGCCGATAGCAGATGGAGCAGTGGAGGCTGCAGAATCTTCCACATCCCAGAAAGTAAACTGCTTGATGTGAGAAGTATCGAGAAGTACAAATCGTTCACCATCTTCGGGTACCTTTCCAACTAATTCATGCAAAATCGTCGCCATTGATGTTGGTGTGAATGTTTCGCCACGAGAGTACTTCAAGTCAACAACAGATGGTGGGGTTGCCCACCTATCGGCGAAAACGGTAGCAGCCAGGACATCTTCGAAGAGGCTGGAGTGTGCAGACTTGTCCGCAACCGTAGTCGGGTCAAGGACCTGGCCCAGGACCCCAATGTGTCGGACGGAGGCAGGAAGTGCCTTCAGGAATTCTTCTTCCACAAAAGGTCTATACACCCGGACGTTGACCACCCCGACTTTGTTTCCTTCAACAGAAAGCTTCTCTGCGACCTGGCCTGCGAGCGAACTCTCAACACTGCCGAAGACGACCAAAACTACTTCAGGGCTGTTGTGGCCACGATACTCAAAAAGATTGTAGGCGGTGCCAAGCTCGTTATTAAATGCATTCAACAAGTGAGCAGCTTTGGTTTCAGCGTCCGACCTCTTGCTTAGCTTGGAAAGTTCCTTCAGTACGTTGGTATATGCGGTGTTCAAGCCTCTTTGGTTCAGAACATCGACAACTCGCAGAGTATCACGTCCGACGTTTACACCATCATAAATGTGAATGGTGGGCAAGACAGTGGCGAGGATTGTCGAGAACAGTGACATGTGCTGGACCTCGTATGCAGATGAGCTGGCAACAAGTCCAAGGCCCAACTCCTCTGCCATAGTCAAAGCAGACGCATAATCCGTGACAAGTCCGCGAGATGACCCTGGTGCATAATCGACTGCTGCTACATGAGCAACAAATGGATTTGCGATGGAGTACAGGAGAGAGAGTTGATCCAATGCTGCACGCAAGGTATGCAAGCTGGAGGAAGAGGCCAGAACTGATTGAGGAATATATCTCTTCGCAAGATCATAATCCTTCGAAAACATGTACCCTAGAGCAATTGAACCCGCGCCAGATCGTGTCTGCATAGGAACAACCCGGGTAATATATCCATGGGAATTCGGTGTATTTGAAGCAGACCAATCCTGAACAGCAACATCGAGATCGAAGGACTCAGTGGAGTATGAGAAGATCTTATCGGAGAGGGCGTATGCAACTTGTTGGATCAGAGTTTGGGCAGTAAGGTAGGTAGGTCCGTTGATCGAGGAGTAGTCAATTGGCTGACCAAAGGGCAGACTGGAAGATTTTTGGGCAAATTTCCGAAATGAGGAGGATTCGGCGTCGGAGTTCCAAGTGCTTTTGAGCATTTCGCCACCTGCGGGTTGCTATGATTCCTGGTCAGAAGGGCTGTCAAGCAATTGGAAGGTGAACTTGCCTGCATCTTTGGTTGTCGTTCAAGAATGGAGGTGCTGTCCTCTGCTTTTCGTTTCATGCCTCTGGTAGGCGAAAAGTCTAATTCCATGGGGTCCCCCATTTGAATCAGGAACCAAATCCTGGCCGTTTCGCCAAATGCAACTTTCGGAGAGGAAAAACGGGAGAATAAGTCAACAAAGACTTAAATTGAGTGAACCTTGTAAGGAGAAAGAAAGGAAAGGGGCGGCGCAAAATGGTCAAGTTGTTGTAGAAAAAGAGGCTTAGCTTCAAGTCACTTGCCAGGCAATTGGAGGAAGGGATAAGACCAGACCTCGAATGGGATGCATTACTAATTGATCTTCTAGCTGGGGCAAGTCTAGATCTCAGCTAAATGGCAAAATGGTACAATGGCGGATGTGGTTGAGTGTGTTCTCTTCGGAAAGGCTTCTCTGCAGCTGAGCACGCCATACATCCCCTGTCCATTCATCACCAAAAATCTGTTGGTTAAATAAGCGGCTGCAGGTTATTCGCTCCGATCTCGGTCTTTGTCGGTATGTTTGAGCACGTGACCATGTCTCTTACTGCACTCAGCCCGCTCGACCCGTTCACCCGCTCAGCCTAGCTAAAATCTCGGCCTACAGTACGAAAGGACCTTGGCAGCGACCAGGAAACAAGATCATCCCGAACCCGAGCAAAAGCTTATCTCGTACCATCGTTGTTATAACGGACGTACGAGGCTCTTATCGCTCTTAAGGACCCTCGAGACGATGAATGGAGTAGAACTTTTGCTATCTCCGAAGCAGGGGTTGGAAGCCGGAGTTTGAGGTGTGTCCGGACCTTGAAAGCTCCACTCAGCAAGCAACATCTTGAACGTACAAAATAAAGCACTTAAAGATCTTCTGATCTTCCATTTTCCATTTTCCATTCACTCAAACTAATTGACTTGAACACAATCTTCCAGGTCATCAGGAACAATTGCAATCCACAAGCACCATGACTTCAGTCGCTCTGGTTGGAGCCACAGGCTTAGTGGTAGGTTATTTGCAACCATCGATACGCCCGTCAGCACTCTAATTATCTAACAGGGCTCGCAAATCCTCTCCACGCTCCTCTCTCACGCCTCTATTACCAGCGTCCACTCGCTTTCTCGCCGCCAACCGACCAACACGAGCCCAAAGCTGCAGCCTCTCGAATCAACCGAAACATCGCAATGGTCCACTCAACTCTCCTCCATCACTCCACAGCCCAGCATCTTCTTCAGCGCTCTAGGCACGACCCGAGGCGCCGCGGGCTCCTTTGAAGCCCAGCGCAAGATTGACTATGACCTGAACCTCGCTCTTGCGCAAGCCGCTAAAGCATCCGGCGTCAAAGTCTACGTGCTAATCTCGACTGGAGGCGCGAACCCCAACTCCATGATGGGATACCCGAAGATGAAGGGCGAGTTGGAGGAAGCTGTCAAGGCGCTAGACTTCGAGCATACCATAATTCTGAGACCTGGTCTCTTGGTGGGGGAGAGACAGGAGAGCAGACCAGCTGAGTTTGTGGTTAGGAAGATTGCTGGGTTTGCAGGGGCTCTGTCGAATGGACTTAAGGATTTTTGGGCACAAGATGGCGAAGTGGTTGGAAGGGCTGCTGTCAGTGCAGGATTGGAGGCTTTGGAAGGAAAGGGTCCGAAGGTCTGGCTGGTGGGACAATCAGATATCGTGAGACTCGGAAGGACAGAGTGGGAGGCATGAAACGAGCATATGAGATGTAAGATATGATTGCTGGGTAGCGACGGGAGTTACAGGGACGGTTTCATTTTGCAAGTTAAGCGTGGTACATTCAGCAGACAGTCTTGAAATTCAACAATATTTTCCGAAAACTCCAATAATCCCTTCAACCGTAAATTCTGCCAGACGTAAATCGATCGTTATCATGGCTTGCCTGCCTTCTTCGGACTCCCACCTCCACTCTGGCTCTTCCCCTCCCCCGAATTCTCAGCACCACCATCCGCCTCTCCTCCCCCTTGTTTCGAGACCTCAGGGTTCGCAGGCGAGACATCTAATGGATTTCCAGATCCCTATTCTCCCCATCAGCACATGCTTCGCATTGTTCCCTCGCCCTGAAATATCAACATACCTGACCTTCCCCTGCAACCGTCTCTTCCTTCTTCGGATCCGTGATATCTGGATCGAAAGCTGCTTCCTCCTGTTTCGCGGCACCATCATCTGTCCCGCTTTTCGAGTATTCTGTTGCTTCGGTGTTGATGCTGGTTCTGTCTTGGCTGTCTTTTCGTGGAAATCTGGAGAGTGGGGTTTGAGAGAATGAACGGAGGGCTCGAAATGAGGAAGGAGAAGGACGTGAACGAAGGGATTGGCGTGCTGTCAGGCGGAAGATGGAAGGTGGTGACATGTTCGAGGAGCTCTGGCCAGGTTCTCTTTCCTTGAAAGTGAGTTTCCGCGGAATTGAAAGCTGCTTGGATTAGAAGCAAAAAATCGAGGGAAAGAGGCACATTGATGTGTCCGACTTGCTTTTAAGTATTGAATTATCTCAATGCCTTGCACAAGACATTTTCGTACAAAGCGAAGTTGTTAAATGCATTTCGTCATAGCTAGTTGCCCCGCGAATTGCCGCATGGGCTTTTTGCACAATGCCATCTCCCGTAACGAGTCTGCTGACAAAAGTCTGGGTTTAGCGATATTTTCAGGCCTCGTCAAACCAAAGTCATCAACTTTGTGACGGCTGGCGTAAGGGCATGATCTGCCAAGGACAGGATATCGGAAACAGGCACAAAACGAAGCTAAGCCAGAAATGCTTGGACGGAATAATACTAAAGGTCGAGGCATCCTCCCTACTTTGTTCCATAGCTTAGTATTTTCCAATACATGAGATTCTTTGAACTTTGAGCCTTCGACTATTGCATTGATCCCGCCGTCACAAACTTCACTCCACGATAATTAGATAATTATAAACAATACTATCTTAAAACTCGAGAGCATTAAGTACAAGAAGGAATATTTAGTTTTAAGAACTTAGTCTACAAAATTGCGATATAAATTATACTTTATTGAAATTCTTTTCAGGGCCGTTTCGTCAGTGAAATACGCTAAAACCAGAGACATTTGTTGGCAGGCTCGTAAGCGAGGTGCCCCTGAACAAGCTCGCTTCTCAGGAGCAGCAAGACCGCAACGACGAGTCTGTTAATAGCCTTAATCAGAGCCATCAGTAGTAGTAGAAAGCGAAGAATGCCATATTTTGCATTGTTCCAATTCAAGCTCATCTATTCCTCTGAACCCCGCAGAGATAATTAGCAAGCTTCTTGTGAATCTGGTCGTAGTAGAGCAATCCTCAACTTCCAATTGGAGATATCACTAATGGAATTTACCAAAACTGCGTTCAACTGCTTCTCTCTTCGCGCCAAAATATTGTAACCAATCAACTCAAGTTGGACTCTAAAGGTTTGAACCTGGACGCCGCAGACAAGAAGTCTTGTGGCAGGAGTAGAGTGTGATCATAGCTGAAATGGATAAGATATGATATGCTCTAGAGCAGTGTTTAATGTACAATACAGAATGCCAATATAGCCAACCTCTCTCCTATAAATTTTCGTTGCTTGAACGAAGAATCTCATTCCCATTCTTCCTTGAGATCCTCCCTCTCACGACTGCCAACCTCCCCACGACCCTCTGCTTCAATCTCCAGAACCCAAATCTTTCAAGACAACCGGCTCGAGACTCCAACTCGTCCTCCCAACCTTCACCACAGCCGCAGTCTCCTGCCTCTTGCCCGCACTCCCGCCTACAAGCTGCACAAATCCCCGCTGGTCCCTCACCTCCAGCTTCGAGCTGTGGCGGCGGTGACCTAGGTAATGGTTTTCTCGTAACTATAGGATTCGGTGAACCGCCTTCTCTCGACCTTTCATCCCAAAAATAGCCCGCCCCACCCATCGGTTTGGCTAAGGCCCCCATCAACATCTCAGGGGTTTCGGGAGGCGTAATAAGGCCATATTGCTGCCTTGCAGGGAGATATGTGGTATAGCGAGTGGAGTTTGGGGTGACGTTTGCATAGCCAAATGATTCTTCATTGTTCCGTGGCGGTGTGATTGGTTGTGCTACGAAGTCGTTGGCGTATGGTGCATTGATTGGTGCTGGAGAGGCAAGATCTGGTAGTTCAGAACGTTCAGAGGGCTGCGAAGAAGTACTTGCGGCCTCTTGGTTACCGTCTGACGGTGCGAGTTTGAACAAATGTCCTGAATGTGTACTTGAGTGGTTTGGTACCGATGATTTCCGGGGCGTGATGGGAGTTTCAAACTCAAATTGTTTCTCGCCTCCAGACCCGAACTGGTAGGGTGATCCAAAATTGGTTAGCAAAGCCTCATTTATTGGCTTGACCACTTTCTCTTTCAATGGAATGCGTTCTGGCGCCTCAGGGGTCTCCTTCTCTGGAGTTGTCGATGTTGAAGATGTCGGCATACTGAAGCTGGAATTAGAGAAAGCTGTAAAACTTGTCGTGCCCGAAGATGGAGGAATTTCTCCACGAGTAGCCTTGAACTTTATCGGAGTTTCGAATAAAAATGGAACCTGGCCGGCAGGCCTGGATCCGAATTCGAGAGCAAATTTTGCCATTGAACTTGTTTTGGGGCCGGTTGCGGTGGCTGACCCAGTCTCTTGCTGCTTGGCGATGGCTATCTTATGGTTCTGTGTCGGTGAAGAAGGCCCATCATGGGCTGGGAGAGAAGGCATGTATGGCAGCTCCGGCCTCATCATTTCGCGCACAGATAGCTCATTTTCTTCCTCGGACGAAAAATTGCCAGAGAAGACACCACCGTCCTCCTCTGCCTCATCCCCCTCCTCGTTGTTGTCGGTTAGCGCGAATTGAGTAAAAATGTTTGGTCTAGAAGAGGAGGCTTCTTGGGTCACGAAAGGATCATCGATGTTTGCAACATCGGAGGCGGAAGATAGTGCTGATAACGGTCTAGCGGTACGAACCTGCAGAGACTCTACATCAGTATCTCAAAGATTGCGTTGACATCCAGATAACATACCGTGTCTAGCTGCTCTTCTTCTAATTCGGTTATCACTTCCATCGCAATTGACCTTCTCTCAGCCTCTCTCTGTGCTTCTCTCTGTGCTTCTGTCTGTGCTTCTCTCTGTGCTTCTCTCTGTGCTTCTCTCTGCCTCTGTGCCTGCCTCTCTGCCGCTGCATCCTCTTGCTCCTTCAGTCTTACGTATTCTTCAATGACGTTTTTCCATTTTCTATACATCTTATCGACCTGAGAGTGCTGGGGCCTTGATAGGCTGTTGTGCCATTCATTGCAAAGTAATAGACCAGCAAGCTCTTCTAGATCCTCAATGGCATCACGTAGATCTTCTAATCGATCCATTTGATCAAGAAGCTGAGATGCTGCGGGCCAATCATGACGGTTGATAGGCTTTGTACATCGTCTTTTTTTGCTTTGTGCGTATCCCACGCACGTGCGATCTCCTGGATTGACGCCCAAGATGCGGCGGAGACCCCAGTTGGTCGGCATAGTTGAAAAGATATAACAATAATCGAAAGGATAACGTTGAATAATGATGGATAGCTCTAGAATATGACAAGGCCGAAGAGAGGAAGTGGACAGATCGTTAAGTGTGCGATATATGGATAGCCTCAAATCTATTGATAGGCATGCACATTCAAGGGTGCAACTAATACACACGGAAAGTTTCCCCAGCCTCGCTGTCGATGCATCAAATCCCCAAACCACCTGTGTGTGAGAGAAAAGCTAGGGTGTGGGGGAAGAGGCACAGCCTTGAGAGAGTCTTTTCAAAAAGAGAAAGCCTACACAGGCGTAAGAGAAGGCTGCCTTGTGGCAGCCGACACCAGACACTGCCACTAATTGTTGGTTAAACCTGCAAGAAGATTGGACGGCCGCACACCCATACCAGTGTGAGGGCAGACAGACTGCACCTCAGCCATCTCCGAATCCTTGTACGTGCAGGCTAGGGGAAATACTCCGGACGGGACGCAGCCATCGCGCCACGTGCGCGCATCACTGAAAATCACCAGCAAGCACACCAACAAAATCCAAGCCGCTGGAGATGTTCCCCAAAGCGGTTGATACCGTTATTGCGCCATGCCGATTCGTACGTCTAAAAATTGGGACCCAATGCGATCCTCAAGGAGTTTCCCATCCCGAAACGGTCCGTGTAACAAAACCCCGAGGGAACGGCTTCGCTCACACGGACCATCAGCACCAACATCTTTTGGGAAGCTACATGCCGAATCATACTGGACTTTCAAACATGACCTGGAGAAGGATCGGGCTGAAGTTTGGGACGAGTTAAGAAACATTTGATGGGACGTTTGGTTCTGGAAATTAAGGGATTTCGAGTTTCAATTGTGTTGCAAAACTGAGCATAATTGCATGTGCAAAGTCGAAACATGTAGTTGAGCTTCAAGGCTGTCAAATTTGAAGGCAGAGTCCAGGTTTCGTAATACCAGCTATGGTGCTGCGAGAGGGGATACGACATGGTAAAACTGGATATTGTTGCGTGCAACAAATATCCAGGCATTGAAGAAGCCACGAAGGTAACTCATATCAAGGATCTTCTTTATTGAGCCTTTCTTAAGACCTGAAAAGCATCAAACTCTCCTCCTCAGGAGAAACGCCATTCTCCGCTTGGCCATCATCACTAGCTTCCTCTTCACCCAGTGTCATTTTTTGGCCTAGCAAAGTTCCAAAGAAGCGGTCAATGGCATCTGGCTCCCAACTTCCTTTATCTTCGGGGGCCATGAAATTCTGCAGCTTCTCATGAACTGTAAATCGCATCTTACGACCTTTGCTAGCCTTGGTATCGACGTTCTTTCTTGTTTTTGCCTCTTTCACTGCGGTCCACTGAATTGAGTTCCCCTCATCCCTTCCAATCATCGGAGCATTTAATGACTCGACTCTTCGCTGATCGACAAGTTCCTTCAGGAGCATTTGATAGAAATTGCCGTCATCATAGATATCTGGGTCTTCAGTGGCTTTTTGATCTCTTTGAAGAGGTGCACATGATCTTGGCATCTTCGTTCGCTTCACTAAGTGCTCAGAATTTGCGAGCTGATCTTGAATCAGAGAAGTTATCGACTGCTGAGCTGCGATAGGATTGAGCTTTCGAGATGTTGGCAATGCTGCGCTGCCCCAGACTTTGGCTGACCATTTCTCCAGAGTCGTTTGTCGATTATCAATAACAGCTACTTCAGAATTCTGCATGCGTTCCCAGAGTGTAATTGACGGTGTCGATATATCGACACGTCTCTTCCGCTTTTGACCTGGTTTGGCGCCAGAGCTTGCCTTTAACAGCTCGTGCCGAAGATCATCGAGAGTGTTCCATAACTTGATCGCTGCCTCTTCTGCAGCTTCATATGGTTGGTTTGTGGTCTCGCCAGCTTCTCTTTCTTCCACGGCAGCCATAGAGTTTGTTGCAATCAGAGCCTTCTGCAACACCATTCGAACACTTAGGAGCGAGTCAAAAGCTTTCCTCTGCTTCTTCACAGCATTGCCTTTGTCTGCGTCCACTTTCGCGGCTTGAGATATCGTAGCTAGGACAGTCTTCTGTTCTTCGCCCATTATTTGTCGAAGCTCAGCACGCCTCGCTTTCTCATCATTCTCATCTTCACTGCCGCTTACAGACTCATCTCCAATCTCCTCCTCATCGCTATGTTCAGACTGGTCTCCGAGTAGATTCTCAATGTCTTCTGCGCTGTCGTCACCAGAAACATCCTCTTCGTCATCTTCCCTGTCATCCGGATGCTGGTCTGCGACATTCAATATGTTCACATCAGTCTCAGCACTCTCGGATCCGCTCTCATTGATAGGGACTTCCTCGTCTTCGCTGTCTGACATAAAATCCGCCGCAGTAGCCCGTTGCCTTGCGCCATTGGCCAACTTTGGTTTGCTGCTTCCTCGAAATGCGAAGCGCTGGAATTTTTCTTCATCGCTTTCTCCAAAAGCATTGTCACTGTCAATGTCTCCATCTTCATCATCCATGTCTACATCGATAGCTTCGGGATCCGCAAATTCGATGCCATCAGCCTCCTCAATACCTTCTGAAGCTGAATCAGATCCCGACTCAGGATTCCCTTCAGCCTCCTCTTCGTCATTATCGTCGAGTAGAGCTTGGCGACTGACTCTGGATCCAGAGTATTCAGGTCCAAGATTGATTTCGTCTGATTTCCGAAGCTTGCTCTTCCTGCATAAAATTTAGCAATGAAGCAGTCTGAAAAATAAGATTACATACCCAACTGCCGCGTAATGCTCAGTACCAGCTAACCCGTCGTCGCTCTCCTCAGAACCGCTCTCTTCGTCGGTCCTCTGAACCGGGGCATCTTCTTCAGGATCGAAGTCTGGAAGGAATTAGCACTTAAATTACTCATTGTTTGACCAAGCAGACAACTGACCTTGAGATATGGGCTCATCCAGGGCAGCGATTTGCTGCGCAAGATATTTCGCTCTGCCCATGATTAGTAGTTGGTGTTGTGTCCTCCATCCTCTTAAAAAAGATTTCTGACAAATTTATTGTTATTCCCCACAATCTTTGGCACGCTAGCGGCCGCCTCGATTCACTTCTCACGGCGTCTTGGAGGAGGAGCTTGAAATAAACATGAACCCGCGATTATTTTCCACGCTGCGCTGCCTGCAGCATGAAAACCCTCTGGTAAGCTAAAGATAATATAAACTTGTCTTCTAACAACTACTAACTCTATGCGCAGGGTCTGCCACGAACTGGAAGCATTCCGCGCATGCAGCGTGGATTGCCCGAACGACGAAATATAAAGGATGTTAAGAAAGTGATTGCTGTATCATCTGCGAAAGGAGGCGTGGGAAAGTCGACAATTGCAGGTTAGGGTACTGTTGAATTTGCTGGGAATCTTCTAAGAGAAGCAGTCAATCTCGCTCTGGCGTTTGCCAAACGTGGACTTCGAAGCGGCATCCTTGACACGGATATCTTCGGTCCCTCCATTCCAACACTTTTGAATCTCTCAGGAGAGCCACGATTATCTTCAAGTCGGCCAACCCTCTCACAGCTTAACTGGACAAGTCTGATGACGAATAGACAACCAACTTATACCTCTTTCCAATTATGGAGTCAAATCTATGTCAATGGGATATCTCGTCGGAGACGAGGCACCTGTAGTATGGCGTGGACTTATGGTTATGAAAGCTTTACAGCAACTATTACATGAGGTCGATTGGGGAGGCTTGGATATCCTCGTGCTAGATTTGCCACCAGGAACAGGAGATACACAATTGACGATCACGCAGCAGATCATTCTTGATGGTATAATTTTTTAATTACAATAGAGTTGAAGCTAACGCTTATAGGCGCAATTATCATCTCTACACCTCAAGACATTGCTCTCAAAGATGCCGTGAAGGGAATCAACATGTTCAAGAAGACGAATATTCCAATACTGGGAATGGTCCAGAATATGTCGCTCTTCATTTGCCCACATTGTCACAACAGCACTCACATATTTGGATCCCACTCAGGTGTAGAAAAAGCATGTCGAGAGCACGGAATTAACTTCTTGGGTAACATACCACTTCATGCAAGCATATGTGATTATGCAGATAGGGGAAAGCCAACTGTTGTATCTGAACCGGATAGTGAGCGAACAAAGTCGTTTATAACAATATCTCAGCGGGTTGGTGACTTGATTGGGCTATGACAAAGTGAAGAAAAGGGCTCCGGTATCCAACAGCGAGGGGTGAGGGGGATTACCATAGATCAACAACAGCTTGTACAATACTTCGGCGGATAATATGATTTGTCGATGGCTCGAATCGCGGTGAATCCACACAGCGTTGAGTACTGTTGTGTGCAACTAGGATGCCCAACGAATTCTCCTATCGATTTCACATAATTTAGCTTGTTACCTGTGAACAGCGCTCTGAGGGGGATGGAAGTACACCCATTCATTCTGTAATGTATTTTCATGCCTCGATACTAGTGGTGAAAGAGCAAGCCCGTGTTAGCCTCCATCAAGAATTCTTGCAAGAAATAACAGTGGCCAGAACTCCAGCCTTAGCGCCTGATACTTGCAGAGTATTCCCCAGCCATTCTTCCCTATAAACCCTTCAAATCCATTAAAATCCTTCTTCCTCACCATTAGTCTGATAGATGTGTCGACTTCGTGTAGGATCCTTCCGCATGCTTTGACCCGAACCCGTAAAACCAACTATACTCATTAGTTAATGACATGAAGATGGAACGTAGTGTGCTTGCCTCTGCCGTGGACGCCTTCTGGTGTTCGGAACATGCTTTCCTTCTTTGCGGCTTTGCCAAACTTGCCCTTCTGTGCAAAATCCTGCCATTTTGATTTGCCGGCTTCCAATTCCTTGTTTGCCTTGATCTTCTTTGGAACTTTGGCGGGTCTAACAGGGCCATCACTGACCTTGCTCGGCTCACGCTTTGTTTGCTGTGCAAGCTCTGGATTAATGTCTGCTGCAGCAGATATGACGTTGGTGTTAACCGGAGGAGGTAGAGGTAAAGACGCTGCGACTGGTGTTCCATCAGCTTTGCGCTTATTTGGGTTTACAACGGGTTTAATGTCCTTGGCCCGGAGAGTTTCAGTGGTGTCGTAGCTCTTGAACTTGACAATATAGACTGGCGCGGTCGAGGAACCTGTGATAGACGTGATCCTCGCCGGATAGAAGCCTTTGTCGCCCGAATGCCATTTTGCTAATACTGTGTCGTTGACTTTGAAGTTTGTGGATGACTCTGACTCGTCTGCAGGAGCTGCTGGTGTTGTCTTCTTGAAAGCGGGATGATTCTCTCGAGACCATTTCTCCTTCACTGGCGGTTCTGCTGGCTTCTTGGATACAGCTGCTGGCACTGAAGAAGGCTTTAGTTCTGCGATCGCAGCTTCGGTGAGGGAAATGACTTGTTCGAGTTCAGTCTTTAATTCCTGAAGCTCTGTGCTATCCGGATCTGCTTGAAGCCCCAGTTGGACTGTCTCCAACTATGAAAGAGTTAGATATGCAATAAACGGGTAAAGCTGTTTGTACTGGCCTGTAATTTGTACTCCTTAATCTCATTTTCGAAAGCCGCGATCTGGTCCGCCATCTCCACCGAAGCCCTTCTGGGTATTGCCTCCGAGTTTCTTCGCGTGGATCTGATGCTTGTTATCGGCTATGCTCCTCACAATGAATTAAGACCTGAGTGGGTTTAAAAGAAGGTACTCGAGAAGGAGTGAAAGTGGTTCGTTGCTTGGTTGTTGGAGAAAGTTGAGGCGTTGACCCTTCGCCTTCAAAATCGACTGCACGGCCACGAGTGAGGTGAGGCCAGTTACGTAAGCGAGGCTGGGGCGATTTGAAGAAGTTGCATTTCTCAACTTCACTTCGAAAGACAACCATCATCGCGAGTACGAACCACAACATGCAGGGATTCAATATGGGACGTTATGTCCCTCCTGATCAGGAGGGATTGATGAGTGGGAATCAACTGCATGGCAAACACGCTCTCGGAGCTCGAGCCAACAAAATATCACAAGGAATCCTCACGGTTCGATTCGAAATGCCGTATCCGATCTGGTGCACACATTGCCCGAAGCCTACGATAATTGGACAAGGAGTGCGATTCAATGCCGAGAAGAAGAAGGTGGGAAACTATCATTCGAGCCCGATATTTAGCTTTCGAATGAAACATGTCGCCTGTGGAGGATGGATCGAGATTCGTACAGATCCTAAGAATACGGCATATGTGGTCACGGAAGGTGCAAGGAAGAGAGATTTAGGAGAAGATAAAGCTAGAGAAGGGGATGTGAAGATTTTGACACAAGAGGAAAGGGAGGCAATAAGGGACAATGCGTTCGCTGCATTAGAAGGAAAGGTGGAGGATAAAAAGAGACTGGAACAGAGCAAGCAACGACTGGAGGACCTACAGGAACTTTCAGAACAACAATGGGATGACCCCTACGAGCAGAACAAGAAATTGAGAAATCTGTTTCGGGTTGGACGGAAACAGAGGGAGAAGGATGCAAGTGTCTCGGTTGCTTTACAGGACAAGATGAGTCTCGGGATCGATTTATTGCCTGAGCACGAAGATGATGTAAGAAGAGCTGGTTTCATTGAATTTGGGGGATTGGACCCTGAGAAGGCGGTGGGCAACGCTGTCTCAACGCCACTTTTTAAGACGGAGGATTCAACTGCAAAAATGAAGTCCAAACCCTCCAGGCACTCTAAGAAACGGAAAGCAGATGATACTTTGAAGCAAAGGACCGCGAATCTCGCAGCCGAGATACGAGGTAATACCAGAGCCGCCATGGACCCGTTCCTCACAGGAAGTCGATCATCCGGCTCAGCCTCGAAACCGTTACTATTGGGGGTGAAAAAGAAGCGACCAAGACTTGAAGAGAGCCTTGTGCCTACGAGTGGAGCCGGTCTTGTGGACTATGATTCAGATTGAGTTGCGAAGGCGGTGAATACGGGCAAAGGAGTCAGCGATGCTGCGATAGTTGGGGCATTATGGGTTGGAGTTGCGAATGATACCCTTGGACTTGCTCTATTTACTCGGTGGCGATATGTCCACTATTTAGTCAATTATCTGTGATGGTAATTCTATGATGATATTCCAAATTCGGTCAAAATTCTGCATTGAGTTCCGTCGCATGCCTTGAGCTACTCAATTTCCAGGGGACTGACCGACTTTATTCCAACAGGGTACAATATCGTTCATCAGCTAGAGACGTGAGAGCTGGAAGTGAGGTATGCATAATTCTTTGCATACGCCTTAGAGTTTATCTATCAGATCCATGTGACGGTCCTCAGGACACCTGCGGCAAAGCCTTGACAAGCCCTGCTAAGATCCGATATGCGAACCATGAACGGCGACTCCAACGCTCAGGAACGGTGTGATGACCCCAGTAGGACCATTAAAAGTGGGACATTTGTACGATGTTGAGATAAGTTCCACAGAATTTTTCCACGCACAGAAAGGCAGACTAATCGCTGGATCTGGAACATATGATTCAATATTAAGCTCGGAGACAGTAAGCGGGTCGAACATTCATAGCCTGAACTTCAAATTACGGGGGATAGAAGAAACAGAGTGGGAGACCTGGTGTTTTTCTGGGGCAAGAGCTTTGGGACGAATCAGATAGTGTACTGATCATCCTTCGGGCGATGAGCTTCAGCTCTTAATGCAGAAAATAAGGCAAGAAAGTGGGGTGGCGCAAATCATGGTGTGACTTCCAGGGTAGTCTGGATGGTGGTATTCCGCGATGTGGAAGCGGAGTCGACGCAGCAGATCACTGCTTGGAGAATATAGCAGAAGAGAATTTTGGTGGCGATCTTGAGGTGTGACGGACTTGCTTGTCAAATCTGTCAACACTCGTTACCTGGGTGGAGTTGACTCAGAAGTGAACAGTGAACATTTCTATCTCGCTGCGTTGATATCGAGATCACTTGTCTGCAATCCCGACACCTTCGAGACTCTTCCATAATGCAGGAACAGTCGGGCATGCCAGGGTTCGTCCCAAACGTAGGAGGAAGAAGTCTCGAGGACTGGCGAGTTTGAAGATGGGAAAGTCTATGCGGTCACGTGTGGTTAGGTAATAAGCTATAGAGGACGTCGTTCCATGGCCGAAAAGGGCAACTTCTCTCAAGCGCTTCCTTTGGCATGATTCTATTCTTCAGTCAGCTGTTGGACAGTAACTACTCTCTTCTCTTCTCATATGACAGACCTATCAAAGTTGTCTGTTATCTGATCTTAAATATCTTCCTTTTGCGCCAAGCCAGCTCAAAAGCAAGACGGATTGGATCTGCAGCACAAGGAGCATGTGGAATAGCATTTACTCTATTGCTGTAGAGCTGACGGTGCTGAGGTATCTTAGATTCCCAAGTTTCCCCGCTAGTTCTGTATTCTGGATTCTCTCGGTCGTGGGGAATCTCGTGGGAGAATCAACTTTGGGGGCGGGCCACAGAGGGAGTCGATGAAACAGCCCTACGGAAAATACCCCTTTCCTTTTGTCCGAGCAGGGCTGAAGGCTTTAGGATTCAAGCTCGGAAGACTCACACTTCCATTTCTTCACATGTCTCGTGGTCATCCACTTTCCTGCGGTGAAGTTCGGACGATTACTTTGGTCGATCAATGCCCTCCAGGATCAAACCCAATTCCCTCGCGATCAGAGCATCCAGCTGAGAGACATTAATCGCGAATTGGAGTTGTTCAACGCATCAAATTTGCGTCATGACTTGTGATTAATTTGATAGTGTCATTCATGGAAAAATTGAAAGCCGCACACGATTGGCTTTCCCCAAGCGAATCACAGACAGTCCAAAGTCTCTGAAAGCCCCAAGTTGAAGACACGGGCGGAAAGCCAATAAGTCAAGCCAATTTGTTAGCGGCGAAGGGTTTAGCAAAACTCAAAGCATATTATGCGGCAAATGGCGCGCAAGGAATTGCACACTAGAAAATATTGCAGTTCGAAAAGAATGATCTTCGCAATAGTTTTGCAATTAGAGAATTGGATACATCACTAACGAAGCCAGGACAACTTTGCTTCCCCGAGAGCGTCAAGCCTGTATAGATGCAGCCAACTGCTTGATGTCCAAGCCTTCGAGAATCGCTGCTACGGATGCCTCCATAGCTCCGGGTGCAACGGTCAGGTAAGTTCGGCCTGTCATTTGACTCCTGAGAGTATGTCTTGAATATTTATCAGATTTAACGATTGAACTGCTGTTCACATAAACAACACCTTCACAATTCAAGCTACTGTAAGTTGCCGGGTCGCTATTGCTCGCGCCACGTATTGACAATATCAGGCCAACTTTGTGTCGTGACATCCATGGTTCACTTGGACATGCAAGAAAACACTCAGAGAAGAATGTGGGTACAATTTTTCTCAGCCATATGTAAGACCCCCATAACTTTTCACTTCCGAGATTGCTCTCCTCATTCTGGTCTCAAATCGTTTTCAGATACACAAAATGAATACATCCCGATTTTTTAGTGGCTGGGCCAAAACTGCACTAGGCATGTCTTCGATGTGTCAATGCCCAAGTTTCATTTTGCTGATATACCCGAAAGACCCCGTAAACTCTCCCATGTTTGGTGGCAGCCCATACGGCAGGGGTGGAAACGGCAATCACGAAGCTTATAACTATATAAATGCCATCACTTCCACCGCAACTCCTCCACTGAACTGCATTCCACCCGGAGGCCGGGAGAAGGTCGTGGATGTGTTGAGGCCGGACCTTTTAAGAGGTTTATCTTCTATCCATTTTCCTCGGATCCATTATACTGACTCAGAAACAGCTACACCGGGGATTTTGCTCCAGTTTTCCTATCTTTAGTAGAACCAGAACTCAATGGATCACTCCCCTTCTTATTATACGACCCAAGATGACTGAAACGAGACGTCAGTTCCTGGGAATCGAGTAAGGGCCCGTTTCGCACCCCACCAATATTCGAATACTGCCAATATCCGAACGCTGGCGTTCGGATATTACAAAAATTAGCGTTTCGCATTTTTTTTTTGGAAACTAGCTTTGAACGCTGGCATTTGAATGCCAGTATTTGTTCCCCATACTAATCTCAGTATTTTCAGAACGACCTCTAGTAGGTCGTTCTGAAAATACTGGGAGTTGAAAGCTCGGCCTTAGGCCACCATATGCACTCCAAACACCCTAAACACCCTAATTTACAGTGGGCTCCATCGCATGCCCGCATTTAATAATTAATTATCTTCCTTCATTTTATTTTGGGACAAGTTTGATAATGACTTCAGGGCATAAATTCTTTCTAAAGCCTTATATTTTGCGATTCTCGTAGAAATAATCTCGGATTAATTTATTTAGTAGTAAGTAATATAAGATATAATTATTTTATTAATTACTTTTCCATTTAAGAATAAAATAAATTCAGACTTCAAGACGCTATAATTATAGGGAGTAATCGCTAATTATTAGGGAACGAGAAAGTGGAAGATTAATGAGGCTGAAAATAGAGGCTGAAAACGCTAGCGGAGATGAAGCTGAAACCTCCGTAATTATTACGAATACTGAGTATCTACGGCATGCGAAACAGGTCCAAATTATACAGATACTAGCGTTCAATATCGGGCGTTGAACGCTAGAGTTCAATATTACTAATATTCAGCTTTCAACTTCGTGAGCCCGTGCGAAACGGGCCCTAAACTGGGCAAAAGACGTCGATATCGCGGACCTGATCGACCAAAACCCTGATATCTATTGCTCCGAACCATGATGCAAGGAAATGGCTTCATTAACGGGTTCTTTGGGGTCCACGCTGTAGGTAAGTCTCTTCTTCACGTGAAACAAACTTGACTCCCAAGACACACTTCAGTACTCATACTTCATAGGCCATTACACCATCGGTGGTGACCCAGGCTGAGACTTCTTCGCTTCTCCAGGAGATCACGCACAGATTGATCGTACCTGGTGGATCTGGCAGAATCGAGATCTTACAACCCCTAAAAATGCAATCAGTGCAACTACCACAGTCAACAACACACCGCCAAGTAGGAATGGCGCTCTTGATGATTGGCTTGAGATGGGAATTCTTGGGACCGGGACCGAGATCAAGAATACGATATTTACCGCTGTAGGGCCGTTGTGTTACATCTATGTATGAACAGGTAGCAAAGACTATATAGGAGATGAACTCAGTAGAGGCCAGAGCTGCGATTCATAGATACATTTGTTCATCATTATTCATTGTTAGGGTATCATCTAAAGTTCTCAGCCTAAGACTCCAAAGTTACATGACTATCACTTCTCCACTACTGGCTGCCTAGTCCTTGTCATCCCTATCTACAAGCGTCGGCGACCCTGGGCTGGTGCCCAGAGTGGAATCAGTCTCGACGCTCATTCCTCGTCCCAGTGGGCTTCCTTTGACGGCCCGAGAGCCTTGCTGGACACGATCTAGAGGTCTTGTTGACTTTCGATGAGGACGGTACGGTGACATTGGGGATCCTATTGGGGAAGAGGGGGGATTGTTCGGTGGACTTCGGCGAGAAGCAGATGAGTGTTCCCTGCTCCTGAGCAGCCATGGTTCAGGCGTCGTCGAATTTCGTTCTCGCATCCATCCCTGCTGTGGTGAAGGATAGCCATTTGGAGGATTAAATTCTTCGTAGGGTGTATTTCCTCGAGAGTACCTATCATACGCCTCCTGAGCTTGATTTTGATACTGGTATTCTTCACCTCTTCGCTTGATCGGAGACTCGTCGTAGGGATCAAAGCCCATTTTTCTCACAGCCTCCCGGCGAGTGCGTTTACGTAGCTCGGCGTCTCCTCCTGCACCAGTGGTGGATGACTCGCAAAGGAAGAAGGTCAGGAACTCGTCTGGAATAGAAAGATGGGATGCTTGCTGCCATTGTTGAAGAGCTGTAAAGCGAATCAACATTTCCAGAAGCGATAAAGCAGTTCTAATGGGGACATGTGTTGTGGATCCCAGGGGTCCACATTTGGCGAACGGCGGCGAACATGCTACTTGCTGACTCGGAACTGGAACTACGGCCGATTCTTCATTGAGGTGGAGGTGTTCAAGTCCGCCAATTAAGCTGTCATCGTTCTGGGCTTCTCCAGAGGAGCTGGGTCGGTGAGAGATGTATGACGAGTCCTCATTGTCATCTTCATCCTCAGAAGTCGAATCTTCTGGCTCTGTGTAAACTTCGAATGCAAGCCACTCAATGTCAAGATCTGCTGGGAGGCACCATTCTCGCTCGACTGGAGATTGAGCTTCGTGAACCGGTTCTTCTGGAGTCGCTGTGGAGCTCTCTTTGCGGATTTGCTCATCGATGTCGTCCTGAGAATCATCACTTGAGTCGGATAATCCCTGTTCTTCACTGTCTTCCTGGTCTTTAGCGTCTCCTTGTTCTTCTGGGTCTTCGTACAAATTGAGGTTCTTCTCACGCTCCTCCATCATTTGGCGTGGCTCTTTTGCATTGATATCCCGCTTCAAGAGAAGCACAGGACTATGCATCTCTTCTGGGCTGCCGATACCAAGGATCTTTCCTGTATCAGCATAAAAGATCCTCGAGACCTGATAAATTGGCAGGAACTCCCTGATACCGGCCAGGTGAACATCTCCGTAAGATGCAGGTTGTGGTCCACCATCCTCGAACTCGTGAACTCTGCCATCATCTAGATCTTCGATGATTTCAAGGCGATAATTGTATTCGTTTTGTTTACGCTCGCCTGTCATCACAGGGGTTCCTTCTTCGCCAGGCTCGATCGACTGCAGAGCTGGTTGGCTGCCGCTGCCAACGGATTGGAGAGGCAGTCGCATGAGCTTGACCCTCGCCTTGTGTATCACTTCTTTGAATGTTGATTCTCTAGCGGTGTCTGTTTGCTCCTGCTTTTCCCGATAATGGCCAGCAAATAGCATGTACAATGAAACCGTGAATGCGGGCCCCACCTGAACAGGGGATGTAGGATCCATGGAATATCGAGTATCAGCATTAGTGAGGAGATTGCTGGCTTGTAACATTCTTGATGGAGAAACTGAGGGTGGTAGCGTTGTCGACAGACCTGCTCCTGACGTCGTAATTGCCAAATTGATTAACGGTACTTCATCTTCGATGCGAGCAAGAACATTTCGGGTATCTTGGACAATCTCTCGGATTTCCTTTTCATGGTCGGGTCGCGATTTGGCTTTGTTTTGTTTCCGCCGGGAGGCTTCCTCTGCTGTGGCTGCATTTGCAATCCGAATTCCAAGAGCTTGAATCTCCCACCGAAGAGCTCGGGTTACGGCGACCGCTGATTCTAGTGTTGTGTTCCCTCTCTCAGAGCTGGGACTAGTCAGTCTAGAATTCCCAGCCGGTATTATAGGCATACAAACATTAGGTCAATCATGTCAATTGCTGGAGATATGATCTGGATAAAGATTAGCGTGGAGTAGGAATGGATTGAAGAGAGGAAAATGTGACCAAAGGGTATTGACAATGTTGGGAATCGACAGCAAAATTACAAGAACTTACTCTGATTTTCGCCTCCAGTCGCTCCTGGAGCTTACGAAGCTCCTGATAATCCCCATCATCATCCACAGTCTATATTCTAGATTAGAAAGTTGCCGGGATCAAGCGAACCAAATGGTCTCTCACCTTAAGCAACCTCGACGATTGTCTGATAGCATATGATGCAGTAATTCCTATGCCGGACCTATCCACTTGTCAGAAACTTTCTCGGATTACATTAGGGACCTGAACTTACCGGATTGCATAGTTCATGGCATGTTGGGTGATCTGTTTGTCTGTTGTGAGCACGTGATGTTGAAACCTGGTTGGGCTCCTTGTACCTTGCCTAGAAAAGCCTCCATTGCCACTCCTGCTGCCAGAGCAGTGTGTAGATTATCGATTAACAAGAACGGGAGTCGTTTGGCAATTTTCCATTCCCGAGGTTGATGTTGACATTAAGTTTACAAACGCGTTGTCATTTTTACGCGCTTTCGAGTCACGAGAAGGACGAGTTGACCTTGTACCGACTACGGAGGCCGGTTCATGCCGGAACTAGTCCAACCTGGCCACAATTCTACTAACCTTCAAAATTGCCATGGACCAACCACGCTCGACTGTGATTCATTGTTCCAGTTTTTCCAGAGACTACCAGGGTCCTTTCCTTGTGCTGGCCTAAAGCCAGCCTGATCACCGTACTCGTATCTGACTCACAGGTTGTCACATCCTCTTCCTACCCCCTTTTTGGACAACCCCTCCATCCATCTTAAAACGGCCGATAATACCCTGCCCGCCCCACCCTTCCCACAACCTTTGATATCGACCTTCGACAAACTTTCGCCTGCAACCTGCAACTACATCTACGAACGCAACCATGTCCGATCTTAATTCCTGGGAAGACGACCCTGCTGCGCAGGAGGAGAATCTCTCGCGGCAGGCACAGCAAATGAACTTGAACAACAATTCTCAGCAAGGAGGCAGCTTCCGACCGGGAGCGAATTCATTCCAGCCAGGAGCACCGCCCTTTCAACCATCACAAAACTTCCAGCAATATGGGGGTGGATACGAACAGCCCGGATACCAGAACTACTACAATGCGCAAGCTGGGCAGGGCTACGGATATCCTCAGTACGGCCAGCAAGGTAGTTACAACCAATTCCCTCCGGGAGGGTACAATGCTGGGTATAACCAAGGCGGCTACAACCAAACCTATGGTGAGAACTTGACCCAAAGCCAAACCTCATATTCCTTCTGCCATATCTTTCCTTGCGGAATTTGCTAACCCAACATGCTTATGTAGGACAGCAATATCCTGGCTACACACAGCAACCCCAAGCGGCGTCGGCCACTTCACAGCAGGCGCCTAGACCAACCCCGACAATCGCGAAGCGACCTGCCGATGGCTCACCAGGATCTGCCGAGTTGAATAAACCTATCACGACGAAGGATGGAGCACCAAAGGTTCTCAGCATTGGAGGGGATGCGCCCAAGCCAAAACCAAAAGTCCTTTCAATAGGAGTTCCGGCTATACCAAAAGCAGAGACGAAAAAAGATACGCCTGCTGCGACAGCCGCTTCTTCATCTGTATCTTCTGCATCAGCTGAAGCTGGAGCCAAAGTGACTGCAGCCAAAGCCATTGAGAAGACCGAGAAGAGTACCGCCTCAGAAAGCGGGAAGACCTCGCCCACCCCTTCATCCGGACGGTCCAGTCCCTCCCGGGGTGCTGCTAAGGCTACTGCTCGCGATGCAGATGCTGTTGAGAAAGAACAGGCTGCAGATGTCGATGAGGAAACCCTGAAGGAAATCTACGGAAAAGAGCATGTCAACATCATCTTTATTGGCCATGTTGATGCCGGGAAGTCTACCCTTGGTGGAGCAATTCTAGTCCTCAGCGGAATGGTCGATGAGCGCACACTTGAGAAGTACAAACGTGAAGCGAAGGAAATGGGCCGTGAAAGCTGGTGGCTGTCATGGGCCTTAGATCTTACCAAAGAAGAACGATCTAAAGGCAAGACCGTGGAGGTTGGGCGTGCTTTCTTTGAAACGGATAAGCGACGATACAGCATTCTGGATGCACCTGGTCATAAGACATATGTGCCCAGTATGATTGGCGGGGCATCTCAAGCTGATGTTGGTATCTTGGTGATTAGTGCCCGGAAAGGAGAGTACGAAACTGGATTTGAAAAGGGCGGTCAGACTCGAGAACACGCCATGCTGGCAAAGACCCAGGGTGTCAACAAACTGGTGGTTGTCATCAACAAAATGGATGATCCTACGGTGGAGTGGTCAGAAGAGCGGTACAAGGAGTGTACCACTAAACTTTCTCAGTTCCTGAAGGGAACCGGATACAACCTCAAGACTGACGTGTTCTTCATGCCAATTGCTGCCCAACAGTTGATGGGTATCAAGGATCGAATCCCGCCAGGCGTCTGCTCATTCTACAATGGCCCATCTTTGCTTGAATACCTCGATAGCATGGCAGCACTGGAACGCAAAGTCAATGCACCTTTCATGATGCCTATAAACGGCAAATACCGTGATATGGGTACTCTTGTGGAAGGAAAGATCGAGTCCGGGGTGATCAAGAAAAGTATGGCTCTGGTCATGATGCCTAACCGAGAAAGGGTCGAGGTTGCAGCTCTGTACGGAGAAACAGAAGATGAAGTTAGTGCAGCACAATGCGGAGACCAAGTCAGAATTCGGTTGCGTGGCATCGAGGAGGAAGATGTCCTGCCAGGTTTTGTTCTATGCTCACCAAAACGACTTGTGCATTGCGTCAGCGCTTTTGAGGCACAGATTCGTATCCTGGACCTGAAGAGTATCTTATCAGCTGGTTTCAACTGTGTTTTGCATGTTCATTCTGCTATCGAAGAAGTTACGTTTGCAGCATTGCTTCATAGCCTGCAGAAGGGAACAAACCGAAGAAGCAAGAGGCCGCCCACTCATGCAAAGAGGGGCGACAGCATCATTGCAAGGATGGAGGTCATTGGTGGTGCGGGATCTGTTTGTGTGGAAAGATTCGAGGATTATCCCCAACTGGGACGCTTCACACTTCGAGATCAAGTAAGACACCTCTTCCTACATGTTCGGAATGTCTTTAAGCTAACATCTTAAAGGGACAAACCATTGCAATTGGTAAAATCACCAAGTTGATCACTTCAGACGAGGTTGCTGCCACAGCCGCAGCCGCATCTGCAACTGCTTAAGCGATCAATTCATGACCTATGACTTATGATTTGGGAGGGGAGGTGGTCTAAGGCGCAGGACGAGAACCATCTTGCATACATGGAGGTTTTCATCTAGACTAGGCATCTGGGGAAAGGCCATCGGCTGGGGTTCAGTGAGCGCCAATGGTAGTCAGACAACCAAAAAGCCCATCCCATCACCTTATAGCTTAGTTCTACTTTTTCCAATCCTCGTTGCTATGGAGTATTGGTTAGAAAGCCAGTGAACTAACTTCAGAGAGACAAAGTGAAATTGATTTCGCGTCTCCTAACCGAGTCCCAACTCATACTATATTGTCTAGGCATTGTGACTAACTCCCCGTGTAATCAGGGCTCAATAAGCTTTCGGACAGTCATTTTCCTTCTTTTCCTAGTCTTTGCTCCTACCCTAAGAATAAAACAATAGGCAAGCTGGCAAAAGCCAATCAAGATGAAACGGAACCATGTGACCTCACCCTTGTCGTTGGTTGATGCCTATCCTCTCGGTGTGACTATCCAACACCACGCAAGGCAAGCACCAAACTCTTACCTTTCCTTGAAATGCTTCTGGCGCACAAAGGCATTCTCAAAAACATTCCAAAATTCCATCGAGGAATTTCTCACCGAGGATTGTCACGCACAGGTCCCATGGCTTCCATTCACGGACCCATCACCGATGTCTCCGAGTTTCACGAGGTTCTGAAGTCCTCGAAACGGATTATGGCTTTGTGTGGAGCAGGTCTCTCAGCAGCATCTGGTCTTGGAACATTTCGAGGAGCTGGTGGGATGTGGCGGAATCATCAAGCAACATCTCTTGCGACTCCAGAGGCTTTTGAGCAAGACCCGGGATTGGTGTGGCTCTTCTACTCGTACAGAAGACATAAGGCATTGCAAGCAAAGCCGAACGCTGGACACTATGCTCTGACAGAACTGTCCAAGGAAATGCCGGATGACTTTATCACCCTTACGCAGAATGTGGATGGTAAGAATTCTCAACCGTTCAGTTATGGGTCATGTGATGGTCACTTTCATCAACCCCCTTTTTCATTACAAACAAATGCAGTTTTGACTTTTAATTTCTTATTTAAGGCCTCTATTGACTGATTATCCATCACAGGCCTCTCTCAACGCGCAGGCCATCCTCGAGAGCAACTCAAACTCCTTCACGGCAGTCTGTTCGACATTAAATGCTTCGACTGCGATCGCATCGAACTGAACAACTACGACGATCCGTTTCATCCCCTTCTCGCCATCGACTCCGAAGAAGATTCCCGTCTTGCACCGGCTGAGAATACAGAGCAAGCCCGCGCCGCATATGAGGATCCAAATGTCGATACCACAACCATCAACCCCGATGATCTTCCACACTGCCCAGATTGCAAAGCAGGCCTACTACGACCCGGCGTTGTTTGGTTTGGTGAGGACCTACCTGAAGACACTCTGGACGAAGTCAGTGAGTGGATCGAGAAGGACAAGATAGACTTGATATTAGTGATTGGGACTACAGCCACTGTCTGGCCAGCCGCAGGGTATGTTAGTGAAGCAACAAGCAAGGGGGCAAAGGTTGCTGTGATCAACATGGACGGATTGGATGGGGAACTGGGAGCTGCCAGTAACCTGAGGGATGATGATTTCCTATTTCAAGGGGACGCGTCAAAAATCCTTCCCGAAATCTTGAAGCCCATCATTGGAGAGCTGGAAGGAGTACATTGATTAGGGAGGCGAGAGGAAATGTTTGAAGGTCTTGGGTTGGAATTGCATGCTGTTTTCGGACTCAAAAATGCCGCTGGAAGGGTGAATTTTATTAGCATGATACATAGGTACCTGTGTAGAAAGAACAGCAGTGGGGTATTTCTGCATGGAATCAGTACCAAGCTTTATAATTCTTCAGAAACTCAACATGCAACTGTGAAATCGACTTAGGTACCGATTTCAAAGTGCTCCCCCGCATGCAAAAGATTGCTTTGGAAAACACAACTGTATGCACATGATGAGTCCCATCAAATGAAGAAACTGCCAGTCCCTCGACTGTGATAACGAGGTAAGGATTTCCAGCGTCGAGAAAGCCTAGAAAGCCTTAGGGCCCCCCCTGTTATTGAATTCCCCGCTAAAATTTGACGCTAGAAGTCGGCTGGGAACACCGCGAGCTCCGGCCAAAAAAAAGTTCGAGAAGCAACAAAATCGGATTCAGCCACGACCAAGGTCTCCTCCTCTCTTCATCAGCGCCTTTCCCCGTGTCGATTTTCGATGTTGCAATGGCCCAGACGAGTTTCTAGATTTTTAAAACCCCCAAATCTCACATCAAAATCCTGCATTCGACACTTCAACTTCCGCGCGATGGAGCCTATGGAACCACCTCAGGACCAAAGTGGTGGTCGAGGACCTCGAGGTCAGGACACAAGGAAGAGACAATTCCAAGGCGGACGAGGCTCGAAGAGGCAGAGAACTCGGAAGGAGAAGCGTGTGAAGGAAGGATCCAACGATGAGGTCTTGCTTGCTGATGTACAGGCATTGTTCGCGGCTCAAAAGCTCTCGAACACCGGGAACTCGACAACACTCAAAGACAAAGCTAATAATACGGACGACCCTGCTCCTCAAGAGCCCGGGGGCCTTGCACGGGGAATTGAAGAAACTGCTACTACCGATGGCGTGGTCACACTCCCGGAACCCTTCACAGAGATCGATGTTAAGGTTGTTGAGATCTCCTCTACCGGAGATGGTCTTGGTTTACATGGCTCCTCGAACCAAATCTACGTCGTCCCTTTCTCCGCACCAGGCGATATCGTTAGAGCAAAAGTGGTCAGACATTTTGAAGATGAGCATTATTCCCAAGCAGATTTCGTATCAGTGGTCCAGGCAGGACCACTTCGAGATGACAATCGCATCAACTGCAAATACTTCAGCACCTGCTCAGGCTGTCAGTTTCAGATGCTGGATTACCCCACGCAGCTTAAGCACAAGAAGACAATAGTTGAGAAGGCTTACAAGAACTTTTCACAGCTACCACCTGAGCTTGTGCCCATCATCGAGGATACCATAGGAAGTCCGTTGCAGTATGGGTATCGCACAAAGCTTACACCCCATTTCGATGGCCCCCCGGGGTATATCAGCAAGCACGATAAGATGAAGGGGGCGAGAAATTATTTCACGGAGGTCCCAAATATTGGATTTATGGGAAAGGGATTGAAAAGAACATTGGATATTGAGGACTGCCCCATTGGTACCGATGCTGTCAGAATGGGAATGAAAAGTGAGAGATCAAGAGTGGCTAAAGAACTGGACAAGTACAAGAAAGGAGCAACGATTCTGTTGCGCGAAAGTACACTGAGGGTCCAAAATGACGACGAGAAAGCCTCCAAATCCATCCCGGACACCATCAAAGTCACTGGCCCGAACTATACAGACTTCAAATCTTGCATAATGGACAATAACGCAACATCGACTGAATACATTAATGATTTTGTCTTCACTAATATTGCCGGATCCTTCTTCCAGAACAACAACTCAATCCTCCCTGTGTTCACTCAATATATCCGCGAGCACATCTTATCACCCGCACCATTCTCGATAGATCCTCAAATCAAGTATCTGATCGATGCTTACTCTGGATCCGGTCTCTTCACAATCACTTTGTCCTCCCTGTTCACTTCCTCCACTGGCATTGATATTTCAGGTGCCTCAATAACATCCGCCCGAGAGAACGCAATATTGAATAAGCTACCAACATCTCAATGCACGTTCATTGCTGCAGATGCCCCTGAGTTGTTCAAGTCTGTCACATACCCGAAGGACGAGACTGTTGTAGTCATTGATCCGCCAAGGAAAGGATGCGATGATATTTTCTTGAAGCAGCTACTGAGATTCGGGCCAAAGAGAGTGGTTTATGTTAGTTGCAATGTTCACACACAAGCGAGAGACGTGGGTGTTCTGGTCCGAGGCATGGGGGATGGAGGTGCGAGATACAAGATTGAATCTTTGAGAGGGTTTGATTTTTTCCCACAAACGGGACATGTGGAGGGCGTTGCTGTGCTCAGCCGAGTTGAGTCTTCAGGAGCTGAATTACCTCCTTAGGAGTAATGAGCCTTAACCGACGAAGAGCAACAAGTTTGTCTGCTACTTCAGCTCTGTTTGCAAGACAATTGAAGATACCCACCCACATTTTGTGATACTCTACCCTCGCCCTTATGTCTGCTTCGAGCTCGAGTTACTTCCACAAGGATTGGAATAATTCAAATTTGAGTTTCAAGTACGACGAATTACTCTTTGAAATACTTAAATCTATCTTCATGCCGTCCTCCCACTTCTCCTCATATCATCAAAGAGCTTCAAAGTATGTTCCCAAACCTTTTCATGATAGCATTCATCCACCATCGTCACCACAACCTCTTTCTCATCCACCGCCTGCCCCTTACTACACAACGTATAAGCACCCTTTTGCCCCTAATACCCTGCACCCTCCATATCACCCGCAGAAGGACACCGTTCCACAAAACCCTTCTCCAAGTGCCTGTCCCCACTCTTTTCAACCTCCGTCAGGCACGAACTCAACACCGTATAACCTGCATGACTTACAATCCTCATATACCACGGCAAATACCGCATAAAACTTATCTTCACGATTCCAGGATTAGTGTGGATATACGTGATCCCTGGGTTGACTTTGGCGATGTGGTGGAATGACAGCCTTGTCATTATCGTTGCCTAGGCCAGACAGGTTGAAGTCGAGTACTTCATTTTCAGCTCTAGATTTTGAAGATCGATATGAGTTTCTCGTCCTGTGAGGAGCGCGGACATCACTCGTGAAGGATGAGCTCGAGGATGAGCGTTATTGAGCAATGGGGAGAGCAGGTGTGCAAACACGAGGCGCGAGTAATATATGAGACTGAAATTTCCATCTCATCCTTCTAAGGTTTCGGCGGGATGTTAATCTCAATATTCAAAAGGCAACGGGAGAATCCACTTGGCAAAGTCACCTGACTGACCACCCAATCCAGAGGAGCTCTGAGACAAAACAAGCAGATTCACCGCCCCTTTTTCCATTACCCGAGATCTTGTCCTCTTTCCTTTTGATCTCCTGCCATACCCTCGACACTCCTTTCAACAACGAACAATCAGCGGCAATGAAATCAATTTTCGATAATCAATTTTCGATTCTGGGTTAGTGGACAGAGCATCGGAGATGGCTTCTCTGCCACAGGGCGATTCCGTCCGATCACATAAGGATTATATAATTGGCTGACTTTGTACGTGAAGTATCAGTTTTGGGATCTGACTCGGCTGAGGGACAAAATTGCGAAAGGAGTTGCGAAAGGAAGAGCGAATGGTAGGAATGTCGGCTCCAACCCTGCCGGCTTTCCCGGAGCAGCCTCAGGGTAACTCATTATCATGTGATCAAGTCACGTGCTGGGAAAGGGGTGAAAAGGGTGAGGGAAATCGTCGACCTCCCCTTCTTGGTGTGACGACGAGCCTGCGTATCGCTTCAACGAAGCGCTTTCAAAATCCGGGGCGGCGCGTCGCGGGCGGGCGGTTGGGACCGATCATGGCAATCATGTCGAGACCTAGGCGAGGTTTGCCCAAAGCCGCCCGGCATAGCAACTCAACGTCGTGGTTCGCCCAAGCCAACTCATCACAGAGAAGTCAGTCATCCTCTGTCATCGTCCGCGCAAACAACTGGAATTCTATTCGACACGTCTTCCAAATCCCATCATCGACATATCACCACCCACACGTCACATCGCCTTGCCTCGGTGCGCGAGGCGAGGGGTTCATAGGAGGAGCTGGAAAGGGGGTGAGCCAGGCCTCAGGCGCCGCCAAAAGTAACTGGTCAGTTTCCGAGAGCGTTGAGCGTCCTATTCGCACAAGGGAGATTCATCGCATTGCTCCGCCTCGATCAGAGACCCGGATTTCGCCCAAGGGAGGCAAACAGATACCAGTCACATCCTTTGCCCCTTAATATCCTGGAACAGGAGTTGATTGCGAATCCCGTATTCCCCACGCCTTCGAAGACGGAGTACAGGCAGCAGGAATGTGATATTGGCGATCATTCGTATTTGGTTTTTTCGAGAGAGTATTTCGAGACTCCGGTGTTCGCAATGGGCATTACTGTGAGTCGTGGGGGAAGTGGGGGCTAGGCAGTGAGAGTGAGACTCAGGCTCCTGGCGCTCTGGACCTGAGCCCCCCGTCAAGACTCGGAACCCCCCCTCTGAATCTCCCACCTTTGGTGGCACAACCCCACGGAAGAAAGAAACGTGGAGATCAGACACCCTTGGGAGCCCCCCCAAAACGAATATTGCCGCTACTCAAGCATGCCAACATTGCCAACAAAAACAACAATCCGGACTCCACGTCCAGACTTGGGAGCATGAAACTGGTCTAGGGATGGGAAATGGGATGTTCGTTTTCGAAGACCTGGATGTTTGTCTTACGATACGGAATCATGGATCATACGTAGGCTCCGCAGAATCGCCATGACTAGACGTTGACTCTTTGAGAGATGCACTCTCGGAGGCCTAGGGGCATTTTACCGTTCTTCAGGAAGTTCAGGCCTCCACACGGGCACGATGTACGGAGCCACCTCGCGGATAGGCCTTCCAGAACCCGCGGCAGTCCACAGGAAGCATCCGGGATGGACGCGAGCAGAGCAAAAGTGCACGGGGGCCTTCAGCCAGTGAAAAGGGGCACAACCTCAAACAGCGGTCAAAACTGGATTCTTCACATCCCATTGGTACAACGTCAGTTGCGGGTGGGCTGCGCACAGAAGCGCGGATGGACATCGACGTTCCGGGCAATGGCGGTCAAGAGTCCGGTGCTGAACCGGTTCGCTCTGAATGGTGGAGGGGCGGCTCGTGTTTGCGCTCTCGGGGGGGCTCGCACTTCGAAGTCCAGTCCTGAGTGGGTGTGTGGGATTTTGGTTTGAGCTCGGCCGTCACCGCCAGAGTGCTTTTCCAACGCGCCCCCAATATCACCGCCGCGTCTAGGTCCAGGCTGCACATATATGAATCATGATTCACATCGGTGCCGCCTCCTGGCAAACAAACAAAAAGATCGCCAAATCCTGAAATCCCTGAATTTCCCCTCTGCAACTCCAAGGATTCTAAATTCGTGTCCTCCGTCGCCGTTGCTGTGCATCTTACGGGAGACTTATTGTTACACCTCCTTACACGTAGCATCACAACACGCAAACGCATTCGGATCGCGTCAGACCTGCATTTCTACTACTAGAAGAGACCGGGCCCGCACCGAGAAAATCATGTATTTTTCATACTCACCTTCACCGCCATCAACCAGCTACTCCACGTCACCCATGGAGATCCCATCTTCATCAAGCTCGAGACCGCAGTCTCCATCGTGCGCGTTTCCTTCCTGGCCACGCCGAGCTTCCTTGTCCTCGAACTCCAGTCACGGGGACGAAGCCTCAAGCTCCTTCATCATCTCTGACGAGGAGCTCTTCCCTCTTGTGTTCGACGATGCCGATAGAGACTGCACGCCTCCCGCAACACCATACTCGAGCCGGTCTCCAGCATCACCGTCGAGAATGTGCGACATTGTGGTGGACAACGGGTCTTTGATGCGAGAGTTGATGGCGCAAGAGAAGACGAAGAAGGAGCGAAGACGTCGGAAGAGCACAAGTTCGAAGAAGTCGAGGAGTGGCAGTAAGACTCACATGAGCCCCATCTTGGAGGTCGTGGAATGAGAAGGACGGTCGTCAGTGAGTGGAAGTTTAAATCGCAAACCTAATATGGTAAGTTCGGCCATGTGAGCAATGACCAAATTGCGCATCTCCCTGACTTCCAAATGCAGATATCATCGCCTGCAAGGACGATCGCTGTGATATTCACGGGCGTTCTGTTAAGGTCAAGGAAGATAGTTTGCCTGCCCGAGAGAACATCAAAGCGGGGATGGATATGGAACGTGGTCGATGAAGCACGAGCATGAAAGTGACCTGTGTTGAGCTTGCCGTCGGCTGCTCCGCTCCTCGCGAAATTACTTCGACCTTATCGATACAGTATCGAGAGCGGAGCAAGCCATCTCATCTCATCGTCTGGGGTATCGTTGTCGATTGTTGGCGGCGAAGCAGAGGTCCTGGTGGTCAAGTCCAATTTTGGTGTTGGGAATGAAATGATTGTTCAGGCATTGATGGCTCATCTTGATTTGGAATGGGTGGATAATGCGCAGCGGTGAAGCCGTCGGCTGTTGAACATTACGAGTTAGTGTTGGTCACTTGTTTGGCATGTTTGCTGGCGTCACATTACAACGTTTTGCGACCCGGGGTGCAACGACGAGGGCAAGGCACAAGGCGGGCTGCCGGGGCATGGGGGATCAGGCATCCCAAGATTTGCGTCGGTCTCGTCCAGTCGCACTGGGACGGAGGAGGGGGTGTGATGAAGTTAACTTAGCCCTATCTTCTCTTAATAGAGTAGTTTTGCAGCTTTCAAATATCGACTCGGTGATGTCCGATGAAAATAAAACGAGAAATGTCATATGACATGCAAGTGACTTGGCGACTTGCTGACATGGGCGATCGTGAAAGTGGTGGTTGAAGGTTGGCAAGGGAGTGCTTGTGCGGACGGACGGGCCGCTTGCGGGAGACGAAGGTAAGTAAGGTTTCCCCCGTAGCGGTCGTGAAGCGGAGCGGGGCAGAAGTAGCGCAAGCGCTTCCAGAGATCAAAAGATCAATGCGCTTCAAAAAAGAACTTCAGACGCGCTCGATGATTGGCACGAATCCAGAAATTCCCGCCGCCGATTTTTCTCATTGGTTGCACTCCCAACATTTTATATGTGCCTCACGTTGCAGACACGGGCTTCCCTTCTCGAAGAAGCAAACGCCACATTTGCAGGTAACGTGGGACGAGCCACTCTCCGGTCTCACTCGTGCTGGAGATGTGGACTCCCGCCGTGGTTGGGGAAGAGAAAAAGCAGGTACATTTCTGTTGCAGGCATTCTACAGGTGCGCAGCTAATTAATGAGAAACACGGTCCTGCTCATTGTCGTGGTACAGAGTGCTGTTTCGTGGGACGAAACACCACCAGAGCTACCCCGCCATGGCCTTTGTGGTGGCCAGCAGAGGATCTTCGGCTTCGAGCTATGACTTTCGTGCAGGCTATGTCGCACATCCCGAGATGTTGCAAGCATGAGCACGAGCATCCATACCACCCCCAGATAACGATAAAGACCGGGGCATATCCGAGAGGCATAAGAGCGAGCAATATCGAGATTCGAACAGGGCCCCACGGCCCCTCTCCTCGACCTGATCACAACGGCCGAGAGTTTCATGCAGCACCACCTGGCAGCAAGGACTCTGGTCACTCAATTATTGACAAGTTCTAAGTATTGGGCACCGGCTCGCGGTCTGACTGTGGGATTATCAAGCTGTGGGGGCTTGAGCATGGAGGATTTGTGAACGCCACAGCCTGGAACCCCTCATCTCCAGTGTGGAGGGCGCTGAACGCCTCCGAGGCCGTATCACACCGGAACAGGACGCAGGCGTCTCCAATATGTGAGCGCATCTGAACGTTGTTCGCAGAGCCGTTTAGTTTTCGTCAGCTCGACAGCGTGGAACGATGCGGAGCTCGAGCTCGCGGTTGTTGTTCGCGGGACGGGCCAGATATATGTCGACATCGGATTACCACTCACAATGGCTTTGTTGACGCTGAGCCCTGGCTTTAGTACTTTTGGGGTCCTTTGTTAGCCCGCGACTCGACCGCAAATGCCCTCCTGATCCCTGCAGCAACTCCGTCTCCCATGGTGGTTGGCTAGGTCGGTGATTCCTCCTGCATGCGTTGTTGTTGCCACCAGCGAATGGGGGCGCAGATGTTCCTTTCTGCAAGAACGCCGCTAGTCGTGAGCGCTTTTGACTGGCTCCACGACCCTTCAACCTCTGCACACCTCGCGCCAAAATCGACGTCCGAGAACGCAGAATGCTGTCGACCTCGAGCTGTTCCTTGCACCTTCTGCCAGCCCTTGGATGCCAAATACCCTCTCACATCACGCTGCCAGCCTCGCCGACACTGGCGACGGCCAATTCTCCCCAGCCCCCGCCATTCGTCTGTCCATCTTTTCCACTTTCCCTCTTCGTGAGCGAGCTCCGCGTGTGACGAGCAGAGACTCAATGTCGAGTCCCAATAATGTGCCGAGCATGGTTACTTGCTCAGCACTCCATTGCCCTGATGGGTTCTCAGCCCATCTCGCATTGCACTTGAGCCACTCCGCATGGCTCTCGCCATGCTAGGCTTTTGTTAGTCGTGGCCTCCGCCAGGGTCTCCTTAAGCGGTATGCAGTGGCTGCTCTCATCCTGGCTTCTCGAGCTGTGAGTCGGTGCATCAAGATAAGCCGGACTGCATCCGCTCAAGATCCCATGCTTCGGCTGGAGATGCGTATCTAATTGTGTCTCCGGATCGTCCACTGACAGCTCGTAGCACTCCCATTAGGCGCCTTGCTCTTACAAACGTCGTCGGACTGATGAAGCCATATACCGTCCCTTGAGACCGCTCCTCCAGTCTTTTCCTCCATAAACGTGTGGGATCTTCGTTTGGCTCCCTTGGCCCCCAACACAAGCGCCAAACTCTTATTGCTTGCGTTTCTGTTGGGTCCAGACGCCCACGAGGCGACAACCGTTCGACTTGGTCCTTGTCCCGTAACTTCCACGAGGTCCCGTGCTAGTGCAATTATTCTCCTCTGTTGTACTCCAACGTTCCTCTCCTTCCTTCCTCTCGAGCATTGTACAGAGATAGAAAAAAGGTGCACACAGGCACGCATTACGGCTGTTCACGGTGGCACGACAGGCGCAAGCCCTCCACCGGCACTCCCAGATATAAAACCGACGTTGGGCATCCGGGAACTCCATGTGATAACTGAGAAGAATTGGGCGTGGACTGTGATCTGCCCTGTACGACAGGACACAACCGCTCGTGGGGCGGTAGGAGGCCTCAGAATCGTGTAAGTGATCTTCCCATTATCCAGTATAGAAATCAGATCGGGGTGTCCAGAGCACAGGTCCCGGTGGAATTTCTGTAGCTACCCTTTTGGAACATGCACGTATGCGACCATCCGACTAACGATTCCGCTGTTCGTATGTAGATAACGAGAACGAGGTCATCATTGTCGACATGTCTGCCAGATCCGCCGGACAGTTGTCGAGGCATCGATCACTATCGATGAGCTCTGGGCACTCTTCAAAGGGGAAATCAAGATTAGCTACGCTATCGGAAATAATGCCTTCTCCCCCGACAGAGATCACGCGCGATTTTGATCCATGTGCTGCTACGGCCTCGATGTTCTTATATGCGCAAGGCAATTCGGTTGTCTGCGCACATCATGATACATTGACAATCGAACGGCGGTTTTCCAGGCATACGGAGGAGATTCAGTTACTAGCAGTGGATACAGTCAGCGAAAGAGGTGCTGGACGTTTAGTTGTGAGCTACGATGTTGGGCAGACCGCCATTGTGTGGGATTGTATGACGGGAGACGAACTGGCAAGGTTTGCCTCTTATGAAAACCTCACTGTGGCAGCCTGGATGCGGAATGGAAATGTTGCTTTTGGTAAGATTGAAAATCCCTTTGAATCTCTCTCAATGCTCAATTTGTCTACAGGAAATGCCCAAGGAAATGTGATTTTGTTCGAGCCGACAACATCAGAGCACATTTCTGCGAGAACAATAGATCAAATACCGATTACCGCTTTAGCCCCGGCAGCGGACTGTAGAACATATGCCCTTGGGTATCTGACAAGTCTTTTCATTCAAATCCTTGTACTAATTGCCTGCTAGGTTTTCCAATGGATCTCTCCTTATTGCGGCACTGCAGCCAAGATTTACAATTCTCCACAATCTGACCACCTCAAGAGGACCCTCTCCAATCGTAACACTAGCGTGGCATGCCTCCTCATCACGCCAGAAATCAGATATGTTGGCAACGCAGACGAATGACGGAGACCTCCGAGTTTGGAGCATTGCAAAATCGCCCACCAGTTCCGACACAGCAAAAATCGTGAGGGTCTTGAAACGGACAGAGAATTATTCGACTGGTCCGAATTGGTTGGGGTGGTCAAAAAATGGTCGCATACTGCAATTTTCTGAGGGGTACGTGATCGCTCCTTTCACACTTGCATGAATCAACGCGCGCGCTTAGCAAGAACTTTCGCTGACACAGCCTCAACAATAGCGAAACAGTGTCCTGGGATGTACGGACAAAGCATGTTACCTATGAGGCTGTTCCAACTCTTGAACACGTCAGGGGTCTTGCCGTTTACGGCCCCGGCGCGACCCTCTTCACATTAGGGCACAGCAACTCATTACAGCAGTTCGACCTAAATTCGCCTCCTCAGTTGGTGGCGAATGTACAGCATCCAACCAATCTATTCCCCCCCTCGCCACCCGTTTCCATCGAGGAGCAGAAGAAGCAGACTTCCACGGCGGCTACAGGCGGTGCGGACACTACAGTGCCGATCAATATCGAAAGTATATCCGAGAGCGATGAGGATCATATGTCTCCTCTTGCTAGAATTGCGAGAGAAATGGACAAACTTGAGCACGAGAGGCAAGAGATCGATCGCTCTGACACCCTCAGCCCAGTGTCTTCCAGGAGCCTTGCGTCGACAACTTCGCGGTCCTCCGCGGGGTCGCGACAGCACTACGAACACAGGAAGCACTCTTCTGCGATGTCACGTGGCCTCAGTGATGGGACCACAATGTCGATCGGTTCCTCGGTCCATTCTGGTCGAGAGCCCTCCTTTGTTTCAAGTCGGGACAGCCTCTCCATGAGTAGTCTCAGCTCTGCGTCCAATGCATCGAATAGATCTCGTCCAAGAGGATCTCGCTTAAAACAGGAGGTTTTACGAAGTCCGGACGACGCCAAAATTGTGGACCTATTCAAATTTACCAAGGCAAGGCTGACAGACATCCCTTACCGCCACCCACAAGTCTTGGATAATACGCACCTCACAAACCATGATCTGCGCCGGCAGATGCTCAGCACCATTTTCGGCTGGAACGGCGAGGCAGAAGCATTGATCCAGGACGAAATGACTCGACATCCGTTAGGGTCACCAACCCGAGTGCTTCTGGCTAAATGGCTGGGAGATATTGATACTGATATCATGGCCTCAAGCTCACAATCTATGACATCGTCGGACTGGATGCTTCTGGCTTTGAGTGGAATCGGTGGTCATGCCTCACAGGCAAAGGTTGCTCGAGCCTATGTGCAACGATTGCTCGAGAAAGGAGATGTTCACACTGCTGCAACCATCATGATCGGTATGGGAGACCAAAACGATGCCATTGAGATCTACGTATCGCACAAAAGATACATGGAGGCCTTGATCTTGACCTGTCTGGTTTTCCCGTCCGACTGGCAAAGGCAAGCCGAATTGATCCGGAAGTGGGGGGAGTGGGCTGTGCAACATAGCCAACAGCAGTTAGCTATAAGGTGTTTCTCCTGCACAGGCTCTGAATCTTCTGAGCCTTGGGTTTCACCTACCGCCCAAGCTGCTACGTTTTCTCAGCTTCAAAGCCAAAGCATTCCGGAAATCTTGAGTCCGCCGTTGTCCTCGCCAGGATCCAGAGGTCCTCAACGTAGCATTGCTAAAACCTCTGCTTTAAAGCTCATCACCTCTTTCGGTGATAAGGCCGGAAAGTCCAAGTTTTTCGGATTCGGCGAAGATGATCGGACTCCTATCGGTGGTGGAGGCGTAACACCTATCGCTGAATCGGCTCTTTCACCTTCAGGTAGCGACCATGTCCATACTGCGTTCCTCAGACCAGGTCCTCGCAGTGCCTATAACACCCCTCAATCTGCTCGAACCGCGACACCTGGTGGCTTCACCCGGCATAGACTTCCTTCTATCGGCGAAATGCCCACCGACGTCATTCCCCATAGAAAACTGAATTCAGCGAAATTGCCTACCCCAGTGGATTCTGGATCGGACAAGGAGAAAAATAATCGTCTAGGTAAAGCTCATGAACGAAACTCATCGATCCCTGACTCCACGCTACTCAACCATCCTACGCATAATCCACCAGGAAGAGCTGCAACAGCAAGCCCGATGATGCAGAAAGCAAGGCAAAACATCACCCATCCCCTCCCGTCACCGTCCCCAGAGTCTTTCACAGCTGGCAAACAGAATGCGCGTACAAGAAACGGCTCTCGCGATCGCAAGCCTGATGGTCTTCAAATTACCTGGCCCCCTATCGAGGCAATCATTAGCGGCAACTACATGACGACTTCACCAGATACATCAGTCACATCGTCAAAAACACGGGGCCCACGATCCGCTACCGGCTCGTCATCCACAGGAGGCGTTGCCAGAAGCCCTCTCAATAGTGAGCGGAGCTACAAGAGTATTGGCAGAGAAAGTCCTGTCGTGACTGGCAGAAGCCTGGATCAATTCATTAGCAGCTTGGAATCTGCACACTACCATGCTGAGAAGCAGAAGAAACAATCTACCCGTGATAGACACGACAGGTCAGGCCGAACTCGTAGTGCCTCTCGAAAGGCCAAATCTCGAGAAAATTCAGAGGACCGAGGACGATCCGCAGCTCGCTACGTCAAACCCGCAAAACGCTCACCAACATCGCCCATTCCAATGTCTCCAGAAGACCTCAGAGAACTTGGTGCGTCAGGCTATGGAGATGAAGGGATGACATCACCTGATGAAGCCAGAGTGAGCCATGTCAAGGCCAAGTCCTCAAAGCCTTCTAGCAGGGTCCGCCGCTCGTCCCCTGAACCTGTCGGTCAATCTCGAGTCACCGTCAAGCCCTCAAGTCGTGTCTCGAGCCGCAATGCTAGCCGCCGACCTAGCCCGGACACTCGCCTTGCAATGATTGACACCAAAAGAGGCAGGAGTAAAGGACGCGAAGGTTCTATAATGCGGTCGCCCTCGTCTCCTTTGCCAATGTCTCCTCAGATGAAGTTCTACCAGGAAGTTGATGACGAAGAATTGAAGCAAGTTCACGCAGCTCGGGTCAAGACTCGGCAACGAAGTACCAGCCGACTCAGAGAGCGTGGAGAACGAGGATCGAGTGCTGTCCGTGATGTATCTCCCGATAGGAGACGCCGTGACAGATCCACTAGCGTACGGCCTGGTGAGCGCGGTAGTAGCAAAGCTAGGAAGGACACCTCGCCCAATGGCAAGCGGGAGCGTCCACCTCATACTCGAGCGTTTTCAGACAACAAGGCTGGCGATCTCGCCCAAATAAAAGATGAGCGCACACTCAAGAAGGAACAAGCTGCCCGTGAGCTTGAGGAAAGGAGAAAGTCACTCGCTCGGCGACCCTCGGTCCCTCCCATCGTGCATCCAGAGGAGCTTGTGATTCTATCACCAACGCAATACAAGCCTCCGGAGTTTCCTCAAAAGTTGCCATCTAGTGCTGCTGTACGACAGCAGCCTCCTTCACGGCCCCAAACGGCTTCACCAGGTCCTCTTCAGACGTCTTCATCTTATCTCAAGGAGTCAAATGCAGCTGCTGCCGCACAGATCGGTTTACCGGCAACACCAAGAGCCATGAGACATCCAAAGTACGATCCTGATGGAAGAGACATCCCAGAAGTTCCCCAGATTCCGGAGAAATATGATCTTGGTCAACCGCCGCCTTCCTGGGGTAGCTTGAATGCCATGTCTTACAACAATGCATTTGAGAATCTCGCACCACTGCCAAAGACAACGTATCAAGCATCCCCTCGTCGTGTCCCACCGCCTCCGCGGTCAGCGTCTGCTCCGATCCCAGATGACCCACCAATGTCACCGCATCCGCTTCCAGCTGGGTTGCCAATGCACCCAGCTTTTCAAGCCTCTCTGCCACCTAGCAGCAGAAGGAAGACACAAGATTTGACTGTCCGAAGTCCATTGGGTTCCCCAAGAAAGATTACTCCCGGAGAATGTCAGCCTGGAACCCTTGGTTACGAAATCCGAAACAACAGCCCAGTTTATACAGCTCCATCTCCTACCATCATGCATGGCATCGACGAGACCATTGAAGCAAGCTCGCAGCCCATCAATCCCCACAACGACAATCTCACCCCGCCACCCCCTCCTCCTCCACCCGCACCTCCGATTCTCAAAGAGTTGCAACACTTAGCGAAGCCTCCTCCCCCGCCGCCAGCTCCTTTGGCACCATTATATGGTCATGGCGATAACACACACTCCATGATCTCCGGAGTATCGACAACGTCAGGCCTCATCGAGATTGTGATGGACGAGGAAGTAAATAACACAAGTGCCCCAATGACGGCCATTGACGAAACCCTTCCACAGCAGCTTCCAGCACGTAACTCCTCAATCAGCCAGAGTAGTGGTCACACCCGTGGCCGCAGTGAAAATGACAACAGTCTCACGGGGCGATTTTCTCGCGCTGCGGAGCGCCTTCGAAGTGCCAGTCGTGGGAGAAATACATCACCACTTCTGGAGCGAGGTGCCCCCAAGAGCCCGCCACAAGCACAGGATACCAGCCCATACGAGAGTATCCAACCTTGGGGCCCTGCAAAGAACTCCAACACCTCCCCGCAAATGTCAAGCGGTGCTCTTATGGCCACAGTTGAGAGGCATCCACGAGAAGTCAGGGCCGCAATGGAGATGGAGGGAGGGATGATCTAATCATCTTTCATCCTCTCATTCTCAACAACTTTGCATACAAATAACCGGCGTCAATATTTATTCTGTTTCATTCATTCGATACCCTTTATTCTCTTCGCTCGACGTCTCGAGTCGATTATTGCATTCTTGAACGTGAAGACTGGGACACGTGGAACAGCTTTCAGGCTACGATTTATGATTTTGATTTCAGGGGTATTGAGATTCTATTCTTCGATGTATTCTACTTCTTACTATCCTTGACCTATATTATATGATGGCGCATTGTTTTGGCTCTTAGCCTCTTTTTGAGCTTGTTCTTGGGCGGCATGAGTTTTGGCATGAAGGGGTTTGTGATGAAAGGCAGGAACGGTGGAATGGAGACGGCGGATTGAGGGCGAAGGACGAGGGTTGGGGTTTGGCTGACGAAAGAACCTTGTTATAATATGTGCAAATGGGACTGGAAAGAAAACCAAAGATGGAAAAAGTTCCTTATATTTCTTGCCTCACGGCTGGCTCTTTGATAGTTCGATCGATTAATGACAAACCTCTTTACACCCAGAGGGAGAGCAGTGTTGGAAGTGTGTTGTTCATGCATGAAATAAATTCTCCGAGATAATTATTTTTGTCTTCTAAATTTAGAAGTTCTAATTTGTTCAAGGAGCGGGCGCTTGTAACTGTCACGTGCGTTACTGGTTCTTTTTTTAGTGCTTGTTTTCACTCGGTAGTATGGATTCAAATAAGCGATTTTTCACTTGGCTGTGATGGTCATAAGTGTGGAAGACTTCAACACCCCAGATTTCTCCACCCATTACGTTCGCAAGAACACCACCAACAGTGCCCAGTTCGAACATGGCGGTGGTTCCCCACTCGCATAGGTAACTTGCGATGCTGGTGGGACCTTAAGCAATGAAGAACATTTCTTGAGGGAGGCTTCACTCTGCAGAGAGATCTTCACCGTGGTGTGGCGGCATTGGATTACACTTGTCGCGTGGTTTGGGTGTTGAGCCTAGGTTGAGCGTCAACCACATCTTTTTTTGCACTTTCCTTTTGGTTCCTTGAGCAGCTTTGAGAGGTTGCGAAGCGAGTTTAAGCGAGTGGTGACCTCATGACTTCGAGACAATCTCGCGTCGCGCCCTTTGCTTGACGCGTCTCGAACTTCAGCTTCCATCCTTCGTGGTCTCCTTCTTGCCTTGCCACTGCACATTACATCAACACTTTACACAGCTGGAGGTGGAAGCGCATGAATGCTGTCTGAAATTCACACGCAAGAGCCAATTATGGCCCCACCAGACTCCGAGCTGGGTCGGCTCCAAGAAGAGTGGAAGGAGATGTTCCAGAAAACACTTCCCGGTGCAGCGACATCCAAAACTTCATCTGAAGTAATTCAATCCCTCTTTCTCATGTTCCCTGTCGAGCGTTCCAGAACTTGTTGTCTGACATCGTCGAGTTCAAATGGCCAGTGCATGTAGATCACTGCTTTGCGCGCATCATCCTTGACTCCACGGTTGGCATTGATACACCTTGGATGGAAAAGATCAAGAGTCCTGCATACAAGAATATGTCCAGAGAACAACTGGAGAGTAGCATTGAGTTGGGAAGGAAGATCTTGGATGGAGAGGCCGATCTTGTGGAGCTCGATAATCGGAGTTTGAGGTTGAGAGGCAAAGAGGAGAAGGCTAGTGGGAAGGCGAGTGGTAAAATTGACGGGGTCAGTTTTGCAAAGAGAAAGAGAGAAGTGGATGATGGGGAGAAGGAGGTGAAAAAGAAAAAATCGCCACCTCGAGCCTGGGAACCATCAGATCAGACGAAATCAGGTCAACATCCCGAAAAGCCGTTGGACAAGAAAGAGAAGGAAGATTTCACACTATGGCTCAAGAAGATCGCTCTATCCGAAAAGTCGTCCTTCCAGAAGAAAGTCCTCACAGTTTTATGTCAAGTTCCTCGAGGCAGATACACAACCTACGCCGCCATCTCAAAGTACCTATCTTCGTCACCTCGAGCTGTTGGCAATGCCTTGAGAAACAATCCTTTCGCACCCCATGTTCCTTGCCATAGAGTCTTGGCAAGTGGAGGTGGATTGGGAGGTTTCCATGGTAGTTGGGGTCGGAATGGAAAAGAGGGGTTGCACGATGAGAAGAAGAGGAAGTTGTTGAGAGAGGAGGGCGTGAAATTTGATGGGAAAGGAAAGGTTGTTGGGTCGCCCTGGGAGAGGTTTAGTTGAAATGGAATGTCTGAACAAGAGGTCATTCGGAAAGTCGACATACATCATCCTCCCGGTCTTCCACGAACATGTGAGTTGTAAGTTGGAGTTGCTCCATTCACACCATTTGGAGACACAGCTGGAGATTAGCATCAGGTCTGGGACTAATCATCCGTGTTAGTTAACTTACTATGTTGTTAGTACTTGTTACTTGTAACAGTGTTTGAGATTTGGAATTCAGGGGGTCAAGCGTCGTTGAGCTCGCTGCAACAGCTCAAAGCCACACGCAGGTCCCACTTCACCTTTTGGTAACAAAGCTCCATCAAAATAGGCCACTTAGAAATCATCTCTTCCTCTTTACTTTATTCGTAATACTCAATCTCAAACCCATCCCAAACCCATTTCAAAAATCGCACGTGATATTGAAGCCTCAGGCATAAATAATATCTCCTTTGGCGTGATTCGCAAATCCGACTTCAACCCAAGCTCAGCACTCCTTCAATTCCCCCTCGTTGAGCCAATCCTTTCCACAATGGCGAAAAAAGGTAACCACTTCTCACCCCGCCCTGGAATTCCTCTTCAGATGAATACTAACCACTTCCAACAGCCAAGTCCCGCACAATCGCCGTGCGCCTCGTCTCCATGGCTCTGACAGGATACTACAAGACCCTCATACGACCGCGCACACACAGACCTTTGAGCATGCTGAAATACGATCCCGTCGGTACGTCTAAATACGTTGATATGTCAATTCTGGCCTGGGGAGCTTCGTGAGAAGATTCGCAGCTTGATGGGACGTCAAAACAATATTTTGGAAGCGGATGCTGCAACGCGCCTTGGTTGCGAGTTTGACTGCTCAGTGTGCACCCCAAATGATGGCTTGAAGAGTCACGAGACAAATAGAAGTCGAGAGCTTTATACTGATTTTGACTCTTTATAGTGCGAAAGAAGGTCCTTTTCCTCGAACAGAAGCGTGGTGGACGGTAACACTTGGGATACTTCTCATACGAAAAGATTTTACTATGGGGGACGCCGTTCAAATTTAGCATGTGCATCGGTAATTCTGACACGGTGGCGTCTATAGAGTCACCTCCAATTTTGTGGGTTCTACGTTGGAACAGGTGTATATTATGGAGCGTGCATGGGATGGCGTTCGGGAAGACAAACAGGTGCAGAATTATGGGACTAAGAGACTCTTATTGCAAGGAAATTGCTACATCTCGTATAAGTATGCTGTCCCGAAGTAGATGGGAACTCAGAGCAAACACCTCGTGTGTTACAGCTAAAGCAAAATGTCCCTCCCAAAATTAACATTCATCTCCGCAAGCAAGTCTACCAATTTTCGATACTTGGCTTCATCGTCAAGCCTGACGTCTCATAAGCCATTTCGAGCAATACGATTCTGCTTCAACAAAATTCTCGGCAAATAGCCCATGGCGCAAATAGAAAGCTCAAGTGAGCCACAACGAAAAGTGATGCTTGGTATTCCTTATCCTTGTCGCGCTGAAGAGAGCACGATGATTGATGGCAGTCTGTCGTTTGGTACAGATACTCAGAAAGTCTGCGTTCCTTGAGAATCCGGAACCTCAACCTGGCCGGCCATTGAGCTTCCCCTCGAAGTTCGAACTCGCTTTGGTGCGGCTTGGGTTTGTGCAGTTGATGATCCTGACCTCTTGAGACTGTTTCTCTTCACTGGAGGAATGTTCGGAGAATCCTTTTCGCCATTTGAGGTTCCCTGAGTGGACTCCCTCGCCGCGGATGGGTTCTTAGTCTTTGGTGTCTGTGGTTTGCCACCACTCACAGCTCTGTTGTAGGATCCACGATGCCCGTTCTGGATTTGGGACGCGGCCTTGCTTCCCGCATGAGTAGAAATCTTGGATGGCTCGGTGATAGTAACTGGTCTGGGCTCAGACGAAGACACAGTGTCGTTGCTCAGCGTCGGCTTCCTGAGTGCGGGCTTGCAAGGCTGCACTGTGCGTCGCCGGAGAGCTTCTTCTGCAGCCGATGGAGGCTTCACGCGAACTTGAGACTTGTGAACGGCATCCAACTCGACATCACGCTCCTCCAAGGAGCGCATTGTGCGCTGTACAAAAGTTTGAAGTACCCCAGTCCCCGCAACGTTATCACTTGCCATGCTGCCTTTCTTTCCTCTGGCCTTTGCGTATCCCTCCTGGAGTTGTTCTTGATCCGGCGTAGATTCTAAGTGGTCCATCATTGATGATAGATCGGTGAAAGGGCTTGGTGTCGGAATGCTTGAGGCCAGGGTTGTGAATGGCTTAATGCCCGACGAGCCCTGAATGTCGGTGGCATCAGCAAAACAGGAGCTACCAGTATATGCTTCTTGAAAACTTTGAGCAGGCGGGTCTGTAGGATTCAAATGATGTGGTACAGCTCCTGTCCCGTTGCTCTGACTGAATCTTCCATGCTTGCGGCCTGCGACTTTCAATGGACGTGCGCCTGAGCCCTGGCGCTGTGCATGAGGCATAGAGCGCCCATCAGCATTGGGGGTGTTGAAGTTGGTGCTTCGCTCATTGAGAACCTCTTGATTTCGAATCTGCGGTGTTTCAACATAGTTGGCTACTTTTTCTGAGGAAGTCTGGGCAACATTTCCGACTTGAGAACCAGACCCAAGGTTATGTGACCCAATGCCTTTCGCAGCCTTGCGTAGAGCCTCCTCAGGAGTTTCAACTCTGTGACCGTCTAGCACTCTGTGGTTCTTCAGAGTCGAACCAGACTCTAAGCTATGGGCGTGTGTTGATGAAGGCCTGTGATCCTGAGTCTGCCGACTCAGGCGAAGCTTTCCCTGTGGTATTGCGAATGCAATATCCTTGAGCTCAGAAGGTGTTAGTTGGTCACCTCGGTATCCAGCCTGAAGAGCCTTTTGCTGATTGTATGCGTCGTTTAAGCCCTCGACCCGCTTCTGTAATTCGGCATTTCTCTCCTTCAACCTCTCATTCTCGTTCTCGAGCGCGTCGATCTGACGCAGATTTCCCTCGATAGCTTGTTGACCTCTCAGTGCTGCCTCGAAGTTTTGGCTATGGTCGCTTCTAATGGACTCCAAATGGTTCCGAAGCTCCGCGCACTCGTTGCGGACACTTTGAAGATTGTTTGCAAGTCTGTCGGAGTCCTCCTGACCTGGATTTTGTTCCTCGAAGCGCTTGAGATGGGCAATTTGCTGAACAAATTGCTCCTTGTAGAGAGCCAACTCCCGTTGAAGTTTGTTAGCGGTGTTTACGTAGGTACCGCTCTCGTCTTGAACTTTATGCAACTCCTCCTTCGCAAGTGCTAGCTCGGCATCCTTCTCCTTAACATTTTGCTCGAGGTGATTGATTTCTGACTCAAGCTTCATCTTCATTGTTACCTTCGATGCTTCTGCAGCCTTCGCGATCCTCTGGCGCTCTTCAGAGCAGGCCCTTTCGATCTCTTGCTGTTTGTTGGCTAAGTACTTGGTTTTTTCTTCCTGCAAATTTCTGATCCGGGATTGAGTGTCATTCAGTTTTTGTTCCCAGTCCTTGATTTTCTGGTCTTTGCCGCGTACCAATTCTTGGAATGAACCCAATTCTTCCTTTAGCTTAGCTTGCTCTTGATTGGAGCTTTCAAATTTGCCGATAACAATGTTATTCGCTGTCTCCAGATCTTGAATCTGAGCTCTCAATCTAGGATCTTCCTTGGGAACCGCTAAAGCTGTTGCAAGCTCGTCATTCTTGGAGTTCAATTGACCACGAGTGTCAGCAAGATCTCGTTTGAGCTCGTCAACTTGGTTTGCGAGTCCTTGTATCTCACGCTCTCGAGCATTTTTCTCAACAACCAAGGTATCATTCGACTGACCGAGCTCGAAAATCCGGTTGTTAAGTCGTAGCTCACTTTCCTTGTCGAGACGTAGTTGGTTGACCGTTGTCTTGAAATCGTCCAGGAGCTTGATATTCGGTTCCTGTTGAGTTGCTGCACCGTTGTTGGAAGCTTGCATGGAAGTTTCTAATCTGGAAACGAAGGTTATCAGCATCTACAAGTGGTTGGCTGGATTCATTTCTTACCTCGAGAACAGGTCTTCAATCAGTTTGATCAGAGAAGCGGAAGGTTCTGCCTCTTGGTTTTTGAAACCGCTGCCCAGAATCGCTACTTCGTCAACTCTTTGAGGGTGTTAGTGGATGAAGCATTAGCGTTTAATAAGCTCACCTGGCTTGAGTTGCTTTCCCTAAGTCCAAGATCTTTGTTAAAGGGCCATTCTCCTTTGAAAGTTCGTCGGCTACTTCTTTGGGTGTCTTTTTCAAGAGCTCCACGAGTACTTTATGTGAATCTTGCGAATCACCTCGATATTTCTCGAGCAGTTCAACTTGATACTTTGCTTGAGCCAATTCCATTAATCTCTTTTCGATAGTAGCTTCAGCTAATTCACAGTTCTTCGTGGCTAGAGAAATATCAGCGATTGTCTCTACGGAGGAAATCGTCAGAGCGTTCAAACCTGCGCCAAAATCGAATTGTAGCTTGGCGTTATTCTGTCTCAGCTTATCGTTTTCATCTCGAAGCTTTTGGGTTCCATCCCGTAACTTTTGGGTTTCTTCCCGAAGCTGTTGGTTTCCGGCCTCAAGGTCTCGGTTCTGCTTGGATGCTGTCTTCAGTCAGTAATAGTTGCATATACTAGGATGCAATTTGCTCACCATGGGCATAACTCTCCGCGGGCACTCGGAAGCTCTTCGCATCCTTGACCACGATTTCAATCTTCTGCAGAGCGGCCTCGGTGGCAGCACGGGTCTCCGCGGCTTGCTTAGTACTCTCTATTGCCTCGTTCGCACTCTTTTGGATCTCGTTCGCCTGACTCTTGAGATATTTTTGAGCTTTGACAACATCATTCATGTGCTTCTTGTACTTGGAACTAAGTTCAGCAAACTTCTTAAGCTTGTCGGTCAAATCAGCTTTCTCTGATTCTAGTGCCTGGACTTGTTTGATGGCGGAATCGCTGGCATTTCGGAGTTTCTTGATCTCAGTCTTTTGGGCCTCTAAAAGTTGGCTTTGTTGCTCATAGTCTTTCATGTTCTCGAGCATCTCCTGGCCATTCGCAAGAAAGTTCTTGTAGTCTTCGAAAAACTTCAGCGAAGGGCGGGACTTTTGTTGTCTTTGTCCAGAGGTCATGGCCTTTTCCGGAGCTTCTGAGTGAATAGGGTTGTTTGGTGTATTACTGGACTTCTTAACCTTTGACAAACGAGTCCCTCGCTGTGTAATGGGTTCAAGAACACCTTGAGGACGCAAGTCTTGAGTGGGGATTGGTCTCGTCATGGGCTTCCCACAGTTGCTGCGTCGGGATTGAGGCCGGGATGGAACTTCCGATTTAGCTCGCGATGGGACCCAGTTGGCAATTGAAACACTATAGTGATTGCCAACTTCGCTGGTGTGTGCTGCTTGGGAACCGGAAATGTGAGTCAATTCCTGGGCATTTGGCAGAACCTCGTCGATAGGAAGCTTGGAGGCTAGTTCCCAGAGATCGCGCTTATCATGGTTTAGTTGTTCATTGATTTCTGTAGGAACTCTTGGCTCGTCAGAATGATCTGAATAGCTATGGGCAGACTCGGTGACTTGCAATGGCTCGTGATATTGCTGTTCAATCTTGCCCTGTTGTAACTCATTAGCTGTGGACTCGGGGAGCCGACTGGTATTGGCTGAGATCATCTGCTCGTTTGTATTCCAAGCCGAGTTTGGGTGGGGAAATGGAGCTATGGCCCGCCTGTTATCGGGTGCCGGGAAAGCCTGTTTCTCGTGAGAATTTGAATCTGTTGGGTTGTGTAGTCTTCTTGGTGCGTCTTGGAGCGAAGGCTCACGAACTGGTGCAGAATAGTAGGGACCGCTTACATTTTTGTTATCTATCCTAGGACTGAAAGGTCCAATCTGACCAGGCATTGCGTGAACTGCAGCAGAGATTGCTTCAGGTCTTGGTTTCGTATGGCTGAGAGGAGATTCCATTTGTAGCACATTGGTCATACCGCCGTGCCGTTGCTGATTGTTTGGTGGACCAGCTTCTTCTGGGAATGGCTTCAGGAATGGCTTCTTGACTCGCTTATGGCTCCTTAAGGTGTGTTAGCAGAAGTGAAGATATTTGCAACTCACAACTCACTTATTTGAGGATTTTTGGGCTGGTCTCACTGCTGATGCTTCAGAAACGGGAGTCTGAGGATCACAAACAGTCGCCGGTGGCGGAGGAGGCTCCCGTTGAGGTGACTCTTGAGTACGATTTCCATCTACATTACGGATAGTTCTGGTGTTTGATCCTACCATAATATTGACATGCGATGGTTCAAGTTGAGTTGTATGGCGTGAAGATGCATCTGGCTGAACAGCAGCTGTTGTAATATTTGGTAATACGTCAATACCAATTCTGACGTTTGATGCCACCATGTTGTTGACTGGTGATGGCTCATTGAGGGTTGCAGGGCGAGAATATAGATATGGGTGAACGGATGTGGCAACTTTTGGTGTTGGTGGCTCCGGTGCAGCTGAGTCAACAACATTAGTTGATAACTAGAGCATTTGAAGGTAAAACTTGCCAGTCGGCTGGTCTTCATCTGGTGGCATCTCTGCCACCCGCTGTGGCTTGGTTGGAACTGGAAGAGGTGGTCGATTGAACTTGCCCTTTTCAGGCTTGTCAGCCTTGCTATAGGTGAAGCCAGCCATTAGGTCATCAAGGCCACCTAAGTTTGGGCGTGATATCACCGAGGGGGGTTGAATAGTTGTATTGAGTGATGGCTTTGGGGTATATGCTTCGCGGAATTGTGAATCTCGCTGGGCGAGTGGGAAGTTGGTCTCGTCAAAGGCTTGGGTATCTCCTTCAATTGACACGAATTGTGTTTCTTCTACTTGAGATGTGCAACTCTCATGGAGTTGTGTATCTTTTTCGACTGGCTCGAACTGTGTATCCTCTATGAGGAATGCGTAATTCTCAGGCTGACGATCATGAAATTGTGACTCTGGCTCTTCATCCCCGGTGTGAGGTCTTGAGTTGCCATTCTCTGCGTTCGGGGGAAGCATGGAGGCCGGAATTGGTGGCGAAGATGGAACAGCGAGATCACAATCGACGCCAAGAGGTACAATCTGACTTTCTGGCTCCTGGTCTGCCATTTTGGATGACTGAATGATAGTTAGCGTCGTCGATGTGGAACACGGAGTCAGGGTCGTACCTTGGTTTTTCTCCCCCTTCACAGTTTTCAGCGATGGACACAAATATTTCCAGCGGGTTCTACGAATACTTGATGCAGTGTCGATGGAAAGGTAATCCTGATCAAATCACTGGATGATAGTGTGATTAGGCAAAGGAGAAAGCTGCAACACTCAGTGACGATTGGAATTGGTAGAAAGGGAAGCCCCAATGAGGTGAGCACCTCCAGAGGGGCTTTATGATGTCAGGAGATCGTATTTTGGAGATGACTGAGACGGTAGGGATGGAAAAAGATCGTGTATAGGTTGAAGAAGAGATGGTGAGGGGCAGAGAAGGAAAGTAAAGAAAGAACTCGCTAAATTGTCCGATTTCGTCAACCAGCTCTTTCCATAAGTAGCACGTCAACGACGAGCCCAGCACCTCACAAGGCCAACAAAATTTCAGAGCATCGAAAAGTGGAAAGAACTTTGAGTACGCTCAATTGCTATTGGTCACGTGGACTTCAAGTGATGCATTCACCTAGAGCTTCTCATTCAGCAGGAGATTTTGTGCTGACTGTTCAGCCAAAGTCGAAGCCATTTCTGATTGCTTCCGATGAGGTTAGATATGTGGGAAGTGCTAATGTTTTAACGGAATGGACTGAATGCTAGAAAGTCTCCATTATTCCCGCCTTTTGAGGGCGGGGAGCAGCAGTGTGTCAAATGAGTAGAGTAGAGTAGAGTAGTGGGTCCTACTCATACTCTACTCAACCAATTATAGCGCTACTCATACTCTACTCATACTCTACTCAAGCTACTCATGAGTAGTATGAGTAGTGTGAGTAGGTACCCACGTGACAGTTGCACGTGACAGGCTAGCCTAATTAGGTAAGCCTCCCATCTAGCGCCAAGTTTCTACCCAATTAGGCAATGACATTGCTTAGTAAGCGAGCCAAAGGTCAGGGGGAAATCAAGATTCTAAGAAGCATAACTAGTTTAGTATTATAGAAAATTAATATTTAGCTAGTCTTATACAAGCCCTAGCTTACCTTTACTGGGGCTACTTAATAAATATATTTATTATTTAATAATTATTAAATAAACCTTAGTTTATTATTGTCACGTGACGGCTACTCATTACTACTCATACTACTCATACTACTCATGAGTATATACTCTACTCTACTCAAATTTTTAGGAAATTACGCTACTCATGAATATTCATGAGTAGCATGAGTAGCATGAGTAGTTCTTTGACACACTGGGGAGCAGGAAATTCAGCAATTGAAGCGAGGGTTGTTAGAGATTTCTTCAATGTCTAGCTTTGAGATCAAATTGGTTGTCGTTATGGAAAAGTCCCCCTAACTTGAGCAGCTTGTGAAACTCGGAAGCCAGCGCATGACTTCTCAGCTTTGAGATAGAAATTTTAAACCCCTCCGTCAAAATCGTGGACCTTCTTGTCGACGACTGTAGCGACTGTGATAGCTGCAGTCTATAAATGGCTGAGAGGCATTCGGATACAACGAGATCCGAGATTCATCAGTCGTGTTCTAATCTGGTACAAGTTCGGGATGAACGATTCATTTGCTGCTTAGAGGGCAACTTCTACCGACTATTAAATTCAATAGATGGCGACATATGATCTTTTAGGAGTTTACTACTCTCTATCAAGAACGTTCATTCCTTTGAAGGAAAGTTTTACAGCGCAGAAATTGGCGGCGGAGCCTTTCGGATTTCCAAGCAGCGTCAACCTCGCTCCAAGATCCTTCGCCGAGGTCCAACCCAACTCCAGAGGTCTCTAAGCTTCCCCAGCCAAGCTATTTCTGTTCTTGGCCCCAAGAAGACCTCATCGTGGCGGGTGTCGAGACACTTCACCGCGACTTGTCGGCGCATCCGCAGTATCATCAGCCACCGAAGAACTCAACAACTCCACTTTTCGGTGGGCGGCAGCTGTTTCAAGAGTGCTTTTGAGATGAGGGAGCCTTCAAATAGCTACCTAGGCAGGCTGTTGTATCATGTCAGAGCTTACCCCGACCACGCCAGTGATGAGGAGGTTCTCGCTAACTATGCTCGCTAAATCCGACCCCTTGAGGCTGATATATCATTGGCTGCAATGCCCCGAAAATAGATTCCAATGCACGAGAATAGCCGCTGACAGTGGAGCAACTCACCAATGCCAACGAAGGCCGTTGCTGGTCACATCGTTCTTGTCCGTTTCACAGATCCTTAGCCCACGAGGGCTTTCTGTGGGAGGCCCAATAATAGGCCAGAAGGTAGGCGCTCAATTCCTTAAGATCGATTGAATGTCCGTATCAAGTTATCAATCACCATCTCCGTCAAAGCAAAAAGCCACTATCACAGCGTGCTTCAATCTTCATCACTGCACAGTTGATTGTTGGCGTGTGAGCGTTTCACATAGCCAGTTGGACGTCATAGACATGAGGGCAGCTCTTCTTTTTAGCTTATGGCTATGTTGCTTCTTTAATATTGCAACCTCACAAGATCCTTTATCTTCCCAAGGCTCAGCAGCAACAACAACTTCCTCGGTCTCACTAACTCCAGAAATGTCCGCAAGCGCTGTTTCTGCATTGTACTCAGTGTTGGCAACTTCATCGCCACAACAACCTGGAAATGGTAAGTGTAGATACATCTGAAAACTTAATTCACTGGCCAAATGGCTAACAGTGGACCAGGACCGGCACCAGGAGACGTTGGATCATCGGCAGGGACCGGTGCTGGAGATTCAGATGCTGGAGCGTCTGGAAGTTCCTCCGGAGGCATCACACTATCAAGAGGTGCAATAATTGCAATAATCGTCTGTGCCGTATCGGTTTGTATATTGGGAGGTGAGTTTCCCTGTAACACACATCAGGATCAAGGTTGATGATACCCAAGCCGTTTCTTCTGTGTTATGGTATCTTGCGAAGAAACGATCATGGGAGATTCGCGCAAGCATTCGAAAGTCGGCACGAAAAGTCGTTACTGCGCTGACCCCTCGGAGGTCGACATTTCCGAAGGATATCCATTCGAAAAGACGATCGAGCAGGAGGCTTAGCACCAAACTGGATGATATTCCCGGTTCGCCAAAGGAGGGGACTCCAGATGTTGAGAAGGGACACCCCAAAATGACGTCGTTTGTGATGGCTGAGCCACCAAAGCAACCGAAGTGGGCGAAGAAGATTGGGCGATGATCGTTTTGAGGAAACCGCCGTTTTATGAGTTAATGTCTCGCGTATTCTTGTGCATTGTAGCATGGCGGTATTGGCGTCCTGGTATTTTGGTTATCGGGGATTCGAGAGCTGGCCTGAGAATTGAATTTATAGCCTCCTAAAAACATTTCCACTTGCGCTCCTCCTCCCCTCGTCTCGTCTACCCTTTCGTGCAGGCTCAATCTTGTCTCTTTCCTTCCGGCCCGTGCTTGGTGCAAAAGTGACCTGTCTTTCTCCCACAACATCACCTCTGGTCTTGTTGACGCGACCACCTGCTTGTGTTCGAGATCCGAGAGGCTTATCTTGTCGTTGGTGTCCCGATTTCTTGTACGAAGATGACGAGATGCGCATCTCCGGTTTGGCTTTGACCTTGGACTGTGCCACAATCTCGTCTTCATCATCTTCACCATCGCTCTCACTGCTATCACTCGCGGCACCAGCACGGCTATTCTCAGCATTCTCGCCCACTTTTGTACTTGGATTGAGAGCCTGAAACTCTCTGCTCCTTTCATCAACTGCAAACTCTTCATCCTCAAACAATTTGCCAAAGCGACTGTCACCAAGCACCCCCATATCTTCGTCCACCGTCTGCCTTCGTTCTTGTCTCTTGAGCATTTTGTCGACGAGGTTCTGATTGACCTTAACTTTCTTACTTCCTCGGATTCTGCTTGCACGTTCTTTCTCAACTTTCTCCTTGACCCTTTTCGTTCTCTCGTCGTCCCAGATGTACGGATTGGCAATGAGTCGGGCTTCCTCGTAAAGCCTCGATGCAACAAAGTATCCATGCATGTAAGGACGCAGCAAATTCGTTGTCCCAACAAGGTGGCTGAGATTTAGAGCTTTCAGCTCTGGTAGAGTCAAAAACTTGTAATTGTCGTAGGTCTCTGTCGGGGCTTCTTCTGCCATCTCCTCTACCATATTATCTAGGAAGGAGCACCACTTGGGCGCTGGCCCCAACTGTGGAATGAAGAAAGCATGCTGCTGCTTCCCTTCGTTTGCTGTAAGAATCATGCCGCTCTGCTTGCACCAGGCCACCGAGTTGATATCGACAGCTGGCTCAACCGAAATCCACGCTTTCCCATCCACCTCATCCCAAAGCTTGATAATTCGTTTATCCGCAGAAAGAATTTTCTTTTCTTGAGAGGAGGTTGTCATATGCATCAATGTTTTGATTGGATAGCCATAGCCTTGGTCCTTCCTCAGAATGGGTACCGGTCGGCGCAGGTCAAAAATCTGGACGAGACCTTCAGAAGAGCCCGTCACAAGTGACAATCCTGATCTATCGAAGTCGAGTGCTGTGATTTCTCCTTCTTGAGCTCCCAGAATGCCAACTCTCGCCTTAGCTCTAGGGTCCCAGAACTCTACCGTCCCTATTGATGTTCCAAAGGCTAAGAGGCTATGACTGTCCTCCGCGATTGCGGCCACGTTCACGCTCCCCGTGTTGATCCCGCCCTGTAATGCTCCTCCCCCAGCCGTGGCCAGGTCATCACCTCCAACGTCCACCTGGTACGGCTTCATATACCTCCCAATCTCGAGATTCAGCCGGTACACCTCTCCACTTCCATCAGTATTCACCCCAACTGCGGGAATCAAAGCTTCAGCGGAGTGCCGATCGTACTGCAGATCTCTGCCATACCTTGGGAGTCGAGTTTGGTAGTGGCAACCTCCAGGTGTGTGAAATTCGAGTCTTCTGTCCGTTTGTAGATGGAGAGACTTGGAGTAGTCGGAGGATAGAAGAACAAAAGAATGATTCAAGGTTGTAGTATGTCTAGCGAAGGATAGAGAGAGATGAGGAAGGTAATGTGTATGAATTTGCGGCTTGTATGTGCCTGTACTCATCACCCATTCTCCATCTTCGCTGACCCTGATGCAGGAGCTGGCTTCTTCGAATTCGAAATCCTGGAGCAGTTCGACTCGATTTGCGTACTCGGGATCGTTCTTTAAGCTGCGCTTCCGTTTTCGCGCAAGCCAGTCTGGAAGCGGCCGCGCAGTAGACGCGCCAGAGATCGTGTAGACGGGCACGTCGTTTGGATTCGTGAGCTTCATTGCTGAGTGGTATGTGAGTGCCCAAAGCCTGAGGAAGTCGCTGCTGTTTTCTCTTCAGATTTTATTTTCTTAGTGGCGGGTACGGTGCAAGGATACCGTGGGCCCGGTCGACCCTAGCGTCCATGTCGGCCATTCCCCAGCGAGGCGAGATCAGCCTCACAACCCTGGCAGACGTCAAATCTGACTTTCTATCATATTGCGCCAACCACGGACAAGCCTTTTCCTTTGAGTTTCCAGTGCTGGCTCGGAAAACGCAGTGGCTTCCGTCCTCTCTTGTTGAGATGGAGCGCTGCAACTCCAACAATCGCTACGCCATCCAAAGATTCGTCTGCCCCCATCCTTTGGACCAGCCCAACTGCGCATACGAGACTTCAAGCTGCACGAAGGACAAGCACAGGCCAAAAGGTGGGCCTAGGCCTGGCGTCTTGATTTGGACGCGTGCAGATCAGGTTATGATTGACGGATATCTAAGATGGAGCCCGGTGAATACCTTACCAATGTATTATCATCCGTAAGTTCTGGCTTTCATCTGATCAATTCGTGGCTGATTGTTTCACTAGAATATTTTTGCATCCATAATATACGAATACTTCGAGCCGCAAAGCCTTCCCGCGGGAACCGCCAGAAAATACCTCCAAAGACTCGAAGCGGGGTGGAGACAAGAGGGAAAGCTTGTCTATTGTGATCCTTTCAGAGACGGCATCTGGATTTTTCAGGGCACGGCTAATGCCTCGAACAATACGATTTCCAGGGACGCAGATGCCCCGAGTGTTGCGGAGGCTTATAGCGCTGGCCTAGTCCAACGGGACAAAGGCACGTATGAGCCAGCGAGTCTTGTGAGAAGCAAGCAAGCAATTTCGAACAACACAAGTACTCCCAGTAGCGGCTCATCCCCATCTTCGTCTCTGGACAGCACGATACGGAATGCCCAAGCTCTCAACGCAAGGTCAATTCAAACAAATTCGGCTCTAGGGGTTATACAGGAGCCATCTACAACCTCTCCTGGCGCCAGATCCGCATTAGGTGCCGACACACCCACATCCCTAAAAGACATCCATGAGTTATTCATCTCCGCGGTACTGGGATCTATAGTCTACTTTCTCTGTCGTGATCACGGGTTCGTCCCTCTGAACTCGCGAACATTGATCTTGACCCCTCTCAAACCCAAATGCAAAGGCTACTTTACGAACAAGCATACACAAGTTACCAATGCTATTGAGCTCGCGACCCTCGATATAAGTCTGACCTCTTTGGGCACACTTGTGGTCAAAGCTCGCTCAAACCTGGCTCGTGGCCTCCAGGCGTTGCTTGAAAATTCAGGCTCAGCAAGCGTTTCATCCAAGCTAGCTCCGGGTGCCGCTCTATGGCTGGCACCTGGAGGAAATGCTGCTAAGTTTTACAGCTATACCGATGAGAAGAACTTGTCTACAAGCTTGTCAATATCTCAAATCCAGGCAGGTGCTGCGGAACAGCGACCCAGCAACGTCAACTCTCTCACCATCAAATCTTGGCAATCTAAGTGTCTCGAGTGGTTGTCGACCAAGGGCTTGAATGCATCGGTCCTGGAAGATGGTGGCTGGCTCTTTGTCCAGGTTGTTGGCAGTTATCCGCCATACCTCAATGGCGAATTCCAAGGATTGCCAGTGGCGGATGAATTGGCTCTTGTTCCCTGGCCCGCACTATTGTGTTTTCAGACCTCAAGCATTGGACCTCGATCCTTGCAGGTTATTCACAATGGTCCTACTGGCCCTCGTGATTCCCTCGCGTTTGCTGAAGACTGGTTCACTGGTAAAGACGAGAGAGCCATGGCCATGTCCAAAAGACAAAAAGACCGTCAGGCAGCCGAAACTTTATCAAAAGAGCAAGCCGATGTCGAGGCTCGCGCACTTCAATCCATCACGTACTCACCTGCCACTTTGCGGAGAGGGAGCAATGCCGGTGCTATGTATCCCACGCCTCCAGATGCCCCACACCACCCTATCGGTGCTACACCCTCTTTTGACGGCACCGCATCGACACCTGGAAACCCGCACCCCTTCGCCTCTCACGACCCAGGGACCGCCAGTCAAGTGACCTCTGGCGCAAATGACGCAGACGCAGACTTATGGGGCTCATCTGTTAAAAAAGAGCGGAACAATTCAGGCATGGCTTTCAATGACAATGAAAACGACAATCCCAATATGTTTGGAGATTTGGGAGATGATATATTTGGGACTGATGTTACGGATGCCGACTTCAGCTTTTTCGATGAGCCTGACGCTGTCCTGCCGGGTCTCAAAAATGAATCGCCAGTTGTCTCGCTCCCTGTCTCTCAGGAGGCTTCATTTTCAGAGGAGACTGCTGTTTCCAATCCTACAAACCTTCAGGTTCTCGATCCCCCTGACACGACTATGTTGGACGTCAATATCAGCGAAAGCCGAATGGATGAACTACCGCCGCCTTCATCTGAAGCAGCCGTACTCAAAAACAAAATAGAAACTGGGGAAGTTATAAAAACAGAAACCATCGATACCAATAAGAACCGCCCAACGCCTATTATTCTGCCTCTTGATAAGGAAACGGTATTTAAGCGACTCGTACGAGAGCCATCGGGGAATACGAGACAGAAACAGCCTAGGCGGGCGAGTCTTTTCGACCGAGTAGACTTTGAGGATGCTCTCCTCTCAGTAAACGAAAAATATGGCGCTCACGGCCAATTCAATTATAGTGCCAAGCTCAAACGAAAGCAGGCCTCGAGCCAAATCGAACTCCCACAGACACAATACCTTCCTTCGCAGCAAAGAATACAAGAAAAAGGCCAAGAGCTTAGAAATATTGCCCACATTCTGACAAAAAATGAGCTGGATACTCCAATAAATTCCCGCGAGCCCATGGATTATCTGATGGATTCCGACGGTGGCAGTCAGGTTTCTGAACAAGACGGTACTAGCCATACCACCAGCGATCAATCTCTTCTTCCAAATCATGGGTTAAAACGTAAATGGGAGAAAGAGGACGGCGATGATATGGCCTCGACATTTGATGCTCTGGCAATGGAGCTTGAGCACTCTGCAAGTACCCCCCAATCAATCAGTGGCTCGCAAATACCCCTTCTGGAAGCAGACCCTGCAGATTGGGCGTTGGCCACATATTTTACGTCGCCCGAACCAGATATTGAGTCTAACACACTCTCGGATCTTGAAAGAGTTGCAACAGCACAGATTCTTGCAGACCAGGCAGTGTCGGGCACTCTTCAAATTCCTAAGACTGCTGGAAACGTGACTCCTTTCACCTCGAAGTCAACCTTTACCACGAAAGAATTGATCTCTAGTGTTGCCAGAGCCGCAAAGTCTTGCCTGAGGGAGATCAACGGCTGTACCATGCGCTCGTTCTTGGAAATACAAGGCATACCCGTCTTGAACCAAGGACTCAGACTACCTCCGCGGCCTATTGTCAATCCTCGAGGCCCAAACGGTATCGATGCTGCAAGAGCTAATAATCCGTTCCCGATACCACCACCGCAGCTTGAAGTACGTCGCGCAGATACAAAGCTCTCTGTCCTTCCTGCTGCAATCACGTTTTGGGAAAATTTAGGGTTGGGACCATCCAAAGGCCCTAAGGACGTGAGTGCTGTATGCGTCTATCCAAATTTTGACGGGGTGGCTTCAAATGCAGAGATCTTTCTTGATCAAATGAGAAGTGTATACGAGTGTTCTAGACTGGGCAGTCATGACAAACTCGTAACCAAAGACCTCACGAATGGGTTGATGCCTTTCATTGTGGAATCACCACAACAAAACAAACTTCACCATTTAAGTGCCCTCAAGGATGTTGCATCCCGACTGAGCAGAATACTGTCGTCAGTTGTGATGGAAGAAAAAAACTTTGTTGTGTACTTTATATACCCGACCGACAACAGCACACTTCTTGTCCATATATGCTCTGCATTCCAGCACCTATTCAATCTGTACAGAAAGGCATTGTCTGAAAGAAGAGTCGCCACAGCGAATGAGTTGGTGCTGCAACTGATTCCACTAGATCTTGTATCCTCGCCAACATCACTTGCCGTACCACTTCCGTCAGAATATTTTAGACTCGCTATGGAGGTGTATGATCGATGTATAGACTTCGTTTCTTCGTCCTCGACCCCAGCAATAATGCTCGAGCAGCCACTTCCAAAAGCTATCGACTTTAAATTAAACGCAACTCCGTCCGCATCTCTCCTTCAAGAGAACACCTGCCTTCATGTTGGTTATGCGCAAAGCATTGATGACCGCTGGATCACTGCTACATGGACCGATAATAGAGGCACGCAGCAAATGACGGCTTCTTACTGTCTAGGACGAAAGAACGAACCGATCTCGATGCCATTCTCTGAAGTTGCTAATGAGATATGGGGGACTACGCTAAATTTCATTGCAAGCAAGAAGATTCACTGGCGTATCATGATTGCGCGAGTAGGAGTAATGGACCCATCCGAAATCGACTTCTGGACCGGCCTTGCGTCGACAGAATCCGAGGCTCAAGTCAGTTTGACGCTCATAACAGTCCAGACGGATCCATCCTTGCGTCTGTTACCAGCTTCGATCACTCTAGCACCCAATACAAATAGTGCAACCTCTGTTGCCACTCCAGTATCCACGCCTCAGGCCTTGCAATCATCAATTGTCTCACCTGGCGACGCAGCAACGCCGGCGAAGGAGATTGCAAGTGCTGCTACGCCCGTAGATGGACCGGTTGAGCCTGATAGTGATGCCCGATTGATAGACTCCACGGACCAGAGCTGGGGCGCCGTCCTGTCCCATCGCCTAAACAACTCAAATTCACTCATGGAGCTGAATCCCGCACTTATAAGCGGTTACCTTCTGAAACGTGGCGGCGTTCACAGTGATGATCCGCCAATCATCATGGAGGTCAATATTCTGTACAGTGAAGTGGTAGGAAACCCGCGAACATTCCACGAGGGTCTTTTGAGGGAAATTCTTGGTTATTATAGAGGACTTGGAACGTTGGCACGGGTACGTGGCCTGGTGGACTCTGTGGGGGATGTGAGACCATGGCACATTGCCGCCGCCGAAAAGGCAGTGAAAGCTTTGTACATGTTAATGTGACGCATATAGTATATTATATCATTGATCCTTCAGCCGCTCCCCCGATGTAGTGATTCAGGAGAGAAAGTAACGGCCGAGCATGCTCAGAAATGGCTGAGGTATTGCGAATAGCTGTAGCTTGGGAATGGCCATTTTTGATCCTAAAAGTTCATCAATCAAGAACAGCTGTCGGCTATTGAGCGCCTCTTGCCCTTTTCAGAGTCAAATCACATGGTGCTTCGGGGTTCAAAGGGGGCTTCTCGCTTAGGAAGTCCAGAAGTTACCCCAGACTACACTCTACCAAAGCATCATTCAATAAGGGAAGGAGATGTGGAGTTTCTTTCAACCACGCGTCGATTTCATGCGTCATAATGAGATATCGTCCTAGAGGCAATTTTATTACCATTTCAAGTCCACCTCGAGGAGCAATTTCGGCCCTTTTTTGCGGCTCTTGCGGCTCTTGCGGCTCATCGGCTTCGAGATTGAAGGCTCGTCTCATCAGGTGAGACCCTTTTGCCTACATTTCTGTTCCATTCAAAGCAGTACCTGATTGTTGGTCCTGTTATTCTAAGCAGACTGCATCCTGATTGCAGAGCCGGATCGGCCGGGAACAGCTTGTCATATCTTAGCGATTACTCATGAGAAGTAATTTTCCGCGATGTGGCGAGAAGTCGTTCGCCGAGGCCTTTTGGTTGGCGGATCGACCGGAATAATAATCTGGGGAATTGTTCCTAGGGTCAAATTGACGAATAAGCAATTGCATATTGTTGTTATTTGTTCCATCCGCTGACCTTGAGAGGAGAATAATCCCGGGTCAAACCCGGAGTTTCATGAAACTGGACGAAAGAGTGCTGATCTTGTGCTCTTCGATATTTTAGTTTAACTATACTGCCGAATGCATGACCGCATCGTGAAGAAAAGCTTATAAGCTAAGTTGTGCTTCCCTTCCAAGAACGACATTTCATGTACGGTCTCTCTCCTGCTATTGGAATACTAGACATCATAATGGGTAGATTATCGAGATTCAAACCCCAAATGCCTTTCCCTGGGTGGAAGGCAAAGACTTCGTCTAATGGAGAAGGATCTCACGCTGAGAAGGAGATGGAGAAGTATGTCGGGCCTTACGACAATGCCCCTATTCCTCGTCTAACTATTCACTCCTTCATCATGGGTGTATTTGTAAGAGTTTTTCCCTTTTGATCTCTTCTAACCCCAACAAGGCGTGGACGGCCTTCTTTGCCCCAAATAACTCTAAACATTCCCCGAAAAAGGATCTTGCTGACTCCTCACTCTTTCAGGTTTCCATGGGAGGCTTTATTTTTGGGTATGATACCGGACAAATTTCTGGATTCTTGGTAAGCAGTCGAGAGAGGGTGTTCGTTGAGGACTATGTCAATTCGACAATTACTGACCTTCTCTCCTTGTCTAGGGCATGGCAGAATTTCAAAGCCGCTTTGGACAGAAAGATTCTGATGGCCCAGGCTATCACTTCAGTAACGTCCGCTCGGGCCTCATTGTTGCTTTGGTAAAAATTGCCCTACATTTTGAGAATTGCTCTAACAACATCAGCTTTCTGTCGGAACGCTGATGGGCGCACTTCTCGGTGGGCCTGTGGCCGACAGGATTGGCCGAAAATGGAGCATCTCAGGGTGGTGCATGATGCTCCACATCGGTTTGATAGTTCAAATGACTGCAGACAATCATAAGTGGTATCAAAGTAAAGGGACACCATTATCCCGTCCCATCTAAGTAGCTAACAGTCGCAGTTGTTGTTGGAAGATGGATTGCAGGTCTTGGCGTTGGAGCGTTATCCCTATTGGTAGGATTTTCTCACATCAAATATCTCGACTCTCTCCTTTTTTGACAATGTTAACCCGATCTAAAGGTTCCTATGTATCAAAGCGAGAGCGCCCCTCGCCAAATTCGAGGTGCTTTGATAAGGTGAATGCATACCCCAGGATGATCTGACCAGCCTGCTAAATCTTTGAAGCACATACCAGCTCTTCATCACTCTTGGTATCTTGGTCGCAAATTGTATAAATTTTGGAACCGAGAAACGCACAAACACAGGATCCTGGAGAATACCTATGGGAATAAGTTTTATCTGGGTGTTGATTCTCGGGGTCGGCATTGTCTTTTTCCCCGAGTCCCCTCGATACGATTACAGACATGGACGAGAGGAACAAGCCAAGCGTACAATGATAAAGCTCTACGGAGTTTCTGAAAACCATCGAGTTGTGGCAGAAGAACTCGCCGAGATCAAAGAGAAGCATGAGGAAGAACTTCTGCAATCAGGGGAACCATGGTATAGGATGTTCACTGGGCCAAGGATGTTATATAGAATTGCCCTGGGTGTCTCACTCCAAGCTCTTCAACAACTCACTGGCGCGAATTACTTCTTCTACTATGGCACTGTCATTTTCAAGAGTACCGGAATCAACAACTCTTATGTGACTCAGATGATCCTTGGAGGCGTCAATTTCGGCACAACCTTCCTGGGCCTTTACGTTGTCGAAGCTTGTGGTCGTCGAAAATCTTTAATATTCGGAGCTGGTTGGATGTTCGTCTGTTTCATGGTCTTCGCTTCTGTTGGCCACTTCGCACTCGATCGTAACATTCCAGAAAATACACCACATGCAGGCAAAGCTATGATTGTTTTTGCCTGTCTGTTTATCCTCGGATTTGCATCTACCTGGGGACCTATTATATGGACTATTTGCGCAGAGTAAGTGGCTGCTGAAACGTCTGAAAGAAAGGTTATTGATTGCATGGCCTCTAGGCTTTACCCTTCACGTTATCGCTCAAACGCTATGGCACTGTCGACTGCCTCGAATTGGGGCTGGAACTTCCTTCTTGCCTTCTTCACTCCTTTTATCGTTGGGGACATCGACTTCCGATATGGCTATATCTTTGCGGCGTGTCTATTTGTCTCGGCGGGAGTGGTCTATTTTTTCGTCATCGAAGGCCAGGGTCGCACGTTGGAAGAGATCGACACAATGTATATTCTCCATGTTAATCCCAGAGAGAGCACAAAGTGGATCGCTCCCCCACCCGAAGAATTAATCACCACCGAGAGGCTCGTCCGAGGAGAGGTTGCTGGGACTGGTGCCGACTTGGAGCAAAGTGATAGTGCGAGAGCAAGAGCAAAGGAAACCGAGCCTAGTAAGAAGTTACTTTTGTTTTTATAGAATTGGGAGTAAGGGGATTTTCATTCTTGGTGGGAAAGGGTTCTCAATGAAGCTCCGTCTGAGATGAGAATGGCGCTAACTTTCACAACAGGGCCCACCGCTGCTCACTCTGGATAAATAGCCACAATGCTGCTACTGAAGAGGGTTGAAAGGACAAAGCTTGCCAAGTACGACAACATATGACACGCCGAGGTGTCTATCACGTCCCTGGGCTGAAGACCTGGTCTGGTAAACAGCTCTTTTTGGGTGTGTATGTGCGTCTAAAGAGAGAAGAGAGGAGGAGCGGGGAGCTCGAGCTAAGTACAGGGTGCCACGCTAGGGCCAGGTCATGTGACGCTGACGTCACAACAGTGTCTTTTCTTTCCCACCTGGTAACAAGACACTCGGTGGAAGTAATTGGAGCCTTCTGACATCAATTTATTGATGAAAAATGGCCTTTAGTTTATATAATGTATTAATTGATTTCTCTCAATTCCCAAGAGCCGCTCTCTCCGAAGAATCGAGTGACTGAAAATGGCGCTACCAGGGTCAAGGAGCTACCGCAGTCGTCCTTCTTCCCTCATTGAACGGAAAGCGGCTATGATATGTGTCTGATTTCAATCCCAAAGAAGTGCTTCATCTCTTGCCCACGGTCCTTTCCCCCTTTTCATCCACATTATTTTCGAACCTCAACTCGGACCCGAGAAAAGCCAAGCCGGATAACCGGTCTCGACTCTTGCTCCCGGGTTCTCCGCGTACACGTACTCTCCCAAGTCCCCGGGCAATTCTCATCTTTTGTCTACCGGTGGGGGCACCTCTCAGATGTCAAGTGGTTGGGAAGAAAAGAGACCGACATTGCCGCACTTCCCGGTACGATGGGGCTAAATAATGGGTTCCAGTAGCTGTAACCAAAATCTAAATGTATCGAAAACTACTCTTGCCAATCACTAGACTTCTTCCTTCGAGAAGGGTACGGAAAGGTATATGGATCTAGATGAGCTTCAACGGCGTTGCAGAGTGGTAGCCTTGGTACCCTTTCGAGCTTAAAGCTTGTCGTCCGAGCTTGGCACTCAGAGGTCAACTCAATTCGATATCGCTAGGGGGAGGAGGTCGAGGAGGGGAAACATCTTAACACCGAAAACGCCGTCTTCAAGCTTCGGTTCGATATTTTTACTTAGTATGCCATCATTTATGCGGGATGGCATGCAGATTCACCCAACCTTGGTTGCGGCTGTCAGATTGCAAAGATTGTCCTAAACAGGAATGACGAACTGCAACATGATGTAATCCCCTGGAATGAGCTGTTGGAAACCTCGAAATTCCGGATAGAGAAAATGCGATTGGATAAGATGCAGTTCATCTCCGCAAGCTTTTGCTCTAAGGTCTAAATAGGGCATTAATCCAATAATAAGTCCATGGAGCTCATGGAAGTAAAGCACTTGCCACAAAGTTCGAAGCAGTGGCGATGGAAGTAGAGCCATACCACGAAGCGTTAGTTGAGCACCCAATAATTTGCCACGAACTCAAAGTTTTTTAGATTATGTCAAATGATTCTAGCTTCGACTTTTGTTATCTTCTTGTCAAGGATAGATGGTTTGAGTTACAAAGCTCAACTGTCTGTGGTGCTCCCTTATTTGGTTGTTTCAGTAGCAGCTCAATAGGAGTCACTTCTTAATAATTTGAAAGAAAAGGCTCTCTGCAACAGCCACTTGATTCACCTGCTTGCCCGCCTCCCTGACTGTTATATGCTTGCGAGCTCCCTACCCCTGTTCAGACTAGAAAACAAGCACCATTTCTCAGTGCCTCATTCGGCCGTCTATGGTTTCCCCAGGGGGTAAATACGAATGTTCGAAACTCGGGAAATCCGCACATCTTATAAGTAAGCTCCACAACCTATATCGGTAATCACTCTTCGCCCGCATTCAGACATTTGATCCCTATTTCAGTAACCTAACCGCTCGATTTGGCGTTGATTGCTATCAAACACAAGATGTCTTCCGCTTATGTCGAGAATGGCTACACTACGGGGTACGAGGTCAGGAGGCTGCAAACAAATGACATGGAAATAGGTGTGACCGATGCAGTCCAGAGGCACGTCCAAAGAAATGTGGTTGCTCCAAAGCCGGTGACCCAAGGGAAGCTGGACTTCGAATATTCTCGGCCTCGTTGGTATGTGATCCCAAAGCTCCATTCCCTTCCTCAAAAGTCCTTTGACATATTCTCTCCACTCTGAGAGTAAAAGCTCCAAAAGGTGTGGCTGAGCTTCTCGTTTGGTATGATTGATCAATACTAATCCCGAATTTTTGACATGCAGGTTGGGTGAAATGGCAGCCGAGGCCATGGGAGTCTTCTTCTATCCTTATCCTGGAATAGCTTCCCAAGCTTCCATTTTTCTCAATGGGGCCGAGCCAGCCTTTGGATCCATCTTCCAAACCGGATTGGCATATGCAATGTACTTATGCTCTCGACTTTATTGTCCATTTTCTGAGTGGTTCGCTAGTCGCGGGATATTTGAAGCTTTCGCCTCAGGACCCCTGGGTACATTGAAAGTTTCTGACGAGATGCAGGGATTGCTTTTGCCATTATTGTCTGCGGTCCGACTTCTGGTGGTCACTTTAACCCCGCAATAACTCTGTGCTTTGCTATTTGGCAAGGGTATGTTGGAAGAAGCATCAAATCTTGACAAACTTGACTAATTTGAGTACTAGATTCCCTTGGTCAAAAGTGCCAAGGTATATCTTTGCTCAGATCTTCGGTAGCTTCTTAGCCGGTCTCATCCTCGGCCAGTATCACCCACAACTTACGCTGCTTGCTGCTAAATTTCGCTCAAAAGGCTTGAGCCCAAACTCACTTAGAGGGCCGGGCAGTGTTCTTTCTAGTTTTCCTACAGCGACCGAGATAAACTATGGCTACTTGTTTTTTATTGAATTTGTATTTTGGAATAAATACCCGGACCTGATTAACCTGACTAATTGGAACATACAGCCTGTTGATAGTTTCATCGGGTAAGTGAACCACTTCTACCAATTGAACGAAGACGAACTTGCCCTTTGCAGTATTGTGATCTGGGCGGTTCTCGATCCAGCGAATCCGTTCAATGCTCCTTCTTCGGCGCCCTTTGTTATCGGCCTTGTAAGTTATATTATCGAATCTTCTTCTCCACCTGAGAACAGAGCAAATCTGAAAGATACTGACCTGCCAACTTTCAGGCCTATGCCAATATGGTCTGGGGTTTCACAAACGTCACAATCTCCACAAATCTGGCTCGTGATCTTGGAACTAGAATTGTGGCGGCGATCTTCTATGGAGGAGACGCATTCAATACCAATGCGCCAATCGCCATTCCGGTAAACGTCCCAGAAACTCTATTCGGCGAGCCTTATTCTCACAACATGTTGTTTTTCCCGTGCTTGAGGGCTCAGAGGTTTCACCAGAGCCGGCCTGTTCATTTATCTTGGTAGCTTGGCACCTTAGATCCTGGTCTCCCACTCTTAAAACCCAAAAAATTCCATATTGATTCAATGGCAGCTACTTTGGTCTACGAAGTTCTTCTTAAAGACAGTTTCGCCATCATTGCTAAGGGCCACAGTGTTCACGAAGATAGCCAGGAAGGCCTGCCACACCACTTGACGAAGACCGGGCAATGGAAGAGGGGATAACGAGTAACATTGCAAGGAGAGATGACTACAATGGAGCATATCAAAATGGCAAGGCCGCCGAAGAGTCCCTCGCTTGATTGTTGTCTCCGGAGTTGCCATGGAAAACATTCTACAAAAATAGATAGAAGGAAGGAAAGGGACAGCCAAATTTAGATAGAATGTATCATTTGAGTTGGGAAGTGGCTCTTGCCAATAGACGAAGTGCTCTTGGAACTCCATCGATGATCGAAATGATATGTTATTCACGGAAAAGGGCACGCAGGTTGTCAACAAACATCTCGAGAGTAAAATGCTGAACAGTACCAAGAAACCTGCAATTCAATCTCCAGGGATCATTCGCCATGAAAGTGGTGACACACTGAGCCTCTAGCTAGATAAATATATCGACTTGATAGATAGTGTTGTGGTGTAAGAGTAATGAATTTGAACTCCATCTTGGGCTAGAAATGTGGTTCCCGTCACGTGTTGCAAGCAAGGGATCCACGGGTTTGTTGTGAGTGGGCAAATTAAAATTTCCGTTTACGCCTGTGTTTACTCGTCACATCGAGAAGCAGCAACACGGCATCATGGCCCTTCTTTTCCTGTCGTTCTTCTAGAGTTGACCAGACGGTCCTTGCGCGCTTTTCTTCGTTCCTTTCTTGTTTTCTTCTCATGCGCGCAAACGACGTCGGAATTTGTCCCTCATTGAACAATGGCTTCCCCGCAGCAGCCTGTCATCGACCCTCCTTCTCCCGTAGATGATTTTACGCCCACATTTTACGTCGGTCATCATGAATCGAAACGACCATTGCCTGTCACAGACTTCGTTCTGCGGCAGGCTCAAGATGTTGGAGTAGGTGCCCCGCCAAAAATTGAGGATAGCTGCTAAAGGTCTCAGTACGACATGCTCACGAGCCCTATTACGAGTCCGCATTTCCATTCACGAGTCTTGACGTTAATATCTGAATATCTCTCCGAACTTTCCCTATTCGAAGCCTCAGATGATGCCGTCACGAAAAGCACCCCTCCTGCGCCAATAATACCCCCACTAACCCCCGTGGACACTCCCTTGACCCCTGGAGATACTGTCTCTCAATTGATCGCGTACTCCAGCCCCTGGATAGACCTCTGCTCTTCAGATCCTCTGATATCCAACATATCTCGCCAGGTTCTGAACATCGAGATAGCCTACACTTCATTCTGTGGAGTTGGCAATATTATTATCCCGGGCCCAAGATCGTATAGCAGCGGATCAACGAACAATGATGGCCTCATACAGTATGCTCGTGCCATCCAGGAAGCGCTCACCATTGGCAGTTACATTCAAATGGCCATTCATATCCCTATGTACGGAAACGATGAAGTCAAGGACATGACAGGCGACCTTCGACCATTTGCCCGAGATCACCATTCGGCGGCAAAAGGCAAGTCGATTAAGGAGATTGATTTGTTTGAGACGTGGGATGCGTGGAATTTGATTAGAAGTGTATGTAAATACAATTCGAGACTCTCAGTAGGTAAGAAGCCAATACAATCCGTTTCCCATATCCTGCAGAGCTTGTGAGGTGTGAACGATTTGAACCGCGAGAGCTGAGACCCTTCGGAGCTTGTCCTACACCTCTGAAGGTACTAAACCCGCTCTGTGTCAGAGAATCATCGTCAGAACAATATCAGTTAACCAATGTGTATAGCTCTTGGCCTTCCTCGCCAGCTTCCTATCGAATCTTTGCAATCTCGCTGGTTCGCCGAGCCTTTGCGGTTGCTCTCTTTTACACCCTCGACATTCTTGAAAAACAAAGGAGGCCATCCTGTTCTGAGCAAGAGTCACCAAAGTTTAATTACACGTTACATGCGGTTAAAGCTGCCTCCGTGGCTGTTGCTGTGTGACGTTGGGCCCATCCCTGGATTGGACGACCCTCTGCACCGAACCTCGACGGCAGATGGATTTCCTTCGCCAACTGCTGTCGCTGATGCATCGAGATCAGTTTCTCCCACTCCCGCTGAGGCTGTAGACCTCTTGTCAAAAGAATCTCAGAAGCCTAGGCCAAAGCACAAAGATCCGGCAGCTCATCTCATTTACATGCGATATCTCCAAAGAAGTCAGCCCCTTAGGACAGCCATCGAAAAATTTGGTTCTGGCTATCAAGACTATCTGCAGGCGCCCCTCCAACCCCTGACAGATAACCTGGAGTCCGTCACTTATGAAGTCTTCGAGAAAGACCCCGTCAAGTATGACTGGTACGAGCGCGCCATTGCCCAGGCGCTATCTGATTGGACTGAGCAACGGAAACCGACGTCAAGTCCTAGCGGCGCAGTTGTGATTGCTGTTGCAGGCTCTGGTCGAGGACCCTTGGTCACACGAGCCCTCAGAGCAAGTGAAATGACAGGTGTTCCTGTTGAATTATGGGCAGTCGAGAAGAATCCGAATGCCTACGTATTGCTTCAGAGGCACAATGAAGAGGACTGGGGCGGGGTCGTGAAAGTGGTGAAGAGTGATATGCGAGCCTGGAAAGGACCACTGCGAAGTACAACTGGTCCGATCGGCCAAGCAATCACTACCACCTCTCCTGCGCCAGCATCGCCATATGGCAGAGTCGATATACTTATCTCGGAGCTCCTTGGCTCTTTTGCAGATAATGAGCTATCGCCAGAATGCTTGGATGGTGTGCAACACGTGCTTGCTCCGCAGTTTGGCATCTCAATTCCAAGTTCCTACACGGCACACTTGACCCCAGTACTTGCGCCGAGACTGCATGCAGACATCTCGCATCGCGCTATCACGGACAATACAGCCACTGAAACTCCCTACGTTGTAATGCTACATGCCATTGACTATCTTGCAACTTCTGTTCCCGATCACCCACGCATTCAGGAGGCCTGGGAGTTTGTTCATCCCCTTCCAGCTACAACGCTTGCGGTTGCAGAAGCTAGAAGAGGAGGCGGTGTTAGCGGTGGAGGCGGCGGTAGCATGTCCGGTGGCGATGGGGCAAATGAACATAATACTCGCTCGGTCAGATTGAAGTTTGTATGTAAGGATAGAGGTGTTGTGAATGGGCTTGCTGGGTATTTTGAGGCAGTTCTTTACGATGGAGGGGAAGCAGGAAAGGTCGAGTTGAGCACGAGACCAGATACCATTGATGCGAAGAGCAAGGATATGATTTCTTGGTTCCCGATATTCTTTCCTTTGAAGGTATGCTTCACTCCCAAAACTTTTCCGCACGGGTGCTAACTTTCTTCTAAGACTCCTCTCTACTTTCCTGATGATTCAGAGCTGGAAGTGAGCATTTGGAGGCAGACAGATGATAGGAAGGTCTGGTATGAATGGCTGGTGGAAGCCTTTGTCATGGTTGGACCAGACAAGAGGATGAGACTTGGAATGAGTGAGATGGGAAGCAGCAGAAAAGTAGGCTGTCTTATGTGAAGTCTGTCACTTTGAAGTAAAAAAGTCTTGGCCCAATATGGGTTGTCAAAGCTGGTGACTGCCTTTTCAATTCAGGCAGCGTATGGCTAGACCCTGGAATCAAAATCCATTGCACTAATGCCTCTGCAAGTCGAAGCTTGCTTCTAGAACGCCTTGCCCATTGACATACCAGTAAACCTTTTGGGATCTGAACGCTCTTTCATCTTGCTCCCAACCTGGTCCGCAGAAAACCACCAGAAATTCGTGCCCTGATTGCTTGCGTTATCGAGTCACCGTCTTACCACCTCAGAAGCACGATTATCCCTCCATCTTCGTATCCGCATTGCCATTGTTCTGATTTGCGCCTTGAATCCATAAGACATTGTTGCATCTGTAGAAAGAATCAGCTTCCGTTCGTTTTTTCTACACCTAGCACCTGTATGACCCAAGCATTCAAGAAAATCCCATATAAGGAAACGCACCGTATTAGAACCTGGCCGAGAACACTCGTCATTTGTTGATCAATCCACTCCTCTGCACCTGACAACTGAATGTTCATGTAGCTGTCGATGCTCACAAGACGACCCTTGTACTCTGTTTGGCCCCATTTGAGACGGATAATGACTTCCTCGTTGACCCTATGACAGTCGCAAGTCAGTAAGATTTTGCGCAGAGGACCATGGTAGTCGTGAAAAAGGTGTGCGGGGGACGAGGGACATACAGATTTTGCAGCATCGGCCGCGGGTTGATGGGCATAAACTAAAGCGCGTTAGTCCTTATTGCTTTCTGAGAAGTGGTAAATAGAGTATCTTACAGCACTCATGGTAGCAGTTGCTTTGTGTGGAGGAGTCTATTGAGGCGGTGGATTCTTGAGCTCTCTGCGGAGGTCTGAGATTTGTTCGCTAGCGCGGTTCAGCCTACCACAAGGCTGCAGGGGGTTTGAAGCAAGGCTGAACATGCTTCACTTCCTATATCGCGGACTTTCAGTGGGCTTTTAGGTACCGGGTTTTGGTGACAAACACCAAGTAAAACAGTAGATTGATCCAGTCCCGCAATAGTCAATTGTCGGTTTTTTCAGCCTCGTCCAATGGAAGAAACTCAAAGCTCCATTTGAGATCAACTCATCATACTCTTAACACAAGGTGAAATCTCGTGATAATCATTCAAGAAGCTAAGAGAAAATCTCCGTCCCTCAGTTACGCCTAATTTCCCATTTCAATTCCTTGATGCTGACTTCCTCTCCCGCTTTCTCATCATAGTCAAACCATTCCCCCTCGGTGAGATCAATAGCTACGAATTTACTGCCCGACTCAATACCAGTCGCAAGCCACTCTCCCTGGAATTTGTCAGTTGCCTTAATCTTCTTCGGCGGTAAATATCTTACTTCGGGCTTGAATTCAGTGAACTCCATTCCTCGACAATCAAACTCAAGGATCTTCTGACGAGTTGGCGGAGATGCTTGTTTATATGGGATTGGAGGGGCCTTTATGGTAGCAGACGACTCTCTCTAGAATACAGTGAGCATATAATACTTAAAGCTACGGCTCTGGTGGTCGCCCTACCTTACAAGATTTGCATTTCCATACAAAATTGGCTTCTCCACGACTGCCGCTCATATCGTTCGCCTCCTAGATGAACCGTTAGCCTGAGAGTCCTCTCATCCTGAGAAATAACCACGCCACTGACAAACCGGCTAACGTTGACATAGTTTGGATGGACTTCTCTGCAGGAGCCGCACTGGACTTTGAAAGTGTACCAGAAGTTGTTCTCAGGCGTGTCATCCGGCCTGAGATCAGTCACCCTTCTCCTGTTAGCTTAGTTCGAAGACTCTCATAGATATCGCTAACCCGGTCAAGTCAGCAGTGAGAGTGAGGGTCAACATTATGAAGGTGGAGAAGGCGTTGAGATGTGATGTTGTGCTTCGCGGGGTTGAAGAGATGAGAGGGATGCGGACGTTAAAGCGGCAGGCTAAATAATGCTTCCAGTCCGAACGAGCGAGACTTTCACCCCTCGACCACAATCCTACGAATACGCCAGAACATACCGCAGTAACTTCAAGAATAAGCCAATTCGAGTCCCACAGTATTCTCAAAACCAACCATGCTACGATAATGCAAGTCCTCTGGTCTCGCGCGCAGGCCAGAGCGGCATGTCGCTGCGGGTCTTGTCTTCACGCAGCCATAGCTCGACGCACCACAACCGCAGCTGGCAGACGTCGATTGAAAGTTTCCGATCTATTCATAGCATGTTATTCTACAATACTGGCAACTGCCGCCTTCGCAGATGCTAAGGTCAAGGAGGACAGAAGGAAAGAGTGGGATCGCGTGATTGAAGAAGCCAAAGCCGGGATCCCGCCAAACGAGCCGGAATACGTCGAAGGAACGCAGTCACAGCCAATAACAGACTCTCTGGGACCGACCAAATCGTCCGACGGCAAGCCAAATGCTCAAAACAGTCTGTCAAAGCCAACATGGGGCCGAAATGGTTGGACGGCCCCTCCTCGGATCCAGGAGACAGCTCTGGAAAGCAAATTGAGGATTCTGAATTCAAAACTCAAGGAGGTTTCTATATCACCAGAATCTGTGGCTGAACAGGAGGCTGTTAAAATAACATCGCCAGATATCGATATCGACAATCAATGGGTCGAGGAGGACTGGGACCGAGAGCTGCAACCCAGAGAACCAAGAAGGCAGTTGCACCTGAGGAAAATGGAAGAGATGATTGCAAAACTTGTTGATCGACTATTGCGCCAAACCAGCATATATTCGGTTGAGAGCTCTGCAGCACCTGGGCCAAACGACATCCGAGAGCAGATGAATGAGATGGCTCAACGAATAGGGATGCTGAGAACGGGGTTTACTCGATTGCCAACTTATTCTTGGGACGATATGGAATCGGTCCAAGAGCAACGCTCCGCGCTGCATCGGTCATTGACCGCACTTTGTTACCGAACCGACCCAAGCAAGCCAAGCATAGATCTCATGCTCGCAAAAGTCTGCTACAATTTGCTAATCTCCACGGCACCGCCGAGTATCTTTACTTACAATACATTGTTACGGGAGTTCAATCGACTACGCCAACCCAATCTGACCGAGATTGTCATCGACTCATACTTTTACGAGAGTAAACTTAAACTTACTAGGACCACTGGTCGCCTCATTCTGGACCATTATCGCATCAAGAAGGATCCTCATGGGTTCAGTGCCGTTTCAAAGCGAATGGGGGGCCACGACAAAAGCATGCATATCAAGAGACGGCATGTTGATGTTCTTTGGATGCATAAGGTAAAAGAGTGGGCCATGACGAACAGGGTCATTCACCGAGAGGCTTTCTTATATCAAAAAATGCCCCGGGAAGCTGCTATTTTCGACTCGCTCATTTGTGGCTCTTTAGAAATGAAGAGAGTTAGATGTGCAATTCGTTATGTCCGCGCCGCGTTCCGAGATGGATGGGAGGTCACATCAGAGACCCTCTGCAAGGTCATCAAGAGTTGTCTTGCTGAGTTCGACCGTCTGGCTGGGATCTCCTTGCTTCGAGCAATCTTGGGGTGGGCCATGAATTACGATATTCCTACAACTTTCTACTCGAAAATGGTGCGGTCCCACGTGTATAGACTCCTAAGTCTCTGTGGGATTAGCCCGTCTCTGGGGTCAAAGCAAGGATTGCCGTTGAGACTACCAGGAGATTTGCTAGAGCAGATGCTTCTCCGCATGAACGTCGAGTCCGTTACAGATTCTGTGGAACGATTTGGCGAGCGGATCTTGTTTTTAGAACACCTGTGTTGCACCAATAGATCTGAGACTTCAACAGGGCTTGATTCGGCCAGCCAAGCTCTCGAATTTCTGAAAAGGGCGGACAATTGGGATAGGATACGTGCAAGGAGGCAGCACCAAGGCGCCCTTGAGGGACGTTGGACTAGAATCCGGGCTCTGGAATCTATGTTGGGCATGCATTGGAATAAAATCAACGCGAGACAAGTCGAATTGCTGCCCCTTGCTTTTGCAAGACTTACCACCGAACAGAAGAATCAATACCTTGAGTGGATCAGACTGGTGGAGCAGAGAGGCGAGGCCGTAGAGACATCGGAAAGGATAGAGTTTCTCTCGCATTTGGTGCGGATGCAAAATCAGGGCCGAATCCCCAGAGTCAAAGCTGCTCCACCGTCTGTTCTGAGATCAGGATGGAAGAAACGTCTGCTAACAAAGGATGCTATTGAGCCACAACAACCCTCACCCTTGGTTTCCATCTTTCCTGTCAGCACGCCCGTACACCCAGCCGCCACGGCGTGATGAATGAGGCTGCCATTATTTGTAAGGACGATCTTGTGTATAGAGCCTAAAGCAGGAATTCTCAGGCGTTGGAAATGCCATGTATTTAGAGGTTTGTGATGCATCACGGCGTTGGGGTATTTGGAGTTCGGAGATGGCATTCGCATGGAAGGGCGCTGCATAGGCAATCCCACTTGGGGAGAGGATTGTACTGAGAGAAGTTGATTTACTTGTATGGCATAATAGAAACCCATCCTATTACAGATAATCGACGTGTGGTTTTGGTACTCTCCATTCTGTCCAGGTTCAAGTTGGCCATAATTTCTCCAATTCCACGGAGTTCGAGATGATGCACGAGAAGTTCAGATCTATTGATATTCATTTCTGATTCAGTACCAGATACTACGGGTCCTGTGATGAGGTATCTCTTCCTGCCCCTCCACTTCCCGTTCCTTCATCGTATCATACAGAAAGAAGTCAATTAGGATGGCATTAACCTTTGCATCCGGATGGTTTCTGAGGATCTCACGTCTGAGTAATTCGACACACCATATTGCACAGCCTTGAAAACCAACGTCAGCAAGAACTTCTCACATGATGGTGGAAACCGTAGGGCAAACCTCTCAACTGAATCTCCCAGCTACACCCAGTTTCGATCAATTTCTTATGACGAATGGCATTGTCAAGTAGTGGGCTGTACCACAGGCAACCCAGGGTGTTCAACATCTGGGGAACGCGATAGTCGGCAAACATAGTGATCTTTTCAATGTCATCAAAGTGACCAAAGCCTTCGCCATCAAAAGCAGCCCAAACATCTGCTACGCAAATTTGTGCCCGCTTGAGAAACCGAACACTTTTTCGGTTCTCGAAAGGTACGACATCATTGAAGCAGGGGAAATTATTAGCGAGAATGTTGACCAAGGCCGCAGAGGAATGGTTGGCTTCTGCTATGCAGTTCGTGAAGCTGCATTGGTACTTCTGTACCCAAGCATCAGTGATCGGAACCGAAGGCGGCAAACGAGGTTGGTCACACCTCGTACAAGATCTGGCCTGCTTCTCTCAAGCAAGCCATCCTCTCCTGAAATAATGGGATCTCTTCCTCAGTTGAGCTCCTGAAGACATGCTTGAGGACCTCTTCCGTACACTCATCCTCATTTTGCCAGAAATCTGAAGACGTAATTGGTATATCTGGAGTCAAACGCCAGCATAAGCTTCTGCTCCGAGATCAGCAGGTTGTATTGAACTGACCCTCGTCAAGTGCCCTCTGCAATGAAGCAACTAAACTCCAGTAGCCTGTCCACTTCTTCCCTTTATACTCCACTGCAAAACGTTCTTCATCATTCTTCTCTGACCAGAAGGAGAAGTTCAAGAGATCCATAGTAAAAATAAACGCCACAGTACTTTCGTCCTTGGCCTTGGGGTGCAGCTCATGCTCCGCCCAGGTCTTCGTCGAATACTCTTTCTTCTGCATCTGGTCATAGATCATGGCTGCGGCAGCTTTGGTAGACCGATAGTCCAAGGCCACATCGATGGCGTTGTCGTAGACATATTCGGCTCCTTCAAGGACATGAGTTTCAGGAATCTTGGGTGCCAGAGAAGCTTTCTGAAAGTGTTGACGGAGGAAATCCAGAAGTCCTGGATCCGCCTCGTCGTCAGACATGATGGTAAACTAACAAATTCGGTATCAAGCGCTCAGGGGATTGTGAAACATCTGTCTCGGTGAGAATTTCAAGGTTGGGTCGACGGCCGGTTGCCTTTCGAAGCCGCTGGGTCTCTCAGGTCTCGTTCATGGTCGATAGTCAGTCCCGACAGAGCCAACGAGGGGCCAACATTTGAGTTCAGATCGCGAAATGAGAATTAAAAAGTCAGAGGAGAAACTCTATTATAAGGCGGTCCGTGCAAGAGCACTCTGATCTTCTCCCGATCCGACGATAAGGAGGCTACCTCGCTTACCGTAGAATTCTCGTCTTCTCGTCCAGTCGCGTCAACTTTTAGCCTCGTCAGGAACGCCTTGCTCCGTTTGTTGCTTCGGCGCAAACAATTCATCAACTTTACAGCCAGCAACTATTCCTGTACTTGCGATCTGACGATTAATGGATCTGGCGCGCCGCCCACTTTCGAATCCGATGGCTCCAAGCAAGTACCGCGACGGCTTCAACGCCCAATCTCTGGGTGTGGATCTCAACCGCAAGGTGAAAGAGGTAAGGAAGTTGCACCCAACCCGATCCTTGACCATCCTTCCCAAGCAGGCTTCACCTTGGAGCACTTGTAAAGTATACCAATCAGGTCAGCTCTTTGCTCCAGAGCTTCTGCCGTCTCTCTCAAGGCTTATGTTATGGGCCCTTCGGAATGGCGTTCTTGCTCGACTGTTGCGCCTCATGAACTTCACTTTCAAAGCTAACGCCATTGCTAGGCACGAGTTCTGATGGTTGGCGCAGGAGGGATTGGATGTGAACTACTGAAGAACCTCGTTCTCGCTGGCTTCGGCGAAGTCCACATCGTTGATCTCGACACAATCGACCTCAGCAACCTAAACCGACAGTTCCTCTTCCGACATGAGCATATTAAGAAGTCGAAGGCTTTGGTGGGTCACGCAGGCGCAAGAGATTGTATTCAGCACTGACATCTTGGGGATAGGTGGCTAAGGAGGCGGCACATAAGTTCAACCCAAACGTGAAGCTCGAAGCTCACCATGCCAACATCAAGGATCCCCAGTTCAATGTAGACTGGTTCAAGCACTTTACAATGGTGTTCAACGCGCTGGATAACCTGGATGCCCGACGACATGTTAACAAGATGTGTCTAGCTGCAGATGTCCCTCTGGTCGAGAGTGGCACCACCGGCTTCAATGGACAAGTGCAAGTCATCAAGAAAGGCATCACAGCATGTTATGACTGCACGCCGAAGGAGGTACCGAAGAGTTACCCCGTCTGTACTATCAGAAGCACACCAAGCCAACCAATTCATTGCATCGTTTGGGCGAAGAGCTATTTGCTGAGGTGGGTCCATACCGATTGCTGTGCTCTTGAGAGATAGCCAATACTGAAAATCTGAAAGTGAGATATTTGGAGCCAGCGAGGATGAATCACCTGAGATGGATCACTCGGAGGATAGTGAAAATGGTATGTGAGCCTCGTGGCCGTTCAAAGGCGGCGATGCTGACTTTTTGATAGCGAAGGAAATCGAAAAGCTACGGCAGGAGTCACAAGCATTGAAGAAGATTAGAGAGAGTATGGGCACCGAACCTTTTCCGCAGTTGCTTTTCGACAAGGTCTACAAGGATGATGTCGTTCGGCTGCGATCAATGGAGGAAATGTGGAAGACCCGCCGCCCTCCGGAGCCACTTGAATACAGTTCGACAGCAGAGGCAGCCAGTCGAGAGGATGTTGAGAAGACGCTGAAAGATGGGCAGAGAGTATGGGATCTCCAAGAGAATATCACAGTTTTCAGGGATAGGTACACCTGGCCTGGTCCAATACTTTACCAGAGCTCACTAACAATTTGCAGCCTGGAACGATTGAGTAAGAGAACGGCTAAGATGAAAGCATCATCAAAAGGAGACTCCGCAGATCCTACGATCACATTCGACAAGGACGACGAGGATACCTTGGACTTCGTCACGGCGGGTGCAAATCTGCGATCAATTGTTTTCGGAATTGAGACTAAGTCCAGGTTCGACATTAAACAAATGGCAGGAAACATAATTCCAGCAATTGCGACAACCAATGCTATTGTTGCTGGCCTTTGTGTTCTCCAAGCTTACAAAGTTCTCCGAGGAGAATTCACAAGTACCAAAGAAGTACGCAACTTCCTCGAATTCAAGCAAAGCCATTCTAACCTCACTCCAGGTCTTCCTGTCCCCATTTGCACCTGAGCGGCTCCTGGCCTCGGGTCGGCCCCGTGATCCAAATCCCGATTGCCCGGTGTGCAGTGTAGCACAAACACGAGTCCTTGTCGATATGTCACGAGCCACTCTGAAAGATCTAGTTGAAGATTTCTTGCAACTGGAATTAGGATATGGAGAGGAGTTGGTGGTCAACCACGGAGATAATCTTCTTTATGACCAGGATGAAACAGAAAACCTGGCCAGAAAACTCAGTGAACTTGGTATATTGACATGTCAATCAAAAGTCACCCGGCTAACTGGATCATTTAGGCATCAAGGGCGACAGCTTTTTGACCATCGTCGATGAGGAGGATGAAAACCCTCGAGTAAACCTCGTACTGAATGTACAGGAGAAGTATGTCGTATTCTGTGCGTCATGATTGAGAAGACTAACACGAGCCAGGACTGCGTTGGATGGCAAGCCCATAAAGAGTCTCGATATCCCTGCAAAGCAGGCGAGCGATGACAATTCAACTCCTCCCTCACCAATCCCAAGGAGAAAGAAATCGGTGCCGCAATCCAATGGCCATACCAATGGTAACGGCACATCTGCATCCTTGGCTGTTCTCGAGAACGGTTCCGGCAAAAAGAGAGCTGCCGCTGAGGCCTTTGACGGCGATACTCCCAGCTCGAAGCGATCTAAGATCGTCTCCAATGATGTTGACGACGGAGTGATTGTCTTGGATGACACCGACGGTGCAATACTCATTGACGATGACTGAGCTCTCACAATCCATCTCACCATAGCTCATTCGCAATGTCCGGAATGGGATCATAAGATCATGTGGCGCTCAAACCGCCATCAAGATTAAGCACACAATTATTCGCATATTGATTCGTGGCCAGAAAAACGGCGGCGTCGGCAATTTCAGCAGCTTGTCCAAACCGCTTTAAGGGAATGGAGTTCAGGGCTTGAGATCTTGCTTCAGGCGTCATGGCTACACCTTGTACATTAGAACAAATCTGGGTGTAAAGGGCGGGAGATTGGATCAAGATTCAACACCAATAGGATGCTACTGAATGTAATTGCCAAAAATTACGTACCTTCAGTCATATCTGTCTCAATGTAGCCAGGCACAAGGACATTGACCCTAACGTTTTTATCTCCAAGTTCGGATGCCAGAGCTCGAGTCAAGCCTGGAGGTGGTTAGAATTACATCTAAAATTCGCCCAGGAACTTACCAATGACTCCAGCTTTACTTGCAGCATACGCAGCACTTCCCTTACCACCTTTCAGGCCGAGCAATGAGGCAACATTGATGATACAGCCTTCTCTTTAAGTTAACACCGGTCAACAGAAAAGTGAAGAATAATTGAAGCTCACCTCCTTTCATGGCCATCATATTTTTCCCTACCGTCCTACATACCATCATGGTGCCCATAAGATTCGTTGTGACCACCTCGTCCAAAAGACTCGTACTCGTGACGAAAAGAGGAGAGTAATGAGTGACTCCAGCGGCATTGACAAGGATATCAACTTGTCTCTGGCTTCATTAGCTCCTTATCCAGAACAGCCATTATTATCCTGTAACCCCCCAATCAATCACTTTCTAAACTAAGCCAAGAAAGTTAAGTAGGAAAGCTCACCTCCTTCTTCAGCTCCCCCCAGACTCCATCCCCAACATCACCCACCAAAATTCTATGCTCCTGCCCGTCCGTCTCTTCCATTCCGTCTTTCACCTTCCATAATGACGACTTATTCCTGCCAATTAAAAGGCATTTTGCACCTTCTCTTGCAAAACGCCTTGCGATTTCGGCGCCTATGCCTCGGGATGCTCCTGTGATGATACAGTTTTTCCCTGCGAGTTGGCGAGGGGGGTTGGCAACGTTTTGGAGACTTGAGGATTTTTGGAAAGTTCGTTTTAGGGCATGAACGGTTGGGATAAACTTAGATTGAATGCTGGGACGGAGGAAATGCATTTCGGGATATGGAGAGGAGGTGAGGATGAGAAAATAGGTCTCGTGATTTCCATCTATAAAGCCCTGATGTTTGTCCAATTTGCTTCAGGGGTCACGTGAAACACAAGATTAAGGTTCCACCTCAGTTCGCCGAGTTCAAGATTTCACCTCGTCTTTGACATGTCCTTTCTAGACTGATATAAGAAATTCCGGTACAAAGATCTGCAGTTGTAGACATATGTCTGAACACACCTGAAGTATTAGTGCATGCATCATCTACTTGATCATACGCTTCAATGATTTCAACATGTGTGGTGAGGGGCTCGTAGTGGACCGAAAAAGCGGCACTGACATTCAATGTCCCAAGTCAAAGCATCCATTGGACTCCTGAGGGGCAGGAACTAACATTGCTAGAATCTCCCGATATATCGGAATGGACCAGACTTTGAATATACAATATCGCATGTGTTCATTTGAAGAGGAAGTAACCAACCTTATTTGCGATGTCCAGCTTGACTTTGGGACTTTGGAAATGGGTATCGCTTTTTTGTCCAGAGTGAGATGGGTTCCATATTGACTTCCAAGTGAGGCTGAGAGGTCTAGACCGTATCCCGACCGAACGTCGCAACCAGAAATGACCTCCCACGCGGATTAGGCTGCGACTGCCACAATATCGAAACTCCAAGATGACGAAAACATGAATCCTTTGTCAACCACATCGACATGTTTTGCCCTAGTCTCAACCATCACCAAAACATCTATCGTGGTGGGAGGATTCGTGAAGGACGTACGGGCGACAAGGAGCGACCTCGACGGAGTCTCTAGTGAACTGGGCTCCTTGAAGACCGTTCTCGAGTTGTTCGCAGACGATATCAATGAATCGAGGAATGTGTCTTTTCGGCAGACTCTGCAGAAGCAAATCGCTGGCATAGTAACAAATTGTAGCGGGGTTGTGGCCGGTATTAAAGAGACGCTCAAGAAACACGAAGGCGGCAAGGTGGCCAAGGCGGCTCAATGGGATGCCTTTGAAAAGGGCTATATAGTGAAACTAAGATCTACAACTAGTCTAGAGGCTCACAAATATGCTCTCGAAATAGCTCTGGACCCGGTTTCCTTGTATGTAACGTACGTCAATTTTGAGATGACAACTAACATTGGGCAAGACCATAGCCAGAGAGATCAAAGCCGATACGCAAGAAATACTCGGGGACACTACCAAAATTAAGGGGAATACGGAGCTAATTCTAGCTGAGATTGCTCGTTTCCAGCAGCAATTACTCCGCGACGTCGAGCGTCACCATACATCAGGATGCATGTTGGAGAGATATCTGGACAATCTTACAAGCTACGCTGAGACCGTCTATGATACCATTTCGACTAGTGTTGACGCTCCTGAGGGTAGTGAAAATGGATCAATTAAGCAACAGGAAGGCACCAGCTCAATATATCACACGGGAAGCAGCGGTGGTAAATACGACGACGACATTGAGCGTCCTCGTAAATTTCGATTAAGAGAGTCAGAAGGGCTCGATATTCATTATGGTAAATCGCAGCCACCCCAAAAGGGCAGATCCAACCTCTCAGTTAGGACCAACTGGGTGAAAATAATAGCCATTCTATCACGACCCGGGGCTGGTGTTCTCAAAAGAAAACAGCTTTGTTGGGTGTGTGTATGTACGTCTAAAGAGGGAAGAAGAAGGAGCGGGGAGCTCGAGAACTAAGATACAGGGTGTCGCGCTAAGCTAAGTCACGTGTGACATAACACATTCCTAGGCAACCCATACCCCCAGAGAAAGCAGCATCTGCGCATGCTTGATCTTCTCAGCAAGCGGAGCAAGAGCCATCGGATCAACATGCTGAAGTCCCTAATAGAATTAAGATATCTGCATTGCACCTTGTTCTTTTACGCCAATACCGAGAGAGAGGTATACTGCATGTCATCCGCCTCCAATTTCGTATTATGCAAGAGAACAAAGGTACAAAGGTGGTCGTTTATATGAATTGGATGACCCTAGGGAGCCGTATGTTTTTAACCAACCAGATTCTGATGATTCTGGTCAAATCGAGGATGTCGTCCATGTGGCAAGAGTCTTACCTGTGCCTAACTGTTGTGTCACACGTAACTTAGCTTAGCGCGACACCCTGTATCTTAGTTCTCGAGCTCCCCGCTCCTTCTTCTTCCCTCTTTAGACGTACATACACACACCCAATACAGCTGTTTTCCTTGAGGACACCAGCCACGGGTCGTGATACACTGATATTCGGGGTGGTTTCATTTGTCGACACGTACCAACTATCTACTTAAAGAAGGTTGTTGATCTCCCTCTAAGCGGTTCTGTTAAGCAGAGACCGGGCCATCGGCGCAGAATTACTCCCGGGGGCCTTAATCCTAGCAAAAGCCCAGATAGGACCCGCGAAGGCTCGATAGGCTCCGTGGTGTCTCTCAGATCATACAACGATTTCAGTACCGAAGTTAAGCTAGGGGTAGCTTCACTAATTCCGACGCCTCGAACGATAGTATGGGAGGCTACCGTAATGGCAGTCATATTCGAAGCGGGCCTGGTGGAAGCATGATCCTCAAATTTGAGATTTTAAGTGTCAAAGTTCCATTGCTTTCGCTTCATGGCATTCAGTTCAAAAGAGTCGCAGGAAAGGCTTGGCAATACAAAGATATGGCTGATCAGATTCTGAGAGAGCTCAGGCTTCGAGCTTCGGAAATGGCTCTTGCTGCCATTCAATAAAGCCGGTACTAGATGAAATACAGCCGTTTGTTCTGTGGGGGCTGTTTTGATACAAGACATCGAGGTCAAACTCCCTCCAATCCAATATGTCCAATCACTACCTCGGATATATCTGTCAGCAAAGTAATGACTTGACAGCCGCCTGACTAGGAAGCGCAAAGAAAGGCAGTGAGCCCAGTATATTCAGGAGAGCAATCTCATCACTTGCCCCTAATCGGGCAGAGTAGGTGGCAGAGGTGCGTCGCAAGAAGAGACAACTTCAGGCAGATGATGCGAGCACTGCAAAAGGTCTCGATTTCAAAGTACTGCAAGATACAGGAAAAGGCTCATATTCAATTATATCTTGAAAGTGCTTGCATGGCTCGGCCGGAAAGGTACTCAACCATCACAATCTCCATGTACCAGAAAAGATGGTTAGAACGGTGCGATGAGTAACAAACTGTTGCGCTTCAGAGGAAGAGTGAATATGTTGTATATTCGTGGAGGTAAGTGATGCAAGTGCAGAATGCGCTCTCTGAGGAGCATAAATTGGGGGCTCCAGAGGAGCTTATATAGGGGTGAAACATGCCCAGGAGCTAAGCCCCTGAACACGTGACATAGACACGCAGAAGGCACTTAGGGGGGGCCAGTGCCATGCAACAGTAAGTATGAAAGGATGAAGTATCTGTAAAGGTGAGCCGAAGATAATTAATGTAAGCAAAGCTGCGATGTGCAACGAAAATCCTAAGAGAGGGATAAAGTATTCACTTGAAAGCACGCTGGTTCAATAACGAACAAAGTAAAAGGCGAGCAGTGACAGGGAGATTGTGATGTTGCAATAAAGATCCTGACAGGGCGATTCACTTGAAGGCAACGACCATAAATAGAGGTGAGAGAATTTCATACATCTCAACATTTTCAACATACCAGGGAACTTTGGAACATTGGCACCGTCAGCAAAAGTTCTTTCTTGTCACCCCATGATAGACCGTGAACAAAAGCCTTCCGATTTTATATATCCTCTGTGATACTTATCGCCTTTCTCATTGAAATTTCTTGCCGCTGGATGGACAAACTTAATGGCCAGACAAATCCCATTCAACAAAGCGAGCCCCTTATCTTGCGAGAAGTTAATTTTTTTGCTCTTTCTCGACATTTGAAGGCGCGAGGGAGGAAGAGAGAGAAGTGTGTAGATACCTATCTAGTCATCTGCTCCCAAACGCCACATTAACCCCCTGCGGCATCTCCAACGCCACCAATACAATGAACTCCACCCATGTATAAAATTACACCACCTTCTTCGCTGATTTGGAAGCTGCGATATAGGCTTGAAGCTGCGCTGCCTTGGCAGCCGCGGCAGCAGTCATCGCATGATCATGTCTCTGTCTTTGCAATTCTGCTCTCCTCTCTTCCAAGGCCTCTGCCCTTTCCTCCTTCAGCCTTCTGCTCCTCTCTCCACGTTCCCGATTCACGACACCTAAATCCTCGTCTCTCCAGTTCCGTCCCTTTCTCCCATCTTCACCCCACATACTCAGTCGCTGCACTTTCCGTAATTTTACGAGTCCGTAGCTACAGACAATGGCGGAGAAAACGATGCTCCAGCCCGTGACACCCCAGAACCCGAAGTCGGATTCTTCGATGAAATTTTTAAGATTCATGCCGTAGAGCGCGGCGATGAACGCTCCCGAGCCGATCCCTAGGGTTCCGATAGAGAACTTGAGGTCGAGGAGCATGAGAGAGTTGCGATTAGCGTCTAAGATCGCTTTCACGCTGTGATCCTATCAGCAAACAAATCGGTTGAAAGGCAGGCAGGAACTGACATTTCTTCGGTATTACGGATGTTGGACACCAAATTCCCAGATTCTTGCACAATTTCATCACAGAGTTTATGGTAAGACTCTAGCAACATTTCAACTTCTGTGTGATCATCCTCTCCGCGCATCAGATCGTGACTTTTCTCGGTCAAGTACATAGCTGCTAGATCATCGTCTGCTTCAAGCAATTCGTCGATGGCGTCTCTGACAAGCTTTGCTTTCTGCTCAAATGTTCCGAGTTTCTTGGAGTAAATGAGGAGAGCTCTGAGCTTGTCTCGATCGATGTCTTCTTCTAGTTCTCTTAAAACTCGAACGACTGGTTTCCTAACCCCTTCAAACTCCTTCTCGAGACTTGTTATTACCGAGACAAGCACTGCTTCCAAAGCTCGGAATTCATATGGCAGTCCTCCAGCAGCAGGAGAGTTTTGCTTCTGGCGGAGCTTATCTTCCAAATCGTATATGAACGCCGACTGATTATACGAATCTACTGTGCCATAGGCGTCAAATACCAGCACTCGATTAGACTTAATGAGAACTCGGAGGTGGAGTAGATTGATGAGGATTGCTGAGGGCCGAACGAGGATGTGGGGGAGGAGACTCGAGTCAATCTTTCGTAAATCTCGTGGTAGGAGTCCATACTATAAACAAATGTTAGTACTCTAACAGAGACACGCTTCTGCATGGGCTCATATACTTTTGCAATCAGTTCGCTCTTCTTGAATTCCCCACTGGCAAGAACCACATTCCCAATCTCATCCAATTCCGTACAGCGAAGCTTGGGCTGCGCTGCCGCCTTTGCAGATATGTGCCGCCCAAGGCTGAACATATAAGTATCACTCCCTTCTTCTGATCCGAATAATGTTGACGGCAAATCATCTGGACGCAGAGGCTTTCCACCTTTCGCGGACGTGACTCCCCAGAGTTTCTGATGCCATTTTTTTGATCCTGACGATGACGAACGTTGTGTAATCAAAGTTCTTCCACATTCAAACTTCCTCCTCCGAGCTAATCCGCGAGAGTGGGCCGATTGGGTGTTTATAGTCGATGCGGCTGAGTGTGGCCATAATAATTCGACATTGAGAAAATTCGCCTCATGTGTTGCCTTTCGCAGAGCGGTCGTCGAGAGACATCTCGCAGATGATTTCGAAGGAGATTTAACTAGGCCTGGTCGTCCTGGAATACCTCGAGGTGCTGCATGATCAAATATAAAGCCCGGCCGAGGATTTGGACTGAAGAAGCAAATGCTCTCTGACTGCGACTTGAGGAACCTGAGCAAAGTTGATGATGGCACAGGAGCTTGAAAAGCGGACCGCATAGCAACTAAAGAAGCTATTGCGATCGATAGCTGGTTCTTGCTACTCTTCAGGGACGGTGGAGTTGCCCATGAGCTGAGGTGTTTTTGAAGCTTGGACGCCAGAATTTTGAGATGAAAGAGTGTCACATGACTTGGGCCATAATTGGAGTCTTCAAATACAATTCATTTGTGCCCTTGAATTTGTACAAAGGTATCCATCAAAATATATTTACCAAAACTTGCAAAGCGTTTGGGATTGTTTTATCTCCTTCACAAAATCAAGCTTGGTTTGGTTACCCTCATACAAAAATTCGTCTTCCATGTCGGAGAGTTCCCGCTGCACTTTTCTCAAGTCCTTCAACTTGGTCGAGAGATAGGAGAAATTTCCTATTCTCAAGATTTGGTTGACAGTTGCAATCTTATCGCCCCCCGCGTTGCGAAAAGTCCAGAGCAATGTTTCAACATCAAGTTTTTCCACCAAGCCGTACCACTGCAAAAGATGGATGGCTTTTGTATTTCCTGTAGTAATTGCAGTTTTGAGACCTTCGAGTGCCACCTTAGACGAGGTCAGTGTGAGAACATAATTTCATAGAAGAAATTTACTTACTTCTCCGCTTGTGGAATTCAGCCAGTCTATCCTTGCACCTGACTTGACGGCCCAGAATAGTAGCTTGATATTATTTTCCGTCCATGGACCAAGTAAAAGACTTGAAGGAATTTCCGTATCCTGGTGTACATCTTTATTGACGCTCCAGCTGCAAGACTCCCAGATATAACCTCCATCCCGTTCTCGCATAAATTCAGAGAAGCTCGCAAAATCGTTGTTGAAATATTCGACAGCAGTCATTTCTGCTGAGGTGTTATCTCTTTCATCATCATCATCATTACCATCACCATCAGAAGATGAATTTTGTGTTTTAAAAAAATCTGAAATTTGTTAGAGTCAAGGGTCTTACGAAAGAGTACTTAATGGATAACATACATTCGGGCTTGGAGAACCTGTCCTGCCCATTCTTCTGAACCCATGTGTCTTTGGCTCCCAGTAAACGAGACAGGGTTGCCCAACGAAGACCCAAAATAGCGGATTGAAGTCTTGGGTCGCCTTCAGAGGTGTCATTAATCTTGGCCGGCTCCTTTCCATTGCGCCCCAGAAAACGCTTGCGTCGTCCGTGCCACCTGTCCCATGTAGGGCCAAAGGCAGAGATAATCGTGTGTAAATAAACAGTCTCACTGCTGAGCTTTCCAGCGATCACAGGGCTAGCTCTTGGCAGCTCCAGATTCATACAATACAGGAAAACTTTCTCCAATAGTTCGGTGGGGAGCTTCTCAAGGAAGGACATTTTTCGTTTAGATTTGATATTCTGTAGGGTTCGTTTCTTCGACTTCTTGACAGCTGGAACAGAAGTAGATGGTTGTGAACCTGCATTGGATATCTGTAACTTGAGTGGTCTTCCACGAGGTTTTTTCTATTCAGAGTGTCAGTGGCTGTTGTGCAATCTTCATACCTAGGCAACCGACCAAGGCTTGTCTCTGTGCAATTGCCGCCTTGCAACTATCGCGTTTGTTCTTTCCTGGGATCTTGATTGGTGTCAGATCCATGTGAGCTGAAAGGTTGATGAAAGCTCATTGAATTTTCAAGAGATTTTAAAATATTTCCTGCACATTTATCAGCCCTGCGCTAAAAATTTCAGCCTTGCCTTGGCAGTTCCCGGCATTCTCCCTTCGAAATCGCCGAGGCACCAACCGGCTTCAAGCATCCGGATTGCTGAAAAACACCATCTCTCATCGGGATCTCTTCTTGTGAGCACCTCGTTCTACTATCCAAGGTCTGCCACATTGAAAAAAGGCACAGCCTGGCCCAGAGACAATGAGCATCTCTCGGAAATCATCATCAGCAAGTAGGTTTCGCTCTCACAGATATTCTCTAACCTTTGATGCAAAACTAACTTCTACCTTTTAATCAGCAGGCACATTTTTGGGAACTGCCTCCTCCTCCTCCTGCTCCAACAAAAGTGCCTCCGGCCCCGAATCACTCCTTTTGAGTTTGCCAGCTGAAATTCGAGAGGAAGTGTACAAGCATCTCTTCCATGAGGAACATAATCAGCCTTGCAACGTCGATCTCGTCGGGCTTGGAAACACGGGCTGCTGGTGTGCTGATGCACTCTCCCTCACTAACCGCCAGTTATACGATGAACTCAGACCGAGATTCTACCAAGGCGTAAGATTCGTCTTCAACAACCCTACTTGGGGCGAACGCTTCTTTCATAGATTTCGCCTTATGGCAGAGTGGGTGATCTCTTTGAAAGTCACATATTCGAACAATGTCATGCAATCACATTTACTTCGAGACATCTTTAACTATCTTTCGAACTCGAAGCTCCGCACCTTGGAATTAGAGGTCCTATCATATGATAGTGAGGTATGGCCAGATCCTCATATTCGACCTCGACCTCTCTATTTGCCATCATCGGCGAGCACAAAAGAATTCGCGGCAATCAAATACGACCTTCATTGGCGACCGTTGAAACACTCGTTGAATCGATTGGATTCTATAATGTCCTTGACTGTTGTTGGATTCCCCGACGGGGATACCGAAGAAGCCATTTTCAATTTGAGCATGGGAATGCAAGCCCGAGCGCACCGAGAAGGCAAAGGAATTAAGAAGACTGAAACGACGTGTTTGGGGAGCCGTGGTGTAGCCGAATGGCTTTACAAGATTGAAATTCTGCCTCTGAAGAAGGATGATCAGCCAGTCCCATGAGCTCCTTCCGTTTCTCAGTTTATCAGCAACGTGTGCCATTGTCAAATCTTCTGAGTCCTGCTAGGCGGACCTCAGGATATATAATGTAGAACATATTGAAGGATAGACACCCAGGTATATTTTCTGTCGGTAGATATTTTTGACAAACTCAATGGAGCAACGACTGCATCTCGGTGCAAGAACACCAATAAAAAGAATAAGTTTTGTCTTCAAGGATACAAGAAAATGTCGAAATTTCCGATCCGTAATTTCTGATCTACCAGAAGGATCGGGATTTTTTGCAAGTTTCCGTGAGAAAAGAAGTGCTTCAAATTTCCCTCGCTTTATGAAAGCATACTCGACTTCGAGCCAAGCGTCTCCTTTTGACAGATTCTAACAATCAAGCTTTGTGGCGCTCATACAGCTCGCGATAGGAATCTCTTTAGCGTCATCTTTTCCAATTGGTGGATCAGCCAAGTTTCGACAAATACCATGCTTCCTGTGTTTGCCATTCAGCCGCTTTCATCATCGAATTTGTTGATACGAGCTGGGCATAGATTTTTCAAACGAGCAGTCTCAAATTTTCTCGAATTGCCTTAATATTTTCCCCTGTTAAAGCATTTTAAAACTTCCATATCAAAAAGTCCCGTGCAATAGCCTCGAGTATCCTGGTAGCCGCATACGTCATGGTTTTCTCCCTCAGAATCTCAGAATCTCAGTTTCGGGGCAAACTCTGCGCCTGAAGCGACACAATTTTCGTTACGTTTCGGCGAAAGCACCTACACTCTCACGAGTCACTTGTTCCGGAGATAAGGCGTGCAACCACCAGAACTAGCGGAGATCAACGTTCAAACCATCACGGCCCACCCTTTTGGGAAGTATCCAGGGTATTTTAAACATGTGGCTGATGCAAGATAACCACTTCTCATTGGGTGAGATAAAATGTTGACCTCACCAGCCACATCTGGTGTGTGCACTCAGGCCGATCCTGTGGCGTTCCTGGATGAAAATGGCCGTCAACGCTCATCCTCGCCTATCCGGAACTGTCACTGCCTTGATTTTTTGCAATCTAGAACTCTCACCCCACCAACCACCTCATTTGTTTTACGCCCTGGCCCAAATGGGGATTTCACCACCTATGAAAGTGAAAGCTTAATGACATGGGGTGCTACGTCATTGAGGACCTGATGTACGGCAGATCCTGGTCAGTATTCTCGATTTTTGATATGACGCGCTCAAAGTTCGTGTCATGTCACCCGTAAAGCAGGTGAATATATATTTCTATTGCCTCTGATCTCCAAGCTTTTTTCCCTTCCTCTTCATACCACAAAATCACAACTCATCTTGAGTAATCAACCAACACAAACCTCTACGAAACATACAGTCAAGTCGCACAGCGCAACAACTTCACAATGGGTGCCGTCGTATCATGCGTAAGTTATCCCCGCCAAGCTTTAAGAAATCCAGTTGCTGACAAGACTTCAAACAGATTGAATCCATCTTCCGCACCATCGGTAACTGCCTGATGGCCATCGTCAATGGCATTGCCTCTGTACTGCAAGCAATCATCGGTGCCATCGCCAGTCTCTTCGACATCATCATCTCCTGCTTAACCTGCGGTCGGGGAGGCGGTCGTTGGAGAAATCGCGGAATGCACTCGCACCACACGACGAGCAGAGTCTAGTCTCTTCTTGCTTTCTCTGCCTCATTCGACAACTTCCTCCTTTCACAATCGACCGTCCCCAAAGCTTTCGACGATAATCGACTGTTATAAAGAGAGGTTTGGACACGATCATGTATGGTCGGGATATGGTGGAGTGAATGAGGCTGAATGGAGAGGGAGGAGACTTGAGGGGAGAAAGGGGACGGAATGGATGATACGTTAACGGTGGACTTTCTTTGCAATACCCGGCATTAGACCAATGAGCTTTTTCTCTTTCGATGATAGTAGAGCGAATGATAACGACTTGATGCGAAATATTTCCTCTATCAATCCAAGGTGACGTGAAATTGGTGGTTGTAACTGCTGCGGGATATAGCATTTTTCCATGTAGTTCCAAAGTGCGTGCTGTGTGACTTTCAAATAATGCACGCCTCTGTTCTATCATTAATTTGAATTGGCCTCGCAGTCGAGAGTGGATCATCTACCTGACACTTTATTGCACATCGCACTCAATGTGGGGTTTTCTGGTACATTGAAATTGTTTGCATCGCCTCGAAGGGTGGGTCAATCCGAGCTCCCGAGTTACAGCATATCACCTTCTTGTCCGAAGTCGATTTCGGAGATTGAGATGAATCTCTTTGTGTTTTCGTCTCAAGCAAACCGCTGATCTAATTTCATCTGGTGCATTGCTATCAGGCGAATCACTTCACCTTTTTCATACATTTTACTCCTCAAGCACGCTCTTATTAAAGAACCTATAAATCTGCCTCCCGGCCTCCTTCCCAACAGCCGGCTCCAATTCCTCCACACTCGCATTAGCGACATCCCTCAAACTCCCCATCTCCACCACTAAGTTCTTGATATTTTTACCCGTCACCCCTGGCACAATCCTCAGCATATCCTGTGGCTCCCTGTTGAAGCTCTGATCTTCAACTTTTTGACCGCCTTCTAGCCCGACTCGCACTGCGGTGATGGGATCTGGTTCTGGCTCTTGAGTTTTTAGTGACTCGAAGATCTCAGCTGTTTGGTAGGGGGATGAGGACCAGATGATTCGGAGACGTGGGAAAGCCAGGGTCAGGAGGACGAGCTTGGATTGTAGGTCTGAGGAGGCATTGGAGGAGGATACAGATGACAAGCTGCCTGAAAGATCTGCGAACGGCTCGAGTGTGAAAGACTTGTTCTGGTCGAATTCGATGAGCAGCATGGGTGATTTGTAGTGAAGGAGCATGGTTTCAGCTTGGTTATAGAGACGGCCGTCTTTGAAGGAGGAGATGAGATCTTTGATCGACTTGCGTTCGATGCAGATGTTGGGCGAGAGGATGTAGTCACCCACTGTGAGCATGCAAGGGACGATGACCATGTTGCGGCCGTGAAGGAGGGAGGGTAGCGATGAGCGGAATTCTCGGACGTCTACGACAACGCGAGGTGGTTGGGCTGTTGCTGCTAGACGGCCACCACCGGCGATTCTGGTGTTGATGGTGCGGAGGAAGGCTTCTTGGGGATCCTCGATCCCGTGAGCATCGAGTGTCATGACGACAGACATTGCTGATTTCTCCTTGATGAGCTTTGTGAAGGCATCCTTCTCTCGTCGAACAGATGAAAGATAGCGTTGCTCTTCAACAGAGCCTCCGTAATAGAGGAAATAAACTCGTACATTGCGGTCGTTGTGAGAGGAACGGTAGACCTCAACCCGCCTAACAAACGAAGTATCCGGTTCATACATGATAATGTATCTGGGCTTAACCTCCTCGAGAACATGTTCATCCATGTCTCCGTCGTAAGCATGGATTACAAGAAGATCTTGCATCTCGTAGAGCTGGTTATAATCTTCCATATCATCCAAGGGGTCTGCAAGGATTTCCTCCTTTTGAGCCGATTCTGCTTCTGTAGGTTGAATCTCGGACATCAGGGAAGCAACTTCGAGCGGTCTATCCTCTGATGCCAGAATACTGCCATTAGCAGCACGTGATGGACCCGAACCAGCGTTTCCACCTCCTCTTACTCGTCTTCGTTTGTTCGCCGGTGGTTTCCCTCTGTAGCTGGTGCTCGGTTGGTTCCTTGTATTGGCAGAGCCATTCAAGGCATTTTGATTCTCAGAAAACAGTGTTGCACTGATTTTGGCAAACTCTTTCTTCCATTTGAGATAGTCTCGAAGCTTTCGTCTCATCATAAATGCAGCCGACGGCTCGTTCTCTTCTCTTTCTTCGTCGTTATCATCCACCTGAGCAGTCTCGGGACGGACATGCATAGTTTGGAGATATTCTCGTAATTGTCGACATTGTGCTGTATCTGTACACATGACCAAGATGGTTCCATTTGAATCATCACGAACCACAGGATTGAAATATTGGTCTCGATCAATCTCGTCCAAAACTTCCGCCAGAATAGCCCACTTAGGTTGCTCCTCAAGGACTGGCCGGAGAGAATCTATATTATCCGCATCTCCCTGAGTCGGTTTGCCAGTATAGACTCTTCTTTTAGCAGTGTCGAATATGGTATGAGCTGCATCAAGGAATAGCCAAGGAGATTGATTTTGCCTTGTGGATCCAGACGGTGGGGAATGAGCGGCTAAGATGGTATCTAAATGCCGATTGAAAGAAATTGCATCATAAGTGAGTAAAGTATGTAGCATGCCTCGTAAGACAGTCAAGTCATTGACAATTTGCTTCGTTTTCCAGCTGACTCTGTGCCATACTGGATCAAGTTGTCTCCTGACCACCATATCGAATTGCTTGAAGAGGGCACTGTCGACATTCCAGTCTTCCATCTCCAAACCAGAGTTACTCTTTTTGAGTTCTCCAATGCTGACTTCCACACACTCCATAATAGCATTTTGAATGTCCCTCATAGAATCGGACATTGGGACTTCCAACTCGATGACTTCGGCCTTCTTCTTGCCCTCGAGGGCTTGAGCCACCACCACTTGGAACCGTGGCCAGAGTGACACATTTCTTAGAAACAAATTCCGCATCATGGTGGAGAGCGGGGCAAACCCGGTAGTGAAAGGCTCTGGGTTATCTGAGAATGCCTTCAGGAACCCCACCTTATTCCGCTGCCTGTAGATTCGAAGGATAAAGGCTTCTAGAGATGTAGCAACTACTCTGTCGGCATGCAAAACCACAAGTCCAGTGATAGTCTCTGGGTCCAGCAAACTGGTCAGAAGGTCAACCACAAGAATTCTTGATGTGATGCTGAATATGCCTCCTTGAGCATACATCTTCTCTCTTGTTCCAACACTCATGACATCTGTATTGACGACACTGAGGCCTCTGGCCTTGAGAGACATGCTGATGGCGGCATGTTCAGCCAGAGCTTCCCCGATCCACCCATTCTCACGCTCGTCTGTTCCAACCACCAGTATGAGATTGCTCCCGGCTGCATCGTAGGAGTGGAGGAGATTTGTCACAAGCCGGAGGAGGCCGAGGCCGCGAGCGAGAACGACAAGCTCATCTTTTTGTCTGAGCTCTTGAAAAAGTTCTTGCTGATATTTCTGGGTGTGTTAGTGTTGCGTCTAGTGGGGCCTTGGAGGCGGGTTACCAGAGGGAGCGACAGCTTCACCGGCTGCTGATCACCGTTCGCGGAAGACATCTAAGGCAATCATGTTCAAACCGATCTGGAGTAAAGAACGGTCTGAGAGGTTGACTATGTTTCTTTGATGAGTCGAGGGTCGAGTCTTGGAGACGCGTCAGAAATTTAGGCTTCGAGCTTCGAGAAGTGTGGAACGATTGGTCCGCCCCGCTCATGCGATTTCCCCAGAGTATACAACGTCATAGTTTGGGAGGGGCAACTTAATCGAATTCACTTCCTTAAAAAGAAGCAGGCTATCATTTCTTATTTCTTTTGATTCTCAAAATCTTCTGATCTTCTTCAATCTACCGACCCTTCAAGACTTCAAGACTTACGATACAAAATCAATCACAATGCCTGCTGGACCGGACGAGACAGACAACCACGCCCCTGGCGCTGCCACTGAACATGTTATGAAGAATTCCAGTTCCAAGACAGACTCGACCGCAAGCACTCATCCTCTCCATGACCAAGGCGAACCCAAGGGTGACAAGGTCGAATTCCGTTACCACCAAGCTCATCCAGGACCCGCCGTTCCCGACAACTTCAGTGCTCAGCAAGAGGGTACTAAGGAAGAACGTGAAGCTAGGGCTAAGGAGATGAACAAGTAATGCTTCTCCGGTATGCTTTCAGCGGTTGGGAGGTTTGGGAAGATCTTGGACCAGAAAGCTGACTTGACACCAGACAATCTAAAATCTGAGAACCGTGGAGAACGAAAGCCTCTGGGGTGGGCGTTAGGAAGCCAGGGAATGGGGGGAAGATCTGGAGGCCAGTAGCTAGGCAAGAATAATAAAGCACCAGCTCAGACTGGCTAATAAGCACATATAAAGTGTTCCCATGTTGGATTCCAGGCGTTGAAACACCGATTCTCTCGCTGTTTGTTGCTTCCGTGCTATTTTGAGTTCGGGAGTAAGAGCGACCATTAGAGTGTCAGTTCAGTGGCGTTGAGCAAAGGTAATGTTCGGTGACACAGAGTTGCACAGCGTCGAGTGCCTTCTGGGTGTAGTTATTAAACGCGCGTTGGGATTCGCATCGAGTCGCCTTCTGCTTCTCTTGACTTCTTGTGGCGGATGAGTGGCTGTGCAGCCTGTGCTCAGACCTGGACGCTTCTGAAGGTTACGTCGATTGCCAGGCACTCAGCAGAACTACAGCCCCGACGTTTGACCAAGTGAATGGAATCATTCTCGTGCGGCTGCCTGGAGTCCTCATTAGAAATTCCATCTCACAACATTCATTTCATCAATCTTACAACGGCAACGACATCGACATTCATTCGACGATCCAATGCGCCCAGGGAGCACTACGATCCGAGGCCAATCTCCCACACGACCACCTTTCATTTCGAAAACATCCCGAGAAACAAGACGGCGAGGCTTGCGGGGCGTCCTTATCTACAAAGCCGTTGAGGCCAAGTGAAGTCTGAATAGCAACGATGCCTTCAATACTGACTGAAGATGACAAGGAGATGGTCAAGCGGCAGGTTCCAAAGGCTTCGAACAAGATCCAGGCTGTGGCCGTTGCCCGACTCTATGTTGCGTATCCCAATCGAAGCAAATGGACCTACACTGGCTTGCAAGGGGCCGCGGTGCTTGCGAATGATCTGGTGGGAAATACATACTGGCTGAAGATGGTAGATATCTCCGTAGGTTGCCTTCATCCTGGTTGCTGCAAGGAATGAACCCTAACATTGTGTAGCCTGCCGGTCGAGGAGTAATATGGGATCAGGAAATCTACGATACATGGAGCTACAATCAGGATAGGACGTTCTTTCATACATTTGAGACCGAGGATTGTCTCGTCGGGCTATCATTCGTGGATGAGAAGGAAGCGAAGACGTTCCTGAAGAAGATGAACGATAGGGAGAAGAATGCTAGTAAGGCAACACGGGCAAACGCATTTGGCGGGTCAGGGCAGCAACATGGCGGCCACAGACACGGGCGGTTGGGTAGCTTCTTTGGTAGCCACCGAAATACTTCAGCGCCGTCTATACAAACTCCGCCGGACTCGCCAAGTTATGCTCTTCCGCCTTCAGGAAACCACCGGATGTCTGGGGGAAGTTTTAAAGGTGGAAATTCTGAGTTTTCTGCGCTGGACGCCATCGACCCGAACTGGAGAGAAACCTGGGGTGATGATTTGAAACAAATGGGCATTACAGATGACCTGATTCGGGACAACCAGGAATTTATTGCGGATTACATCAGGCAGCAGCAAGCAGCACAATCTGTCTCTTCGCCGGCCAATGGCGTTGAGAATCAGAGGGTTAAGGCGCCTCCCCCACCCCCGCCTGCTGCGGCATCAAGGACACGATCAGAGAGTCCTCAAAGTGCTCCTACAGGACGTGGACGAGGAGCTCCTCCAGCGCCTCCGCCAGCTCGAAGGTCTGTTGCAAAAGTTGAACCTCATCGAGAACCAACCCCTCCAAGAGAGCCATCCCCACCTAGAGGTCCTCCTCCGCCCAGATTTGCAGCCCCACCTCCTTTCGAAGGAGCAGGGAAATTCGCCGTCAAGCCAAACCAGACTCCGGCACGAGGTCATGCTCCAACTCTTTCCAACCCTGGACCACCTCCTCCCCCAAGGCCGCCAAAAACCCCAAATGATGATGGGTACGAGCCAGGAGAGAGCGGCTCGAAGTTCGGCGTCCCTCCTCCTTTTATGGGACAACGAAATACTGCACCACCTCCAACACCAAGCCGAGGCGCAGTTCCACCCCCTCCTCCCTCCAGGGAAACTTCACAATCTCATACTCATTCCGTCCCACCAACAAATGGAATCGCTCCCCCTCCATTACCTCCAAAGACACCATCAGCGCCAACTTCTCAGGCTCCACCTCTACCCCCTAGCTCGTCACGTCCTCCTGTTTCTTCATTGCCTCCTCGCACAGAGCTTCCCCCTGCTTCATCACTACCCCCATCTTCTCGTCCTGTTCCACCTCCTCCAGCGAGAGACAGCGGGCCTCAACCTCCGCCCTTACCTCGATCAAACGCACCTCCTCTGCCTCAATCAAGTGCGCCTACGCCACCCCCTTTGCCTCAATCGAATGCTCCTCCCCCACCTCCTCTACCTCAATCGAACGCCCCGCCACCTCCCCCAATGCCTTCTATTGGTGGACCTCCTCCCCCACCTCCACCGCCTCCTGGAGGGTTTGGTGGACCACCCGCTCCCCCGCCACCCCCACCAAACCGCGATTCCGGCTATCAATCCGGAGTTCCTGCTTTACCACAACCTTCCGGCGGTCGGTCAGATCTGTTAGCTGGTATTCAGAAGGCTGGTGGTATCGGTGCGCTTAAGAAGGTTGATCGAAGCTTAGTCCGAGACCGAAGTGGAGCACTTGTTCCTGGAGGAGCAGACACTGGGCCTGCAGGAAGCGGATTACCTCCTGCCGGAGCAACTTCTGGTGAAGGAGGATTAGCGAATGCATTAGCTGACGCTTTAGAAAAACGGAAGAAGAAAGTTAGCACAAGTGGTAAGCTGCTCACATTGATTATATTTTAGATATGACACTAACATTCACACAGATGATGAAGCAGAAGATGACGATTGGGACTGAGTAGTTCAATTCTCATGCATACTTTTGGGTGTAAATGGAGTTGTGAATGTCAGGCTATTCTGGGGCTCGGGGTTAGAATTAGCAAGACATCACGTCAAGGGGAGTTCGAGTTTATTAAGCGTTAAATTAATCACCTAAAACGAGAATCCAAAATGTAAATGCAATGCGTGTTTCTATTCTATGAAGTGCCCGAATCGAAGTTTGTCACCAGGAACCACCTACGAATCTGGACTCCTCCCCATGATAAAGCACAACAAGAATTAAGGAAGGCCTGGACAGTGGACCTACAACGTCTCTCCCACTGCAAATCCACTGCCCAGTCAAAACCACACAAAAGAAAAATTGCTGTCGAGGTTCCCAGGATGCAGTACTACAATCCCAGGGCTGAGAGAGAAGACAGTTTTTCTTTTCGCCACCACCATCACCAGCCCACTGACCCCTTGCCACGAAGACCGCAGCTCAAGTCCAGCAGCCTAGATATCATCGATATCCACGGCCTTTCCGTCCTTGCCTTCCTCGTCTTCACTCTCACTCCGATCCTCGTCGAACTCGAAATTGCAGTCCCCGTCGCCCTCCTGTCCATACGTATCCGTCTCGTTGATCTTCGCGCTCTCCGGTAACTCTCCATACGCCTTCAACGATCTCGCCTCATCAGCGCTGTACTTGAGGATTACGTCGCCCTTCTCGTCTTGGTAGTCGCGCAGAGAAAGCAGGATGATGTCGCCTTGGTTGATCCAGACCTTCTTTCGAAGCTTGCCGCGGATGTGAGCGAGGCGCTTGGAGCCGTCGAAGCAGAGCGCTTCCAGACGTCCGTTTCCTAGCATCTTCAGGACTTGCGCGTATTCTGTTGAGGGGGTTAGTGGTCGTTGGCTTGTGATGATGGCAGAGGGGACGCGCCTTGGCCTTCTTCTTTGAAGGTGAGTTCGCGCTTCTCGTTGTCGTTTTCGTTCTTTCCTCGACGACGATTCTTGCCTCCCTGTTGTTGCGCGCATTAGCAGTTGTTCGTGGGGTTGGGATCGATTGTGGCAATGAGGAGTCGGTTACCTTTCCCTTATTCTTAGGCATATTGGCGATTTCTCTTGGTCAGTTCTTGTGTGTGTTTTTTTCTTGGTGTTTCGTGTCAGTTGGAAGAGAGAGATTCCGGTCTTTCAAAGTCGCAGTTGTTGTTGCAATGTAGACCCGAGTTGTTTGATGTGTTGGAGGGGCTGTGCGTCACGGGTTCGGCGCTAGTCATTTTGCCTTGTTTAGGAAGCGAGCCGAACTCAAGATATTTTGTACTTTTCTTTGACTCTCCGAGAACGCCAAATTCCTTCCCTTTTCTCGTTGGATGAGGGGAAGATCAGTCACAATGTATCAATGATGGAAAACACACAATCTCTCATTTCTTCTGATACTCTACGGTCCTTACCTTTCTGCGATGGCTTTTCCTCAAGCAACTCAAACCGGCGTTCGGAAGATCCTTAATTACTCAGCCATAAAGCCTCTCACTATCCCAGCCGTGAACGCGTTTGCTGCAAAGTACACGAAGGAATACTGTTATGTGGCAACTACTCCCCCACAAATCGAATATCCTACCGACGCTCTGTTTCCTATGTTTGTCAAACGCTGGCAAGAGCGACAAGAGCCATTCTGGTGGGCTGTCATAGCAAGAAAGGACATTGAGAACCATCGGTCAGTGCGCAGCTGGGTAGCTCGTAGACTCAGACATGCTTTCATGGAATCATTGAGGAAGAAGGGTTATAAGCCGGATGGAAATCGAATCGATGGCTATGGCGAGCCGCTGATTGGGACTGCACAACTCTTGCCTCACGAATCGATCATAAGGAAGGAATATACGGATTTGGTGTACCAAACGGACTTGACTGTGGAGGCAATTCTCAAACGTCGATACCAATATAAGCCCTCCAGGATGGTTTTGGGGCAGGAAGCTCAGGAAGAAAGGAGACCATTGTACTGGAAAAAGAAACCCACGAAAGCACCAGAAGGTCCAGAGGCTCCGTACCGGCATCCCACATCAAGGAGCCTTAAATTATGATCCTCACTCTGTCAAAAATAAACTGCAATGTCTATAATGGTGCCTTCATGCTCAGACCTTGAAATCTGTCTCGTTTATCTAGGCTTTGCCTGTCGCACCAGTTTGCCCAGCCTTGTTCCTCCACCAATCAGATCGCTTCGCAGTTCAAGCTTTAAAGTCGCGTTCGCAAGCTCGAAATTGTCGCAACGTATCTCTCTACCTCAAAAAAGTCTACAACTCACATCTCCAAGATGCTGATCTCATTGACAGTCGGCAAAGTTGATGCAGGTGTCGCGGTCTTGCTGACCCAAGACAAAAGACTTGTAAGCACTCTTCCAGCACACATTAGCAAGCTCAACCGACTAACTCGGTGCTTCATTTAGATCGAATTCCCCTCTATCCTGCTGCCCCCTAATATATCTTCTGGAAGCATTGTCGATATCACCGTCTCCCGCAACTTCGCCTCCGAACAGAAATCACAAGCTTCTTTCCTGGCGCTTCAAGATGCGATCTACAGCTCCTTTGGTGAATCTGAGCCCTCAGCACCTATCCTCCGCTGTCGAAATGCTACACAAACATCAGTTGTCCTAGAGTGGGATCCTATCGAGCTTGCGACCGCAGACATCATCTCTCTCTCCTTGTTCCGCAATGGGCAGAAAGCAGGCAACATTCCCAGACCAGGAGTCATGCAGAGCACAAAAATTAGTGGGCTGGCAGTTGATACTGAATACACCTTTCACTTGGTATTGAGGACGAGTGCTGGCACATTCAGCAGTGAGAAGGTTGTTGTGAAGACGCACAAGATGACAGACTTGAGTGGAATCACCATTACACCTGGTATTCTACCAGCGCAGCTGAGAGACAGTCTTACGAGGGCTGTTGAGAGGATAGGGGCAAAGATGGCGGATACTGTCAGGATCGACACCACACATTTCGTTACTACTGAAGGAAGAGGCTTGCCGTGGGAGAAGGCCGTGGAGATGAATATTCCTGTCGTTAGGCCGGAATGGGTTGAAGGTTGCGAGAGAGGTGGTAGAATTGTGGGTGTCAGACAGTATTATCTTGATGCTGATCCACGACAACGGCAAATCGTGCAAGCGGATCCACCACAGCAGCCCCCGGTTGAGCAAGCAAGAGAATCTGTGGCCAGCCCCACAGCCGAGGCGCATGCAAATGGTTCAAGCCAAGCAATACCACCTACGCCTCCTGCAAAGGATACACCAAAGACAGAAGCCCCCAAATCGGAAGACGATGGTGAATCAGAAGTAGAAGAAGAAGAGAAAGCAAAGACCTCCGTGCCAGACGAGCAGAAAGTTCGAGTCGAGGATCGTGATCAGCATAAGGTTGCTCTTCGACCTGCTGCTGCACCAGAGCCTGAGGAGACAGAAAAGGAGAAAGAGCCAGCGGAGGAAGGAAGTGGATCTGGTTCTCAAACACCGGGACATTCAAGCTTCCAAGATGTTGCTCTCTAATTCGTTTGGCGATTTTGTAACGATATACCTAAGATTTCTTTGCCGGCTGCGGAGGTGTTGGTGGACATTATGCGGCTGGCTCTTCAAATGCAGAGCACAGGTGGTGATTCATGATAACACTACAATATCGATTACTTTATTGTATTTTCCTTGTTATGTGAGGATTTGATGGTGCTCTCTCGGGATTTCTAATGGACAGAAAGACTCCCCTCGCAAGTAGCGAGGCATGCAATGACGAGGCATTCTATTATCTATAAGCAATCGATTTCCAGGTCATACAACAGATGTCTTTCCTTGTCCTTCATCTTGGAGAATTGAGCATGGCTCGCGGTGGACAGGAAAATGGCCACTAATTGTCATTATCCGCAGTCAAAGTTAGATATTCATTGAATCTCGAGAGGGGCAGGGGCTAATATTCTAGAATTTCGAGATATTCAAAGAGAGTAGAAGCTATATCGCATGTGTCCATTTAGAGAGGAAGTATTTGCAATGTCTAGTTTGACTGGGACATTGAAAATGAGCGCTGCTTTTCTGTCCACCAGGATCTTAGCTCGCTTCAGGAACATCAACCAAAAATGGGAAAGTTCCCGGTGAGCTCCCGCCGCTTGCAAGGGGCGATCTAGATCATGATCCCTGTAGATGCTGTCATTAAAGTCATGATATCAAAATCTCACTTCAACAAGAAACACTCTCTTCCTTTTAATTGAGATAGATTTCTCAACCCTCAGTACGATATGCCTTGGTCTCTCGTCTCCCCTGCTAGTAGAGGCATTGGATTCCATTTGACTCGCCATCTCCTCCAAACAACGAAAATACCCGTTATTGCAACAGCCAGGAAAGATGTAGACGGAGTGAAGAAGAGCATACTCCAAGATTTACCAAATGTTGAATCTGATCGCTTGACCGTCCTCGAGTTGGACGTTACCAGTAAATTTTCTCCGCATTCCACATACAATTTCAAAATCCGGAGAAAAAGCTCACACCTCCACCGATGAAACTTCCATCCACCGCGCAGCAGAAGACGCAAAATCCATGTTCCCCCCAGACAACCACCTCCACCTTGCCTTCGCCATCCCCGGCATTCTCTATCCAGAAAAGGCACCCTCACAACTCGACCACGAGCAGCTAAACCGCGCCTTCGCCATCAACACCATCGGCCCCTTGCTGCTCATGAAGCACTTCACGCCCTTTCTGCCTTCCAAATCCACCAAACTCGCCATATCCCAAGAACAAGAACCGGCCCTCCCGCCACACGCCGTCTGGCTCACGATGTCCGCGCGCGTTGGCTCAACAACTGACAACAACCTCGGAGGATGGTTCTCCTACCGCGCTTCAAAAGCCGGCGTCACGTCGATCACCAAGAGTCTGGATCTCTATTTGAAGGGGAAGTGCGGGGAGAAGGCGATGGCGATGGCGTATCATCCGGGGACCGTGAAGACGGGACTCAGTAAGGAGTTCTGGGGCAGCGTGAAGAAGGAGAAGTTGTTTAGTCCTGAGTATGCGGTTGAGAAAATGGTGGGGGTCGTGAGGGATATTGGGTTGGAGCAGAGGGGCCGGTGTTGGGATTGGAGGGGGACGGAGGTTTTGCCTTGAGAGGGCGAAGAGTTTATCTAGAATAGCTGTACATAATATGTGGAAAGGTTATTAATCAGATCGAATTTTGCTATCATGATCGTTCAAGAGAACCCGCTCTGATGTTTGCTTATATTTTACGAAATGAAGCAATAGTCATGATCTAATTCTGCTTCCTTTCACTGCACTTCATGTTGAGACCTCCATGACGCGTTCAATGATTCCATTGCAGTATCAGAGTCACTGATCATAGAAGAGAGCCGTAGTAGCTCGCGCCAGGTTCGCCACACAAGACAGCGAGGCTTAACGGGCCCCCCCTCTCCGCCGAGATTAAGTTAGAAAAGCTTTAGCCTCGATATACCTCAAGTGGATAGACACGTTGCTCTGATTTTACCAGAGCACGCAGGTACATTTATCAGAAATCAAGAAAATTTCCGTTCGCTTCTCCATCTCCCTGTCTTAAGCGAGCTATCCCTTTTCACAAGCATGCAGCACAATCCTGTACAAATTGGAGTGTTTAGATTAAGAAAACGTAGCAGGTATGTATCCCATGCCGATCCCCTACACCCTTTCTTCAAACCCCAACCCCAAACTCCTCTTCCTCTTTCCTCCCCATTCACAACAAAATGCTCCCCCCATCATCCTCCTCAAACTCATCACCCATATTCTCAATACTCTCCCGACTCACACTCGGTGCCAAAACCTGCAATTCCCGCATACTCTGCTCCACACCCCTCAAGTCCAATTCCTTCCTCACAGCATCAACCTTTTTCCCACTCTCCACCTGCCGCAACCCTCTTCCCATCGCACCAACTGTTTCCAAAGCACCCTCATCAACCCGTCGACTAAGCTGACTAAACCCAGTCGCAACCCCACTCAAAACACTCATCAGCACCTCGTTATCCCTCTCTATCTTTCCCAACCTAATATCCAACTCTTTCTCCCTTTCCCGGGTATTCCTTTTCACGCGCCGATCTCGCCGACGAGATTCGAGCACCGAGCCTGTAGGACTCAATAGCCTCGCTTCCTTTGAGCCAGAGTGAGCGATTCTGCGGCGAGGGGACCGGACATGAGTAATTCCGCTGTCTGAAGAAGAGCTTAGGGACGGAGGAGGCGTGTGTTCTGCACTTCTTATTGTTGATGATGCGGATGTTTTGCCTGGAGTTCGTGGAGCAGCCAGATCAGAAGACAAAACTACGCCGGTATAAGGAGCTAGATTGGCCACCAGCATGATCGGCGAAATAGTGCTGACTACTCTCCTCCGAGCAAGGTCTTGTGATTGAACAATGTTTCGCTTAGGATTCTTTGTTGGCGATGCAATGATCTTCGGACTCGTGACTTGCCTGTTATTTGGTGACACAGCTTCAGAAAGTGGAGCAAGGCTCCCGCGGAGGTTCTCGATGTCTCGTTGTTTCCGGGCTTTTACTCTTTCTTGTCTGCTTTGTCTCGTGACGGTCAATGTTTCGTCCCCTCTAGCTCTTGCGGGCCTTGCTTCGGCTTCTTTAACTGGAGCCATTGCCGTTCGTGTTTGCAAAGCAGGAGCTGTTTTGGGCCGTAAGAGATCATGGGGTGGTGGTTGACCTGGGGGTTTCTTTGGAGTGGTGGGAGAGAGCCCCTCGGGTGTTATACTGCGGACTATTTGAGGTGGTCCTTTATCTGAAGCGCTGTAGCGGTGCACGATCTCCGTTTTCGCAGTACTGAAGACCGTTGGCGATGACGGGAAGGACATTGTCTGCGATGTTGCTTCCGAGGTTCTCGACTGAACTGGATGGAGGGGATTTTCGTCCTGCTGCACTTCGTTGGCAAGTCTGGAGGCCTGGATGAGCTCCGCTTGGATAGTTTGCGGGATTTTCGACATGCTCGATCTGCGGGGTGGGAGGTCGACTTTGAGGGGTGAGGTGAGGGTAGTGCTTGGTGCTGTCGACACACTGCTTGGTCCTCGTGAATGTCCTCCCCACGTACCGAGAGATATTGTGCTATATAACGTACCGCCCGAATGTCGAAGATCACTTTGGTTGTCTTGACGGACGGGAGACACTGCGGTGTAGCTCTTTGGTGACCGTCTTGAGCTGGCAGGTGGCGATTCCTCTACTGGAATTCTCTGTGAAGTTTCCAATCCAGTGTAATAATCTCTTGTGGTATGGGTGGTATCCACATGCGGCTCCGGCGATCTTCCTCTGGTTTCTAGGGGAATATTGCCAGGTTCGACGTCGCTCTTCCTGCTTTTTGCTACCGACGAAAGGTACGAAGAACCAGACTCTCGAACTTCTGCAACCGGCTTCAGAATCGTAACTGCTGGCCTGTCCGGCCTGGAGTTTATTGACGGGTTTCGCTGAGGCAGTTCTTGAACAAGAGGAGCTGGTTTTTTTGTCGGCTCGATGTGGTCATGCTCAATGGGAATCGAGATAGCAATATGCCGAGCACCGCTTAGAGTCTTTGCAGCAACAGCACTGTCCGGAAGTTGCAGAAGTCGAGGGACTTTTTGATTGTTGAATTTGTTCTTCTTGAAAAGTTTGAATGCCGACTTCTTGAGAGAATTCGAACGCTTCTCGTCGTCGGACAGTCTGGAGACCCAATTCGTTGTTGGAGGATCTCTAGTCATAAGAAAGTCCGAGAGCGCCTTCATGCTTTGTCGATTGGCGTCCAAAGCCGCCTCATCCTGGGGAGCCTGCTGCATGCTCCCTCTAGAAAGCCGCATCGAAGGCCGATTAGTATTCGACGTCTTCGTCGAATTCCACCGGTTCAAAGACGCCTCCGCCGCTGCCACACTCGCGGGAACTGGGCTGGTCTGCGGTCGACCGTGACCGATAGGGACGGACGGCATGTGGGAATACCTCGCTCTTTTGACAACTGCGGTGGGGGGCGGGCTCGAGATAATCGTCACCTCTCGATTGGCGTGAACAGATGGCGAGGAGAGCGACCTGAGGTTCACGGCGGCCGGAGTCTCTGATTTCAAGGAAGATTGCATCGCGCCTGGAGAACAAACTGTTTAGCCATCTGCAGCTCGCCATTTATTAAATGAAGGCAGTCACACAAACAGGTCTGGGCCGACGTACCAGCATATCATGATCTCCCAGTGAGAGATTCGATGAGCGCCAACCACGCTGAGGAGCGGCTGCTTCGTGTTACGGGTTTCGCCCCGCGCCGAGCAAGATGGAACGTGGCAAACGCTCCCGTTGTATTATAACAATTGCTTCATGGGATACAAGATCCTGCATGCAACAGCTGGAGATGCCTGGCTGTGGTGTAAGGGAGTTATTCCATCGAGAAGTACGCAGTGCGACAATGTACACAATTTGAAGTAAGGACTCGATGCAATACGAAGCCTCGAGATAAGGGATGCGGGCCGGAGAACGACGTCAACGTCGCCCGTTTCCAGAACGGGTTCAGATAAATGAAATTATGAGGCGTGTGACAGGGCTGGGCAGGCTGGTAAAACACCAATTCGTATGAACATTGAGACTACAGCTCACAGAATTGCAATAAGAAACGTTGAGACGAAAACGAACGAGCAATCGGCGAGAAAAGAAGAAGAAAACTTGACGCAGCTGACTTTCCGCCGCACTGCTGCATCCTCTCAACTTCCTGAAGCGCGTCCAAGTTTGCTCGGGGTCGATCCTAAAAGGGGACCTCTGGCTTGCAGGTGAAGCACTGGCCTCATTCTGCCCCGCCTACGCTGTAGCTCGACACACTGAACGGCATGATACGTCGAATTATCCCGGCCTGCAGGACCGATCGACGCCCCGGCAGGACTTGGGAGCACTCAGGGACCTCTTCTCAATCCTTTTTAACGGAGGAAATTTGCCTCGTGCAACAGTTCCAGACACAATATATATAATAGCTCGCAAACATCTGAAAGACAGAATCACGAAGGCGCCTTGTGCCGCACCGCAGTACAATAATCTCTCAGGTTCCGTCGCCAAAACCGTATGGTGTCGTCGGGGACTTTCTTCGAGGTACGAAGGTAGGATCAGCGCACTACTCAGGGTTCCGTGCAGATCGCAGCACTAGTCTCGGCTTGGGATGAAGAAGCAAAAAATCCAATGATTGACCACCCTTGCGAGCCTAGAAAAAGCCTCCTGCGTTGACCAACTGCAAAAGAAATCCAGAATCAGCTATTGGACTGCCCCGAGGAGCACGATGATGCCAAGGAAGCCCTACCGTGAACAGCACGCTCTGCCGACCCGTTGCATAAGGCAGTAGAAAATGATGTTCTTCGGATGGGGGGTCCGTGTCAGATCTCCAGGCCCCAGACAAACTCTAATCTAACCGGGATCTGATCTGACGAACTGGGCATGTCCGTAGTTTCTCCCAATTCCCCCCTAATAACGAAGTATCAAAAGCAAACAAGATCTACGTCCCGGTTCAGGGTCATCTGTCAGGATATGTATCCGGATTCCGGTGGCAGGGAAGGGCAGAGAGGGCATGCAAGCACGTTTCTGTCACCATTATCATTCAATGCTGCGTGTCAGCTCCCGTCGCTGTCCTGATCCGGATCTAATGCTAAGATGCAAACCTATGCTGTTCGCGCCTGAAAATGCTCATGCCCATGCCCAAGATCTAGAAATGCTAAATTCCATGCACCCGGAATGCTTCCTTCCGTTCGTCCCATTGTCTTATCACAATCCCCAAACTCCATCCATAGCCCATGTCAATCCATCATCTTCTTTTCTTCTGAATAAATGGATCGGCTGGCTGCTTCTTTCGCGGTGGCAAGACTCCAGGCTGCCGAGGTCGAGCTCCAGGAGGCGTTGGTCTTGTTGCTTTCGCTGCCTGATGTGCCTGGAGCTGTGCTTCAAGGTCGTTTATAGGAGGCGTAGGCTACGAATGTGGGTTAGCTTTCATTGTCCCAAATGATTTTGGTACGACTCACCTTCTCCTTCTTTACCGGAACTTCTTCGTCTCTCAAGGACTCAAGTGGCCGCTTTCCTTGCAGATTCAGTCCCAATGAAGAACCTGGATTCGGTGTTGACTTTCGGCTCTCCTGTTTGACTGAAGAATCGCGACTGCTTACACCAATAGATGTTCTCCGCGATTCTTGCTTGACTGATAGATCTCGAGGACGATTACCATACGAGATCGTCTCATTTGATGAGCTGTTGCCACTGATGGAAGACTTACGTGAACCAGGCATACTTGGAGCATCGATCATTTCGACGTCAGGATCGTTCTGCTTATGTCCAGGCATGGTCGCCGTGCTGGATGATGCAATTGATTCCAAGGATGTCGAGGGTCGTTGGTAACCATTGACTCCTGGCTGTGGCAGCTGATCTCGAGATGTGGGCTTCGACAAGAGGGCCATCACATCGCCGCCGGTGTATCTATTGCGTTCTTGCGAATCTTGGATGAGCCGGTTCCAGAACTCGCCCTGTTGCAAAGCGTTTGAGTCTCCCAGAACCCACAGCGAGGACTTGGCTCGAGTGAGACCGACGTTCATACGTCGAATATCACCAAGGAAACCGATACCTCCCGTTGCCTTTGCTCTGACACAAGAGAAGATGATGATTTCCCGCTCTCGTCCTTGGAAGGCATCCGTTGTATTGAATTCAATCTCGTCGAAAATTTTCTCCCCGAATTTTCTTTCAAATCGAGATTTCAATTCATTCAACTGGGCTTTGTAGGTTGTGATGATGCCAATCTTTCCCGTGAAGTCGATATTTCTGTAATCTTGCTTCAGTCTCTGATAGAGAGCAATGGCGGCGTTAAGTTCTGGAACGTTGATAAATGAATGCCCATGTGCTTGCTTAGTCTGAATTCCCTTCACATCAAAGAAACGATAAGGTCCAAGGATCGAGCTGGCGTGCCATGGTTGTTTCCTTAAGTTCGCCATGCCATCTCCATCAACCAGCCTACCGTGATAGAATTGCTGACTCGGGAAGTAGCTGATCTCGGGGTGCATGCGGTATTGGGTATCGAGAAGATGAACGTCTTTCGGATGATTCTTCTGCATTCGGACGAACAAACTTTGCTCGTAGCCAAAGCTTTGGGCCGATCTCGAAAGGACGGTTGGCGGCAATTGTTCCGGATCTCCGACAAGAATACACTTAGAGCATCCATACTTGAGTGGGATCAAAGCGCTCAGTTCGATACATTGAGCTGCCTCGTCGATGATGACAGTCTCAAATTCGACGTTCAGATTCCTGAACATATCGTGACCACTACCGCTCAATGTGGCACATAACACATGAGCACCGTCAATAATCTCTTGTTGAAATCGGCGGCGATTGATCTCGTTCTGGCGTGAAACTGTATTTCCGCTTTCCTTGTCTTCATCAATTTTTGCACCAATACGAGCTTGGGCACGCTTCAATTCATCGAATTCTCGTTGTAGCTTGGTTTCCAAGCCCTTGTCCTTGCCACGAGCCACGTCCATTTGAGGTCTGAGCACATTCAGTCGTTCTTTAATCTGTGCAGCGTCCTTGTGGAGTTTGTCCCGATCATTGATGAGCTTGTTGTTTTCGCCGTTGTTGCCTTCAAGCTTCATTCTGACCAACTCATCCAGCATAACGTCCTTCACGCTGGCATTGATGGCCTCACTTCGACCAATGCGAATGACGTTGATTTTTTGACGGGGTCCATTTAGCGGCTGAATGCCGTCTTTGAGACGAAGAACGAGTTCATCGACAGCCGCGTTACTCGGTGCACAAATGAGGAGCTTCTTCTTAGGCGGCGGTGGTGCAACAGGCTTGCCCTGGACTGGAGGTCTTGCTTTCGCTTGCTCTGCTTGCTGTTGTTGCAAGCTTTGCGTGAGAAGAGCGCCAACCATCGCAACAATGGTCTTAGTTTTACCAGATCCAGGGGGGCTGCAGCAGGTGTTAGCATCATTTCCGTGGGCTGCATTGGCATTAACTTACCCTTGAATCAATGTAAAGCCATCATTGTCATGGGCAGACAGAACAGCTTGAGCTTGTCCTCTATTTAACTTGTACTTGGAAGACATCTGAGAAGTTTTTTCATCCGAGTACTTCTGGAGTGGAGAAGGTTTAGCTTCCAAAACTTCAGTGCAAAGATCATAGTATTCCAAACTGCTCAACGCCGCGAATTCTCGTTGCGTGGTCGTCATGTCTGCAATCTTCACTGCAAACACCTTACCATTTGGCACAAAGCAATCGTTCAAGAGCTTCTGGGGTGCGTCTCTGCTAATTCGGAACGAGATCTCGAGAACATCCTTCTTCTTGGTCGTCCGAAACACGCGAGCAAGACAATGCAGTTCATTTTGGTTGGCCAATGGATCTGAGCTCTTCGACAAGAGAACGATATCTCGTTCGGACATCTTCAAGTCCCGGTTTGCAGATATTGGCATAGTCGAGCTTATTTCCATGAACTTGTCTACGGAGAGTCGGTTCAGGACCTTGATCTCGACGGGTTTGAAGTTATTCTCGTCTTTTGCTGTAACCAGAGAGCGCCAAATTTCGGATATGAGCAAAGGCCCAAAAGTCCTCTTATACTTGTCGAGGTCTAGATATTTGTTGTCGATTTTTGTGCACACATTGTTGCTGGGAGGGTCGTCGCCAGGGTGAAATATATCCCAGCTAAGAATTTCCAGGAACAAGTTGTCCATGTTAGGCTCGACTCGAGCGCGTAGATCTTTAGCAGATCGTTGTACTTTGGTCTTCTTGACGGGGCCTTGTTGCTGCTGAAGTAGAGCACGCCTTTTGCTCTCCTCATACTCGGAGACCCTTTGCGATGTCTGCTTTCTCTTGATAAGGGTGCTGGTGCTATCCTCATCATCATCAGAGTCTTCATCTGATGAGCCCACCATGATTTCACTTCGAACTGGTGCATGATCCTTTCCAATCAGGCCAGAGATGTCTTTAAGGCCAGAACCTTCACCCCTAACTCCAGCTGGTGCACGAAGAGCTTTCGCATGGGCGATTGCTTCGGCCTTTAACCGATTCTTCTCTTCTTCTGCTTTCCGGCGGTTCTCCCTGAAAGCGGTTTGGGATTGTTCGGACATAGCTTTCTGAGCCTTGATCTTCTCTAGAAGAAATTGCTGCTTCTCAGTAGTGGTTGTCTGGTATTGGAAGACTGAGCTGCTCTTCGGAGGCAGCTTGGGCTCATGCTGCTTCCCATCCGCCGACTTCGACCATGCATCGAGTGAAGCTTGCTTCTTGGGGAAAGCAGATGGCCGAGGAATTTCAATAATCTCCACACCTTGATGTTCATCGAGTGCTCTCTGTAGCTCCGCCCTCTGTTGGCCCGTAAGGTTCGTCTTCTTGAAATTCTTTTCACCCTCGCGTTTACACGCATCCTTGATGAATTCCGCCGACTCGGAATCGACTTCTAGGTGGTATTCTCCAAGGCAACGAAGAAGCTTACCCAGGAGGCTAGTAATAACACTGACCAAATAACCATCTCGAAGTCTTAGAAGTCCAACCAAGCCAAAGACATTGGTGCACACCACTTTGAGAATGTTCGTTAGGGAATCGTTGGTAGATGTTGATTTCGTAGCCCCTAGATTCTCTTGATCATCAAGACTAGAGACAGTCAGGGCCGAGGCGAAGACGCTGTATTCGTTGAAGAGCGCTTCTGCATACTCCATGCCGTCCCGGCAAAAGTCTTGCATGTCGGATGTTGACTGGGTCACTCGTGTTGCCCAATCTTCTGTGCGTTTGAACACCGTGTCGAGCACCTTCCACTGGCCTGCCCACCAACCAAATACCATCTTTTTCTCATTCGCATCAAAGACCGATCGAGCACGAAGGACGCCAGTATTGCCACAAAGTGCCTTGAGAACTTGGCGACTGAGTTTAATCATAAAGGGGACGGGCCCAAATGACGATGCTTTACCAATTCGTATAGCTGCATATGTCAAGCCACTGAGCATCTGGGTCAAATTCGACTCTAGAAGGTCCTGAATGGCATCTTGCTTGCTGTCTTGACCTGTCATGGTTTTGATGAGCTCTATTGCCGCTTCATTCACACCTTGATCCGCAGAGATGAGGGCTGCAACCAGAGGGCGAGCAGTTATCGTATTAGCATACAATTCCTTCAGACTTTGAGGTTGAAAATCGCTCAGACGCTCAAAGATCCTGGATATGCTGTCCATGAGCTTGTGGAAGTCCTTGTTGAAATCGGCGTGGTCCTTCTTCAACGCATCCTTCTTGCGCACTGGATATAGTTCATCGAGCCCTACGAGGGAGAGCGTTGCTGGGAGAATACTCTTAGCGAGCTCGACATTGCCAGGACGGAATACGCCTAGAACGGATTGCCAGATGGCCTCTGAGTAGTTTCTCGAAACACGCTGAATATGGGCACCCTGCTGTTGCAGTGCAGAGTACTCAGTGCTAACAGCCTTGCAATCCAGAGTAAGCACTTGGTTGACCACAAGCATTGCTAAGCTTCTCAACTCGACACTTTCATCACCATCTGCTAACTCCGTAAATCCGCAAACCATGGTTCCATATCTGTTGACGAGTCCCATGATGTCATTTATAACAATCAGGGAGGTTGTTGGATTTATCTTGTATTCAGAGGATGTGAAAGTCTGCAATGTTACGTGCAGAGCAGCCATGCCAGCACGACAGCAAGCAAGTCTGACTTGGGCCGAGTACTTTTCAATTTGGAAGCGTTCGAGTAAATTGACAAGTAACGCACGGCAGGCATCGTGCTGGTGAATAGGATCAAGTGACTTGAGAAAGTCTGGTATCCAGTAATAAACAGGGGAGGCTTCGAAACTCGTATCCTTGAATGTCTCTGGGTCTAAGAGTAGCCGATCAAATCCGGGGCTCTGGAATATTAGCTCTGCTACAGTAGCGGCTGAAATTGTTCCCATGGCAGACCAAAAGTCCTTTGGAGCCTTTTTTACAAGTTGATGAAGCGCCTTTATAATGACTGGTAAAGTGGTGACAGAGTTGCATGCCAGATGTTGGAGTGCAAGGTGCCATATGTCGACTTGTACCTCCATACCACGGAGAGTATGTCTAATCAAATTCTCGTCCATTTTCTCAAGAATCAGAAGAAACCCCGACCAGAATCGCTTTATCTCTTCTGTGTCGGCTGACTGTGCAACTAGTATCATTGCCTCCGTCAGAGTATCGTGCACAACCCATTCAAAGGTGCTCGGTGTGAGCATGGTTGTCGTCTTTTGCCAAGCGGTAGTTGCAAATGTATTACGAACAGGATTCGTGTTAAAAAGAAAGAGAGTCATTGCTGGCAGTATGTCACTGATTCTGAGCACTTTTCTGGTCTGGATGGCCTCAAAGACATAATCGAAATGCTTGGAGAGCTTCTCATCATCCCGATGGTAATCTACGCAGCAGAGAGCTTCGAATAGAGCCAGGAGGGCTGGCAAATTTTTGGTTGCAATAGTCATCTGGTTTCGTTGAGAGTGGTCGGCACTGTTAAGAATCTTTTCTGCCTGCTCGAGGCCAGAATTGATACGATTAAAGTCGATATTGTCCAGTCGAGTGGAGAGCTGCTGGGCTATCTCTTCGTCGAATCGCCTGTTGAAATAAGCTATATGGCAGAAACTCTGTGTCAAAGATACTCACTCAGAAATTTCCTTCACATAGTCTTTCCTGCCCTTATGCCAATTGTAACCACATTTGTCACAAGTTCTCATAAGGTGATTCAGTCGATTTACATAGCCCTCCAACATCCCTGCCGTGTCTTCAGGATCCAAGCCGAGTATGATTGAATACTTGTATGCAACCTTATGCCGTCGTTTCGTATCGTGAATCAATTCACGCTTTGTATCGGAACTCATGTCCTCTTCAGCATCATCGGGGTGGGTGTAATCAATCTGATCGTCATCACGGCGTTTAGGACAGAACCAGTGGGCCTCGGCGGGGAAGCTCTTGAGCTCTCTGTACATAGGAAACGTTAGTGAACAGACACAATGAGGGGCTGAAGGAGTGAGAACGAACCCGTCGAGGCCATGGAGCTCGTCCATAATCTCCGCTTCCTCCCTCATGGTGAAAGAGGACTGTGCGCTATGAGGATATCATCTGGTCATAAAAGTAAGAGGAATACAGCTAGCTATCCTGGGTTCTGAAGGTAGATTGCAATGTGTAGATAGAAAGTAGTGGCAGTGGTGATTTGATTTGGGGGGTGGAGAGGCGAAGGTTGCTAGATGTTCGAAAGAGGTGGTGGTTGAAGGACAGGAGGGTGCAAATGTGGCGAATTCTTTACGAAGTGCGTTGGTAAATCACGAGTTAACGAGTGAAGGTGAGCCACACAATGGAGTACTGGGATCGGTGAAGGCGAGAAAGGTTCAGCTTTGAGCTGAATTGTTGAAGCCGGAGTCTGGTGTGTAAATTATTGGGTTTCGGAAGACGCGCCGGATGCGGCACACGAAATCTTTTGGTGCAGGATTTAGCTCAGCCTTGCGACAAGGCTGGCAAGTGCATTTCGTCGGAAGGACAAGAGTAAATAAATGTACCAGCGACCTGAAGTTTTTTTCTAGACTGGAGAGGAAGTCCTGGAGTAGTAGCGCTGAAAATGCAATAAGTCATTTGTTTCTTGTAAGAGATTGGTTTTACATTGTATTCGTAGTCAAAACCGATACTACCTCACGCTTAAGTTCATTTTAATCAGTTACTTTTAGGGCCAAATCGGCCATTATAGAGAAAAGTTACAGTCTAATGTTTATTAATTTGCACTATATAACTTTGCCCAGTGCATGTGACGCAGAGTGCTAGGTGAGGGTTGTCAGCTTGTGAAAGTTCTGTTCTTTCTCATACCATCAAAAGCATCTTGGGTGTCGAAAGTGAAGATGTCCATGATAGATGAAGCAGATTTGGCCTTATCAAGCTGTTGAAGTGAATTTCCTGGCCTAAAAGAATTTGTTGCAGATCACACGCAATGTCCCAGAAATATTTGGTACAATGGATCTTGACTCGGAGATTCGTAACCACTCAAACAACAATCTCAATGTACTGTACTAGGCCTTTAAGAACATTGAAGCGATGTACAACAGAACCAAAAGCCTCAATATTCACTCCATACTCAAAAGCAGTAACCTCAATGTTCTTTCCATACAATTATCGCCTGAGCCGGTAATAGTGTGGATAGACGCTGCGACGTTCTGTTACCAAGGTTGTTGAAGCTATTAAATGGCAGAAGGGAGTACGGAGGAGAGAAGTCACATTCAATCTTTGTTCAATTACCTCCTTACAGCCGCCTCATATATACAGAAAGTCCATTCGTTCTCACCATCCACCGTTGTGCATTACAACGTCACCAGAAAGAGAGATCTAGGGGGTATTCCCCAACCAAGCACATGCTGTCTTTGAAAACCCAATGGCAGAAGCACGTCTCTTTCCAGCCAGAGACACCTGAACGCCTTCGCACGAGAATAAAATGCAGAAAAAACACCCAGTCGTAGATCGCTCATGCAGATCATCAATGCTCAGAATTTCCCCTTTTATTAACAAAAGAGACAGTAGTGTATAGTACAACCCCCGCTAACCTGGATGCGTGTCTGGCGAAAATCATAGCTCGTAGCAGATCACTGCGACATATCGTTTCTCCTACTTCGGATCGGGCCAAAGGAATGACTTGACTCCAATCGAGTCAGAAGAGCCGCAGAGGTAAAGTCATTGCTCTGCTCAAAACTGGGCCGAATGCGGTCCATAGATTGTCGCATCCTGTCGAATGATGGTCTTGCTCTGTCCATTGATGGACGAACTTGACGTTGTTCGATGGAGGTTCGATGTCTCGTGAAATCGGTGCCGTCGCTGCCCGTGTGACTTCGGGTGTTGTGTGTGTTGGCCGTAGCGGCTACTGAAGGGGGGTAAATGGGCCGTTGATCTTCGTCAACACTAGGATAATAGGCATGCTTACTCGGCTTCGCGATATCGGAAGATGTTGTAGACTCCTTTGACATTGAATCCTCTGGAGAACCACCAACATCGAGATAGGCAAACTTCCCTTGCCGAACTTGCTCGCGGACAATGTCAACATCGTATGGGAAGTAGATTTTTTGAATGGTCTTGATGCAGAAGCGAGGCAACAGGGATAAGATGACTGATAGCGCTGTTACGGCCCAAAAAGTCGGTTGGGCGAAGACTTGTGGTGCAGCTTTGTAGAAGAACTCAGAAGATTTGAAGGCTGAATAGACTCCTGTCCAAAACCAAACAAGCAGGATGCTCACGACCACGAGAAGGAACATAAGCCAATCCCATCTGTACGTGTTGAGCAAGATGTAGGTATTGATGGCGATGACCGCTGCAGGTGCGACGTAAGCACCGAATCGTTCCCGGTCGTCAATGCTCAAGCCGTTGTCGGTGACCGCATTGGCAGGGAAGAAGAGGCAATAGGCCATGAAGAAGCAGATGACCGACTGGTAGAGTCCATCAACCATGTAGAGCCTGGAAAGGTTAGCGTAAGCAGGTAGACAGAATGAAACATTAATACTAACCAGAACTTCGTCTGAGTCCATTCCAACCGCTCAATACCACGCCTGTATAGTTGGGGTACAGCGAGAGAAACCTTGTCACTGACATCCTGGTCCAAGACACCCATGAAAATGACTGGAAGGGACGTAAACGCCAAGTTGAATAGTAGGATATAAGTATAGTCGTAGAGATAGGTCATGTCGAAGTTGCAGAAGATTTGGTACCAGAAGATTGTGAACGTCCACATAATGTTCTTGTAAAAAAAGTTGGCAATAGTTTCTCCCAGTCGGCGATATGACCAGCGGCCATGGACGAGAACCAATCTTTGCAGGAAACGGAATTGGCCAATGGCGTAGTCTGCTGACATGACAGCTTGCCGCCCTTCTTCACCAGCAATACCAACACCGACGTCGGCTTCTTGGATCATGGCGACATCGTTTGCTCCATCGCCCACTGAAAGGGTCATGACATCCAAGCCTGACTTGACCATGGAGACAACAGCAGCCTTCTGTGCTGGGCTGACACGACAGCATAGGACCGACTTGCACTGCTTGCAGAGTAAAAGGAACTTTTGACGGAGTTGCTCATCTAAGACAAGTTTCAGGGAATCACCATCAATAACAATGGCATGAGTTGGTGCCGGAGGTTCGTGAGTCTTTTTGGCAGCCACAAGCTCTTCGTCAGATCCGGTCATGTTGAAGGAAGCTAGGTGCTTGTCGAGCTCCTCCTCGGCACTGGAAATCTGCTCGTCCTCGATCTTCAGAACGATGAGTTCCATGTCATTATTGAGGAGATTGCAAGAGAAGCCAATGTTGATAGCAGTCTCTACCTTGTCCCCAGTGAGGACCCACAGCTTGATTCCGGCGTCCGCGAGGAGGGCAATGGTGTCAGGAACACCTTCCTGAAGACGATCTTCGATAGCTGTTCCTCCCAACAATGTTAGGTCGCGCTCGATCAGATCGGAAACGGCCTCTAGCCTGTCTTCTCGGTCTACAATGGCGGCAGCAGCTATCTCGTGCTCCCGATTCCATGTCTGGTATTCCTCTTCGCCTAACACTTTTTGGGCGATGCAGAGAGTACGCAGTCCCTCGCGGGCGAACATTTCCAAGTGTTCGGCGGTCGTTCTACGGAGCTCAGACTGCTCACCACGCTTTAAACGTGAGTATATCATACTATCGGCGCCTTTGCAGTACAAGATAATTTTGTTGTCTGGCATCCTGATGATAGCACTCATCCGTTTTCGGGTCGAATTGAATTCGAGAGTGTTCAGAACCTTGAAAGTTCGCTCCTCGCCCATTATGTTCAGTCGAATGCCATCAGGAGAATTTCCTAGAACAGTGTAGCCAACGTCACGAGCAGTGGCGACCAGTGCCGCCTCATCGGGAGACTGGGCTTTGAATTCGATGCGTGGGGGGTCGCCAGGGATAGTGTCGGAAATGACGGTGTGACACAGGGCAAGAGCTAGCATGAACTCTGCATTCGCTTGTTGCTGCTCTTTTCCAGTCGCGCCGGAGAGGTCAGAGATGAAGTCTGGTGCCACGAAGGTCAACTCATCGTCGTGGAGATAGGGGTTGTCATGAAGCTTTCGAATCTCCTCTAGCATCTTTGCACGTGCTTGAGCGATTTCTTCACGAACTCTTGCTGATTCCTTCTCGACATCTATGCCTTGTCGTTTCTGCATGCCAGCTTGGGCTTCGGTATATGCTTCCCCGTAAGGGACACCATTGATGGTTGCTTTCTTGAACTCCATGACGTTCTGAGTCAAAGTTCCAGTCTTGTCCGAAAATATGTATTCAATCTGACCTAAGTCGTCCGAGATGTTCCAGGATTTAGGTGTACATGGATAGTCGATTTTGTCGTAGTACATTTCGGTATCGCTGTAGATGAAGAAAGCTTGACAGGTCTTGATGATTTCGAGGGAAATGTACAACGAGATGGGAACCAGATTCTGGAAAAGGATGACGGCAGCCCAGAAAGTGATGAACCCATCTAACGACGGCTTGCCTCCAATGGAGCCAAATTCGAAATAGTCAATGGAGTTGTTCCCTTCGGACCACGTGATGCCTTGAATCAATCCAGAAACAAAACACATGAGGAACAGGACAATGAAATTGTAGATGACATTCCAGTTTAGCTCTCGGACAATCCGAGAACGTTTACTGGGCGTTATTCCAGCATTCATCATGATCTTGGTGTCGAAGCCAGTGAAAACAACAACTCCAAGGACCCAATCTGTATTTCGAAGGTTGCAGCCTCTGAGAAGAAGATTGTTGATGGAGATTGGTTCCACCATCTCGTCGCCTCGAGCACTTGGAGACTTCGAGCTGTATTGGGTCCAACGAGTAACACCGCTGTATTGATAAAGGTTCGGTTGGGGAGCCTCACTCTCAATTGTGAATTGAGTCTTCTCGCAGTCACGGGCATGCTTGATCTTTCGCCCACTTCGGAGGGCATGCCTGACCTTCAAGTTCGTTTCTCCATCCAAGTTCTTGGTTTCCACATAGCAAGCTCCATCCGGATCGGAAGTGGACAAAATTACGACGTCGGCTGGAATTTGATCATCGTTGTAGATTCTTACGAAATCTCCCACTTTGACGTTCTTCCAATAGTCTTGGTGGAATCGAGCCTTACCAGGCGCTTTCAAATTTGGGTTGATCAAGCTGCCAAAGTTCTTGGCGGCAGATGCCCCTCCTCCCTCGTATGAAAATGCGGTTTTTGGTCGATCATGGTCGGGTAACTGCAGGCCGTCTGAGAGGGGCAGCGGAGATGGAACAGGAGTCATCTGAATATTCTCCCGCGCCGATTCGAAAGATGTTCGCTCAGTACGGGCCGAGAAGGCTGACGCCCGCCTCGTTTCCCTAGTTTCGTATGATTCTCGTGGCTCATCCAGAGCTCGCGCAGCATACCGCTGCCCTGGGAGCTCCTTCTTGCCCCTCTTCAGCTTCTTCCAAACGGTCGCCATACCGCGGCTTGTAGCTTTCTTGAATCGCCTCCACAGGGAGATGTCATCGTCGCTGACGTTGACATTGTTCCAATCCAGGAGTCGGTGGACTGGAGAGTTGTTCAATTCGATATCAAGGATCGTCCTTCGATAGTCTTCGATTGCGTCCTTTACCGCAGTAATGAACACAATCACAATCAGTGGAACGGCGTTCAGTCCCGGATTCGAAGCACCGAAGATGCTGAAGAACTAGAGCGCAAATTAGTGCTGTATAGCGCAATTGAGTGATATACTTACGGCCAGGATAATTAAGAACAGGAAGTAAACATTGGCGATGTTGTGGAATTGGTACCAAATGTTCTTCGGAACGAAGCTGATGGGGGTGTACTTGGCCGTCCGAATCTTGTTCCTCCGGTATTGTGCGATGGGATGTCCTTGCTCGTCCACTGCATCTGGCGGCAGAGGAATATTGAAGTATACTTTTCGGGGGCCTTGGCCATCCCCAGTGTCTGAGGGTTTCTCTTCTTCGTCCTCGTTCGGCTCTTCCTGAATCCCTCCAAGATCTGTGCCCATCGAATCACCTCCTCCGGAATCCCTCTTCTTCTCACTGTTTTGTGAGCCACGGTGATTCAGGCGACCAAGAATCGACCCGCGTTTTTTGTTCCCCTTCTTCCCCGTCAGCCTTTGAGTCGCCCATCGTAATCGCTTCGTTGGCGTGGGTGCGAGCTCTTCCTCTGGCTCTTCGTAACTGGGCGGCGCCATGACGATGGATTAAGAGTTGAGATTGGGCCACGCCCTCTCGGGGAGAGACAGATCGTCCTCCAGCTTCACCCGACCCAACACTCGATCCAGCGTTCGTGGTGATGTGTCGTGAGAATATTTCTAGAGCCAATCGCCTCCGTGTCGTCTCGAAAAGATCGAAGTGGTGAAATCTACCAACGCTGACGAGATCTCAAGCGGAGTGAATTTAGTCGCAGCAGGAGGGAAACCGGAACGAGCGGATCGCGTCGCCGCCAAGGAACAAACCCGTTTCTCAGCGATCTCTCACTTTCTGCGGGTCGGAGTGCAGGAACGAGGTTGTATCGTTCGCTATGTACAGGAATTCGCTGTAGTGAGGCCAGTAGGGAGGATTGGGGTTGTGGAAGCTGAATTGAGCTGAGGAGTGTCGTAGATGTCAACCAACTAGAAGGCCCCTGCGCGCGTTGTGCTGATTAAGTTCCAAGAACCGATTATCCGTATCCGAACCCAAAACGAATGGTCAGTAATTTGCAAATGGGATTCGTTTGGCCGGCCAGCCTGAAATTGAGGGAAGTCTTTCAATATGCGAGACTGCTACGAGAAGAAAATCCTTCTGCGGGTGGCAAGGTGTTCGAGGGAGAAGGAGGCACCGCCGCAAATGAGGACTTGGATGCTGACAGAGATCCCTTCAACATCCACACACTTTTCCAGCAAGCCGGCCGCCAAGGGGCGTAATGACAGCAACGACGATTACTGTACTGTACGGAACTGTACAGTGCAAGTAGCACGGGCTAAAGTGTCCTTAGCCAGGGAGTCTGGGAGAGTCTGACAGGATTCGGCAGTGGCAGGGGACAGCACACAGCAACCAGCTTTGTAAGAAAGCGGACTTCACGACGGCCGATTCACGACTTCTCCCTGAGGCCCTTGTTAATTCCGGTGCGATGAGTGGCTTGAGATGACAAGCGGATTGTGGGAGATCGTGCGAAGCCTATCAGCGAGTCGAGCGCCGGCATTTATTTGGGGAGGCACTGGGCTGGGCATTCAACGCGATGGCAGGGCGTGGGGCGTGCAGGGCTGGCCCGGCTCGAGGATACGGAGTACAGTACAGACTGTGCAGACGATGCAGACTGTACAGTACACTTTCACTTCCACCTCCTTCTCCTGAGTGACATACTGTAGTGAGAACGTGAGATCCTTCGAAGGTGTTCCACGTCGCCTGGTCGCTTGGTCGGCCTCAAGGACGCAGATTCAGAAACCGATGCTCCCAGCACTGCAGCAGGCCAGGACTCCCTGCGGGGGATCAGTACTCACATCAAAATTAAGAATTCGTAGTCCGTCCCAAAACCCGGCCCCTCCAGTGCCTCCACCCAGCACCCACCCTTTTGCATCCGGAACGCGAGGGCCTCATTTCACAACGTCGCCTCTCGTCTGCTCTTCCCCTTAAAGCCGAGCCCGCGCTCGCACTACGGAGAGCGGATGCAGCAATCCTCCGAGAGCCTCCTCTGGACCCTCCTTTTATTATCTCGGCGTCCGAAATAGAGGCCGCTGCTATGAGCCGGCAATAATTATTCACTTGAGAAATGACTTTACTCCACCCGTTCCGGGAGACCTTTTCTCGACGTGCGCTCAAGACTCAGATGGGGAACCATGCACATCATGATGTCAAAACGCCGAAAAGCCCAAACGCCTGTCAAACAAAGGGGAGCTCCTAAGAGCTCAAAGCGCCAACAGCTTTGCATCATGACGGCACACTATTCAATGACTTGAGGCTATAGGGTGAAACCCACCGGGTTCTATCCTCTGAGTACGGAACAATGCTCCAATGATGCCCATTTCCACCCTGATGGAAACATGACGGATGAAAATCTGGGTGGTAACACAAGTGGGCTGAGTCACGTGGAGCTATGCGCGTAAAGACGCGAGGCAATCGCGTCCTGACTTCATCTATCAGGAGCCTCATCTAGCCTCGCCATCCTTTGAGATGCGACGACAGATTCACTTGACCGCGAACCTTTCATTTGTACAAGGCTAGTTCCTACCCGTAGTGAATCATGCCGCCGGGAAACAAGTCCATACGTGACTTCTTCAAACCTTCGCAGCCCGCTCCGAAGCCCGCGAACTTGCCAGTGTCTTCTTCACAGCCTTCGTCGAAGGCAGCGCCTTCACGACCGACCACCAAACCTTCAATTGCATCGAGACCCGCAATAAGTCCGTTGGCTATGGGTCAAGCAAAGTCCTCCGTGTCAGCTGATCCCGATCCGCCAAAGTCTTCGGTAAAACCTAATGCTCCCAATCAAGGAGGATATACCTCCAGTCTATCTCCTCCATCTACTAGCGGTAAATTGCTTGGTCCTGGGTCTCCACCACCAGCCAGTGAACCATCGTCGAGTACTCTGTCTGGATCCTCAACAAGTGACCCCTCACCGCAAGCTAGCACACAATCACCGAGCCTCGTGTTACCACCGCAAAAAGGAAATGTTCCATTCCGCTCGGTATCGAGCAATACCTCATCTGACCGAGTGATACAAAATTCGGATGATGAAGATGAGGATTCAGATAGCTCACTGGAAGATCTCTCGGCATTACTTGCAGCCAAGAGCTCTGAAGTCCGGGCAAAGCAAGTGATGAATAGGATCACGCCTTCCACGCCACCAAAGCATCCAGCAAGCACTGTTAACTTTCACATCTCGCCCCTACCAGTATTGCCAAAATATAAATTCGATTTGAAGTCTTTAGTCAGTCGCGCGGAGGACCACGAGGCTATTGAAGCAAGTTCGAAACGAGTCAAGGCAATGATGGCTTCGAAGGACGAGGATGAGGATACAGCCATGTCTGACCATACTACAGAGCTGGCGAAATTCCCTCACGGTGCATTGCTGGGATCGGTGGTAGCTGGCAGAGAGGATCTGGAGGCTTACAAAGTTACCCGAGCCATCATGCGAACAGAAGCGACCGCGACGGAGAAGCGTTGGTATTTCTTCGATACGAAATCCAACACACCTAAGCCTCAACGAACGCCTTTCCCAACCAAAGCTGTCCCAAAAAACTGGAAGAGAGAGCTGGTAGATCCCAAGATAAGATACCAGACTTTCGTCTCTGGCTTTGCCGAAAATTTGGTCTCACTTGGTATGAAGTTACCAGACGAGCTTTTTCTCTGGATGTTGGATGAGGCGTGCTTGGAAACAAGTGATCCACTTCGGACCTCTTACATGGGTACCATGAGGGAAAGCACAGAACAGATCCAGCGATTGCTAAGTCCGGACTTGGTCAGAAAAGTATTTCAGCGTCTTGGGGGAAGCTCCGCTGGCACAGAGATTGCCCAGAAGATTGTCCTGGTTTCAAAGCTGTCTGACCCGTATTCTAATAGAGATTGGGCAAAGCTGCTCTCAATCATCAATTTCTTTGGCCAAATATCAAGGTCACTCCAACAAAAAAGTAGAGCGAGTATCATGTGTACACTTCTGCGGATGAGTGTGGATCAGGTGGTTTACGAAAACGTCGACCTGCTTGATTCGGTCCAAGGCACGGTTAGTCGCTTATGCAAGCATACCCCCGATGAGGATTGGAAAACATTTGTATGAACCTGCTTCCCTCTTGTCAGTAAACAACTAACAGGATAAAGTGTCAAGAGGTCTGCAAACCGTTATTTGAGTGCATTGAGCAGCCGACTCTTCGTCTTAAGATCGTGGACAGCATATCTTCAATTACTCCCCGCACTCATGACCTGAGAAGAAGGCTGGCCATGTGCTTCTACTTTGACAACATTTCATATTCGAAAGATCACTCACACTTTGAAATGGATCTGGATGCTTTCATCAGACGTCTTGATGATCCTGACTTCCACACAAATCCTCAGACTGACTACCGGGAGCTTACGGCTCTCATATTACTCCTCGATATTGCCGTCGACGACGGACGCTCAATGAATCTCGATCTGTCTGACCCAGCAGTTGAGAAGAAGTTCGATGAGAACATTGAAGATTTCGGTGCAACTATCAAGGATATTATGAGATCAATTGGCAATCCGGGAGCCGCTTTTATCTCAAGAATTGAGGCCAAAGAGGTTTTGGAGTTGGTCAGCCAGAGAGTTTCCGATACGCTGCGAAGCAAACCCAAACCTAAACCCAAGCAAACGTGGTTTGAAAAGGAGAAGCCTGTGGAGAATCTCGAGTCGGAGAAGAAGGGTATGGACAGTTTCGTTTCCAGAACGAATAAGATTGGGAGCGGAAGCAACACTCAGAATCTAAAGTAATCAGCGGGGAGTTTGCATCCCATGGTTATGAGAAATAGGAGCAATCGATCGGAGGCTCCAAAGCCATGGTGGTTTCAGAGTATCATACACTTTCTACAAGCTCCACCGAAACCCCAAAAGTAATGCATAGCAAATTCATGCACTCAGCCATTTCCGGTCCCCTCCTCATCCATATTGAATGCCTCGTCAACGCAAAAGCCATTGGCCCACTAGTCGTAAAACTTTCTGTTCTCGTTCTTGCCAAACAACGTAGTCCGTATCGAGGGTAAGGCGGCATCCTGCAACAGCTTAAGACGCTCCTCGAACGTATTGTTGATATCAATCTTTCCACCGCCGCCAACAATCGAAAGGCCACCAGGACTGCAGAGCCATTAGCCTCTTACCAAATACCCATAAGCTCATGTAAACTCACCTTCCCTCAGGCTGCGGATTCGCCTCATCAATCTCCACCTGAATATTCTTCCCAACCTTCTCTTTGTACTCCTTACACGCATCCGCAATCGCCTTCCTCAACACCTCATAATCCGCCTTCCGGCCCCTAACCAACACCTTCCCCTCATTCAACGCATAAAAACCCTCCAACATCAAATTCTTCAAGATCGCCTGATACTTGGCCTTATCCTTCGTCGCCGCGCCCAACTTCTTCTCCGCATCCTCGAAAATCCCATCCAGCAGTTCCTGCCGAGCGGAGAGGACCTTGAGCCGAGTCTTGTTCGCAACGGTCGAGCGAGTGATTTGCTGGGACATCTGTGCTTGCTTGAACTTCTTCTCATAGGTCGTGTCGATGGACTGCGTTTCTTGGCGCACCAGCTTCGACTTCTCGATGCTGAATTCTTCGTCGGCTTTGATTTCTATCTCGCGTGCCTTTTCCATGGCTTCTTGCTTGATGAAGGCCGTCATTTTCTTGAGCTCTTGCCCGACCTGGCACAGCTTGTTAGAAAGGGCAATTGGAGGGCGAGAGGGGGAGGGGACAGGAGTACCTGGTCGTCGGACAAGGCGTGGGATTGAGACATCGCGGTGGTTTGAGGGGGTGAAGCTGGGAGCCGGTGGACAGGAGCTGTGAGGTTGAGGAGAGCTTGAGCTACGATAAGAAGCGGCAGGCAGGGTAGCTATTAAAAGAGGCTAGCGCGTCACATGATCTGGGTTATGAATTGTGATTGTACAGTCCTTGTACATGAAGTCAATTAACTGTTCCACAGCTTGAAATTTGTGACAGTGCAATTGCCATGTTCTTCTCGTCATCCTTGAAATGATAGCCAAATTCCATGCTGGAATCGTTAATCTCCCTTGACCGTGGAACAGCCTTGTCCAGCAAGCGAGACCTGCTGGTTAGATGCAGGTCATTCGGCCTTGACCGCGGTTCTCGAACCACATACTCTCAGCTCTCACCAGACGCCGCCCTTTTCTCTGCAATTCTCCTCACAACGCACTTTTCTAGCGGGTCGTGATACCAATCTTAACCAAATGAAGCCTTGCGACACTGTCACTGCGTGATGGGAAACCTTGGCGACCTGTCGCCAGGAGGAAGTGTAGCTGTACGTCTCTCCCTCCACTCCCTCTCCAGCCTCACTCATTGACACTTCTGCCACCTACAGATAGGAATTCTAGTCGGCCTACTATCTACGAGTATCCAGAGTCTCGGTCTGACCCTACAACGGAAGTCCCACCTTCTGGAGGACGAGAAAGACCAATATGAACCGCGACGACCTCCTTACAGACGGCGGCGATGGCAGCTGGGCATGGGGATGTTCATTATTTCGAACCTGGTGGGGAGCACGATCCAGATAACAACTCTGCCATTACCAGTGCTGTCGACGCTGCAAGCGTCAGGCCTGGTCTTCAACTCGATATGTGCCACCTTGATTTTAGGGGAACCTTTCACTCGCTGGTCTTTGGGAGGAACGATGCTGGTATCGAGCGGTGCGGTGCTGATTGCTATCTTCGGCGCAATACCGGAACCGGCGCATAGTCTGGACCAGCTGTTATTATTATTAGGGAGGAGGTCCTTTGTGGTGTGGATGGTTCTGCAAGCCATCTTGGTTATAGGAATCATAGTGCTTGCGGGATTCCTGTCGAACATAAGCATATCTTCAAGTCCGCGGATACGGCTGTTCAGAGGATTGGCATACGGCAGTATAAGTGGGATCCTGTCTGCCCATTCGTTACTCGTGGCGAAGTCAGCGGTGGAATTACTGGTTCGCACAATCGTGGACAGAATCAACCAGTTCAACAGATGGCAATCTTGGGCCATTCTACTAGGGCTCGTCTTCCTCGCGCTCACACAACTCTACTACCTCCATCGGGGCCTCAAGCTGGTCTCTACGAGCGTCCTCTACCCCCTCGTCTTCTGCATCTACAACATAATAGCCATACTCGACGGCCTCATCTACTTCAAGCAAACGGACCGACTGAGCGTCCTACACGCCTGTCTCATCGCCCTCGGGACCGTGATCCTCCTCTCTGGTGTCCTGGCCCTCTCCTGGCGCCTTTCAGACGATCAAACTCAACCAGCAGTCGCACAGTCCGCACTCGCCCCTGGTTTGGGGTTCGTGGAAGACACAGACAATGAAGAATACTCCGACTCCTTCAACGCCGACGAAGAAGCCGCCATAATCTCCGAAAACCAAGCCCTCCTGAACGGCGAGCCCATGATACCCACCACCAAAATCGACACCGTGCTTGGAGCCACGCGTCCTCTACGAAAGACCGTCCGTCTGACAGAGGCCGACGAGATCTGGGGCGAGCTCGAAGACTCAGACACAAAATCAGTAACTCCTTCACCACGACCGCTGCGTCGTGTCTCAACTACTCTCCCTCCCCCAGCTGTAGGAGACGGCGCAGAACCAGATGAATCAACCTCCCTCCTCCGCTCCAGCACCAGTTTAAGCCTGAACGCACGAAGAAAGCGACGACGCTCAACTGGCTTTCCGGGCTTCATCCCTCGTCCTTCGCCAAGAGGATCTAAACGCCGCAGTACGCAGACGCAGGATGCGCTGGGCGGCTTCTGGAAAATGAGGTGGTGGAGGGATAAAAGGGGGAAGGGGCCTGATCCGGGGGGTGAAGGGGATGCTGGGCCAAGCGGTACGATATGAGTGGGTTGTGTATAGATACATCTGGATGAGATGGGAGAGCTAAACTGCATTCTGGGTTCATGAGGACTGGCGCTAGATTTCAATTGCAAGGCGAAGAGGAGTTGGGATTCCCGTTGAACTGTCATTGTACGGATTGGGTGAGGAAAGGGGTGAGTGTGCGATCTATGATCCTGGCTCAGAACAGGACAGGACAGGATAGGGTAGCATATACGGAAGAGCTTGTTTCTGGATTGTATAGAAGTCAGCACAAGAGGACACCCTTTCCCACTGTCCCACGCCAACTTCCTGATCCCAACTTTATTCTCTTCTTCGTTTCGTTTCTCCTCAAAGGACCTCCACCTTGGTGGCAAAACGTGGGCAAACAAGCTCCAAATTTTTGTTCTGTTTTGATATTCATCACCTCCGCCCTCAAGTCACGAGGTCAAAAAGTATGTGATACAAACTCCGATCCCTTTCCTTCCTACTCAGATAAAGATCACATAACACTCCTTACTCAGACGAAACCTCCAGCCCTTTCCATCCAAAATGTAAGAAAAATTCGCTGTTTTAGTCTCCCTGGTGTTTATAACTTCAGACGAAAGCGAGGAACGGCACTGGGATCCATCCATTCCACACCGTCACGCCAGGGAAAGGAAACCAACGTTTAATTTACAACCCAGATTCAACGTCCCGTCAAGTGTTGTAGCCAGCTCGGTTGGGACATTCAGTTCCACGCCTAAGTAAAGCCCAATGTACTATACAGTAAGTATATCACGTGAACACTTCTTCTGCAGCACTTTGCGAATATCTTCAACCCCCAACCCCAAACCCAACCATCCTTTCCCTTTCAACCTCGCTACAACCGCACCTCCCACCTCCCAACACCCAAACTCCGTTTTCTTGGAAAAAGCTCAAGCACAACCCATACCCTCCCTCCCTCTTGTACAACAAACAACACCCCCACCCCCACAAAATCCCCCCTCCTCCCATTACAAAAAAAAAAACTCAAAGATCGTGCATGCATGCAAGGCTTTGCCAACCCGCCCAGATTGGGTGCACAGATACACGACATGCTGCATCCGCTCTACTCTGTTCCCCAGCCTCAGTTCCCTTCCCCGCGGTAGCCAGGAGATGTGACATGTACTGTTCTCTTCTCTTCGTCTCGTTGTTTGTCCAACCAGTCCCGTCCCATCCGTTCTTCCGTCTGTCCGCCTGTACCTTGCCGACCCGTCCTGTGCGAGCAAACAAAACTTTGTCCAGACGTCATTTCATGAGAACTTTTGCACCTCCCAATTTCGTGAATGTCCCAAGATAGTTTTGGGACAAACGAAAATATATCTGGGCCAGATATTCAAAAACACAATGAGATGAAAGTCACAATTCGGACGAAAAGAAAAAATGGCAAAATCAAAGATCTTGTCTTATTGATAATATCACCGGTTGATCAGCAAATCCCGCTTCGCCATGCGCACCGGCGAAACCGAAAAGAGACTGTGTTCTGTACTATACATCTGAAGAGCCTGGAACCCCATCCCGCCGTTCACAAAGAGCAATCAAGTCAAGGCCAAGTCCCGAGCAAAGAGGAAACTGCCCATCACAAATGCAGTAGTCGATCAGACCCGATCCGATCGATATCCGCGAATATGCAGCCAGCCGGAGAGAGAAAGAAGAGAAGAGACATGCTGACGATGATATGCAGCTCTCCCTCCGACCCAGTTCCCTTCCTCCCCGTTCCTCGACCAACTCCCTCCATGATACCCCGTCCAAAAAGAGTCTCCTTTTCTTGAGAGATCCGAGACGTACGAGCCAGTGAGAGAAATTATCTCATTATTTGCGTAATGTAGTTTGCGATTTTTGTAGAGAGAAAACGGGAGAGAGCTCTGTGCATGGAAGTCAAGGTGGAAAAGAAAACCCATATGAAGACACCAAACACCAATATGACAAGCAAGTAACGTGAGGAGTTCCCGAGACCCGCAAGACACGAACGTTGTTACGCGCAGATTAGTGTGTCGGGTATCAGTGTAAAGAGTAGCTCGGTCCCCGCTCGTATACTAGGATCCACCGGCGAAAGGTTGGGTTTATGCTTGATGCGAGTGTTGTTGAGGGATACCAGCCTGAGGTGGCATGTAACCACCGCTTCTTTGCTGTTGAGCAACGTAATTTTGGTATGCCAGGGCTTGTTGTTCCTGGAGGGTTTGAGGCATGTACCCTGGGTGCATGTTCGCTTGCGGTGGGATGTTTGCACGGTTTTGTTGCTGTGGAAGGTGTTGCGGGGTAGGTTCTTCAGGTGAGTCGACCGCGTTCGAGTCGTCGACGCCGTTCTCGCCATTGCCTGCGGGTTCTGGAGCATTCAAGCAGGCCTAGTACAATCAGTAAATGTTTATTGAATCAATTGGCGATAGCGACATACCTGGATCAGGTTCTTTCCTTCAGCCTTGGTGACAAGAGGTTGAAGCTTGGGTGTTGTGAAAGTATAGACCAGACCAGTCTCGGAGACAACGAGCAGGAGAACTTGGGTGCCGGTGAGTACAGACAATTCGTATGCCTATGAAGGGGTATCAGTACGGGTTTCGTGAAACAGAAAACAGGGATTGGCGCGACAGCGTGATGTCGCGCAGTCGCGTAGATGAAGCAATTGATACTGACCTTCTTCATGATACCAGCCTTCCGCTTGGAGAATGTGATGTGACGGCGCGACTTGTCGGTGATGAACTTGATCTCAATCTTTCTTCGCTCGCGTCCGGGCTTATCGTCGTCATCGTCATCGTCGTCGGCGGTCGAGGGCCGTTGACGTTTGATGCCGCGAGACTCGCCCACCGCATTGCCGTTTCCGGCAGTGTGCTCGTCGAGGGCAGATGGCGATCCTTGGTCGTGTTGGTCGGTGATGTCGGCCATTGTGGTAAGATCTGTAAGGTATGACGAGAATGACTCTTTTGAGTTGCGTGCCGATGACCTTACTGCTTATGGGGGTGGAGAGGCTGTTGTCCTGTTTTTGTCGCAGATACCTGGTCGCGAACAGCTGGATTGAGGTTGGCGCGAGGGAGACGCCGAGAATTCAGCCTACAGTTCGAGACTGGAGGTGCGAATTGGCTGGAGGCGTTGCGACCGTTTGGGGAAATGTTCCTGGGGCTGGTGTCGTGCTGGGCTGGGCTGAACTGGGCAGCTGGGGAACCTGAATAACAAACAGTGGGATTAATGATTGATCAGGCAAGGTGTGAGTGAAAGGGCTGTGGTGCGGGTGCGGGATGGCAGAAAGAAGAATAGATTGAGAGCACAGGCGAATAACGCAAGGAAAGATGGCGGGAGGCTGGGGGGGGTGGGGGGTGGCAGCGGCCGACGGTCGAAGTGGTCGAGGCGGCCCTAGGCGGCGTCGCCAGAGCTAGAGCTCGGAGCAAGTACGTACTCCCTACTCCTGCACTGCAGTCTGCAGCCCGTGCAACGCGGCGCGGCCAGCGAGGAGCAGACTTCGATAGGCGTGCTGTGCTGTGGGTGTGTGGTGCTTGGTGCGTGGTGCTTGGTGCGTGGTGCTGTATCCGGTCGTTTTGGGGGCTGCTGCAGCGCTTGCTGCGTTGTGTTTCCTTGGGGGGCCCTGTCTGCGGCACCGAAGACCGGGCCTGTGTGACGCTGCGCTCGCAGCTCGCTGCACAGGAGCCCTCCCTCCGCACAGCGGGACCAGGCCGCGAGGGCTGGAGCGAGGAATGCGGCCACGGCGTTGGTGCGAATAGTTTGTATTTGTTCCGCGTGCGCCGGTGAACATCGGACGAGGATTGATTAATTGCTGTCCGAAGAGTGCTGGGCACCGGGAAAGGAGAACATCTGATGGTGCAACTGCACGCGCTATTCTTGGAACAGATCAGAGTGGTGGCTGCATTGAAACAGCGACGATGGCGCACTGCGCGATCGCACTCTGCAGAACTCGATGTGATGGCCGCTGTCCATCACTTCATTTCGAGTTCTGCCGTTCCGCTTGCTCGGGCGGCTCAGGGGGCCTCCCCACCCCCCTCCCTCGGCCTCAGACTGCGGTGAGCTTTTTCGAGGAATGAGGGGTCGAAAGCCCTGTCAGGGGAAGGGGGAAGGGGGAAGGCTGCGAGGAGGGGAGTTTCCAGTCTGCACCTGGCATGAGATCGCCAAGTTGGACTGTTTGAGTTGACTCGGCCCCAAAGGGGTTGGTCACTCAATGGTTGCAGCTGCCGCGCTATTGCGGAGGCGGCCAAGCGCTCGTGCTCGTGCTCGTACTGGAGCGTCGCGATGTGGGAGGTGCTGTGCTGTGCTGTGCTGTGCTGTGCTGTGCTGCTGTGCTGGAGAAGGAAGAACGGCGCAAAGAAAACGCGTCGACATACCTGATTGAGAGACTGTTGATCCGGAAACGCAATCCTCCTCTCCTCTCGTGTAATCCAGCGGGTCGGAATGGTGCTTGTGTCGATGTCGCTGTCGTCTCGCTCGCAGGGATTGTGTCGTGCTGTCGACTCGTCTTTGGACGCGCTCTCAATGCCAAAATCCAAGTCGGGGCAAGTGGCAGTTTCTGTTTTCAGACAGAGGATTCGGTCGCCTTTATTAAGGATGGCGCGCCTCTGGGCCTAGCGCTAGTGAGTAAGCAGAGCAGAGGAAGGCAGGAGGCAATTGCCGAGGGGGCGGAGGAGGCGCACGTGAGAGCGGGGGATCGCGGGGTCGGAGATCGCGAATAGATGGCTGGGAAGATGGGAGATTGGCTACTGTAGTGGCAATCTTGGTGGATTTCGTTGTTGGAGTCGGGGTTGGAGTCGTTGGTAATGGAAATCGCAGGTCGTTGTCGTTGTTTGTGTTGATATTAGGAGGCCTGAGAGTTTGATTGTGTCATAAATTTATCTAGCGAAGACGGCGACGGCTCAACGTGGCCGACGCGAAGGATCATTCACTTCTTCGACCTTTGGAGAAGCAGCCACCGCTCCGCTTTCGCCGTTCTTGTCTTTTCGAGAATGTATCTGGTACCTGTTTGTGCTCTCATGTGGTGAGATCCTTCGAAAGGGGCAAACACATTCTCATTCGAGGTGTGCATTCAGGGCCGAGTCGATCGAAGTGACATTCATCTCGTACCTGCATACTCTTCATGAGGGCGGACGCTGATACTCCTCTCAGGTTCAGAGTGAATACAACAATTGGTCCATTTAAATCTTGTAAACCTACTTGCAATTAGAATAGAAGTCCATCCTTGGCAGCATTCCATCTGCTCGCGTGTGGCTTTCTCGTCTGGAGGTGGCGCTGCTTCACATTTCTCTATCGGCACGGAAAATTTCTCCGACTCCCTTTGCTTTTCTTAAATGTTGCGTGGGATATAATCAAGAATTCCCTTCCTATCAGTCGCTGCCCTATTGTTTAATCAAAAGAGGGGCTGAGCAAATGTAACGGGAAGGATGAGTACCTTTCCCTTTCTTCCTGCGCATAAACTTCAGGGCTGCATGCCCCTTATCAAGTAATGGAGTGGGGGGTATACTAAGATCTCCACTTAAACTAGTCTGAACTTCCAAGTTGGATGCATTTTGAGAGGTGTTGTCACGTGACTGGGAACATTCAACATCTGCATTGCCTTGTTAAAGATTTACTCCTTATACTCTACTAGCACCAAACTGTCCCAAGAGGGTCACTTATTGTGCTACAAAAAGGAACTCCTAGATGTTACAAACATTCCCCCAAATCAGAAACATAACGTGATGTTTGTCACGTGCATTATAAGGTTCCACTCCTCCCTTTTTTTTTTATACTGTGTGGTCAGTCGAAACTACCACCTCAACTCGACAATAGGTTATGGCTTCCCTCGACCTCAGCTTTCTTTAAGACAATCCAGAAACCATCTAGATACGTGATTATCACGTGCAGCCTAAATGCTCCCCCACTGCGGGCCATTTCAATGCATCTCTCAGTCCACGGCTGCAATCGAACCATTCATACCTCAAGCTGCTACAGGCATGTCACGACAAACATCTGCACCAAGCCTCGAATCATCAGTTCCACGCAACCCATGAGAAAATCCCTATCAAAATTAACCAAAAGTCTAAACATGGACGTCCTTTATCCTGGCTCCCAATCCCTCCCCCAAACCAGCACAACGGTTCTCGCGGGCGGCGCAACCAAATCGAACCAATGTGGTCACCTTGAACGAATCAGCATCCAAATAGACCTGCGATTGGTCCGTGCCGAGCCAGCCCTGCCGAGATTCTCTGCCTCAGAGTGCGGCCCTCGTGAAGCAACTCCAAAACACCAAACGTCGAGGATGGCGACATCCTGGCGCCAATCCCCACAACCCAACCTGCGACATCCCCAGTTGGCACGGCCAGACCCTCACAATGCAAGTGCGTGTGTTTCCGCCTCTCTTCGTTCCAATTCTCGCTGTGGCTTCTCGATCTGTCTGTCTTTCACTTTTTGTTTCCTCTATTCTCTTCTGTACTTCTCACTTGTTCTTGCCAAGAACAGGCTTGCTCTTTCCATTCAACGTCACTCCTTATAGTTCGAGCCTGCCTACAGCGAGGCCTTTGCAGAGTTAAATTAGACGCCGGTCGTCATTGTTGGAGGAAGGCCAGCACATCGATCTTCGAATCCGAGAAACGAGAACGAGCCTCCCGTCCAGAACGATAGCAGCCGTCGTCCAAAATGCAGGACAAGATCCTCGCGACATACGTCCTTATGGACCTCCTTTTCGTCGTCTGCGGTGGATTGCTGTTGATCTTCGCGTTGGTTACGAAGTCGGAACTTACACAAACGCCCACGATTCAGAATGTTGCTACAGATCTATTACTCAACGTGTGCCCGTTGACAGGTGTGTAGCTGAAACCGTATTGTGGATGGATGGTGCTGATATGTGTCTGTAGCTGCGATCGCGAACTCCGTCCTCGTCTTCTTCACCTTCCTGGTCTCCGTCCCAGCGATGGTCGCGCCAATGACCCGCGGCTGGCTCAAATTCCACGGCTACCTCGTCGTCGTCTGCGCGATCTTCACGATGCTCATCGGTCTCACGATCTGGTTCGATACGCTCAAGACCCGCCAGAACCTCTCGGATATCTGGAATGTGCAGCCAAACACCACGCAGTCGCTTCTGCAACAGCGGGTGCGTCCTCCCTTCTTCCCTCTCTCTCGCAGCAGATACGTGGAAATGGGAGAATGGGAGAAGAGGGAATGCTGACATGATATAGTTCAACTGCTGCGGCTACAACAACGCCACCTCCCCACCATTCTTCGTCCCCGACTCCACCTGCCCGAACCCCCTCGCAGCCGCCGCGAACATCGGCTGCGTCACCCCCTTTGTGAGCTTCGCCAACACCTTCCTTGACACCATCTTCACGGGAGCATTCGGTATCGTTGGTGTTGACGTGGCGCTTATCCTCACCACAGCTATGCTGCTCAAGGATCGCAAGGAGAAGGAGAGGTATCGCCATATTGATGAGAAGCAGGGTACTGGGTCGTTCTAAGGGAGGTGAAGCGTAATTTCTGGGATGTGGAAGGTAAAGGGGATGGAAGATGAAAGGGGGGTTTACATTGGGTATGGAGTATTGTAGATTGGAAGGGTTTTGTTCAGTTCTGTATACAACATTGAGTGTTCTATTGATGTGTTTTCTAGCTAGGCCTAGGTTTTAGAGTATAAACTGTTCAAAACATCGCCCGAGTGCTGTCTTTGTCAGCGTGTGTTCTCTTTCATCATTTATATCACGACGACCTACTCGATGTACGATGACATAAGCTGAAATGCTGGGTTCACTCCATCTAGGCGTATCGATCCTCTTCAAGGGTGCTAAAATTGCAGGGCAGGGCTCAATCCTTCTCGATGGCGCAGTCAACCTTCTCGAGGTCGCTAAGATTACAATACAAGAAGGCTCTGGTCACTCCAGGTAAGGCTCTGTGTACACTAGGCAGAACTCGTGTGCTTTCCTTCCACAGCCTCGTTGATGTTCACGGAGCTTTGTCTGCCTTGCAGTCTCGATCCTCCTCCTCGAAGGCACTAAAATTGCAGTGCCTTGCCACACATCCTGGTGACTATTCATCGATCCTGCCCGAGGACGCTAAAATTGCAGTGACTTATGGAAATCCTCCTCAAGGAAATCCTCCTACAGCCTCGTTACCTTTAAGAATCGTGAGCTTGCCTTGCGGCATTGATCCTCCTCGAGGACGCTAAAATTGCAGTGACTTAAGGAACTCCTCCTCAAGGAAATCCTCCTACAGCCTCGGTACTTTTTAAGAATCGTGAGCTCGCCTTGGGGCATTGATCCTTCTCGAGGGCGCTAAAATTGCAGTGCAGGACGGCTCTGCGGCGGAACCAGTGTGCTTTCCTTCCACAGCCCCGTTGATGTTCACGGAGCTTTGGCTGCCTCGTGGTCTCGATCATCCTCGAGGACGCTAAAATTGCAGTGCCTAAGAAAGTCTCAGCTAAGAAAATCCCCGTACAGCCTCGTTACCTTTCAAGGATCGTGAGCTGGCCATGGGGCATTGATCCTCCTCAAGAGAACTAAAGTTGTTGCTGGGCAAGCACTGAAATCTTGTTGTGTGATGTGAAGCTTGAATTGCTGTCTAGGCGAGATTTTGCTATCTGAGTAAAGCTAAGCGAGAAGCGCCAAGTGCATACGATTCCCTAGCAGTTGTAGTGCATGGGCAGCAACGCACATAAGCTCTACTAACGTGGCCATGTAGTCCTTTGAGTGGTGCAGAAACGCATATTCAAATGCTGGCACTCGTGAGCCTTCCTTCCCCAGCCTCGTTGATAATCAAGAATGTCAAGGTAACTTGGGGAATCTATCCTCCTCGAGAACGCTAAAATTGCAGTGCGCATGTGCATGATCAGGCTGAGATGCAGCATGAACCCCCTTCCACAGCCCGCTCAACAGTTTAGAATCTTTGGCTGCCTTGTGGTCTCGATCCTCCTCGAGGGGGCTAAAATTGCAGTGACTGTGTCGCAGGAGTTCGGGCGTCGACAGCCTCGGTAGCAGTCAATACTTCCAAGCTGACCCTAGCGTATCGAAGCCCTCGAGACCACTAAATTTGCAGTGCAGCTGCAAGCCACCAACAAAGTGTCTCTGTAGCCTTCCTTCACAGCCTCGTTGATTTTCCAAATCTTAAACTAGCCTAACCTGTGAGTACTCTCCTTCCTTTCCTTCAGACTTCCTTTCTAGTGAATTTCGGGTTTTATCATAGCACGGGTAGGTCTTTTGGAAGCAGTGATGTCTTCGATTTCGGATACTGTTAAAGTCAAGCTAAGGCTACACAGAACGACGGGCTAAGTAGAGTTGGTGTCCGAGGTGAAATTGTTCTAAATATCCTGTGGTCAATTCCGAATCCCTATGTATTCTTCCTTGGCCTAAGATGAGTGGGCTCACCAGAACCTCATCGAGCGTTTGTGTAGTCGTCATTTCTTCGCTCACCTAGCCAAGATGGTATGGGTCTCTTCAAGTTAATATCCTTGAACACAAACGAAGGTTGACCAAGCTGAGACAACAAATTCATTGTTTGCAACAGACGCTGGTAATGCGATGCCGCAACTTTCGAGAGTCTTCTTACTGAGTGATATCAGAGGACATCGTTGGATGACGCTCGGTTGGAGATACATGGGACCTTGGGACCTTATTTTCTAGCGCGAAGGCCACAGACCACGGGACCACCACTACTTGCAACGGGAGAACTAGAATATGTCATGTCAAAAACATCTTGCCCTAAGTGTATCTAGGAGATGGGCAAGTTATACGGTCATGGCCAGATGTGCAAGCCCTCAGCGTGGTGCTCTCCCTCCAGCTTAGCGCAACCTGCACCCACTACCATCCCACAAACTTGTCCTTTTCACACAACGCTCCTATATTTCTCTTCTAACACAAGTCGAAGTTTGCATTCGTTGTCTTTCTAGCTTGGAACCGAGAAGTAGCTTGAAGTTCCCATAGGCCCGTCTTTCAAAGCTTGATATCAATACGAGTCCTTTAAGTCGGGTCTGGTCGCCTCCCCAATCAACCACAATGTCTCCATTCCCCATGCTCACTCCCCTCCGTAGAGAGGTAGTCCAGATGCCTCATCCGTTCGATCTACAACATCTCAATGTGACGGGCCTTGATCGGGAGAATCTAGCAAAGATCGTCTGTGAACTCCCGAGTGGCTTAGAGAACGGAAACGAGGACGAGGACGAGAAAATCGAACTACGAGTCGCAGCCCTTGTTGTGATTCTCGTTGCCTCGACTGCATTTACCGTTTTGCCACTCTTTCTGAAGAAGCGGTCGCGTGACGGAGTTGCAAGACGGTTCTACGACGCTTTCAAGTACATTGGCGCTGGGGTTATCATCGGTACTGCATTCTGCCAGTAAGTGCTTGTTCATGCTCGAGACAAGAGGCGCGTGAGGAGTACTGTACTAACGGAGGCCAGTCTGCTTGATTCAGCATTCAAGGAAATAGGGCCACAGAGCTGTGTCGGCATGACTGGCAACTGGGCAGGTTACTCTTGGCCGCCAGCTATCATGCTCGCCTCTCTCATGTGGCTGTTCCTTCTGGAATTCGGTGTTGGGTACTGCGTGGAGTCCACAAGGTGGTGGGTATACTTCTTTCGCATTTCATCTGGTCTCCAAGGTTTGTGAAGCATGGGTAATGCTAACTCGATCATCAGCGTCTCTCAAAGCCCCTCGGCCGCAGAATTATTAGCTGCCCAACCAAAAACGTCTGGAGCAGCCCTCCTGCCGCAAACCAATCAACAATCGTCCCAAGATTCTCTCCAAAAAGAAGAAGGAAGGGGAGAAGAAGTAAGGCGAGATAACACACCCACGACCTCATTCACCCAAAAATTCACCACCATCCTCATCCTCGAGTCCGGCATCATCTTCCATTCCATAATCATCGGCCTCAATCTAGGGACCACCTCATCAGAGGAACTGACGTCGCTATGGATTGTCCTCTCCTTCCATCAAACATTCGAAGGTCTGGGTCTCGGCGTCCGCCTCGCGGAAATAGAGTTCCCAAAGAAGAAGGAGTGGATAAAGTGGGCTCTCTGCGTGCTTTATGGATTGACGACGCCGGTGGCGATTGCCGCTGGACTGGGGTTGAGGAGGAGCTATGATGCTGGGAGCTTCGAGGCGAATGTGGTTAGTGGTGTCCTTGACTCAATCTCAGCGGGGATTTTGGTTTATACCGGGCTGGTGGAGATGTTGGCGAAGGATTTCTTGTTTAATTCTGAGATGAAGACGAAGGGGAAGCGAGAAGTGGGAGTACTGGTATTCTATGTGTTGTTGGGTGCGGGCCTCATGGCGTTGTTGGCGAAGTGGGCTTGATGTGCCTTGGATCTGTTGAAGAGTGTAGGATAGTAGGCGATGGTCTGGTAGCTTGTCAGATTTTTGAGATCCCGGAGTTTTGGAGAGATACCCCCCATCGTCATAGTTGATGCTTACTTCATTGTTCCTGTTTGACTTCCAATTCGCAGCGTGACAGCAATAACTGCTTTACTGGATTTGCTCACAAAGCCTTGGCCACGGACGGCTTACCTATGCTAACAGGAGAATAGATATAGATTCGTAGCAACAAAGTAATCGAGGAAGTACTCATAAATCGCCATCGCGGCTATATGACAATCCCAGGGAAAGAGCGACGAGCAGGGACGGTGAACGAAAATTTCGAGGGGTGAGGAACAGCAATTGGCAACATGTGCCGATAACTTATCGAGCAGTTCTCAAGAAGTAAGAGACCAGAAAGGTTCTAGCAGACTTCTGGCACCTCCCGACTTCCAGGTTCTGCTTGAACGTTCATCAGAAAGGTCGACTATCCCTGATTCCGGATGCCCCCTTGTGGTGACCTCCAATGGTACAAGCCGTTGTAGTCTGCCCATGAATCCTTTTCGAGGTCTATAGGAGATTGGGTGATGGAAAGAAACGTTTAATGAGAGAATCAATGCCTAGATCTTCATTTGGGTTTGGTCATGGCCGAGGTAAGAAGGATCCTTTGACGAGTCTGGGCTCTTTGAGTTCTTGAGGCTAGTCGATGACTACAAATCCCCTTCCCCATGCACATGCAACTAGTCACTGCCCCCCCGCCTTAAATTTACTAGAAGAGTGAACTCTTATTGAAAATATTCCAGTGTCAGATTAGCTGTTCCTGAGCTCTCTCTATCTTTCAATTTAAGCTCGCCGTTTCAAGTGACTTGCCATCAATCGGCTGCACAGGATGAAGGAAGGACGATGAAGCTCCCCAGCATTCTCTTGTGCTGTTTCAAGCAAGCGTGCTGTAGCGCGCAGTAAACAGAGGGCTAATTTCTTGGAACTTCGAGAGTCACTATATAAGAGTCTCTGCAATTCTTCAGAGGTTCAGAGAGATATTGCGTTTTGTGAATGAGCCTGTTAGCTCGATCTTAGTAGGAGGGGAACGGGAGCTCCAACAGGGTTAAAGAAGAAATATTTTGTCGGTCTTTTCTTTTTGGAAGATATCGATCCTGTTCGGGGTTTTGGTAAGGAGAGCGCTGAGAGCAAAATTGCCCGAGGGGGTTACCCCTTTTCAACAATATCACTACGATATAAACGACCCTCCACCTCTTCAGCAGACAATGCCTGCATACCTACCATATTCAATCCCTATCGAGAGTGCTAGACATATCGCATTAGCGACCGCAGTCGATGTTCGAGAAGACCAAAAAATTTGCGGGCAGAACTCCCGGAAGGAGTCGATACGAAGACAACTGAACCCGACTGCGAAGAGCCAATCCAAGGCCAAGCACGAACATGGAACGCATCCCGAGACCTGTTGCAGGTACAGTATTCATTTCATTTTTTTCATCAATTCATTCACGCCTCTCTGAGCATGCTATATCCAGCACAACCCACTATCTCATTTATGATCTACCAAACAAACATTATCGCGGCCAACCCCCCGTCCGGATCACCATTCGTCACAACTTGAATGGTAGCCTACATCCCCTCCAAACCACTACCGCCCGGGATTTCAATCCCCGTCATGCAGAAATTGCCCAGTCCTTGTTCTATAAAGGTTGGGCGCACGACGGTGTTGAATGCTGAGCCGACGGCGGAACCGAAGCCGATGTAGACGGCGACGTTGGCATCGATGCTAGACAACGGAGTTAGTTTAGGATTGATTAGGAATAGGTGGGGAAGGGGATAAGGCTTGGTGGGTGGAAATATGAAGGATGAGACTTTGAAGGGGGAATTTGGGGGTTAAGGAAACGCACTAGCCCATTGTCAACGCGATAGACCCCCCCGAAATGGGAAAGGAGGTGCGGTTGGTGGAGACGGTGTTTTGGCCGCCGCAGGGGAAGGTGCCGAGTGTGTCTTCGTCGAGACCTCGCGCGGTTGGGTAGTCAAGGTTGAAGTGTGCTGAAGCAAGAGAAGTGAACGCGGCCAGCGCGGTGAGGGAGTGTGTAGTCTTCATTTTGAAGAAGTTTTGAACAGTGGTCCTACCGATTATAAAAGTACAGTCTTGCTGTAATGACTATGAAAAGAAGAAGAAGAAGAAAAAAATAATGAAAGGTCAGAGAAAATACAAGCTGATGATTAGATGATGTTTATTCGAACTGGAGATCGAATCAAGCCATCTGAGGGTCTCTATCGTTATGAAGCCTCCCAAGAGTTTCTCTGAGTCCGAAAGAGCTACTTTGATCCTGTTGTCAGGGTTCAAGCCGTGCTCCACGTTCTCTGGCGTAGCGTTTTGGAATCCGAAGCTAGCTTCAAATCAATCATAGAAACACGCTCATCCGGGTCCGCATTCTCCATACAATTTGCGGTTGCACTTACAGTGAAGGTCCGAGACGAAAGGTGCCAAGATGTCAAGAGCAGAGATGGGGAGTAGGAAGAAGTTATGAGCAAGATGCTTTAAGATGTTGTGAAGCGTGTAAAGCCTCAGGGTTGAGATATACATTAGAGAGATAAAGTTGAAAGTTAATGTGGGGAATATTGAAACGACAAGAGGGTGAGGAATGGGCGCAAAGTTTTGAGAGGGGTAGAGAAGGTTCTCTCGGGAGTTGGTGAAGCTGGTGCTTGGTGGGGAGTTGCGGAGAGAGTTGTTTCGAGTGAAGCTTATGGAGGATGTGAAGGCTGGCGAGAGGAAATCGTCCCGGCAAGGCTCGGCTGGGGAGAAGTTTATCCCGTCTCGACTTACTCTCGCAATGGTGAAGATACATTCTGTTCTCGAACCACACAAGCCCAAATAAACTGACCGAAGGCTGTGATGAGGTAGACGCTCAGATACTCAGAGCCTTGGGAGGCTGGTTGTTTCACTGAAACAACAATCGTTGTCAGGCCGTCAAAGTTCGATATGGAGTGTGAGGTTGTAGGCAAGCGAAGTTCGACGAGACGAGATCTGGTAGGGAGAACCCTTTATTGCACCAAGATGTTTAATTCCCCGTGTTGAGCAGGTTTGCGCACATTTCCGCGGGACAATAGGGTTAAAGTGAGTGGAAATTCTCCGGCCATTGCTAGTGCTTCATGGCTCGATAAGAGATGGGAATGTCTTTTAAAGATACCCGCACCAACTCGAAAAGAAAATTTGTGTAAATAATCAAACAATAGTAAAAGATACGTTTGTGGAATATTTGTAGAGGCACCTCTTTTCAGGCCTGACTTGGCCCCAGCTTCAAGACATATCCCAGAAAATGAAAGTATCAAGACGTTAAAAGGATAGGAGGTCAACTCATTAAATTGAATACCTGTTGACTGTGAAGTCTTGTGTATCAACAGCCACTGAAACGCCCCCCACCAGCCCTATTCACAACCAGCTACCCAAGACCCAGCAGTGCCCGCAATGCAACGTCTGAACATGTATTCATTTTCTCATGAAGTATACAACAGCTTTAATGTTCGAAAGCGATAACGTATCGGCCGAGAGCAAGACTACCAAGGAATGTACCAGCGAGAATTGAGAGGAAATAGCCAACGTTCATTGTCATGACAGCCAACATTCTGCAAATATATTAGCAGGTTGAGCAATGGTTGGAGCAACAATGCTTACAGCAAATATCCAACGCCAGCAATAACGGTATCCATAGCAGCGCGAAGTGGGTCGGTAGTGATTCTCCATGGCCGGATACTCATGCTTCTCTTCTTCACAACCATAACGTCCTCCTCAACGCCATTCTCTGTCAAAATCATCCTCTTGCTGTCGCTGTCGGAAGCGATGCGCTCAGATTTGGAAAGCTTTCCGGCAACGGTGACATATCTTCGATTGAACTCAGCATCCAGCCACGCGGTCTCTTTCCACGCCTTCATTGCCAGCAGCCCTCGGAATATAGTTGCGAGAATGACGAGGAATATGCAGGTTCCGGCGTATTGGCCAGTCGATGTTGGACTCCACGTTGCCGAGTAGAGGGGCGTCGTTGTGCTTGTGAAGAAGCCCATGGACAGCATTGACATTGACGTGACTGTCGTGTTGGCCATCGTCGACATGTCCATTGTTGCGGTAGGGGTGGGGGGTTGAGTGGAGTTGATCAATACTCTGCGTCGAAGTTTAGATTTTGGGGTACTTGTATGGCGGTGGTTAAAAGATGAGGCTGAATTGATCTGTGAGAATTATTTGCTTGCTAGAGGAAGGAAGCGCGCAGGCACAGATATTTCAAGGAAAGAGAGACAGTGAGGGCGATTGAGAAAGTATGAGAAAGTCAACGGTGGGGCAGGGCCAGTGGGCTCTGAACTGTTTCCGCATTGAGTTGGTTTTGAGAAAGCTTCTCTCTCACTGGTTCCAAGGGCTTGGTTTGCATGGGCTGCAGCGCGGTGCGTGTGCAAGAGCTGTTGCCCTCCGTGTTCCGAGCAATGCTTTGCCATGCACTGAGGTTGCCGGCGCTCTCGCTGATGAGGGAAACTCTCTCAATCTCGCGCACGCTTGCCCCGATCCAGAAGCCACTGCTGGCTGCCCTGCAGTCACGTGAGTGCGCCTGACTTTATCTTAGGTTCTCATTCACAACATTGTGTATCCGTTAATCAAAATCTAACAGCAGCATCAAGTACAGAACACCATGTTCAACCTTCTGTTGCTCGCATCACGTCCAATGCTTGGTGGTATGATTTGTGTTTTGTTTTCCCTCGAGGGTATTCTGCCAAGCACGTCAAAGCGTAAAGCAGCCTCGACCAAGCTGTTCCCAAACGATCGCCATCCGCGGGATCCCTGCTAGCGACTTCCAAACCTACTTGTCTGCATCGCAAACGTGCTCGCAGTCTAGACAATCTTTCTAGCTGGAGTCGACAACTTCGGGTCTATCACCATTCCTATTAGACCTCCTATCCTCGCCCCCAAAGATCAACATTGAAACATGAGGCAGACAATGCAGATCGATCGTGTCCCAGCAGGATGGTCTACCAAGGGACGTATGTTAAGTTTCATTGTGCTTGGATTTGTGAGCTCATTTGTACTTCATTCCCAATCCAAAGTGGACGTTTAGAGCTTGGCGGTGTCTGAAGCAAAGCATGAACTTTCTCTCTGGGAAAGATGGCCTTTCGCTCCTTCCCATCTGGCTAATCCTTTATGCTCCTTTCTAATTTCAATCCAAATCCGCTTCTCACTGAGGCATGCGTATGTTGAAGCCAACCCAAAGGAAACTTACCTGCAGCTGGCTCTCACGATCTCTTCTTCCCTGTATAATTTGTAATTTTCTTAGAGGGAATTCTTCCACCTATTCGGTTTCCCTAACGACTTTACGAGAAACGACCGCGAAGATGGACATGTCAATTCTGTCGATGTCCATGATGGGAGGGATGGCCGCGGGTGTGCCGAGTCTCTTGTATATACAACAAATCTTCTGGGCTTTCGTTGGAACGGCAATAGGGGTTGCTGCTCTTGCCAATATCCTCAACAAGGTAATCTACCACCGAAGGATAACTTCCCGAAGCACCACTCCGAATGCCGCGATGCCAAAGTCGTTCTTCTTCCGTGCTCATGCATCAATGTCTGCAGTTATCAGGGAGTATGGATACTACTCTTTAGCTCTCACATTCCGTAAGACGCATTTCTACCTACCTCCAGTTGGGTCTACGACGATCCTCCTCTCCTACATCGCTTTAATTCTTGTCAGCTGTTCCTACGCATTCGACCCAGAAAATATCCTGCAGTGGGAGGACGTTGGATACCGGGCTGGTTTCATCGCAATTTGTCAAATTCCACTGGTCGTCCTGCTTGCCGGAAAACGGAATATTATCGGATTCCTCACCAGCGTTGGGTATGAACGATTGAATTGGCTTCATAGATGGGTGGCTCGATCATTGCTCCTCACAGTTCTGATACACATGGGTTTCTTTGCGAGGAAGTGGGTGATGTTCGACTACCTCACCATTAAAACTCAAGAGGATCTTCTTACCATTAAGGGCTTAATCGCAGGTGGAATCTTACTGTGGCTTGTCTTGTCTTCAGTTGCACCAATTCGAAACTTCTCATACGAGGTATTCGTCGTACAGCACGTTATATCCTGGCTCGGCTTCCTGATTGCCGTCTTCGTCCACGTCCCAGCCGAGAATCACATCTGGATTTGGCTTCCGCTCGGATTCTGGGCGTTTGACAGGGTCGTACGTGCTTCTTATCTCTTCTACCTCAACCTGGGGCTTCTCCACAAGAATAGCACGGGCTTGGCTGCGTGCAGAGCTACTTTCGAACCTCTGGACGAAGGCAACACACGAATTACCATCGTGAACCCTCCAATCACCTGGTAAGCAGGACAGCACATGTTCCTAGCCTGCCACGTTGTTGCACCATTGTCCTCCCACCCTTCTGCCATCGCGAGTCTTCCCTCGGATGGGAGGATCGAATTCGTAGTCCGAGCAAAGAGAGGAGCAACCAAGAAATTCTTCAAATATGCAGAGAAAGCATATCCAAATCTCCCCTCAAATTCGTCTCCGCAAAACGTTGGCAGGTCCGTTCTCATCGATGGGCCTTATGCGACCATTCGACCTCTGAGACAATTCGATTCCTTGGTCTTCTTGGCTGGGTCGACGGGAGCAACGTTCACCACGCCTTTGATGCGAGATATCGTGCAGCAGTGGATGGGCGTTACTGGTCCATCGACACCATTCCTTGATCCTCCTGTTGGCGCTGTTACCCGCTGCATCAAGTTCGTCTGGGTTGTGAAGAGAAGCTCGGCGGTGTCTTGGTTCGCATCGCAGCTCGATCAGATTGTCAGAGATGTTGAAGCACTTCGCAACCAAGGACAAGATATTGCTGTCGATATCAACATCTACGTCACCGGCGAAGATGGATTGAGCACTTCCCGATCATCAACCAATGGCCATGGGTTTGAAGCACCAGGAACTTTATCCGAGAAGGACATCACTCTAAATACAATCTCCCCCTCCAAACTCAACAACAGTAGCCTCCTCGACTCTCGGATCTCGATTCTATTAAGCAGACCAAAAGTCACGAACATCATCAGAAGAATGGCGGAGGCGGCATTAGGTGAGATGGCAGTCGTTGTGTGTTGACCCCCTGGTCTGGTACAGAGCACGAGCAATTCTGCAGCGATGATTAGTGATGAGAGGGGGGCTCACAAGGGAACTGGGGCGCAGGGAATATATGTCCACGCAGAAGCTTTTGGGTATGCTTAAGAAAAGTGGGGATGGGGAGGAGGTTGTGGCTTTGCTATTAGATCCCATTCAATATTCATGATCAATTGAGCTCTTTATATCCTAATACTCTATTGCACTGTTTCCATTCTTGTTCATTAGACGAGTATTAAACGGCTTTTAGGTTTAGCGAAGGTCAACTTCTTGTTGCGAAGGTTTGTTATAGTGTTAAAATATTTTCCCACAATCCCAAAAACCTAATCTGGTTCACTAGAGGACCATACTCAAAGAGACTTGTACAAACTTATTCAACAACTCAAGCTTTCCGAGTACATCTCATTCTTTCTATATTTTCATTGAAGCGAACCTCTCATCCCCGCGCCTGACCCAAACGAACTCGTACGGTAAAAGTTTCGCTCCTGCTGTTCTCGCAACTGTACAGGGAATGAATGTTTCATCAACTAAAGAAGAAAGGGATAATGTTTAGCACATTGCAGTCCATTGAGTTCTCATCTATCTTGCTTTGAATCCGAGCTCCCCTTTAATGTGTTGAAATCATAGAACCTGGAGTTGATTTTCTGAGCCTCTGGGGGATTCTTCGGGTAGCGTGCTGTTGCTCGCCTAGGAGTGAATAATAAATAGGGGCAGTTTACTGAGCAAGCGATTTTTCCCCATCGATTTCATACTCTTTTAGGCGATAGCCTCAAGTTACACATCTACAATAAGCTATCAGTCATTTCCTTCAACCCTCAGCTCAATATAAAGGAATGGATATATGCGGACTAGATTCGGCGTTCATGGTGGGCACCCGGCATTCGGTGGATCGGTAGTCAACATAAACTAGCCCCTGACGAACGCCGACTTGTCCCCACACCTTCTAACACCCCGTTTATTTTTAGTTTATATTTAAAAGCATTGCAAGTTCAAGGAAATCTGTATTGAAAGTCTTCCAAATATTCCCTTAATAACATAGGGGAACTGTCGAGGAAAGTTATCTCGCAACTTGCACATCAAAGGCGCAGTATTTGTACACACAGAATTTGAAAGCTATGTCCCTGATCAACCCTCGGAGACTTTTGAGGGACTGCGGTGTAACTTTGGTGCGAGATGGGTTACTATAAGAGTGGTTCGATTTCCTTGGAAATTTCAAAATTGGGAAGTTCGTCAAGAGCTCATACTCTCATTTTGGGTATTGATCCAATTATTCTCCTCCCACTCAGCTCGGTTGAGCGACTCGACACCAACAATAAGACGAGTAAACAGAGACAGCCATCATGGTGCTCGCATCTTTTCGCAACCTGTGTAACCAGTGGTTCCCTCCCAAGCCTTCCTTCACAGAGAACGAAGTGCCTTCTCAACACGGCAAAGTCTTCATCGTGACGGGAGGAAATGGGGCCGTGGGATACGAGCTGATCAAGATCCTATATGGCACTGGCGCTACAATATACATGGCATCCCGATCCAAGGTAACTAACTCGCTAAGATGGACCATGACTCTGACTGCCATAAGCTAAGACTTTCCTCAGGAAAAAGCAGAAAAAGCAATCCAAGCCCTCGTTTCCTCATCCCCAGTCCCTAAAACACCAGGGCAAATCAAATTCCTGCACCTCGACCTGAACGACCTCCTCTCCGTCAAAACAGCAGCAGCAAGCTTCGCGGCCCAAGAAAGCAAACTCGACGTCCTCTGGAACAACGCTGGAGCGAGTGCTCACTCGTTCGAGATAGGAGACAGGACAGCACAAGACCTCGAGCCGTTAGTTGGCACGAACTGCGTCGCAACACTGCTCTTCACTACTCTACTTCTTCCGCAACTTCGTGCTGCTTCGTCACGTGAGTCGCCTGCGAGGGTTGTCTGGACATCTTCTTTCCTAGCCGAGGGCGCGAGTCCAATGAATGGCATCGATCTCTCTCTTCTGGAAACCGGGACGAAGGATAAGACGAGGAACTATGCCATCTCCAAGGCTGGGACGTGGATGCTAGGTAGGGAGTTCGCGAGGAGGTATGGCGGGGATGGCATCGTGAGCGTGGTGCTGAATCCGGGCAATTTGAGGAACGAGGGGTGGGCGAAGGTTGATAAGGTTACAATGTTTTTTATTAGGCATGTTTTGTATGACCCGAGGTTTGGCGCTTATACGGAGCTGTATGCCGGGTTGTCGAGGGATATTGGGATGGAGGAGAATGGGGCGTATGTTATTCCTTGGGGGAGAGTGAGGGGTGATGAGGGGTGTCCGAGGAAGGATATATTGAATGCTATTAGATCTGAAGAGGATGGTGGGCTGGGATATGCGGAGAAGCTGTGGGAGTGGTGTGTGGTGAAGTGGAAGCCATTCGTCTAGATGGAGGGACTCGCTAAGTTGGACTGAGAAGGCAATAGTAAGATAAACGGGATGCTGGCGATATGCTGAAGCACACCTATGATATTCTTTTGATCAATCAACTAAAGATTAGCTTGCATTGTTTGTCTCTTGTTGGAAGTGAAATATGTAAATGCTTCAGAGCATATTTTTGTCCCTCCAGCGATCAATATCCTATTGTTAGCCTGCCTGTTTTCATTCTGGAAAAAAAGAAAACAAACCAAGAACCATCAAGCATGATTTCAAGAGGGAATAATGTGCATCTCATGCACTGAATTTAGTGCTGGATGTTCAATAACGTATGGACGAGCACCGTTGGAAAGAACGTTAAGCTAAGGCCAATAAAAGATGTCGAAAAAGGCCGCGATTGGGAACAATTCCCTCCTGTGAAGCATCTGGTTCTCCTAAATTGTGTGAGTTCATATTGAGTTCATATCCAGACAAGGCTCGGCAAAGACCCTTAACTCTCGAATATGGGTATCACGTGATGATAACTAGATCACCATGATATTTGACGTTAACTGCTAACCCCAGCGACGTCCTGCGGTCCCAAAGCCTGGACGGGTCTGAAAGATCCCCTCCAAAGTTTCTGGGTTCAAACAAGCGGGATATAAAAATAGCCATCAAGATTGGTAGCTGCGGGGGCCGGGATCGTGAAATTGCACTTCCAGATTTGGTTCTTCCCGTGTCTTTCAGCCGTACCTAAACCTCCGCAGATGAACATTTCGATAGCGGAGATGCAATGCCCTGGCACAGATGACCTCTTGTTTACAGGGAACTAAGAATAGAAACAATTAATAAATGCGGGTTATCCTTGCTATCGGTCAATCGAAGAGGATCAAAGGATTGACACTTGCCTCAAAACGGACATCGTGATTTGTCTTCTTTGGCAAGGTCGTCGTGTGTATCTCCGATGAGCGACTTCTGAGGTCTAGATTCTTGGCTTAACTCCTTTCCCGCTGTTCAAATCAACCCCTTGAGTCTCAGTCTTGCGAAGTTTCGCGCGAAAGGTGGTGAGAGGACAAGGAAAAGGCTAGGCTCCGATCCGACCAATAATCCAAGATACCCTGCCTGGGGCTAGCAAATCGAAAGTGTCATTACTCTCCAAGAAAAGAATGATGCGAGTATTCGATAAGAAACTTCAAAGAGATTACCCAGGTCCGCAATTCACGGACGTGCGTTAGAACGAAGAGATTCAAGATAAAAGTGGATTCCTAATAAGTCATATGTCGATCGAGAATACGTCTTCATCTACCAACCATGTATCGTTTTGCGAGGACACTAGAATTGGGAAGCCTCAAGCGGTCCTCGCTCTGACTGCAGAGAATGTGGATGGTCCATCTGTTTGAAGAACTTCTTGCAAGCGCCGCTGAGCGAGCAAGCCTTTTCTTGAGTCCTCTCCCTTTTGTGGTGTGATGAAGAGACAGATGAAATTAATGAGGAATAAGGTTGAACAGCCCCTCGATCGTCGCTTTGTGTCCAGTCTGGAAGGGAAAAGCCGATGAGCCTCCCATGGACGGATGACGCATAGCAATGGAGAAGGAGCTCTATCTCAGCATGCGTCTCATTACCTCGTAGACTCTCTTCCGAAGTTCTGCGATTGCTCCCCCGGTTCTCTCTGCCTTTGTCAAAAGAATTTCCTAGTTCCTAGATCGATAGCGCCAAAAATACCCAGTTTCTTCAGTACAATGGAAGTCGAGTGAGTATCCATGGCGAATAAGTCTGCTTGACGGTTGAACATCCAAGAGTAGTTCTTTTCGGGAGGGGCAGAGATGTCTCGACAGCAGGTACCCAAGCCTCGATCCTCGACGATGTGCCCAAACCAGCCCGCGAGGTTTGATCAACGACTTCGACCTGGTAGTGGAGTCATATTCGATCGATGATTCGAGTAATGTCATCGCTTCGCGGTAGTCCACGGCCCAGAATCTCCCCATTCAGCAACTTGGCATCGAAATATCGACTACGGCCACGACCAATATCCGCTGTCGAGTCTCTCCACTGACCTCCTGCCCTCAAGCACGGCCGGCGTCCATCGCCTTCTCCAACTGCAACCTCCTGTCGTCTCTCTCTGTTACGACAGCAAAAAAGCGACAACACCAACCATGCAACCTCCTCCAAGCGGTCTTCCCATCCCTACTTATATCCAAACTCCAAGCCGCGCGACTAAAACAGTCCGCAAAACACAACAGCGCAGATCCTCCCCTTTTAAGCAAAATCAGTAGAGGAGCTAGGCTCCACTGAATCGCAAAGTAACGTTACCTCCTCTCCCTCTTCCCCGGATATGCTTCCCAGACAGAGCCTAGGGACCGACGGCTAACACGCAAGGCGGCACGACTCCCGCCAGCCAACCTTCAGCTTAAGCTTAAACCGTGTGGAGCTCTAGTTTCTATTATTCCCGACGCACGTCTTCGTTTCTCAGATCCCTGGGACACATTACATCACTAACCAACAAGGTTGGCATGGGCTTGCTCTGTTGTTTCAGCGGCGCACAAATACCCCCGCCACCCCCCAAGAATAATTGCCAGCGTATATGTTTTGGGGTGTTTAACCAGTGATAAAGTGCCTTTCAAGCTGGCTGAGAGCCACTGCCAGGCAAGAAAGCCTTCTTGAACCTTCTACCTGTATCTTTGGATTAATATACACAGACCAATTTTTGCCCTGTGCAAGATAGATAACTAGGACTCGAACCACTCAGAAATCGTGTCTCATCGACAACTGGGGCAGTGGAGGCGACTCGCAATTATTCTTGGGGGGGGGATAGTATCAACAACGCCAATCCGCCATCTACGCCACAACCGCACCCCCCTTCACCCCCTCGCCTTCCCCACACCTCTCACATCTCTCTCATGGCTCCCCCCCCCCGCACCTCCCAAGGCCTTCAAACGCCATGTCAGAAACCCCTCCTTCCCTTGTCCTGCACCTTGCAGACAAATCCGATCGATCAGATCAGATCCATAGGGTTCCCGCGGCCCCGGTCTCGGTCTCGGTCTCTCTCTCGGCGAGATGCGGTGGGATGACGAGTGATGTACCCAAGTATGTGGTGCGGGTCCCCCCCGACTAAGGTTACCGAGTTTTTTTTGCCTGCGTTGCCGTGCTCCACTCCACATCCCCTTTGTTTTCCCCCCCAGCGAGAGCCCAGGAATGTCAAAAAGAGTGGCTTGCAGGGCCCCCCCCTTCAAGCCCCTCCCGGGGCCCGAGAAGCTGGGACCGGCGGGCGGCGAGCGATATGCGGTGCGATGTTCCCCGTTTGGGGGGGGTTTTTTTTTGGTGGTGGTGGTGGGGGATTAAACGAGGGGTTGTTGGGGCGTTTGATGGGGTATTTTTGAGGGATATTGGGAAAGCGAAAACTGCGGAACGGTGAAGAAAGACATGGTGCTGGGTTGCTTGCGCAAGTAAGGTGTGGCGTGGCGTGGCTTCGGGGGTATCTATAAGAGTTTATGCTGCGGTATAAATCTCTTCCTGTTCCCTTGCAATTTTTCCTCCTTGCTTCTTGAAACATGTGGCCGTATCGAATTCCAGTACCACGGCCTCGGATTTTCATTTCAGTCATCGAGACATCAGATACCGATTCTTTTGCAGGCAATAAATTTCTTTCTCTCGTTCATATCAGGGTGAATAATACAAGTACATAAGGCAAGATCTGTCCACACCCACAGACCAGATCAGACCATCGGATATCTCATCGTTGGGAAAAACCAAAAAGAATAGCGAACATATGCAAAAAGTGCAAAGAGCCAAAAGCGAACACACATCGCTACAGAGAGGTATTTCCTTCCATCCGAAAAAACGCACCCATCACACAAACCCAAAAAAAAAGAACCCCATGCTCCTCCCCGCTCAAGAAGATACAGTAATAGCTCTGTTCAAAATCCATGTCGTGAAAAACACTTTTCACTCATCCCGTCCGAAAACCGTCAAAACACCGACACCGACTCCCAGATCCCACGAACAAGATCGTTCCCCCCCACCCATGAAATACACACAACGCCGGGTATGGAGCACTTCCGAAAAACTTTCTGGGGAAGACGATTTTACAGCCCGTAATATGCGCCGCCGGTGCCGAAGAACCCATACGCCAACAATGAACCACTCATCAACGCCTTCTACTGTGATGAGTGGGGGCCCCTAGAAGGGCGGGGCTTACAACTCCTTCTTCAACATCTCCGGACTATTGTCCTCGGTCGAATCGCTCATCACCTCGCTCTTGTCTACTGGGGATTGGCTACCTCCATTCGCGTTCGTGGTACCGTTCGTGGGGCTCTTCCCACAGCCTTTCACCAGAATATGTCTCTATTCGTTCAATCAGTTTCTGTTTTTTTTGGGAAAATGTCTCCAATTTCTGGATTAGAATCGGATAAAGAACGAACCTTCAATGCATCTTTCCTCGAAAAGCTCTTCTCACAGTGTCCACATGGGAATGGCTTCACCGCCAAATGGATCCGCTTATGTCGCTTCAAATCATGGTTACGATTGAAGGATTGTGGACATTGGTCACATTTGAATGGTCGGTCATTCTGTTGCTGCTGTTGTCCGGGGTGATGCCCGTACATTGGCCCGCCCATTTGATGCTGAGGATACTGCATGTTCATTCCCCCTACAAGGGCCATCTGATTCCCTGGGCTATGCACATTGGACATGATCGGGCCAGCCATCGCAGGAAGCGCGTACCCGCTATACGATGGTCGAGAATGGTAGCCTTGTGGTGCTGCCATTGACGAATGTGGCTGACTTGAGACAGGAGAAATTCTATTTGACGGCGCGGAAGAGGTATTTGGGGATTGCTGAGTCGGAGATTGTTGAGTGTATGCAGGGAATGACGATTGTTGTGGTGTCGATGACGGCGTGTAGTAGGTAGGAGTTGGAGGAGGGCGACCACCATAAGTATCCGGGGCGTGCAAAGGTGCCTGTTGAGGCGCTTGCGAGCTTGGCTGCTGGGGATTGCTCAATTGCTGCTGCTGTTGCTGCTGTTGTTGAGCCTGCTGTTGTTGTTGTTGTTGTTGTTGCTGCTGCTGTTGATGCTGCTGTTGCTGCGCTTGGGCTTGCTGTTGCTGTTGTTGTTGTTGAGCCTGCTGCTGCTGCTGTTGCTGAGGCGCAAGAGTTGGGAGACTTTGTTGCTGCCCACCACTGCCACCAGACATTGATGTGGGAAATGGAGGAAGGCTAATATCGTAGGGAGGTGGGGGAAGTCCTTCACCAGTCGCAGGAGAGTGTGAATTGGTATTTCGATTTGGGAAATTAATGGATGGTGAGTACAGTGGGCGCCCCATGTAGCTCTGCTGTTGCTGGGCGTATGAAGCAGGCATTGGCGGTGCGGAGGAGAAGGTATAGGAAGGGTTTTGCGGGGTAGGCCAATAACCCATTGGTTGATATGGAGGAACGCCTGCTGCTGAACTGCCGGAACTGCCACTATTCACACTTGATGCCAACGGGCTCAGACCATCACTTGGTACACCGGCTGGAGGCGTCAGAACGCTGCTGACCACTGCTGGTGTTGGTTGAGTTGAGCTTGTCGGCGCGTATGCTGCTGGATACCGTTGGATATGGTCCGGCGGGGGGAGTTGGAAGGTTGGGAGGTTGGAAGCGGCGGACCTGCGAGCTGTAAAGCTCTGGGCGGTCTCCATCATGGAAGATGATTGCGAAGTCCACGGTTGCTGTTTTGGTGGGATCAGAAGCCGAAGTGCTGCGGAAAGTCGTGTAGGAGTAGGCGGGACGAGAAGCCGTACACAATGAGCAATACCGGCCGGTTTTGCTGCCGTCGTCAGGCAATAAACAATGAATCTGCCAAAAATATAATGTCGTGATACTGCTTTCGCGGTGCGTTCGTCGGCGTCGAGGTCAGACCTGGGTGAGAATGTGGAGCGTCGATCACCTGGATGGCGGCCGGGGAGGCGTCCGTCGATATATGTAGCTTATTGGGCCTCGAGCTGGTCTGTGTGGTCCCTGTTGACTTTCCCTGTTGGCAGGCGAGGGTTTGGCTGGAGGGCTGGAGGGCTGAATGGATAGTGTTGATTACCAGCGGGAAGCAGCAAAGCGTGGCAGAGGGGGGGGGGCCTGGCGTGCACCGGCATAAGGCTAGGGAGTAAAGTTAAGGCTCGCTCGACAGACCCGGCTCGACTCCGCCATGTGAGCGACTGATCGAGGGACGGAGGGCGCCAGAACCGGGACCAGGGTCTGGGAGCGCTACTGTAGTGGGCGCGCTCGCAAGTCTGCGATTCGATGAATCGATGGTGTATCTGGAGTGTTCCGGCGAGGTAACTGCTTCCGTCAGATATTGGGACGGGGTCGACGGACGGCCAGTCGCACAGAGCAATATTGCCAGGTAGCGGGTAGAACGCAGACAGAAGGGGCAGCGCGTGGCCGCGCTGGAACGATTTTATTTTGTTTTATTTTGTTTTAATTTATTGTGTTTTATTGTATTGTATTCTATTTTTTATTTTAAGAATGGCGTCCCGGCTGGTGACATCGAGGCAAGTGCTTCCGGGGGGTGGGTGGAGTCCGTGTGCATGCTGCGAGCGAGATGGGAGGCGTTTGGGGCAGAAGCTTAACGCGATTCGATAAGAGGCGAATCCCCATGCAAGAAGGACAGACAGGCCTCGCCCGGGCTGATTATTAGGGCATGACGGGATGTTCATGCCCCTCGGAGAGGGAAGTCGGGAGTCGGTTTGGTTTGGTTTGGTCTGGTCTGGTCTGGTCTGGTCTTCGTCTGGGAGGCGGGAGCAGGAGGGACATCTGCTGCCCCCATCGCGGCCTGGCTCCGTGAACCGACACATCCGTCAAGTGAAGCGTGTGAGAGGTGAAGTTGCGACTGTTGCTCCTACTGCAGGCCAGCCGCGTCGAGGACGATTTCTCGGGCTCCCAGCAGTCCCGCCCCAGAGTCGCACTGCACTCGCTCGCTCGCTCGCTGTGCTGTTCGTCGATTCCATGCAGAGGGGGGTGGCCTGCCCCGCCCCTCTTCATTCTCCGGCTCTCCCCTCTGGTCTGGTCTGCTGCAGGCATCTGGCTCTGACTGGCTCGCGCTCGACGCACGCGAGGGCCCACGGCGGCCCAGAGGCTTTTTCTTGGCTTAAGCCGCCAAGCTAAAACACCACCAGCCTGCTGAAGGCATCGCGGGATGGCTCACCAGGCCTGTCTAGCGCTGAGGAGGGGGAAGCAGAGGCAGCAGTAGCAGGGTCCGGGGCCGGAACGAGATTCAATTTTTGCTCCTAAAGTGACATGGACAGGCAAGCCATGCGCGTGCCTGCCATTGGCTTGCCTTGGGCTGAGGGGACCCGTGTGGGCTGCATCGCGTCTGGGTTTTTGGGAAGTGTGTGCACAACCCGGATAGGGGCAAGGGTTGCAATTTGAGTTCTTTGGTGAGAGCGTCATCTTTGATTGCGTCCTGATGAGGATGTCTCTGCATGGGTTGCTCTTATGTCCGAACAGGGGTGCGCGAGCAGAGAGTAAGTAGCGCAGAATCTATTTTCCTTCACATTAATCATTGATCATTGATCATTGATCATTTTGATTCAGGTGTTGACGGTACAGGCAGGATCAGGGAGAGGGCTCTTATGCAGTGTGCAGTCAAGTGCAGCAGCTAAGACAGCCAGAGCGTTAAAACATCCGACGGAAGGAGCAGCAAGATGAAGGGGGAGAGGGGGCAGAGGGGGGGGGAGAAGGAGGGAACGCATCCCAACGCGGCTAGATGGCAACTAGCCTACCTGTGGCCTCGAGGGGCGCGTCTCGTGGAGTTGTACAGTAGCGGTGGTGGTGGTGGTGGTGGTTGGTGCTGGGAACTGCAAGTGTGCGGTGGTGCAGTGGGTGGTGTGCACATCTACTCCATAGAAACGTGCGAGGCGCGGTCTGGGAATGCTGCAGGGCGTCGCCCTCAGTCCTGGAACTCTGGATTTCTGGGTCTCTGGCGCTCGGACCAACGATCGCCCAGGGTCCAACATGATTGGCGCCATTCGTCTTTGGTCGGCGAGCTTGCCTGCCTGCCTGCCTCTCCCTGTCTGCCTCTCCCTGTATTTGCATTGGAATCATCGTGCCTCGCGGGTGTGGGTCAGGGCGGACCGTCGACATCGGCTTCTGCTGCTGCTTCTGCTCCAGCGCGTCGGCTTGTGGAATATCGATGATAATGTTGGCGCATATGTTATATGGATTTGAGGAGTGAATGTCTTGCGCCAGAGGGCAAGACGGAACGAATGACAGGAATAGCAGCCTTGAGTTACCGGAACCAGGACAGCGGGTAGGGAACTTTGTCGGACTCAAATGCAACAGTCGCCGCATGGCCTGGAGAACGTTGATATCGATGCGCCACCCGTCTGCTCGCCGTGGAACTGCAATGGAAGGGCACAGTGGCTTGCGGAGGTGCCTGGGACTTGTTTGAGGTCCTGGGCTGTACCTTCCTAACAGTCCGGTTGGAAACATAGCATATCCTTTCTCAATGGGGATTTCCTTTGGTCCTCCTGCTTGCTCCAGGAGACGTATTCCGACTTGGATGCGATTGTTCAGCTGCTGTCTGGACCCCCATTCAATAAGCGATCGGGGGAGAGCCCGAAAGACAGGGGTCAGTGGAACCATGCAATTCATTTGAAAGGGATACAGTATTTAGCAACAGCTATCCAGGAGCTGCACCTGTGCCGACGATCACATTCGTACAATGTAGGAACTTTAAGTCAGCCCGTATTCCGTATTCATCTGGGGGGCAGAATTAATTCCCATCGCAGCTCAGTCGTTTATTTTCGCCCAATTAGGCCTGGCCCTGGAGACTGGACCCAGGGGATGTTCTAGACCGCCGTGGCCGGCGGGGCCACTCAGATCGAAGATTTCGGCAAGGCCCCTGCCGAGTTTGCCGACCCCATTCTTTTCTTGACATGAGCCCATGACTACTCCTCCATGTCACCTCACCTCACTCACGCAAGACCCCCTCAGGAGTCAGGAGTCAGGAGTCAGAACTCGATGGCCCATTGCTCACGATCACGATCATCCAGATCCACGAGGGTAGAGCCGTGTCAGTCTGGAGTGAAGGCCAGGTCTGGGACGGTCTGGACGTGGACGCGGACCAAGGAGCAGGCAGACTCCGACCCCCCTGACGCGTGCACGTCTCAAGAAATCCCCCCCGCAGAGTCCACGGCAGGGCGAGTCAAGCGGTGCAGCCTTCAAAGCGCTTCGAGGAAGGCCCAATTTCAGATCATCAGATGAATCCTTGAAGGTCGACTACTCTTCGAGGTTCTCCAGAAAATAAGCTTGGCCACCATCTCCCAAAGTCGAACGCCTCCTACCCGCCTCTCCGCCATTCTCGGTCGCTTGGGATCGCTTCATCACGCCATGTTGTGCTAGACCTCAATGCGGTAATGATTATCGCACCTTATTTTTGCCCTGCTGCTGCGCGGCGAGGTGACCATTTCAACATCCCTGCCGGCGCTGCAAGCAGTCAGCGCCCGCAGCACTCGTTTCTTTTGAGAGCTCCCACCCTGTTCTTGTTCTGCCTTCCAGACCGCTACTCTTCGCCAAATACCAATCAGCATCCCAAGCGCAAAATACTCGTCGCTCGGTTATTGGCCGCGTATATCATGGTACCCGGCTTGTGGGAAGATGGGAGGACGGGACAAACCCATGGCGTGCAGCAGCTCAGCTATCCCAGCATTCAGCTCCATCGAAGGCTCCTCCGGCTTGCTCTTTCCACGCCCCATTTAGCAGTTCTCTCGACCGGATGGGAAAGCCATCGGATTATGCTTATTTGCAGAGCGCGCCCTCCGAAGGATTGATCATCAGCCATGGTACCCCGTTCTTCAGCCCTTCCCTTCAACTTCTCTTAGTATTTTCGGCACCCGGCTGGGCTTGCTGCATGCCGGCCCTCATCAAAGCGAACGCCTCCCATAAGTTCCCAGCTTTTCGGTTGTGGCATTATGCCTCGTCGCGTGCTGCTGCCGTGCTGCTTGAGGTATTCTGTCGGCCAGCTACAGGATCACCAGGAAATACATCCAATGTTGTGGGTTCTAGAAGAGAGGGGCATTGCTGCAGTACTCGTTGCACCGCGTGATACTTTGTGGTTCTCGACACATTTTTGGAAGATAACAAGAGGGAACATGTCCAAAAACAAAGGCTGTGACAACCGGGGCCACGATCGAGATTTCGGATGGTGGAATGCAATCCGACGCAGGATGTGACACGCCAGCCAGTTGAGAACTGCAGAGCCGCATCTTGGCGCTTGCGATGAGTTTAGCCAACCGAAATCTTCTCCTGCGCGGGTGCACGTCCCCAGAGCCCCATGCTCGAGGTTTCTATATCTGCCAAATTATATCTCAGGATCCAAGCACGACACGGAAAGAAGGCACAGCCTTGCTCCCCATGTATTTTGGCTTCCAGGCTGAGTGCGCCAAGCTCCACGGGAACCTTGATTCAGATAAGATTCAGCCAAAGGAGGGGAACGAGCTTCTCTGTGTCCGTTGTACGGGGGACTCTTGCCATGTGGAGACCCCAGCAAAGCCATCAATTCACAGCACAAGAATAGAACAATCTCCCAATCTCCCGGATCCTTGGGCGTTCGGAAGCATCACCCAATCCCCTTGCCTTTGTCAAACCCACGTATCTACCGCGTGTGAGGGGGTTACAACAGGAGAAACACTCTTTGTCTGCAAGGCTTTCGCTCCCAAGAATCATTCCCCACGGGCTGCTGCAGGATCTCGAGAAGGACTAGTTGTACTGCAGAGCACTTATCTGTGTCACGGTATTCTATGTGTCACATTGGAGAGCTCGACCAAAAGTGGCCAGTAGCCATGGACCCTTGCTTGCAGACCCCTGAAGGTTCATCAACCACCTGCTTCACAACACCCCCGCATCGCAAGCCGAAAACCTGGACCAAAGATTCTCGAAAACCTAGCGAATCTATCTCTTCGCACTCTCGACAATTACGCACGTGTTTTCGGTCAAATGCAACTCTTGCCAGTTTTCCCGTGCTCCGGAGCAAGCAGGCAAAATATTCTGCCCTTAGGCCGATCTCCACGATAGAATAAATGTGAGGATCTCTATCAATGAATCTGATAGACCGGCATCGAGTTCTGCCGATTCGGAAACTGCAAATTTGGGAAGTTTCTATCAATAGAAACACGACAGGGCCGATCATTACGAAGTACAACAACGTTTCTACGATATCTCATCACAAGACATAACATGCCACCCCCTGATTTTCAACAACGGCGGGCTCGAAATGACACCCCCTCTTGAATGCATTGGATTGCACAGACGCGGGATGGCGAGCAGGGGTCATTCACCCCTGAACCTTCCACTCGCATTAGATCGGGAGCTGCCAGGAAACGCTAAACCCCAATGTTTGAATAGTCTTGGCATCATGAGCTTCCGAACAAAAAGCTCAGAAACCTGGTAGGCGCGTCTTCCGCATTCCTTTTGAGAGTCGAGCATTTCTGTTACGCCCGAAAGCTTGTATGGAACTCTCCGTTGTGACTCTCTTTCTTTCCTCCCCTCTCACAAGCGAAACACATCGTGGGCTGCTACCCAACCAAAAATGGAGGTCTTCATTCCTGAGAAAACCGGCATTCATCATTGCATGATAACTGCAGCCATTATGCTCGCCACGAACTGCCTTCGACAGCCTTCCCGCGCTAAGGCACGCGTTCGGGTCCAGCTGCTCTCTCCCCTGGCAAAGGCAGAAGCCGGGAGGCTTGGGGACATACTGCCATGGCGTAAACGTCAATAAGCCCCTTTGAAGCTGTTGGAAGCGGAAACGCCTGCCGCTGAACAATTCGATAGATCATGTCTCCACAGACGCTATTCCGTGCCTTTGCCGTAGACGAAGAGATGCAACTTGCAACCTGCAGGCGCCAGAATCGACGCCTCTCCTCACTCTCCCATTATCGAACCACTGCGGCAAGCTCCATCTCCTCACTCGTAAATAAACTTTCACAACTTCTTGAACTCCTTTTGATGCCTTTACGTTATGAACACAGCGGTGTCTATCCCCACCAGCTGTCTTACAACTCCCAATACGGAGGTACTCTGAACAAAGTAACATCATTCTGGACTCATCATCGTACCCTTGTTGAAGTGCGTCTATCAACAGAAGTCATTTGAAATATTGAGATGTGATATCGCCATCAGCCCTGGCAAACTTCAAGGTGTTGCTTTTTAGAGGATTTTAGACAAGTGACATCTCAACATTCATTGTCGCTTCCTGCATGGAAGCAAAAAGGAAGTCTCTGGGTATACAGAGCCTCTTTTCACATCGCAAGCCCACTTCAGCCATCCCTTGATGGCTTAACCTATCTCGAGAGGGTGTGACTTCAACCAAATGTCTAACAACAACACAGCAACCTCTCCGACTGATCCTTTGCAGCACCCCGAAACCCCCCGAAAGTCTCGTTTTACCCACAGTCCCAGCTCCAATGCACCGCCAGGCACTCTCCGACTCTGTGACACATTCCCTCACCGTCGACCAGAGGCCCGGCTTCATCTCAACCAAGGCTCGGGACCTCAACACCACACCTGACGCACCCACAACCAAGCCCCAAAACACCGGTCCACGCTTCTGCGCAGCCGTTAAGCCTTTTCCCCTCGCACCTCCACCACCACTATGCCCTCTCCACACCATTTCCTAAGCCAAGTTACCACATTCATCGACTTTCCTCCTCACTAACACCCACCCTGGAGCCTTCCGCAACACCTACGCAACTCTCCTCCTGCCCACCTTCCCAAAAAGAAACGATGAGAATGAGCAAGAGTCTAGACCCTCTCCTCCAAACTCTAACCTAGATCTTAGCGTCCGCCCCCCAGCGATAGCGTCGATCTCTTCTCCCCCTAAATTCCTCATCCTCCCTCCCGACGGAAAATAGTTACGCACTACTCGATGACCGGTCAAAGGAGCGAGAGATAAGCTATTCCAAAGTTGGCAGATACGCTTGAGATAGTATTCGGAGGATTTGGGTTTTGACAAGTGTTGAGCTAGAGGGCTAGCGTTGCCGAATCTGCCCGAAGAGAAAGGCTTTAGAGATGCGGGTTGGAAATTGGGACGAGGGAGGGAGGGAGGGATGGAGATGAGGTGGGAAGAAGGTTTCCGAGAGAAGGCCCGAGAGGAAGGTAAGTTTGGAGCTCATGACAAGATAGAGATGCCAAGAGATTCCCAAGGTAGTGGCGGGACGATAGCCAAGAGCTTGAAGGTGAGTGGAGCAGTGTGCTACAGTATTCAACTGCTTGACAGTTGTGAGTAGTGTTAGTTCTGGATCGTGGGGTGTTCTTGGCTTCAGCAGATAACTAGATAGGTAGGCCAGCAATAGTTCATGCAATATTCCAAATCTTTTCAGGGCTGAACGAGAGTTTGGTGATGCTGCGGTGGTCTCTGGAGTTCTGGTGAACGTGGAAGGAAGGAAGGAAGAATCGTGAGGTGTGGACTTGGAGTTTCATCTCACTGGCCTTGGAGTTCAAGGCTTAAGCATGACAAGAAACTTGAAACCTATTCTTCTTTGGACTAAGCGGTTACAGTCTCTCACTTCACTCACCTGGGTTCCGGAAAACATCAGACATCTGCACCTCTCTCTAGATAAAAGTCGGACTGGATTGGGAGGCTGAATGCTTCCTTCACTAGATTGTGAAACCCAGCCGTTCTCACCTCAACCACTTTCCTTTCGTCTTGGTCCCTATTTTGGCATCATTGATGCTTCTCTGGCCGTTAGCATCTGAGAACAGAGTCCCGTGCTCCACCATCACCTCTCAAATTCTTAATCCTCACCCTCCATCCTATCAACATCCACATCATATCAAAAGTCCCACTCCTCGTACTCTCCGCGATACTCTTCTGCTCCTTCAAGCCCAAGCTCGGGTTAATGCTCCTCCTCCCTCAACATAGATCTGCACTTCTCGCTTCATGTTCGCCATCACCTCGCCGCCGTTAGACGCCGTACGGCTTAGGCTTCTGTCGACGTTGAAGGAGGAGAGGGACCCGCTCCAGCCATCTTTGGGCTTCAGCACATTTCTGTTTTGACCTTGATTGAGGGACAGGTGAGCGAGTTCGTGCTTCTGAGCTCTTCTGGCCAGGATGGTTCGGCAGTGGGGCTGCAGCAGTGTAGCAGGGTTGTTGGAGCTGCACGAGACTTGGGCGATTAGTTCTGCCATCGACATCTCGATGTTGAGTTTTACGGTGTAGGCGAGGGGATGGAATTGCGTGTATCTTCGTCCACTCCCCGTCAGCCAACTCTCTTCATCGAAAAGTAACAAGTTGAGGAGAGGGAAGTAGCTTACACGAAAGAATTATTCAAGCTCACCATCCCAATAATCAGGTAATCCACATATTGAAGCTGACCAATCTATCATACTTCAACATCCCCTTCCTCGCCAGCCTCTCCTGCACCGTCCTTATAAAATACTAATTCAGACATGCATCTGTGATGAGATAGATTACTTTCTCGCAGCGGCCCAGATGAAGGTTATTCGCACATATTCGAGGGAGACTTGGAGCCGGGCCGGGATCCAGATGTTGTCGACCGAGATGTTGATTGCTGTGATCATGACGGCGACGAGGATCTTTAGGCAGAACGCGTGGCTGCAGTTAATTAGGAAGATGGCGATGCGGGTTTATGTTATTTGGTGCAGGGATTGGACTTGCAGGGCCCAGGTTCTTCCTGGATTGTATTAGAAGGAGGGGATGGATGGAGAGGTTGGAGGACGGAACGGACGGATGACGAGGAAGAAGGCGAAGTTTGGTGGGATAACGCCGTCTAGGTCGTGCCAGCAAAGTATGAATAATAGGCAGACGAGAATCTTGAGCCAGATCATCCAGACGTATGGAGAATCCAGCTTGGAGATGCCAATTTCCGGTGGATTTCGGAAGTCTGCTTTATTGCAGTCCCTGTTTGTGAAGTTAGTAATTTATGAACTTTGAAGGACGGGAAGCATGGATTTGATAGAGGGGCAAACCTACACGTTGTGAAAATTTTGAATCCAAGTGTGAAACCCCAAGCTATTGAGGCAATGGCAAAATCCGATTCTGTGACCAGGAGAGGCTTGAAATCAGGGGCCAGAAGAGTGGTCATACTAACGGTAAAGCAGAAGTCAAAGTATTGACTCCTCAGAATGCCCTCCTAGATGACCGAGCTCTCAGCATCGAGTGAGAGTGACTGAAAAAAAAGCGATTACGAGGATGGAAACTTCATGTACCCTCACTTGGTGGCAATGAATGAAGCAGACGTACACTGATCCGTGCATACTCTCTCTCAAAGCAGAAGGAGAACTTTTCCGGAAATTTCGACCTTTGCAAATCCCAGAAACCCTGGAAAGTCAAATACGAGAGATTCAGCTACCCGCGTAGATGCCTCGAGAGCCGATCTTCTGATGTTTCCAAGCATGAACCACAAAGCATGAAAGTTGAGGTCTAAGAAACTTCCGGAATTCTTTCGTGATAGGACAATATTAGACGCTTGTGGACCACCTTCCACATGGTAGCTTGTCTCAAAGCCATTCGCGACCGGTCTGAGGTATCAAAGGACCTGGAGGGATACCGGGAGATCCTTCAAAAATCGCCTTAGGCAGGGAAGATCTTTCACTCGGACCTCCAGTTCTTGTGGGACCACGTACAAGTTCCCAGGGATCACGAAGCTCATAAAGGTTGTTGTTGTCGATCTGTTGCGAAGCTCGCAAAAATATTACCTATCTCCCCTTATCGGAATCCTAAATGGTAGTCCGAGCCTAACAAAATCACAATCGCGTACCATTCTTCACTCTTTATATCTTCGCTTCGCTTAGCGAGTCAACAAAGCACCAAAAAAAATTGAGAACTATAATTGAAATTCTGCAACATTTGAAGTATCTTCAGTTCAGAAGATCAAAATGGCAAAAAGGTTATATGCCAAAGCCTTAATCCTTTACCGGCAAGTCCCACGCTGACTCCCCGGTATCTACCATAACAGTAGACCCGTGCCCGCGCCTTACAGCGTCGTGTCGCTTGCTAGTGATATGAAAAAACCTTATTTCGTTACATACGACCCACCCAATTTTCTGCAAGCCGAATCTGTTAGGGGAACTTCCTTAGAGTTAGGGAGCTCATAGGCAAGATTTGTACCAGTGACTGGGCTCCAAGTGCTTTTGCGGATGGCCCGCACCGGCGCCATTCGCATCCTCCAGTAGCGAATGAAGATCGTAACACGTTTCAAAAAGCTTCGAAACTTCGAGATAGAACATCGGCGAATGGCCAAAATGGGGCTGTGTTGAGACTCTGAGGCAAGTACAGACGAATCTAATTGCTGATGTGTGATGATGTCAAACCTCACGTTCTGCGCAGTACATCTGGAGGCATGACTCTCCGACTAACTGAACTTCTGAAACGTATTGCAGTGCTGGTACACTCGCGTCCGGTATTCTCAATACTGGGCGCTCACATGGTGAAGGCATTTTTTTCCATGCATATATACCTGAACCCCTCATACATTATTTTGAGGTTCTAGAAGGCTCAATTGGTGTTTGGCCAATGAACTCGATCTTGGCGTTGACAATGAAAACACCCCTCTTGCGTGTTGCAGCCCGTGCTAAGAGGCTCTAATGCAGAGGACGTAATTGATGGATCAAAGATGGAGAAACACCATGACTCTTTGGCAAAAGAAAGTTTTGGAAGGTTGCCTCAGTGATCTTCTCAGGAACGCTTCGTTTCAGGAGAACCTTGCCTCCTGCCACGTGATGCGACCCCCTTTTCTGGCTTTCGCTTATTTCAATCGTCGTCACGAGTCTTGCCACTTCAAACTCCCTTCCTGTTATCGGTATTTGGATATCTTAGTCTGCTTCTACGTGTTGAAATTTAGGACCTGCTACACTGCACAACAGCTATCCCAGGAATCATGGTCACAAGAGGAAAGTTTCGTCTTGATGCCACGTGTGGTTGTTTCCTGTCACCAAGATCCGAAAATATGTTTCGTATAATTAGACTCCCTAGCTGCCACGGACGTGACCTACCTACGCCTGATTTCGTTCATCTCCTTCGCAGCTTCTGGTTCTGCATGGCCCTCTCTTCATGGCCCTCAGCTAAGTTAAGTCAATTTGTCACGGCCTGGACAAGCTGTGGAAGTGGAATGTGATGTGTTTTGGTGTAAATATGTTGAATGATCGTGCCCTAAGGGCGGTGAAGAAGCTATATGTACGCCTGTGCGCAGCACGTGACACAATTCGTCGTCAGGTGGCCTAGAGTCACCTCGATCGGATACCGTAGGTGCAGAATGGGAATCTCAGAGCCTGGCACAAGGGCTCGTAGAGCCAGAAGGCTGAGGATCGAACACAGGTCTTAGAGGTAGATCGAGATTGTTTGATTGAGACGGGGAGGAGGCAGGAAACTGATAATATCGATCAGAAGGATGTGAAGGGTGGAAGGTGGATTATTTTGATATTTAGGAGATGGGAACGAGAATGTGAATCGTGGGCTTCAGCTTCATGATAAATCGGAACGGACAAATCTTCTGCACATGCGACTGGATCCAAGAGTTGTTATTTATTTATGAATTTCTCTCGCTTCCCCTTTCACGATACCGTGCAGTGGACTAATGTTTGGTGAAGTGGCTTTTGGGTGCAGTTTCTTCTCTTATCCTGGCGGTGCTGAGTCTTGATTGAGATATTCGCTTTCCTACATACTGCGGCCAACATGGCCCACTTATTCGTACACTGGATACAGAAGAGCACAAGAAAATCGCAAAAAAGATGGTGGCTCCGGAAGTGTCAACAGTCAGCCACAGACAAAAGGCAACAGCATCCGAAGAAGTCCACCATTTACCACAAGTCCAGTCACTACGATCAACTGATATATTCAATTACACGTTTTATTCCCATACCGTTGATGGTAAATAACCGATCTTGGTCAGACTCGACGTACTTTCTATAGGTCAACAGAGAAGATCCAGAATTAATTCTTTTTCGGAAAAACTTGATTTCATATATTTCATACAAAATTGCTCATAAATACCAATTTCGCCATCAAAACATACAAAAATCACAACTTCGAGGCCGGCGACGAGGATCCCACACTGGTGATCTCATTGTATAGAAGCCTATTTTCCAGTCAGCTACAAATCAAATATCGAAAAGAATGGGGGAGACTTACGAAGTCAAGAAATCGGCATAATCCTCCCCAGTAACCTGTCCCGAGAAATACTGAGCAGCCAAGTGATACTTATTGCCCTTCGCACCCTTAGTCGCAAGCTCATCAGCCTGCTCCTTCAGCAACTTCAACGCATACGCCTTATCAACCTTCTTCCCCTCTGCAGTCGATACACCATGCTTCACCCACTGCCAAAGCTGACTACGGCTCACCTCAGCCGTCGCCGCATCCTCCATCAAGTAGTTAATGGGCACACAGCCAACGCCTCGGAGCCAGCCTTCCATGTATCCGAGCCCGATGTTCAGGTTCTTGCGGATACCGTCCTCGGTAATCTTGCCAGGGACATTCATGTTCAGAAGGTCGTTCTGCGTGATCTTGACGTCTTCGCGGCGGATGAACATTTGGTTGGGCGTCGGCATGTGCTTGTTGAAAACTTCGGAGGCTATCGATGCGAGTGCTGGGTGAGCAACCCACGTTCCGTCATGGCCGGCCTTGACTTCACGGAGCTTGTCGGCGTACACGCCTTCCATGGCCTTGTCGTTGGCTGCCTTGTCGTCTTTGATGGGGATTTGGGCTGCCATGCCACCCATAGCGTGGACTTGGCGTCTGTGGCAAGTCTGGATGAGTAGCTTGACATAGGAGTCCATGAAGGGGACGGTCATGGTAACGGCTGATCGGTCTGGGAGGACGAAGTTGGAGTTCTGGCGGAACTTCTTGATCACGCTGAAGATGTAGTCCCACCGTCCGCAGTTCAATCCTGAGCTGTGATCCCGGAGTTCGTAAATGATCTCGTCCATTTCAAAAGCAGCGAGGATTGTCTCAATCAACACAGTTCCTCGGGTAGTGCCTCGTGGGATTGCGATGGTGTCTTGAGCGAGGTTGAAGACGTCGTTCCAGAGACGGGCTTCGAGATGTGATTCCATCTTTGGGAGGTAGAAATATGGTCCCGTTCCTCGCTTGATGAGCTCCTTCGCATTGTGGTAGAAGTACAGACCAAAGTCGAACAGACTTCCAGAAATTGGCTCGCCATCAACTGTGACGTGCTTCTCCTCCAAGTGCCAGCCTCGGGGTCTAACAATCAATGTGGGAAGGGTTCGGTCTGTTCGGAGCTTATATTCCTTCGGTCCTTGCTTGAAATCGACCTGTTTTCGGATAGCATCGTAGAGGTTGACCTGCCCGTTGATCATATTGTCCCAAGTCGGAGCACTCGAATCTATTCCAATTCAGTCAGCTGTTATTCCGAACCATCCGCAGATTTTCACACACCTTCGAAATCGGCCATATATGTCCAAACATTCGAGTTCAGGGCGTTCACAACCATCTTGCGGTCCGTAGGTCCAGTAATCTCCACTCTGCGGTCAATCAAGCCCGGTGCGGGCTTTGCTCCCTTCCACGCATCGTTCTCTCGAATGTGCTTGGTTTCGGGGAGGAAGTCTGGCAGCTGGCCCTTGTCGAGCTCCGCCTGTCTGATCACACGACGCTGAAGGAGGTTCTTGCGGGTGCCATTGAAGGATCTGTGGAGGAGAGCGAGGAATGCAAGAGCATCCTTTGTGAGGATCTTCTTGTTGAAGTCTGTGACTTGGCCAGAGACATTCACGCCCTGTAGGATAGATTCGGTGGTGGCCATATTGAGAACTTTGTTGATTGTCGTAAAGTCGTCAGCTGTTGGAGAGAGGAGAGTGTGGTGCGCGTGGGCGGATGTGTAGATCTATATGTCCCCAATACGTCAGACGAGAGGGACTAAATTCAGCAACGGCCGTTGAAATAATATCGGGCAGGGACTCGCACGGCAATGTGGAAGTGTTCGGCAGAGACTAGAAGCAACCAAAGAGCAGGGTGGAGGGGACGCCAGCTTGTGGCTACCGCGAGCTTGTGAATGTGGGGAAACCCCAGAAAGGCTTCGAGTCTTGCCCCTCTTCTCTTGCCGCCCTATGATGCGCCAATTTGAGACGATCATCAATATGACGCTGATACTGTTATGGCTGATGCCTCTGCTTTCATCTGGACAGTTCAACTTTGTTGTTCGATCAGCATCAACATGTTTTGTGTTCAATTTGCATGTGGTATCGGTATCGGTACAAGCTCTCGAGCGGTGACGCTGGTTTCCTCCGATGTCGACCTGCAGACCTCGGCTCTCACCGCCCCGGCGCTAACCCCTTTTCGCCACTTGCAAGCCCGTATCTATCCGGGCACCACGATTCCGTCCGAGCGACTCGTGACATGCCGAGGTCTTTTCGAGATCTTGATACCTTTCCTCATTGGTATATGGTTTCTTGACAATGAGGTCCGACAACTCCTCTTGAAGTATACGTACAGACACGTCAAACTTTCATTATGTTCGTGCAAAACCATCAACAAGATAAGATGCCTGTGTCAAAAGCAAGAGTGGATTACCCTTATCCCGGCCCGCCGCGGCTGCCGACGACATCCTTTCCTTAGAAATGTCACTCGTTAAACTTATCCTGTCATGCTGTACTTCGAACTTCTCTTTAGGTCTCTTATTCTCTGCGATCTCGATCCAAGAATTATGCAGCGCACTGCGTCTGCCGACTTCGGAGGAAGATTCTCAGCAAGGAAGTCCCAGCTGACTGTAAGTGGAGGAGATGATACTTTTGCCATATTGAGTTTTGAAACAATCTCGAGTCCTCAACAATGAAAGCACTTGCTCGCTTGGCCGTAAGATTTGATATTTTCCCAAAGGACCTCTCTTCGAGCTTGTACAAGTACATCAATCCCTTCCCCCGCTATAAACACGTTCACCATTCAAACCTTGTGCAAGAAATCCCCCTCTTTCATTTTACCCCTCTATTTACCCTTATACTCCTCCGGCCCAATCATCAGTTCCGGCTTCACCAATCTATCAAAGTCCTCCTCACTCAACGCCTTCAGCTCCATAGCTGATTCCTTCAAAGTCAAGCCCTTCTTATGGGCGTTCTTGGCGACCTTGCTAGCCATGTCGTATCCGATCTTGGGGTTGAGACAGGTTACTAACATGAGTCTGTACCAACATCAGTTCAATATCTTACAGATTTTGAGAATGGGGGAAGGGACGGAAGGAGACTTACGACTCCTTCATAATCTGAGCAATCTTGTCCTCATTCGCCTGTAGGCCAACAACAAGATTCTGCTCGAAGCTCCTCATTCCATCACTCAGAATCCGGATGCTATGTAGCAGGTTCCTGATTACCAGAGGCTTGAAGACGTTCAATTCGAATTGGCCGTTCATGCCACCAATCGTGGTGGCAGTATGGTTTCCGATTACCTGCGCACAAACCATTGTGAGAGCTTCACATTGTGTCGGATTGACTTTTCCAGGCATGATGCTGGACCCTGGCTCATTTTCAGGGAGAGCCAGCTCACCGAGTCCACATCGGGGACCAGATCCAAGATATCTGATGTCTTGGGCGATCTTGAAGAGTGACGAGGCAAGGGTGTTCAGCGAGCCAGAAGCTTGAACAATGGCGTCGTGCGCAGCAAGTGATTCGAACTTGTTAGGGGCAGTCTTGAACTCGGTGCCTGTCATCTTTGAAACTTCCAAAGCAATAGCTTCCGCAAAGCCCTTGAATGTATTGATACCAGTTCCAACGGCTGTTCCTCCTTGTGCCAGCAAGCGGAGATCCGGGAGTGATGACTCCACACGTTTGATGCCAAACTCCAACTGTGCAACATATCCAGAGAACTCTTGTGCGAGAGTGAGAGGTGTGGCATCTTGCAGATGAGTCCGGCCAATCTTGATAATCTTCTTTGCCTCGAACTCATCGACTTTCTTTTGGAGAGCGTCTCGAAGGGATTTAATAGCAGGTAAAAGTTCGTGTTCGATTTCAAGGACTGCAGCAATGTGCATGACGGTAGGGAAGGTATCGTTGGAAGAGGCGCTCATATTGACATGGTCGTTCGGGTGAACCGGCTTCTTGCTGCCCATCTTTCCGCCCAGGATCTCAATTGCTCTATTTGAAATGACCTCATTTGCATTCATGTTCGACTGTGTTCCTGAGCCAGTCTGCCAGACGACGAGAGGGAAGTGGTCGAGGAGTTTGAGGTCTGCAACCTCAGCAGCAGCTTGCTGGATGGCTTTGCCAATCTTGGGGTCTGTCGAATCGTGAGCTCATCTTCAAATACTCTTGTACATAGGAGGTGTACCCAGTCCAAATGTCATGTTGACCGTAGCTGCCGCTCCCTTGAGAATACCGAACGCCTTGACGATTGGAGGGGGCATGCGATCTTGAGGCTGGTTGATCTTGAAGTTCTCCAGTGACCGCTCTGTTTGTGCTCCCCAGTATTTGTCTGCAGGCACCTGCACCTCCCCAAAGGCATCTGTCTCTGCTCTAGTCTCTGCCATGTTGTATGCTGTTGCGTGAAAGCTTCTTAGGGTGCGGGGTTGAAATGAAGCTCGATAGCTCTTTTGTGAAGAATTGAACGTTGATTGGGAAAGTGACCGGTTTGTAGATGTCATTCGAGAAGCGGCAGGTATCGATTTGCTTGTGATTAGTGTTGTGTAAGAAGAAGGTACGTTGAATGATCGAGCTTTTGTCCTCGGTCTGGCAGCTGATGCTGCAAAGCCGGAGGTCCCTCGCGCCGACCGGAGCATCATCTCAATCTGTCAATTGAGCTCCAGGAATTTGGGGAAGCGGCTCTAAAATGGTCAGTGGAAGGATTGGTGATATATGTATTCGAGGACAGAATCGCAATAGAGGGTGAGCGCCCTGGAGAAGACAAAGGCTTTGTTCGTAAACTGGTCGCAAAGCTCAACCTGGAAAAAAGTTGAAGTGATCGCCCGTTGCCGGGATTCCAGACCGGGGAAAGCCGGAACGGGATGACCTCCCGTTCCACGGGGTTAAAGCAATGGACTTATGTACGACATCACATACGATTTACAAATTCGAGGACGAAGAAGACATTTCTGAGAGATCTTGAGTGATGAAGTTGAGTAGCAAGAACCAATGGGCTGATGCAAGTTTACGCGATCTCAAACTCGGAGGTTGTCGGATTCACGTCGCCCCTCCCTCTCCCCCTTCAAATGTCGAGGCGTGTGATATTCTCACAGATAAGAGTCAAGCGCATTTCAAGTCCTTTCGTTTCTAATTCTTCAATACTCTTTACATGAAGAAATCCACAAATCTCTTCCCCCCAACGTCCACCTCCCAAGCCAGAAACTTGTCTCCCTTCCCTCATGCAGAAATGAACTTCTATCCTACTCTACAATTTATCATTAACATTTTAGCGTTTCTGCACACAAATCCACAATGCAGAAAAGCTATGCAGCCCCGCTATGCAATAACACAAAAGTTTGCAGTGCAACCACCAAGCAAATCTACGAAGAAAAATGATTACTCTCGAATACAACACGTAAGCCCAGTGACCAGGGCCAGCGCCTAAGAATGTCGTCAAATGGGCAGCGGCAGTCGTTGCTAGGGGAAAGGGTTTAGGCAGCGTTCAATGTCTTGATCATCATCCGTTTCTTGCGCTCGTCCGTCAGGAGAAACCCTCGACTCTTCAGTACTGTCTCCATGGTTTCCAACACTTTGTTGAAGCTACTGGCCGCACCACTCTCTTGCGTAAAGCGAGCGATGCTAAGCTTGGGTTTCTTGCCATGCTCAATGACGGTCATAATCTCGGCAGCAAAGGAAACCTCCTTAAGATTGAAATCTACAGCATGTTAGCTGCAAGCCCCATCACGTTCTATTACAGACACTTACAATTGCCCAAAGCAACTCTTCCAAAGACGATGTTGCGATCCTTGTCGACCTGGATATCTTCGAGGCCGTATCGCTTCCACTCTTTGAGGACTCTGGCAATCTCTTGACGGGCACGACGCTTGGTAATACAGAAGCATAGATGCTTTGTGACTGGCTTGACCTTGAATAGCTTGGCCAGCCAGTTTTGCTGAGGCGCAATTTGTCGGACTCTAGGATCGCCGAGGTGTGGATAATGACGATCCATGAAAGATTCCTGAACACTAATAGTATCATCAATGGTATTGTCAACTGAGAAGTGGTTAGCAGTCTAGTTCTAGCAAAGACCCTGAAGTCACCCAACATACCACTAAGAGTCATATTTGGTTTCGAATTGCGTTTCTTAAACCATCTTCCAAGCTTAGAAATCTTCTTCTTTGGAGATTCCGGAAGAAGGGATGAATCAAGATGTGGATTTTGTGGCCTGTTATATGGATCCTGGACAGTGCTATAACTTGATTGAGACCGCCATGATTCACTTCCGCCGGTCGATCCTCTGAAGTCGTCTCCGCTCCTTGAGCTGCGCTTGAACCAACCGGACGTCTTTCTAAGAATTGTGCTAGCGTTGCTCTCACCTTCGAATGAGTCTTCATCTTTCTTGACTTCTTCAATCTTTGGGAGCACCAATGCAGCATCCTTCTTCAAACCAGCCTTGTACTGCTGACGAAGATCAAGTCCTTCTGATGGACGTCGTCTGCTGGATTGCGTATTAATGTCATCGCCAAGCCCTCCAGACATCAAAGGCAGCGGAGCCGGTTGTGAACTCTTCTTGCGGATGATGAGAGGAGCGGGTGGCTTGACAGGACTGAGTGGAGAAGTTGGATCTACAACACGGATTGTATCCCTAAGTAGAGAATCCGGTTTGGTAAATCGGTCTTGGAAGCTTTCCCGTTGCAGCGCTCGAGGTTCAGGCGCAGAACCTATACGACCTGTCTTCGCCTCGGGGCGACGTTGACGATCACGGTACATAGCTAGCTCTTTAGCCCTCCGAGGGGAGACTTCCTTCTCCTGACTCTCTTCAATACATGGCAGTAATTGTCCCCCTGACGGCTTTTTAGACTCAGTTGGGGCTGAAAAGGACCGAGTTGGTGACATTGGCTGCATCAAACGATCAATGTGTGCTACCATCCGATTCAAATAGGTGGGCGATTCATCACAATCTAAGTACATCTTCCGTATTTCTGCCTCTTTTCGTGCTTCCAAGAGCTCATATTTGACAGACTGAGTTCGGGCTGGTGGTTCTGGCAGAGGACGTGAGCTCAATGAAGTTCGCTTTGTCTTCTTCGTTACTCCATTGCTCTCAGAAATCGTCGAGACAACAGAAGTACGGTTGAATGCTTCATCACAATCCTTCGCCAAGCTAGTGCTGAGCTGCCGGACATCTTCGTTCCAGATTTGACTTGTCAGGCCGCGCTTTGCGGGAGAGAGAAGTGGTTGAGAAGTGGACTGCACCTTTCTTGATCGAATATAGCGCGTTGAAGCAGGTGTTTCCACGGGACGTAAAACACTCCCTCCATCATCAGTGACTTCCGTATGATTGCTATGCCGTGGGATCGCCGTAAATGCTTTACCATCGGAGGACAGCTTTGAATGCCCCCCCGAGGAGTGCTTTCGCAAATTTGAGAAGCTCACACCACGCTTGTGGCCAATTGTTGCTCGGACGTGAGGATTACTTGCTCGGCTTCTGGTGGAAGTGCTTGCCATAGAGCTTCGGGAGGCATACAATTTTGGAGGTGGAGGTAGTAGTCTGTTGCGATCCGTCGTGGTTCCCTGTGACGACGATGTGCCGGAGGCTGAGCGATACCTAGAGTTTGACTCTCCCGAATTGACCATGCCAGGTCCATGAATTGTAATCTTGGCGTGGTAGTTATTGCTATATCCATTAAGTTGTTGGGGTCGCGAGGCTTTGAATGGATCATAGCTGCGCACGGTTTCAGCGGCATTGCTGACAACGGTGAACTTGGACACCTGTCTCCCATGCCCTTTTGACTTGGCTTGGGGGAACTGGCAAGTAGAATACGTCTTCTTCAAGTTGAGTGGTCTGACATGGTGATAGTCGCTATTCGAATATCCAAGATCAGGAGAATAGTTTTCAAGTTGTGTATCACGATACTTCAGGAGTAAGCTGTAGAATAGTTTTTGCTCATTTGGCCTAGGAGGTCAGCGAGGTTCTGGCGATGAAGAAGATAATGAGTTTCATTTAAGTAGAAATAGAAGGCTTACTTTTCACTCAAAAGAGCGTCTATGAGTTGCTGCTCGGACATTCCGTGCCACATAGACCTCAGGTGACGGAGCAACTCTTTGTCGATCTCACTCCGACGAAGTACTGGGCGTCCACAATTCTTCGCACTCGGAGATTCTGGAAAGGAACCGCTGGCAAGGTTGTCCAGGTAATCATATTTTCTTAGCAGGGGATGTCTCCACATCTCCCTGAGCGTGATTCTCTTTTGAGGATTGACCTGCAATATTCGCCGGACCAGATCTTTTGCTTCCTCGCTGAATCCTGGTGGCATTTCGAACCGGCCGCGCTGGATCTTTTTCAATAGCAAAGGCAAAGCCTCTTCCTTCGGGGCGTCTGAATTTCCAACATCAAAAGGAAGTGTTCCAGAAAGGGTGGCATACAGGATAACTCCCAAGCTCCATATATCAGCTTGGTTGCCACGGTAAGCGAAGCCTTTGATCAATTCAGGGGCAGCATAATGCGGGCTCCCACAAGAAGTCCTGAGCTTGTGGTCTGGGCTTTGATGCAACGCCGCCATCCCAAAATCTGCAATCTTGATCTCTAAGTCCTTCGTCAATAATATGTTCTCTGGTTTGAGATCGCGGTGGCATATGTTAAAAGAATGACAATAGCCAACAGCGCTGAGAATTTGACGGAAGAACATCAAGGCTTCTTCTTCCTCGAGGCCACCCTCTTTCGAGGTAATGTAGTCGAAGAGTTCTCCGTTATTCACGTACTCTAATACTAGGTAACTGCACAGACGTCAGCAAATTGACCGCCAAAGGTCTCGAAAATACCCACATCTCAGTACGGTTCTCCCAAATATCATAGAGTTTCATGATGTTCGGATGCTGGATAAGTTTCATTATGGCTACCTCTCTTTCGATACCAACTGGCATTCGTCGTAAGCCGTCTCCAGAGTCTGGGCGTAAAGCCTCGGCTTGATCGAGATCGGCAAGGCTGGAAGCTTGGGACATTTGGGCGTGCCTCTTTTGTACGATCTTCACTGCAGCTTTCTGTCCCGTCGACGCATGCTTTGCCAGCCGAACTCGCGCCGTGGCTCCCTCGCCCAATGTCTTCCCAAGCCTCCAAGGTCCAATATATACTTTGACGCGATTACTGTCGGTAGAAATGGTGGATATGAGAGAGTCTCTCTTGGATGTTGTGTCGCCATGTTCTTTGGATATGGCTGAGAGACGCGGATTTGCTGGGTTAGGAAGCAAAGGAGCGGGTTGGTCGTAGCCACGTAAGGAATTGTATTCATGGTACCGTGGTGGTGATAGAGGTCTGTAAGCTTTCACTTGGGGAGGGTCGGATTTTTTCCTGCCATGCTGCCGCATTGGTGATCCTTTCGAAGGCGTTTGTGGAAGCTCATTGTTGACTCGCCGGGTGGCTTCTCCAAGAGGAGTCCTACGCGTCGATGGCCGGTGGTTATGATCCATGACGTACGACCTCAGATGATTGACCTCTATGAAAGCATTGCCCAGCTCTAGACAGACACACTCCTGAAAGACTGGTCGTTTGGTGGGGGCAACGTGTTCGATATAAGCGCACGCTTAGCTTCGAGGCTTCTAGGTTGCTGAGGAGACGCGTCTTCCTGAAGGGCGTGATTGGAAACTGGCGAGAAAATAATCTTTGTTGGTCAGCTTTTGTTACGCCTCGGGGCCCAAAAGACTTCTTACATGTGCTTCTCCAGACGCGTTCTGAGATGTATGATTTTGGGAGAAGGTGTCAAAAAGCACGGCGCCTCGTGCGGATATCTATCTCTGATAGGATGAGCAAATGATTGTTGCGTGGTCGGGTTGCCAGAGGAATCAATTGATAGTATCTGGCGAGAGCAATGTCAAATGTAGGTTCTGGAATGTTGTGTTTTGCGGGAGGATGCGTTTATTTACATTCGCGATTCCTCGGCGGAAAGCGGAGAATCGACTTTGGAATGCACGCCAGATTGCCGAACAACATTTCCCTTCCTCACGTTTCACTATCAGTGCAGACTTCTCTTCTCTTCTCTTCTCTTATCCTCCAGCATGAAAGCATAAACAATGCAGAGATTATGAAATCGTAATGTCTCCCAACTCCAATATTTGCCTCAACCATCGTCCTTAGCCATAAACTCAGCAATGCGAATCTTAGCAGCGAAAAAAGCATCCTGAAATCCGCACAGAGTGTGCAAGTTGTATGAATTGAGCTGGCAGGCCTGTTGCAGCCTGCAATCTGGAATTTTAAAAGACGCACTTTTGGCTACGATGGGGCACGAATCTCAATGACAACGGAAAAGTAACAGATACTCAACTAAATACTCAATGATAGAGCTCCTTGGATACAACTAGGCAGAGCCTTGGTTTGGCCCAGAAGCCGCGAGCCTGGGTTCCCTAGATAGGCATGTGGACGGGTTCCCGGTGGTTCGAGGAGGGGCATGAAGGAGTGAGCGTTTCCCGCTTCAAGAACAATCTTAGAAATAGGATTATGACAATATTATGGAAAATAATTAGGAAGCTGTCGTATCTTTGTGAAGCTGATCAGAGCTGAATCTGGCCAGCTTCGTAGTCGCAAATGATTGCAAGCTGTGACCACAGATGGTATCCCCCAGGGTTGCACTTCAAGGTCGACAAAGTGACGTTTTATCAGTCGAGGTGCTCAGAGTAGGAGCACAGTATGACCTTTCATCATGTTACTGGGATGGATGGGTGTCTTCTTCTCTCGTTCTTTTAACTTTTTTCGGATCAAGATCGGGGTGACTTTGAACAGCTAGAGCTTCAAGTGTCTTTCTCGAGGGCTGCCGTGTATATGGTACTGGCTGATTATGTGTTCATCATATTTCGATGACCACCATACAACGAAGTCGAAGGTGAACATGAAGAAGAAACCGAGTCTGCCTTCAGTTGTCGTTGCTTCACCTTCGGCCCCTGCCGCGCTAGCGAGCGCCACCAAAAATCCAACCCTAATCTACGCGTCGTCGCGTTCAACCTCATCTCCTCTATCCAAGACAAGATCCTCAGCGTGACAACCACGGATTGAAAAATATGCCGTCCTTGGAGAGCCCTCCGCGACGGCGGCTAAGGGCTGAAATCGAAAGCGATGAAGATGCCGACGCTTTGCGAGCCTCTCAAAGGTCCACACCATCAGCCACCAGCTCAGCGAAACGCGTCCGTACGAATGGACACCACCGCGATTCACAATCCGAATCTCCAGAGCCTGGTCCTTCTCGCCCAAACGGTACATCGCGGAGACGGAACAATCAACACGACGAAGGCGATGAAGATGCCAGCGACGATGATCAGGCAGGTCCAAGCGAGTTCCAGCCTGGTGCCATTGTCAGAGTCAAGCTCACCAACTTTGTCACCTACGAGAATGCCGAATTTTTTCCTGGACCCAACTTGAACATGGTCATTGGACCCAACGGCACAGGCAAGAGCTCGCTTGTTTGTGCGATATGCCTGGGCTTGGGTTGGGGTCCGCACCATCTAGGTCGTGCTGGTCAAGTTGGAGAGTTTGTGAAACACGGTAATACGGATGCATATGTCGAGATCGAGCTTCAACGACGACCCACCGAATCTCGCAATCATGTTGTACGCCTACGAATTATCAAAGACAACAACGGCCGCGAGTTTTGGCTTGACGGCAAGAAAACCTCGTTAAAAAATGTTCAGAGTCTGACGAACGACCTCTCCATTCAAATCGACAACTTGTGTCAATTTCTACCTCAAGACAAGGTGTCGTCGTTTGCGGGTCTATCTCCGGTGGACTTACTTCAGCAGACCCAGAGAGCGGCAGCCCCGCCTAACATGCTAGAATGGCACGATGAGCTAAAGAAGCTTCGGAAAGAACAGAAGACACTGGAGCTACAAGATGAAGCCGATAAGGACCAGCTGGGGAGGCTCGAGAATCGCCAACAAAATCTACACGCAGAGGTGGAGAGATTGCAGGAGCGTATCAAGGTTCAGGAAAAAGTCGATTTACTGAAAAAGATGGTGCCTTTCGTCGAATACAAGATTGCTGTTCAACAGCACGAGGTATCCAAGGAAAACAAAAAGAAAGCTCAAGCTCGGTGGAAAGAGTTATCAGGCAGAATCGCACCCGCCTTGCAATCGATCAGTGCAAAGGAGCGCTACAGAGACCAAATCAAAGTTGTGGTTGGGGAGCGGGAGAAGGCATTGGGGGCAGCCGAGCGAGATGCTGATGTTTTCGTAAAGACTATCGATGGCCTGACGGAGAACGTCACGAAGATCGAGAATAGTGTGAAGTCAATTGGTACGATCGAGACAAAAAGAAAAGCGGAGATTGCAAAACTTCAGGAAAAGATAAGAAGTTTAAAAGCAAAAGTCAACGAGGCACCGATCGAATTTAATCCTGCGGAGTGGAACGAGCGTTGCGTAAGTCTACCTTTGAGCTTTTCTTCGGCATTAACTGACTGTATTAGCACACGATAGAACGGGAGATTCGGTCTATCGACACCCAAATCGTAGATCTTAATGCACAGAATCAAGAGAATGTAGTTGCCGGCAAGACCATCAGACAAAACATCGCAGAAGCAGAACGGGAACTTGCTGCATTCGATACACAGGAAGGCCAGCAAATGAGCAAACTTGAGAGAGTTTCGAAAGACACGGCCAAAGCCTGGAAATGGGTCCAGGACAATCTCGGATCATTCGAAAAGGAAGTCTATGGCCCTCCAATGATTACTTGTTCGATCAAAGACCCAAGATATGTCGATGCTGTCGAGACCTTGCTTCGTGATAACGAGTTCTTGGTCATTACAGCCCAAACTCTCAACGACATGAAAAAGCTGAGCGACCAGTTTACAGACGTCATGCGCCTAGCTGATGTTACGATCAGACAAGTTGAGGAGGGTCAATCCACCGATCGAGGGAAACCTTTATCCCAGCAGGATTTCCAGCGGGCTGGATTAGATGGTTGGGCAATCGACTACATCGATGGGCCGACACCTGTTTTGGAGATGCTATGCAGCTCGGGACAGCTTGATCAATGCCCCATAGGCCTTCGTGAACCTAGTGATGAGCAATACAAGATGCTGGCTGAGAACGTTCGCATCAGGCGATTTATTATTGGCACCCATATCTTCCTAGTCTCCAGGAGACAAGAATATGGACCCCAGGCCGTCTCAACAGTTTCCAGAATGCTTAAGAAAGCTCGGTATTGGACGGATCAACCAGTCGACGTATCTGCAAGACGCGAAATCCAAGAGAGGATTGGTTCCTTGACTGCGGACTTCAAAGTACTGAGTGAAAAAGTGAAGCCTGTCAGAAATCAGATAACAGAGTTGAAAGAGAAAGTGGAGTCTGTGAAGGGAGAACTCGAGGACATCAGGAAGGAAAAAAAGGCATTACAAGCGGCCTGGGTTGCCCAAAAAGCCCTTCCCGATAAGATACAGGCTGAAGAAGAAACCCTCAAAGGGAAACAGCGTGACAGCGTGGAAGACCGAGAACAAGTAAAGAAGTTTCGTACCCAGATTGATCATGCTATTCTCCGAAGAGCCGGGCAGACCTTGGATTACAAAGAGCATATCACCAAGTTCCGGCAATGCCACGAAGAGCTCATTGAAGCCGAGGTCCGCCTCATCGAGGCTGTATCCGATGTTGCTGGCCTGAAAGAGCGCAATGAGGATACTGTAAGAGAACGAGATATTGAGCAACAGAAACTCCGAGCTATTGAGGCAGAAGCCAAGAGAGTGAAGGAGGTTGCGAAGAATGCAATGCACGTCTGTTCAGAGCTCATGCATGATCCTGAAAACGCAGAGCATCTCGACACATTTCAGAATCTCCCCCAGGGACTTACCGTTGAAACCTTACAAATGGACATCGCTGCGGAAGAGTCGAAACTCGAATTCATCCATGCCAGCAATCCAGATGCTATCAAACACTATGAGAAACGCCAAGTCGATGTCGATAGATTGAAGGCGAAGATCCTGGAGACGGAGGCTAGCCTCGAGACTATTGCCCAAAATGTCATGAAGATACGTGGCAAATGGGAACCGAAGCTCGACACGCTCATTGCAAAGATCAGCGATGCATTCTCTTACAATTTCGAGCAGATTGGTTGCGCAGGAGAAGTCAACGTGCACAAGGACGATGACTTTGATCAATGGGCTATCCAGATCAAGGTCAAATTTAGGTGAGAAACTTTACTTCCTCTTCTGACTATACTCAATACTAACACACAACACCAGGGAAAACGATACATTACAGCAACTCGACGCTCATCGTCAATCCGGTGGCGAACGATCTGTCTCGACGATCTTCTACCTCATGTCACTTCAATCTATGGCTCAAGCTCCTTTCCGTGTGGTGGATGAGATCAATCAAGGAATGGATGCCCGCAATGAGCGTATGGTTCACGAGCGTATGGTCGAGATTGCTTGCAAGGAGCATACAAGCCAGTACTTCCTCATTACCCCGAAGCTGCTCACAGGTCTTCGATACGACAAGAGGATGAAAGTCCTGTGCATTGCAAGTGGTGAACATATGCCTGAGAATTATCAGCGCATGGACATTTCCAAGATCATTGGTATCAGAAGAGCGATTATGGCTACTGGTTGAAGGGATGAGATGGATTTGCGATGGCGTTTTGAAGTTGGGCAGTTGAGAGCAATATGATAAAGAATGAGGCAGGAGGCAGGTCCGTAACATAATGTATTAAATGAGGAATCATTTATATTGCCAAGATATTTGAGAAAGTGCTATCCAGAAGAATCGTTTTGCAAGTGCAAACATTCGTCCTCGCCTTAGCGTTGTTGAAAGGAGTACAGCAAGAATTGCTGACTCGGTTCTGCATCAGCAACAAGGTCGATTTCTCATTCGCACGCCAACCGAAGAGTACCCAGGCCTTCCACATCCAACAAGGCTGCCTCCAAGTCTGCCCTGAGCGGCTGACCTCGAAAACAATATGGTGTCTGTGGGCCAGTTGTCTTCCTTTGATTCGCATCCAAATCCGAATATATCTCCATTCTCCACAGAGTCGATCTCTTCAGTATATATCCACTTACCCCTCTCCCCAAGCCACTTCGAAAAGCTAAGGTTCTCAACGATACACATGGATCATCTCACATACGAAAGGCTCGACGCCTCAAAATTCGAAATCAGGCTCCTCAACGTCCATGTCGGTGAGGATGGAGGAGTCGAATGCGAACTCACCAGGCACACCTTGACCCTGGAGCTACAATACTATGCGCTCTAGTATGTGTGGGGGGGCTCCCAAAATCACTCAGGATATACTTGCCAACGGGAAAACGTTCGTGGCTACCACGAACCTTGTCGCCGCGTTCTAGAATATTTTAGCAACCGGAATGGATAGCTCCGATTTCCTCTGGGTTGATGCTATCTGCATTAACCAAAATGATCTTGAGGAAAGAACTGCGCAGGTGCAGATGATGGGTTCAATTTTTTTTCGAGCGCCCAATGCGTGTTGGCTTGGCTGGGGTCTGAAAAAGACAGCAGCACGGAGGTGATCTATATAACCAAGGCGATTGCCGCCGAGATCGGGTCGCAGGAGGCTCTTCTGGGTGTTGAAGTTCTGTCACGATCACCAACACAAGATCTCCTCAACGGTTTGAAGATGAAGACAGCTGATACTACGCTTCTATCCTTGCTCTTGTTACGGAGGCGGGATTTTCTCAAGTTATTTTCTGAAAGAGCTTTCTGGCAACGGTGTTGGATCCTCCAAGAACTAGTTCTTGCGAAGGATGTCATATTCTTTTGTGGCCAGGCAACCTTCGGTCACACTTGCATTCAAAGGAACAGGATCTGGCTCGAAGCTCTCTCACTACAGGTAAAACCGGACGGCATCGGCTAGGCAGACCGGATGCTCTTGAAAGAAGGATTTGATGATAGTATGCTTGAGCCGATGAGAAGTTACGCTATACAGATCGCAAGGCACAATGTTTTGCCCACAGTACGGCCGTTTGAGATGGCATGGCGCATTCTCAATCAAGCACGATACCTTCATGTAACGGATCCCAGAGATAAGATTTTTAGCTTGCTTGGTATAATCGATGTTGGCATTGAAGCCGACTACTCCAAGACTGTTGAGAGCATCTATTGTGAGCTAGCCGAGGAGATGTGTGCATCGGTATCACTGGACGAGTGGTTACATACGGCAGGAGTTGTTTGGGTCGGTAGATTGCCAGGGCTTCCGACGTGGGTAATAGACTGGGGATCAACTAATAGCGGAGGCTGGGGTTTGAGTTTGTGCGGTAATTTCTACAGCGCAGGTTTAGATACGCCTTACCTTCACCTCTTCGATCGGCCGCGAATCGGGAACCAAGTTCTTACCTTATCCGGGACAGTGCGTCTTTCGGATAGAGATCCATCTTTGCAAACTCGTTTCGGAACGAGTTCCTCATTTATTTTCACCAAGATGTACCTAGATCTGGAAGATATCCTCGATCTAGGAGGTATATAGCATCGGCATGTCTAAGCGGACTAGCTGTCCGCGAGTTCTTTGTTACAGGAACGGATTTGGATCCCGTGGTGCATCGAAACCTGCACCACATCAATCAAGTCACGGATAGGCAGCGTGGTGCTCTTGTTGAAACTGTCCTTAAGCACGGTCAAGAAGCGCGTCATTTTTACACGAAGAAAGGCGGGCTTGGGTATGGGCCGAAGGTACTTGAGGACGGGGATCTGATTTGCGTCTTCCCCAACTGCCGTCTCCCTATCGCTCTTCGTAAAGTCGGAGACTACTATCAACTCATCGGCACATGTTTCGTCCTAGAACTTATGGACGGTGAAGCTGCACAGATGCTGAAACGTGCAGAAGTGCTCATGCAAAAGTTTGATATTCATTAATCATGTAAGCCAGATTTGTTCCAAAACACATTTTAATGCAATCTGAAATAGCATAGGTTATTAGTCATAACATCCGACTCCATATCCCCACCATTCCTAAAGCACCACCAATAACCCACACATCCAACCCTCTCCTTACCCCGGCACTCTTAGCCGTTCCGGTACTCTTACCCGCACTACTCGTCGCAGTCCCTGTCACTTCACTCGAGCTTCCAACAGCCCACCCCAAATCTCCAAGCTCACTCCCATGATCCACGCACTGGATGTCCTCTCTCCCCACCAGATATGCATCACTATGATTCGCCAATCCCGAGTGCAGCTCTCTCGTCTGATAATCCGCCCACAGGTAAACCTGACTCAAAAACGGGACTCCTAGGATCGGAGAATCCATATCCTCAGCCGTCAACTCGCGCGTATTGGCTAAGTCCGGCGGGATCTCAACCACCAGTCCGTTTGAGAGAGTGATTGTGTAATTTGCGGAGGCGGAAGGGAGAGAACTAGTGAGGGAGACAGGTGGTAAGGCGAGTGAGAGCTCAGAGGGCTCGATGCATGCTGTGAATGGCTTCGAGATAATCGGCGTACCCCCCACCGCAACGCTAGATACGGACACTTCCCGCGGGCATTGTTTAGGGAGTGTGAATTTACCAATCGGGTATGTCTGAGCGGAGAAGTTCCCAAGAAGGCGGGAGGTTGAATAGCCGCCAAGGATCAAAGTACCATTTCGGACTTCAGAGGGGGAGGGGACGCCGTAGTAGAGACCGAGGGAGCGAGAGGCAATCCAGCCGGCGTTGTATAAGGAGGTGAGGAGTGTGGAGTTTAGACCCAAACCTAGGAGTTGGTTGGTGTGACTTGGGACGAAGCCGTAGACTAAGAGGGCGTTGGAGTAGAAGCCATTGACGCTGAAGACGTTTGTGTATTCGGGCTCGAGAAAGTGTTCTGGCTCCACGAGAGACAACAGCTGTGGCGCATATTTGGGGGATAGGGAGGAGAGGGAGCTGGTGGCGGGGCTGGATTCAGGGGAGCCGGTGAAGTTGGATGGGGTTTGATAGTACAGGGGTACGGAGGTGCTGAGGTCGTAGAATCCGTGGCAGGTCATGGATGTGTTATACGTGTAGTAGGAGGATCCTTCCCAGTAATCGGAATCCATTGTCCAGTCCGAGTTGTAGGTATAACTGTTGGGACATGGTAGATCTTGGGAGCCGTCTGCAGTGGTCGAAATGTACGTTTCATTGTACAACGTTGAAAGGACCGTAAGCAATGGGAATGGCTGCGTTTGATTATTATGTGCCGTATCCCAATTCTGCTGTCCAACCCAGAGAAAGACTCCACGCTGCTGGGCAAGAGTAGAATTTGAAGCCCAGAGGTTGTCACTCATTTCCGCTCGAATGCGGAAGGGAAGTCGCCCGAGCAAGAAGGTGCAAAGGAGCCGCTGGATAATCCAAGAAATAAAGAAAGTAAGAAAAGGCCATGCCATAAGAGCCTGGTAAACGAGTGTGATGGCATGGTGCCGAGAATATAGAGGAAGATGTGAAGAGCATCGAAAAGGAGGCTCTTGAGGTGGCGCGAAAATCGGGATGTGGGGCAATGAGGCGCAGCAATACACGCTTTCACGTGATATTTTTTACTTCTATTAATAAACATATCTTTTAATATACTGCACTGCACTTGCTGCTATTTATTATATGTAGTGTTATGTATTTCAAGGGTGAAAGAGCTTTATAGGCTAGTTTATAATTTCGTAAATGTCTTCAGTCGTTGCATGAACACACGAGAAATTGGTTTGCCGAGATTCAGGAGGCTTGAAGACTGCAATTACATCACAATTTGGAAGCTGAAGAGCAGTTTATGCTCTCTTCAAGAACACAATCATTTACCTGACTCCTCAGTTGCGAGCAAGGAGGATATCTTTTGACACTAGACGATAGTAAAGGTATACACATCCTTCTCCTCCTCATATGTCTCATATAATTCCTCCGTCATCTGTGATTTCTCTCTTGCACCCCCCTCCCACCCCACTTCTCTTTTGTAGATAAGTTTGTCCCACCAACCTGAAAAGTTTCCAACTCGCTGAAACTCGTCCGGTTTCTTCCCAGTGGACTTCCATACCAGACCAAATACTCTTATGTAATTTTCTTGTGCAGCGTAGAGCAACATCGAGTTATAGTACTTTCCTACTACACAAGACCTATCTGGATTGAATGTGAACCGCTTTTCGCTGATATGTACATCCTATTCGTGAAAATTAAACTCCTCAGAACCGTTAGTCACTTTGATAGGTGTCAGCTTTCCAACAACTCGGAGACGGCCATTTTCACCAGGGGTACCGTCATCATCGGCCGAAGACTCAACTTCAATGCTGAGAATTTTAAAGAGGTCGGATCTAAGATTATCAAGTGCATTAGGGGCATAATGCACTAAGCCGGGACTTGAAGCCCATGACATGTTGGAGTTTTATACATAGGGTCTGTATTCTCACTGTCCGGCAAGGGCCCTGTACCCAAATTGTGAATAGTCAAGACATCGTGTGCAAGGATTTCGGAAACCATGTGCTCCTGGCATAAAAAATATAATTGTCTAGATGTGAAGTGCAAAGTCCGCCTCGCTGGTAGCAGTTCTTGTTCTTCGAGCCAAGTGCGCTTCACCAAAGGAGATGCGAGAATATCACTACACAAACAAGTCTGTGCGAATGAATATTTCCCAAGCTCAAACGATGGGACATTGTAAGAGTCAGAAATTCGGCTGGCTTTATAGTTGACCCATCCCTTTTGGCCATCACTTTGACTATGGTTCTCGGTATGGATTTGATAAATCCGAATGGTTTGGTGAGAGCGGTCCCATAAAGAGGGCGGATCGGTTGTTGGGGAACTTCAAGAACTCCGGCACGTAGAATCGAGACATCGTGATCAAAGAAGAGCACCGTTCTAGCGTTCACTGCTGCAGTGGCAGCAATGTTGCAGAAAGCCTCCGCAAACACGCTCATCATAAGAGCAGATTCTCTCTTCCGATCATCTTCTGAATCCTGGACAATGCAAAGAGAGTCGATCCAGATATACTGTACTGTCAATCTCTGGGCAACGTAGATTGCATCACGGAAGGTCTTCGGTAGTTTCCTTATTTCAAGCCCTTCCTGGAATGTGACGATGTTGCTATTCGTAAGAGTGATCAACTGCAATTGTCCCCAACAGTGGCTAAGGGTGATATATCGAGTGTCTATTGGAGGTAGTTCTGTATGGCAAAGGCGCACAGACTGAGGTCTCATGCTCAATTTCTCCGCATCCGGGATGTTTCGCAACAAGACGCAGCAGGTATCGCACCCTTCCTGGGCGGCGTTTTCTAGAGAAGCAAGTGTTCTGTGGTGATAATAACCTTTAGGTAGCCATGGTTGTGGCCATTTGGGTAGGTCACTCGCCCATGACCAGTGAAGATGCTCCGGTAGATAGTGCAACCGTTTTCCATTTTGGATGGGTGAGCCTGACCCGAGCTCGATGAGAGCACTGAGAACTTATCGCCTTCCAGCCATGAGGCTGAAGGTGGTCGCAGTCTGATATACACGAGTTGCCGCGTCGGCGAAGAGAGGAATAAGGATACTCACGGAGACTGAGAAGCTGGATATGGTTGCCCAATCCACTGGGTCCGTCAGTGGGGGCCAAAAGCCCAGGTGGCGCAGCCATGGCATCTGAACGACATCTCAGGTTCCCAACGGCCTCATCGTCGCATAGTTCCATAATGCTGAACGAGATACAATTTGATATGCTACCAGAACGGCCAGTTATATGGTCTTATCTTATAGAGCGTCACCTTTACTCAAGAAGCAAGGCGTCAATGTCCTGGGCATGCTGGACGGGGTCGAGAGCTATGTGTTTACATTGATCCCGGGGACTGAGTGAATCTCAGGGAAAGAAGAAAGCACTCTATAACACCAGCAACATGGCCATTCTCACCTTCTTCCTAAGAAGTCACAAACGGCCCCAAAACCGAATAATCGATCCTCAAGCTCTCAATCACCAACCCCGCATTCTCAAACTGGAAAACGTCCGCAGCCGCCAATCGCCCCAACCACTTCTCATTCGTCCTATTCGCGCACTCCTCCGCCAGCGTATCCAAATAATTCTTGAAAACAGCCCACATATTCCCCGGGTTCTTCTCTGACACCGGGTCATTGATGGCAGCAGCGCCAAAAACGGGATCGTCGGTCGCACTGAGATTGATCGCTGCCTGGCAATTGGTGAATAGATCATGCACGTACTCCTGCTGTACGAGAACATCTGTTCTGTTTCCAGAACGACCGAGATGGCCTCCAATATAGTGGTCGAAATCGTATTCTAGGATCTGGTCATGGGCGTTGATGAAGCCGGGGAGACTTTTTGTTTCGCCGAGGTTGGCGAAGGGGGTCCAGCCCGGGAAGACGACGTCAATTAAGATGAGCACTTTCTGGATCGGGGCGAAGATGAAGATGTTTCCTGTTATGTGGTTCTCGCCTTTGTAGGAAAGCTCAAGGGTTTGGTTGCCAACGCAGAGGTTGTAGTCTTTCTCGAAAGTTATCTTTGGCGGGGGACGAGTTGGGTCAGGGGTCAAGGATAAATGGAGAGCTGTGTCGGCGTGAGCTATTGTTTTGACATCTTTCCCGAAGATCCAGGCTCCGCCGATGTGATCTGCGTGCGAATGACTGTAGAGAAGATGAGTGATTGGGATAGAAGTTATGTTTCCGATAGCATAGAGCATGCTATGTCCGATTGTGGGAGGGCAGTCAACGACAATGACTCCTTTGGTGGATATCAGAAAAAATGCTGGTGGTAGGTTTAGTTCTGCTCTCGCAATTCTCTGCCTGTTGAAAGTGGATTCATGTACCTTGGTAGCTGCCATCTGTCACCATATATGCCCCCTTTCCAAAAGCTTGCACACCGTATCCATTGACGAGAGAGATCCCTTTGGATCCAGCAGGAATGGGAGCATACGCTTTATCGTCATCCAATGTTCGTATGTGAAGTCCGGGTCCACATGCCAGGCTCTGACAGGCGAAGTATAGTGCCAAGAGTGAGGAGAAAAAATACATGTTGGAGGTTTCGCAATTGAGCACTTGTGTCTTGTTCCAAAGGAATGTCTTCCTTTCACCTTCACACAGTAATTAAGAGGGTAACTTCCTTCTTATAGAAACTCACAGTCCTTCTCAATTTATCCATTTTTACAACCTTTGACTCCCTCATTTCGAAAGATTTACGACTACCTTGCAGTGCATTATTAATAGAAGTTATAGACAGGTACCTACAACTCAATGAAGTAAAGCTTCCATAAAATTGAGACGCACGCTTACGTTAGTGCCTCGAAGTTGGGCCAACAAAACTCCATTTGTGCATTCGGTACTTGGGTTGCTGCATATAACTTGGCCGCTTCAGGCAAACAAAACCCTAACATCCTATCATATATGTTACGGTGTGATGGGTGCAAAATTGCGTGCATGCGCGTGGTATTCCCCGCTCCGAGGATCTGACGCAGCGCCGTTACAAAGCTGACAAAATCCAGTCAGCTTCTGCGGCGACTCGAGTAACACAAGGAGGCATAGTCAGCTTTTCCGTCTTGGCAAATGCCAAGAAGTCCAGAAAGCAAGAGAATATTGTTGTCTGTAAGCTGCTAAGTTTTATCCTCTGCTTTCGTCTTCGTCGTGAGGTGTTCCTGATGTCGAATTTTTCCAAGGTTACTCTCGCTTCTGACCTCACGTGATGTTTACTTTCCCCCTGAACCCCTGACCCGACATTGAAATAAACCCTGTTTCTAACAATGTAAGATTACGGAGCCATTATGTACGGGATATACTTCAAGCTTTTGAGCTTTTGGATCTTACACACTGCTACCCTATATTTGCTTCAAACTGCTGAGCTTGAAACCTACAGATTGAGAACCGGGCAATTTCATAGCACTTCTCCACATTCCCAGGACGTTGTCTAAGGCTTGATTCTTCTTATCAATTGAATATGTTGCCCTTCCTTTACACCAGCTAAACCATAAGGGAGGGTTTGTACCCTTGTGGCTTGCGACCTTTTGAAGTGTTCTCCGGGAGGAGCTCGCAGCTTTGCGTCTTCCTTGCAACCCGGACATCGCGCTATGCAGATACAGGACAATTCTAGAGAGAGAGAGAGGTATGAGGAGGGAACATGAGATTTTCCGATGAGAAGCTCGGGCAGTGTATGTGAAGGAAGTACTTAAACCGTCTCATAGGAGACCAAAAAATAAGGACAAAGCAGAGGGAAAGGAGTCGTGATATCCGAGGGGTAGTAACATCTAAAACCAAACTTCAACTAGCATCAAATATAGATGTGCATAATCAGAAGAAAGAAGTTATAGGAGAGAGCTAAATTATCCCATCAGAAATTAGAACAATACGGGTGAATAAGAGAGTTAGGAATCAAAATATCCGAGTCGGCAGCAACAACCAACCATGTCTCTCTATGTAAACAAAAAAGCAACGCTGCTCTTGCAACACTTTGCTATTCGTGCAGGTCCCTTTATATACTTAACTCTTTCTATCTTTCCTTCACACAACGATCTTTTCAACATCGTCCTCTTCCTTCCACGCCACGGTCAGACAGAGGAAGCCTCAAGCAAACTGGCTGGTCCAACCAAGTCCTACTTGTTAGCAGATAAAGAACCACTCTACCTGCTAACAAGTACACCTTTGTCCCGCGTTGCTATGACAGAGTTCACAAGTCGCTCAGGCGGCATCGCCTCACTATCTCGATCTTGTGAATCAGAATGGTGACTGCCAATGTTCTGAAAAGGAGTCTAGTGAAGGAAATAATAATATACATGGAGGAGTTATCGCTGAGAACCAAGTCAATGAAAGCGCCACAGCAAGAGTGACTACTCAAGCAGAGGATAGAGATGCGACCGGTGGTACTAGATTAGACAGAGAACAAACTACTACGACAACTTTGTCTTTAGACAATGTAACCAAAGGAGCAACTCGAGGCCACACAGGACCGACTGTGAAGTGGCATTGGACTGGCAGACAATGTACGAATTGGAGAGGAGCCGAGAACCTTCACCTTGCTCCCCAAGCTTGAGCTGAAACTCCGACTCAAGATCTGGAACTCCGCTCTCGCCGGCCCACGATACATCGAAGTCCTTAACAAGCCCTATCTATGCCCAACCAGGGCCCCACCAAGTCACTTCCACTACATCTGCGCCTCGCTGACCCCAGCGCTCTTCGTCGTCAACCACGAGTCCCGCGCCGTCGTCCTCTCCCTCTACACCCTTCTCCACTCCACCTTACCAGGCTCGCCGGCCATCTCCTATAACGCCGCCATCGACGTGTTCTGTCTCCGCTACGTCCACGAGGACACCTGCTACGAATTCCGGGGATGGATCAGCAAATTACTCCCGTGTCGTTGCACACGTTAAGCACATGGCATGGCAGTCTCGGGAGCCAGCTTGGTACTGTACCTCCACCTTTCCTCCGAAGCAGGGCCAAACACAAGAGTGTATAACTTCCAGCGCCGCCGACTTCTTCTCGCAGGCACATATTAATAGGCTGTCGGGCCTGGAGCTGCTGAAGGTTTGCAGATGGACGGAGGAGCTGGTTGGTGGGCGAGGTGATTGACCCGAGGACGCGCGAAACAATCGTGGGGTTGTCCCCACGCGGTTGAGGTACTCTCAACAGGTGTTTCTTCATGCAACGACCCAAGTTGGCGAGGATTGGGATGAGGAGCCAATTGAAGTAGTTCGTGAGGGCTGGGTCGTACCTCGGGCTCCATTTGGAGATTTCATAACCGAGCAAGGGGTTTCAACTCACAATCCAAAAGCAGTCACTCAAAGTCAAAAAGTCATTTGTAGCCGCAAATATGTCCGTCATTGCATTTAGGAGGAAGTAATATGTGCACTCTCTTCGAGATAGTTCCACGATTCGCCTGGGTGCAGGTCTATGACAGACCATGCACCATGATCCCATGCCCATAAACTCCTTAATCCGTGCAATGAGCCCACATTCGCCTTGCCTGCATCCGGATCCGAAGATCCGAAGATGCCAAATACCAATATCGATACCACGCAGCACCCTAACTTACAAGTGTGACCCCCGGCTTACCCATGCAAAAAGCAACTCTATGGAAGAGTACAGTCCCATGCATGCAAGTCGATGAGCCCCGGTTTTGAGGACAAAGGAAAATGTAATTGTGACAATAGGTAGGTGTATGTATAGGTCGGTAGGGGGTTTAACTAAAGGATTCCTTCCCACATGCCTGGGCCACGAATAGCTGGAAGGAGGTCCCGAGCAGCCTCTGATGAGCAGCATACTCTCTTTCGTCCAAGTGATGCATTCGACGTAGAACGGATTGCAACTTGAGCATTTGGGCGAGACCGGACGAGGTCATCGGACCAATTGCTCTCAGACAATGGATAGCGACCACTCAACATCTCTCGAACATTCTCTTGCAGCGAGTTGTCGATTGATTGAGGTCTGGCACGTTTGGCACCGGCTCTGAGGGGAGACTCCGCAGACCGGGGTTGGTTGTGGAGTTCTTGAAGAGCACGGGCAGCTTCTTCATCCTTGGAGAAGTAATCTAATTCACGTCGAGCCAAAGGGGTATCCAGAGACAAGACCAAGAAATCCTTGCCGACGGGTCCAGTGTATGACTCTGGTGACAACGTTGGCCCATTGTCACAGTATCCTTCGGGAACTGTAGCAATGATGGTCCTGTTCTGCCTCTCACTGCATTGCTTCGCGTACCGACAACGCGCCTGAACGTCCAATTTGGATGAGATCGGCGCGCCTGTGGTCGACGAGGCAGATGAGATTGAAGATGAACGAGATGACCGGGATGAGTTGTCTGAGATCATAGACTCTGGCGACGACATTGATGAGACCGAGTTGGCCAAGGATGATCGGCGATGAGTAACGTAGAATTGTGGTGAAGAAGCGTTCTGCCATTTTTCGTTGGCTTGGGCGGCACAGACGCTCGAGGCATGGGCCATAGCGAAGCCCATGGAAGGTTTGCTGAGCATATAAGACGCAGCACTCACTGCAGGAGTGTTGAATCCAGTACTCTGTGGAGTTAGTCTTGGGGTAGGTAGCAGACCAAGAGCTGGCGCAGGTTTGCTGGGAGGATAGGTTGGTGACGGCTCCATGATACTGGGGGTGTAGTATCGAGGAGTCGGCGTTGATTCGGCGGAGACATATCCAAAGGTGTTGTGGTCGGCAGCCAATTGCACGAAGGCTCGTGGGCAGGCCGCGCTAATAGATTTGACATTTGCGATTGCAGATGTCGATGGCGAGATCCCTTCAATGTTATCCAACTGAGGGTTGAGCCTAAGTATAATAGATTTCCAGTCGGCCGTTTGCTCTTCAAGCGAAGGGCTACTTGAGCCTGGGGACGGTGGTAATGTTGGTGTGTATTTGAGTACGATGTCTGTCCAGCGTTGGAAGACTGCATCAGTGATATGCAGCTCCCAGTTCACTGCCAGAAGGAAGGCCATTTCGTTTTGGTTAATCTCCAAAGTGTTCAATCCTGAAATCTTACTCCACGCTCTCGCGGAGTAGTTGCGGTCTTGAAGATACTTTGAAGCGAGAATAAGAGCCGATAGGAACATGCGACGTCCGCATTGAAGGGCTCGAATAGAGTGTGCATCATCCGGCTGTTCCATCGTAAAATCGTGCTTGGGCACATGGGGCTTGATCAAGATCAAATAATACAAAGCGACTTGGAGAGTCGAATAACTAGTGCGAGATCGTCGAAGAGTCTCTTGAATGAATGTGCGTAAAGGAAGAACCCCCTTCGCGCCCATCTCGCTTCGGCAAGGGACTGACGAAAGGGGCCAAATTGCTTCAACAATCTGGGTAGAAGAATCTGGTGGGGGTATCATTGAGCGGGGGGACTTATTGAGGACTTGCATAGCTGCTTACCGACGAGGCTGTCGACGAAGTTGACCTTGCGATCGCATTGTCGAACTAACGTAGGTGGACATCCGGTCCGAGTTGTTGATCCAACACTTGTTCTTCTGGGGTGTTGCCGTTGTGCCGGTGCAACTTCAACCTGTACCTTGTGTCTTGGCCAGTATGTGGCGACCGATATGCCCTGTTCGCATGTAAAGGAAGGTGCAGGCTGAGAGGTGCAGCAATATGTTTCTGAAGTTTCGTTGTCTGAGGAGCCATTAACTGAGGAGTCGTCCGAGGATTGGGAGGCGACATCGGACCAGACGGATGCTGTGGAGGACGAGGCTGAGGAAGCTATTGACGAGCTGTATGGACCATTTCGATATGAGGTGATGTAGGGCGGCGAATCATCTTCGCCGCAATTCATCTTCGGGGAATTTCGAGGTTATGAAGTTCTAACACAAACTCCAGTCGCCGTCTGTACAAAGCCAAACCGATAAACCGTTATAGACTGCGTGGAACCTTCTGACTAGATACAGGCTCATACAACCGCAATTGCCGTTGCAGAGCGAGGTGATCGAGGGAGGAGGAGAACAAGCTAGAGTGCAGTGACCTGGCAGATCTCTGCACGAACGATAAAACCGGTAGACGATGTAAGACTGGCGACTGGAGAAGCTTTGGTGAGATCGAAGAGCATTGTGACCTTTTCGACGGTGGAAATGGTAATTGTTGAGGTAGATGGTGGCTAGTAGGGGGTACTAGCTACCATTGAAGAAGGCGGAGGGGTCGAGCGTGAAGGGGAGGTAGGAATTCGAAGGTACGGAGGAAGGTGGGAAGCTCGAGGAGTTTATTAACAGGTGACAAGAAGGACTGAGTGGAGTTGTGGTCTGAGGACCAAGGTGTCTTTTGCTAGGGTTTTCGTCGACTCAGAGGGAACTGAGGGTCGAGTGACTGTACACCTGGGTGGCAAGAGCTAGCCGGTCTCGCGATCGGGCGGAGTGATTGAAAGCTGGGTCGCTGAAAACAACACCAGGCTTCCTTCCGCGGGTATCAAAGGGAATAAAATAACAACAAAGGAATCTGCGTAAAGGAGATATGTGGCGAGGGTTCGGAATTAGGTAGCGGAGGCTATGACTGGATGGATGGAGTCACTGGGGACGAGAAGTCGCTTTGTCGCAGGCGCTGGCGAGTGCGGATTTGACAAGCAGGAGAGGAATTCGGGAGGAAGGTCGAACGAGACGTTTGCGAGTGTTTGATGGTGGTGAGGATAGGCGATGATGGTATGCAGACTTCAAGGAGCCGCTTTGTCTATTGCTTGGGACCATACATTGCTGCGATGATTTCGAAAGGGGAGCGTGGAGCTGCGGGCATGGCTCGCTTTTGTTGCGGCGGGTGAGTTTTGGGGGGGGGGGAGTTACTAGCAGCGATTCTTGCGGGAGCACGTCGAAAGGCCAGGGTGGTGGTGCTAGGGTGGTGGTACTGGGGGGGGGCGTTAGCGAGGATATTGAAGAGTCACCCCAATCTGGCGCAGGTTCTGTGGCTCTGGCTGGCTGGCTGGCGAGAATTGCGGCCTGGCTTGACTTGGGGCACTGCGCACGCCTTGATTGACCAGATGTGCCCACGCCTGCCCTCGCCTCCCACCACCCACCCACCCTCACTCATCATCGTTCCGACCTCCGCCACCCAAAACCCCAGGCAAAACACAGGCAGTTGATGATTTGCCATCGGCCAGAGAGAATTTCCGCGAGCAGCACCATGCCCACCAACACCAGCACCAAAATCAAAACACGGCCCGCAATGGGACCCAACAACAGACACGACACAGCTGCAGCCTATGAACTCAGACTGCTTCGTAACAACGCTGACCCTCCGGCCCAGCCCTAAACCCTCGCTCCCTCCTCCCTCTCTCTCCTTTCTCTGGATCTCGAAGAGGATACACAGCCGTGGCGATGACTACCACACTTACTCGTCCCTTGACTCTGACTCTGCAAGGCCGATCCCCAGCCCAGCGCAAACAACCACAAAATAGAAACGAGACCCGTAGCACAGCCTTGCCGGGTGCTCATCAAACTCGGCCTCGAGCCGGCAGAGTGTAAGGTGTGAGTGTGGAGAAGCGACACGAAGCTCCCCCCCATCGAAATTCCCCTATCTCGTGTTCTATTTTCTGCCCACCTGAGCTGTGCTGCTGGCTGTCTGAGATGACTGAGAGCACTCCTCAGCATGCATTGCGTTGTTAGTCATGCATGGGCCCTACGGCGCGCTGTGCAACGGCAACTCTGGAGCGTAAATCTGTTCTCAGCCTCCCCGACTTGCGTATTTCGACCGTCGGGGGCGCTGGCCATGGTTCATGCTAATAATCGGCGCCAGATGGTCTTTGCAAGCTGGACTCACTCATAGGACTTGGCAGCGTCGTCGCCACGTTGCGAGGTTGGGGTCCATAATTAGGGGAAAGTGCCCCACGAATTCGCCATCTGCCTGCAAATAATTGCTCAGAGTTACTCACATCGCACAATCGTCGGACTATCGACGGCCCTACAAAGCCGGCAAGATGGAAAGATGGCAATGCAACCACAGGGAGGCGTTGGAAAGGCTGGAGCGGGGCCCAGCCGCCTTCCATTCGTATCATCTTCAGTTTCAACACACCATTTTGGACGTCAGCCCCCTCCAAATCTGGCAGTGAAGGGAGATCGGAGTCAGCCTTCTCTGGCCTGTTTCCGCCAGAGACACGCAGCGGAGACGTACCTGCAAAATTAATCATCCTGCAACAGGAGATTTTGGAAGCTTCGGAGCAACACTCAGCAACGAGACCTCGTCGTCCTCGATTCCTCGCAGGAATGCTGCCCCTCCCCGATCCTCGATCGAAGGAACAAGCAAATAGGGATAATCATTTTTGATCCCATTATCATCAGAGTTGTACACCCTTGACACACGCGGCCAATGACCTCGATGAAAAACTTCCCCGCTCCACGATCTGTACTGGCGATGATTGGTCTCATTGACAGCAACATCAGCAGCATCCTGCAGGCTTGCCTCATGCTGGCCGCCGGCGCTGCCATTAGCACCCAACTAGGCCGCGTTTATCTGCAATCCAGCTGGAATCCTTCCTGTCGACTTTCTCTTTCATAAACCTTACTCAGCGACAGCGAGCGTGCTGCCACGCAGTTCTCTCCTCCCCCTCCCGGCTGCACCACCACGAGCAGCCATTTTGGAACATGCCCTGCCTGCCAGCGAACTCTCTAGAATTTTCCCCTCCCCTTCTCCCATCCCCAAGAATGGATCGTTCCAAGGCTGGGATGCGTTCATCCCCACCAGCTTGTCCACCCCTCTAGATCAAGGCCAATCGCAATGGCGTTCCAGTAAATCATGATGGTGACTCAACCTTCCATAGCCCTCCCTCACGATTTCACCCACTCCAGGCTGCAAGCGTCGAACAGGGTAATACAGGAGCTTAAGCTCCCGCTTGAACGGGATCACGCTTCATCAAAAGGTACTATGTACCATACCCTCGTATCACGCCCCTTGAAAGAAATGGAACAAAGGAACCGAGCTCCAGTCATACTCCGTAAAGAAACTGTACTGTAGTCATCACGAGAGCAGGAAGCAAATAAACTCCGAACAATCACGAGCTGACCAAGATTTGCCCCGAAACGAAAGTGTCATCAGGTGACAAATAAAGCCCTCACTGCCAAATCCCACTCCCACAACACCAAAACCTCGGATCGCGAGAGACAAAAAACCAAACCTCACTCTGACTCCCCGCTGCCCCCATGAACTCATCAATCAATTCGCCATGAAAATATCACCCCATCAAAGATAATTCCCAACGACACGCCACAAACCCTCCAATAATTCTCGGCCTGCTCCCCTCCGTTCTCCGTAACCGCGCGCTTTCTCACACGTCTCATCACCCGCCCATCCTCGCCCAACCTTTCCAACTGACTCACACTTTCCCTCCCCTCATCAGATGACATTCCGGCTCCTCCCACTTCTGCTCGGCTTTACTCGGAGTCATTCCATTCCCCACCTCCCATTCCCTTGGCTGAAACGGGTAAATCGATCGGCAAGTGGGCTCGGATCCCCTTTCCATCGAAGCCCAGCCCAGCCCAATCTAGACCCCATCCAGCAATGTTCTGGAACATCGATTTGATTTGCCGTCCTCCCATTATTCTCGAGCGCTGAGTGATGACTCTTCATTCGCCCCTTGCTGATTGATCACCGGGAAAACGATCTTCCCTCCATCCAGTAATGTGAAAGGCTTGTGTAAGGGAGGTCGATGATTGGCGAGGATGTAAAAGCCACTAATTTCTGGAGTGACTGGGCTGGACTCAGCCACCCGTTCGGGAATAAGTACGGTTGCCTGGATGGTCACATTGTGCAAGATGCTCTCTGATCTTGGGTGGCGGTCTCTCCGAAGTGTGTGAGTGAGGAGCGAGATTTCGTGCGTGATGCGTGACTTCGAAATCCGAGTTTTTTTTCTCTTCATTTCATTTCGAGATTTGGGGTTGGACAGGTCTCGACCAGTGTGAGAGGGAGGTCGAAGTGGAAGGTCTCAGCTCACAATCCTTCAAGAATGCATGGAAGTTGTTCACAGGCTGAGAGTGAGTCGGTGTTACCGTGACCTTCCTCTTCGAAGTCTGTCTGCGATCATCCCTGCACAACCACCAGTCACAACCACTCCCAGCTGTCCCTGTGTGTGAACATCGTGAAAGAACCAAGTTCTAGGGTTGAGGGGGAGAAATGTAAGCCATTCCTTCGGCGTGATTTTCATACTTTCTTATGCCGAGTCTCGTGTGCTTGCTTGCGAGTCAGCTAGCGCCGATGTCATGGTCGCCGTGGTGATGGGTTGCGAATAGGCAGCAGTCGCTGCCTCGCTCCTTCCACGCCCACATCTTCCTCCCCGACTTTTGCACGCCCACAAGGCGACGAAGGATGAGCGATGTCATGCATACCATCAGACGGCAAGACGCCACTCAGACCTCCTGGTTCCTCTTTCTCCCTCTTCGCCAGACCAGGCTGAGAATTCCAACTCAAAAGATGGGGGACGGCTTGTGCCAGCCAGCCTTCGAAGTAAGACTTTAATAGCCTTGTCCTGAATCAGCCCGTCATTGTCCTGTAGGCAGCTAGGCTGACCCTCTCTCCCTCCCCTTTCCCTGCCTTCTTCTTTACTTCTTTATGCACTACTGCGTAGCGAAGCCTCGCTCGGGATGAAAAGAAGAAGAGTCATCTAGTGTTTTGGTGTGTTGTGGGTTGCGCGCTGTGTCGACAGGCAGATTCCAGCCCCATCGATGGATGGAACTTGGTTCACAGATGAGATCCAAGATCTGATCGGTGTCAGATGAGTGAGGCAGAAGTGTGCCTGTTTCACATCTTGTTTTCTTTGTTCGGGGTATGGTTCTGGAATCTTGAGGTCGTTGCCTGATACCAGAG